TGCTCGAAGTCGTGCTCGAAGTCGTGCTCGAAGTGGTGCTCGAAGTGGTGCTCGAAGTCGTGCTCGAAGTCGTGCTCGAAGTGGTGCTCGAAGTGGTGCTCGACGTCGTGCTCGAAGTCGTGCTCGAAGTGGTGCTCGACGTAGTACTTCTCGTCGTTGTCGTGGACGAAGATTTAATAGATGTGGTAGTCGTAGAAGTACAGGCCTATGATGTACAATCAGTACAAGACCCCCAACTGGCAGACACAAGTACGGCTTTTAGATAAGGAGATAGAATAGAGGCTGAGCTCCTGTTGTGCATTCAAGGGCAGGGATCAGAGCAGAATGAGAAGAAATCACACGTACAGGTGCTGGACCTTCAATACAAGAGCACAGGGTGGAAATTATGCTATTTCCCTGGGACAATGCTTTGGACCACGCCGAAGCCCGAGGGTCCTGTGTACTTCTTGATTTTACTGTTGTAGTTGTCGAAGAAGGTTTGGTCGTCCTCGTCGTAGAAGCAAACGTTGTGGTCGTCGTTTTAATTGCTGGCGTTGACGGTGCAGCCCGCTTCTTTGACCCCGAGGTGCAACGCAAGGGGTACTTCGACGAGCAAAAGGCTTCTGCGATGGGCAGGCCATCGAGAAAGGGAACCAGTTCCGCATAGATGCCACTATTGCAGACGCCACCAGCCCTTGGTTCGAGAGCAGGAGGAGCAAGAGCAACAGTAGAGCCCAGCCAGGTTAATGACACGACAGCGAGACTGACAAACATACTGAGAGTCGTGGCTCAAGTCAAAAACAAAGAATCCTTGCGAAAGGGAGGTTGAAACACCAGAGATCCGTAAGGTCGAGGTACCGCAGGATAAGGTCGAAATGATGAATTGTGTAGCTGGAAAATGAGCGAAGACGCTGGTGACTCCCTATATTAAAAGATGAACATACACTTCACGGTCATCTTGGATATACTTTGTGGCATCTACAAATGATGTGGATAAGGATGCCTGGCAAGGATTAGTCTCGAGTCTCGACCTTTAGCAGAATTCCTGCACCGCAGCCTTTCAATGAAGCTTCTGCATCATAGCTGGCGATGTCGGATGCCGTGTGTCGCCGACTTCGTGGATTATTCGCCAGTGAGGTCATCACGTTGTTAGGGCACAACCCTCTTTCTATGCTCCAATGCCGTAGGATTAGACTGAATCCGCGCAGATGACCAAAGGCTCATTCTGGAGATTGAAGGTATAGCTGTAGAACGAGAAAGCAAAAAGTAGAGAAGGAAGTCAAAGGAGCAGAGCTCAGCACCTTTTTTCAAGCCTCGCAACCCACGTGACCTGAGTTGGGGGTTACTGATTGGTGGAGATACCATATGTAAATTACGCCTATTTGTAATGCTAATTCTCCTTGCCTCCTATCTCCCGAGGTCCCTTCCAAGGTTGCTCTACTCCCTGAAGCCCTTAACTTTCTACATCCTTAGCTTTCTACTACTATCACCTATAGCCTAAGTGTTGTCTGGAGTAAGGATCTAGCTGTATAGATATGCTTGATAGGCCCTAAGTCCTCTTCTCTCCTCTTGATAGATACTAGACACCTAAGAGTAGGACCTCTGAGTAGACAGGTCTTTCCAGTACTAGAGACTCGCTTAGTACCTACCTATGTGCTAATTTAGACATATCGGGCAGAGTCCTAGGCAGGTGTCCAGGTGCCATATATCTTACCTTGTATTGACTTGAAATGCGGCAGGTCACGTGGGGTGCGTGGCTTGAAAAAAGGTGCTGCCCCGAGGCACAAGGGAGCTGAAACTATGGGCGCCCGTTTAGTGTTGAAGAACAGATAGAAGTCCCTATCAGGAAGGAGGCCTGCCCTTTGAATTGTCGACGATGTTTTTTAACTTCAGGATGTCAATCTCATACTACCGCAGAGACCACCCTGCAGTACATCATTGTGGCCATGAAGCCATCTCACCCAGCTCAATTTGGTTCAGATGTACGTTCAGCTTCCTCATCGCCTTCAACAACTTCAAATCTCCCTCCGTTATATCGCCTCCCAAACTCCTCCGCTTGACTTTCTTCTTGCCAGGCTCCGGTAGCCCGAACTCAGGCAGCTCGACGTCGAAGGGATCAACATCGGGCTCACACCTCGTACCTGGCTGAGGCAGAACACCCTCATCGAGATATGCCCGAACAGCCTTCGCTGTGCACAGCGACGGGTGTGCATACATGCCATGCCCGACTCCACCATGCTCGAGCAGTACGCTCCCCTCGAAGCCTGCACTGACATTGACCGCTGAGGACCAAGGAGTGATGGGATCGAATTTGCCGTTGACGAACATCACAGGACTGGCGGTCTTCACCTCGAAATCTCCATCGTAAATCTCCTTCGACTTCATCTTCCATACTGCGCACGGCCACGCGAACCTGTGGCTCAATATATCTGCGAAAGCGCTGGTTTGCCACTGCTTCTGGGCGACGTGCAGAAGCTCCTCCTTCTGGGACGTCTTCCAAAGACTGTCTGAGCACATAATGCCATGCAGCGCGTTAATTCCAAGATTCCACTCCGGTCCAGGCTCGCCATCAGGCAACTTGAATGGCGGCCAACGGTCCGAGCTATTCTTAATTGGGAACAGCTCTTCTTGAATTATGTCAGTCGCCCATGACCACTGAATCGGGCTGTAGAGAATGCTGTGAAGTAGTTGCTTGAAAGACTCCCAGGAATAGAACAAGGATTGGTAGTCAGGTAGCTCTTCGATCTTGTATCTTTGAGAGTTGATAAAGGCCAATAATTTTAGCGGATCACCGGAAGGTGCATATCGGGCAAGAGCGCACTTGTCGGGGTTGTTGATACATTCATGCAGCATATTCAGTAACGCTTTGTCGGCGTCCTGAGATGTGCTATACTGAAAGCCAGAGCGCCAGTCGCGAGGATTGACATTCGAGTCTAGAAGAAACTGCACACATCAGCCGCGTGGTTCGGAATCACAGTAGTCAATTAAGCTCTGGTGCTGCCCGTGTTACCATTCGGATTGCGGCGTGACTTACTGATCCAACACGCTCCGGGAACATAGCAGCAAACGTTTGACCTATGTAAGTGCCCTGATGAAGTCAGCATCGTCGGACATTTACTCAGAAAGCAGAAGCAATGGATGGCAGCACAAATGCCTCCGAAGACTCACATGACCGATGCCGATATAATTCAGCAAAGCGTCTTTCCCGTCAATCGCTTTCGCAATCTCGAGCATAGTATCTCTTGCCACAAACGCAGTGCCGAGATAGCTGCCAGCGTCCTTCATTTGTTGTTCGCACTTATCTGCGAACCTTTCATTGAAGGGAAACGCTTCGTCCACGACCTGCTCCACGTTGAACATGACCAGCTTGTCTTTCGGCACGTCCACGTTTGTCGGTAGCGTCAAGTTTGCGCCACCCGGATCCTGTGAGAATGTTTCGTTGCAAGCGAACGGCAGCGTTCGTCCTGTGCCACGAGGATCGAAGCCGATCAGATCGTAGTCGCCACCGAGAACTTCATGTATGGCGTCGGACGTTAAAGCGACGAACTGAATGCCGGAGGCGCCAGGCCCACCTGGGTTCAGGAGGATAGATTTCTTGGCAGGCTTGTGGAGCGCTTCCACCCGAAGCAGATCGAGAGTCAGGTCTTCGGAGTTTGGATCCGTATAGTCCAAGGGCACGGTCAGATTGGCGCATTGGTATGGGTATGGAGGTGGTGTAAGCCAGCCTTGATAGCCAAAGGAAATGTTGCATGGTGTCCAGTCAAGACACGACTCTGGTGGTGAAGATGGCAGGGCGGAAGTGCCAATGAGCAGAGCAGACAGGAGCTCGAACAAACGATCCATCTTGTGGCGACATAAACTGCTTTCGTCAAAGAATCGAATGCCGGACTGCAGCCATTTATACAGCTGCTTAATTGTCCAGCTCGACAGACCATCCATCTGAGCAAAGTCCGCCATGTGTTCTTCTTGAAACGGAGACGTGGCTGAGCTGTGCTTGCCTTTCTCACTTCATGTGTAGCATTCGTACAGATACGGTCGCTGGTATGAGTATGAGCTACAGCCGCGTCGACCTAGCAAGACTCGGGGCCCAGGCAGCACCATAAAGACAAGGCTAGTAGCACTGCACCAGCGTCATCGCGCGGACAGAGTCATGTTTGGTCGCCGCATTGCAGGACCGACTTGTGGAACCTCGAATTGTCCATCAGAACAGAATGAGGTCCATCCAAAGTTGTCTGACAACTAGGTTGCTAAGTGTGGGAGAATGGGGTCGTCTTTCTCGGGTTTCCTTTTCTGATGCGGGGAGCTGTGCTTCTGTTCTGCCTGATCCTCGCGAGCGAAGAAGGCTCAAAGGCCAGCTTTGGCATCTCTGCGCGCTCTGAAAAGTCCATCGATCGTTGGCTATCATTGACAAAGCGCGTCATATGTGTACAGAGCCAGTACGCCGATGGCAGTGGTTCCGGAGTCACGATGGAGACCGTGGGGGCCAGGCAGCGATTCGTTCCAGGAGGGCTGTGTACACTGCTAGCTTGATGAGCATACAAAAAGTACTGGAGGCAGCAGACGATCTGCAATGACAATGCTTCGAGCGCGCCCCACGATAGCTCCTGCTACCAGAAATGTAGTTATGAGGGAGGATCGAGCATGACGAGTCGCTCGCACCTTTTCGATTGCTTGGCGCCGTACTTTCTAAATCTGGCAACGGGTTACATGGGCGATGGGAAGGAGTAAGCGAAGCACAGATCGATGCCATGTTCATCCACAATAATAGAACAAAGCAAGCTCGAATCCAGGAAGATGCCGATGGCGCATACTGCTGGTTGTAGTAGGTGGCTTCAGTACGGGCATCTGTGTCTCCCTGACCGGACGGGAACTGTACCATGGACTCGTTAATACATCCTTACCTTGCGAATGCTACAAGATCGCCGGGAACTCCTTCCAGGCAGCCCCTGAGAGAAATTAGGCAAGCAAGGTGCTGGTCGTACCTCGTACTGACTGCTCTGCCGGAGAATTTTGATCTGGAACGGATATAGACCACACCCCTTTTCCAGCATACCTACTTCGGATCACAGACCGCGATCCAAGGACTGACAACGCCCATGATGAAGAGCCTGCCCGTCTTTGCATCCCTGACCGCAGTTGTCGTCATCGGTAGGATCTCTCCTTTCGGATCCTCCAAAATCTTCTTCACGGTCCATTCCCTCTTCGGCATCCCAAAGCCCTTTCCTGGCTCTCCTACTCGCCTGATCTCAAGAATCGTTGCGGCAATACTGCGCCCATCGATTGGTGTCGACTCCTTGAGATGCTCTTCCACTTGCGGCAGTTTCGGGAATCCTGCTACCAGCATCACGCCATCGCTATCCTCAGAGATGTTGTCGAGAGGCATGTTCAGAGGTATCGAGCCAACCTTATGGATAGGATGCTCTTGAGTCGTGTTGTGAAGGTGATCGGCGTCCTTGAAGGGTCTGAAGCCATTTTGGGGAATGTTTTCGTATCTGAATGGGGAGCTGTAAACCGAGACCTCTCCAGTCAAGGAGCTGGGAACATATAGAAGAGTGTCTTTGGGCGAGACGTGCAATCCGTTGGGGAAATGATGTCGTTCAGATTTGGCTATCAAGCTACATGGGGCAATAGAGTTCTTGTCCGGAGGTGGGATGCAGTGAGCGATACTCCCGGTGCCCAGGACGGTCGACAGAGTGTGACCAAGTCCAGATCGGTAAGGTCCATGGTCGTTCGTGATGACAATGCTGTCGTCTGGTCGAACAGCGACGTTATTAGGCGTGGTGATATTCGTAGGGTTATAGAATGTGTAGAGGTGCTTGAGGGTCGACGAGTCCGGGCTCATGCTAAAAGCTTCGATTGTAGCATTGTGACCTGTAACCGCCTGATCTGTGGGCACTTGCGTGGTCAAGTCAAAAGTTGGTGCTTGACTGACGAAGTACAGATTTATGGTACCATCTTTCAGGGTTCGACCAGTCATGCCTAGAAGATTTAGCTGCTTCTCGCCTATGGCGTTCGTATAGTCGCCAAAGTCCAGAATGCGATAGTCAAAAGACTGAGGATCCTGAGGATGTGGCGTGTCCAGCGACATCACGACCACCTGATCGTGTTGTGGGCGGCGATCAGCAGCATAGCTCGCCATGGTTGGGTTCCATGCTTTTCGACCCAACGCGTTTGAGCAAGCGAGAAATAGCTGGCGAGACTTGTCGTCAATCCATGCGTCCTCACATGCAGCGATGTTGTGGTCCGTTACCCGACGACATGTGTACGGGAAGTCTGAGAGAGGCTGTAGCACGCGTCCGTAGCCAAATGAATTGAAGACGATATTTTTGAGAAGGAATTGCCAGAGAATCGCAAGGTTTAGGACCGTGAAGCCGATCCAGGTGGTAAGTGATGGCATATTTGCCTCTGAGATGTTTACAGAAGTCCAAACAGCCCCCTTCGACGCGACACAGGTCTTATATTGAGAATCTGTAGGTCAGCGATGGAGCCTCTCGCTTATGACCCCGAATCGGCATAAATGTTGCGAAACAGCAGGGAGCGCGCCTAACGAAAGCGCGACCGTATAGTAGCCTAAAGCCCACGGAAGTTATAGCAGTGACGACGACAAGCTAGCTGTGTACTTCTCGCGCTGCTGTAGGTTGTGTGTCGGCTAGGCAGGCACACAGAGTCTGTGTGCTGTAGCACAGCTTCATATTTCTTCTGGGCGCCTTTCCGAATTGAAAGGCACCCACGTGCGAGGCAACCTCAAACCGATGTCAGAGTTCAGCCGACAGCGGACAAGGCGCCCCCTAAGACCTCCAAGTTGGAGTCGGCATTAAGCCTCCTGCGGGCATACGGTTTGACGTCACCTTGAACGAGATCATCAGTATAGTATACGTAAGACATTATCCTCGTCGATCCTATGCGTCCTCCATAGCCTTGAAGCGACTTCCTGTCTTCACAGCAATCACAGCCTCTCAGCGAACCAAAACATGGCCAACACAGTCTTCCGCTCCGGCGCCACAGCGTGATCTCAGGCTCCGCCGGCGGGGTCGGCTTTGCCTTTGCGAGAATCTGCCGCCAGCACGGCATGAATCTAGCGCTCCTAGATCGGGACACCGACAACCTGAACAGCGCCGTCAAGCTTCTCTCGTCAGAAGCCAAAAGCTCCGACCTCAAGACTGAGGGCTACACCCTTGACGTCTCGGACCTGTCTGCCTGGAAATCAACCGCATCGAAAATCTCCTCCACTTTCGGCCCCTCCATCGATTTACTGATGCTGAACGCTGGGCACGCACCTAAGAATACTGGGAACTCGAAGTGGCTAGACGTGAACTACTGGCACCAAACCCTCGACACGAACCTCTTCGGTGTGGTCAACGGCATAGCCACTTTCCTCCCCCTGATCCAAAAATCAGGAGGGCCTTCGAGCGTAGTAATCACCGGATCCAAACAAGGCATCACCAACCCACCCGGCAACCCCGCCTACAACGCCTCCAAATCCGCCGTCAAAACCATCGCCGAGCATTTGAGCCACGACCTCCGCACCGAAGGCAACGAGAACTACTCGAAAGGCACGACGGTTCACCTCCTCATCCCAGGCTGGACGTTCACCGGTCTCTCTGGCAACACAGGCCCTACCTCCTCGCAGGATGCGTCAGCAAATAAGCCGAAGGGCGCATGGCTGCCGGAGCAGTGCGCACAGTATGGCGTCGACAAGATCAAGGCAGGGAAGTTCTATATCGTCTGCCCTGACAATGACGTAGACGAGTCACTCGATCAAGCAAGAATGACGTGGGGCGCAGGCGATGTGGTAGAGGGAAGGAGTGCGCTCAGCCGGTGGGACGAGCTGTACAAGGGCGACAGTGCGGCTTGGATTGAGGAGGAGGCGAAGAGGAGGAGAGGGGAGGCGAAGGGGGATGGGTTGGCTACCCGATGAGGACTGAATTCTTAGGCAATTATTGGTTGTAGGTATGTGAGGCATGTGAGGCATGTGTACTTCAAATAGCCACACCACCATCTTCCTCATCGTCAACATCGACTGCCTCAGCCTCCACACCCTCAGCAGCCAGCGGAGGAGGCGCGTCGCTCTCCGGCGAACTGCTGTTTCGCATCCTGACATCCTGTGCTTTGTCCCCTTCAGTCGCGGCGTCCGGCTTCTTCATCTTCTCTGGCCTCTTTCCGCCTGGATTCTGCTGCATTGAGTTGATCAGTTCCGGGCTATCACCAAACAACCTCAACAACATCGCCTTCCTTTCTTCCTTCGGCAGCATGAGATTCAGACTCTGAATGCTCTTCCACAACGGGAATACCATCCTCTCATTGAACCCACTGTCCCCTTCGTCAGCTCGTGGCTCCACCACCAGAACACAACACCCCATTCCAACCTTCAGAATCTGCGGTCCGACTTCCCCAAGATTCTTATGCTCGTCATTCGCGAAACGGGGGAACATCTCGACCAACAATTTGCGCAGCGTTTCTTTCTTCCACAGCTTGATGATGCGTTCAGGACCAACCCACATCTCCACGATCCTCATCCCATCCGTCTGAATCCGCCAAGGGCAAGTCTCCGGAGAAGGAGCATCCTGCTTCACGAACATCTTCACGCCGGCGTGGACGAATTTAATGCCCTTGCCTTCATTTTCGGTAAGAATGTCTTTGGCGAGGGCCGTGGTATAGTAGATGTTTTTGGTGGCGGTGGCGGCTGGGTTGCGCACCATGAAACGGTCGGTGGGAAAGTCGGGAGAGAGGTTATAGAATTTGCGGATGTCGGTGAGTTCGGAGGTGCTGGTGGGGGAGAGGTATTTGAAGGGCTCTTCGAAGGGTTGGTTGCGGTTGCGTTTGGGATTGGCGCCGCTGTTGCCATTGGCGGTCGGTGTAGGAGCGGCGACTGAGGCTACTGGCGCAGAGTCTATTTGTTTAGACGTACTGTTGCCGTCCACTTGTGGAAGTGCCGGCGGATCGGGTTGTAGCTCAACTTTGACGCGCTTGGTTGCTGAGTCGGCTTGGTCTGCGTTGTCTGCGTCTTCAACTCGCTTGCGCTTCGGCGAGGAGGATCCGTTCGGGATTTCGGCCTTGACCTTAACATCTTCATCCTTGATTTGGACTTCTGCATTGGTGTCGACGACAGGTTCAGTGCCATTCGAGTCAGCTGCTGCAGGTGCCTTGACCGTCGCCGCGGGCTTCTCTTCGGTCTTGGCCTTGATCTCAGCCTTCTTCTCGAGAATTGAAATGAAGAAAGCTCCCGTGTCGTGTAAGTGAGGATAGACTCGAATGGCACGTTCTAGCGGCAGATCGTCCTTGGGCGGGAACATGCTTTCAGTAAGCTTGCTCAGAGCCTCTTCGCCTTTCGCCTCCTGCTCTTTGAGGACTTCATCGTAGCTGTTCCATATCCTTCCAGCTTTTGACATTATGCTCCACTTCTTGAGGCCTGGAAAGCGCTTCAGACCCGGTAGGTAGTCCTTAGTTTCAATCAACTGGACGAAATCCGAGCCGCCACACCTTTGGATGGCAGCCGACAGGACAGCCTCGTCCTCGACTGGATTCATGCTACACGTCGAATAGACTACTCTGCCTCCGATCTTCAGCATTTGCAATGCCCGGACTAGGATCCTGACTTGTGTGGCGTGCAGACCAAGGCCATTGCTAGGATTCCATTTCTGCCAGATCTCGAGATTCTTCCTCGCTGTGCCATCGCCCGAGCATGGCACGTCGGCTAGAATGCGGTCAAATTTGAGATATCGGTTCTGAATGGGCTTGCCGTCCGCTGTAGGAAGTGAGGGGACCTTGATTGAAGGGAATATGGTTGCATCGTGGTTTGTGACGATAATGTTAGGCGAAGCCAGTCTCTTGACCTGGTGGACCAACATGTGAGCACGTTTGTAGTCGACGTCGTTGGCGATCAGCAAGCCAGTAGATCTGCCATCGTCCTTGTAGTCTTGACCCTCGGGTCTCGACGAGCCGCTGGCTAGAGTCTCTGCAACCTTTCTAGACCTTTCTTCCTCGCCATCGTGCAACATCTCGATAATTTGTGCTGACTTGCTTCCCGGAGCAGCGCACAAATCCAGGACTGTGTGGCCTGGCTTGATGTCCATAAGCAGCGGCGGGATCATGCTGACGATCTCTTGTCGTGTGATGTTTCCGACATCTGTCTCGGCGACCAAAAAGCTCTGAAACGATTTGAAGGGCGGGAAGCGTCTAATGATGTGCTTTGGTGTGGTCATATACCATGCCAACTGGTTCGGGTACCATGGTACTGGCTGGGGAGGGTCGACGAGCTCTCCTTCATATCTTATGGACGTGATCTCGGGTATATAGAAGTCTCGTAATCGTTGCTGTACGGCCAGTGCATGTCTGTCTGCGGTCAGTTGCCATCGAGTCCACCAATCTTTAGCACATACACTCTTGAACCTGTGAAGCGGAAGCTGTTGGGCAGATCTCGCCGCATAGCTTCCCATAATTGCTCCTTATCTTCTTCTGGTACCAGGTCTAGCTGATTGTAGTATTTTTCGAACTTCTCATTATGCCTGGAAATGGTACTTTTGTCGACTCGATTGTCGCGAGGAGGCCCACGACCACCGCCGCCACCTCGTCCTCCCCATCCGCCTCTACCGCGGCCACCGCCTCTGCCGCCACGTCCTCTTCCCATGATTTATGTATGTGGTCGAGACTGATCTTGTCTCATGAGGTGACTCGAATATCGAGAAAGACTCGAAACCGATTCACAAAAGTTTTGTTGCAGAATTGGGGTTCGTTTGCGGGGCAGAGCCTCGCAGCCTCGTCGCGGAATTCTATCGCCTACTGACTACCACCCAGATACCACATCGTTCGCCATCGACGACTTGTGACTGCTGCTTCGTTATTGACAGTCATCGTGACCTGCTAGCTGAAAGTCCCCTAGAACCTCGATACCATGTCTCTTGGTCGACTCGGCAAACGAAGCATGTCCAGCAGGATTGCACTTGGCGGCGGCAGTCCATGCGCATGATGGTAAGCACCAGTTTCAGGGCACGGTTTTTTGAATCAGCCGCTTTCACGCTTGCGACCTACGATCAACGGAATAGCGCCCATACCACTGACATTTTTGTGTCACCGACATGATGTTTGGTAAATGCTGTGTCAGCAAAGGCTAGCGCAGAAAGCCTCCCTGCAGCGGAACGGTAGGTAATCGATCTCAGGGGTCATTAACCCTTTACGGAAAGGACGCTGAGAACTCGCTCTCTGATTATAAGATGCATATCATTCGCAAATGTGCCTACAAAATCCGTGTCGTGTACTAACCCAGAGACTACGAGGCTTCAACGCCAGCTCACTCTGTAGCGCCATCATGGCCTCTCCAAACGCGTCCTTCGCTGGGCGTCTCGGCGGCATCCAGCAGTTCACCGTCAACAGGGAAGATCCAGACGAGCAGCCTTTGCTCGAGAAGACTCCAGATGCTGCTCCCAACGTCGCCATCAGAGATCTTTTCCGCATGTCGCTCTTCAAAGATCCTTTTTTGTGGAAGGCAGCTTGCATCGAGGCCATGGGCACGTTCCTACTTGTCTTTGTTACAGGCTACTTCGCTATCTCTCCAAACCTCCCAAATCCGGATCCATCCCCAACTTCCGGCAACTTTGCACATGCCGGGTTCATCGCGCCTCTTGTCGGCCTCTTGATCAATGGTGTCTTCATCACGATGCTGATCTACGCCTGCGGCGCCACAAGCGGCGCGCACTTCAATCCGCTGATCACAATTGCGACTTTTTTTGCGCGCCTGACGACTTTCCCAAGAGCGGTGCTATACGTGGCCGGTCAGATGGGAGGGGGTGCCCTGGCTGGGCTAATGCTGCGGGCAGCAGTCAACACTCGAGAATTCAAGGTCGGAGGCTGCTTCCTGTTCCCGAATGACAGAATCAACGCTTCCACGGCCTTGACTGTAGAATTTGGAGCTGCGACTTTGTTGCTGTTCTGTGCGTTTGGCGTCGGCTTAGATCCTCGTCAAGGTGAATTATTCGGTCCAGCTTTGGGTAAGTGATTCGACGGCGTGATTCTGGACGATGCTGATGTCTAGCAGGTCCACCGCTGGTAGGTATCGCGTCCGCCACAGTCATCTTCGCATTCAGCTATAGCGAATCTGCCTACGGAGGCGCCAGTTTAAATCCAGCCAGATGCTTTGGCGTATTTGTCGGAAGTCGCTTCCCGGGCTGGTCATGGGTGACATGGGTTGGTCCACTGCTGGCGTCCATTTTCCATGGTATCATTTACTGCCTCATTCCTCCTGGCCCTCCTCAGAAATCAAAGAAGCTGAAACGTACGCACCGAGATGAAGAAGGTAGCGGACATCACCTTGCGGCCCGATTCAGCCATCCTCTTGAGAAGAAACCATCGGACACAGAGCACTGAACGTGTCCGTCTTGGGTGCCTCATCTAGTATGTCGGAGCCAACCAACAGGTGCAACACAGTTGCCGAAGACCTCCATGGACGGTTCCTTTCGACCTTGAATGCCCGACTTTCCGAAAAGACTCCATCCAGGTACCCAAAGGCTCCTCGACGTCCCGAAGCGGTCTGGTGTGCCAAGTCCTTGCCGACAGAGCCAATCACAGGCTTTTGCACATCGAACATCTCGTACATTCTGCCCATGTCGTCATTTACAGCCTAGCAGAATTGCAAACGTCCCGCGCTCTTGGGTCTTGTTTCGAGATTGAGTTCTACAAGAAATGTCCGCGGCTGAGTGCTACGAGCTTCATACGAGATTTGTAGGTACATTGACTCCACCAAAAATTGCCGATGCGACCAACCAGATAAAAGCATGGAAAAGCTGCTTAGCAAGAAGCATTCGACCAACCTGACAGTTAGATACATGGTGGCGCCGTGGAAGTGGCCTTGATAACCCAAGCTGTCGCCTGTATGTCTATAAAGGCCAGACGATTGTCAACGAAATGGGAATAGAAGCTCTATGAAGGATATCACCAGACCACCATCTCTTCAGCAATACAAGACACGCCCTTTCTCCAGCTCCTAGCCACAGTAATGTCCTACCTCGTCACTGGCGCCAACTCAGGCATCGGCCTCGAACTCGTGACCCAACTCAGCGCTCTCCCAACGTCCAAAGTCACCAGAGTCTTCGCCCTCGTTCGCCGCTCCTCCGAAGCCCTTGACGCCCTCCCTTCTGACCGCGTCACAACAATCATAATTTCTAACCTCGCCGACGCAGCCGAAGTGTCAAAAGCCGTTGCATCAGCCACTGAAAAGCTCGACGGCAAAGGCCTGGATGTCCTGATCAACAATGCCGGCGCGATGGAACCGACTGGCGGAAAGTTTGAGCCCACGCAGAAGACCCAGGACATGTCGGCGCAAGAGCTTATGAGCACGCTGGAGAGTAACGTCGCAACCTCACTGGTTGTCACCAGCAGCTTTCTACCCTTACTGAAGCAAGGCAAGCAGAAGAAGATCTTCAACATGTGAGCTTAGCCTTCACCTGTCCCTGACCAAGCCAATATTAGCCGGATCTGACCCATTCAAACCCTCAGATCGACCACTCTCGGCTCACTCACCATGGTCAAGAACTACCTGTGGGGCCTTCCACGCGTACAAGATCAGCAAAGCCGCAATGAACATGCTCAACCAGCAATTCGCGGGCGAGCTCGAGGCAGAAGGATTCTGTGTAGCGCTGATCACGCCGGGTGTACGTTTTCGTCCCTTCCACACAATACCTTTGATCCTCCCACGCGCTTTCTGCGAACTACTTCCTATGACTCGGTCCCAATACTGACGCTCTTTGTCCAGTGGCTCAAATCCCGCCATCCTCAGGCGGATCTCGAGGTTTCTGTCGGCGTCAAGGCGGTGCTCGATATTGTGTTCGGTGCGGGGCCGGAGCAGAATGGGAAGTTTTTGAATATTCGTGTTGCGGGGTGGGAGGAGAATACCAAGGGGCCGAATAAGTATGATGGGAAGGAGATTCCTTGGTAAAGGAACGGTATGGTGGGTGCTGCGGGATTGCAGTGGGAAGTGGTCTTGCGCATGGCACTTCGGTCTGTTAGAAAGTCGTGATGTTCTTAAAGTGGTCCATGATTGTTGCGTCCTGTTGGACACGCTCATGGCTGCGGACCGTGGCTTATGCGGTAGGCGTGGTGCTTACTCTTTTCTTCACCGGCCCGACGGCGAACTATAATACGAACAGGTTCGCCTCGGCGGTCGAGGCATCTATCCAGAGCATCTGGCCCCAAATATCAGGAAGCAAAAGCTTCAACGGCCTTATTATCAATGCCATCCCAGCCATTCATGTCTGTCCTACCAATAAGCGTGCAGTCAGTGGCGCGCAAGAGTATCTATCGAACGCACGCCCATCCTACCACGCCGACCTGGTCATCTGTGCTTTCCATTTGCGGCACAATCTTCCGAAATGGGCCATGCGAGCTTGGCACACTTGATGGACGCCCATGGTGGGACAAGTGCGCTACACGGTGTCGCGCTGATCCTGCGTCACTCTGATGGCTGACTGTTGAACTAGATATATCAGATTGGTGCCTCCCAAGGTGGGACGAAATGGAATATCTTTTGAACGTATTACTGGATCACGATGTTACAAATTCTTCTCCCAGCACTGGTGTTGGTGCTCCTCTTGGTCCTCTTGATGATGGTCGAGCGCTTTCGTACCCACGATATTGCAGCACCGCGGGCATGCTGACGGCGTGGATGATAATTGATGATGGGATGAGAACGAGTGGTGGTGCGCCGGAAGAGCAGCTTTCATGTCTAGCATAGCTCGTCGAAGAGATGGCAGACTTGTCGTTCGAAGCGAGGTGCGCTGGTGCGCTGCACATGCATTGGAATCCACGATACTTGGACGCGCAAGAGTCGGGGATTTGGACCGCGAACCGGTGCGCTAACGGCCGCTTCCTAGAAGCCTGGGGAGTTTGAACGCGAGGGCAGTTACTGTGTCTGGGAGTGCCCAGTCGTTATCGACAATCGAGAGTGTCTGCGAGGAACTGCAGCTCCAGCTTTATACAGGCATAGCCATAGATGCCCGACCGTCGACTGGCTGTCTGCGAGCCATTCGCAACGCCTTTCGATACTGCTGCCACCATCCACCAAACAAATTCGTCTTGCGCCGACTTTATCTCGATGCCTGTTAAGCCCACGCGATGAAAAGCATCAGATCAGGAATTTTTCGGCACATCGAGCAGAGTCGGGTCTCGAGAGAGTCGACCCAACGCGCATGGGCGATTAGGTAGCCTGAGGGCATGCTATGAAGTTGTCCGCCTTCCCTGGTCGAAGCTTCTCTTCGTCTAATTACCTACGCAGCTTCTGAGAATATTTGTCCTGGGACGCATCGACCATGTCTGTCTCGCTTAGCAAGTGCATCTCGCATCTCTGCTGCTGAGATTGCCTCGTATTGACGTTGCCCAGCGACGGCTCGAGCATAGTGTCTGTCTTACGCTGCGCACTCGAACATTTGTATTCGATCATAAGCGGTAGATACGAAAGCCGTGTCACTGCGTCGTTTACAATTCCCTTCACAAATCGTTCGACCAGGCTCACCCTCCAGCAGATAGTGAGATTGTCCTTCCTATCCAGGAACAAGTCTTCAGGGTTTGAGACTTCGAAGTTATGAGTACCGACCTTCCTCACTGCGTCTAGTCCCGGTAGGAAATATGAAGCCTCGGGTGCAGCAGGCGTAGTATGATTGGTCACTTTAGGTTCATGACGTTCGCTCCAACAGGGGATGCTGCCTGCCGGTAGATCTTATGAGATCTTGTCCGACCGTTAAGGTACCTCGGGCTTCGTTGAGTAGATAAGGACAACGGAATGGTAATGCTACTAAAGATGGCGTCGCCGTGGACAGCCATCAGTGGTCCTCTGTGCCTCTGCAGCGACAGCCCACGCCCACCATGAGGTCCACAATTCTATATACGATACTAGCAGTAGCTTTCAGCGCCACGAGCATCGCTGGAACAACTTGGAGTGACTCATGCACGTCCATTAATGGCCAAGCATTTCCCTCGCTATTGGACGTTACCACGGAGGAACTGATCACGGGACTGGAGTCTGGTCTGTTCACGAGCGTCGATCTTGTGAACGCCTATATCGCCAGAATTGCTGAGGTCAATGGCACCAATCATGCCGTCACACAGCTCAATCCAGACGCACTTACCATCGCCCAAGCCTTGGACGATGAACGTGCAAATGGCACTTCTCGTGGTCCATTGCATGGCATTCCCGTTCTCATCAAGAACAACATCGCTACGTTCGACAGCATGGACAACACAGCCGGGTCATACGTCTTCGCAGGAGCGAAAGTCCCCCGAGATAGTACCATGGCGGCGAAATTGCGACAGGCCGGTGCAGTCATCCTAGGCAAAACCAACTTGAGCCAATGGGCAAACTTCCGGAGCGACAATTCGAGCAACGGCTGGTCAGCCATCGGTGGACAAGTCATTGCTGCATACTTTCCCGACCAGGACCCGAGCGGGAGCAGTAGCGGTAGCGGTGTGTCGAGCTCTCTGGCACTGGCCCATTTCTGCCTGGGCTCGGAAACGGACGGCAGCATCATCTCCCCATCGGATGCGAGCAATCTTGTGGGCATCAAACCATCCGTGGGACTCACTTCGAGGAGTCTCGTAATTCCCATCTCTGAACACCAGGACACGGTCGGGCCAATGGCGCGAACGGTCAAGGATGCGGCTTACTTGCTCAACGCGATTGCAGGCTTTGACGAAAACGACAACTACACCTCGGCGATTCCCTATCCTGATTATGTGCTTCCGGACTATGTTGCCGCATGTAACTTCTCTGCTCTTAGTGGCGTGCGGTAGGTGTGCCGCGGAACGTCTTTGATGTGAGTGAACCGATTGTGATCCTGTTGACACTTATGAATTGCTCACCCTCTCGTGACAGGTCCCTGCAATCCGCAATTCGCCATACGCTCCGATCCTGGACAGCTTCGACACATACGCCATACCTCTCCTCAAAGCCGCCGGCGCGATAATTGTCGAGAACACAACCTGGCCCGGCTACGATACCGAGCCCGCGAACCGCACCTCTGTCGTCCTCGAAGGTGACTTCGTTGCCGATCTCATCAAGTACATTGACCAGCTCACCTTCAACCCGAACAACGTCACCGACCTGGCTGATGTCCGCAACTTTACGCAATCCTCTGCTCTCGAGGACTATCCTGACCGAGACACCGGCGTCTGGGACCAGGCCCTCGACTACTTTGGCGGTCAGGACAATACCACTCCCGAATTCTGGTCAAACTACACTCTCGGTCTCGAGCTCGCCGGGCCGCAAGGCATCATCGGATCGCTGACGAACTACTCTCTGGATGCTTTGATCTTGCCGACGTACTTTGCCAGTCACTTTCCCGCCATTCTCGGCACGCCTGTGGTGACCGTTCCGATGGGCTCGTATCCAGCTGGGTCGAATGTGACACAGAACAACAGGGGTGACTTGAACGCAACAGGTCCAGGGATACCGTTCGGGCTGAGTTTCGTCGCGGAGAAGTGGAGCGAGGAAAAGCTGATCGGGTTGGCGTATGCTTTTGAACAGAGGAGTATGGTACGGGACAAGGTGCAGCCATTGCCGGAGAATGTGCCTAAGACTGAGATAGCCGATGTTGTTGGGAAGCGGAAGGGACGGAGAGCTTCCGTGGAAGTCGGCTGGTCGTAATGAGCGAGTAGTCACCCTTCGAGTATCCGAATGGCTGCACACAATGGTCATCGATGTTTGAACTCCGACATTGACGTCAGTGCGCTGGTGCTGTCTCAGCACTAGCCGCCGCCACTAGAAGAAGAGAAATGCTCGAAGCTCGATGCTTTCCCTGGGATGATCCTGATCAGTCGTCTTCGGATGTTTGAAGCCCGTGTGAGGAACGCCTGTCATGTGATCAGCCCGAGTGAAGCCTTTGCAAAATCAGCATAGCACTGACCGGCGACTTGCTCCCGGGAAGTGTCTGCTTGCCGGAAGACCAAAAGCTCGGAAGTCAGCTGGCCACTCAGATACCACCACTCATGGTTCGCGTTGTAGTGCACCTGCATGTTCTCCGAGTACGAAGTTCGGTTCACGAGATCACATGCAATAAGATCGGTGGCGTAGTCCACGGTCTTTGCACTGCACATAGCTAATGGCCAGTCCATTAGCGGCCCCTTGAGCGTTCTCCATACGCTATGCGTGGTCAGTGGCAACAGGCGCATGAGAGGTTAGAGCAAGTCTCACTTCAACGCGACGATTCTGTCGAATTGATCTGCTCGTACATCGAGATACTTGTAGGCTGCTTCGACCATGGAACTTTCCGTATAGTCTGAAGACCATCAGAGGTTTGGGAGACCTTTCATGAAAGCTCGCTCACCAACGTGGACTCTCGTGGTTGGCTGCAGATCATGATAATCTGTTCCGGTCGCAATTGGGAATGTGCGATGCCGCTTGCGGATCTGGAAGTAGTAGATAAGCCTCTTTTCTCGAAGATATCGTTCTGCGACGCAGACTGACATTGTGCTCCAATATCTCGATGCGTTGCGGTTGGAAATGCGCCTGCAACAAGGTCTTAATCTCAGGATAATATTTATGCTGTATTGTCTCCGTTGAGCCAAAGTCTGCATATTGCATCGCGGAGTCCAATTGAAGGATTTCGAAACCCTCTGTATCAATGGTGGGCTCTTTCTCGTGGGCCCTTAGATCTCTCAGCTTGATCTTGGATCTTCTTGCCGTAGCACAATTTGTGCGCGGAAACGATTCATCGTCCGGAAAGTATTGCAGGGTGTATGGCTTTTCGGTCTCATACAGATCAATTCTCTGCAGAAAGCCCAAATCGGCCTCGACGTCGCCTTGCGCAGCCATGGGGGCCGGTCTGCTGTCGTTGATTGTAAATGATACGCAGACCACTAGTTCATTGCACGCAAGTCTTCCGGCAATTTGAGAGATCCTCGCTTGTAGTGAATCGGGTGCAGCATGTTTGAGTGAAGGTACCTAGATACTGACAACAAGGGGTTGAGGGGGGCCGGCGCTTATCAGTATAACGGCAAGGATGGAGCTCCGAACAGCCCTGTGATTCTGACCCACCCACAGCTGTTGGCACCTGGACTAGGCACGGATCGATGCCTGCCTAAGTGCATAGCGGAGAAAATACACGTCGAGGTTTAACGATATATCAACGTACACCGGACTACCAGGTCAAGCACGTTGCCACAGATTACCCAGTACTCATGCATTCACGTTTGGGGTCACATGCAGCCATGGAAATGTTCTCTGCTCGCCAAAGAGCAGGATTTGACCTTCTTTGGCCTGTTCGACTCTGAGACGACGCGCTGCTTCGGTCGAGACTAGGCGCAACCCCCAGCGCGAAAGCGTCTCGAGGGGTTGGCTGTCATCAACTACTTATCTTTTGTGCGCAGGATCGAAGGCCGACGCGTAGGCAGACCGACTGTCGTATCTGATGATGCGTACTGGCTCACCACTTCTGCCACCGCCGTCATCGATTCCAGGATCTTGCCCTCAAAAGTGCCGTAAAAGTCGTTGTCATGCGGTGCCTCCTTCGGTGGCCACTGCTCGCGCCAAGGCTGTCTCTTGGTCTGCTCGCCTACATATTCTGCACCACCACCTTCGCCGCCTTCGCTGCTTTCACAGCTGCTTTCAACACGCCTTTTCGGACCTCGATGTTTTCCCGGTTCCAGGTGATGGCTTCGGGTTTTCTGGTTTTGGTGCCGGGCGCGGCTTCGGTGCACTGCCGCCGTCAATCTCTAGCATCTCACCTGCAGGAGTGCCATAGAACTCGTTCTCCTGCGGCGCATTCATTGGCGGCCACTGCCCGCGCCATGGCTGTGCTTTCGTCTGCTCGCCTCTATCATCGCCAGCCTTCACGACCGCTTCGCGCTTTCTGGGCGGTTTCGGAGGTGCTGGCTTCGGTTGTGGCCTTGGTGCACTGCCGCCGTCAATCTCAAGCTTCTCGCCTGCAGGAGTGCCATATAAATCGTTCTCACGAGGCAGGCTCTTCGGCGGCCACTGCTCAAGCCATGGCTGTGCTTTCACTCGTCCGCACATTTCCTGAATCGGTGTGAGCAGATTGTAGCGAGAGATGTGTCTCAATCGAACTTAGCACTGCATGACCTGCTAACGCGTTCGTGGTATGGGAGGGTTGCTACCCAAGAGCTGCGCCGCAGTCGAACCGGAGGGGCTGTTGTGGCGATCATTGCCGGCCGGATCGCATTGGGGGCCCCAGGGCCCTCATACAGCCCCGCTATCAAGTTCCCTGAGCTTGACCCCCACTCCGAATTACACCAACCCCTGAACTTCTTCAGACCCTAGTCACTGGCTTGCAAACACTTGCCAGAAGTCCTTCGCTTGAGGTTAGTTCGTATGCTAAAGCGCTTGCAGATGTGTGACGCCCCAATGCATAGGCGGACTGCAGACTGTCCTATGATGTGGGCGGACCACTGGTCCGCGGCACGTTGGCGTACGGCAGGGATACCAGGATCTTTATGAAGTTCATCGCTCACAGCTTCAGCCTGACACTCATGACAGCACAGCCAGCACTTTCCAACGGTCTAAAGCAACGGCGTCCTTCGCAGCTGTGTCAAGCTTTGCGCGAGGCCGAGCAGCCTATGTCGAGTTCTCTGCGTGCTTTGCACTGTGTAAGAACGGATAATAAACGGAAGCTACGACTACGTCCATTCGGTCGAGGTCAATTCAGTCAGCACTGGCGATGCAGAGACCAGTACGGCGACAAGCTCTCTGCATCATACGTTTCAAGGGTCCGTGATAAGTAATTGCGCGCACGAAAGACTCATGCGACGGAATCAAGGCCAACAATACTATCATGCTCCGAAGACTCGACTTTGGCAGCAGACGACCGGCCTCGGATGAGGGCTGGGTGTTACGGTAGGACTGCAGGAACCCAGTGCCGCCATACTAGCTTTCTTGAGCTGACACAATGAATACAACAGTGTTATAATTGTCCCGTCTGCAGTCCAGGAGGGGATCGACGAATGGCAACCAGTTTCTAGTCCGTGGCTCTCGAAACTGGTGACCGACTTCAAAGGTCGTCTGGAGATGTTGCAATTTGACATCGCAGGGGATGCTCAGTCACGCATCATTCGGCACACACTGGACGCAGGACAGCATCTCCTGACCGCGTTGAACCATGACTGCGAACAGTCGACGGTAAGGAGGAGGCGCAACCTGCTATGGTCCGATTGCTGATTTTAGCGATCGAAACAGCCTTTGTACTCTTCTCTACTGTTCATTTGCCATGGTACGGGTGGCATAGTTGTTCAGAAGGCAAGTGCCAAACCAACGCAGATCTGCGAAAATTGACCTTTTCTAAGACGCTCTGCTTGATGCGAGAACACTGGTATCACTATAAACGGCTGATCGATTCCATCTGCGGCGCAGTCTTCCTTGGCGTTCCAAATTTTGGCAAGGACTACAGTCAGACGACCCATACTCTACGGTCCATGCTGGAATGTCGAGAGTCTCTACGTGGAAACCCAACAGTGTCACCTCAAGACGTCCATGATATTAAGCTCCTGCATGAAGCTTTCGAGTTGTTGCCTATCAACTTTCCGGTCCTCTGCTGCTTCGAAGCTCTACCAACGAAGTTAAAGAAAAAATCATTCGCCAAGATCCGCAAACCAGAGCAGTACATCGTGAGCACTTGTCTCCTCTGACCATACTTCGTAGCACTCACAAAAGCAATGGCAGATTGTACCCCAGAAGCTATGTGGCTTCGGCAAAACGCTGGAGACTGTCTCAAGCGTGGCGGCAGACCATACTGGTGTTCGCCAGCTCGACCCGAACGGGTCAAATTACAAGGCCGTACACGCCATGATTGAGAAGGCCCAACGATCGGTGGCCTTGCGTACCACAGAGTCTTCAGAGCCCTGCAAGTCTACACAATCCAAGGTTCCAGGTGTGCTATGGCTGACTACAAGAAAGACACGGCTCCTCTGGGCCTGCAACTGCTGTCACTTAACAGTGAGACAGGATCGGAAGGACAAGACTATACGCCAATAAAGACCTCTAGCCCAGGGCCTGGGCACACTGCTACGGTGGAACGCTCATCGCTCAATATTACAGCCACCTTGTCAGATGGGTCTTTCACCCTGGTCGAGCTCCAAGCTGCATTCGAGCCTCCAACGAGAGACCTCAAGCTTCCTTGCTTCTCCATGGGCGCGCAAAAGAGCAAACCCGAATTTTTCGGGCGTGCAGAGGTCTTACAGGCAATGGACAAAGTCCTTCTTCCTCCATCGTATGACGATCTGGAAGACTCTGCGCCTCTACGTTCGTATGCTTTGTGCGGGATGGGTGGCATCGGCAAAACCGAATTAGCCGTCCAGTACGCATACACCCGAAAAGAGAAATTTGAGGCTATATTTTGGCTCAACGCGGATGATCCGACCATTCTGGCAGAGCAGTTCGCCCGTATAGCGCAAGATCTGGGTCTCGAGGAGCGCTCTGATGCTCGCGATTTCGCCGCCAGTCGGGAAACTGTAAAAGGCTGGCTGTCCATGCCTCGAAAACGCTTCCCAGGCGACGATCAAATGGAAGACGTTCCATGGCTACTGATATTCGATAATGTTGACAATTTGGAAGTGCTCCCGGACTACTGGCCAGGCACTGGAAGAGGCTCAGTGCTGATTACAAGTCGCGATCCTGATGCGAAAGAGACAACGCACTTAGCTCAGGCTGGCACAGATCTACAACCGTTCACAGTGTCAGAAACAGCACAACTCGTGGGAAGGTTGACCTCGTATAAAACAAACGAAAATGAGTCCGTGGCTCTGCATCAAATATCCGAGATTGTTGATGGCTTGCCTCTGGCCATCAAACAGGTCGCAGGTCTTCTGCGAAAATCTCGCATGCGGTACAGCGAATTCATACGCCTGTACAGAAGAGAAGGAGCAACGAAACTCATTGGAGCCTCCAAGACTCTGGCCGGTCCAACACAAGCTCGAGGCTTGATCACGGTGTGGGCGCTTGATCGTCTCAGCGAGTCAACAAGGGCCATGCTCCAGATCATGGCGCTGCTCGACCCAGACGGCATTCCTGAAGATCTCGTCTGTCAAGAAAGGCCCAATGTGGAACTTTCATCGTATCCGAGGTTCGAAGACTATTATGATGCCCGGGCCGAGCTCCTGCAATCGTCTCTCATCCGACAAGCTGACGAAGAAGGGGGCTCTCTCTCTCTACATCGACTCGTTCAGGACAGCATTAGGGCGTCCATGCAGCCTGAGGAGATGCTCCTTGCGTATCGCACAGCCTTTCGGCTTACCTCAAATGTCTGGCCGTACATAAATCACAGGGATGGAAAGCTTGTCGCCCAAATGGCAGCTTGCGCAAGGTTTCTTCCCTCCGCACTGCGGCTCAGAGATGGCATAGAAGCCCTGTTCGTTGATTACCCGACACTCGAACTGGACGCAGCCAGCGCCAACCTGATGGCTGATGCCGGATGGTAAGTCTAGCTGCCGTGGGATTTTGCTGACCACTGACCGTGATTGCAGGTATGTCTTCGGCAGAGGGCAGCTCGACGAAGCGATAGCATTCTTCCAATCGGCATTGAACATCGTGCAGAACATTCCGATGGACGAATCGGAGACCAGATACTACCTCATACGACGTGTACACAACGGCATCGGCACTACCTGTGCAGAAATCAATCGTCCAATCGACTGTCTCAAGCACCAGACTATTGTGGCTGACCTATTGATGACCCGTAATAGCACTTTCGGCGTCCCTGTCGACGACTACCCAACTGCCATCGCCCAAAACGAATTAGGTGTGGCAAAGGCGTTCAACGGCGATTTGGAAGGAGCAGAAAAGGAATTCCTGCTTTCAATCAAGACATATCAGCAGAATCCAAACTACGAGGATGTGTGGCTAGGTTGGCCTATGCCAAACCTGGGATTCATCTACTGGTTGCAGGGACGTTTGACCGAAGCCCGACAAATTCTGGAAGAGGTGCTTGACATCTTCAGATTAGCATACGGTGTTGACGACGTCACTTCATTCCGGTGAGTTCAGGACATACCTCTGCAGAGCCGCGCGAATGCTAACGTTGCAATGGCAGGACTGGCAAAATACTGTACGCACTGGGCAACGTCCTCGAGGACCTGCAGTTATATGACGAGAGTCTCTCTGTCCATCTCAGATGTGTGAAGCAATACTCTCAGTCACTAAGCACGATGCATCACCGGTTCGGAGATGTTTGTGTTCGTCTTACGCGGCACTTCATACGACTCAAGGACCACGTTTCCGCTAGGTGAGAATCACCTTTCCTTACCCCGTTGCTGAGAACCCAGCATCCCATACTTATGCTCTCAATAGATCTTACCTCGATCAAGCACTCATCGCCTTCAAACAACCCTGGCTGAAAAACGAGTATGTACGAGCCAAGTACTGGGAGAGCCAGCTCCTATCATCAATGGACGAGGAAGATCTGGCGAAAACAGCGCAGTCGGAAGCCTTCGAGGGCCGCCGCCAACTGAAGCCATCCGATACCAGACCAGTAGATGCATTGACCCACAAGGACTACGATGATCTGGTGATATTCTGGTCGCGATAGCTGGAGTCCGCGACGCTTTCGATTTCCGATACCTAGATAGCACTGACAAGAGTCCGGCTTCTCTGCGCCTCGAGTCAATCAGGCGCCTCTTCACCTGGTGACTTCGCCTTGCCCGGGCGCAAGCGTGCCCGCACCTCCTTCATGGCCCCAACACATCTCTCAGAAAAGAGGAATGCCATCGCGATGCCAGACAGGATAATGGAAACCACAAACCAAATCCAAATCGAGGTTTTCTGTTGGCTCAGCTGCTGCACGTTCATGCCGAAGAAGGAAGTCGTAAATGACAGCGGTACGAAGATGAACGCCAGAGAAGTTAGCCTACTGACCTTCTTGGCCTGCACTATGCCCTCGCGTGATTCTGCGATCGCCATCGTGTTCATGAGAATCACAACTGCTTCTTTGTAACGGTCAGATACCATTCGTGTCCGTTCACGAAGGCACTCGTGATCAGCTTCGAGCGCGCCCCACGACTGTGTTGCTTTCTTATGAGATGAACCCTCTGGAGCTTTAGTCCAGTGTGACTCGCCTATATTCCTCATGCACTGCCGGACCTCATGAGTCTGCTGGGACATGGACGACAGTATTTGCGATCTGTATATCACTGAAGGCACTTCGTCTGTCGAGATACTGCTTGGCCTTTCTAGGACAACATCAGAGTTGAGCAAATTCAAGAACTGACTCTGAGAGGCTGCAGAAAGCCGGAGCAACTCAGTTATCGCGTAGCTTGCATCCTGACGCACAACGTTTGGGCTCGAAGCTCGAACATAGTCGTGATGTATAAGTGCTGCGGACTGCGGGGCTCCGAACGGCACAGGATCTCTCGATTTCGCTTTGATACGGTGGCTTTTGAGGGCCAGATTGTGCCTGTATCGCACGATGGGAAGCAGTTCGACAGCCGCCTGGCTGCCTAGCGGACGTCGCGGACACCATGGTTCTTCCATGGGACTGTCCCACTTCAAAGTGCTATCAAGCCAGACGAAAACTGGGACAGACTTAGTCAGAGCAGTCATTACATCAATTGTTGGGACACTTACGGACATAGCTTGAGCGAGACTCTTGCAAGCAGATGGATATCCTTTGTTCGATGGCGAAGTGGGAGTCGTCTAAGACATGGTAGTTTCTTACGATAGATTTGCCCAGTCTATCATCGGTCCCACTCGGAATGCGCAGCTGCCTATGATGCGCGATCAACGCATGCTGAGCCTTCGAACGTCTTGTAGCGTGGTCGTCAGGTCTCTCGCGGCGTCCAGCGATATGCTTCAGACCCAAAGTATACACTGGCAATTGTAGCAAGTGCCATGTCTCGGACGGCAAGCTGGGCTCTGAGAAGGCGCTCGAGACCTGATGTGGATCGAGGAAGTCCAAATGTCGACGAAAGAATTCTGGATCTAGCTTGTACTTTGCTCCGATTGACTTGAGCCACAGAGGTGATGGGAAGCCACCGAGAAACACGATTTGGCTGGCCTGATCTGATACAGGATGTGAATAGAAGTTCTCTGGACTGGTAAAGGCTGTCACTTCATGGTCTGGAAGACTTCTGGAAGCGTGCAAAGGCTGAGAGCTCCCGTCCAAAGATCCTCGCTCCGTCCTGCTGGCGTTCTGGTCAAACGTGTACAGAGTAACAAACGCTTCCGTCGGTACTGTAGCAGATGCGCAAGTGGATCCAGACAGATATTCGGCAAGCGGCTGAAATGCTCGACCATCTCCGTCTGATAGTCTGGCGAAATTGTGAATGGCGCGACCGTACTCATCCGGTGTCACTAGGAGGACAGTCAGACTCCATCGTTTCAGTGTTGTGATGGTCAGAGTCAATTGCAGTGACTTACCTTGATCACTTGTGCCTTGCGGACCCGGGTTTTGCATACGCTCATCAGTACTGGCACGGTCAACTGCAACTAAAGGTATTGAGGTCCTGCTCATTGCGTCTGTTCAGTCAGCCCGCGGGGACTGCTTCAAGATGGGATGGGAGAATTATCGGCCTGTTCCCTCGATGAGCAATTGGAGTTGAAAAGCACGCAACTGAGGTTCAAGTTGTCCTTGACGCGACTTTTGGCGCCATCAGAGGAAAATTATCAGCCTCAGGAGTCCGTTGGCTTGATGACAGGGATGTGTTTGGGTAGCGTCAGAGCCTCGACCTTGCAAGCGCCGGCCACGTCGGTGATTTAGGCGCCATGCAGCACCAACAGCTGCTCCGCCACCTCAGTTACAACCCAAACCACCTCTCCAGAGGCTGCCTTGCCGAGTGCCTTGTTTGAGTGCGAGGGATCAGCGGGCGGCTGCAATGGGCGCAGACTTCGATCTCGTTCTCCTTTCGCATCGTAGCTGCACATTACATCGATACCCGTACCTAGATGTTGACCGCGGCATTTCAAGAGCACACGCGTTCGTCCTGACATTTGGCGCCTCTCGCGAATTAGCAGCGATCATCAATCTATGGATACCAAGCAGGTAGTATCGTGCTGCATTGCACAACCTAGATGCGATGAAGAGGAGTTTATCCATGGAGTTTGCACCGATAGGATGCACCCCCCCGAGATTTATATGGGTGAGACGCAACCTCCTGAACGATGCCAGCATCAATTGCTTGTCTTGCAGAGTCTTGCGAAGACTTGAGAGCTTGTACATATCATCGACGCTGATAGCATCATCGACGAGGGTCTGTCAACGATCGTTCGGTGGTCTGTGTGCGTTGTTGTTGGCGGCCATGTCCAATTTGACGAGTGCGGGGCAAAGCACAACAAGCCAGTCTTCCCTCTTCACCAGGGAAGACAGCTTAATTTCATTGAACGGCGCACATTTCCTTGTCCCATCCAAGGCCATCGTAAGCTTGAGCGCACCATCAAACATCCGCCGTTGCTGAGTATGCCAGACCGGAGTGTTGTTCGCGAACAGAGATGGTCAGCTTGTGACGGTGATCAAGCCAGGACAAGGGCAGGCTATCACCGTGGATTTTGTCTCGGACGTCGTGGCAGAATACACAAGACTTGATGATGTCTGGCAGACAGCATTCTTGTCTGGCGTTGTGTTTCTTGTCGCCCACGAAACGCGCCCTGATATCGATGCAGCGGTGCAAGACTACCTCAAACAGCTAGGCAACGTCTGGGTTGACACGCTTGCAGTCACCGATGCTTCAGATGATGTACAGGCGGGACCGTACATCATCCTAGGGGGAAGACTCCACGATACTTTCAAGCTGGTGGACGATTCCCACGGAACGTTCATGACTGCCGTCCGTCCATTGACGAAGTATGTTTCTCCATTGTGCCTCGTGCAAACGACGACATGGCCAGACTGACGAGGACAAGTGACACTTTCCAGCCATTGCCATACAAGAGCAGTACAGACCAGTTCTCCGCCGTGGCACTTCCCTCGAGATTGAAGGCCCGTGCGGGTCCTGGCAGCCCATTTCGTGGAATCAGGATCGCCGTGAAAGAGCAAATCTTCTTGAAGGGCATCAAGGCATCTCTTCAGTCTCGAGCATTCTACAATACCTATGGTCCCAGACCGGAGACGGCAAAATGTCTCGCGAAGCTGCAGAGCGGTGGGGCGCATATCCTGGGGACCTTGAAGATGAATCCTTTCGGTGCCTGGGTCGAGCCGGTCGAGTACATCGACTATCAAGCCCCGTGGAATCCTCGTGCGGATGGCTATCAATCTTCGGGAGGCAGTAGCACTGGTTCGGCTGCAGCTCTCGCCGCGTACGAATGGCTCGATTTTACGCTTGGTGCAGATAGTAAGTATGACTTGCGATGTCAGCAGGACTCAGCTAAGCCAATAGCATGGGGCAGTGTGATGAGGCCAGCGCTCTGGTGTGGTCTATTCGGTCTCCGGCCTACGACCGGTTCCGTCTCCGTGGAAGGTATGCGACCAGGTATACGGTAAGTGCATCGATTGTGTCGCCACTGCCCTGAGTAAAGATAGGGCCCAACCCCGCAACTCTGGTGGTATGTTGCTAATGGACTAGTTTCATGGACACTCCCGGCGTATATGGGCGAGATCTAGGAAAGCTGCTGACGTTTGCTGAATCGTGGCTCGACCACGATCACTTACAGCTGGATGCCAAGGTAGCTTCGTCTTGATCGAGCTCCGTACCCTATCTGACTCTCCAGAAGCCGTTCACATCCATAATATGGGCAGTCGATCTGTGGGAAACGATAGACGAGAATCAGCGTGACTTGGCTAGGAGCTTCCTCCGTATATTAGCAAAAGAGACAGGACTAGCTGCGGAGGAGGTGTCATTTGCTCAGAAGTGGGCTGAAAGTCCCCCGGAAGAGGCTGGAACACAGTCTCTGGGTGATTACACTACCAAGGTACGTTGCATCAATTCGACTGGAACATCGCCCAACTTACTCCGATCATAGGCTGTGGGCGACTTAGGGTTTGAAAGCAAGCAAAACCAACAGCAGTTCACGCGAGATTACCACCAAAAGTTTGGCAGTTGGCCATATCGAAGCCCTCCTAACCAGCAGGCTCTGTATGTCGACCTGGCCCAAGGTCGCTTTCGCGGGCTAAATTGTTCCTAGGGACAAGCTTACCAATATCACGGAGGACGGGTTCCACGACGCCTTGAATCGCATGCAGGTGTTCAAAAAGTGGTTCCGTGCCAACATCTGGCGCCCAGAAACATCGAACCCGATAATACTAGTTCCGATTGAGAACATAACACCACGGTACAGGGACGAGTTTCCAAAGTATGTCTATGAAGATCCGCGCTGGGGTCGATCTGTATCACTGACAACGAAAGCTTTCGCCGGCCACCTCCAGGAATCAACAGCCTGTTTCTGAGCCCTGTTCTCGGTGCTCCTGAGTTGCTCGTTCCAGGTACGAATTCGGCACACACCATGGCAAGCTTTAAACTGACGATCGCGCAGTTGACGAGATTCCATATCATTCGAGAGTGACAGGACAGGAAGAGCACTTACCATTCGTGGTAGGACTCATGTCTGCGCCCGGTAAGTCCTGTAGACCTCCTACTGAACTTCGCACAGAATTGACTTATATCTACAGGGACTGATCTCCTGTTGATTGAGGACACGCTTCGAGTATTCTCCTCGTCTGACAGATTGCATACACGTGTTCACACAGGGAAGCGCATGTTCTTCAAGACCGTGACTGAGAACGCAGCCTCTCAGCGACCTCTGGATGTGCGAGAACCAGTTAAGAACAGACGATACGGCCACGGTAGATAGTGAAAGTTCCGACGGATACAGGTCTGATAAGAAGAGAAGGAACTTCAACCGGAGCAAGATCGTGGCGACAAACTTGATCGGATCGTGCAAGCACAAACCTAGGAGAACTGACATGTAGTATATGACATCAAATCCTGGCAATTCAAACTCAGACTTAAAGCTGGTCGGCGCCCTTCCCCTTATAGTAATACTTGATCAACCCCTCAGTCAAGCACAGCATACTGTACAGCCCCGTGTCGTCCGCAACACCCTGACTCTTCGCCCAAGCCCCCAAGTCGTCCGTTCCAGGATACCGCAACAGATAGCTCTTCTTCTCCACGTCCCCACCACACCGCGGATCTTCGTACAAGATACAGTGATTCCCCTGGTCCGGCCCAATGCTCACTTTGGCGATCTTGCTACCATCTGGCAGAGGCGAGTGGGTGAGGGAGTCGGTCCATGGGATCATCCGGCAGCGAGGCATGCCAGAGGTGTCTTCCCACGTACAGCCGCCCTGCCATGAGGGGGCGGAGCAGGTGTAGACACCGGTGGTGGTGGTGTTGACTGTGGCGCCGGAGACGAGGGTCAGGCTTTGCGGGCGATTGACTGGGGGCCCTGGTGCTGGTGGTTGAGGCGAGGGAACTGCGAGGACTTGGGAGAACAGGATGGGAAAGAGGTAGGTGAGGACGACTGAATGCATTTTGCGGATTGATTGAAGAACGAACGCGGTGGTAGGAGTTTGGTGTGGCTGAGAGCACAGTCAAATGCAGAGCTGATTCGATTGGAATGATCTTGTTCCTGCACAGATCAAGCCAGAACGGCTGAGCTCTCTTGTACTCACGCAGGCACAGCTTGGACCTCCTATCTGGACTGGCGCAGCAAAGCAATTTCAAGATTGCGAACCAGTCTTTGAGGACCTTGCGTCTGTGAGTCTCGATGAAACAATCGCTGATCACGATATTCCGGTCTGGGGTGCTTTGTTTTCTTTGTCAAGGTCTAGGCCTTGGCAAGGTCGAAAGTGTACGCTATAGCTAGGGTTGTGCAAAACAGATCGAATGCAGTCCTTTGTCGAAGCTCGGTCGCAATAGTGACAAAGAGACTTCGCATCGGCCGTAGTCAGTGTGCGAACGGCGCTCGCCGAATAGCTTGGAGCTCAGGGTTCCTCAGTACTGACTGAGACATAGCCTGTCCAGCCGGTACGTCATGGAGACCTGGCCAACTGGGCCTGACCAGGCCACGACCTCGTCAAGCGATCGCTGAGGAGACCACCCAGTTTGAGGCAGCTGACACATACGCGAGGCTTGTGTCACAGTCCTGTCACCCAAGAGCATTTGCCAACCATCACATGAGATGCACATCTGGTGCGAATGCGGCTACAGCATTCACCACGGCAGTGACATTTTCGACCCTTAGTCGCACCAACTCTTGGTGCCTGATGTCGTACTCAAGTTTCTTATCCTTTGCTCGCGCCAATGCCATATAGATCTCTTCAGATCTCATTGCGAGCTCCTGCACATCTAAGGCCATCTCCAACAACTGGCGATAAACTGCTTGATTCATTCTTAGGCTGTTGTACTCTGCGATTATTTCATCAAAGGTCTTCCGGACTCCAAGTACCCTCTTGCGTTCTGCGGCAATCCTCTTGTCATAGTCGTCGTACATGCCACGAGCCCGTCTATGTATGGCAGATGGACAACTGTAGATGTGACGACTTGTGACGAGATCAAGACTCAGTTTGAGTCTTTCGCAAAGTTGCCGACCACTTTTGTACAACGGCAGGGGATTCGGGAACCTTTGTCGAGACGTAGCTGTGTCTGTGAGATTTTCAACCAGTTTACTGAGTGCTGCACACTGTTTCTCAATACTCGGTATGGCTGGTGAGACATCAGCGGCTGGCAATTGGGTCTCAGCGCTTTTCGGGTTTGTAGAAGACGAGTATGTTGCAATATCTTGTGATCGAGAGGGCGCCGAGCCTTTGGCCTTGGTGTCAGTAGAGGCAGTAGAAGAATACCGTGACCTAGGAATGATGTTGGGTCCAGCTGTAAGCAAGCGTTTATTGGTGCCGTCAGCGGCAGTATTGGTTGGTTGTCGTGGCCAGGCCTTGCCATCAAATCCATTCGTCAATAAGTCTCTGCTGACGTTGGAGTTCGTCGGAATAGATCGTGGCCAGGACTTGCCATCAAACCCAGTTGTGAGCAAACCTCTGCTGACGTCGTAATATGTTGGGTTGTCAGAATATTGCGTCCTAGGGTCGCTGTAAGATTCTATTGTCGTCCGACTTGTCCCCTTGGCGGCAATGGCATCTGTGCAGTATCAGTGGCAGGACGCCGCGACTTCGAGTTGGCAAATCCCATTGCTGTATCGAAGATGTTGGATGCAACACGATGTTGCACGACTGAAAAGTACTGCCCTCACCCAGGACTATATATCGGATGATGCCGATCGCCTGGACTACTGATCCCAAGCTCATGCCCAACGGTGGTGCTGTGTTGTCAAATGCACGACGGCTCGCAGCATTAGCGGTGACCTTGTATTGGTCTGCTCGGCGGATCATGCGCTCTTCCTCCACGCTAGTCGCTGGCATATCTGCGGATATTGGCTAGCTGACGCCCGGTTTGTATGCTGGAGATGATTGAGGCCAAGACTGTGGCTTTGGGCAGCAGAACACATTTCATGGTGCCCAATGCGAAGAGTCCGTTTCGAGAACTAGCCTGTGACAGCTCAACAAGGTGTTGCGTACCACGAGTCATGGGAGGTAGCGGAGAAAACGCCAGGTTGGTCCTTGTATCACGTGCTAGGGACGTGTCGACCCAAGATCAGTTCCTCGGATGGCCGCAATTTTGCCTGCTGGCAGGCTTCGAAGGCCGTGAAAATTGCTTGCACGTAGTGCCCAAGTGATGTGCGCAGGGACCTCACTCAAATTCGGCTTTCACATCGATTCCCGTCCCATCAACAGATTCCACAATTCTTCGTACTCGAGCATGAACATCTGGAGCTGTACCCCTGAATGTCCCCTTCTCACCTTTCGTCCAAGATGTGTCTTCTCTCCAAAGCAGCACGGCTCGGGCCATTGTGTCGTCGCGACCCCGCAGGCGTTGAACTTCGACCCAGACTTCCTCGACTAGTTCATTGACTAGGGTCATCGGATCCACGAAGTACGCGATCTGCGACTTGACTTCGTCCATCCATTGCACTCGTGGGAAATGGTGCGAGAGGGATCCGACAAACCAAAGGCGCTCAATATAGCTGTGAGTGGCAATCGCTCCTTGGAGAAGGAGATTGAAGATTAGGCGAGGGCAAATTTTGACGAGCGTACTAAGATCCATGTTCGAAATCTTGACTTTGAGCAAGAGAGCGTTTGAGCGAATTCGAGGCGCCGCGGTGTTGAAGCTGACGCAATGCAGAATATGGACCAAGAAGAGTCCAATTTGGTAGCATAGCTGAAGCTCAAGCTGATCACCAATGGCGAGCGACCGGAAGTCAGGATCCATTCGAACGACTTCAGCTTCAGTTCTGTCCTGTAACGACGCAGCCGGCTCTTCATCGCGCCAAGCCAGAACACGAGCGGCAAGCGCGCCGCGCATCGAGTGCCAGGGTTTCGACAGCGTCCAGTTGTTCTGATCAAGGTCCACGACGTGGGATAGTTGACGTTTCGTGTGGTCGGGACGGTGGCGAACTACAACCGTGGATCGATGATGGAGGAATGCGGAGATGATGTTGACCTTAGCAACAGCAAGCTCTGCGTTGAGATTCAGGTTCATGGTGCTAAGATACGACCCTAGCTTCCGAAGTCCTCGGGCATGTATGCGAGCCGTGTCTCCGTCGGCGAGGAGGACTGAGATTCGGAACAAGAACAGCATTGCTGCGAAGCTTGAGTCATCGACGTCGTCAGAGCTTTGAAGTTGAGAATTGAGCTCGGAAACGCATATCGTCTGTAGCCGAAGCCAGGGTGGGTTGCGCCAGCGTGCCCGCTGGCCTGGCTCAGTTGGTGGTGGGAGCACTACACCCGGACCACCACCAACACAGCCAGACACAAACAGTGACGCATACGCAGCTACCGCATATGACAGTGCTCGCGAGCATTGAATTTGTGGCGCACTGTCGCACCACCACCAGCCATCGATCAGATGCGTAGCGAATGGTCGTATGACTTGAAAGTAGAAGTGAACATTATATCTCATCTCCGAGTCCATCTCGGTGCCGTATGTCGAGAAAGGGTCGAGGCTGCAATAGCCAAGCAACGGGCTAGGATTCCCGAGAAGCCTCCATGTGGTCACTGCTTCGATGGCGTCCTCTTTACTTGTTGACAGCACATTCAGTTCTGATTCCAGGTTGTCGTAGTAGTCCTGCAAGTCGTCTGCTATGACGGTGGTGCTGGCAGCCACGATGCTTGTGGAAGATGAAGAGGAAGACGGCGGTGGCAACGGCGACTCCTCCGGCGAAAATATGCTCGATAGCCCTGTGGATGGGGTGTCTGCAGCAGAGTCGTACTGGCCGAGCTGAGGTGCTTCATTTTGTGGAGATGGTACATACAACTCCTGTGTATGCTCATCAACTTTCCGCCGTTTGTTGGAGCTCAAGATTGCTCTCGTCGAGGTCGACAGATCTAGTCCAGCCTTCTGCTTCTTCCATGGCCGATATTTCGTGACCACATGCGATGCTACTCGAGCAGCATCCTGCCTTGTATTGCTGTAGAAGTTTGTTGTGTCCTTATTCACAAACAGTAACGGCGTGCCCATAGACTTTGGCAACGTTGAGTCTGGTTGCCTCGTCGGGCGAGCTCGACGCCTAGAATTACTCATCTGCTTATGGGTGCGACTCGCACATCTGAGGTGACAAAGCAACTTAAATGGTTAAAGTCGACTCCAGCCGCGCGCAAACCTGTGGCGACTTAAGAGTAGATGGGGCACATCGTATCGAGCCTGGCATCGTTGCCTCGCATGAATGTAATCGTGTAGGCCAACGAGAAGAATTCGGAGCAATACTGGGCGTGGTTAGGGTCTTTTGAAACACTGACTAAGCCGACGTATTAGCGAAGAACTAACGTGCGAGCATAATCTGGGGCCGTGCATTTCAGCTATGTCGCCAAAGAGATGATGGAGAGTCAAGTAGACTTGTGTCAACTGTTTGATTATTCTGTAGACGAGATCGTGGAACCTGTCTACCGGCTTAGCTTCCCAAAAGAATACGGGAAGTCTGGGGAACTGCCCATGCGGGAGGCGATTCGACGGTGCAGTCGCACAGCAAGGCAGGCGTCGGGGGAGGCGCGATCTCCCTGAGTGCCCTTAGCTGACGCTGCTGACATGCGACTGCTTCGGCCCCGATGATCAGACTCGGAGCATCTAAGCTTCTTGACATTGTGATGTTGCAACAAACTTTGTTGTGTCAAAATGGCAGGCGCATTAGACAACGTCACGTCTCTTGCCATTGGTGTGATTCCCTACCCCAAAAGCTTCCAGGATTTTTCTTGACGTCCAGTTTGCCTTCCCAAGCTTCAAAGGCATCTTCACACGTTACTTACTGACAGAAATCAATAGTCATCGCCTTCGATCGGATCGCCAATCCCGCCATTCCATGCGACAGCGGAATCGCGTCTCTGCCCTTCGACCACATCCGGAGTGCGGCTCGCACGAACCTCCTTCCCAAAGTGAACCTCCTTCATAGAAGCGGTCGTATTGATGCCCTTCCGGACCGACTTGGTGCCCTTTCGCTTAGGAAAGATTCCCTCTAACGAATCAGTCGACCCTGTTCCTTGCTCAACGCCATCGCCTGCAGCATCGAACGTGTCGGAGAAGGTCGTCATTCCAGGCTGGGCAACCAACGCCGACGGGATGGACACCCTTGCGCTGGATGTGGTTGACTTCGCGAGGTCAGCCCAAGATACACCAGTCGTCCTCTTAATTACACCAGTGACAGGCTTAGTGGCGTTGGAGTCACGAGCTCGAGCTCGAGCTCGAGTTGCCACATACTCTTCCGCGAGAATCAGATCGACCTCTGAGTCCGAATCGAAATTGTGACGCAGCGGTACGGCAGAGCTGCTGCCACGATTGCCGGAAATCTCAGTCTGGCCGAGACGACCGTTGTCGTCGACAGATCCTTGGCGATCGATGACTGGCATGGCAACTTCATCTTCTGAATCCTCGGACTCGAAGAGTGTGCTGACCGGAACTGCTCTGTCGCGAGTGCTGCGGACCTTTTTGCGGCCGCGTGGTGAGCGAGCCTGCTTGTTGTGGCCTTCGAGGCCGCTGCGCTTGCGTTTAGGTTCATTTACCAAAGTGTCATCGGTCGAGGCTCTGCCAGCACGGCGATAGGTACTGCTCAATGGCTGACTGGATGTCTTGACCGGTTTGCCAGATTTGCTGGCTCCGACAACCACGGGCTCTGGCGTGCTACCAACATAGGTCGCATCGGCCGAATCAACAGACTCCTCATCCATATTGGTCACCCTGGCAGGTCGATACACGTGCTCGTCTTCTGGTGTGACAAACTCTCCAATCTTAGCAGACATTGGCAACGCCTTTCTCTTTCCCGGCATAGCTGCACCAACAAGCACACCCCTCGCCGCCTTCGACTTCTTGCGCGTCGCTTGTTGAAGAGTCGGGGTCAGTGGCTGCGTCTCGTTCCTCGCCATGATGCGGGTCACCTCGCGCCCCTCCACATCGTTGACAACGTCCACAGCACCAGACACGATCGGCATACCCTGAGCCTTGCGTTTGTACATCTCGATTCTGACCTTGTTCATCGGCAGCTCGGCTCCGAGAGCGAGCGTACGCTTCCTCCTCGCGATCTCCTCCATTTCGGCCTTGAGCAACGGCAACAGCTCTGCATCATCGGCCGCAGCGCGATCGCCAGCTAGTCGCAAATTTTGCTTGAGCAGTGGGTTTGAAGCATTGTTGACGACTTTAGCCTTTGTGATTCTCTCAAGGCGCAGCTGACGTTTGCGAGCGACACGCGGATCGAACTCTGCGGCCATCGGAACATGGATTGGAGCCTCAGCCTGCGCAGCTGCTTTCTCAGCGGCGTCTCGATCGAAGGCCTGAGCTGACGGGCTGTTGAGAGCATGCATGCGTGTTGTCTGCAGCGCTTGTTGTACAATGAGTGTGACTGTGTTCCGAATGATCAGAGAGTCCATATGTTGTGGAAGAAGTGGGTATAAATATTCGTTGGTGTTGCCTCGCCACAGCTGCCACTTTGGTCCACATTTCAGGCGCTAAGAGCATTTACAATGAGTCAGTGAAGTTGTGAGATTGAATGGTTGCTATGCAGAAAGTGCCAGAGGTCACGTGAGAGACTGAGACAGCAGAGACTCTGGGACGGTGAGTGCCTTTCAGGTCAGGGTGTCCTGGAAGGTCATGCCTCTTTTCTGTGTCTTCTGGTGAAAAGTCGTTGCATGCTCCGACCTGGCTGCCAACCGAGTTGGCAATCTCTGACTGCGGTTGGACATCGAGGTAAGACGCTCTGAGGGTGGTAGGAAGAGTGCACTCATCACCAAAGGCAGTTGAAGTGCAACGTGCGGTTCGGAGAAGCGAGTACTTGACGCCAGCGCATGCCTGACCGCACTGACGGTCTCAACATCTTAAGCGGATGACGCATTCGAGCTCTGCATAGGAGAAGTCCAGCCTTTGTTCCAGCGCGCCGTACCTGATGTGATATTAGCAGCCAGGTACAACCAGGTCTGCGCGCATTTATGCCCGAGAGCTACAGCATGGACTTGTCAACAGTCCACAACATGGCATTGCGAGCACTTCCCATATCATCTCCTCGATCCTTGCCCCAAGGAGCAGAATTTGTAGGTACCCATGTCAACAAGGCAAACCAGGCAAACTTCCCATGAGAATGAGGCAAACGGCCCCAAAGGTCTCATCAGCCGAGCGGAGGTCGACGCGAGAGTCGCGACAGTATCGGCAGTGTCCTAATAGCGAAATGCCGATGTGATCTGCTAATCATGCATGTCGCCCAGCCTAGAAATCCGTCTCCCAGAAGTGGCTCGAGGTTGGAGGTCGGCTGAAATCAATATGTGCGCCTTCCTCCGCTCCTCAGAATGAGCCGGCAGATGTCATGCGATCCGAGCCTTCACAGCAATGGAAGCAAGTTGTGTCTCAGAGCAAAAAACTAGCAAGAGTTCCCCTCGCGTATGGACGAGAGCTCGTAACACGATGCTGCTCTAACGCCTGCAAGATCCATCAGCCACATCAAGAAGCTAGCAAAAGTCCATCATGCATGCAGAGCGACTCTCGTATAGTTCTCGTAGACTAATTTCATTGTGCCTTGCCCCGTGTACGCCTCGGAGCGTCGATCGGCACAGGACGACGATCAATACTGCTGACTGAAAGCTGACCATAGCGCCTCGAAAATGATGCGCGATGTCGCACAAGCTGCCACGGTGGTTCAGTATTAATGTGTTTGCCATTCCAGGAGGTCGCCCGCAGCAGCGCTCCGGTCCCAGCTATGCATACTGACTGCTATCGATACTAGATAAGTTCGTTTCGCGTCGGAGCTAGCACATCCAACTCCCACGGCAGAGCACTCCTGCCAGGTTGGATATGTGTTCTCTCCTAGGAGGGCTTCACGCTATCAAGCCTTCAGCCGACAGCATTGTCTCTCACTTGCCATCTGAACTCACGCAGAGCCATCGACCACCATGAACCCCTGCACTCCAGACAGTCCTTTCTGGTCGATAGCCACACAGACCCCCTTGTAGCCCTCATCCTCAGCCGCGGGCACGACCATCGCGTTGAGATCCCACTTGCCTGCCTCAGGTCAGCATCCGTCCCCAACCAAGCCACTCCTGGGGATATAACTTACCACCAGCCGCGCAGTAGTACATCCAGCGTCCTCATACCACACAATGGAAACCGTGGCAGGCAAGTCCTTGTAAGCTGGTCCCGCAACGGCACTCAGGTCGATAAGTTTGACGAAAGGGCTGATCGGACCGGTGTGGTAGGAAAGGGTTGGGATTGTCTGGCATTTGTTGAGGGTCGTCAATTGGGCGTAGCGGGTGCGGTAGGGTCCTGTTAAGCTGAGATTAGCCCGTGGTGCAGGACAGACAGGTAGAACAAATGAAAGCGCGGAGAGACCGCGAAAGGCAAACGAAAATAAGGCACTTACCTTCGCCATCCGTGACAGCGCAGCCGTTGGTAGTATCGAACGAAGTGGCGGCAGCGGTCGAGGTGGTAGTGTCGCCGCCGGGATAGAAGAATTCGAGCTCGATCAGTTGGAAGGGTGTAGCGGCATCTCTCCTGCTTATTATAGTATATGGTCAGTGCTTGTTCATATTCATGGCCTTGGTGCGTGGGCCGGGACATCCTTCTTTGGCTTTGTGTCTTTGCTGTGAAAGCTTCACGCCCTTCTTCTTCTTCTTCTCACCCTTCTTCTTCTTCTCACACCTCACTTGCAGGAACCTCGCTGGGGAAGAACTTACTTAGCAGCAGCAGACATAGCGCTAAACTCGACGGGAGAAGCAACCGCGAAGACCGAGACGAGAGGAAGCAGCCATAGGACGAGCAGCCAAGCCATGACGGAGCCGTACTTGTCCTTCGCTTGGGAGTCCTCCGGCATCTTTGCGATAGTACGGTAGTGGATGAGGACGAACGAGGGTATCAAGCGCAATAATAGAATGCTCCTGGAAGGACTTTGCAGAGCGATTGGGCGGGTCAAGGAGTGAGTTGTAGGATGGACGTGCCGGGAGGAAAATTGAGGCGTAGATAAATCAAGCCAAGACGGTGGGTTCAGTGCATGTTGTGCAGTCACTGTCCAGGCAACGGGACGTTCAGGATGACGCAGCAGGACAGATAATAGTGAGCTGTTGTGGTAACGCTGCAGTGAATTGCTGGTGACTCACTGATAACCAAAAACCTCAAGAAACCAGCAGCAGCATTGAACATGAAATAGGTCTGGCTTGAAGTACTGCATTGAATCTTGGCGAGGATTTCCGATGTCGTACATCGGACGTTCGATGCATTCGGGGTGAACCGAGGACCTGCATACCGATCGCTTGCATATGCATGAATATGTACAGTACAACGACAAGGTAGCGATGAGCTTAAGTCACTGCTTCAGCCTCTCACCAGCCAGATCTTCTTGTGCGTCTCGAATAAGAAAACTAACCTCGAGTCAGCACATGTTCCGGTTGCCAAGGCCACACCACACCACACGTGCATAAGAGGGGTTGAGTAAGAAAGAACAAAAATAGGTGACACGAACCTGTACCACCAAACCGTCGGGATCACCGTTCCCAAATGCCAAAGACTATGCGCATCCACCATACCGCCCCACGGTGGGAAGTCAAACAGCTCCAAACTCATCGCCATGATAATCCACGCTACTATGAGACCAGGCCACGCAGCCCAGGTCTTCTGTAACCGCCTATAGCGGGTCACTGAGAACCAGCTCCACAGCAAGTTCTGCACGACGCCGACTGCGACGTTGGCGGCCATGTTATAAGTGTAGTCCCAGCTCCAGAGAGTCAGGTAGGAGACATGAGCCAGGTAGAGTATACAGCATGTGGCGGTCCAGATGCGCAGGAGTGATTGCTTTTCGGAGGTGGTGGTGAGATCGAGACGAAAAACACGCACGACCGCGAGATACAGACCGTACAGCACGGAGCGCCGGCTGCGAAATAGTCGAGCTTCTCAGTGAGGTTGAAGTCTCGCGTGTGGAAGATCATGCTGAAGATCCAGCTTGCCAGGCCGAAATACCCGAACATCTGATAGTATGGCATGAGCGAGTAGCTGGCTGGTACTTTGTCCGCCAACCGCTTCAGCCCATTGCGGTGAGCGAGGTAGTTGAATAGGGAGAATAGTACGGAAAAAGGCTCCTGCATGCCAAGAAAGCGATGGAAGGGCCATTTGCCATGGTACTGCACGATGGGCTCGAGCATGGGTGGATCGCGGTCCAGGCGTCTCTGGGTGATGATGTGTTGGCAGGTATAGTCGCATTCGGCTGGGCAGGTCCAGAGAAGCAGGCGGTGGTGAAGGGCTGGGAAGTGTGAGCCGTGTGCGTTGAAGACGTAGTCCGGGTTGGTGTGGCCCTTACGGATGATGGCGGGTCCGGAGTCGCAGAGCTCTTGTTTGCAGACCTTCGAGACTGTCAGCGGCATCGGTCTGGGGATACAGCATCATGTTGTTTGATGGCAGCGTACCTGTACACATTCACGGAAGTCGGGCAACCGATCACCGATGGAGGCCAGGGAAGGGGCCGCTGTCATGGCCACGAGCGCACTGGCAAGCCGCCATCGAGCGTGCTTCGCTTTGCGATGCATCGTGTGCTATGTTGGATTCACTGGCATCGTTTTGGAAGTACAAGAAAGCAAGTTGAACTGCATTGATTCTTGCCCTGGTATTGGTGCGATGGAACCGCGATTTCCCCTTGACCAAGACGGTTAGCTACAGGATTTGTCTTGGCATCCAGACTCCTTGTAAGGTAAGCAGTCTATCAACTGTGCCTTTTCGAGCATATTGCGAAGCATCAGCAAAGATTTCGAAGGGGTCACAGTGTGGCTGCAGGTCCTGTTGGGAAGTCGTTCGAAGTCGCGTCCTATGAAGGCAGGGCAACTGCGTAATGCGACTGCCTTAGCGATCAATCTATTTGGAGACAATTTGAGAGTCATGATCCAAAAGTTCCGCTCATGCTACTGAAGAGACAGCGTCGTCTACCACACTGACTGCCGCAGTGTACTCGAGCGAGGAAGTCGTCCTGACGAAAGAGCCATGGACAATCTAATGCCGAGATTTCCCTCGGCCATGCTGTAAATGCAACATTTTCCGTGCCCCAACGCCATGCTTAAATATCAAATCGGCCGCAACGAAGTGTTTGACTCAGTAGACCCATCGATAACTGGCATATCGTCCAGCCGTCTCGGATTTGCGAATAATCTTGACGACTTGACCCTTCTTCAAGCCAAGGTACCGTGCAACTGGGTCACCAGACTGAATGCGCGGCAACTGAGTCTCCTTGAGGCGATATCGAGCCAACAAGGTTCCTTTCTCCTCGTCACTCAACAGAACGTGCTTAGGGACCAGTTCGTGCTTTGTGATATTGACGAGTAAGTCGCTCTCGGAAAAGGTCTCTGCAATGACACCCTTCTCCGTCAGAGGCTCGAAAGCTTTCAGCGCCGCGGCATTAGGAGGGACTCTTGTGATGAGAATGCCATTTCGGTGGCCATTCTTGTCCAATTCTTGAGCGAATGCGCGAGTATGCTTGATGCCGATGGGAGCATCAGGGCAGAACTGGACGAAGATGTCGCCGGCATTCGTCTGAGGATTGGGGTTCTTCTTAGTCTTTCGAGGCGTATCGCGCTCCATCATTGGTTTGCTTGGGTTGAAGTGAGCGCCTAGTCTGCGTCGACTGCGGTTTGTTAGTACAGCCTTTGTCGTTTGATGTGATCGTTACGCACTCTACCAAAGCACCTTGATCTGAGTATTTGTTGAGAAAGTCCTGCAGTGTCGCCTTCAATTCGGACGGCGCGACTTCGTAACCCTGTGCGAATCAGCATCTGGCCCCGTTGCAAGCCGCGAAATTTCTCTTACTCGATCGTTCAGCATCTCGAGGTATGTTCTGCATATGCGCCATAGTCGTGTGTTCTCCGCCAGGACCTTGTCCGTGCTCATCGTCGTCGGATCGACCTCCATGATGGGCGCACTGTGGGAGAAGGAGGACTTGCAAACTTCTGTGAGTCCTGGGCAGGCGCAATAAGGAAAATATTTCCAATCATTGATAGCATCAGGCTGCATTTTGGCTGAAGTTGTCAGTTACGGTGGCCTCTAAGGACATGCCCCGCCATTGCTGAATGTGCGACCGCACTTCTGCTTCACAAAAAAGATCCAGATGGCAAGGACAACTGCACTTCACCTTGCTACTGTCCAGCTGTCACTCGCTCTGATCGGCTACTGGCGGGCAGTGTGCATTCATTATATACATCATCAATATGCTCTGCTGATACCCGAACCTCCCCCACAAATACCACGGTCTGCAACTTGGTCTAAAGGTCTCTCTCAACTGGTAATTCCACAAATTCGAAGCAGTCATCATGGCCGACGACACGGCAACCTCTGCGGCTCCGGCTGGTGAGACAAAGCGGCCCGAGAAGCCTGACGAGGCCAAGTACAAGGCTGCTCTTGCTCAAGCTGAGAAGGATCACACTTCTGCCCAGAATGCTTTCGTACGTACAGTCTTGTCTGTCTGAGGGGACAGTATGCTAACAGTGCCCTGCAGAAAGCTGCCAAGCAGAAGTGGGATGATGCTCGTAGCGGTGGCAGCAGCAAGGACCCCAACGACCGCTTCTCTCAGATCGTCGAAGAGCAGAAAAGCATCCGCGCAAAGCAGGCCGAGCACAAAGCTTCCAAGGGCGGACAGCAGGACAAGCTCAGCAAGAACGATGCCGACATGAAGAAGCTTATGAACGAGCAGAAGGAGATGCGCTCCCGATCTGGCTTCAAGAGTGCTGATGAAATCGACAGCAAGGTCAAGTCTCTACAGGCCAACGTCGACAGTGGTCGCATGAAGGTGGTCGATGAGAAGAAGACGCTTGATGAGATCCGAAATCTGAACCGTCAGAAGAAGCAATTCGGCGAGATGGACGGTCTGCAAAAGCGCATCGATCAGCTAAAGCTCGAGAATACCGAACTCCGCAAGACCTTCGACAACTCTGAGGTTCGAGAGCTATCAGCCAAATACGATGCGAATCAGAAGGAGCTTGATGAGATCAAGAGCGCCCGTCAGTCCACCAAAGACAGCCGTGATACCATCAAGGCCGACAGGGACGCCGCCTACAACAAGCAGCAGGAGGCCTACCTCGCCATCAGAAAGCTCAAGGACGAGCACTACGCTGGCCTGCGTGAGTACAAGGAGTACAACGACAAGATCTACGCCGCCAAGCGAGAGCGACAGAAGGCCGAAAGGGATGCTTACGAAAAGGAGAAACGGCGCAAGGTCGCCGAGGCTCGTCTGGAAGATGCATCTGCGCCCGCGTTCTACGAGGAGCTCCGTGCTGCCGAATCGCTCATCAAGCACTTCGATCCATCGTACACCGCAGACGAGAAGACAACTGACACAAGCAAGTTTGCCGCCTCAGCTGAGCGCTCCGTGGACGACTCCAAGTTCAAGGACATGAAGGTGGTCAAGAAGGAAGAGGAAGACTTCTTTGTTGGTGGCGGTGGAAAGAAGAAGAAGGGTAAGAAGACTACTTCAACAAAGTCCACAATGAATCTCAGTCCCGACATCATTGAGAACTGCAACAAGGTGGGAGTCGATCCTCCTAGCTCGCAAGCCGATGTTCCTGCCACCATTGAGAAGCTCAAGGAGAAGGTCGCTGCCTGGAAGAAGGATCAGCAGAGCCAGACCGAGAAGAATATCGAGAAAGCCAAGAAGGAGATCGAGAAACTCGAGGCCGATGGTGCCAATGGGACAGCGACCGAAGAGGCGCCTGCTTATACCTCTGCATGAGCGAGGCGTTGAAGAGCGCCTGCCCTACCTACGAACCTCGCATAGTTGACTGCGAGGACCGACTAAAGGATACCAAAATCAAATGCATATTTCTATCCTAACGCGTCGCACAATATTGTCCATAACAAGGTCTGTATCATTTGGACAGCTAATATTTCTCAGAGATAGGACTTGAGCGCTCAGAGGCTCCACGGCCAAGCCTGTTGGCCGGGAATAGACCATTGTCTGCTTACTTGGACGTCAGTCAGTATGCCTTCGATTTCGATTGCCATCTCCGGCTTCCATCCTCCAAGAAGAAGTCATGGTGGCAATCGACGTCCTTAAGTTCGAGACAAACTCCCCAGCGGACACCTCGCCCCTCGAAGGTCTCAATGCCGCAGGATACGAAGCCTCACGAATACTCGCAGTCATAGGCAAGACCGAAGGTCAGCATCAGCATCAGCACTCGTCCTTTTCCATACCTCGCTAACAATCAACAGGCAACGGCTGCGTAAACGACTTCAGCCGCACTCTAGCCCAAACCGTCTGGCAACCACTAATCCCCAAGGACGCCATCACCATCTTCTCCGGTGGCACAGAAGGCGTGCTGAGTCCTCATGTCACCTTCATCGTCCGCTGCAAGGACGACGACGACGATGCATCTGGCCTGGTAGGCGCAGTCGGCCACACCCGTGATCTGGATCCTCACGAGGTCGGGGGGCATATACATGCTCGTACCGTAGCCGACACCGTCGCAAACATGATCACAGGCATGAACGTGTCCCCAAAAGACGTCAAGCTAGTCCTAGTAAAATGCCCACTACTCACCTCAACCAAAATAGAAACCGCCCGTGCAGCTGGGCAGTCGACCATCTGCACCGACACGTACGAATCCATGGCAAAGTCACGATACGCGAGCGCTATCGGCATCGCCGTCGCCCTCGGCGAGATATCAACCAACGACATCAGCGCAAAGCTGCAGACAGAGGACTCGTGGAGTGCGCTAGCGAGCTGCAGCAGTGGTGCAGAGCTGGATGATAACCACATTTTCGTTCTGGCGAACGATCCTATTGCTGTGAAAGTGAAGCCAAGATTGAAAGCCATCTCGCGGCCGATGAAGGACGCGATTGACGCTGACGCCGCGCTTGATCTGTTGGGCCAAGTGAAAGAGCAGGGAGGGAAGGTCGTGCAGATATTTGCAAAGGCTGAGGCTAATCCAAAGGGGTTGATCAGGGGCAGGAGGATTACCATGCTCACTGACAGTGACATTCACAGCACGCGGCATGCACGAGCCGCTGTGGGTGGACTGCTTTGTGGATTGGCAGGGGACACACAGCTGTATGTTTCGGGAGGTGCAGAGGGGCAGGGGCCGCCCGGCGGTGGAAGTCTGACGGTGGTGTATAGCATGCCGTGAGTGCGACCTAGGTTGGAGGTATTCTCATACAGCAGCCAACCTATCGGCAGACTACCCTCTCTGGAGCTTTACTCAACAGATCCGTCCTTTCAGCCTCGGAAACAGGTTTTCAGCCGCTTCATGATACACCTCGCGGCGCTTCGCATCGTCCATCGCATACCCATCAATGAACCTCGTCATCTGAGCCGCAAATGGCTCCGTAGCGTGCGGATAGTCGCTACCGAACAGAACATGGCCCTTCCGTGCAAAGCCCAGCTCCAGTGGGAGGACCTCTGCACTCCCAGACAGCGCAAGATCGAAGTAGAAACTCCTGGCCTGCTCGTATATATCCTCCGAAGAAATAGAACCCCCGAACGCCGGCTGCGCGACCAACGTAGAGCGTGCGACCAGGGCCGGCAGAGTCCCTCCGCCGTGAGAGAGGATGATCTTGACATTTGGGAACTGGAGAAGGCGTTTGTTCATGATCATATCCATCGCTGCTCGTCCCGTCTCATGAGGCCAGTCGAAGGCAGGTTCCGGCACTTTGGCATTGCACCGGGCTGTGTCTTTGCCGTTGATCGGATGAACAAACACAACGGCTTTGCGGGCGTTCAGCTCTTCCCAGACTGGGATGTATGCGTCGTTGCCTAGGTATGCGTCGCCGTGGCCGTAGTAGGTGAACAGGGTAACGCCGTCGGCGTGGGGCGAATCGAGGGCGAAGCGGAGTTCATGGATGGCGAGGTCGGGATACTCCAGAGAGGGCACAGAGGCGAAGAAGCCATAACCCTGTGGATTTTCGTCTCTCAGATTGGCGCAGTACTGATTTAGACTGCGAGCTAGAGCAGCGCTCTCTTCCGGATCTTTGACTAGAGTGACTCCGGGACTGGCGACGGAGAGAATGCTCGTGCGGACTCCTATTGATTTGCTGAAGGCCTGGTCGAGGGATTCGGTCCATTTGGGGACTTCCATGCCCTTTCCCCATTTCTGATCTGGAGAGATTCATCAGTGCCAGTAGTGGGCCATTGTTGGAAGTACTTACCGGCCATTTGTGGTGGTATGACATGATGGTGGACATCGATCTTGTACATCTTGCTAAGGTAGATGTTGTCGTTTTATGCTGGCAACTTTGAGCAAAAGCAAAGGCTTCTGTCTACTGCTTGGATTTTTTAGGACTGCTGCTTCGTTGTCGTCTTGTTGTGTCCAACATCGCTCAGAAGCCTGCATAGTGACTATTTGTATGTCTGCTTGATAGCAGAATGACGATCTGATTCTCGGTGCACAATGAGAATGAAGCGGACCGAAAGCTGAGTCAATTGTGTGAGGCTCTACATCGAAGCATACCGACGGCGATGACGTGCAGGTAGAGTTTACCACATATGCCTGAATAAGCCTAGACAACTCATGGAGGGTGCTTGCAGGATAGCTTCGGTACGTATCTGTCGGGCATAATTTGATCGCCGCGCTCGAAGTTTATCCTGTGCCAGACCCCATACTGCGTCACCCGCGCTGGAGGGTATGACAGTCATGTCCCTTCAGGCTCCCCTTCGTCGTCAGAGCCGGCGTCCGGCATAGATGACGCTGCGCTGTTGTAAGTGCTCGGTGTTCGGTGCTCGGAATCAATAGCGCACGAGAGCCTGCCCTGAAGTCTTGCTTTCGACGGACTGCGGCCGTCAAACATGGCGAGCAGTACTGTCCCAACAAGGCGATATAGAGAAAGCAACGTACCTATAGCTACCTGGGCGGGAGGACACGACATTTTGAGCGAGAGAATATATTCGTCCAGCTTCCAAGCTGCGAGTGCGACATATGTCCCCGAGATGAACCCTGCGCCATGAAGTATTGTAGCTGTTCTACCATAGTGTTGCCTACACTCGAAAGCTATCGTGACTGTTGGCATGGCAAGCGTGAGGGAGATCCACAGCAGTAGCGAAGGGCAAGATCAGTGCGTCCAAGTCAACCGGTCTCGACAAAAGCTGTGTGTCAGCTGGTCGCAAGCAATGTTTAAAGTGTCATCCGGCTTCGCATAGAGCTATGTCAACCGGCGTCTGCAAGCACCTCCACCAAGCAACTCGGAGATCTGGCAGCATTGTTTTACCGTCCGATACACTCATTGCTGGTAGTTGTATTCCTACCAAAAGACTACGTCCGGTCCTGGTTACCTACGACGAGACTCTCGAGCCCATGTCTGTCGGATGGCCTTTTTTCAGCCGACCACGGTAAGGTATGATCCTCCCTCGTGCTTCGAGATGAATCGTCGAAAATCTGTCCCGGTCTTCGATTTCTTCGCAAGTCGTCAACGACGACTGGCCTCAAGCTGTGACAAGTACAGCGTGCGGAACTATGGCGCTGTGCCCAGGGAATCTTCGAGGCATCAATGATCATACCCAATATGAATGAACAGACTTTACAGGAGCCCGACGAGGCGTTTCAGGCGGTGCTCTTCATCAAACGTGAAACATGGCCCCCATCCGCGCCACTTCCGAAAAAACACCTCGCCCAAACCTCGCTCACAATGAAAGAGAGCTCCTGATGGTGTCTGGAGACATTCAAACTCTTCGCAATGCCGTGTACTCGGCGCGATGCGGTCTTCAGTGAGTCACATAAGTAGGCAGATGCGATACTCTTACACGCCTATAGACCCATCGACCACGGCATCACCCAGCGAGATCGACGGAGCGAAAGCTCCAAGTCCTGAACAGAGAAGTCTGTCGGCCGAGCTCAGCGGGAGTGATGCAGGCATCGCAGAAGCCGAAGATGCCGCTTATGGTCCTCTGCGACGGCAGAAATGGCATCGGCTCTCTGGGTGGCGAGTTGGAGCCACGATAGCCATGAGCGGAGCAATTGCGACACTGTGCCTGAATATTGGTATTGCAGCATACGCCTTGAGCCATCGAAATGCAGAAAGCACAGACAGCAGCACGTTGATCGAAGTCTTCCACGGTGATTGCAAAAAGGCATCGTCGGTCAACACTTACGCCCATCTTGCTATCAACGTGATCTCGACACTCTTACTTGCAGGCAGCAATTACTGTATGCAATGTCTGGCCGCACCTACCCGTGGAGATGTCAACGCTGCTCATGCTAAGATGAAGTATCTGGACATTGGCGTTCCTTCGATTCGGAACCTCAAGCATTTAAGCACGGGACGACGATGTCTCTGGGGACTTCTCATCGTGTCCTCGCTGCCTCTACATCTTATGTTCAACTCGGTTTTCTTCACTTCGCTAGCTACCAACGACTACAACGTCCTTTTCGTCAGCCCAAATTTTACCACGGGAGGTGATTTCTCAACCGCCAATGGCTTCAATACAGGTAACTTCCAGCCACCTTCATACAAAGAGGATCTGAAGATCGTGCAACAACGAATTGGACGAAACGAGTTCGACCGCCTCGAGAAGGCTGACTGCATCAAAGCCTACGCTGTCGATTTGTTGACTGACAGACGAACTCTAGTCGTGGTATCAAGCAATGCTAGCACACATGGCAATGGCGCTGTCCTCGGCAGTGGAAATCAAGAGTACGTCAAGCCAGAAAGGTGGTATACTCTGGCAGAAGGTTACAATCCTTACACGTGGCTGTGTGGTGAGCGAGATTCGGCGGCTCTTGATGTTCATAATGCATACGACTACGGTTATGGCCCTTACTGTAACCGCTATTCGCAGAAGCTCATCGATCATCCTGACGTGTGGGCACCGAGCGACTGGACCCCTGAATACTGTCTCAGCGAAAAGGTTGAGGGACAGTGCAGCTGCATAGTCAACATGGCTATCATCTGGATCATCGTTGCGTGCAACATTATCAAGATCATCGTCATGGCGACGGTGGCTTTCTCGAAGACACTGGAGCAGCCATTCTGTACGATTGGTGATGCCATCGCTTCGTTCGTCACCGACCCTGATCCAACGACCACCGACATGTGTATGACTACACAGGAATATGTGCGGACGTACGAAGCTGCCAAGCAGAATGCTACAGAAGTCAATGAGGCGTCATTCAAGAAGAAGCCCGACTTCCAAAATTTCGGGTCGCTCCTGAACGACTGGAGGCCGCTATCGCCTCTGGTTTGGTCCAGCAAACAGCTTCGTTGGTGGCATGCACCATCTCGAGCAAGATGGTGGTGGTTCATACTGTTCTTCACAGCCTGCCTGGCAACTACTATCGGACTGCTTGGCCGTGCACTGTACTTCTACACTGGGGACAAGTCCCTTACTGCCCTAGCCAACCTTGGTCTCGGCCATTCAAGCTCGCAAACCATGATCACCGGATGGGCGATCTCCAGCATGCACAACAGATCTGCCGCGATCATCCTTTCTGTTTTGGTCGCGAACACTCCCCAGATCGTTTTGAGCTTCCTGTACTTCAGTGTCAATGGAATATGCACATGCATGTCCCTCTCTGCCGAGTGGGCAAGTCATTCAGTTTCGCGGTCATCAGCACCAAGAGGATTCGCAAAAACGCTACGTACATCTGACCCTGTGGGTCAGATGCGCTCAACATATTTCCTTCAACTTCCCTACCGTTTCGCCATACCGCTGATAGTGGTCTCGACTCTTCTGCACTGGCTGATATCTCAAAGCATATTTACCGCTGTCATCACTATCTACGATGAGCTTGGCAATCTCAAGGAGAAATTCGCAGTAACGACCTGTGGCTTCTCGCCCTTTGCAATGATTCTAGTCATCATTGTCGGCTTGCTGCTGATCCTCGCGATTTGTGGCCTCGGGAGCATAAAATTAGATCCTGGGATGAGAGTTGTTGGGAGCTGCAGCGCCGCCATCAGCGCAGCCTGCCATGTTCAAAGCAAATCCGAGAAGGAGAGATGGGATCTTGTGCAAGGACCGATGGTTTGGGGAGATGTTGGACTTTTCGGCAATAACGATGACTTTTGCTTTGCTGACACAGGACAAGACGATGTCAGACACTGCACGTTTGCCAGTGCAAGTACTACGTCCGCAACACAAACAGCTGAGGCACCGAGAGAAGGATGTAGATACCGCTAGTCATCATCTTCACGGTGGTGTCGAATCTCGTCACTTTTTGGGCAGATTGCTGGGCTTTGAAGAGCCGTTATTATGCTGATGGGGCCACATCTGGGGGGCAGGCGATCATAAGCATGGCTTTTGAGTGCTCGGATCTCGGAACCAATAGCAAGTGAGTGTTTGCCATAACGTCGACTTGCTCGCGACGAGCGACAGCGACAAGAACGGCGTCCGCATCATTCCTGAACACAACGGCAACCCTCGATTCAGAGCTGTGGGCCGCCTCATCACAGCCACTCATGGCAAGTCGAGATCCTCCCTCGTCCAATACGGCGGGCTAGGTTCAGTGTTCCAAGGTGGCGTCCAAATCTGCCCAAGATCATCGCTTACTTCGCAAGCCGTCAACGATGATTGGTCGAACGCCGAACAGGCGACCAGCGACCGACTCCTTCGACGAACCTAGAGTATCACAGCATGACTGCTGCTGAACAGTTGCATCCTAGCACCATGCCCAGGCGACTGCTCAGTGTTGTATATACTTGCGAGGATGTCCACAGAAAGTCTTCATCTTCTGCCAGGTTGGCTGCACCGACAGAAAACATGCTTGATACAATTCTACGCCTCTCTGTCTCTGGCGGCCTCCAGCTCCTGTCTGTGGCCTTCTGCTCATACGTTGTCATATGGGTGGTGTATACTCGCTTCTTCCATCCACTATCCAAATTTCCAGGCCCATTCCTCGCTTCCGTCACAGATTGGTGGTACTTCTTCTCGCTTCGCCTGAAGTTCATCGACAACCACCGCTACACCCTGCACCGCCGCTATGACACCCCAGCATGCCGCGCCGTGCGCATCCGGCCAAATGCGGTCTCGATCTCCGACCCTCGTGCCATGGACATTGCTTTTGGCCATCATCCTCTCTGGGTGAAGTCTGAGTTCTACGAGAGCTTCAATCCCCACATCTCTGGTGGGAGGGAGTTGTTCTCAATGCGATCTGGCGCAGACCATGGACCACTGAAGCGGATTGTTGGTCCGCTTTTCTCTGTGAAGACGATGACGGACTATGAGCCGTGTGTGGACCGCACTATAGCTTCGTTTCGTCGCAGACTTGATCTGGCAAGCCAAGGTGGGCAGACAGTGGCTCTGCCTCGATTGTTCAGCCAGTATACTCTTGATGTCATTGGGGAGGTCTTCTGGGGGAAAGAGGGCGGCTTTGGTGGACTGGTTAACGACGTGGACTACAAGTCTTGGTCGTGGATGCTGAGCAACATGATCGGACCATTGTCGGTCACCGGCTACGCACCACGAGGCATGAGGACTCTGTACCTCCTGACCCAGCTGGCCTCGAGCTCAAAGGTCAGAGGAGGCATCAGCAGCCACGAGAAACTCGTTCAGGAAGCGAAAGATGCTGTCTCACAAAAGGTTCGTGAACGGCAACGTCGAAAAGCTGGAGATCCTGAGAAGCAGTCTACCGCAGGCGCTGGGACGCCCCGCTCCCTGATGGACAGAATGCTAGATATCGTCGATGAGACTGCACACAAAGAAGGTCCGCAGAAGTTTACTGAGGGTGATACTGCGGCTCTAATGTATGATATGCTTGTAAGTGGACCCATGGCACCGACTGCGGACTTCACTGCCCATTTGTTGAGCAGTACCTCACGCACTATACCCTCCCCCAACTAACATCGCCACTCAGATGGGCGGCTTCGACACCACTTCAATCGCCCTCCAACACGCCTTCTACAACCTCCTCCGCAATCCACACTACTTCGCAAAACTCCGAACAGAAATCGACGCCGCATACGCCGACGGAACGCTCCCTGACACAGGCGAACTTCGCTACCTCGACACCCTCAAGCTTCCCTTCCTGGGCGCCTGCATCCAAGAGTCCTGGCGATTGACAATGGGTGTCTTTGGCTTTCCCAGAACTGTGCCTCCAGGCGGGTGCGCGCTCCCTGACGGCACTACTCTGCCAGGCGGCGTTGACGTAACTCTAAATCCCGACGTTGTGCATTTCGCAACTGAGATCTTCGGCGAACGCCCCGAGGAGTATATTCCTGAGCGGTGGCTTGTCGACACGAACGTCAAAGACCAGGAAGCAGAGAAAGAGAGAGTGCGACTGATGGAGCACTACTTCTGATGTGGGGCGCGGGTAGCAGGATGTGTTTGGGGAAGGTGCTGGCGAGTATGGAGGTGTGGAAGCTGGTGGTAGTGCTGTTGCGGGGGTGGGAGGTTGAATTGTTGGACGATGGGGAGGGCAATGGGGGGATGAGAGTGCGGTATGAATGGTTCAAGCGAGTGGATGGGATGAATGTCAAGGTGACGAAGCGTGTTTTGTGAGTGTGGTGAGCAAGCCATGGGCGTCTGGCCAAGGTCACTGTTGCGAGGCAAGTGACAAACGGTCTGGAGGCCTTTGGAAAGTCCTTGGGCAGGGTGTGTCTGTCAACTTTGGGCGCAAATGATCCGGATTGAAGTTGCTGCAAAGCCGGTAGGCAGATCAAACTTGCTCTCGAAAAATAGATGGTCGAAGCTATACTGTCGTCTCATCACCACATAAGGCACGCTCAGGTAGGAACTCCCTTCTCATGTAGACAAGCAAATGGAACTCCACAAAACCATCAATATCAATGTCTACGCGCACCCAATGCTCTTCTCGACGGCCTTATAGAGCAGCTCCTGGCCTGCCGCAGTCGGATGAAACACGCCATACAGCGCCGTCGCAAAGTCGTACTGGAATAGCGGCTCCGCAACATTATCGCAAAGTCGCTTGCCATGGAAATTTGAATCCGCGTCCACGAAGCTCCACCCGAATCCCATCGCCTCTGTTGCCTGCTTCAGCACGCCATTGACAGCGTCCGCAAGATTATTCATAGCCTGCCTCTCCGCCATCGGCACCTGCGCCAACACCGGCTGCTGACACGCAGTGCTATTCGTCGTGGACCACAACTTCGGGTAGCCCACCACCGCTACACGACGGTCGTAAAGCCCGGCAGCGTTGGTGGTCTTGATATCCGTGAAGAGGGTCTTGAGGTCGCTAGGAAGTTGGGAGACCGTCAGCCAAGCATTCTGAATCGCATACTGGCAATACGTCTCGTCCCGCTGATACACACAATTCACAATGAGTCCCAAGAAGGCTTGGTTGTTGTCGCCACCGATAGTGATTGTCACCAGATCCGGGCTGCCATAACCAGAGGAATGTACTTGACTGGCGTCACAGTCGGAGGTGTTTGCGCCGGAGCAGGCAATGAAGTTGAAGGACGAGAAGTTGTGGGCTTCTTGCAGGAGCATGGGGAAGGCATCGGCGTTGCGGAGGCAGACTTCGCCGCCATTGCAGGGTTCGGTGCTGTTGGCGGTGCAGAACGGTAGGAGCCTTCAACGTAGTTAAGACCGGCGGAATAGGAGTCGCCTAGGGCTGTATAGGACTTGTAGTGGCATGATCCGTGGGTAGGGTAGGGGGGCGAGCTAGACGTCGAGCTGGTGCTGGAGGCGGTGCTGGTGCTGACGCTTGAGCTGGTGCTGGAGACATAGACGGTGCTGGAGGTGATGCTCGAGCTGGTACTGGAGTGTGGTGGTGTAGGTCTACTTGTGGGCACTCCTCCTGCGGGTGGTCTTGGAGGACCACCGCCTCCTACTGGTGGCCGCTGTGAGCCTGATCCTCCTGCTGGTGTTCCTGGTGGCTTTGGTCCTCCTGACGGCGGCCATGACGGGATCACACCTCCTGCTGGTGGCCGTGGTAGACCTGCCGCTCCCGCTGATGGCCATGGCGGAATTGGTCCTCCAGCTGACGGCCATGGGAAGTCATTTCCTCCAACTGACGGCCATGGTGGACTTGCTACTCCTGCTGGTCCCCACACGGGAGTCGGCCGTGCTGTTGCGGACGAAGAAGTAGTTGTAGTCTGCCGATCTCGACTCCCACGGTAGGCGGAGACCGTCAACGCTGGTGCAAGTAGAGCAGTAAGGACTGTGGTGAACAGCATTCTGTCAAAAGAGTGGACGGCCACCAAACGGGGCCAATTAGTGTGCTATGCTACACTGCGCAGCGCAGAGAAGGCTGAGATGTTGTGCATCGAAGAGTTCAAGTCGAAACACCAGTAGCATTGCCCAGCGTCCTTCGAGCATCACCTGATCTCGACTTGACCTTCGAGGTCTTCCAGGGGTCGGTATCAGGCTTGAACAGCATGGCTGTGCCGGTGGTGGTGAGTGGTCGGCCTCTAAATTGCATCAGCCAGCCTGGAAGCCATGCGTATCCGAACTCGCCTCTTTTGACGACTTAGATTGCCGAATGTGGATTCTGGGTTCGCGTTCGCGTAAGATTGAGACGGATCCAGCGCCAAACCCTGGACCCGGGGGACGAACGGGGTTGTTTTTTCAAATGACATTTTGGTGGCTTGCTGGCGGATCAAGCTTTATCTTGACAGCTTCACAATCAACCATGGTTCACGAAGCCTCATGGTTGTTTCTTCTGCTGCACTCAGCGCAATGACGAGCCAGATTCTCGTGGCACAGATGACATGTCAAAGTCGGAGGCGCGACCCTTCGACGTTGACGTTGGAAGTCACAGAGGTCTGAAGAGGAAACAGCAACAGCGACCACTGAGCAGCGCCTTGATTCAACGGCCTAACGGGAAAAGCGCCAAGTGGTTGAACCTTCCTCTTCAGAGGCTCGAGAGCCTTACCAGGGTAGTTCAGAAGGCAATCTTACCATGCTCAGCTCGCCTCGTAATCACAGCTCTCGACATCGCCGCGATAATTTGCGTGCCACACATCTAATCAAGATGTAGCCCACAGCAGACTTCGGCAGCCGCATGAACCTCGCTTGCGCGGCGATGCCGGCCGGCACCAGGGTGTTAGTCTTGTTGATATCATGAACATCGGAAGAAATCCACAGGTTGGATATCTTCGGTATCGATCAACCATCGCCTAATCTCGAAATCCTCCATGACAAGGAACCGTGGGACCATGCTCGCCATACAAATCTAGACTGTTGACCGGAAACGGCCATAGTAGCTCATAACATACCCAGTCGCCAAGGTCCATGAACGCGAGAACCTGACCAGGTATCGGAGGACGCGAGTGACGACCTCGAAGCAAGAATTGAAGACGAAGTCGAAGTCGAACATGCTACTTTGAGCCAACTGTCGTCGCCTCTCTCTCGCCCTCACGCAAGCGACAGTCAGCATGGCCATCGACGTCTTGGGTCTTCTCAAACAGCATCCTCAGGAACAGCATCTCGCCAACTTCGCCACGTCCTGGCTCCTGCCCACGACGCTGCTCGGTTTGCTTCGTATCCTGCTCTCGATATACGCCTTCACTTCAATCGCCTTCTCCTTCAAGTGGTTTGCCGACCACGACGTTGTCTTTCACCTCGAAGACATCGACACGCCCAAGATCACTTTCCTCGTTGGCGCTGAGGGCATCCGACAGTCCTTCAGCTACTTCACGTATATCACATACTGGGGTCTAGCATTCTACTTTTTCTTCGCTTCCCTCCACTCCTTCAGCTATGCCCGCAGCACGAGGCATCGGACAAACAGCACGAACACCACGAAACCAACATTCCTTCTGCAACGATGGCCACGGTCTCTCCAGATCCTCCACTCGATCTATTACTCGACCATCACCTGCTTTCCCCTCCTCGTGACCACAGTCTACTGGGGCAGCATGTGGTCCCGGCAGTGGTGGACTGGTGATCGCTTCCAGCAGTGGAGCATGCTTACCATGCACGGGCTCAACTCTGTCTTTGCATTGTTCGAGATTATCTTCGCAGACTCTCAACCTTTGCCGCTCATCCACCTTCCGATTCTGCTACTTCTCATGTCATTGTATCTTCCCGTAGCGTACATCACCAAAGCCACCGAAGGCATCTACATCTACCTCTGGCTGGATCCCAACAACGGCATTGCAAAGCTCCTGCTGCACATCGTGGCTACGCCGCCCTTATCATAGGCTACTTCTTCGCCGTGCACTACACGATCAAGCTCCGCCGACACCTCGTCGCGAAGTACACATCACAACGACAAAGCAAATCACGCTCCTCGGCAATCCTAACATCTTGGGTTGTAGCCCGCCAGCCAGAGTACTGGAGTTTCGATCGCTATGAGCGAGAAAAGCTGCGCGAAGAAGAGGAGAAGCAAGCGGCGCGGATGTCGGTGTCAAGTTTTGTCCAGATACCGGATTCTGCCCATCTGACTCCCGGCGGGAGTAGGGAGAAGTCAATAAGGCCAGTCGCGTCGTTCTATAGTCAGGCTACCACGGCGGTGGGAGGGCCGGAGTCGCCGCTGCTGAAGGACGAGAAGAACTACAAGGCGAGACGATCGGTGGAGGACTTCGGTTGGCCGTTGGCAACGACGGTGGTACCATATGTCCCCGCGCAGCGGTCGCCGTTGCGGGAGACGTTTCAGGTCGAGGACGTCTGATAGTGAGGATGTATTTGTTCGGGGGGCGAAGGTGATTGGCATTAGCGTAATGACACGGATAAGACCAAATAATATAGATAATCCTGCACTCTATTGATGTAGTGTCGTTGACAGTCTTCAGCATCAATTGGTAATGCGTTCACATGGAGGATGGTTGTGATCAATCGTGGACACATGAGATTAAGAGTAGCTATGTACAACTAAGGTATTTCCCTCTCATTAGGCACACTTGGGGTGCGCTTGAGCCCATGATTACCGTACTTTTCCGACCTCCAAACTATCTACAGGGTATTTCGCAGTCCAATTCTAGCAGCCCCCAATCAACGCCCTCATCCTTTCGACGTTCTCGTTGCCAACAAGAGCAGACAGCACTATGGCATCGAGCTCAATGCCGCCACAGCGAAATTCTTCTTCGACTTCACCGAAGTAGCTCTCGAAGCCGCAAACGACTTCGACCTCGTCGGCGTAGCCGGCGGCGTACACGATGACACTGGCAACGAGAAGTTCCGCACCCATGTCCCATCCCCCATGTCCCACGTATACGTCCGAGGCGGCGTCTGGCCTGGTATCTGAGCAGCAGCAGGCGGAGCTGGCATCGACATCGGTCGATATGTAGATGGCAGCAACGTGTTACTCGAGTTCCAGAATCCCTGAGGATGGTCTGTGACGCTCCTGGCCGTTGTAGGCCGTGAGGAAGCCCGTGATGACGAATGCCAAACTTGCGCCATCGCCACCTTGCCGTGCTTGTTCTGCTGGAGTTGGTAGCGCTTGGTGTCGAGTTCGTCATTATCAATCTCTTTGCCAATGTACTCGTCCCATGAGGCGAGCATGTCCCTGCCTCCGTGGGCAATCCCAAGTTCTTCGAGGTCCTCCATGAGCGCGCTTTCCCGCACCGAAACACGGCTTTTCGTAGAACCCTTTTGACTTTGGTACAAGCTGCCCTTTTTCGAGGCATAAATCTGCGCCTTTGATCCATCCGGGTTCTGTCGAGACTTTTCGGACCGAAAGCCGCGCTTCTCACGTCTTGAGGTGGTTGCGGCTGCGAAGCTCTTCAGTGGATTGACGAGAAATATCCGTAGAAATGGTTTCAATGCGGGCGCGCTCGCTGCCAGAATGGCGACGTAGAGCTCGACCACTCCCCAGATCCACATTTCCCACAGCACTACAGATTCCATCAGTATTGACTTCACATGAGGAGGACTCGATCGACTTACCCCAAGTAAAATCATAGATCTCGTTCATCATCTGCCACATGAGTACGGTACGCGCGATGCCCGCAGCCACAATCAGGAATGCCAAGGAGAACAACGCGTATAAGCTCCATTTCTGTCGCCGTGATAGATTGAGATTGAAGATCACCAGTATAGGCAGTAGTGCGCTGTAGAAGTCTCCGATGACAGAGAAGACTCCAGATAGAGGCAGTTCAATGTTCTCCGCGCCGCATTTGAAGTTGGGGTGTGTCATCACCCAGATGACATTGAAGGAGTTCCAGTAGGCACTAATTGGCGAACATAGCAATAGTAGCACCAGTGCGAAGGCGATCATATACAGGATGTTATAGACGATGCCGGCCCATGTTGCGATGATGAACGCTTTGCTGAATTTGATCGATATCCGCCGGTAGAACAAGAGCACTGATATCTTTGTGCACGAAGTCGAAATTACGTAGCACCACTCAGCGCACCAGATATTGAAGCGATGGTCTGCAAATTTCGATATCGGAATGTCCCAGATGTGGTGGCCGGACCACCAGACTTTGTTGCCTATGATGACAAGCACGGACAGCGCAATGCCGAAGGCCAAAGCAATAACGATGCAGGCATCATCGAGCCCAGCTGCTCGAGTGAGGAACAGGCGTGTGTATAATCTGGCTGTGACGACAAGTACGCCTATCACAATGAGCGCGATGCATAAGTTCGCGAGAGCTGGTCCTCGAGTATGTCTGACAATCCTTCAGTCGGGCCATTCTGTATGACTGTGGGAGTCTACTTACGGGTCAATGTAGTTTGGCTTGGGCCAGGTCGCGATCACAGAGTATGGAGGGTGGAGAGTGTCGACCATTTTCGCGTGAGCGCTATTGCCGAGACTTCAAGATCGAACGCATAGTCGTCAACACGATTGAACGAGTCGAAAGTCCCAGGCGTAGGTCCAACGGTATGTGTGCCCGCTTCACACTTGACGTTGGCCGCTTGACGCGAGTGAGAACGGTCGTGAAGAAGGCAGCAACATAACGCACTGCTTATGGGATAAGATCATGACTGATCCCGGGATCTCGAACATCCAGCATCAGGCTCGTGAGGCTGAACAGTACCAGGGCTGTGATTGCGACACGAGGTGATAAACCATGCTATCCGAGCATCGGGATTCGCTGTAAGCGACAGTGGGCTCATTTCTGCGCGCATTCGTACTGGCAGGCTGACCATCAGGCACAAAAGCAAATGAGATTGCTTAGGGTGAGGTTATCGCCATGCGATCGCGCTTGGCTAGCGTGAACGTGCCCCTGGAGGATGGGGAAATTTGACACCTGCAGCCTCGAGTTCCAGACAGCCACGTTTTGTCTTTTGAATGTGGGCATCGGCCTTTTGATCATTGATGGAATCCGGCCCATGTGGCCTGCGCACGTACCACCTGCTGCAGTGTCCGAGATAACATCATTGCTTCGACCTTCCACGGATCTAGACTTTCAATCCTGGACTGCTCGAGTCTCCAGCGTTGTCGTGAGTTTGCCCTAGACCGGTAGATCATCGGACATCGTTGAGCGGGCGTTGAACAGCGCCGACAAGCAGTCTAGCACGGCACACCGTTGAGAAAGTCACTGACAGCGACCGTGGCGTACGGAATATAGACTTCATGTTGACAGATCGATAGCAACACATACATCACCTTTGGGGGCCGACGACAAGTTCCATAGGGATGCCCTTCGTGCTCCTCTCAATTACGATCAGGTCTAGCGGTTTCAAGCTGATAGGGCTTCTCAATTTCGAGGATGGGCGGTTTGCTTGTTCACCTTCGGACATGGACGTAGACTCAACTGGTCGTTGCTCTGGAATGCATAGGTATGGTCTATCTAGATGTCTATGCTAGCTCTCACAGCCGCATCTGCCGTCGATATGGCTTCCTCGAGCCAATCAACTTCCCCGCCTCATCCCCATTGGGCCCATTCGTGAACTTGACAACAGAATCGTCCTTTTCCTGACCGCGTTGCGCCATCGCCGCCATCCTCGCGCCTCTCATACCAGCAATCTCCAACAAAATCACCAAGCGACAGACAATACTGCTAACTAAGAACCTCAGCGAGATGTTCGAGATGACGTCCAGAACATAGATGAAGTTGAAGCTGGCGAATACGACTGTGCCGTAGAGCAGGTGCATGCAAGAGAGGAAGCCGGCAAAGCAGTTGAGTGCGATGCCGACCTTGACGCGAGTGTTTGGATGCTCGAGGGGCAGACGGTTGTTGATAACGGTGTCTGGATGTGCTGCACATGGGATGAACTCGCGCTTAATGACGGTCCACAGACGTGAGCTGGCTGGTGTGTTCTCGACGACTTGCACATCTGTGGAAGGGTTCTGTATTGGTAGGAGCGGTATTTCGTTGGTGATTGTTGATGTGATCGAAGTGAACGGGCCGGACTTGTCAGCTTGTGGCGGATCCTTTAAGGATGATGCGATCCGCGAAGGCGGTGGCGGAGTGAAGAAGCTGTCTTGCTTGTGCAACACGACTGGTGGGCGAACATGTCGCGTGGTGGGATCCAGAGTAAGTCGGTACCCAACGGTACTGAACAGATGAATCACTAGCGGAAATGCTGCCCAGAGCATGACAGGCCAACTGCGAGTACAACCCCAGCTCAAGATCGAGCGCACACCAAGCTCAGCTGCGAGCCACAAAACATTCGCACCAGACCCCAGGACGAGTAAATACTGGATGACGCTGACGACGGTCGAAGTGGTCTTGCTCCATGGTCCGAGCGCAAGTGCGAGTCTGGTAACTCCGTGGTACTCATCAGGAAGGTCGAGAGACTCGGCAGGATCTCATATTCGAATATTCGGGTTTGCAGCACACCAGGGCTGCCAATACTGATCAGACCGCCCAACAATGGTCGATGTACAGACAACAAGGCCAACTCTGCAATGCTGGGCGAAATGACGGCCAGCAGGGTCGGCAAAAGACCGAGGACAACCTGGCCAGATGCGAGACTGGCTTTGGAGGCTTCATCAAGGTTGTTGATGATGCAGGTCATCTGGTCTCTGCATAGGCCGTATATGGGGGAGTACTTCCGCAGCCCCAGATCGATCCACCACGCTCCTCCCAGCGCATCGTACTCGTCATTGTAGGCTTTCAGTGTGGCATTGCAGGTACCGGCGGAGATGGGTTGGAAGATGCCCTTACTGTCGGCGAACCAGTTGACGCTGCGACTCCGTTAGAGCTGATTGAGTTCGGAGTAGTCACAGTACTTACTACTTCCTGGCAGCCAAGCTCCCCTGAGCAAGGCACAGAAGGAGCAGCCCAACGTAGATCGGCTGCATCCGTGGGCTCGAAGACAGCATCTTCGTCGCACTGAAGTTTTCGGTGTAGCAAACGTTGGAAATCCTTCGAAGAGCGCCATCCTTGCGGGCCGTCAAGCTTCATATACTAAATCCTTCAAACATAAATTGACTCGGGTCTACCAACACCACGGCGCCCTGTTTGGGGGCCGAATGGTCCCTTGGTACTGATTGTGAAAGGTCCAAATTCGCCGTTTGTGGTTAGCGAGCACCTGGAACCAGCCGAAGGATGCACAAGCTTTTTAGCCACAGGCTTTCATTGGAGGACATAGGGCTGAGTTTTGGGATCTGCACCGGCAGCCAGGAGCAGATGAGATACAAGCAATTGCGCAACAAAGTCTCGACCATCGACCCGGACCCAGTGTTCCGGAACAGACGTGGCGGGCCATGAAGTCATGCGAGCAGTACCTGCTACGTAGCGACTGGTTCTGCTGCACTTGACTGCATTGTTCCCTGACGATATATTGTCAACAGCAGAAAAAAAGTTTACAGAGACAAACGACCAGCGTCGAGCGCGCCGCGCGCATCCATCATTTTCTCACTTTCCTTTCGCCGCTGTCGCCCTTTGCAGCATCTCGATCGTCGATATTTAGCTGTTAGAGGTGCCTGATGTCCGATCTGTGCTGCGTCGTCCAGGCCACCGCTCGTATTGCCACGTACGTTTGTCGGGTTGGGCTGGGACACGCCAACCTTCAGGCATAGGGAATGATCTTGCTGTTGTTGATCTCTGTTGTCGTCGTTGTATCGGACGTGAAGCGCTGTGGTAGCTGGTCACCGGAGCGTCATCATGTTTTGAATGTGACCCCTGGCTGATGGCGTGCTTGTGGTTGGGGTTGCCGTGAGATGGTCATCTAGAGCAGGTCAGTGCGTCGGAGTGCATCGGAACGGCTGCGTTCATAGTTGTCAATGTCGCGATGCTCGTCTGTTGCTTCATGGCGGTAGGAAAGGCTCGACATAGGGACAGGCCCGACATGGCAGGTCACGCCAGCTGCACAACACTGCCATGCTCACGCGTCGGACGATAGTAGCTTCAATCGCGAACACGAGGGTCATCATGACCGAGGATGTATACTCTTGATTTTGTGGTGCAAGCCTGGACTGTTGACGTTGACGGAGGCGTCCTACCCAGACCTCTGGAATGGTTGTGCGTTTCTTGACGAATACAGTTGCTGGGCACTCGTGTTTTCCAAGCCCGTGTCGTATACGCCGACTCTCAGTGGCGCATTCGGCCCTTGCTCAAGTTTTGGAAGTGAAACGATCGACGATACCACGGCGATGCAAGTTGCATAGATTGTGGCCCAGTGTCGGTGTCGGTGTCGGTGTCGGTGTCGCTCGACATGTTGTACAGCAGCATCCAAGCTCCACTGAGGCAGGATCTTAGTAAAAGCCGCTCCGAACGGGAACCCGGTGCTCTTGAACCGTTGACGTGGGTGCCGGAATATCACAACCTTTCCCCATAGCATGTCACTAAGCACCAAAGTTTTGAAGAAGTTGACATATCTTCGACATGATACCAAACTGGCCAGTATGCAAACCCAAAAGGTAGACTAAAGAAACACCGCAACTTTTATTTTATATCCTTGCCCGCCTCCTTCGCCTTCTTCTGCTCTATCGTCTTCACACCCGAATCTCTCGGATCTCTGAACTCCTTCGTTGCATCGTAGTTGTCCTGCGCCCGATGCTCCTCAATAGCTGCTCGTCCGCTGCGGGCCGATTTGTCGCTGTGAAGGAAATAGTAGGCGGGAACGAATGCGAAGACGGCCGCTACACCGAGGAAGCTGAGCATGGTTAGTATTAGGCTTAGGCCACTCAGTGCGAGGCTGCGTACACTGGACTGAAGCCGTTACCACGACTTGGTTGAGGATTCGTGCTTTTTGGGAGCTCGGCTGCGTAGTGTCTTCGAGGGGCGGCCGGCAGCAAGGTTCTGGGCCGTGTAAGGGCGCGTACGCTGGTTCTCGTGAGACTGTTCATGCTGCTTGTTTGAGGGTAGTTGGGGATGGGTGGATAATTTGAGGGAGTCAGATAGCTGTGGAGGAATATTGCACTTCAAAACAACAGACGACGTCGGAGTAGGGTCCCGTTGACGTAGGCCTGACGCTCCCCGAGCAGCCGTTTGAAGCATGAGCTCACCTTTTTCCATAAAGTAAATGTACGTTATAGATCCACAAAATCATGACGCACTGGAAAAGTCATCCGTCCGCGGGTGCTTGTGGCGACTTCACACCATGATTAGAGCCGTGTTATCATCCTGGATTGTTCTCAGCAGTCGCGGTCTTCAATGGAAGACATCGCGCTCGAACGTCAACGTCGGGATAGCAGTAGTTGAGATGCTACGAGACCACTTGCCGATAAGGTCAGTTATTGCGACTCGACTGGAGAATAAAGAGCTTGCCAAGAAACGGCGCCGATTAAGCTTGGCAGGAACCAGGAACCTCGGATGAGTTCCGTCACTGAAATCCTCTACAAGTGGTAATATAGGTAGGTACAAGCCTTCAACACGGTGTTGAGTGCTACATGGCAAGTGCCAGCCATGCGAAAACCCTGACATCCTCTCTCAAAGTGCTGAGGCCGCCACCAAGGCTTTCCACAATGACACCGACTAGACCATCCTCCACCAAACGGGCAGACCGAGCACCAGCATACGCCGACTGGCTCAACTGGATGCGATCTACATCAGCCCCGTCCAAGGAGATCAACTATTTCAGCAGTATACCGTGGGCGAAGCAGCTTCTTCACTATAGCAACTTCAGACCAATCCCGACCCCAAGTCGCACCATTGATCCTGGCACAACCAACAATGCCTTCTTCGCCAAGACGCTCGCACCTTCTGAGTCAATACCCTCGCCCATCATCAACTGGCTGCTGTTGGTGAAGGAGAGGCTTCAAACACCACCTGAGGCGCCGAAGGGCACCATAGGTCGGACGTCAGGCTCAGGAGATGGCATTGCAGCCCGCAAGGCCGTTGATTCAGATTTCATCCTCCTGCTCAACCTCGGATCTGACCTAGATGGTTTCGGCGGCGTAGCTCATGGCGGACTGCTGTCCGCTGTTTTTGATGAATTGTTCAGTCTCGTAGTTGAGTTCCATCGGCAGTCTGTGACGGAGGATCGGGGGCCACTCTTCACCATGAAGTTGACCACACTGTTCCGCGACAAGGTACCGACGCCTGGTCAGGTGATGGTGAAAGCTTGGCTCCAGGCTCGGGAAGGCAGGAAGTGGTTGTTGCAGGGGCAGCTATGTGACGAGAAGGAGAATGTGCTAACAGAGGGAGAGGGTATTTGGATGACGGCGAAGTCGGAGAGAATATAATTGCAAGACAGCGTTCACGGACTTAGATTAGCAGTATATTTCTTGTGCATGGACACACTGATTACGCATTCCACCCCAAGTCCCATTGCATTTCCACAACTCAATGGTCGGCACTCTCGTACTCGATATACATCTTCTCAAACTCCCTCACGGCCCACTCGCCCGTGCTAGTATCCCGCGTCAAATTCGTGCCTACTACCTCGCCACCCCTCAAGAATCCATTCTCCACTTGCCCACCACTGAGAGGTCTCGACAATCTGTTTTCACCCGCGATGACTGTGAAGTTTGCCATGCTCAGCTCCAGACTGGTCCGCTCCGCTACGGTTGGCACGCCGAAGAACCGCGCGTCTAGTTGGGCAGCAGTGACGTGCATCTCGAAGTAGCCACGGAAATAGCCTTCGGTCCATTGGAGCTCTGGGTTGTCAGTGATGAGGCCTTCTGCCACAGTGTTACCTTGCGTGATGTTGTCGCCGTAGCCGGAAGAGGACACGGCTGTGCCACCAAATTCGACGCCAACCGCGCCTGCACCTGTGACCGGATCGTATGTGCTGTGGTCGAACCATACTAGGTCTGAAACCCAGTTCGCATCTGAGACTCGGTGTCAGTGGTCACCAGAGCTAGCAGATACAAATACTGAGGTCACTTACGGCTGTCACCAGCGATGAAGATGTTGTTGCCAATCTCGAAATCGTAAAGAGTCTGGTATGTGCGATTGCGGTTAGCCATATACCCATCCCACTGGTCGCCATTGTATGGTATAAGATTGCTGCCATAGTTGCTGGTTTGATTGATGCGCGAGAAGACGATCTGAGATCCCAAGATGCGCCATACTGCGCCCCTGTTCTTCGATTCGATCAAGGTGCTATAGAACCAGTTCTCCTGCCGGCTGCCCATAAGACTCCGGCCAGCGTCGTTGCTGATGTCGTAGATGTATTTCTCGTTGTATCCGCCGTTACCTAGGGTGGTGATAGATCTGTCATAGTTGCGGGTATCCAGCATGACTAGATCGACCAGCTTGCCGAGCTTGAAGTTTCTCCAGATTCTGAGATTGTCGTCCATGGCTACCTGTCGGATAGGCTGGTACTCGAAGTAGGCGCGTACGGCATTCATCTTACGCTGGTCTACAGAGAGACCGAGCTTGATGAAGGAAGCTTCGGTGTTGTTCATACCGCTATTTGATGCGATCAGCGTCTCCAGCAACGTTAGACGAACTGTGACTTACCTGAAGCCATCTCTGTAGCCGTTATTGGCAAGCTCGTGGTCTGTATTCTGGTAAATAATGGAGCCCACGCTCGTCATTCCGCCAGTAGGGCGGTGGGGAGCAACATACCATCCCACACCGGGATCCAGGGAAACTGCGAATGCGCGAGACTTAGATCGGGATCAGATTTATACTGTGCGAGTCTAGTACGATAGTCATAAAGACTCGTGATCTCCTTCTCAGGGTTTGCGGCGCGTGGATCGGTGCCAAGCTCGCCCATCTTGTATTCATAGATATAGTCTCCGAGATGCACCATGTAGTCGACATCATCCTTGCGAGCAGCGTTGCCGTAAGCTGAAAAGTACCCATTGGGAAAGTTGCTGCAGCTGAAGACAGCAATACCGAAGGGAGTTGAGGCGTCGTCCTCCGCCGGGGCAGTCTTAGTGCGGCCGACAGGGGACAAGTTGCTCGTGCCGCAGACGGTGAATTGGTAGTAGTACGTCGTGAACGGAGCTAGACCAGTGGCCTCCACCTTCGTGGTATAATCGATGTCCGAGGTCGTGTAAGCCTTTCCAGCGTTGACGACAGCAGTCAAGGCGGGATCTGTGGCGATCTTCCAGTCTAGACAGATGGGATTGGACGAAGTCTGGATGTAATGCTCGGTCTCATGGCTGTAGAATGGGACATTGCCTTCAACAGTAATGTTGGACTTGTCACTGGTCAAGGACGGCGCAATACGGGTCCATAGGATAACCGAGTCCGAGTACGGATCGCCCTTGTTGGTCAGTAAGAACTTCGTGCGTCCTTCAAGCTGCTCACAGATGCCACACTATGTGTAAAGTTCAAGCTGGCCGGATCCCAGTCGGTAACATCTCGCTTTGCCAAGTTTCGTCTTGTGATCTCGACTAGGTCAAGGCCCAGAGCAGGATGCTCGGACGAAGGGCTGCGGTAGTTCAAGTTGCCACTGTAGCTAGCAAGAGCACTGGTCACCAACAGAGCAAAAGTACACGAAACCTGCATTTTGGTTCGGTCTGCTTCAACGGCATGGGCTTGAGGTGACCTACCTGAATAGACGACTGGTCTCACTGCTTTATACCACTGTCAATCGCCAGAGCGTCATGTATCACAGCATTTCAGTCGCATGGTTCCTCGTAGTGTGTTCGCCAAAGTTATGCATGGCTCGTGATAGGTCAGCGGTCTTTGCGTACTGGCAGTGCCACTGGAGCGCTTTCAAGCAGCAACATGATCTTGCCGCAGTGGGAAGGTCAGAAGCTCTTGGCGAGAACCAGACTGTCGGCTCATCCAATCTCTACTACGGACTGCAGCACGCGATGACCATCCTGGTGATGCTGCAGCCCCCGTGTTGTGTAAGACGAAAAGTGTTGGCTCGGAAGACGAGCGAAGTCTTGTCGAGCTTGTTTCCCCACGCCTTAGCGAGTCTTGGTCCCTTGGCACGGGATGGGATGCGGAATTGATGACACCGGAGAAGGTCGCGCTTTCCTCGACTGCTTTGCCGGACAACACATTCACCGTGCCTGCCATGCAAGCCTTGAGTGGGTTGACTCACGCATGCCGGATAAAGTATGTCATGGTGAGCTCCTCGGCTTCTGCGTCGGCCGATCACACACGTTGATTCCGAGCTCGGACTGGGCATGCTCGCCTTTGAGGTGATAAAAGCTGCGGGTGATTGACCCGGGGTAAAAGTCTTGTGGCTCATCGCGCGTGTTCACGCGTGCTTCTGTCAACCATGTTGCTATCGAAGTCGACTCATGGGACCGCGGCACTCACCGCGCCTGAAAATCATTCGCATTTCGACATAGCGGCTGATACAGGACTTGAGCACATCCACGGATAGTGACGTTTTCGAAGACACAGAGATGCATCTCGACGAGCCGGTGGGACGAAGCTCAGCAATCTCGCAGTGAGCGGAGCCCTAGGGTCATCGCGAGGCATACTGTGGTATTTTTATCACGAATCTGACCGTCCACGGCATACCAAGGCTTGCCACAGCCTACCTCCAGCCCGATGGCCGACACCAGAAGCGGACATCTCTCGGGAAACCGAAGTCGGGATTGTATATTTGAGTCGACAAGTTGCAGCACGCCTTGTTTACGGAGCTCACTCGCTTGGGGGGCCGCATCTCTGCTATGACGAGGCTCCAGAGCTTGCAGCTCTTCTGGTCTTGGCGATCGTTCCCTAGTGGAAAGCTTCGACGAGCTATTTGCAAAATGACAGCAGCTGGCCCCTTTTCTGGACAGCGCGAGCCGTCTCTATTTCAGCTCTGTTTCAGACAGGCGCCATACATGTCGGCGTATATAGAGCCCGTGCAAGGCGCAGATGGCAAGGGGCCACTAAACGGGCTGATGGACTGATCGTATAGATGCCAAGGTAGGGCCACTTAGCGCGACTCGCTTTCTAAGGCAAGTTCTTTCTGCTTGGTTTCAATGTCAATCAGACAACTTCTCCCTCCTGTGCATACGCCTGCGATGCGAGAGAGCAGATCTTCACAAAGATGACGACCTGCTGGCGAAAACAGGATGGCAACATTGGCAACTGGACAGGCCTCGGGCTGGTCCCGTGTGCCGAGCCAGCGAACAACAACGATGTGGTCGAATGCTGCGGTACAGATTCGCAATGCCTTGGAAGTGGAATATGCTACACGCCAGAGTTAAACACAGATGGAGGCCAGAGCCAGTTCTACATGGCCGGGTGCTCCAGCGAGACATACGCCGATACAGACGCGTGCAAGGACATGTGCAGTATGTGTTTTACAACCTTGGATCACCGCACGAACCTTGGACTAAAATGTGGCAGCCCAATTCGCTCGCTCAGACGTGGTCTATCGCTCCAGCGATGAACTGTGGCACTGCTGCGGTGTAGGTGCAGACGGACGCGCAACATGCAGCACTCCCACCGACAACACCTTCAACGCAGCGGAGCCCGAGGCCTTGTTAGCGGCATATTCCAGCTCTTTGACAGCATCCACGTCGTCCTCCACGATCGCTACCTCATCCTCCACAACAACGTCGTCGGCAACAGCCACTGCTACACCCAGTACATCACCGACTGCCGCTCCATCAAACAACAGCTCATCCCTCGGCACGGGCGCCATCGCAGGCATCGCAGTCGGTGCTGGCGTCGCTCTACTCGCAGGTCTCCTGTTCTGGTACACACGAAGACGCATGTCTGCGTCTCGGAAAGAGCACACCGGCTTGGATGGATTCTTTCAGGTCCCCCAGACGTCGCCTGGCACCTCACCAGTGGCTAGTCCCGCTCCGCCCTACGAGAAGAACCCCGGTGCTGAAGTTGGCACCGACTATCCTCGACAGGAACTGCCGGCTGCTAAGCCGAGGCAGGAGCTGTCTACTGGGAATCTGGAGGAACGGAGGTTTGAGATGGCAGGCTAAAATATTGACATCCATCGACTTTACGATATCTGGTCGTGAAGCCAGTCTGCGAGATCGCCGTAGGCCGAATGTTCGTTTCAAGAAGCCAACCTACTTCAGCCAGACATCCATCAAACTCTCAGGACCCGCTCTTCGAGAACGCACACGTCCCACCAATGGATCGTTCAGGGCAGCCTGAGCGTATGGCGGAGGGCCAGGTCGAGGTCCCGAACATAAAGGTCACGCCGGCGGCCAACCGCCGGACATACGACGCTTCTGACGTACTGAACTGGAGTCAACTGACACAGACTCGGTGTTCACCCCACGACGCACATGGGATCATGTCCACGAGGAAAGCTGGAGTCAAAGGAGGGAGAGTGCCGGAAAAGTTTCGCCGGCCTCGTGAACAGAGCAGGGGAAAGAGATCCAGGGTAAGGGCTCCGAAGAGGGTAGAAGCAATGCTTCTCGGAAAATCCACAGAGAAAGACTCTTAGAGGGTATCGGAGAGTGAAGCAGCAGCAGTCGTGCACTTGACGCAGCAGGATTATGGAAGCAAATGGGGAGCATCACAGCACCTAAACCGAGATCAAAAGAGGCATGTACCCTTTCCAATCAGGAAGTCCCAGGGTTTATCAAGATCGGGTGGTTGTGACCGCCACAAAATCGCCAAGTTCTGAGTTTTGGGGTGCACGCAGAGGTGTGCAGAGGTACATTTGTAAAAGGCACTCAGACAGACGAAATCAAGTAAATCCCGAGAGTTGCGCAATCTGCCAGGAAATTGCGCTGATACAGATAGATATTGCTAGATGAGCATTTGCAACAATGTACTCAAGTACTCTGACGACGACTTATACCATCGCCTTCTTGTTGAGTGTTCACACCCTCTTCTCAGCACCAACCTCACCCACAGTCTCGACCTCTTCGCCCTTCTCCCCCAAACCACCAACCTTGCCACTGTTATACCTGTCGTCCTCATCCGCAACCGTGATCTCAGCCTGCTTCCTTCCCCACACGCCAATCTTCCACCACTTCAATGTGAACAAGTAGTCCATCTGCTCCAAGCTCAAGCCGGCTGTCTCTGGGATGAACCACCATGCCCAGAAGAGACCCATCAGGGTGATCGCCGTAAAGAGCCAGAATGTGCCTGCTGGGGAGAGACCGCCATCTGAGGTTGGGAGCAGCATTTGCGGCACGGCGCGGGAGTTGCCGTACTGGTTGACGAAGTGGAAGCACATGACCATTGACGAAGAGATGGCGCGGATGCGGAGCGGGTAGATCTCGGCATTGAGGAGGTATTGAATTGAGTTCCACCCTGGTTGAATGTTAGCACTGATGAAGTCAGATTAAGTGGAGGAGGCACATACCCATAGCCCAGCCGAAGCCCGAGATGTAGATCATGACGATTGCGCCTGTGGAGGCGTGCTTTTGTGCTGGTGTGAACTCGGTGTCCTCGTCAATGTTGGGAACCGCGGTGAGGAAAGCAGCGACGTAGGCCATCGAGATAGCCTGTAGAATGATGCCGATTGAGAGAGATCGCTTGCGGCCAATAACGTCAACCAGGAAGAGGGCGCACATGATCGAGGCGACGAACTTGACGACACCGAAGATGGCAGTAGCGAACAGCTTCTCGTTCTGACCCTTTGTGCCGAGCAAAGCGAACATGTCGGGAGCGTAGATGGTGATGGATTGCGCGCCGGACCATTGCGAAAGGAGCTGGGAGCCGAGACCGAGGTAGATGCGGTAAAAGTTGTTGGGTTGGAGGAACATCTCGCGGAGCAGGCCGCCGAAGCCCTGGCCCATAGTGGCTTCCTGCTCTTCAGCGAGCGAACGCTTGATCTCGTGAATCTCGTGCACGATGTATGGATCAGTCTCAGGGAGACCGCGAATACGAGTGAGATTCTGGATGGCGTGCTCCATTTTGCCCTTCTTGATTAGATAGCGGGGAGATTCCTTGTTAAAGAATGATAGGACAAAGATGATGCCGGCGAACATAAGATGGATTGAGGTGGGAACGAGCCAGGAGGTTTGAGTCTTCTTGTCGATGTGGAGAGAAGAGCCCCAGCTGGCGAAGTAGGCTAACATGATACCAATGTAGACTGAGCCAGCAAAGACGCATGTTGCCAGGCCTCGAACAGATTTTGGTGCAATCTCGCTGATGTAGACGGGAGCGACGACCTGCGGATCTCGTTAGCATTGTCTCGTGAGAGTATTCCCAAATATTGCTTACAGTTGTTTGTCCGATGCCGAGACCAGCGATGAAGCGACCAGCATAGACAGCGCCCAGATTGCCATTGTTCGCCATGAAGATCGCAATACCCAAGACCCACAGAGAGCAAAGCACCCGCGTGGCCCACAAGCGACCAAGTCGATCTGCGGTCAAGAACGCCAGCAGCGCACCACCAACAGACCCGATCTGCACCATAGCACTGACGTTACCCTTGACATTAGCCAGAGCAACATCGTCCAGTTCGTCGAAACCGAGCAGATGTTTGAAGTTCGTGCTGTTGAATGTGCCGGAAATGAGACCCTCGTCGATGCCACGGGCAGCGCCCATAATGCCGAAGGAGAAGACGGCGAACCATAGCTTCCAGTTGATGACTTCTCGAGGATCGTCACCAAGCTGCATCTTGAAGATGTTGACGGGCTTCTTTGGACCTCCACCCATATTGGCGGGTGTCGAAGTATGAGTTGCTTGAAAAAAGATGTTGGTAAAAGGTCTGAGGCTTGAGTGCTTGGAGTGGTAAGCAACACACAAGCTCTTCTTGGTCTGCTTGAGACTGGCGAGTTAAGAATCCCAAGCGAGGGTGGTCACAAGGACATCTCTTATATATCTTGGCCTGCGTAACGTGGTAGCAGTGCCCCTCGTGTCGCGAGGCGTCGGTCGGCGTGTGAACTCCATGGTCGGTGGCTGCTGCACGTCGGGCACCCTATTTCCTCCGCGAAAACAAGAGGTGATGCACCGCTCTATGGCCGCTTCTGCTTGGCAAACGCGGGCGGGGAGCGAATGGAAGCAGAGGCCAAGACACTGTTCTCGTAAATTGATGAGGCTACTGCGAGGGTGACGGTCGATGGTATGGGGTCGGCGAATCGGGTACGCCGCAAGCTGGCATGAGCGACGGTGATAGACGGCGTGGCTGCCGGAGATGGGATGGAGGCTAGAAGGCATTGTAACGTTAAGGTTGGGCAAGGCAAAACCTTTCGTGGGACAGCATGGGGTCTCCAAGGAACCTGGCAGTTAGGTGGAGGTGTTGAGAACTGGAATCGTAAGTTGTAGGCGGGATGGAATCCGTCATTGGCGGCAGCAGCATGGACAGAACCGCCTAAGACATTTCCACCCACCAGGACCAAAGATTTCCTTCCAGATCTGATTGATGGGTGAAGGCCGGCCACGAGAATTTCCCGTTCAGACGGTCCAGATGGAATTGGTTCGCACAGAGTTCATGCAACCACGGAGTTTCTTGCTTACCTATCTTTGCCATCTGTCGGAGAAAGATTCAACCCTAGACATGCACGCACGGCGTTCATGGTGGCTGAGCTCGAATTCTGTTCTGGTTATCGTAATGTCGCGGCCGACAAGGCTTGACTCCAGCGTAGGTGCTCGCCACGAAAGTACGAAACTCGAATGCTCTTGACATCTAGATCTCCTCCACGATGGTGGTGATGGTGCTGTTGTCAAAACGTGTTTCAGCGAAAAGGTCAATTCCAAGGCTGACAGCCCAGAATTGCTTGTCAAAAGCTTTGGTTCTGGGCATCACTGGGCGCCCAGATCTGTAGGTAAGCGACTGAAGCTTTAGGGATGAGCCGAGGCAGGTGCGAACCATAGGTCAAATGAAGCCATTACGGCCATCATGAGAAGGAGTAACAATGAGACTCCAATGTCGTGGTAGACGTGTTCATGCTTTTGAGTCATATCATATGTGTATATATACCAGGGGCTACAGGCTCGGCCATGTTCCGATAGCACTAACTCCAGTCACGGTCTGCAAAGCACCGGCAGCTTCATGAGAGCCGACCGGACAACTTCCGCCTACAATTTGCTCTTGACACCCACTACCTTCATCAGTGCCCTGCCGTTGCTCAACACCACCTTGCTGCCGACCTTAGTCTGGAACCTGACCTCCTCCCACCCATCCTTGACATTGCCCGTCTTCCACATCTCCACCACGACCTTGTCACCCGGCTTTACGGGCGCCGCAAATCTGGCCTGGAACTCCTTGATGTTTCCGGCCTCGCTGCCCCCCAGATGCTTCAGCAGTAGGTGAGCGGATACGTTCCAGGATGCTAGACCGTGCATGATGGCGCCGCCGAAGCCCATCTTCTTGCCTGGCTCGGGATCGGCGTGGAGCGGGTTGTAGTCGCCATTCAATCTGTACCTCCGTTAGCTCGCATCCGCGCGAGCCCGCGATTGTTCTACTCACCGGTACAAATGCGCACTATCCTCAGTCCACTGATGCTCCGCCACAGCGTCCGGCGACGATTCCCTACCCTTCGGTGGTGGGAAGTTCTCCGTCGCAGGACCCTTCGGCCCACCCCAACCGCCCTGTCCGACAAAGAACCCGCTGCCGACTGCTCTTGTGTAGACCTCACCGGTCTCCTTATCAACGATCGTTTGCTCTGTCTCAACCACGGTGCCGGGCTTACCCTTGTCGTAGACGCCCAGTACTTTTGAGCGCAGCTCGAATTTGCGGCCCTCGGACGTAGGCGGGAGTGGCTTGAGGAATTGCATGAGGCGTTGGCCATCGAGCACGCGGCGGGAGTCGAATTTGGGCACGCCGGGGATAGGGATGGCGGCTTGGGCGGCGTAGAAGTCGATTACTTCTTGAGATGTTTTCTTGAATGCTAGATCGGCGGTCAGTCTGGGCTCTAAGCGTTTGAGGTGGGACGGAAAGCCGTACGGAGAAGGATAGGGTATGTTGGGAAGACTGCGAATTTTGGGCTGAGCTCCTGTGCTGTGTCAACATTGCTGCCGTATCTTAACAGGCCAGCCATACGTAGACGAAGTGTAGCTCGTCGGCTGACGTGCAGCCGATCGAGACAGCGAAAAGCAAGACATCTCGCTTGAGCCACGACACCTCGACGGGCGGGTACTCGAAGCCGGCGCCTGGTCCAGACATTATGTATATATTTTATTCACAAGGCAACACTTGACAGTGAGCTGGGATAGGGACGAAGAGAAGAGCACATCGCGAACTGGTATTCAATGTGAGTTTGACACCATGCGGGGACCGAGAAGCCTCGGTTGTTCCTGAATGGAGACAGCCCGCCTGAGATATCTAATCAGAACTCTTCCCTTCGTGGACATCGAAGAGACTTGCTCTTTCAGTGACGGGAAGAGCAACATTCCTCGTCGCTAGTACTCTGCTTTTTGCTGACGTCCGTGAATAACACCATTAGCAAGATCAGCTTCAACTCGTCCGGGGTATCTATCAGGTTTTGGACGAGGAGCGATATCGTAACGTCTGTATCATCATCTCGGGTCGTAATCGTCAAATGGCTTGCTGCGCCGTAAGTGAGATGTGTGGCTCGATGCATGCGAGGTGTTGTCCAACGCCAGAAAATGCTATTGCAAATGAGTGAAGCCTTGGCTTCGCAAGAGTGCGATAATCAACACCTGCGTGGGTTAGAGACTGTGTTCGAATTCTGCAGTATGGACAACTCACATTTTGTATTCGCACGAACCAGACGCATACCTGGTCGAGTCGCCGGTCTCCAGCTCATAATCAATCTTGATGTCGAGGTCGCGCTTGTTCTTATCATTTGGCTTATTCGACAGGAAACCACGAACGGTCTCGCCTTCTTCAACGGTGAGCACCTCCCGCAGGTAGAAGACGGTCTGTTTCCAGTGAGTGTATTTGGTATGAGGGCCTGTTGAGAACCTAATAGGCTTGTGGCAAGCCGTGAAGTCGATATCGAACCACGCAATCATGGCATGAATGAAGTCATTCCGCTGACATCGCAGCTGGAAACCTTCTGAGAATGCCAAATCCTTGGTGGTCACTGTGTTTAGATCAATGACGAACACTGGGCAAGGATCCGTCACAAGGGCTTTCATCTCGACGGTGTCGACAAGAGGTTCGCTTAGCGCGCTCTCCTTCATGGGTGAGTAGTCGAATCCATAGACATTATCCCAGACTGGTCTTGTTAGCATACATCCTCGGACCATGTGTATCTCACTCACAGCCAATCTTGTCATCCTTGTACTCGCCATCCTCGATCGCAGCCATGTAAATTGTCGCTCGATCTGGGAAAATCTTGCCGCCTTCGCGCAGGTAGCGGTCTCGTGCATATAGCACAGTATCGAGCATAGACTCATAGAGCAGGAAATAGCCCATCCACTCTGAGATGATGATGTCGACTTTGCCGTCTGGTATGACATGCTGTGGCAGCTCCACTTCCTCCATCTTGCCCTGCAATAACGTGACCTTGCTCGTGAGCCCGTTGCGCTCGACGATCTCTTTGGCTTTGTTGATGATGCTCGACATATCGACTCCGATGACGTGTTTCGCACCAGCCCTTGCGGCGAACCTGAAAGATTGATCAGCAGAGCACGTGCGGTGGCTTGCTCGCACCTACATGCTCAGAATTCCAGTACCGCAGCCAACGTCCAGGACTACCTTGTCCTTGAAGAGGTGCTTGTTCTGGTATATTGAGTCCCGGTATGATCGGGTCCGCACTTCATCCTTCAGCATCTCCTCGTGAATGCCATGGTGGTCGTAGCTGGTGAAGTATCGAACTTCTGAGTGCTCCATGCCAGACATGCGCTCTTCGGTGGTCATGCCGGCCATTTCGGCCACTGTGTGCTTTGCGCCGTTCATGCTGGGCTGCGATCGGTCTCTTCCAGCACTCAAAGGAGGAGGACCTGTGTAAACGTGATCGGTCTGCTCGGGTTTTGCGTCCTAAACAGCACGAGTGAAATGTTCGAAAATCCACCAAACAGTGTCACAAAAGTTTGCCCGGACTTCAGCCGACATGGGTTTAAGTGTTGATTGTCATTCTACCGAGATAATTCTTGTGGGTGATAGCAATGCATTCGGTAGCCAGAATTCAGGGTGTACTTAGGCGAGCATACGGGCAGCGAGAAATTTTCCAAGGGCTGAATCGATGTCCCGGCGCGACTGTTTGAAAATCCTTGGCGTGCTCGACTTCAGTCAGACGGTTGCTCTGTCTTTTCATTAATGCTCAATATCGACTGCTTTGCGTTCCTTCTCTCATCTTGCCAATTGCATGCTTCGCTCCTCATTCATGGCTCTATGCCATCATCGAGGCTCTCAAAAAGACGTAGCCCTTTTCACCCGAATGAGCATAGCTTATATGATGCCATGAACGCGATGAGCCATCGTGCGACCGACAAGCACTTACGCTGCAAACCTGGCTCCTTGTACACCACAAAAGATGCAATGTCCTTTTTGACCCGCGTATCTACAGTATGCTTTGCAGCTTCCTTCGCACAACGTCATCGTGGTACACAGTTTCGATGCCGAGGACTGATCCAACCCAGCCACAGCCCTCCTGTTCTGAACTAATGCGCGTAGCCAAATGGTGTCGACAAGCCGAAAAAGTCTTTCCAATGAGGAAAATCTTCTCGACCTTCCCTCGCATCTCCTCTCAAGCAGCGTCCCTCACGTCGCGGAGCTAACCTTGCCACAGGCGTCCAGCTCGCCACTCATGGGGCCAGAATACGACATATGGAAACTACTACGCCTTAAGTCCGCCTAGCGAGCAAGGCATCCTGCCCGCGCTAAGAGCCAAACAAGATATACAGAGCGCCAAGGTACGAGGCAGGAATATTTAGGAACGCGCCAGACCTCCTTCAACTCCAGCATGAGCTGCATGACTAAAGCTGCCTCGACCACAAATAACATACAGCAACAATGCCCTCACAGAAGACCCGCGAAGCTCTAGGAGACTGGTCCATCCTCCTGGACCCGGACCAGAACATCGACCGCCGCACATGCACACGCCAAGTCCCCATGGAGGTGCTCTCCCTCGGCGCACCACGGACAGGCACACTGTCGATGGCGAGCGCCTTCAAGATCCTCGGCATGCCATCCTACCACTTCGCCAGCATCGTTGTCAATTCACGAGACGCCGACATGTGGCTGGAAGCAATGGACGCCAAGTACAACCCTTCAACGAATCGCACAGCGTTCACCAGACGCGACTTCGACCAGCTCCTCGGCCATGTCTCTGCAACCACAGATGTGCCCTCAATCCTGTTCTGGCGCGAGCTTGTGGAGGCATACCCCGAAGCCAAAGTCGTGCTCGTGGAGCGCGATGAGGCGAAATGGTTGAACAGCATCCAGGTTCTGCTTGAGGGAGTTCTCAACCCGGTGGGAAGATATGTGCTGCGCTTCACCGATCCTGGGCGGACAGGCAGGATTTTGAATTGCGGGCTCGCATGGACGAGTAACTGGATGGGAGTGCCGCAGAGCGAGAGCACAGTCGCGAAGCTGATGGGTAAGGATAAGGCGAATGCTAGGGCGACGTATCGCAGGCACTATGCGGATATACGTGCGACGGTGCCGCCAGAGCGTTTGCTCAATTACAAGCTTGGCAGCGGATGGAAGCCGTTATGTGAGTTTCTTGGGAAGGATATACCGCCTGATGATGTGCCGTTCCCGCATCTGAACGATGCGAAAACGCTGGAGGCGGGGTTCGAGGTGTTGATATTGGGTGGCTTGAAGAAGTCGTTGGTGAACATTGGCCTCATTGTCGGAGTGTTGGCGGTGGGTTGGCAGTGCCTGAAGATCTTGGTCCGGTAGGCATGGTGGTGAAACCGACATCTACTGAGAGCTACCGTGAGGTTTTTATATACATCCGACTCGCAGCGGCGCAAGGCCCCAAGCTTCCCACGTTCGCTCGAGGATGCCTCACGCAAGATTCGCTCGCTGGATCGATACTGGTTCGATTCTTGTGAAGGGATAGTGCTATGATCTCGTGACTGTTTCTGGGTAGTAGCATAGTACGCCGAGGGCTGCGTCATTCGATCGAACGGGACTCGAGCCCCACAAGCTCGCCCTCGAACTTTGCCCCTCGACAAGTTCCCTCCCAGGAAAAAAAAGAGCAAAAAGCAACTTGCAAGATGAGCATTTAACTCATATACGTTGGACGTACTGGGGACTTCGAGAATGTTAGTCAACGTATAGCCAATGATGACTGATGATGCTCACTTGAACCCAGGACCTTTCACAGACTCGAACCGATCAACAGGTGAGACACCCGAGTCAGTCTTGCAAAGCGAAAATCATACCACTAGACCATGCCTGTTGCACACGTTAGAAGGGAGCTACTAAAGAGGTTTTCAGGAAGACGTACGCCCGAAGCAGTTTTTGTGTGCTGATTTGGAGCTCGATCAAGAGCACCCAAATATCTAAAGTATGACTTGCTCGAGGCGTAGCGAGCGTGGGATTTCGTCTTTCGATCGGTCCACGACGCCCCATACATGTAGGTGGGCCAATCGCACCCTTGGTTGTGGCCCCGGCTAGCCCACAGTGCCAGATCTAGAAATCTTGACACCGAACTACGTATCCTCTTCACACCTTCACTGAAATGATAGTAATGAGTGATGAATTAGGTCTATTCGCCTAAAAGATTGCCGATGAGGGAGGACATGATTGTAGGTATGTAGGCTCTGGTCTAGCTTGCTTGTCGACGCTGTCCTTGTCTTCAACCTCGGCCGCGCCATGTGTTGACTTCGACGGCAGTACCGAACCAGCTCCGTTGCCGGGTCACGTCGACTGTTTGCTCCATACGTAGCGTCACTAGACAGCTATGCGGAAGCCCTACAGGCGCAGGATTCAGTCAACGGCTCTCTCAGAGCACGAACGACCCTTCGCTGCTATCAGACATCTCTCCCTCTCCCTCGGCCACTAGCTTGCATCGTACGTTGTCTCGGTCCATGCGATCTTTAGCGCGCTCAACTGCTTTCTTCTTGACCATTCCCTGCTTGTGCCAGCCAAACGACCAACCGCGCTCAGCTGCTGACTTCTTAACCACTCCCTGCTTGTGCCAGCCGGACGATCCACTGTTCTGAGCATCGCGGCAGCTCTGTACTTCTTCCTCGATGGTTTCGATACCCGTGGACATCTTCGCGCTTCTCCTGCTAGGTCCTAGAGGTAAACAATCGTCAGAAGAATGCGCGAATGACCCAGCCGCTTCAACGTACCGACAAGTCACGCTTCCACATGACGTCTTCTCCGGTCCGCTCTGCAGTTTGAAGCTCTTCGGCCAACTTCAAGGCTTCGTGCGGATATTTGAGCTTATCGGCGTGGTCTTCGATCGGGCAGACTCTGGGAAGGGTAAGATTGATCACAGCCCTGGTGTACAGCGTGGCATCAGGTCTGCCTCGAAGGTAGAAGCAAATGTTCAAGCATTCCTGGAGTTTTCCTTGCTGAGCGAGCTCGTTGGCGTACTCGAGACGCGACAAGTAGTGGAGTTGAAGGTTGTTAATCATGTTGGTGGGAAGCTGGTCTCGATCGTACGCGTTCAAGTGCTTTGGGACATTCGGGAGGTAATAATCGAACGCGATGAGGGTTGCAGAGTGAGTTATTGCTATGAATTCCGCAGAAACCGCGTAAGAAAGCCGTTGTGCTGTCTCTTGGCGCTGTTTGGAGATGTCAGGCCATGCTGAGGTCGAGAAGACGCCTGTGTGATAGGCCGTGGACTTTTGCAGCCATCAAATAATCGACCCGTGTGTTGCTTGCAGATCAAGGTCTACCTCGACCACGTGGCCTACCGACATCAGGCCGTCCCGGACCCGGTCCTGGTTTCGGCGGACTACCAGGTGGCTTTATTGGACCACCAGCACCACCGCCTGGCGGTCTCACAGGGCCTCCCGGACCACCAGCTGGCGGTGGTCTCACTGGTCCTCCCGGACCTGCCTTTGGCCTACACAAGTTCAATCTCGCTACTGCCGGGTCATGGTCGCTAATCTGGTCGTCCCTGCTAACCCATGTATTCACATGCACATGCTCATACGCAAGTTCCTTCTTCCCTCTGGCAACCTTCGGACTGATGTACATATGATCCAGCTCCTGGCAGTTCATATCAAACAGGTAACTATACCTCTCCGTCTCCTCAACTCCAAGCACATCCTCGATATCGTCCAAACCTGAGATCTCAACAAATTGCGTGAGCGGCTCCACGAAAGCAAACTCATTGAAGTCACCCGCCGTGATGATGCTAGCTTCAGAATCCTCGGCAAGGATCTCTGCGATGAAGCTGGCGGTGAGATTCGCCTGCGCCAGGCGATTCTCCACACCACCGTTCACGGGGGGACGGGGATCGCCATGGAGGGACGATGACCCACCCTTGGATGCGAAATGCACGTTCACCGTGTAGAAAGTGCTGTTGCTCCCGTCGAGGATATCCCACTGCGCGACGAGGGGTTTGCGGCTTGCAGTCCATGCTGGGTCCAGAGGTGCGATGCGGCAGGGGTTGAGGTTCAGTGTGCCGTTGTAGGCGCAGGCCTCGGTGGATGAGCCTGGGTTGGGCTTATGTAGAGCGACGATGGAGGGGTTGTAGAGGTACGCGACGCGAATGTTCCCGCCTGGAGCACCTCCGTCGGCGTTGTTGACAGGAACAATTTCCGTGAAGGCGTAGCTTGTGGATGGGGACAGGGCGCTGATAGCGGCAGAGAGTGTGGTCAGAGTCTCATTGGCAGAAACGATGCCGTTGTTGGTCTCGCCTGAGTCGTCTTGGATTTCTTGCAGAAACACGACGTCTGGCGTTTTGAGGTAATCCACGATATGGGCGGCGATGGCCGGCAGGTGAGCTGACGACGGTGAAAGGTTTTCGACATTGTACTGGCCAAGTGTAATGGCGGAGCATCGGCCGGTAGAGCTATAGCCGATGGGATCTGGCAGTGCTGGTTCCTGAGATCCAATGACCTGAATGGCCGTCGTTGGCAAGACTCGGTAGAACCCGAATGCTTGATACACGACTCCAGTGATGTCCTCCAGACTGTCACCTAGCTTGGTTCCGTCCGGATTACTGCTTCCGTCCAGAGGTGTACCAATCAGGATGGCTTCAGGATTGGCATCACCATCGGTCATGGTCAAGCCACCGCGATCGTTCGAGCCTGTCTTAGGCCAACTTCCGACCACCCACGTGTCGCCGAAATTGTTGGGCTTTGCCACAGCGACAGGCGACTTGATGGTAACAAGCTCGCCTAGCAGCGATTCCATGAAGTCCATGCCATATTCAGCCGGCTCGAGAGTCGGATTTGCTACTGTTACAAGACTGCGATTGTTGGGTAATCCAAAGATATCGCCGTCATCTAGAGCAGAGAACTGCCCTGTTGGCGGCAGCAAATTTCCTGCCCCGATCACCAATGGTGTCACAGCAGTCGAGTTGCCGATGACCCGGATGTTAGTCGGGTTTGTGATCTCGTTCAAGGGAACGTAATTAGACGAGCGATACTCCGTGTAGCGGCCACTGAACGACACAGCATTGCCCACAGTCACACTAGAGTTCCGACTGAACACGTATATCGAGTCCGATGTTGAGCGGTCATTGTCCGGCGTGGTTGATCGAACCCAGAAGCCATCGGCGTTACGAGCTGTGACCACACCAGAGACATTCGCGACACTACGACCGTTGTAGGGTGAGATGAATCGGTCACTGTTGATTTCTGGGATGGTCTGGGAAACAGACGAGGCAGTGAAGAGGATGGCGCATACTCGCGCAATTGTAGCGAACGACTTCATAACGAATGAATGGTGGTACACGACTCACCGGGACTGCTTGGCTCAGGTCTACTACCTACAATAGCTGGCATGTTGCTTTATATTTCAAATGCTTCGGGGGATGCCGCAAAGTCCTCCTTGCTGCGATTCTTGACGATCATGCGGTTGAGATTGCGCAGACATGGTGTTGAAGAGTCAAGGCGATTGTTCCAATGTTATTCGCAGACTATGTGGACAGCGAGCTGCCTTGAAGTCGGCAGCGTGCTGATAAGCCAGCCGACGATTGGTGATATGAAGGACAAGGAAATTGGACACGGAGATGTCTTGGTCAGAAATCTAGGCATTCCGGCGACCTTCCTGAGAGGGCATAGGCAGATTCTAGCCCTATCGCGCCGGAACCGAAACCCGAGAAACTTGGAAGGAACCCCTTGAAACCTCGAAGAATTGTGCACTATCTCAACTTCTTTCTCAACCAGTCTTTGATACCACGAGCTTCTGGCTGGTGCTTGTTCTCCTGTCCTCTCAGGGGCCAGTCTTCGCCACTTCGTTGCAACGGCAGTCCGGTAGCGCAGCAGATCGTCGGTGCCTTCGCCCAAAAGCTGTTGGGCGACAACTCGAGGACACGCGCTTTTCGATTTGCCCACCCCTCGTCTTCACGTTCTGTTCCATGGTAGATGCAAAACAGACGGCCATCATTAGAAGGCGAAAGTACGAAACTCGCATGTCCTGGGCCAAATGGACCGCCCATTCTCTTGTCGCATGCCAACAGTGGATGGTGTCGCTTCTGCCACGAGGCTTCGCTGCACGGGTCAGATCCAGTCAGTGCGACGAGACCCATCTGGTAGTCGCAGCACCAAGACCCGTTTGCCGAATATACAATGCCTTGAAATCCCGGTACAGACAGCCATGTCGGGCCTTCGTTCACGCCGCGGCGCCCTTGCTCTGGTCGTTCCCAAGGCAAACTTGCGCGGGATATACAGGTCAAGGTATATGGAATTGCCTCAATGGGTGAAGCAAGCCTCATGAGAAATAGGTCCTGCTGCGTGTCTGAATGGTCGCCCAGTGGCCAGCCACTGTAGCAGACAAACAGCTCATGCGGTCGCAGGCTAAATACAGTGGCATCAATATTCCAGTGATCAGGGATGCCTTTCATCGGTCCAAGAAAGTGCCATCCCTCTCGATCCAATGGATCAGGGTTGGATGACCGCAATATCAACGTCCGATGACTGGCATTGCCTCTGCCGGGTTGTGCGGCGCAAAAGTAGATGTACCACGTTCCGTCGATGAGGTGGATTTCAGGCGCCCAGACGTCCTCTGACCATGGCGCTCCATGTTCGGGCTGCCATACTGTAGATTTTTCCGCTTGTCGGAAGTCGTCCAAGCTGTTCGACGACCAGACCTCGACTCTATTCCCGCACGTAAAGGTCAAGTAGAAGCGATTGTTGGCCGCGATGATCCAGGGATCTGGCGTGTCTTGATCGCAGATTGGCCTGTTGGACATGTTGCGTTGAGTTTGGCAACATTATGTTGATTCACGCAGAAAGCAATGGTGGTTGTGCGCCATAATGTTCAGCGTATCCAGGCACTCAAGGCACTGTGGAGAGCCTGAACATGCAACCATGGAGTGGCAACTTATTTCAGCTGACCAGTTCCAATTATACATAGATATTCACTTCGATGTTCACTTGGTTTGTGGCCGTGCTGCATCTCGATTTCATCTACATCTCATCCCAAAATCATCTCCTGGACAATGTTGACTCGGTCCAGAGACTACGGCATTCCGCCGGTCATTATGCACTGGGAGTATACACTGCTTGGCTGTTTACTTCCGAGGTTGACAAACTTCTGAAACCCCACTCGATGCGAGGGGATGGATCACTTGGACTTAGGCTCGACACCTCGAGCTGTCACCGCCATGGCCACTGTGAATCGAAGACTAATCTGAACACAGGCAGCTTAGATGCAATGAGCCACATAGTTCTGTTTGTTCGTCAATCTTGTGCCGGTGTACAGGCTCTGTGGCCAACATAAGTCGGTCTGTTTTATAGGAGACTCGATCTCAAAGCAACCGCATCCGCAAGACCTCAACACATTCACCCCGGAACATCGCCGGTTACGCCGGCGGCATAGCCATTGCCCAGAATGAGCCTGATCCGGTTGGCTGGCCTGTGCGTCTTCGAAGACTTTGCGAAGCTCGCCAAGGTACTGCTTCACCAAGAAAGGTAAGGAATATTGACTATCATCAGCACTTGAGTGTTCGATGACCCAGTCCGGGGTTTCTTGGCAAGCCTCCGCCATCGATTGACAGTCCTTGGAGATCTTTCGCGGAGAGCCTGTCCTTGGAAGCGAAGTCAACGGCAATGCAACTATTGCAGCTTTAGCAAAGTCTCGAGCCCGAGGCATGACCTTCGGTCAGATTGGAGAAGATCGGGTGGTGGTGGATCCTGGGCGTGTGTTCTTCCTTCAGCTGGAATTAAATAAGTATGCTTGTGTGCGCTGGAATCCCCCGGTGACTTCCAGTTTCAAACGACATTCAAGCCTCACAAAACTTCTAGACGCCCAACATGTCTGGCGAGCGGAAATCCATGGATGACATCGCGATGGAGAAGGCCCCTTGGGCCGGCATAGAGCATCTCGAACGGCACATGCGAGCTGGACTGACGCAGGACGATGCGGAATTCCTCCAGAGCTACGATGTGGACATCAAGAAACAGGATCGAGTCTACCACAAGGTCGACTGGCGTCTCTGTCCAATGCTAGGTACGTATACCAATGGACCCGGATCGGGCAAAGCATCGGTCTACCGATTCTGGTTTGCCTCGATACATGTTTAGTCTGACAGGGCAATAGCTGCGCTATATTTGATATCGTATGTGAAGACAACAACCCCCTAGGACGATAGCTGATTGTATCCAGCCATCTCGACAGAGCAAACATAGGCAATGCGAAGATTGAAGGCCTCGAAGCCAGTCTCAATATGACAGGAACTGACTACGTAAGTGCACCCTCCTGTATACGGCGTTTGAGTTTGGAACAGATCGATTCAACTCCAATGCCCGGCTTTACTACACTGCTGATCGCTATACAGAACGTCGCTCTCGCGGTGTTCTTCATTCCATATGTGTTGTGCGAAGTCCCTTCGAACATGCTGTTGACGAAATTCACGAGACCTTCCGTTTATATGTCGATCCTGATCTTCTGCTGGGGGGTCGTCATGACCTTGAGTGGTGTTGTCCAGAACTTCGGTGGTCTCGTGGCCACACGCTTCTTCCTGGGCTTGTTCGAGGCCGGATTCTTCCCTGGTAGGACCCAATTTGTACCCAGAAAGAGTGCTCGCTGACTAGTACAACCAGGCGCGATCTATCTGGTGGGACAGTGGTATCCTCCTAACAGGACGCAATTCCGCATGAGTCTATTCTACTGCGCTAGCGCATGTTCTGGAGCATTCAGTGGTCTTCTGGCGGCTGGCATAGCCCGTATGAATGGCCTTGGTGGCTATGAAGGTGAGCAGCTCTGATTGAGCGAGTCAGGTTTGATGACTGACGAGCATCAGGATGGCGCTGGATCTTCATTATAGAGGGTCTCGCGACAGTCCTCATGGCCGGCCTTTGTTGGTTCTGCTTGCCGGATTCTCCAGCGCTCGCCGTTGGCAAGTGGCTGACAGAGGAAGAAGCTCGATTCCTGCAACTCACCCACATCTACACTCGCGGGTTACAGAAGAAACCAGTCCTGGACGAAAGTGGCAAAGCCAAATTCCAGTGGAGTGTTCTCTGGCAGGTTCTCACAGACTGGCAGCTGTACCTGCAGGCACTCGTCTTCATGTCCAACGCTGTGGTGAGTTTAAGTTCCCCAAGTACCCCAAACGGGTGACTCCTCATTCTCTTGATTCTGGTTCTCCCCGTTATGTATTTATTCTGACAGACGCAATAGCCCAACTATGGTCTCAAGTTCACCATGCCTCAGATCATCAAGAATATGGGCTACACATCGTCCCGCGCCCAGCTCTTGACGGCGCCACCTTACTTCTGCGGTGCGATCAGCGCGCTAGTGAGCTCACTGTTGGCCGACAGGTTTACCTGGAGAATGCCGTTCATTGTCGCTTCTCAGGCCCTACTCATCATCGCCTACTCGATCCTGTTCTCTAAGGCTGAGCAGATCACCGACAATATTCCTCTCTGCTACTTTGCTGTCTTCGTTGCTTGTGTTGGCATCTATCCGATCCTTCCAGGATGCAATGCGTGGACAATCAATAACCTAGCAGGACCCGCGAAGAGGGCTATGGGCATTGCTTCATGATATGTATGGGAAACTGCGGAGGCATTGTTGGCTCATTCATCTTCCTGCAACGCGAAAGCCCAAAATATCCGACTGGCTTCGGTAGCAGTCTGGCGTTCGCTGCCGCTGGGATTGTGTCAGCCCTAACACTTGAGACCCTGTTCTGGAGCATCAACAAGAAGAATGAGAAATTCACGGAGGATGAGATCCGCAGAAAGTACACGGAGGCGCAGCTTGAGAAGATGGGGGACAGGTCGCCATTATTCAAGTACCACTTGTAAACGATGCTGTCGGCGGAGGTTTCTTGGGATCCCTGGGAGAAGAAGAGCAATCGCGGAAGGCCACCGCCTGGATTTCGGGCAGGCGCTCTTATTTCCGCCAATCTCCATCAACGTCACAACTTTGTCGCGCACTGCTTCTACATAGTTTTGTAGCTGACAGCGTTGACCACAGTATCTTGTCTTGAGTATGGTCTACATGTACTTACTTACTGAGAGCATCATGCTCTGCGACAGGTTAGCTTATTGCATGCCTAGTACAGGTACTGGATCGGCTCGGTATGTCGTGCTTAAAGCGAGCCACTCGGCGCCCAGGAGTGATTTCCAGAATTCGGGATAGCTCCAGCCTCAACGTCAGACCTAATTGTCATGCATCTGGCTCATCCACAGCCTGTCACACACTTGAGTCCAGATCTACGAGCTAATGTCGAACTCGCCACTGATGGCAGTGTCTTTGATTGACAGCTCACGCTTCGACTGCAATGATGGTGGTACGGATGCTCAGACTTGTCACGAGGCCGTGAGCAACGGCTTGCCGGCGCCCGTTGACGCTGTTGGATAGGCCTCTTATTACTACTGTGACGATGGCCACCGACAAGGTCTTTCTATGGGTTAACAAAGACTCGACTGACGTCGATTTGAAGCCCTCAGATCCCTTTAGTATCACGTCCCATGTGTCAAGGAACCATCGGAAATGGCTTAAGACGCAACGGCAGAAGAAGTTGGACGCGACCCGACCCCGATATCTGGTACACACAACGTTTTCGGAATTCCATCCACCAGACCCCAAGCAAAGTCCCTTCCAGTCGCCAAATGTAAGATGGGAATCGGGCAATGACCATGTGCCTGGAAGGGCAGCCTCGGAGCCTGACCGCACTATTGGTGCCAAAGATACGAGTTGCCAGAAAAGGGAAACACAAAATGCAGATCTTCCGGGGACTAAACAGGTGTTCAAGCACGAATACGCCAATCGCGACGGATCTGTTGACCTGTGCCCGACTTCTGTCACTTTGGGGGCGGTTCATAGGTATAAGGGCAACTCCGATCCCTTTGGCGCCTGCGTGCTACCGTTGACTCCGGAGCGGTCACAGGCTCTCAAATCTGCGCTTCGTTGTTTCGTGTTTGCCGCCTGGCCTGAGGATGCCAAGAGCGTTTTCAGAGCCCGTCTCGGCGACAAAGGCTCGCATATCGATCTCAGCCATGCCATCAGTAGCGATGCGGAATTGAATGCCATTCTGGCTTCGGGCTACTACGCGCAGAATGTTCTGGATCCAGGGGCTGGCCGAGAGGCCCTTTCACATCGGCTGCGCTCTATAGAGCTGCTTAGGCAGCGATTACAGGAAGCCCTTCCATTAGCAAACCTTCTGACTCTCATGAGACTGCTCATCTCACTCGACTTCAACTCCGGAGACTTTGAGTCTGCAAGGGTCCACCTACGAGGCATTCGAAGCTTGTGTCAACATGATCATCAGTTGGAGAGTAATTTGCGCGAAGTAGTGCGGAACAGCGATGTATGGATCGCTATGGCACTTCTCTCGAAGCCCGATATCGATCCCGCTCAACATGATCCTGGGCCACCCGCGCAGCAGAAGTGGTACTCCACATTGCCAGCAGCACAGAGAGCGAGATTCAAGTGGTCACAGCTACCTGTGGTCGTTGCGACTGTCCTCGGCGTGGAGCTTAATCGTCTGCTTTCTGCCGCGAAGACTGTCATGTACGGCAAAGATGCTATTACGTTGCCTGGCAACGAGCAGACGAGGAGTCGAATGGTCTTCTGGACCTCTCGACGAGGCTCGGCAACGACTGGTGGTCTCATGACCCAGTATGCCCTCGAGATGGATCTGTCTGAAAGCATTCCTTGTGACCCGGACGCACAACCATATCATCATTTGCGTGCAGCAGCATCATTGGTAGTCATCCTCTTCATGAACATCCACTGGATGGACATGGCTATCAATTATGACTTCAGCAGGACCTTCACCGCAATAGAACCGTTACTCCGCAAGTGCTCTTCGCACGCATCACCAACAGATATGGCTCTCACGCAGACTCTTCTGTGGTTAACATTTCTCTGCGCAGTGGGCGACGACATATTCGCTGCACGAGGCAGTCTCTCCTTCTCCGGCTGGGCAGCGAGGGAATTCCCAAGGCTCTGCAAGATACTTGGCGTCGCGGGATTCACAGCGACTCGACAGCTGTTAGCAGAAATCGCATACCGCGATAGCATCATGGACGAATTTCTCGAGGCACTCCTCGATAGAGACGCCGAGCACGCCACAATTCGAGGTCCCATCCTCGATTTTGGGCGCTGGCGAGTCATACTGAATCACTATGTTGACGGGTAATGAAAGCCTCTTCAGAGATGGGTCATACTGTAGTGCCTGCCTAGGGACACTCGAAAAGTCCAACACTAAGTGAGGCCTATAGTGTGCAGATAAAAGGCTGCACCCACGTCGTCGGGTTGACTTTCGGACATTGCTTTGCACATAGCAGTCTGCAAGCACGTCACTGGCTTGTTTCCGGCTTCTCCAGTCACGATATCCTGTATTCGTATCGCGCATGGGAGCCAGGTTCCCGTGCGCTTGTGGCTGCTAAGCTACATCTGTTGGAGGATGCTATCAAGGCCTCCGAGATCGTCAGACACCTCACGTACTCTAACGTGTCGCTTCGGAAAGTGACCGCAACCTGTTAGACGGTCGACATACCTGGGCAGACAGTCCGTAGGGGAAGTGCTGCTCGAACGGATATTGAGCGGACAGGTGAGAAACGAGCCAGCTGGTTCCTGCATGCCAAGATGCAACTTCCCCACCACCGCCCAGAGGCCAAACTCGGAGAGGAAGCTCAAAAAGATGCCTGCCAGGATTTGCTCGATCCTGCGACATGCGTGTCTGGCAGGTGACGTCGTAAACAATGCTCTTCAAGCATCGGTCTGTCCGTTCTTGAGAGCTGAGTACTCAACGATTGGACTACGCCATGCAGATTGCTTGCAGTTGTTCAGATCGCCACGCCGAGCTCTCCCCGCTCACTCAATTACCGTGCCATGTGAACCACGATGAGTCCTTCTCGCAACACCAACGTGAGTGAATCAGGCCAACGACTCTAGCAATCGCTCGCAACGTCCCTTGCTGTACCTCGCAGGCTGCGAGCTGTACCGAACAAAGAAGGAACCCTGCCAGCAGCTAAATTTCTTGGAATCACGACAGTTGACGATCTCCCTCCACTATCGTTCTTGGCGCAGGCACACCGCAGCCAATCGGTGTTGCCAATGATAGCGACGCGAAGTTCTGGAATATTAACGCCTTGGCAGAGAGCGGGGATCTACAGCTACATCATCTAGGAATTCCTTGACATTTGCTTTATTCGACTAAGAACGATAGCGAGGTTGCATTCACCTGGATGTATGACCAGTTGAGGAAGGACACAGAAGGTAAGACTTCGGCCAACGGCAGGCAACATGCCTTGCAGATATGCACCTTCCCAGGGTAGGTGCTTGATTTCCGAACGATGGTATCATTCGTGGTACAGGTCTACGTGATTGAGCATGAGCGAGTCCCGCGTTGAGCAACTTCTATAAAAGTCGACTCACAGGGCGATATCCAGCCGACTTCTGAACGGTAACCCCATATTCTTACCTCTGGTCATCTACATCGTTCGTGGGAATTTGCGACAATGAAGGCCTCAATCCTTTCAACGTGCGCATGCGCTGCCACGATGGCACATGTTGCCTACGGCCAGGGCTGGGAGGATCACCCATCGCCTGTGTCCAGTGCTGCCTTAGTCGACCTCATTGCGGTCGAAGACCTCGAAGCCGGCGCGGCTGCACTCCAGAAGATTGCGGATGAGAATGGCGGCAACCGCGTCTTCGGAAGTACGGGTCACAATGCGACTGTAGACTACCTCGTCGCCGAGCTTGAAGCACTCGATTACTACGACGTCAGCACGCAGGCATTTGTCGAATTGTTTTCGGGCGGCAGCGGGTCTCTCACTGTTGATGGAACAGAGTATGAGGCTCTCATTCTGACATACACCCCCAACGGCGATGCCACTGGATCACTGGTTGCCGTCGATAATCTGGGCTGCGACGAAGCAGATTTTCCACCTGAGGTCGAAGGTCAAATCGCGCTCATCTCCCGCGGTACATGTACTTTTGCGGCGAAGGTGCTGAACGCTGGCGCAGCAGGCGCTGCTGCTGCAATCGTCTACAACAACGTCGAAGGCACCCTAGCTGGTACGCTTGGCGGTACCGACCCAGGGTATGTGCCCGTGCTTGGCCTCACGCAAGCCGATGGCGAGGCTCTTCTGGCCCTTGCTGAAGCAGGCGACACTGAAGTTGAGATGTCTGTCAATGCCGTTCTAGAAAACCGGACGACCTTCAATGTCATTGCAGAGACCAAGGGAGGAGACCACGATAACGTCATTGCTCTCGGCGCTCATACCGATTCGGTTGAACAGGGTCCCGGAATCAACGACAACGGCAGCGGCTCAATCGGTATCTTGACTGTTGCCAAGGCCTTGACCAAGTTCACCACCACCAACGCCGTCCGTTTCTTGTGGTGGAGTGCAGAGGAGTTCGGGTTGTTGGGTGCAGAGTACTACGTCTCGCAACTCAACCAGTCCGAGTCGGAGATCGCCAAGATTCGTGCGTACTTGAACTTTGACATGATCGCAAGCCCCAACTATGGTATTTTCATCTATGATGGCGATGGATCGGGATTCAACATCACCGGACCTCCTGGCTCTTCAGAGATCGAAGCTGGATTCGAGGCATTCTTCACTGCCGCGGGTTCTCCTTATCTGCCGACCGCCTTCGATGGCCGATCCGACTACGGTCCATTCCTCGAGAACGGCATCGCTGCTGGTGGCCTCTTCACTGGCGCCGAAGACATCAAGAGCGAAGAAGAAGCCGCTCTCTTCGGCGGTGAGGTCGATGTTGCTTTCGATGTGAACTATCATGCGGCAGGTGATACCATCGACAACTTGAACTATGACGCGTTCTTGTTGAATACGCAAGCAATCGCAGACTCCGTTGCGACTTATGCTACCAGTCTCGACGCGATTCCTGTCAGAAGCGCTCCAGAGCGCAGAAGAGCTGCTGCTGCTGCAAGAGCAATGATGTCGAAGAGAAGTGTCAAGAGACACGCACACACCCACTCTGCGCCCTGCGGTCAGTCAAAGACGGAACTGTAAAGTTACACGATGAAAGGCAAACCTCATCAGTTCGCTGTAGGGCTTTCCCATTGAGGAAGTAATGAGTTCAAATAAAACACGGACCCAGCACATTAATGAACATGTAGCATGTTTGCACCTAGCTCAGTTTCTGTGTCTCTACTAGCTCCGCCGTCGGATTATTGATGCAACGAAATAGTGGTCTGTGATCTGCGTCAACCAAACACTGAAACGTGACCTATCTCGCCCCATAGACTGCAGATATCATCCGGCCACAGGCGAGTCCAACCACACGTTGTGTTTACCTTGATGGTGGACGCCTTGAGTCCCTGGAGTGTCCAGTCATGGACCCCAAAGTCTGCCTTTCCACCCTACGCCGGGGTTATGATCTCCGCCATGGTACATCTAGACACCGGGTTGAACATGGCCGTGCTCTTCGCGGCGTTCCCACCACATGCATGCCACGTAAGTGTCCCATACGACATGGACTGCCACCAAGGCAAAGTGATAGATCACTGTCGTACTACGATCACGTCTAGCCATGGCGGTCCACAGGCGGTGAGCTTAGGCATGGGTGTCGAGATTCGCCCCGAACCAAAACATGCGGCTCACATTGGTAGATATTGCGGCCTTCCGCATTCACCTTGCTGTCGAATTCGATCGTGATATATAATCCAACAGCCATCACGACAGCAGACATCTCTCGAGACTATATGAACAACAGCTGATAAGTCGGAAAAGGCGGGGTCTCTGCAGTCGATCACGGGGCTTCACGCCCTCATTGTTGGCGCCATCTCGGGGTATTGACTTTCTCAAAAGCAACCCTACTGGAAGTCCTCCGCACCGTTCATCAGCTTCCAAGCTTCCTTACCTCATCAACATACGAGCCTTGCAGCAACATCAGAATTCCTGTGTCTCGCTACAAGAGCGCCTCAACAGCAATCCGGCAGCTTCATAGCACAAGAGCGACCGACCCCACGGGCTCCTGCTATTCGTTCGTTGAAGCAGCTGTTGGGTGAGGCCCTCGGCTTCCCCCACACCCCACAGTCATCGCTAAATATCCTCCACATCGAATATCGCGACACTTCACGATTATCACTGTTGGGCGATCGGGCGCCTGACAAGGATGATGGTCCTAGACCAGCCTTCCTCGCCATCAGCAGCGCAATCTGATCCCCGATACAACTGCCCTTCATGTATGTAGAAGCCGCATCCCGGACTGGTTGTGTGCACGAGCGGCAGCCTAACCCATGATCAGGTCCCAAGACATTTGTACGCAAGGCTCACATGCTGAGACATCAGCAACAGCGTAAGTATTGTCTGGCATCGCACGGTTCGGCGATGTTAACGTTGCACCAGATGGAGCCTCGAAACCATTTATGTGCACTTTTTGCTCGAAGTCATTCAAGCGAAGCGACGTCCTCCGTGCCCACCAGTTCAGGTGCAAGGAACGAGGCGACGCACCTGTGCCAGATGGGCAGAGTAAAGGTCGCAAGCGATCCTCATGCGCGTCGTGCGTCAAGCTACGCACTAGATGTGACCAGGAGACGCCTTGTGCACGATGCGTTGAGCTTGGCAAGGAATGTGTTCGAGGTATGTCCAGTGTCGTCGCCGCGTCTAATGCGATACTAATGAGGCCTTCAGAGCCGACAAGCCAACCTAGTCCACCTCAGGAAGTTCCACCACGCCCGAGGAGCCGCGAAGCCATACCAATCGCCTGGCTTCTGAACAGCCCTCCAGACGACAAGGACTTTGGCAGCCACTTTCCTGTCCCCGACAATGCTGGAAGTGACACCAATACAACAGCGCCCGATCCGGAAGTGCTTTCCGAACCCAGTCCATGGGGTGAAGGCATGGAAACGTTCGAAACTTATTCCGGCCCTGTTCAGTCGACCGCCTTTGATTCATTTTTTGATGGACTAGGTGAGCCCTTAATCGATCATTTGTTCTGGGCGAGTCCTTTGAGACAGTTCGGCCAACATCAGTTGCCATTAGAAAACCTTACCTTCGGCACATCCACGCTGAGATCGAATGATATTCAGGACTTTGAACCACTGCAGCTCGGGATTACCGATCCACAGTTACAAGCTTACGAAGCAAGAGCGCACGAGGTCCGACAGGCGTTGCAGATGACTGCCGCTAACTATGGCCCTACAATGCCTGACCCACACGACATGCTCAGTCTTGTACCAAATATCAACAGCCTGACTGCCATGGAGATCGCGTCGCTGGTCGACCTGTTCTTTCAGAACTATCACAGGCACTGCCCGGTTATTCACCAGCCATCCTTCGACTTGACGGCTGTGCCTTTGGCATTACTCCTTGCTGTCCTGGCGTTGGGAGGGATGTATGCGCCCGACAAGCCAAGACTCGAGCGAATGCGATCGCTTCTAGACGTGATTGAGCTGTACATCTTCAATCTTGACGGCTTGAGGGAAGAGTTCCCCTTCTCTTCGGACCTGGGCCAGGCACCCGATGAGGACTCCTTACACGCGCAGTTTCAAATACTGCAGGGTGGCTACCTGATCGTTGTGGCCCAGTACTTTTCTGGAAACCTGTCTGCGAAGCGACGTGCGCGGCGTCAGCGATTCTTGAGAGTGCTTGATGTGAGTTCTCTTTACCCAAAAGACTCCATATGCTGAAATCCATAGGTCGCTCGTTCTTGCAAGCTTCCGGGTGCCCAACATTCTCCGTACCTATCAGTCCACGACGAGCAATCTTTCCAGGCATGGATCCGAGAAGAGAATCGGATACGACAATTCAACGTCATGATCGCATTCGACGCGGCCCTGGCGATCTTCAATAACGTTCCGCCTCGAATTACTTTCGGCGAAATCGATGTCGCACTGCCTTGTGACCAACAACAGTGGCAAATAGGCTCGTACGCCGAGCTGATGGCCCAACCGACATTTCCGCAGCCACGACCAAAGTTGATGGACTTGTTCCAGCTTCTGTTTGCGCCGACTGCCGACTTCCATGCGGTGAAACAGAAGATCACTTGGAGTTGTTGGGATTTGCTATACCTAATCCACCTCCTGTATCTCCACGTCTGGCGCCAGACGTTCTCCAATCCGCTACTGCGCAAATCACCATACGCAACACCGCCACAGCCCAATATCCTGGAGCCGCTCGAAACAGCGATCCGGAACTGGAAGATAATCTGGGATGAGACACACTCAAAGCTGAGCCCTGATCAATTGCGCGGCATGGGCTTCGAAACCTCGTCAGATAGTTACTGGACACTAACCAAACTGATACTCCAGGCTTTCGATGTGCACCACGTGAGAAGCAGTGCGAGCGTTGCCATAGCTGGTTCTGATTCGGCGACTGCGTCCAGCCCAGCGGCTGAGCCAGTCAGTGCCCCCGCCACGACTATTGCCTCTCAGTCCTTGACATCTCTTCACCCGCAGCCGTCTCTTGAATCAGCTCACTCCCAAGGCAACGCTCGACGACTTTCCTCGGCAGGACTTATGCGTGCCAACGGAAGCGCCTATCCTGACTACAACGCCTATAATCTTGCCGCAGCCCAAGCGGGCATGGTACCCTTGAACGGCACTCCAACCGTGCCGGTCAATGGCAGTGGCAGCAATTACATCCCACCCAGTCAACGCTTTGTGCCACAGAATCAGCAATCGCCCGTACTGAAACGAGAAAACAGCGTCATCAGTGCATCTGGTCTGCCTCCAGGCCTAGGCTTAACAGGGAATTACTCCTTCAACAATCTCCGCACGGTACCTCCCGTTGTAACAGGGTCAGGAGCTTCAGAACCAACAAGTGCGACAAGTGTCACAGCCACGGAGTTCGGCGGCGGTCTGGACTTCATGCCTCTCGAAGCAGATTGCGACACTCAAGGGGCCCATTTGAAGCGGATTTTGAAGGCTGTGCGGCAATGAAATGGGATCAGCGGAGATCAACGTTCATCTCGTGCATGCAGTGTATCGAGCTGAGAGATACCCTCTGACCAGGAGAAGAGCGCGCCAGAGGAGCGTCCTCGGCCAATATGAAAGTAGGTAGGGCCCGATATGGAGTCATAAATCGCCCCACTACGAGTCGCTGAATTTGATGCGGCGCCAGCAGATGTGTGCTCTGTGCGCGATCACGAAGTTTTTGATGAATTGTCAAGCTGTATCCTAGTCGGTTTCGGAGTAGGAGGCGACGAGGCGACGTGCTTTGCGTGATCTGCTGTGTGGCGCCACCTTGTTATCCTGGTCGAGGATCACCCGCTTGGGCCCAGGAGAATACTAGACCGCCGGTCCGTCGGTCTCAGAAACTTGGCAAGCTCTATGTATCTTGGTGATCATGGCTGTGTGGCCTGTTTGACGCCCGTCCAAATAGCAGGAGCTTTCGGAGCCGGTGCAGATGCACCCTCCTCGCCATGAGTACATCACCTCAAATAGAAGAAGGCTCGACCCACCACCATGCAGTATAACTGGACAGAGCTGACACCTTGAGCACCACCGATCGTTCAAACGGCTCAGTCAAGTTGCCTAGTAGCCATACTCCTCGACCAGCTCTACCACCGCTTGCACGACCTTCTCGACATCAGTCTTCTTGATCGGCACACGGTGCGGACCATCCCACTCCACGACCGTCGTAGTCAACGGCGCGCAGTAGTCCCTGACAGCCCGCCTATGCCACTCTATACCTTCGTCTCTGAGGCCGTGTACGTGTATAGTTGGTGCGCGAAGCTTCATATCTGGCCTATCCGCAATGGCATCACAATCTGCCTCTGCCGGCAGACCCGCCGCGCTCTGCAGCCACGCAAGCTTCTCCCCTTCCGCTGACAGCGCCGCAAAAGGGCATCTACCAGCAAGAAGCACTCCAAACTTCCACATCACCGGCTGCTCCTTTGCCTCCCTGTCCTTCGAAGTCAACCCCGTCGGTCTCCCCTCATCAACCCGCATCTGCTGCTCCGCCAACAAGCTCCCCACCAGCTTCGCCCCCTGACTAAACCCCCACAGCCCAACCCACTCCCCAGTCCCTCCGTCCTTCTCCATACCCTTTTTGATACTCCCCCATATGGCCTCATGCACCGCCTCCACCCCCTTCGCATCCTGCTGGTGGCTCTCCAACCACCGAAACCACCGTCGAAATGGGCCCCAGTCGTCGTAGACAGGCGAGATGCCGACGCCTTCAGCGCACTCGAATGGTGCGTCGATGAAGACGAAGCGGAAGCGGTCGGATAATGAAGGGTGGGCGAGAATGGAGCGCATCTGGGAGTGGAAGATTTGGGCATTGACGCCACCGCCGTGGAGGCAGAGGATTCTCGGGAGGGACAGGGTGTGCTGTGGGGGAGTGGTGATGTCTGGTGGGGGGCGGGGAAGTCCCATTCTGTCGGCTGTGTGGCGGGCTGTGGTTGTTGAGAGAGGTGACGATGCTGGTGTGCGAAGGTGACAGAGGGGGTTGACGCTTTTCGAACTGCAGTAGAGTGTTCGGGAATACTGGTATGTTAAAAGTCGTTGTAGACCAATGGCAGTGGTCGTCTTCATGAACTCCGACAAAGTATTCCAAGGGAGGCTGAAATGTGCTGTTTCCGCCCCACTTCCGCCCGACGTTGCTCGCTTTTAGTACTCGAAAATGGTCGGTCGTACGCTCGTCAGAATGGACATAATAACACTGATTCGCGGCGCTCTTCTAGATCTATTCTATGCTTGAGCAGGAATTGTACGAAAGAGAGAGCGATCGGTGAAGACCCGAGCAAGACCTCGTCGATCTCCGGAGTCTTGGCGTTGACTTCCATGTATGGGTCTAGCAGCCTTCGACAATATGTGATCAGGCCAGAGAAGCAGAGAGACATAGTTAAAGGGGCACATAGAATCACAGGTCCAGGAAATGCAAGTCAAATCCATACAGAACCATCTTTCGAGAGAATCAAGTACAATAAAACATCGGACATCCCAAGCTCCCTCCGTATCAAGCACCCCTGCTCACAACAGGCCTAGCGAAGTACGCCTGCGGCGCAATACTACCTGGCCTAGCCTTCAGGTTTATTCCAGATACCGCCACCTATCCTTCTCATCTATTCCTTGCCACGTAAAGAACCAGTCCTTCATCGCCGCGTCCCACTGACTCGGCCACGCCTGTACCGCCTCAACCCGTTGACTGACTCCCTGCACCAAGCAGATCTCACCTTGATAGCCCACCATTTGGATGATCGCACCCTCGTACGCAGCTTGTGCATGGCATATGCCCTTGCAGCCGGCGCTCGGTAGACTTGGACCGCGACAGCGGAGAAGAAACAGGCCCCTGCGAAAATGGCCATTTGCCGATAATAGAGGTCGCCGCGGCGGATGCGGTCGAAGTCGTTCTTGAGGAAGCGATAGGTCTTTTTGGTGAGACGGGTGAGGACGTGTTTTGTGGCAGTGTATGAAGTGTGAGCCAGGGGACTGATGTGCTTTTTGAAGATTGCTCTGGCACGGTTGACTTTGCGGTGGCAGACAGTAGTCGCTTTGCTCAGGGCTGAGGTTTTGGCTATCAACGAGGACTTTGGTCGACTTGTGGGCCTTCTTGAATATGGAAGTGACTTCGGCCATCTCAGCGGCGGATTCATCACTTTGCCAGTAATTATTTTCTCCTGCCCAGTCGGGCCGGCACCTTGGGTGAACACAGCAGGTCTAGGAAGCAATGCAGAATTACGTCTGTGCCAGATTTTGATGGGCAATCGAGGGTCTCTGGGTTGGCGAGGGTCCCAGGGTTCATAGACTTCATCATCTTCGGTCGAATCCCAGCTGGACAAGAGTTGTTGAGCCCTAGCATTCAGATATATCGGTTCCGAACTGGATGCAGGTGCCTGAGCGCTAGGCTCTAGCACTGTCAGTACCGCAGACCATGAATTCAGATGGGATTTGTTATACCTCGGACGGGTTGAACTACTGGACGGCGCATGAGTAAGTGCTTATACTTTTCAGCCCATTCCTTTCCCGCTGCCTTCACAGCGGCGTGGACCTTTTCGCGGTGTGCGGCCGATAGTGGCGTGGGATATAAATAAGATTCTTCGCTGTGCCAGTCATTTCGTCGAAGCCGTTTGTGCGCGACTCCTCCGCATGCACCTTCATGAAGTAAGCCACAAGAACAGAGCTGGAGGGACTTCCGTTTCCTTTGGATGCTTTTAGGCCGGACGGTTTCAGTGGCTGCAGCGACAAGGTCGAGCTCTCGTGCGTTCACGCCATCGGGTAGATCGTTGACCAGATGGACGGAGAGATCAACTTTGGCTTGCTCAAAGTGTTTGCTGGCCTCAACTGGCGTGCGACCAAGGCTGTTGAGACGGTGATGGATGTAGTAGTCCTTTCCGGCAAGTCCCAATTTGACGTGCAAGTAAGTCTTCGAGTTATCTGAATCCTTAGGAGGTGATATCTGCTTTGGTGCGTCGACGCTGGGTCGAGCTGTGCTCTTGGGCTCGGCAGGTGTGGGTAGGGGGGGTTTTGCCGCTGCCGAAGGAGTTTTGGCGGTTGTGCGACCTTCAGAACTGGTCGTTGCGGGATTCGCCTGGGACGCTTGAGCGGCGCCAGTGGATGTCGCCTTCGTCGCCGATGCTACAGGTGACTTTGTTGACGTGCGGTCCTTGGGATCGGATCGGGCTGGAGCTACTGAGGCTGCTCCAGGAGCTGCGGTGGGGTTTGTCTTCATCTTCTCAATCTCTGCGATTGGCACTTCGTGCCTGCGTTGCCAAACCAGCAAGTATGGCTGAAAGCCTTGTGGATCATGATGTACAGCTTCTTGGAAGTTACTGGCAGTCTTGACCTTGTCGTTGAGCCTATACCACTCCGTCTTGAAGTTAACGTAGCTGATATAGTGTCCAGAATTCAGATCGCCGTAGTGGGCTACAACCCCAACAAGATCGTATTTCGCATCGACCTTCTCCCATTCTTGCATCACAGGGTCGAGATGCTCTGCAAGATCGAGCACTGGATCAATGCTAACTTTTGACTCATTTTTGCCGGTCTTCCCTGATGGCTTTTTGCCCTTTTTGGCTGAATCCAAAGCAAAATCAAATCGCTTCAGTTGCATGAAGATGATTTCTGGTAGGCGGCGAAGATAGGAGATCCTTGGAGCTTTTCGGACCTCCATTTCAGCAGGCCGATTGTCTGTTGACTTTTGACATTGTTCACACTGGTAATTAAAAGGCTGCTTGCGCTCGCGCCGCAGAAGATCGATCAACTTCTGATCCGTTGACAGTCCGATCCTCCAGGTCAGATCAACATCTTCCGGATGCGCAAATTTCGCCGGATGCTGTGTACCGCAGTCCCGGCAAACGCTGAACAGACTGCGGTTGATCTCGATGAGTTCGTTCAAGTCTGTCATGAAGGCTTCGTCGGAGCCCTTCTTTTGCGCCAACTGGAAGCGTTCCGCAGCGAAGAGGTGATCAAGAAAGTCTGAGGCATCTCTCTGAACTCGATGCTTCTTTTGTGCGATATTATGGCGCCCAGGTATGATCCATGGCCCGGCGACACTGTCCACGGCCCAGAAGTCTTCCCATACTTTGGCGATAAATTTCGCGTACGCAGCATCATTGGCATCCGTTCCATTTATGTGGTCCCAGATGGCTCCGAGCGGCTTCATTGTTCCGGGCACATCGCTGTGCTTGTTCAAATAGCTTTTGACATAACTCATGAATCGGTCGTTGTAGAGCAGGATATTCAAGACCGAATTCCTATAGCACAAATGGGACGCTGGCGGATTTGCCATACCGCGAAGTTGGAAATGAGAGGTCCGTTCATTTTCGAGTTGAAGCAGCATGCTGTCGAGATCGTTTCTGAACGATACATTTGAGTGCAGCGGAGTTAGGGGTTTCCCTCTCGTAGCCTCCGGCGTCTTGGTTTCCAGGACAGCAAGAATTTCCTGCTCTGTCGGCGAAGAGGCCATCTCGGACGACTGGACAGTTTCGCCACAACAGTAGAACGCGATACTGGAGCACAATTGTGACTGCAGAGCTGACCACCAAGGCGATAAGCAGCTGGTACAATTGAGTGCGCTCATAAGGTTCGTCCATAGCTGCAAACGGACACACACGGGACAAAGAGTACTTCGCTAGACAAGCGAGTGACGCTGCTACAGCTTGCTCTTTATCATGAGACAAAGCCATCTTCGAGCTTGGGGAGACTGGCCATGCAAAGCAGAGAGACCACGGATCTGAGCCTGCCCGTATACTACACATCAGCAATTCTCGACGCACGATGGCGGAAATCGCGCGAAGGAGGATGGAGTGATGGCTCGTGCTCGATGTGGCTGACTCGTGGCCCGGCACGGATGGTCCAAGCGCTCGGATCAAATGACACTTGCAACTGATCGTATGTACTGCAGGCAGATAGCTTCTCAGGATCGTGGAGACGATTCTAGTCGTCTGAGGGAGGGGACTTATGCCGTTGACAGGGTTGTGGTTGGTAGCAGGCTGTTCGAGCATGAACTGAGCGTTTCCAGCGGGGCCAGTTTGAACCTCAAGATTTCGGGTCAGGGCGGGCTCTGAGGGCTGGAATTGTTCTGAAAACCGAGCCATGAAGTCTGGGAGGAGCCTCACTTGAGCCTCAAGTCGCAGAATCAATCTATCATCCGATTGCCTGCCAGGGAGGTCACTGTAAGAAATTTGGCGTGAGGCATGTTAAGGATAGAGAAAACGCTCATGTTTTGTCCGAACATCTTCGGTAGTAGAGTTCCCCGCCGGCTCCTTCCAGACTGGCTGTCCATCGTCAGTAAATTCTGCCCATTGAAAGTATCCACATCCAACAGCCCCTTCCGTAGAATCTACATCAACAGCAGCCTTGGCTTCGGCTCGACTACCGACTTGACACATCCACATATACCGACCACGAGTTTCCTTCCTCTTTTGGACACACTTTAGGACAGTTGGAGTACCGCATTTACAGCGGGGCGTTTTGCTAGGATGGAACTCCTCACGATACCATCTATAGGTTATGTTGATGCGCTTGTTGCCGGCGATGGGATGGGGATCGATCGATTGTGCAGGAGCAATGCTGTGTTTCCACTCTTCTTGCATTTCTGCATGCATCACAAGCAGCGAATTGTGTGGGAGATGAATAGCGATTTGACCTTGCTGATCTGCTTGTGATCTGGAAGCTTTATCTGATTGTCCAGGCGACTGAGGCGGCGAGTCTGGTGGTACGATTTTGCGCACGCGGAACTCTCTGGCTACGCCGAGAGACAGGCTGCCAATGACAGCGCGAGGTCCAAGATAGCTCAATTGATCGCTATGATAGCCGACTGACTGCGCTGGTCCATCGTAGCAGTTCACAAACGCGGCATTTGGTTGCCATTCCTTCGAGCTCTGAAATTTGAGCTTCTCTCCGTTGGGGTAGTGGGTTCGTATGCGTGTCTTCACCTCGTCATTGACAGCCTCCTGAACGCGATGAGACACTTTGCTCATTGTTGGAAGCAATTGCCGTACGTCGGAAAGATAAGAACCGTTGTAGAGATAAGTGTGGCGCTGCTCGGCCAGCATCGATGAGTCGACATAAAATGATGCTGTGTGAGGTGATTTGACCACATTGTCGAACAGCTTAAAGGTTGCGGACGTGTAGCTTGGGACTTCGGGCAGAAGCTCTTCTAGTAGCTCGTTGGCCAGATCTGAGGGCAGGAAATTGTGAATGATACTGCACGGGGTGTGTATTGCGATGTCCTCCGGGCGATAAAGGTGCAAGGTCCGGCCTCTCTTCGTCAAAGATTGCAAAGATGGCACGACTGACAAGTTTTGACCAAATGACAATGCAGTCTGGGCTCCAACAGCTGACACCTTCCTCTTCGGTGGCGGCAAGTCCGTGCTCACGGACGAGATGGCGTTTGACGATCTTTCGACAGAACCATCATGATCGAGTAGTATCTCCAAGAGAGCTTCTTGGGAGACATCAGAGTGCAACGAGGACAAAATCGCCAGCTTGAAGTCCGTTGAGTCGTCTTCCGGACCATGGTCTGTAGCTTCCTCGACTGCTGTCCTGAGAACGACTGAGCTTGGCGTGAATTGAGGCGACCGAGGCCGTTTGCGGCTTAAGAACGCGTCCATAGTAAGTGAATGGCAGCTGAGCAATGAAGACCTCGGTCAGGTGCCATGACGGTGAGCAGACACGACACGCCGGGATACAGACACCTTCCAATTTAGATGTCGCCACAATAGCAGAGTGAAGATCGAAGAAAGCGGCCGTTGCTGCAGAAGTGACCCACCTGCAGTGGCACACTGCTGTTCTGATACCGTAAATTACTTGATACCGGCATATTTTTGGTGGTGGCGCGGGACTTCAAGTTACCTAGGTACAGACATCCCCGCCGCGCCGATCTGAGCACTTCCTATTTTCTGGCCCCGCGCAATCAGTTTGATAATTCATCGCCCGCACCGAATCCAGCCTGATCTATATCATGTTGCTTCAGGTCTATTGTCCCATGCGGCCGTATTGACTCCATCGTTGACCGTAAAAAGGTTGAGTCGTCAACCATGAGCGCTGATCGAGAGTTTGATGCGACCACGCCGCCATTGTTACCATGCTTGAATTCCTCACAGCCGGCTTCCAGGGCTATGCTGTACAGTACTCACCATTCTTCGACAACAGAATCGCGGTAGCAGCAGCCGCCAACTACGGCCTGGTAGGCAACGGCAGACTATACATCCTTGAGCTGACCCCTCGGGGGATCCAGTGTCTGAAGTGGTAGGGCAATCTGCGTCAAATGACTCCTACTGGTGGCTCATGTATTGTTCTAGGTATCCTACGCAAGACGCACTCTACGACCTGTCGCACTCCGAAGCGCACTCAGCGCATATCGTGACCTCTTCCGGCGACGGGTCATTACGTCTCTACGACACAACACTGCAGCCAGAGTTCCCTATTGCGACCTTTCAAGAACACAGCCGAGAAGCGTTCTCATGCAGCTGGAACCTCACCAGCAAAGCCACCTTCGCATCTTCTTCGTGGGACGGGACAGTTAAGATTTGGAATCCCGAAAGGCAGCAGAGTCTCCTCACGCTCCCCACACATTCGTGCACGTATAGCACGCAATGGAGTCCACATACCGATGGTGTTATCAGCGCAGTCTGCTCTGACAGCCATCTGCGCATGTGGGATCTGCGCACTCCTGCCAGCGCCAACAACCACCTCGTGCTCCAAATGGCACTGCACTCACCTCCCGTAGCAACGACTATGGGCAAGCCGCAGCCTACGTTTCCTCCTGCGGAAGCACTGACACATGACTGGAACAAGTACCGAGGTACAATTGTAGCCACGGGTGGAGTTGACAGAATCATCCGTACCTTCGATATTCGCCAGCCAAAGGGTCCGATGCGACTCATGCAAGGCCATGGCTATGCTGTACGGAAGCTGGCATGGAGTCCTCACCTTCCAGACCTGCTTCTCAGTGCAAGCTATGACATGACGTGTCGTCTATGGACGGACGGAGGTGACCAAGGGGCGGAGGGCAGGGAACTCGGAGTCATGGGAGCACACACCGAATTCGCTACAGGTGTCGATTGGTGTCTCTTCGGCAGTGAGGGTTGGGCGGCAAGCTGTGGGTGGGATAACCGGGTTTGCATATTCGATATCCGTGGTTTCATGCACGCCTAGATAGCGACTCATACTGTTCGGGATTCCGGTAGATATATTTGGGAATCGTGTCAGCTTTGTGCGCATCTCTGATAGTTGCTGTGCATACTACTAGCAAACAGACGACAGGTGCATGTTGCATCGAGATGAACCTTGGTGAAGAAGGACCATGTGAGTGGAGAGATCGAAGTGTAGATCTGTGGGGTTATTCGCGCCGGCTTTGAACTCACCGAATCTGGTCGTGGTGAGTATCACCGGCATGATTCGCCAACCTACAGGTCACTCAATTTCTTCCATCTTGCTTCTTCTTTGTGTCGGAGTCAAACTCTTTGCTTCTGTGTGGCCGTCAGCAGGTCTTCCTGTGTCCACCGTTGATACCTTGACTGCAGCTAGCTTTGTTCGAACCTGTACGACATGCACGGTGAACACTTACTCGGGTTAGACAAGACTGAGAAACTGGATGATCACACGGAGACGCGTCGTCCCTTCGAAGATATTTGAGTAAGTGCAACCCCCGGAAGGACTCCAGGTTCTGTAGGAACAACACGTCTACGGCCACTGCGTCAATTCAGAAGATCTCGACTCGCAACACTCGGTTCAGCCCAAGTAAGAACTGCCTACCTAGTACTTCACGTTCTATATCGACAGCAATCAGCACTCGATTTAAATCAAGATGAAGTTCTTGACCTCACTCCTTTTCGGTGAACTTGCCGTTGCTCTACCAACACTCCTGTTTACCAGAAGTCCGGCACCCGTCTCACCATTGGAGATCCGTCAGAGCTGCGCGGCAACATGTACCTCAGCCTGCTATTACGAATCTACTGTCGAGGAAGCACTACAAGCAGGGTGTCAGCGTTATCGAGAGGATGATCCTGTCAGCTCATACCCTCACCAGTACAACAACTACGGTCCGTCACTCTTGATTCTGGTCACCGAGTAATAACCTTGCTGATCTATGAACAGAGGGATTCGACTTTCCAATAGCTGGACCTTACCAAGAGTTTCCGATCCTGAGAAGCTACAACAATAATCCATATACAGGTGGTTCACCTGGGGCAGACCGTGTTATTTTCAACACGAACTGTCAACTTGCCGGTGTCATCACGCGTATGTACCGCTGAAACTAGATGAGGGCTATGCTGACCGATGCAGACGATGGTGCTAGCGGAGACGACTTTGTTGAATGCTCGTAGGCTAACACGATGTCTCTATTTGAGGTGTAGGAGGTAACGGTGAGTATCCAGGGACACGATAGCGAATTCGGCAAGCAATGTGACATCGTCACCCGGTAATTCTACGACTGCTGCGAATGGAAACACAGAAAATGGGCAAAATTCCAGTACAGTGTCTGGGGCAGGTGCGATGCCGGGCTCGAACCTGCTGTTGGTGCTGGGAATTGGAGTAGTCATGTGTTCTTTCCATTGAATTGTTTGGCACTTGTCCAAGTTCTAGCATTTCGTCTGAGTCTTCCCAACATCCTTTTTCATCTCGGTAGTGAAGGTGTCGACTTCAGATGCGATGATCATCGAGTAAGACATGGTTCTGTCGGTTCGTGAGTCTGCCTTACGTCGATCTTCGAGAGCCTCCTCGCGCCGATACGCGCTATCCCCAACCCAGGGATTCATCTCCGGAACACGTTGGCGGCGCTAATGCAGGTCAACTTTCAGGGGCTGAAAGCTGTATAGACCCCAGTTGCTCCTTTCGCTAAAGAACTCCAATTGTCTTCTCTTCAACAACGCGTCCAATGACGACCTCGAGAACCCTACGCGTGCAGTCGCGATTGGCGACGTCTTCACCTCTCGGCATATCGATGTCTGAGAACCATCATGTCGTCGCGAGATCTGTGCTCAGTCACAAGCTCATCGCTACGAGTCGCGGAGATGAACTCCAATAGTGCCAGGTTTCTGGCTGCGACGACCATACCACGTGCTCCTCGTTGTTCGCCGTAGACTGAGGTGACTGGTTTCTATAACATGGCCATGCTGCTCGAGAATGCCACCACACGCGTCGATGACAGGACAACCTTGACGAGCAACCATGGTCGCCGCTTCAACCTTTGCGTGCCACCTTCTGGCTTTTGCGCCCCTCCTGTCGACGGTCATAGCACAAACCACTGGCACATTCGACTTCTTGACCTATAACGTAGCAGGTCTGCCAGCTTTTCTCTCAGGTAAATCTTCGATCTTCTCCTCGAGATCGCTCTGGTCCGCCGAGCATATGCTAACGTGGCCAGGTAATGGGATTCCGGGCGACAAAGCGACCAATGCCGGAATTATAGGAACAAAACTAGCGGCAGGAGGATATGACATCGTCCATATGCAAGAGGTAAGTCGGCCAGACTGCGGGAGCCCTCGATGCTTACAAAGGTCAGGACTTCAGTATGTCCCCTTTTCGCAGGCCTAAGCCAGTGAGCAGTCGGGAGATAGTCTGGGTTGTGCGGCAGAGCCACTTGTCTCGGACACTCAACCTACCTTTCTTGGTCTCCTGACCGAGGTAGTTCCTTTGTTCTGCCAGCCTACCTGACTGTCCCTTGACGGCCATTTCGTGGTCGTCTAGCTTTGGCTCGAGATCCCCCAATTCCCCAACTCTCACAAGCCTCCGGAATTCTGGTCCAGGCTGACCGATACCGGCGGCAAACAGACTACCATGCCTACATCTACGCTACAGACAATCACCCGTACAGGACAGCAACCACGGGCGGCGTCCCCTTTGGCAGCGGGCTGAACACTGTGGCAACCTTTCCCTGGACAACATTCAACCAGGTGAAATGGGATCGCTGCTGGATCAACGAAGCCGATTGTTTGACACCGAAGGGCTTTTCCTACATGCGAATGCAGGTTGCGGAAGGTGTCGAGGTCGACCTTTACAATTTGCATGCCGACGCAGGGTACATCCTCTGAATCCTGAGTGAGTGCTACGCTAACAGCAATTAGAGGAGACAGTCTTGATGTCGCAGCGAGACGAAGTGGCATTCAGCAAATACTGAGCTACATCAACGCCAATTCGGCAGGCCGTGCTGTCATCATTGGCGGCGACACCAACGATCGCTACACGAACAGCGACCTGAGCATAAATCTGTTGACCCAGGCGGGCTTCACTGATAGCTGGGTCCAGCTCGTCAAGGGTGGTCAGTATCCTACTCCCGGAAGCACTGCCAACCCCTGTGAAGTCCCGGCACAATCTACAGACTGTGAGATCGTGGACAAAGTCCTATACCGATCGGGTGATGCTGTTGAGCTATCAGCTCTGGATTTCTCCTACGAGACAGGCGTCTTCTTGCAGCCGGATGGCAACCGGCTGTCAGATCATAATCCTATACATGTCCAATTTGCATACTCGACAGTCTGATGGGGTCTAGGCAGGCAGGATTCAAGTAGAATGCGGAGATACACGGCCGAATAATATTAATTGAGATTCTTCATTAGCAAGGCAAACGAGCATGTCCGAAAACGTTAAAACGGCGGATACGGTGATCGGATGCGAGCCGGCTGGCATCCAAGTGCACCCTACTGTCCTGCCGATCTCATGCTCTCAAATTCGAATTGGCAAATTGGTGAGACTGGGCCGGCACACAGCCGAAGCTGACGGTGAGTGAATCAATATGCAATGGGCCAATCGTTATACGCGGCCTGCGCACGGTCTTGAGCTGCCAAGAAGCTCGATTTCGCCTATCGGAGGTCGTTCGGCTACAGCAACTTATGCGGCGTGGTGAGCACAGGAATACTACTGTCAGTGGGAGCTCACCTATGAGCACGGAAATGAGTCTTCGGCAACAGCTCGTCGAATGGCTTAGCATGTGGACTCACATTCTGACGCAGAGCCAGATGTCGCCTTCTCCCAACCACGTGGCCGTACAAAGCCTTGTCAGGGCCATGAGAGGAAAGATTGCGCGTGGGTCTAACAACATGAGTCCACTTCAGCTCACGAGGCCAATATGAGGCACCGAGGCCCTATCGGGTTTTTGCATCGATTCTTTCGAGGACGACACAACTGGCAGTCCCAGGTGCTTGAGAAACACGAGATTCCGCTTCAACACACGATATGAAGCTACTGTTACCGGTTCTCCTACTCGCAAACACTGCCGTTGCGCAAGGTTCGGCTCGCCAGCCACCCAACGGACCACCTGTCAGACATCCTGGTCCTCCTGGAGGCGGACAGCCAGGGAGACCACCTTCATCCACAGGTCATCCGTCTCCTCCAGCGCCGACAGACCCGAGCGGTCCGCCTGCACCACCCACAGGACCCGGCGGTGATGACTTCAATCCATTGGAGCACCTTGGAGCCAACAGCCCTTGGTTTCCAGGTGAGCGTTGACGCGCAAGGATGATATGCTTGCTAATATGAGGAGGTCCAAACGTCTTCGGGATCCCAAGGTCCGCCCCAGAGGGATGTGCTGTCGACCAGGCTGTTTAGTGAGTGATTTCCCAAACTTGTAACCGGGCGGAATGGAAACTGAAGATCTCGGAGATGTTCCTGATGACGTTGTCTTCCAATCCCGTTCCGTCTCCGCATGCAACCCAGTCCTTGACTTATCACTCGCGTCCCGATCCAAGCTGACGAAGCACATAGCATCTCGCGTCATGGCAGTCGCTATCCCGATCCTGGGGCCTATAACGGATGGTTGACTCTTCACGACAAAGTGAGATTCGGCAGCTGTTCACTGTGACTCTCGCTGACACCAGAAGTTACAAAATGCTTCTTTCACTGCCAGAGGCCCATTGGCGTTCCTACCAGACTGGGAGCCGGTGCTTGATGAGCCTGATCAGCAGCTAGCTCAACTTTCTCCTGGAGGCTACGAGGAACTGTGAGTCATCTCCACCGCTTTTAATGCCAACCTCGCTGTAGTCTCTGAAGCCGCTCGAACCAGTCTCGCTGTGATCTCCAAAACCGCTCAAGCCAGTCTCGCTGTGGACTCCAAAGCTCCTTTAACCAGTCTCGCTGACTTTGTAGTTATACGTATGGGGTTGAATTGAGGACCAGGTACCCCGGCTGGTATAAGTACGGATCACCATTCCGCGTCTTCTCGAACGACTATCAAAGAACGGTCGATTCAGCCAGGTTGTTCGCACGAGGATACTTGGGCCCAAACGCCACTACCCTCGGCACGGTTCATCCCATTCTCGCCTCCGATCCCTCCGTGATCGCTAATTCTCTGGCAACCTCGGATTCGTGTCCTACCTACAACGACCGATCTGGAGCAGGATATGCCGATGTTTGGGACAGCATCTACCTTCCTCCTATCGCCGAACGTCTCAATCAACTCATTGACGGCGATCTCGAGCTCACGCCGGATAATGTGTCCAATTTCCCCTACCTATGTGGTTTCGAGTCTCAGATCACGCGTCGAAGGTCACCGTTCTGCGATGTCTTCACTCCCGAAGAGATCCTTCAGTACGAGTACCGGCAAGATCTGAGATACTGGTATGGCACAGGTCCGGGGAGTTTCAACAATGCATCGGTGATGCTCCCTGTGATTGAAGGAGTGGTCGATCTGCTCAAGTCCGGTCCAGAGACACCTGTGGAGGGCGCCTCGTCCGGCCCAAACATCACAGGCCCATTGACAGTGGCATTCACTCACGACAACCAAATCAATCAGCTAGTCTCTAGTCTTGGTATCTTTGACGAGCAGCCCGCCTTGACAGCAGACTCTATGAACAGCTCTCGCATCTATGTGAGCAGTCGCAACAACCCTATGCGAGGCACGGTCACGTTCGAGCGCATCAATTGCTCGGGCGAGTTGTATCTGAGGTTGCTGCTGAATGACGCCGTGTACCCTGTGCCGTCTTGCAGATCAGGACCTGGATCATCGTGTCCTCTCGATCAGTACAACGATGAAGTTCTTGCAGGAAAGTGGGAGAAAGCAGGCACGTTCGAGTCCTTCTGTGATTTGGAAGAGGGGAGTGTCACTACCTCGCCAGATGGAGGCGTCACTTTCTTCACTGACCTGACGCTGCCTGCTATAAGAAGTGTCCAGCCATAGCGGTCCCGATATTCATCAGCTGGAGGGCATAAGGCGCCAATTGCTAGCATCATGTATCAACGTATATGTTAGGGGTAGAGAAGATATTGATCGAGGCTGTGGTTTACACTTATATTTCCACGTGACTCGCGCCTGCCTTCTCGAGATCTTTCTTGGCACTGACGGTCGACGTCCCCACTCGTGGTTTGCCTGTCACCAACAACCCTCGACATTGTTTCACTCGTATGCGTTTCCGTGGTGTCCAGCCTTTCCATTTCACGCAGTATATCCGCATCTTTGTCATCGTTCACCTTACCTCTTTCCTCATCACGCGTACCGCATTAGAATCGTACAGAATTACCAGCCCCGCATCTCCGTCGACGGCGGCTACCGCACGTACCACCAGGCGTACCAGGATAGATAAGCCACACCAGCGCCCCTCAGACGCACAGACGTCGGATAGCAACGGCAAGATGCCGAAGCCAAAGACTGAGAACACCAAGAAGGTCGCCGGCAATGCCAAAAAGGCAGAGGCTGCAGCGGCTAAGCAAGCGGTAGCAGATGCTCAGAAAGCAAAGGAAGAAGATGCCGAGTGGTCAAAAGGCGCGAAAAGCAACAACAAGAAGGCTGCTGCAGAAGACAAGAAGGCCTCCGCAGCCGCAGCAAAGGCCGAGCGAGATAAGCTGCTCGCAGAAGAGGAAGCCAATCAACCGGCCAAAGCGAAGGGTGCTGGCAAGAAGGTAGCAGAGAAGAAGACTCGAGGCACTCTTGACCTGTCACAGCTGGATGGCGACAGTAAGGAGAAGACGCTGAATGCCAGTGGTATTGAGAATGCGCTCGACGCGCTGGACTTGACCTCCGGCGGCTCGAAGGGCGTTGACCGACACCCTGAACGCAGGTTCAAGGCAGCCTACGCGGCGTATGAGGAGAGACGATTACCACAGATCAAGAACGAGCACCCAGGCCTACGGCGGAACCAGCAATTGAGCTCATAAGAAAGGAGTTCGAGAAGCATGAGGACAACCCTTTCAATGCCGATACGAATGTCAGGTTCGATGCTTCGAAGGATGAGATCGCTGAAACTCGGAAGCGCGTCAATGCAGGCGTCGAGAAGCGGCTCGGTGAGAAATGAGTCTAGCAGCCGAAAACGCAGCAAAACACCCACTCGAGCGGCGACTGCCACCATGAAGTGCGCCTCGGTGTGCATTTCACAGATGGAGCTTGCAAGCCACGGCTTTATGTTCACGACGATACCCAGGCAAGACAAGCGATTGACATAGTTATCAATGAAAGGACGCTGTCAGCATCGAGACCAGTGCCTCGGAATATGATAATGGTGAAACGGTTTGTGCGTGTGACGAAGATTGAAAGACCCTGGTTGACGACGACGCCTACCGGACATCTCTGTCACAGGTCATGGAAGCCAGGCTGTGCCACTGGGATCTTTGAAAAGGTGAACTCGGCGTGCTTGGCGAGGCAATTTGGCGCGACATCCAATATGTTCCTCGCGTCGTCAACTTCTTCATTCTTTTACAGCCCGCATATATGCTCTCTTCAGGACATCGAGTCGTCAGTGCTCTCATTATTCTAGCTTTTGCCACTCCCAGCCTAGTGCATCTTTCCAGAGGGTCGACCCGCATTGTCAACGGCACTACCAAGCAAATGTATTCACCAATATCTTCGCGTACTCGCAGTAGATTGGGACTGGTCGCCAGCAAACAATTGACGACACAACAAGAGCAGGCCCACACGGCAACTCCATGGGAGCGAACCAAGTTAGGCTTCTTCGATCTGCCTCCAGAGATCAGAATCCGCATCTACGAGCTGGCCATCCCTGACCTATGCGCAGTTGCTGAGATAGTTGATGAGGAGATACCTGATGAAGACTGGGACAATTATCCTCCTAAGAAATACTGCACTGTCCCTCGCAAGCTCAGACTCAACTCGTGCGTACAGGACCATGATAAGCTCTGGGTCGATGGCCGCCGAGTCCACCATTGCAGCAACAGGCACTGCCAATGTAGGACTGGCACAGCTCCTCTATTCCACCTGAAGCAGGTTCTAGTCAACCGCCAGTTCTATTCCGAGTTCGGGGCAGCCGTCAGAGCTGCACCAATCGACTTTCGTTTCTACAACGGCTTTGACTTTTACAAAACCTGCAAGCACCCTCTACGGAGTCACAGCACACCAGTCCAGTTACCAACAAAATACCTGGCCAGGGTGCGCGATGTGACGCTGGAGATTGGGCGGGATGAAGGCTTTGATGGTTTCTGTCAGCTTGTACTGCCGAGGCTGCTCAATCTGACAAAGTTGAACATCGTTGCGTCAGTTGGTGTCAACCAAGGCAATGAAAAGCTGTATCTCATGCCTACAGAGCCTTTCGCGCCTCGCTACCTATGTATCGAGAAGGTGAATTTCGCCGAGTTGACCGACTTCCCAACCTGTCTGAGGACAGACCGACATCTTCCGGATCTCTTGGAAGCTGGCAGGAAGTTTTGGCATGCCTTCCTTGCCGAAGGAGGTTTTGTTGACCAACCACGAGTTGATGTCAGGTTGACACTTCGAGTGGGCGAGTTTCATTACGAAGCGCGAGAATCTGGTGCTTTTCTCGGGCTGAAACTCTCGAAAGCTCATTTTGCAGTGAGTCACGATTCCCTGTCTCGCCACCTTCACGCTGACAGAACACAGAAAATCGAGTCCAACGGACTTAATGACGATGGCACGATCGCCGTCACCGAATGCCTCAGGAAGGCTCAAGAGCATGTGAACGAATACTGGCGTCTTTATTGCTCGCGTCAAGTCGGCTGGGGCTACGCCAACTTGGCAGTCAGATTGGGCTCCCGGGAATTGATGCGCAATTACCTTGGTTGACAGCGTGCTCGTTCGCCCACAACTACAGGAACACAGACCGAGTACGCGATCTGTCGATGATTGCAACAGGCACTGACGACCGAAGCCAGGAGGACTGTCCAAACGTCACTCATGGAAAAAATGCAGAAACGTCGCCGATTGCGGCCCCGAAGTTGAATACCATAGAAGTATGATATGGTTTTTGGGATACATGGCCATGCAGATTGCGACTTAACAAAATACCTGGGCGTTTTCCCTACAGCGCCCTCCCTGACTAGAAAGTTTGTCAGGTATTAATCTTACGCAGTAACGCTCAAGTGAGGATCATCTCAAGTCTATCAAGTTGATCAGCATGATAGCACAAGGATCTCAGCGCCCTCCCTGGCCGGGACACCTATGATGAGCAGCATTTGTGGCTCGGAAATTGAACGTGGTCGACTTTGAGAAGACGGTCAGTACTTAAAGTCACAGCCCGGCATGTCATGCGCGTCCTTGGAGCAAAGATGACGTTGAATGCGCGTCCCTAGTACAGAAGCTGCTTGACAATGCGAGGGGAATTCCAAAAAGCGCAGCGCTCCAGCAGGTTCTGCGCAAGAAGAGCATCATTGTCGCCATCCTGCGCAAGACTTGACAACCCTTCCTTATCGCCACCAGCAACGAAGACTGCGGCTCGTCCTGCTTCTCGATACGCTGCCTGAAAACCCTGTAACGTTCCCGCAGCCATCGATGGCCTGCCGGTGCTGGCAAATGCAGCCCACGACGCAGCTTCCTCGCTCTGTCCATGTCAGCGAAGACCCTGCAATTAGGAGATACGAACCTGCAGACGTCGGTCTTCTGCCGTTGGATTGAATGGCAGTCCGCTCTGATTGAAGGCCGAAAAGTTGCCGAAGACATATGGCGTCTCCGAAGTGTGCACCACGCCCAGCCCTGGCAGCCCGATAGCCGCGAAAATTGGCGAGAGCAGAGTCTGGTTGTGTGCGATGTAGTACACAGCGTTACCGGCTTCATAGAGGTGCTGGCCATACCTCATTGGTGGACAGACCATGACGAGATCTCGAAGGATGCGACCAGTTCGGTAGAATTCGGCAGTCAGATTTGCTTTTGCATTGCTTTTGAAGTCGGCTACTGGGTACAGCGCAAGCATTTCGGCCAAGGACTTTGTATCAAAGCTGGGCAGGAAGTCAGCAAGGAAGGCGTAAGTATCGTGCTCGGTTTGGATTGTCGGATCAGCGTATAGATTTGTGTCATCTTCGGACCACATCATCATCGTCGCCACGTCTGCGAAACGCCCGTCTGCAATCAGCTTCGAAGGTGCATCGGGCAGGAAATCTCCATCGACGACTGGCAACCAACAATCACCTAGACCCGCAGCTTTGGCTGCACTGTATGTTTCGAATGACTTCTCTGCCAATGTTTGGGTGTCAAGCGATCGCAAGCAATCGATGGTATCCTCAAAACAACCTGTCGCGTTTACGATCATTTGCATCTGGATTGCTGTGCAGTCGCCAAGCATGCCTGGCTCTAGTGCTTGGCTCTGGTATATTGCTTGCTGGAAAGGCACCGACTCTCCTCCATACGCAAGTGATTGTATACCGACTGCGCCGCCTCCAGAAGATTGACCATGAAGCGTTATCCGATTAGGGTCGCCGCCGAAAGCCTCGATGTTGTCTCTGATCCACTCCAGCGCAAGGCGTTGATCTCGCAGGCCAAGATTCTCGGACCTGTCTGCCTTCAGAGCTGCCGACTGTGCGAAGCCGAAGACTCCTAGTCGGTAGTTGATTGAAACATGGATGATCGGAGTACCAATCTCAACAGATCGCAAGATCAGAGCGTCGGGCTGACTGGTGATCTCCTGGTTCGAGTTGGAAAAGAAGCTGCCGCCGTGAAGCCATACCAGCACCGGCAACTTCGAATGGGAGCCACTTGGACGGACGATGTTGAGATTCAAGCAATCTTCGGAGTACTCCGTGATTTCCGTCCACAGCAGAGGTATGGAATTTGCACCAAGTGGCTGTGGGCAGACGGAGCCGTATCTGCTTGCATCGAGAATGGCGTCGGATGGCTTCAAAAGCTTTGGCGGTCGGAATCTGTTCTCACCAGAGGTGTCATGGGCGTACTTGATGCCGAGGAAGACATCGACTCCGTTGCGAATGAGGCCGGTGTAGGTGACGTTGTTACACGTTGTTGCCGACGGCGCACCGAGCGCGAAGCCGATCAAGCAAGCAAGTAGGAGGAGCATGTTAACACGAGGTAAATGGCAATGTTGGTTTCATTGTGGTATTTATGGGTTCTGGCTGGTAGTTCTGACCTTATTAATCAGAGACTAGCATTCCGGCGGAAAACTGATGCTTCTATGCCAAGCAGTCTCTGAATATGGATGCAACCGAGTTGAACGACGGGCAATTTCGCTGACTGGCCTGATGATGCCATCGATCCAGCGCTGAGGTCGCGGATCGGTTTTGGTTCATTGAACGTGTGGAGGAGCCTATGGAGATGGGTAGCTTCACATTGGGCTCCTAGCAATGCGAATACGGAAACGCACCATTGCTCTGGACTCCCACGAGACATACTCATGCTGGCAACTGTGGCTGAAGCGGGAAGTTGAGATGGTGGGATGCTGACCGTGTGAGTCTTGACAGCAGCGAGTCCGACGTCTGCTCGCGGAAGGACTCACCGAGGCCCTACTGGAGTGTCCTACCGAGAGACAGGGATATGTGACTGCCTTGTCTGAATCAAACAGCGGTCTGATCCAGGCTCCACGGAATTCGACAACTCATACCGGTGAAGTGACAATCGAAGGCGTCATCCCGCTGCGAGGGCGCTTGAAAGCTCAGGCGATGTCGCGGTGGCATCAAGGTCTGCCATTGGACGTGGACATATCGAGTCAACGTGGAGCGCGATTTTGAGGCACGCTACAAGACGACTGCCTTCGAGAATTGGAACAATATGCTTACCGATGACGCTCAGTGTCAACAGATCACGCATGGCACCAACAATATTGATTCTGTGCCCACACCGTCTGCGATCGATCAGGCTCAGCACCGAGGCAGTCTGTCCAAGCTTATCTGGGCGTCCAATTGGCTTCTGACGAGACTTGGGAGAGGGTCACTACTGGCTCTGATGAGCGTCAGACTGGACTCTGACGGCGTTTGAGGGAAGGTCACCATTGGCGCTGATGATCGTCAGGGCAGATCAAGCTGTGGCTCGGTATCCTGGTGGCACGAGCGGACACGACGTTGCTGGTTGTCCTTTCTATCGAACTCCTGTTCGCAAAAACCATTTGGAGATTGTGGTGGAACATGGAGAGCTGTTCCGTTCTCCAAAGCTTCGCGTGCCTCGGTCCTGAACTCTCGAAAGTATTGTTCGATTGCTCGCTGCTCTTTCCGGCATTCAGGAAGCCGCCCAGATTCCGGCCAGAATCGCTCGAGAGGAAACCCAGATTGTAACGCCTGTCGTGGCATCACCATCGTCACCGAAATTGAAGTCTCCAAGATCGTTGAAGTCAAAGTCAGTGACTCATGGGCTTGGGCGAGTTGACGTCAATAGAATATTTCAGTGTGGCCGCGACTGCCAGATTCCAAGTGAAGCATTCCATCTCACCTGAACTTCACCTCTGAGCGCGGACGTGTCTTGGCAAGCGCTGGATATCACTAATTTCATCAGATGCATGCAATCATGATTGCCTGACAGCATCATTATCATCAATCAGCATCCTTCGGTTCAATCGCTCCATCGCAATCTGTCGGCGTTCCGTTTCGCAGCAGCCTCGTCTCGTTCGCAGGAAGCTGTACACATCGTCATTTCCGTGCCATGGATCTCTCAGCCTCTGCGCTGTTAACCGGAAAAGCCGATGCCGTTGACGCACTTGCTCAACAGACAACGAGCGGTCTTGCAGCGACATCAGCACTGTTAGATCTCCCAGTCGAAGTGCGCCAGATCATCTACAGTCATCTGCTCTCCGACAGATGGCTGACGATTTCATGTTCGAAGGGCAAAATCACAGCCAATCACCTCACACAAAAGGACCATAGCGGTCAGAGGAAAAAGAGTTGTGGCATGTTTTTCACCTGTCGTCTGGTCCACCAGGAGCTACAGCTTTTCGTCGCATCGCATGTCCCTCATACGGTTCACCGATGGAGACTTTGGTAAGGTGCTACTCCGCGTCCACGCCTAGTTCTCAAGGACGCTCATATAGGCAATATTCGGGTATTGGAGCTCTTCCACTGGTCCATAATTACGGATCCAGTGCTTGGCAAAGCCGAAGGCTCATTTAGCGACATACTTCTGAATCTGCCTGCGTTGAGGGAGGTGCGCTTCTTGGTCTCCGGCTCGGCCAGATGTCTGGCTTCTGCCACTTGTCAGAAATGTATTCAGAGACTCGTGCTCAGCAAATTCTCCCGACCGCAGCTTGACAGCATGCGCGATTTCGTGGCGCAGATATCGCTCCGGGACATCAAAGCCGTGGCACAAGCTCAGGGCAGAGACCTCAACATAGAGATCAGGCGTCCCGTGTTTCAAGTCTACTATATCGAGGGAAATGCCGGAGTAGACAAGCATGTCGACTGGAACAAGTACTATCCTGCCGATGCAGAATTGCCTCGTTACCTGAATGAATGCTTGGTAAGTCCTCCGATGTTCTGCTCCTGCTAGTCAAGTTACTGACGGCGTGGGTAGACGCTCCGTGCAACAACCAACTCCATATCAAATGCGGCCGTCCGGATCGATCTCGAAGCTTCTACCTATCTTGAACTCGTACTAGGATCATCTCCACCTGGCGAGGTCTTCTGCAACTGTACGGCATGCGGATCATAAGATATGAGGCACCGCCAGACGGGGATCTAGAGCCACTACCGTATACCATCGACTTGTCCGAAAAAGTCAAGGACACGCTGTCAAAAGATCCTACGACTCTCTCGTCGGGAGAGTATGTCGTGACGACTGAGGACTAAGGCACACCTGGCCCGGTCACATATACTCGGATCGTGCGGCATTGTCATACGGTGAACAAGGATGCGGGACGTCGTTTCACCATTTAAGATCGCGCCCAAGTGTTTGCACAGTCGCTTCGACGGTCGATAAGTATTCGGACTGGGTCGGTATCAAGGGAGAGCGAGCGCAAGGTCGGTTTGCTCAATCAGGTAGAAAGAATGGACGGTTCGAGGTATGCAAAATGCCAAGGACCTTTCAATATGGGCAAGGCAAGCATTCTGGCAGAATGTTGGCCGACTACTAGCTGAGTACGCTCAGCGAGGGGAGGGAGCGGAAACCCTGCTCAGATGAGGAAGCTGGCCGTAGAAGTGGTGAGGTCACTCGATTGATTGGATGTTGATGAGTCGAGGAGGCCTCTGGATAGCCAGCCTGCCTCTCACCAAGATCTAGGACTACCCGGCAAATTCTGGAAAACACACAGATTGAAAGATGGAAAAGCAAAGTCTCTCGTTCTTGCACGTGCCCAATCGCTCATCGTCTAAGCAATGCAGGGGGCCAACACTGATATGATATAGGGTACAGCGAGTCAGAGCGGAGCCGATGTTGTGTTAACAACAGCTTCAGCGCTCTCTGCTCGTAACAGAACACAAAGGAGTATGATTTACTCCGGATTGGACAATAGGCATAATCGCTGATTAGCAATTACTCCTCCTCGTCCCCCTCATCCTCTTCGTCATCATCGCCTCCATCGTCCTCAGGATCTTCCGGTGCCTCAGGAACTTCAGGCTGCGCAGGCTCCTCCGGCTCCTCTGCGACAAAATACATTAGTTCGGAAGCTCAGGATGCAGATTTGCCGGCTCCAAACAGGCTTGAAGATCTTCCGGGCTCAGATCAGGAGCACAGACAGGCGCATCATCTGACCGCAACACCAACAAATCAGCTCCTCATTCATCCCCTAAAACCATAGACACTAGTATTATTCTAGTGACGCGGCCGAATGATCGGCCTCGGCCCGCCTGGAGGAGGACGGGAGATAACCCCTCCGATCGGCCCACCCGGCAAGGGACCACGGGGAGGAAGCGCCGGAGGCCCGCCAGCAGGCCGCGTCGGCGTCGGACGAGGGGGAGAGGGAGGAGCAGGAGGCGTACCGGAAGGAGAAGATGGGGGAGCTGGCGCACCGGAAGGAGGAGATGGCGGAGCCGGAGGCGTACCTGTTGCAGGAGCGGTAGTGTAGACCCAGTACTCGGCGGCGTACTGCACGCTGACGAGGCCATTGACGACGGAGGGGTCGGCGCAGCTGGCTGGTGGTTGGCCGCCACGGGTCTCGATGCGGTAGATTGCGGTGATGGGGCCGGTGGTGCCGCTCGTGGAGGCGAGGTCGAGCCAGGCGACGTCCGAGGCGGCGGGCGTGGTTGTGTCCTGATCACGACGTCATCAGGCCGACGCCTAGCGGGCCGGATTCGGAGAGATCGAACACGGGGGTCTTGGCTGCGTTGAAGAAGTGGTGGCCGCTGCGCTTGAGTGCGGTGCCGCCGCACTGGAAGTCGTCGCCCTCGTTGGCGGGGAGGGATTGGGTCAGAGCTTGGGTGGTAAGGCCGGAGAAGGTTGACGGATCATCCACAGCCACGCATGACGCATCGTACAAGATAGCGACGGCACCGTTAGCAACAGGTGCTCCGGTGGTGCCGTTGGCGCAGGTGTAGTTTTGCACGCCACGGCCGACGACGATGGAGGCAAGGACACCGGAAGGAGCTGGGAGGGTGGATGTTGGCTGAGTGAGGCCGGAGATGGCAGCCGGGTCGCAGGTTCCTGGTGGAGCGGGCTGACGGCGGGAGTGTGGCGCCGCGAGGGCCGAGGTGGCCAAGAGGAGGGTCGTCAAGATGGTGGTATACATTGTGGCTGATTGATATAGCGCTTAGGGTTGATATACTTTGATTAATGGTGACAAGGTTCAGAGGCAAGTCCGGCTTGCGCGTGCTGTAGAAATGCTTTTAAAGGGGACTGCAAGGGATGAACGAAAGTGCGAGCAAGAACGAGAGAATGGACAGATACTTTTCAGAGCAATGAATGCTGCTTGAAGAGAGAAGAAGAAAGTCAGCTGGACACTTGAGCAGTGTGGCAAACCTGCTATATACGTGCAGACCATTGAGGTCGACTGGGTATATTTGGTTAGAGTATGCGCTCAGCAGAACTCTGTACCACCCTTGTCAGCATCGTATGTTCTCCGGTGTAGATCCGGCGCGGAGCATTGAAGTGGTGTGTATAGTTGCGAGTGATAAGGGAGGGTAGGGGAATGGGTAATATCGACATATCGTTTCAGACGGTGCAGCGGAGATGGGCAGCCGCGTCGAGATAGTAACCTGTATTGGTAGTAGTGCCATGTCGTGTATAGCACTATTCTAGAAGGGAGAGATACTGTATAAGGCGATTGCCATGGGAAAGACCGCGAAGGACGCTTAACTTTCGCATACTCGAAATAGGATCTCACTCTGCCCTAATCTCAAACACCTCGTGTCTCGAGTCTCGAAGTCGGGATCGATGACATTGATAGAGGTCGGACTGTGGCCATGGGTCGTCAAAACTTGCCCTGGTCCTGCAGACTGTTGAAAGTGTTTCAAGCTCACCATGGCCTGGGCTGGATGTCTTACACTAATTGGTCTAATGCGGCTTGTTGCCTTTTTGAGCCGCGCGGAAGCAATCGCTTAGGCGGCGAATAGGGGCAAGGGACTTTGAAGGCTCGGCCTGTGAGATTTTGGATGCGCTTACTGCGGCTCTGAAACGAGCCGCGTTGATTTCGCATTGAGGCTGAAACTCGATTATTCCCGAATCTTGGGGTCACAATATTTGGTTTTTTTGATGGGGTAGGGGAAGACAGTGCCTTTCAGTTTGCAGATCATGGGCACGTTCCGCGAGAATGATAGCTCCTGCTTACTGATTTCGTGCTATGGAGAAGGCAAGCTCGTCGTAAGATAGCTTGCGAAGGAACCAGGCTCGACTGCGACTGCTGTTTCAGCTAACATATCTCATGGTCGCTCTTGCAGACTCGAGTTCGCTGCCTTGGCATGCGGCATGTTCCTTGACAGTCGACTTCAGAAACGTTTATTGAAGGTTGGTGGCCTTATTGACTGACATCTTCACGGACTCTCGGGGCTCGTCGGGATTCTGAGAAGTCACGACAGCTGCCGTGGGAGTCGCGAAGGGCCGATTCCATGCCACACTTCATCCATAATCACCACGATTCGAGTTTTGGGGACTTTGCTTAGGTGGACGCATTCTTGACGCCGCTTCCCTAGGCCTCTTCGCCTTCCAACTCGGAGTGCTTGCGCTTGACCGACTTCGCTGTATACTGTCAGTATGGAACTTCGGCGCAACCTGTAGATGCACATACCGCGTGAGCGACGACCCTCGATCCCCACTAGAGCCAATCGAGTCTCCTCCAGCGCAGCCAGCTTCTCGGTCAACATGGCACGCTCGTCCAGTGTCTCATCGGACTCGCCCGCAATATGCTGAACCTCCTTGTTGGACAACTTCAGGACCTTGTCTGGCGTAAACAGATCTTGCACCTTGTCCAAGAAGCATGCCTTGACAGCGTACAAACTGAAGTTGTCGATAAGAGCTTTGAGGGCCACCTGGACCAGATCAGTACAAAAGTCAGACAGTGGAATGGGGACTCACCGTGTAGTAGCTTTCCATAGCATTAACGCAGTCGACAGCAGCAAACCGTTCCGTGTCCGGCTCGCTCTGTCTGACGAGAACATCAAGAAGCTGAAGTGCGTCAAACTCTCCCCTATAGAGACGATCTTCCATACTGCCGTTGGGATCGACTCTGAGAAATTCCAGAAGGCGTTGACTGATGTCTTTGCGTGCTTTCTCCTCCCTCTTTGCCATGATGTTCTTGATGAAGCTCCGATCTAGTGTTAGGACTTCTTTGCCGGTATGAGGCCTGAGAACCTCGTCGGTCTTGGTCCGCAGGTCATTCTCGAGTTGATTCATGCCACTATCAATAAATTCGTGACAGACACCATCAACAGTGGCCTCGTCCAAGCAGTCTTCCAACACATACATGATAGCTGTTCGTGCGTGCATCACCAACCTGGTTCTGACTTGTTCGACCAGACTGGGCCACGAAGCAGCTTGATCGTAGAAGAGATCCGCAACTATGCTCGGTGAATAAAGCCCTGGGAGCTCCTTGCCGCCATTCCGGCGCATGCGCATTTGGACCTGGTCGTAGTACTCTTCTCTTTCCATCTTACGCGGCGGACCTGGCCTCGGTGAGTACTTTGGTGGAAGCTTGTCGACGAGCTGAATAGCATGTCCGTTGGCACGCATGAACTCAGCGAATTCTTTGAGAAGACTCATGGTCTTTGCGCATAAACGCTTGTCGTAGCCTTCTTCACTGAGAGAGCTTCCGAAATACGGGTCGCTATAGACCCCGTCAACGGCTGCTGACAAGAGAGCCACATATCGTTGACTGGCCTTCAGCAAGTACATGCGCTGCTCATCGTTGGTGCCGCGCGGGACACCGAGTGCCTTCAGCCGAGCATTGCATGACTTCAGACCTCGTTCGGTTTCGTCGAGTAGATCGGGGAGCTCACTGGCGATGTGGTCGCAGAGTATGCCGCTAAGTCGAATCTTGAGCGACTGAACCCCTTTCTTCTTTTCGTTGACGTGTGCCCAAGCGCCCTCGCTGAAGAAGATCTGCTCGGTTAGGTCGCGTTCTTCGAACGATGTTTGCAACTTATTGTCCTCGTACGATCTGTTCCGTAATACGTGCCAGCCCAAGGCGAACTTGACATCGCGGTTCTCAGCTAAGTCCAGGTAGGCTTGCTCACTAGGAGAGCTCGCAGGAAGTGTGTCGGGCTTTGTGATGATACCCAGAGTCCTCGCACCTTTTGAGTCGTACTTCCGAGCGAAATCAAGCACGTATTGATTGCTGATGTCATTCTTGGCTGAGACGACAGCAAGGATGATTGATCTGGGACGTTTGATGTAAGGAGCAACGAGTCTCCGTACATTCTTCTTGTCACCCTCACTCTGAGTACGGCTCGCTGAGTGGAACAGTCCAGGCAAGTCGACCAAAGTGAGGTTGTCTTGCTTGGGACCCATGACCTCAATGCGAAGGACGTCGTTTGAGAACTTTTTGACGTCGTTGTCGATGCCCATAGCTTTGGCGGCTTCTTGAACGATTTGTGGAAACTGGTTAAGATCGTCCGTGGAGGCTTTGAACTTCTCCAGGCCAGTCTTGTCGGCCTCCGGTCCTTCCGCACATGGTACGATGCTGATGGTGACACCAGAATCTGGCGAACGTCGAAGAATGTACTCAGTCGGAAAGCGTGTGCACAACCCGTCGCCAGTCGGGAATTTGAGTCCACAAATCGCCTCGAGACATGAGCTCTTACCAGACTGTGCATTTTAGCTGATTGTTGGGATACTCGACTGCGAATTACTTACGGACTGATCACCGCAGACGATGATTTGTGGTAGATCGATCCATCGAGCGACACCCTGCGAGCGGCACTTGTCGATCGTGTCAAGGAGCTGTTTGTGCTCGACAGAGGCGACCGTGCTCTGTATGGCAGACATGGCAGCGTTGCGACGTCTGGATGGCTAGTCGAGTCTATCAGGAAGGATGAGAGAGGGAGAGAGATGGACAGCAAGTTCGGGAAGGGTGGAAGAAATATATATCTCTTCGTGACGATTGACATGTAGTATTCACTGCGCGAGCGATTGACTGCACTCTGAATAAACTGCGTAAGCCATTGACAGCATTCACTGCGTGGTAAAAGCATCAACCATCTTACCCTCTCGTAGCTCAGGCGGTGAGAAACGAGTCAAAGATATGGAAGCCAGACATCGTTCACGCCTTCTCAATGATCTATCTGCACACACTTGTCAGCATAATAAATGTGGACAACGGCTCAAGACAAGCAGAGTAGCCTGCTGCAGGTCCTGAGGAGCAGACCTCGATAAACTGAGATGATTTGCAGGCTGATTGTTCACCATTTGATCGGACGACGAACCACACGGCCGACATCCGTAGTCTATCCATCGTGAGACTGTCACAATACCAAGCGTGCAGCTCTGCAGTAAGCACAAGCTGATATTGCAGTCGACAGCTACCGAATGCCCCAGGTCCCTTTGATCGAAAGCTCATGAACCACGCCGAGGGGCCAATTGCACCGCTGTCGAGCGCTACGGCTCTGACAGCATGGCCAGAGCAAATCTATGTGGCAACAAGAACTTGAACGACCTCGGGATGCTCAAGGTCCTGCAAAGGAAGTGCTGTTGGAATTAACGCTCAACGCCAAGCAAATGGGACTCATCCCCTCTGGGCAAACCCGGAATGTTTCTGGCACTGTGCTACTTACACCACATGATGGCCTGCAGAGCTCGGTCTGTGCCCTACATAAGCTCTGCGGCAAGCAACATTGCCTCGGCGAGGCTGTCTGAGCAGTCACAGGCGGACGCCAGGCATGCGCGCTGTACATAACAACTTGCCAACATTTGAGAACCTTGGAAGTGTAAGGGCCGCCAGGAGGTCTCGAACCTCATTCCGCAGAAATTGCCGATTCCATCGATTGTTGCTGGTGGAATTATGCGGATATCAGGTGACCAGCTACAGACTCGACTTCGGCTCGTGGACCCCATCAGCAGCCGTGCACGCGCGATCGACAGACCCCGAAAGGAAAGTCGCGACATTGAGTAATTGACTTCGCGCTGACTCCAATGGTGCCGGTGAAACCGAGCTCTATTGTCTCGTCACTACTGCATTCAATATGTGTCAACGTCATGGGTCGCGAACACTGATGAAGCTCGCGCTTCTCAGTTTCGACGTGAAAACCTATGACGGATGAAATTTGCTCGCTCCCGGCGAAACGGATGCTTTTCCTTCTCCTGAACGGTCAATACTGGCTCGAGAATACCATGAATGGTCATAGCCGCAATAGGCTCACGGCATCTTGCTCGTTCCTGCGTCAACGGGACAAAGCTAATGCGTTATATCGAGGTGCATTCGAAGTATAGCGATGGTGGCAGATGTTTCCATCAGTATGCTTGAGCGGAAGTATATTTATGGACGAGGCGACAACGTCACCGACTCAGCCGTAAGCTTCAAGTACGTATAGCGTGCCTCGCGCTCCCAAGCTCGATGTGTGACTATCTCAGTCGCTCATAAATAACATCACAATGAGGTGTCTCACTCTATTGTCACTCAGCTCAGCTGTCGGTCTTGCCTTAGCGCGAAACTGCCAGAACTTGACCGTCACCGTATCGATCGAAGGCAGAAACGGTGTCTTCAACGTGACTGCTACGCAAAGCAACATCGAAGTCGTCAACTTTGTGCTCGATCAGGTGCAGCAAGGTCACAATGGCACAGCCGAAGTACTGGAAGGCTATGCCAACGTTGAGGGGACATACAACTTGTCAAGCACATATTGCACACCAGACAGTGGACCAGGAAAGGCACTACAGGTTCTCACTCACGGTGTCGGAGTAAGTTGCACTCTCTTGACCAAAACTTGTATCCGGGACCGAGCGGTGATTGAAAGACTGTTTGAGCAAAATGTCTTGCGATGACAAAGAAGTTGCTCTTGTCAACCTCATCATCCTGCCCTCGAGCACACGCCCTTTCCCGAAACAAAGCTGATCAGATTCGCAGTTTGATCGCAGTTATTGGGACGCCAGCCTCAACGAGTACAACTATTCATACGTCAACAAAGCCATTGAAGCCGGCTACAGCACTTTCTTCTACGACCGACTTGGTATCGGAGAGTCATCTAGGGCTGACCCTATCCAGGACATTCAGTCCAGTCTAGAGATAGCTTCGCTTGCGGCTCTGACCAAGCTTCTCCGCTCTGGCAGCGTTCCTGGTGTACAGCAACCCTACAGCAAGGTGATTCACGTTGGTCACTCCTACGGATCTATCCAAACTTATGCACTCGTACGCGACTACCCAGAGCTGTCGGACGCCATCATCCTCACCGGCTTCAGTCAGAATGGCTCCTTCATCGCGGATTTCGAGCTTGGCGGCAATTTCGTCGCTGTGCAAAACTCACCGCTCGCATCGCAGTACCCAGCAGGTTACCTCGCGGCAGGCAGCAAGTCTGGCGTGCAGAGCAACTTCTTCGCTCCAGGCGACTTCAGTCCTGAGGCTCTAGACTACGCATACACGACCGGTCAGCCTGTCAGCCAGGGCGAGTTGCTCACGCAAGGAGGCGCTGCTGCGGGTGTCAACAATTTCGCCGGACCAGTGTTGATCATCACTGGTGAAAGAGATGTACCGTTTTGTGGTGGTGACTGCGACTTGACTGGCAACCCGAACCTGCCTAATATTCCGAGCTCGAGCAAAGAGAGCTTCCCGAAAGCGAGTGAGTTCGACGTGGTGATTGTGCCTGGCGCAGGACATGGACTCAACCTGCAGTATTCCCACGTGTTCACGTACTCCCAGATGTTGGAGTTCCTGGGTGCTGTTGGGAGTGGGAGTGGTGGTTGGGAGGATGTGAGCAAATGACCGGGTACGTGACGGTCAAGCAGGTCGGCTGGGTCATGGATTGGTACACTATCATCATTGTGGCGGCTCATCGAGGTGAGCTACTCTACTGGGTTCGAGCTGCGGAACTGCGTCATTCTGGTGGAGGTATAATGTATGTTGAGATCGTGCACCAAGTTGTAGAAGTCATGAGATACAGCCAAACCGAGAGGCATCAACAAGCATGAGGCTGGTGAATACGCGAATTTCCGTCAGTCTGCCCAATTCTGCCACCGATTCGGGCTTTATGTGTATGTGTAGTGGCATTTTGCTATATGTACATGTAGGATATGTTGGGCTCTAGCTAGCTGCCCAGGTGATTTTAGCCACGATGTCCTCGGACGTGGAGGTAAGCTCCGGTAGAAAGTTGAAGCCCTGGAGCTGGGGCCTTAGATGCCACTAAGTCTTATCAGATCTAAGCGTCATCCAAGTTTGTAGAACGCCCAATCGTTGCTGAGAAAGAATCAGCAGAGCGCCAGAACATCCCTGCCGCATGATCTCTACCCCGAAGTCTGGAGAAAATGGATCTCACTCTGCAACAACGACGAACGTGACTCTTGCTTGGAAATGCATCTGATGGCGCAATCGTTCCTGCCTGGCCGATCATGCTGACTTCATGAAGCGTTCTTGCTGTGCTTTCAATTTTCATCGGCAAACCCTTGGCTTTGGATTGTTCCCAGCTCAACGGTGACCGTTGACATTCTCGACTGCGGGGATCGCACAGTATCCTATCAACCTATACAGCGTATCTAGCGAACATGGCTTCAGCCACAGGTATCCCCGAGCGCGTTCCCCCGGTCTCCGAGCAAGAGCCGCTGTTGGGAAGGCCTGGAGATGCCACTCAGAAGTCAGAACAGTGGCTGGCCTTCAACCTCTGGACTGGCACAGGCATTCTTGCTCAAGTCGGGGTATGGGTGCTAGCTGCCATGGTGTGGGTAAGCGCGGGATCGACTGAGCGCACTTTCAACCTATACTGACTGCTTGACAGGCAGCTGTGTTCGAGCACGATGTCATATTCTTCAGCTACCATCCCGTAGGTCTTCCGCCGAAGGCCACGTCACGAGCTCACAAGTCTAGTTGCTACAATCAGCCGGGGTGCTCCTGCTCGTCCAAGCGATCCTCATTGTCCAGCCGACAGCGACGCAGAAACAGAAACGAGATGGTACATGGGCACACTCTGCCTTCAACTTTCTCGGCGTGGGCGCCTTGGTCGCAGGCATTGTGGTCATTGGTAAGATTGGGCATCCACACACGCAGGAAAACTACAGGTCTGATATACTACACAGAGCTCAATAAGGCGCCTCATCCCGATCAGCGGTTCAAGAGCAACCACGGCATATTGGGCATAGTCACATTTGGTCTGATCTGTGTCCAAGCTCTCGTCGGGTTTGTGCAGTACTGGACGCCTGCATTGGTTGGTGGTACTGAGAATGGCAAAGCAATCTACAAATACCATAGGTTAGTCACAGAGCTTCTGACTCTGATCTTCTACCTGCGCTTGACGGTTCTCTTCCTTAGAGAGACAGCTTCCAGAATCGTTCAAGAAGATTTACATGATGGAGACAGTCACTGATGGTTTCCTGCAGAGTATCTGGCTATGTCATCCTAGTTCTGGCCTTAGCAACAGTCGCAACCGCAACTCAGACTGGATTCAACAAGAACGTCCTAGGTCTTCGCCTGTGGGCTGTGACGGTCACTATTGTTCTGGTTCTCATCGGCATCGTTCCGCGCATCAAACTCGCCAAGCTTGGCCGAATTGGCTCTTAGGTAGGGTGCTGCCGCGGGGTGGAAGAGTCAGCAGAGCCCTACGTCGAAATGCTGCGTCCAGGTATACCTCGGAATCAGAGAAAGACCGACAGTGAGGACTATCCCTCGCCTCGCCCCATGGGCAGCCCACGCTTTTGTCCCGGTGGCGACCGTCCAGTGATTCACTGAGCTCGACTCTTCAGACCACGGTCGGTCGTTCAAAACAGGCGGCACAGTCTCTGTGGAAGACGATGAACTCTCATGCGACATCCGGTCACGTAATAATGCATAGCACGGGCGGTAACGTCTGTCATGGCATGGAGTTGGGTATTTCGACGGTTGGTCACTTGGATCTAGGATGGACAAGTATCAGTACAAAGCTACAAAAGTACGGGACGCTGTTCAACGGCGAACATGCTGAGCCTCTGAACGACAGGATCCGAGCGGCGTCGAAGTCGATTCGGATAGTCCGTTGTCTCATACAGCTAGTCTTCACAGTGTTAGACCATCGCTTTCACATGACATGAACAGTTCAACACTCATGCTTTACCGTAGTAGTGTACAGAATTCAGTGACGTCAATCATCGTGCGAGGGAAGCAATAGGCTATAATGAAAACGTGGGAGAAGTGCCGAAGTTTGGTTCGTTTGCAACCTTGCAGAATAATCGAAAAGCAAGATCGGACCTTCTCGATCAAATCGCTTTGCTGCACGGGAGCTGTGCAGTCCTTTCCGCTGTTCGTTGTGGATCTCACGCCATTTCGATGTCCGTTTGCGCGAGCTCGTCCGTCAACGGGACTTGTCTCTATCGAGGCCTCCCACGGGATGGGCGGTCTTGCAACGGCATACGGTCCGTGACTGACAACATGAGCATGGCCCCGAGTCACGCAATCCCAGATCAATCCCAAACCTAAGGCCATGATGCCCGTATGCGGGCACGCGACGACAGGGCTTCGTAGCAGGCCTGCCGCATTGATCCGGACGCCATGTAAAAGTATGTTAGGTATTGCCGAAGAACAGCAGAGGTTGCATTATCGAGACGATGTGATCGTCAGCAGGGCCCTACGAAGTCCAAGCGACCGCCGGAGATCAACCGTAATGCCAGTCAACGATACCGATGCCTATCCTCAAATATACATGATCTCTCATGCACCATGGACCTGCTCGACGTTGTTGCGACCGTGGTCAATGTATCCTCAATGGCTACAAGAGCGGTTCTTGAAGTCTTCAGGCCGTTGCCGCCCAGGATTGACAACTTGAGCGATGTCGACAATATTGGCTTTAGTCCAGCGCCGGAATCCCGTGCCTGGTGGCCTGTGACCCCTGCAACTTTATGCGTATTCTTAGTTTCGGCGAGTCTGATCTATTGTACAACTTTTCTCTTTTACAATGCCTACCTGCACCCTCTGCGATCTTTCCCTGGGCCTCTGGCTGGCCGCTCAACAGAATGGTGGAAGGTATATATCGAAGTGTTCCAGAAGGAGAGCTGGGCTGAGGTATTGCAACGATTGCATGAGCGATATGGGGACGTTGTTCGTACAGCACCGAACGAGCTTCACTTCGCCAACCCGCAAGCTTACTTCGATATCTACGCTCCTGCGATAAGATGGGACAAGGAGGAGACCCTGTACCATTCCATGGCCGTGGACAACACATCTTTCGGATATCTCAAATACCAGGACGCAAAGCAGAGGAAGGACGTCCTCCAACCGTTGTTCTCAAGGAGAGCAGTAAGCAGCATTCAAGGACTAGTCAAGCAGAAACTTGACGACTTCTGTGACATCCTTACGGCCGCCAACTTTGCCAAGCAACCCTCAAACCTCTATCTCGGCTTACGATGTCTCACTGTCGACACGATATCCGCATTCTGCTTTGGCAAATCAGTCGGAGCGCTGGCAGCTCCATCATTTAATGCGCCCATTGTCCAGGCCATGGACTTTGCGAACCCAGAGTTTCCACCTTTCAGGCATCTTCCATTATACAGAAACCTCATAGGGGCATTCCCATCGGTCGCAGCACGATTCCTCCAGATCTGTCCGGCTTCGCACAAATAGCCAACCTGACCCAGCCGCAAGTCGATGCTGTGATTAGGGATCCATCTACGTTGGAGAAGTTCCCTAACCAAACAATATACCATCGTCTGCTCGATCCATCGAATCAAGATGGTCATCCAATTCCTTCAAGAGAGCACATTCTGCAGGAAGCAAAGAACCTCATATTCGCAGGGTCCGATACCACAGGCAATACGCTTTACGTTGGCTTCTGGCAGCTAATACAGAACCAAGCTCTCCAGTCACAACTCCGGACAGAGCTCAAGTCAATATGGCCCGATCTTGCAGCCGAGTCTCCGACGTATGAAGCTATAAGTTCTCTACCCCTACTTTCTGCTATCATCAAGGAATCCCTGCGAGTCTCTTCCGGCGTGGTCTCGCCTCTATCACGTGTCGTGCCACAAGCAGGCGCTACTATCGATGGTCATCGAATCCCGGGCGGCACAATTGTTGGCATGTCCGCAATCTTCATGCATTACAACACCGATATCTTCCCTGACCCACACAAATTCAATCCACGGAGGTGGATTAGTGGCGATGATGAGTCGCCATCGCGTTTTCGCGAACTGGAACGGTATCTGGTGCCCTTCTCGCGTGGACCACGAAGCTGTCTAGGCATCAATCTGGCATATTGCGAGTTGTCCATGACTTTCGCATGGGTGGTCAGGAAGTTTGAGTTGAGCTTATCGGATGAAGAAGCACAGAAAGTCGACGTTGATGAGCACGGGAACTTGGTCTGGAGGGACACCTTTCTACCCTGGTTCTATGGCAGGCGGTACGAAGCATTTTGCCGGCCTGTTGGGTCATGAGATACGTGAGCATTTGCGGAGTCAACAGGGTGTATGGCATACGCATATGGCGTTAGGCATTATGGGGTGATCACTTCGCCCCTCAGGTACTGATCGCATGCTATCGCAAGGTTGTGGACTTGCATTATCATCGTCGTCGTATAACTATCTTTTTGACGAAACTTTAAGCATTTGCTGTCCTGGAACCTACCCAGAAGCTTCGAAGCTTTGACTTTTGCAGGTGTAGTTGCCTTATTGTAACGCCAATTCCAGGGCTCTGCCAGGCGAAAAGGCGCCCAGAGCGCGTGCTGACCCCAACGATACGCCACTTGACTCTCGTATTCGCACCTGCCGCTCGATGGTAGCGCATAAGGATAGGCATCCGTCTGTCCTCTTACGAGACGACAATTCCTTGTGAGCTCGACGATCCCCCTTTCTCTTTTGACACTTCCTTTATCGATGGGATTAGTCGCCTATAACGGCTGGCGTTGCTCTACGTGGTTCTTCTTAATAGGCGACGTTTCATAAGTCGGTGCTATTTAAGACGCGACAGTCAACACTGTTACCACTCAACCAAGTCCAGGCTCGTACTCAATATCACCACAAGCTTGTGCTTGCGGGTTGACATCACATGATCTCGATCCTAACGACTGGAATTTGTTCAGATGGAAAGGTACACGCCAGATCGCTGGATGAAATGGTCCGCTAACCAGGGATGATGCCTTCCCACAGCGCTTCGGATGCTAGAGAGACAGCGAATGCGAACGCGGTCTTACAGCTTCCCGTGAGTCAGACGAGACGTCCTCATAAGAAGTCCAGAGCAGGTTGTGTTCCCTGCAAGCGCCGAAAAGTCAAATGCTGCGAGACCAAGCCACAGTGTAAAAGCTGTGCTGTTCGCGGACTGACATGCATCTACCCGCTGAGCCCATCAGATGCTCCGTTGAAGCCCTCAGCTTACAAGACGCGAGCCACGAGACCGGTGAGGATTTTACCGCAACCATCGATCCTCGCGCAAGCACCATTGGAGCTCACGTACATGGACCTGAGATTTCTGCATCACTTTCTCACAATCGCATATCCACACCTGCCGGCAGGCAATGACTCGATATGGCAGCATGAGATCCCGCAGATTGCTGAGACACGGCCTTACCTCATGCACGCCCTTCTTGGCTTGGGAGGCAGTCATCTGGCGATGATGAGCATCACACCTGTGAAGATACTGACCACACCTGAAGCGTCTCTGGCCACATCCACTAAGGCTGCTGTGACATCGAGTCTCTCCAACATCGATCTTGACAAGCCTTCGTCGTCCGACATGGCAAACCGCGCCTTGCATCATCGCTCGATAGCCCTCTCAGGTTTGAACCATGCCATCACCACCAATGACTGGTCGCAAGCCTCTGTTGACGCCATGCTGGCCACGACCTATGCACTGACGTTTCAAGCCACCTATCTGAGCGACGACGGTATGATCGACTTCATGACCATGGTCAGGGGCTGTGCCTTGATCACTAGCAAGATCGAGGAGAACCGCGCCAAAAGCACCTTCGCTCTGGATCCACTGGCACACATCAACATGCTACAAGAAAAGCTTGGCGACAGCACTGATATAGATCTGGGAATAGATCTTGTACTAGGCCGGACACGCGCGATTCGGACGTGGCTCGCTGAGGGCTTGAGATTATTAAAGGACGTCCATGAGCTCTGCAGCTATAGCAGCCAAACAGAAAGCGTCGTGCTCAAGCGCAATCTGGACGCACTAATCCATGCCCTCGAAGGGCTTGAAATTGGTCCGCTGGAGGCATGGAAGCGATATGCGGAGATCTACACCGTATGGTGGATTTGTGACGGTGCCGAGTTCGATGTGCTAACCAGTTTCCGCAGCCGGCGCCAAATGCCAGCCAACGACACGACAACGAATGTCATCCAGGACGTTGCAAGGTCGCTACCAGCACTTCTCGGGCTCACTTTCCTTGCGCTGGATCTGCTTCTCACCCCAATATTCGCCACCATCTATCTGAACCGCCGCAGCGCGAAGGAAGCGCTCGATCGCCGCTCCCTAGTTGGTATTGGTTGGATGCGCCGACTGCGAAGTATCATCGAGGCAGGGCTGGCAGCACATGGGGAGGGAATGGTCATGATGGAGAAGAATGGCATCAGTCTGGGCGGCGGCGAAGACAGGGAAGGCATATTCTGGGATGGACAGAGTAGATTAGCGGAGAAGATCAGGACGGCGGAGGGTCTTGAGGGGCTAGGCAGGGCGAGGGGCGTAGTGAGGTGGGCGATGGAGCTGGCAGACGCCGTCGAGAGTCGGATCTTGGCGCGATTGCCGGAGTGAATGATTGAATGAGTAGCCGCGACACAACGGCATCTAGTACTACCGCACCGTTCGTGCTTTATGGCACAGTTCATCACTCGCTAGTGGTAATGCACCTCGTGCTGTATGGTCGTAGGGCTCAAAAAGGTGGAGCACTACCGAGCAAAAGAAACGCCAAGGCCCAACGATCCCTATCCCCTTCCGGCGGCTACAGCCCATCCTGAAACGGCAATGCCCTCGAACTGGCCTCATCTGGGGTTTCAAGCAGTCTCGAAAGCCTATAGTTTGTGTCTGAGCGTTAGAGAAAACGCTGCTGGCTGTTCTCTAACAAAACTACCGGGCTTCCCGCCCGCAACGTTCATGACTTGTTCCTCTCTGTTCTTGTTCTAATTTCGAGATCCAGCGTTCAGCGTTCGCTTTTCTGCTTCCTTTCCTCGTGGAGTAGTTTTTGGGTCAGGCCACTTTTTCGATTCTATACAACGACTTTCTTTGACGACACGACACTCTTTTTTTGGAATTCCTGGGTGCTGGTCGCCCCTCGTCTCATTGCCCTTCGAGCTCCAAGACGCCACCAACAATATGTGTAGCTCAACATCAATCCTCGCTCTCCTTCTTGGCCTGTCACAATTCTGCTCTGCTGCTCTGCTCAAGATATACGCCAATGCAGCATACGACAACTCATTTGGCGAGGTTTTTGAGATGGTGCCGAATGAGCTGACGGCGGCCGTTGGCGATGTGTTGGAGTTCCACTTCACTGGACCGGGCTTGGGAGTACTGGGTGGGAACCACTCTGTTGCGATGGGCGATTTCAACTCGCCGTGTATGCCGGCAAGAGAGGGGTTCTTCTCGGGGTATATGGGTGTCAATGCGACGAGTAAGGAAGCCGTGAGTCTCCATGTCCGTCGAATCTGTGTTAGAAATAAGTGCTGACTAGATGGTAGGACCAAGTCTTCCAAGTCGACGTTACGAATACCGACCCGATGGTCTTTTACTGCACCCAAGGCCGACACTGCGCAATGGGCATGTACGGCGTGGTGAATGGAGCTGGAGGTCAAACGAGGAAAGCATACAAGGACAAAATACCAACTACCAACCTGTTCGCCATGGCGCCGGACTTTGTTGGCGGCGGCACATTGCTGCCCAATAACGCGACGAATATTCTTGGACCATCAATATTTGATGGAGCAGCGTCGCCGAAGTCATTATCATCGACGACGGCATTGGTATTTGGGTTGGCGGCGGCGCTGATGATCGCGCAATGATGAGGCGGTCTAGGACGGTCTGGTTGTGTGGAGGACAACGTCAGGGTTCAGAATTTAGGAAACTGACACTTCTGACGTCTGAGATCGCAGATATGTGAATGCTGATTGATAACGCTTCGATCGCCCGTTGAAAATCAACGATAATTGTGGACCAAAGTAGATTGAGGGCGTTTGATGAGAAGTACTGTGGGAGAACACGTTTCAGAGACGGATGAACCCCTGATGTTGGGGTGGACGTCGCGCTGGTCTTGGCTGAAACGGTCTGGAGAGCGGCCAGCGCAGCGGCGTGCAGCGAACGCGAGTCGTTGAACGACAACCACAGCTACTGAGTGCCTCAGGTGAGGAGCTCGTTGTTCGTCAATGACAATGATAGCAGCAGCGAACTTGGGTCATTCAACTTCGTGTAGCCAATTGATCATGGCTGCTGTGCGAGACAGGAGGTTGCGTAACCAAGGTTTTAGGGAGGTTTTGCCAGATCTTCACCAATGCAGCAAGTGTGCTTCCAAGGTTGCTCGGTCATTACCACCACTACCTTCCACTCCTACTCATAGATGGGGAAAGCGATCTCTGTGTCGAGCGTCAACGCAGAATTTGGTCAGATCTCTCCGGGTCCAAGCCAAGTCGAAGATGGCACACGGGTTTGGTCTACATCCAAGGATGATGGCTTCGCTATGGCGCGGGGGAACATCCAAAGGTCTCTTCGTCACTCGCAGAGAGCTCCAACACATGCTGCAACAGAGCGAATTCAGGCCAGGCTTGCAGCTCGACAGTCTCGAAAGCTACAAGGCTCTTGCGCCTATGCTGAGCCCCATCATGGGCTCGCCAGACATTAGCGAAAGACAGCTTGATGGGCTGGGGGGTGGCATCTCCTCCCTCAGTAAAATCGTCTCTACGACATAGAAGACACTAAGAGGAGCATGCAAGTCAGACAGGACAGTTCAGGTCATCTTGTGTCAGATTCGACAATCAAGTACACATTCATTCAGGTGGGTGTCAGCGATGGCCATCTAGACTTGTCGGGCAACTGTGGTACGTTTCAGGGAGGCATGCTTTACAAGGCCTGGCTAGGCGACCATCGATCGGATATCGCCTGATCCTAACGTTGGTATAGGGAACCTTACGGCCGCTGTTGGACCATGTCTGACGAAGGCATTACTCAACAAGCATATTCTTGAGCAGCCTGACCTCACTCACGCAACTCGCATCCGTGACACTCTCACTGGGAACAAGTCTGTGTGCCTGCCACTGACTGTGAACCTGTTCAACGAGAACACCAGGAAAATCATTCGCAGTACATTCATGGTTCGCAGGTTTCCGTATCAGGAGAGTTGGCGGTGGCTGTTCGAGCCCCGCGGTAATTTTCTCATGCCTGGCCTTCCGGTGCCTGGATCCGAAGTACGTCTGCAGTGGTTGGATCCCGGGGGATCCAAGACCAACAAAACCTTGCCAACCGGCAATTCAACGGACACGATCACTGTCAACGGCAAGCAGTACAGCGTATCCTTGGTGGACATTTCCAACCCAGGAATATTCGTGGATGGCCGCCAATTTGAGTGTGATTCGTCAGATTCTCCGACCGAACTCGACGCCAGGACGGACTTGATGCGAACTCTCGACGACATCAGATGTGCAGGTACGCAGGCCATGGGTCTGGATCCGAACGACAAAGCAGTTCCCAAGATCGTGATGGTATTCCCGCCAAGTTCCGGATCCCACCATATCGACTGCTTAGCCCTCTCGATGCAGAAAGCTCACAAAGCCGTACCAGGCACCCTGGCCATGAATCTGGGGGCTGCTTGTCAGATAGAAGGTACGATTCCTTCTCGACTATCACGTAAAACCTCGAATGGCAAGATTGTGATCGGTCATCCATCGGGAACGGCGGAGACGAGTGCAAAGATCACCAAAGGTCACGTAGAGTACGTGGAGATCAGCCGAACAGCGCGAGGTCTTATGCAAGGTTACGTTATGCCTGCATTCAGAGACTATGAGGTCGAAGAAGCATCATAATTGCCGCGGTCCACAGCTTAACTGTCAGTAGTCGGCCAATCTATTGAAACAGTGCCGATCTGGATCCGAAAAGTCAGCGACTGGCTCGGTCTTCGAGTCCACGACACCCAACTCGAATTGTCGATACAATCAGCACTCGAGTGCTCCATCAAGCCAGATACTCGTTGTAGAGTTTGATATCTTGCTTCCCGGTATCATCCATGGGCCCCTTTGTCTTTATGAGAGACCTGTCTGCCAAGCAGGTTGAAGAAGCCAAAATCCAAAACATCTTAGTTGCCACGAAGAAGCATACATGAGCTGCAAGATGAGGCCTGTGGCAAGACAAAGCTACGGAGAAAACCTCGGGGCAAGAACCATCCACACTACTAGGGAAAACACAAAGTCTTAATACACATCGGCTCCTGTAGCAGAGAAGGCACTGAATCCGGTTGAACATGGCCGATGTCGAACCCATAGGATCAGGCTCATTCCGGCACAGGCGTAACAATTACTGCCCGCCCTACTTCTCTACACAGACCCATGTACCGATTCATGTTCCGTGTCAAGCTGAACTTAAATGCCAAGAGCTGAGCCGGGTTGCCAATGAGGCCAGGATAGTTGCAGCTGGAACACCCGCGAAAGTCAGGCCAGGAATGTTGGTGGCACAGCGCACCTCGGTACACCTCAGCTTCACAGCAGCAGAGACCTATAACAACGGGCAGACTCTGGCATTGCTCAAGACTCAGGAGTCGATTCCCTTCAGGAGGTCGTCATGCAAGTCGGACCCTGGACTCCAGCCATCTGGCTCTTGGCAACACTCTCGCATGCCTCTCCAATTCAAGTCGACCTCAGAGAGGTGGCTAAAAGCACGAAAGCCCTCGATGAGCGGCAATCCTTCGACTTGACCGCCCTAACCTACTCGCCATTTAAGACTACCTCGATTGACACGCCAAAAGCCAAGTGTAGCGCGACGATGTGGTTGGCGAATGACTTCGTCAACACGCGGGTCTGTCTGTCGCAAAGCTGGGAATGCACCTTCGTGGACCCCAACACCACTGTCTTCTCGGTCATCGGAAAGAGCGTGTCGCAGACGATGACATGCGAGGGTGGCCGGGGCCAGTCGTCCATGAGCTGCATCAGTGCCAAGATATGTGAGCATGGGATAGTACCGAGCTATTGGGGCATCGACATCTACACGAAGTGATGTCAAACGCATCCATATATGCGAGAAAGGCATTGGACCGAGTTATTCCTGGAACACAAACATCTACACCTTTTTATACACAATACAGCCTTCTGTTTGGGCCATTATACCCAAGGAGCGGTCATCGCTTCGATGAGTGTGCGGACCCACTAGGGATTGTGTAAACGTGCTGAGGTCCGCTCATGACGAGACAGCTGGCGCGTCATACACGTGGCTTTGTCGTGGCGATGGCTGGATTGCGTTCACAAAGAAGATCGAGAAAGGAAGCAGGGTTCAAGTAACAGCATTCGCCACTTCCGTCCTGCAATCTGCTGACCTGGACATTTTCTACCTGTGCTTCGACACATTGCCGACTAATCTTGAGTCCAAGCCCACACATGATCTGCCCATGTTACCGGAGTGTTGATCAATGACGTACTCGAATTGTCATTCGAAACGAGCTGGCAAGTCCAAGGACCATCACCAATGATTGTATCAGGATCCCAAGAAGGGTCGACATTAGGGTCGGTCCAGATTAACGTAAATTGCCTGAGGCCCAACGACGATGCACCTTGGGAACATGAGCGGATAGGGTCGTTGGCAACCTTGCACACGTTCTCCGCTAGAGCGCCTTGCGTGATGGACCCTCCAACTTGTGCGAGAGTGTAGCCGTCGGATCGTATGAAGCCGCTTCCAGCGTAATAGAGTCTCCAGCTCTTTCCTGCTGTCTTCTTTTTCAAAGTCACACAGCTTGACGCAAGGCTGGCCTCTACGCTTTGTCTAGTCTGTAGTGCGTAGTCTGTGCTTGACATTTGATCTCCCGGAAAATCAAGTGGTTGTGCTGCGCAAGACATGAAAGCCAACACAGCAAGGGCGAAGACGCTTTGGAGTAGGTGCATGGTAGCGAGAGAAAGATTGTTCCTCAACTGGCGCTCTAGATGACCCCGAGAACAGTGTATCACAGTGTCTGCGATGACGCCCTCGTGCAAGGAGCTTGAGAATCGAGAGAGCCCGAAGAGCAGAGCCAAATCCCACAACTTGGACGAGCTCGTCCACGTTAAATGTAGAAACTTTCACTGCAAAGTGAGCTACAACCCCAAGCCTACCGCACGATTCAACTGCAAACACGATCCAGCCACTTTGACGAAACCTTATTCACTGACGGTAGCACGGACTTGTAGGCGTGTATCGTCCATCTTCTCTTCGGTCCAGCACAAAGTCCGTGTACATTGGTTCTTCTTACGGACATAATGCAGCTGAGGCTGCAAGCGACACATTCCTGATCGGAGCTAGAATTCCGATGACCGACATTACCGCGTTGTACTGCACTAACCTAGGTAGCTTTTAGCACTAAACTTAATTGTCCATTACTCCAGCTGTCTAGGTAAAGTACACTTCACTCTATCAGCTCCAGGGCTTCTATATCTATCTGAAATACAGCATTATGTTCGAATTCCTTATACACGAGTCATATTTCGCGGCATACACTGGATGTAACTATGGATATGTCCATTTATATTGCGCAGATGTGGCTTGATAGCTAGCGTCAGCATTGGCTCAGCTTCTGCCCGCTGCATACGACCTCACGGGAGTCCAGGTTGCTTGTGAAACAGCACAAGGAAATGCGGGATGACGCTCGTGTGTGGCACTGCTGGTTCTGACAGTCGAACATTCATTGGAGCTTGGAGTAGGCGCAGAATTCTGGCCAAATTGCCAGCTCAAACCAACACCGCCGTCGTTCCGCAATTGGAACACCCTTTAGGCCTTTCCCGCAACGTGGTAGCATCGTTGGCACAATCTGGCGGCGTACACCTGCAGTGGATTGTCGAGATTGTGGCACACCGCTGTCTCATATTCTTCGACTGTGAAGTCTACGCTCTGTCCGAATCTTTCTGCGGAGACTTATGCCGACAATGACGAGTAAAGCCTGAACATGACTTGGAGAGAATCGTTAGCGCATCAGGCGTGAGATTTCTCGGAGGCATCCTTACCTAACTGCCAGTGGCGCTACAGTAGCCCATGGCTTGAAGAACACCAACGCGAAAAGTCCAGCTCTCAGGGTTTCTGCAGGCCGTAGGCAAAGGTAGACGACTTCCACGATGAATACGGCCAGGAAAGCCAGCATGAAGAATATATCCTGCAACATGACCGTGGAGCCTGGCCGATGGTAAAAGTGACCGAATTGGTTCCTAGAGCACTGTCTTCTTCGCATTGTTTCCACTGTCGCTATCGGTGCGTTCACAAGGAAGTTGATACCATGAAGAACGGCGCCTGCGACATGGGGCCAGTCTCGAGCAAGAACACTCAGAGGACATGCTATTACACTGATGTAAACCATCAGGAATCTCAAGTAGTGGAGGTAGGGTATCACGCCCGTGGTGAATGAGTGCTCAAATCCGAGCTGCTCTGACGATAGAGTGGGATCTGCTTCACTCTCCGAACGTTCTATCGTAGGCTGAAGTATGCACTCAGTCTTCGTCGCCATATTTGAGATTTTCGTTGGGATGGCTGTGGGCGTGTGACGGTGCGGGATTGGAAGTGCCTCTCTTTGGTTCACGGAAGCCTAAGGTGTTGAACGCACTTCGTGTTGGTGAAGAAGATGAAGACAAAGGAATGCCTCTTGCTAATTTAACTTGCGCCCATCATCGCTGACTGCCTCATTGAAAGCTGAAAGCCCCCTCACGCCACCCAGACACGTAGGTTGCAGCAGATGGCAAATCTGATCAGCTGTATGTTGAGCGACGAACCCTGTCAAGTACGGACCCAGGTGAGCGAGCGTCTCGTGGCTAAACGGAGGACTACTTACACGTGGCACACGAACGCCGGGCTGAAAGAGCTGAGATTGTGCGCTGTACTCAGACTGTAGCGCGCTGCCCTGGAGTAGTCAACCATTTCTCTGCCCGTGTCCAGTCACAGACGCCAATAGCACGTTCTAGAGCGCACATGTATACTGCCTCAGAAGCGCGTGCGGCTGCCACGCTATTGGAACGAACTTCACCGAGTCGGTTTTCAAAAGCAATGTAAGCTTCGTATTGACGTCGAGAGCATCCAAGGGACGGTCTTTAATCACATGGATTGGTTGCTTCGGAATAGCCAAAGTTCTACCCGACTTCCATCCTACGCATTCTGGTCTCTTTCGGGCCCCAAGTTCGACTTCTTCCTGCGAATACTTGCTCTGAATGTAGACCTGTCCGCCACCCACGCAAAAACGCTCATGAATGTAGCTGCAATCATAAGTACTGCCGAGAATACGATCAGAGAGCGCCATCCTGGGCCACCAGCAAACGCTCGCGACCTGACCAAGCCATAGGTTCCCAATTCGGAGTCATTGGCTGGGTTGAGAAGCACTTCACTTGTAGGTGCACTGACCATATACGCAGTGCCTCGAGCGACATTCAACCAGGCGTAGACTTGCTGTGAATCATCTCGCCCTTGGTCATTCTGCTGTCGTACTGATACAGATGCCTCTGACTTTTCGTTGACCGCTGGAAGGGGTGCAGTTTCATCTGTGGCGTACGAAGACGATGACATCTGCCGGAAACAGCGGCTCATGCGCGAAGCCAGGCTCGAAAATCCTTGACCCGCGAAACTGAAAACGGTTATGAATGTTGCCAACATGCCGAGGCGTGCAGAGGTGAGGCTGAGCATCGATGCAACACCCCAAAACACGATCATACTGATGGCGCATGCGATAGTTGTGAGGACCATGAGCAACTGCGGAGGTCCCAGGTCCGACAGATGTCCAAACAGTGGTTTTGAAATGACTCCTGTGGTGTTATATAGCGCGAGTAGCAGAGGACCGGTGTATGTTGGCAGACCAAGAATGTCCGCAGAGTAGGTTGAAATGTAGAACTTTGGGATTGCGTAGCCAACACTCTCCAGAAAATAGGCCACCAACATGACGTAAAAGAGGACTTGGTAATAATAGGGTCGAACCATCGAGATTGTTGATAGAGTTGAGGTCGGTCGTATCTCAGCGATGGCCGAACCGGTAGCACCCACTGGAAGCACCCGCTTAAGTGGTGAAGAGGCGCCCCTCTCGTGCACGAAAGGCAGAGCGGCAAGCGGCACTGCCCCCACAAGGGCAGTCATGATGAAAAAGGTGGTCTTTCTTCCATGGGCGTGGAGTGAATAATTGATCAGGAAGCCCAGCCCAATACTAACAAGCTTTGTCGAAGCAAAACAAATGCCATATGCAAAGCCTCGTCGCTTGACGAACCACGAGTTGAGGATCATAAGCGATGGGTACCCCACAAACAGCGCTCCAATGCCCAGCAAAACACCTTGCGTCAAGATAAGCAGGGCAACAGAACGACAAAATGCCGCAGAAAGTAGGGCGACAAAACTGAGTAGCCAACCAAAGCCGATGTAGTACAGAAGAGGAAGTTGGGGCGTCAGCTTGAGACAAGCGTAGACCATTAGCGGCGCGAAAAGCGACATGATACCGTTTGAGATACCGCCTATCCAAACTGCTCGATCGGCGTGTTCGTATCTTTGCAGCACATAGTACTGGAAGAAGACACCGAACGAAGAGATGACCCCTGTTGACGCGCTCTTGATTAGTTTTGCTCATACTAAGCCTATGGATCTGGAGGAGTATTACCGAATGGCATCATTGAAAGAAGGGTGACAGCAGCCAGGACACCGTACGCTGCGCGACCTTCGTCCATGGGCGGCAAATCTGCTTCAAAAGCAAGCGGTCTTGGCTGGTCCATACTGTTACGGCTCTCCTTTTCGATGGCTTCTGTGATCAACAAAGATGCAGGCGTGTTGTCGGGCCCCGACTTCTCCGATGCCATTTCCGGTCGAGGCTCAGTGCCGGTTCGCATGGCAAGGACTTCGTACGGCAGCGGGTGACGCTACAATGGGTGGGAGAGAGAGGTGATAGACAGTCTGTAAAAGTCGAGTACTGGACAAGGCTACCTATGTTCAGGATTTCTACGTCCATACTGTATGTGTTGTGCACATTGGCCGTAAAGTATTGAATGCTGATTCACCCAAGCAACAGCCCTGGAGGTGTGGAGTCCTGAGGTCTTATTGGGAATGGGTGGATAAGTGTATACAGAATATAGTAGCTGAGGAACACTGAATTCAGCTACTTGCGCTCGTTGCTTCCAAGTACTTACCTAGGTAGTGCCAGTAACGTTCTATTACTACCTTGGATGAAGTATACGAATTCTAGCGTTCCAGTCGCATGGAGGAGGTGGTTGCTTGGAGAGGCTTCAGCTGTCGTGAATCAGCAAGCACAGCAGGCCTGCAACAACCTCGCCAGACCCAGATCTCTGATGCAATCAGCACGTGCACGTAGCAGGTAGGACTGGCTGGAAAAGGAGCAAATACCACCGGCAGCCCTACCTACAATGAAGGTACCAATAAAGTTCGTCGTTGCTTTTGCGACAAGCTCCACTATGCTTCGTGAAGCCGTGGACGGAAAAGCAGCATAACACTTGAGTTCCGAATTCATGCGGAGCCCTGGAGGTTGAAGCACATTCCTTCCGCCGGACATTCCTTGCAAATTCCCAAAGTTCACTTTAGGGTTCGGAGACTGTCAATTTCGCGTGGGACCACGTTCCAACCCTAGTCGGACTGCAATTCTTACTTTCCGTGCCTGTATACGGCCCTTATCTCAGTGGTCTCGGCCATCTTCGACGTTAAGGCTGAGCGGTGTAGCCCGAGGTATGGCTTGCTTGAGGAACCTTCTTCTTGAGGACAGGGGCTCCCCACTCCGACACAATGTCCTCCGAGCGGTGTCGGATTCTTTCGGCCCCAGGAATCAAGCAGAGCTTACTCGTCGCACTCGTACGAGGCTATGCCTTCCTGACTCGTTCACCTCTATGACCCGTTCGAATGACAGAATGCAGATGGCATACCTCGTAGCTGCTCTTGAGTCTTGATAAAGCTGTAACTTTAAGGTCAGTGAAGGTAAGTTCCTAGTATGATAGGTTCAGTAGTAGCTGAGGTGGGAGCTGCAGCCAAGATTGACAGCCGAACGCAAACTCATGGTTCGCAGCTGCACGCATCGTGCGCTCTAGACTACCTCGTTGTTGTGGACAGCCGCGCAGGAGTGAAGCGAAGTCAGGTCAGCCTCGCAATCCTGGCAAACATACCTGCAGTAGTACCAGAAGCACTGGTCCCCGGCCATAGGGCCTCGGAGTGCAACCACAAGACTCAACTCGCGGACGTCAAAGCTGAGCGATGTATGCGATGAGGTTCCTCTGTACAAGTTGCTTCAGCTACCTGCGAGCCTCGGCGAGATTGTCGCTATTTTACACATACACTGATTTGTCCTTTGGGTGGTAAGCCGAAAGCACTTGCCTGAGACGCGAGCCGCACTGTGAAGCATAAGACTGCAAAGTTGTCGGAAGATTAGTAATTCAGGCAAGTGAGAGTGGTCATCCCTATCAGGATATGTAAGTGAGTATTTTCGGAGTTATTGGAGTGGCCATTGTCTGCTTGAAGAGTTGATGGTCTAAGTTCCTAATATGGGAAGTCGGCGGTTGACTCCTTCCCTTCCAGCCCCGGGATTCCATGGTCGCTAGCGCTCACCAGATGCGGCACTGAGTCCATTCGTCAAGCCAAGTACTTGTTGAAGAACTGGATGCCTTGCTTCTCGGCGTCATCCATGGCTCTCTTGTCTTTGTCGGAACTCCAGTCACTGGACAAGAAAGTCAGTCAAGCAAATTGTACAGAGAGATGCCCAAAGCATCGCAGCTGGTCTACCGCACCGACCAACCATGTGGGGGTGTAATTGAAGTCATCCGCAAGTCTCAACAGAATGGAAAGCAGCGTGGACTAAGACTCACCCTCGGAGCGCAAAACCGTGGACCTGGTCTTCATAGTACCGAATATCGGTCGGGACATCCTTCCTCTCAGTATCAAGATATGTCTTGATCTGTTCGTTGGTCTTCTGGTCCATTAGACTATCTTTGGTGCCAACAGCGATACTGAGCGGCTTGTTGACCTTTTCGAAGTCGCTTGGGACCTGCGGAAGTCAGTAGGAGGATACAGCATGACGGACGAAGTGACGCGGGGATTTCGGCTCGTGGAGCAGGTCGTGCGCCGGTGGAAGAGTGGAAGGAACACTCACGCTCAGTAAAGACGGGTGACAGGCATACGCGGCGTCCACACCACCGACGTTGCCCTCCTCTCGTGGACTGTGGGCTTGAAGGATGGCATACCTGCCGCCCCAGCAGAAGCCGATGGCGCCAACTTTCTGAGTTCCTGGAATCTGCCTCACAGTGTTGATGAATCCACTGATGATGGGCTCCGAAACTCCTTCGCGATGCTTCGCAAGCCACGGACCCAGTGTGGCCATGACATCAACCGTGCCTTTGGTTTTATCGATGATGCCTGCCTGCTCTCTCACCTTGAGCGGCGGCTCAACACTTTGGAGAAACTCTTCCGGCAACGAGTCGCTTGGTGGACATCCGGGATGTAGCAGTAGAAGCCGGCTTTGGCGTAATTGTCGGCCAGCAAGCGAACATTCTTGAACTTCCAGCCGAAGATGTCGGTGATGAAGACGATGGACTTGGCGGTGGATTTTGACTCGGGCTCTGAGACATATACGTCGGTGCCACCGATCGTGTCCTCACGCCCTTTAGGCGTACCCGAGTGAACGCTGCCACTGAGGCAGCATGAGGACATACCAATTTGAGTTGACATCTTGGCTAAGTGTTTGGCCTAGGATAATGAATGAGTTTGTTTGACCGACTTCTCGAGGAGAACGAAGAAATGAAAGACAAGATATATTGCATACGTTACCGTATGCTACTCTGACGTAGTGACTGTTGAGTTCACCTTTGATGGTGGGGTAGACGAAGTTTCATATCAAATCATTGCACGGAAGTGGTTGGTATCGTCGTCGACGCACGACACGATCAGCCATTTAAGCGCGCGGCCCGTACGGAAAAAGCACGTACTTGCCTTTCAGCTCGAAAACTTGTGGTAACTGTGACATGTTGTGGAAGTCACATTGGGGACGAGGCTTTGATACAGCCTCGCAATCTCGTTCATCCCTCTCGCACTTTCGCAGACAAGAGCACTCTTCAGAGGTGTTGACCGTCGGGTACCAGATACATAGGTAGTGCTTACGTCTGAGCACACGTACGAACCACCGAGCGTGATGGCGTCCACTCCGCCATTCCCTTACATCACCTGAGACCAAAACACTTGTGTGCACAGCTGTTATCGCCAGCTTCGCGCCCATCATGAAGTCACTCGCGGCCCTCGTACTGCTTTGTTCATCCATAGCCCTTGCCGACAGCTTCCAAGAACCCCTCGCGAACCAGCGGCCACGGACGCACCGAGTCGCAGTAATAGGAGGCGGCGCAGCCGGTGCATCGACCGCGTACCACCTGCACAAGTTTGCTGGTGAACGTTCGCTGGATACAACCCTCCAGGTCACGTTGTTCGAGAAAGAAAACCGTATAGGTGGACGGACAACCACAGTCAATGCACTGAATGATACACGCTTCCCTACCGAGCTAGGAGGTAGTATCTTCGTCCGTATCAATCAAATTCTCTACAACCTTACCCAGGAATTCGGCCTGTCGACCGATGCCAGGGTCTTTGGCGATGAGGTCACTTCAGACTACGACCTGGGCGTATGGAACGGTAAGGAGTTTGTGTTCAAGCAGAGCAACAGTGATAGTCGATGGCAGGGCTACTGGGACATCGCCAAGCTGCTCTGGAAGTATGGTCTGGCACCAGTTCGGACCAGGAATCTCGCTCGCACTGTGGTTGACAAATTCTTGAGGTTCTATGAGAAGCCGCATTTCCCATTCGCGTCGCTCGGAAACGTGATCGAGAACAATGAGCTCCTCGAGTACATCTCTATGAGTGGGAAGGATCTCCTCGCGGCATATAATGCCGATGGTGCCTTTGCTAATGACATCGTACAGGCTTCTACCCGTGTGAACTATGCCCAGAATCTAGACCAAATCCACGGCGTGGAGTCCATGGTTTGCATGTCGACCGAAGGTGGCATGAGCGTTGACAATGGCAATTGGCAGATATTCCACGAAGCAGTGAGGCACTCGGGAGCTGAAGCCGTCATGGATACGTCCATCACCAAAGTCACCAGGAATGCTTCGGATTCGACAGCATCTTACATCCTCTCGACAAGCGACGAAACCGACTTCGGACCTTTCGACGCTGTCGTGCTCGCCGCACCGTATCAATTCGCCAATATCGAATTCGACCCGCCTCTGAAACATGTGCCGGAAAGTATTGATTATGTCTCACTATACGTCACGCTGTTTACCTCGCCACACTTCTTGTCACCAGCTTTCTTCGGCCTATCGCCAGACTCACAAGCTGAAGTGCCGTCGACCGTCTTGACGACTCTCCCAGAAGACGCAGATAAGGATGATGACTTGCACGACTTTTTTAGCATTTCTCACTTGAGCACGTTATACGCATCCGATGCCGCCGTTGCAGAAAATGCCAATTTGTCGATCCCACAGAATCTGTATAAGATCTTTTCGCACGGGCCTCTGACTGGGGATTTCATATCGAAGCTACTCAACTTCGACCACACCTCGACTGCCGGCAAGTCGGATCCCATCTCAGAGCTGCCATCCTGGGACGTCTCATGGCAGCTGGAGAAGGTCTGGCACAGCTACCCTTACGAAATACCGCGAACCGAGTTCGAGCGTATCAAGCTTGAAGGCGATGATCGACATGATGGTTCTGGCATCTGGTACACAAGTGGTATTGAGAGCTTCATCTCGACCATGGAGACTAGTGCACTGATGGGTGCGAATGTTGCTGGCCTCATTGTGCAGGAACTCGGGAATCCATATTGAGTGACCAATCTTGGTGCAGCAGAAGGTTCCCCCGTTCTCGGAATCTATCAGGACTCATATGGCTGGTCATGTCGTCTGCACACCGCTTCTGATGCAGCTCAACTCAACCCAGCAAGAAAGTCTGCATAGGTAGATCGGCTACAAATTTTTCGACTTCGTTCCATCTATCCGCCAGATTGTTCTCATACCCAGGCTTGACGCTGAGATCGAACACGATCAGACCTGTGCGGTACCACAGTCCTTCTCTATCTTCGACCGCGACTGTCCATAGCGTCTTGCTCCGCCGATCGAGTGTCTTGCTGTCGGAGGTTGCCAGCACCATCGCTAGTGAGAATTTCTTCTCTGGTGGCTTGTGGGGTGGTTGTGTCGGGAGTGTATGGTAGTCTTGGAAGATCTGCGTTCGTATGAGCTCCACTGCTTTGGTGGCAGCCGAATCCATGCTGTTCAGGGATATGCGTCTCTTACTGCTAGGTGATTCGGAGACTGTGTATTCAATCGTAGGTGCTTTGATCTCCAACAAGCGAGTCTCTTCCGACAGCAACTGGCCGCCGCTGTGGGAGTCCAAGAAGACGTTAAGCGGAAGACCTTCGCCATTCGCTCGTATGACACAGATTTGGGCGGCCGTGGCAAAATTCTCCACGGTGAATTCTTGCTCAGTGCGAGGGAGCAGATCATAAAGTGTTCCCCAGCGCGAAGAAGCCCAGGACCAAGACGGGAAAGCATTGGACTTCGTGACCATCTCCGCGGGTCTAGGGGCCCACTCCATCTCATCGAATGATCCACCATGGGTATAGATCTTGACGTGGGAGTTTGTCCAAAGCAGACCTATACAGAAGCCTAGTGCTGTGTTACTGCTATCTGCGAGGTCCTTCCCGGGGCCGACATCGAGACAGACAATTCCCCACAGCGACTTCCACGGCAGAATGTTGAGGTAACCTCTGATTGCGTCAAGGGCATCGCTCTCTCTGGTCAAATTTCGAGAGCAAAAGTCTTTGATGTGTCTGAAGAAATGTCTGATCGTCATCTCTGATCCAGACGATGAGATTGGTCGGTTTGCGTTCATCCATCCGGATCTCGCGTCAAGCCAGCCGGAGTCTATCAGTTGTGAGCTTTCGACATATTCGCAGAAGGCGCCACTTGCGTGCATGACTGCTGCTGCGCCATCTGTGGCATAGATGAGGCATTTCGAGAGGAGGCACTCTTGTAGCACCCAGCCACGCGTAGCATAAGTAGTGTGCGAAATCACAGTACCGAGCGAGCCCAGATCCAATCCCAGAGTCCCATGTTGAGTCCTGGTCGAGAACGGCACAGTCCTTTCATGACTTACCCCAGGTATGGCCTCGTTGCAGTTGGAGCCAAGACTGACCACTGTGGCCCAAGCGTTTGCGAAGATGCTCGCCATCTTCGCAAGCTCTCCTCGGAGTTCTATCGTATCATTGTACTGGATGCAATAACGATCTACCCACAAGTACTGCTTTCCCAGATTCTTGGTGAACTCGATTGCATCGCGAATCGTCCGAGGTGCATACTCTAGCGTCACTCGCCCCGTGGCGTGTTCTGGCCTGCGTTGTCGCGACGATGAACGACCAATGACGTAGCTCAGCGCAACATACTCGGCATCTGTCGTAGCATCCACGATGGCTAGACTGTAGCAGTCTAGCAGCCTGATCTTGGTTGCGGCCCTCGGAGATCTGGTAAGTGTTTCGCATCTCGTCGTAGCCATGTCGTCCTGCAGGCCCTCCAGTCTCTCAGATAGCCAGGTGTAGTTGATGTAGGGGTCAACAACGATGCCATCCTCATCATCGACGGAGAGGTTCATGTGCCACGACGCCAGGCCGACATCTGTGGCTTGGTGACCACGCCGCCTTGAAAGCAGCTGCATGTAGAAGCGGGGATGTTCCGCGCGAATAGACCAGACGCAGAGAGTCACGGAGAACGTAGGCTTGATTGTGTTCGTTGCATCCCAGACCCAGTGGCATAATGTGCATAGCGGACAGTTGCCATGGTCTCGGAAGAGCCATCCTTCCTCAGACTCGAAGATGATTTCAGAGGAGTTCAGGCGGCTGGCAGCGCTGAAGTCGATGGTTTGGCAGATTTCGCATAAGTCGTCGACATCAGCATGAGGCGAGCCTCCTCTTGAAGGCGCCATGGGTGGCTCTGCAAGCTGTTGCGGTCAAGATTTCGGCTTTTTGGTAGCTACATTCAAGTCAGTAACGACTGTTCCGATGCCCAGCGCATACGACCCAGCACTCATCAGCAGTGCGGCATCAGCACGGAGTGTGAGATGGCAGCAGCCGCCACCGAGGCATAGACTCGCCCCTGCTCGTAAGGCAGACTCTTCGAAGGGTTCCGAAACAAGGCAGTAGCTGATTGATGCTTTGGCTACGGTGAGTCAGTTCCCCCTCCCCCGCATGCTGTGTCGTGCCTGCATCGAGTCCTGGAGACGTGTTTGGCAAGAGCATGACGGCACCTGCAAGTTCAGACGCATGTAGGTCAACGTTGAAGGTGGAAGGTACCATGGAGCAGGGTAGACGGCAGGTGTCCGCTGTCCGACGTGAAGACGGCTCACGTCAGACCGGTTGACACAACCTTGAATAGAAATATATTTGTGCCAGTCATTCCCGTCACAAAGTAGGTCAACATGGCCTTACTTAAGGAAGTCCCTACTCTTCGATATTATAGCTGGCGTTGTAAGCTATCTACACATCCCCTACATACTCCCACTCGGGCTCTGCGCCCATCGGCCCAGCCTGTGCCCTTGTATAGCTCTTCCCGTGCACATACCGACTCACCATCGGCTCTTCGTCAATCGCACAGTGTATCTCGCCATCTCTTCCCCTGAACCAGCCCAACGCATAGGTCTTGTTCAAGCCTTTGAGCCTTGCCTCCATCTGCTTATTCGTCATCTTCTCCGTGTCAATGAAGTCCGTCAACATATTGGAGGAGTAGATGAAGGCCAGATTTGCCGCAATCGTGGACGGCTCTCGAGGCAGGAAAGGGTGTCGCCGCCGCCAGTAGACGAGGGCGGTGGTGATGAGGACGAATATTAGGATGACGAGCGACAAGATCAAGGAGACCCAGAAGGAGACGTAGGTCTCATCCTGATTTGATCCCTCGGAGTCTGTTTTGTGCAGGAACTCCACGCTGTTCACTGAAAATGAACCGACAGTGACGGTGAAGACATCGAGAGCGACGGAGGATAGACCAACCAGCATGACGAGCCAGTGCCGATTGGCGAGCGCCTGGAAAGGCATGATGCCGTAGATGGAGGCTTGGTAGTCGAGTGTGAGGGAATGCTCAGGCCGGGCTCGGCCAAGGGAGAGGCGGTAGTAGGGCTCCATGAGCCGAACGTCGGCTTCGAAAGTGTTGAAGATGAGCTTGAGGAGGGTGGCAAGGAGAATCGGTAGCCACGGCGCCGCGTTGGGCACTATACGTGCATCCGTGAGAGATATTAGAGGGATGGTTATTAGGCCGAAGACCATGAATCCCATGAAGGGGAACGCGGCGCCTGCTCGGAGCATCGGCGGATGGGGACTGCTAGACTTCATATCGCTGTCGACGTATGGATCTTCCTTAGTGTCGTACTCGCCTTGCCAGATAGAGGACTTGTAGAGGACATAGCGGCGATGCTGCAGTTTCTTGTGCAACTGAGCACGATTTGCCTCGTCTGTGCCTTTGAAGTCGCGGAGAATGTGAGACTTCGTTGCCATGGACGCGATGCCGGCAATGCCCTTCGGATCGCTGAGAAGTCCAGATCTTCGCCGCAGTTGGAAGAGTAGGACGACTGTGATGATTGCAACCAGGAGGTAGCTTACTGACAAGATCCGCGACCATACCGTGTTGACACGGACCCAGTATCTGAATTGGTCAGTGTCGCCACACAGGCCATTGACAATGTTCTCATCCTGGCAGCTCTCGTCCGGATTTTCAATAAACTGGAGGGAGGGATTCTGTACCGCCGGACCGATCATGGAGGCAATGATGTTACCAGTGGTGGACAGAAGAACCGCCCACTGCTTCAACCTCCAAGCCTTGAATGGCACAAAATACTGAAACATCGTCAGGTGATCGCAATTTAGACTCGTTGCTGCTGTGGCTCCTGTAGACTGTGATAGCTGGTAATAAGGCTCTAGGCGGCGAATCTCGAAGTCCATGAGCGTGAAAAAGACGGAGTATGCCACAGCGATAATCGTAGGCAAGTCTGGCACTTGTCAGCTCGTGGTCACACGACGATTGTGAGCTCTTACATTTCCAAGCGAAGAACTTCATCGTCGGCACACTCTTTACATTATTGAACACAATTAGTCCGCCCTCCTCCCTCGTCTTCCTTATCGACATCTGGCACAAACCTTCCTGAACCCCAGCTATAGCGAGAGCCATGACTATCAGAACTAGGATGTAAAATGTCTTCATCGGGAAAGGCTTCCAGTTCGGCACGTCGGGATCCTGAGGAAAGAAGTAGGATTTGTGTTCTTCTTGGGCTGTGATTGAACCAAATGTGCTCGCACGATTGCCATTGAGCAGTTGATCGAATGATGCTGTGCTCTGTCGAAAAGGAATACTCGCTGGCCCTTCAAATTGACTCAGATCAATCACACTCTCGTTCACTTCGACGATTGTGTTCTTCTCGCTGGCCAATTTCTGCCCTATATTTCGTACTGTCTTGTGCCGTTCTAGCTGATTTGCAGCATCGTCGCGAGCTGCTGGCATCCTCTTTGATGCTTTCGTGGGATTCCGTCTCAGCTGGGCACCAATCTGATTCATGCCTTCTCCAATGCCATCTTGCACTGACCGGCGCTTGTCAACAAATTCGCGGAACTTTGGCTTTGCGGAGCGAGTGGCGGCTGGAGATACGTATTCGGTGTCTTCATCGTCCAAAGCTCGCTGATTGCTGGGTCCCGGTTGCATGTCATTCAATTCGAAGCCGAGCCCTTCGAGCGACGACAAATCCACGGGACCTTGGTCAGGGTCGTTGTCGTCATCCATCTTCTCGTACCTTTGTTGTCGCCGCACGGAGCGAAAGCGCGTCCCTGTCAGTGGCGACTTCATAGTGGTCATGCGCCGAACCAACGACGAGACTGTCGATATTGCGCCTGGCGTTCTTCTCTGTGTCGGCGAGAGCTGGCTTGGGTTGTCAGGTTCTTGGCGATCATCGTCTCGATATGTTCCATGGAATTGGCTGTCATCTTGCATAGATCGTACGGACGAGTGGCGCGAATGCTGTGCTCGATGATCCGAAGCTGATGGCAGAGCTTCGGCAATGTCTAATTCTTCGTCCTCTGGTATCAGGGTGAAAGCCTCGCGACGCCTGGACGAGGGCCCTGGGCGATCATCGTAGTCTTCGTCGTGACTCATGGTCTCAGTGTGCACGCGTGAGGACCCGCGTCACCTGTCAGAATCGTGCTCCGCAAGGGCAGAGTTCCTAGAACCTGTTCCGCGCATGTTTTGTTGAGACTTCTATGTACAGAGGCTGTTGCGGAATACAGACCCAAGTGCTTCCGTTTCCGATATCCAAGTCGCGCAAGGGCCGATCCACACTTCAACACGATCGCGCGGGCCGGAGCGCCTGGCTTACGTTGAATGTAGAGCCTTTGTAGATTAGAATCCCATGAATCGCTTCCTGAAGCGCACGATATGGGAAACGGAGTCGAAAGCGTGTGAAGTGCAAAGGATCGAATTGTTGAAGAAGTCAGCAGGAGTTGTCCCCTCCAGCGCCAGCAGTCGCGAAATCGATAAAGGCGATCCCCGTGGCAAGTCAAGCTCCCAAAGTGGACTGTCGCTTGCGCCGGTGACTAAGGTGCAATTTCAGCACTATGACCGGTCAGAAGCAGCCGTCCGGCACGACTGAGTCTTTGAATACAAGAGTCTCAGGACATCCGTCGTCGAAGACTCACAAAGACATCGAGATAAGATCCAACAGCTTGGTCGAGCTGAATAACTCTTCCCGCAAATTGACAGGCCTTGTGCAGATGGGTTCCTGTCAGGATCTGGGTGCTGGAGCATAAGCGGTGTCTAAGGGAAGCTTCGGGCCTAGCCCTACGGAAACAAGAAACCAATACGGCTGCACAACTTCGTAGTCCTCCCCATTCTGACGAAGACCCCTGTCGGACCATGCTGGCCAGTCTTATAGCTCGTTATTGTCGGCGGATTGTCTGCAGTGCCAAGGGCGCTTGATCGAGAGTCGTGGCGTTCTTTTGAGAGGGCGATTCACACCTGCAAGACCGCCCGCGAGCATCCATGGCCCCCCAGCATAAGAAGGCGTCCCTTCATCATTCGTGAGTTCGTAAGATGGGCCCAAAAGGTTATACAGAGGTTTCAGATATTGGAGACCCGCCTTTAGGGTTTGATATTCAGGTTCGGGTTGACGCGATTGCTGCCATGTGGCATTGTTCCTCTAATGGGGCTCTAGGGGTCAATTCGCTCGTCAACAGAAATGCCGCCATTATAAATTCTTGATGACGGCGCGTCATGCTAAGGTCAGATCTGTCCGTTGTTGGTTTCGCGCATATTGAGGAGTGTGTGGATACGGAGGTTGATCTGCTAAAGAAGTCGAAATGTGGTTTAGGTCAAGTATATGAACGGTAGGCACAGATGGTCTGTACCTGCCTCATATCGACCGCTACTGACTTTGCGCTCCGCACATCGATCCAATTTACACACCAATATGCCTATAACGATCAGTCAGGACGTGACTCTCCTGATAGCAGACTCTGCTTCGGGAGACTTCGAGAAAGCAAGGATCAGCTGACTGCGTCCACGGCGCATCGTCAACAGGTCCTAGAGTTGTTGCACTTTGGCCCGGGGTCCTGAAAACAGAACGATGTCTTCCTGACGTGGTGGAGACACGCCTTGATACCATCCTGACCTTTGGTAACCAGTCTCCCCAAGTGACATGACTGAGTGCTACTGATGCAAGAGGCCAAGTCGTTCGTAAATGGCAGCAGACGCATGGCGCTCATGATATGATGTTAGACGCCTGTTGACTTGCGCCCCAACTCATCGGTAATTGCTCCGTGAGACCCTACGGTCGCTAGCCATCCTTCTGCAACAGAACAGTGACTCCCATCAGTCCCAACATCACCGTCTTCAGCCACGGATGTTCGCTCAGCATGATTGTGACGTATCCTATAGCAGGCACATATCCCCTGACACTTCCAATGATGTCCTCTTTCCGATCCAAGTATTTCTGTCCACGTGCGTAGAGCTCGGTGTCGTCAGCGACATTGTTGTCGCCTTTTGTGAGGAGCTTTTCGGCTGCCGGGTGCGCGACGCCCCTGCGAATAGTTGTTAGGTTCTGGCTCTCTCAAGCTGGGCCAATGCGGATGTGGACTCACTGCTTCGTAATCTCCTTCTCCCCCTCCGCTGGCGCATAACTCCTGACCACACGATGTACGATCGGTATGTCCTTGTCCTTGACATTGTAGACGACAACCTCGCCCACCTCAGCCTTCGTGCCCCTGTTCCATAGAAAGAGAAGGTCCCCACGCTGGAAGGCCGGTTCCATTGAGCCTGAGAGCACGACAACTATCGGTGACGGTGAATCGGAGATGACAGACAGCGACTTCCACATCATGAATGCTGTCGAGAGGACGAGAGCGAAGTTGAGGATCTGCTGTAGCGATTGTCGCGGCGATGACAGCGCTGAAGTGAGGTCTGAGAACATTGCGTCGATTGTATGGGCGCTGACAGAGGACTGCGGAGAGCGGAAAGGACACGAGGGTGATGACTGTGAAGTCACTGACGAGGACGGTCTATGGCATAGCAGTCCAGCCGCTCTCACGTCTGTAGCTGCAACCTAAAAGCGAAAGCAAGTGACGCGGTATCGAAGTGGTACTCGTACGCGTAAAGTGACCATCTGGCCGCATTGGAGTCGCGCAGGCCACACCCAGCCCGGAGATAGGCGGAGATCTAAGCCCAGAGAACGTGGCACCACGCATGTACTTACATTGTACGTAACACATGTAGGTAGTGAGGTTCAGCTATATCAGAGCACCAGCTCGTTCCTCTTCACGACTACGTGTCCCGCTTCTACGCTCTCAACTCCGTGGCAGCCGACAAGCAGCAACTTTTCGAAGTCGCTCAAGATGCCTGCCTGACCAGATTCAAACAAATCAACGTACTCTCGGTACGAAAGCAGGTTCATGTTAGAATTCTTGTGCACACAATCGCCCTCGAGGCAATCCGCCTCCCATAGCCGGCTATTAGCCGCGTCAAACACGAGAGCGGAGCCGAACGGCGTGTGAGCGAACTGACCAGTGACTATTATGCAGTACGCGGCCTGAAGCTGATATGAGCACAGCAGTGTGCGGCGTATCGACTCTCCTAGAATGTACGCGTCGCAAGGCAGCAGGAATTGAGGTAGTTCTGCTGGGGCACTCATCCATAGTTTCTCAGAGTGATGGACGAGAAGTTTCTGTCGTCTGTGAGCTGCGGCTCGTTGCCTTGCACTCTGATTGTGCCTGAAGACAGTCATAATCTGTATGAGGATAAGCGCTTGCAGAAAGCCTAGGCGGTCCAGTAACGACACCAGCGTTCGATCGGCTCGGATAATGGTCTCGATGGTCAAATCCATGGCGTCGTCGTACGTGATGTGAGAGCAGTCTCGACAGCACACATCATTGTCGGGAAGGCTCTCCAACACCGATAGCATCCATGGTCGCTGGAATCTGCTATACAGACGTGAATGGATGAACGGCACGGTGCCTCCCGTGGATGCCGACCTTGGGAATGTCTTCATGACTTTAATTATCCAGGGCACAGCAGTCAAATCGACATTGCACCTGAAGTCTGGCTTGCATCGTTTCTGCCCTTCTAGTTAGTCGCAAATCGAGAACGTAGTCTTGGCATCAAATAGTGGTGTAGACATGGGATATGCGCCTCCTTTCACCGGCCTGAGAAATATGGTCCAGGTATAGCGCTGAAAGGCTCGCACCTGAGCATACGCTTCTGTCCCGGTAATTCCACTTACCATAGCAGCCAACACAAGGAACATGGGATTCTCGACCTCCGGCGCCCTTTCCTCCCGGCGCAGAGGCTCGTTCTGATAAGCACAGGTTTTGCTCAGCATGCCACACCTTTTGCAGTAAGGAAGGCGTCGATCGCATTTCTTCTTTGCGCGGATGCATTCTCGACATGCCTTGGCGAGGGAGTAAGGGGACATAGTCTCTGGCTGTGTGCTAGTGGTTAGATGTCTGGAGAAACAGTACAGACACGCGCAGGGCGTTCTGTACGTTGAGGTGATGAAATAGTAAGGACTGGCATTAGTAGTCAATACTCGTTCTTCAACCCAAAATAGTCGTCCGTCTGCTACGTTCATTTCCGCAAAGTCCCAGGCCCACAGCGACAGACCTGACATTTAATGTGGTTCCCAGTGAAGAAGCATCGCTGGTGGCCTTGGATGTACTTGTCGGAGACTAGTCCTTTTTGATGTCGAGGATGTCTCCGTCTCGGGATTCAGAGCTCCTCCCAGATGATGAGGACGAAGCAGCAGGATCTGCCGGCACATTATTGGCGTGGCAATGAGTTGCGACTGATACACATGCAAGATTGACAGAAGTCCTCGTTGAGCCTAGATAGCCTGGCAAGCCTGAGAAGCCGTGCCAAGCGGCTCGCGATAGGCGGCGATCAAGTTCAAAATCGATCGAGCCTCCCCAAATTCACTGGCACAATGTTCTTTCCAAAATTTATGGCATCGAAAATGTTTCTTGTGAGACCGTGACCTTTCCACACTGGCAAGTAAGAATGACGTGCAGAGCAGCATGTGCTTTCCGTTGGTATACGGAGGGCTCCATCGTGCCTACTAACTCAATCCGCAGCTGGGAAGGAAGCATGGCATGTGAAAGACCTCAACGCCAGGGTTTGAGATAACAACATCGAAGTGTTATGCAGCATTCCATTCCATCGTTGAGGTGAGTCGATAACATCCCACAATCGTTGACTTACATCTCATATTGCAATTACTATCGCCTGTCTCCTGTCGCTTTCAAAATAGAACAGTGCCATATCATCAGCTGCCGCATACGACAAGTGCTTTGTTGAATCAAAAGCCTCACGCTGCCGCTCAGCGTTTTACTGTCGTTCTTGTTCTTTGGTGAGTTCTTTGGTGCGCAAAGAGTGCAATTTGAGTGGGAAAATGGACTAGGCGTCACGAACATCGACACCATTGTGCCTGCGAGGTCTCTCACTTGCTACCAAGCCTATGGCCTTCATCTTGCCTGGCTCTGTGCGATCACGCCTGCCTGGCCTCACCCTCCGACGGGTACGAAGCACGCCCGACGCTCGTGGCATTGCTATCCTGGAGAGAACGAACAGTGATGCCAGTCTGCCGGACGACGGCAACGGCTCGACACCCACAGAGACCGGAAGCAGTCTTGCAGTACGCCCTAGAGCAGCAACAGCGACGATGAGAATGGGAGCGCCAGATAGTTCATCGGTCGTGCCCTACAGTACCTCGAGCACGTACTTATCAGCAAGTGGCGGCGACTCACTTGCTTTGAACCTAGCGTATGCACATCTGCACGCAGTCTGCCAGTCTCGGACCGCCACTATCCCACAAGATCCGCGGATGGAACGCACATTGTTGGTAGATGCAGCCAAATACTCGATGCTGGCCCTTCCAAAAGATTTGTCAGATGCGGAACTAGTCAGTCTCTGGAACACCATGCCAGATCAACCGCAGTGCCGAACGGATCACGACATACGAGAACGGAGCCGGCTGAGACGATTCATTGCTTTGATGACGAAGGTGTTCATATCGTGCATGCTGCTATTGCTGCCAGTGTTGGCCATGGCTGGTGACGGCGCAGTTCGACTTGAGAGGAGATTCGAACTCACCCAAGGCCTGACAAATGCCATCGTCTCCCTGGTGAGCAAATTGGAGAACCTCAATCCATGGGCAGTGCTACAAGCGACTAAACAGAGCCAGACTTTGGGTTGGACTGTAGGCGTAGGGCATTGGATGGTGAACGGTGTTGTTGGCGGAGCTCTAGACGGGTGGCACGATGCCGTTGACCAGCGGTCAGCTTCAGCATCAAGACGGACGTCAATAAGAAGCTGAGAAGATCAGACATAGGACTCAGTGGCATCATTCCATGATGATGGACTGGTAACGCGACAGGAAGACTGACACTTTCTCGAATAGACGGGCGAAATGATCCCACGAATAATGACAGACTAGACTAGACCTCAGATGAACTTGTCGCAGGAATCAAAATCGAAAATGACAGAATGACGGTCATTCGAATCTGATAGAGTTGGAGTTCCTTGATGTTTGACTGCTCCGACTGCCTCCCATCTCCAAGTTCTAATGCCTTTATTGTTACCATCTTTCCGCCGGCAGCAGCGTGTGCTCGACTTGTAAGTGTCTGATGCATGCCTCTTGGGTAATCTCTGCTCACGGCGAGCAGCTCTCATGTCGAACGCCACCATGTAGAGGGTGTATACGTTACGCTAAGCCCCGATAGCCCTGCAGACTGGGTCGGTGTGCTCTTCGTCCGTGATGGTCTGTCGCCGACAGACAGATGTGCGGTACTCACTGCTTGCTGACCTCCGTTGACAGGGCCGTACGAATCAGCAATTCTACGCTTCACGATTCACTTCCCTGACGACTTCCCTGATGTCGCCCCAGTCATCACATTTTCTACCGATGTTTTCCATCCGCTCGTCGTCCCGTTGACCCAATACACGTTCAGCGCAGGCACACTGGATGCGTCCACCAGCGCGAGTGCTTCAGACGATGCCCGGCTGCCACCTGGCGCGTTCAATCTGAGACATGTTTTCCCGGGCTGGTTCACCCGCGACCAAATTGTAGGAAGTGGTCAGAACGCCGACTTGAACCGAGGCTCCTCAGAAAACCATACTCAGGATCCATGCGCTACATCAGCTACGGCCGAGAACATAGCTGACTCCAGTCAGACAGCCATAAACATCCTGAAGCATCTCAAAGAGGCATTTGAGAATGCCTCAGTATTGGATAACGTTGAGTTCGGCGCAGTCGGCAATCCCAGTGCATGGCATGCATGGAGGGCCTATCGGGGCCTGAGCACCACTCAAACAAGAGGCCGCAGCCCTAGCCGGAGTCAGGAACCTGAAAGATCACCATCGTCTCCCAAGCAGATGAGCGACTGGAACTGGGAAGGTGTTTGGGAATCTCGTGTCCGTAATGCTGTCGAAACGAGCATTAGCGAAGCAGGGCTCTTCAGCAACCAAAGCCTCGTAAAGTTCGCAAAGATCGACGCCAGTCAACTGAAGGAGATTAGACAGCAGATCCAGACGAGCTAGACACTCGTTCTGCATCGGCGCGTTCAAGTCCACAGTCCTCTGCCGATACCATACGAGCACAAGGATGATCCATATCTGGTAGATCTAGTCCTGCACAAGCCGGTCGCGTCGACTTCGACTCTAGCAATCAATGTCTCACGAGCACTACAGTTTGAGTCGGCAACAAACGCATTGCTTCGGACTCTGCAAACACAGACTGGCACACCTGACCCATGGCTTTGAGCCAAGGGGGGATTGCGCTTCAAACGCCACGAGCTGATGTTGGGTCCAGCGTTACTATGGGCACGTGTACAAATCGCTCAAGAGGACTTATATGGATGACGGAGGGAGTCCCAGTGCGGCTCTCGCCCACAGACCTTTCAGACTGTCTATTGAGCTAAGCCCCACCGGCATGAATGCACGCGAGGCATTGGAAAAGGTGAATTCGATCGATTTAGCACGACCTTCATGCAGCAGGATTCATGCTCATAGAGCAGGTACAGAGACTTGCATATCGATCGCTAGACGCGGCTGCAGCCAGCTTTATTGCGTGTCAGCTTATTGGGTTCTTCATAGGGATGTGGTCCTTTCGTTCTGCTTCTAGAAACTTGTACCCCCGAAAGCGTGTCCAAATTGTATATCCGTTACCTTGATCTGACCTATCAGTCTGCCGGCGACCCCCAGTGGCGGGGCTCGCGGTCTCGGATATGCCCACCCCCTCAATGCCATCGCGCGAATTTGTGGGCACAGCTTACTTAGCAATCGGGGACTACTACTCTTACTCAGTCTAGCGTGTGTCCTCATGCAGCCTTCTTGTAATCTCAAGGGCGTACCGCCAAGCGGATGCCTGAGGAGTCATCAATCTTCTACCGACACCGGCTGAAGCATTGAACGACCTCTCACGCCTTTGCTGTGCCCGTTCGATTTTTACGCCCTTTCATTCTGATCTCTGCAGTCTCAGAGGAAGGTGCAAGGCTTTGCACTTGGCTTGGAGGAAGCCGCCGCAGCCATGGAATACTTCAATTTTTCAGGTGCGTCGGACGACCAAGGCGTGCCGCCGCTGGACCTGGACGAGCTTTCCTCGTTGTACCCTGAGTATGGCCAAGATGAAGCCAACGAATGTTTCGACTCGCTATTCTTCGACAAGAGCCACATGCTCCCCGTGGACCCCGCGCCCGCGGTTCAGCCAGGTCCTATCATGCTCAAGCTTATCAACGACATTGAGATCGAAGCGATCCCACAACTCGATGACCCAGATGTCAGCTATCCTATGTTTAGAGCCAAGAACCCTTGCGATCTTTGCGCACGCATGGGCCTCGACTGCTACCTGGCGTCTAGAGGCACCATGATCACCGGTTGCACTTGCTGCATATCACTCTACAAAGACTGCAGTTTCACTCATCCTAAGATACCGAGAGGCTTCGTCAGTAACTTCAAGGCTATTGGAGAAGACAAGGCCGAGACTATCTTCGGTAGAGAACATCAACGATCTCTCAAGTCCTTTGAGGAGGGCCGGCCACGGAAGACAGGAGCTCGCTTCCCTCGAGATGCCGTCAAAATTCTGAAGCAATGGCTTGCTGAACACTCTGATCATCCTTACCCAAATGAAAGAGAGAAAGATGAATTGAAACAGCTCACTGGACTCAAGCGGAGCCAGATCAGTAATTGGCTAGCAAATGCTCGTCGACGAGGGAAGGTTCGACCTTCTGAAGGGTCTGAACCATCGTCGCCACTCATGGGTGCTATCGATATTCCTGGATCAGGTAACACTCTATCTGAGCTCAACCCGCTAGACAGATGGAAAGCCTCGCCACCGGAGAACGAACCTGCCAGTATGACGGCCATTGCCAGAGCCGTGACGGCCACGCCCATGCCCTCCAACCGATCACTATCACGCCAGAACAGCTTGCACAACAGCCGGGCATCCTCACGCCAGAACTCATCGTCGGAAAGTACAAACATTAGTATGTTACGTGAGCCATCTGTCTCCAGCTTTGAGACCCGAGAATCATCGACGAACTCGGATCTCACTTTCGCTTCTTCGCGATCCAATCAGTCCAAGCGCAGCTTCTCTTCGGGTGAACGACGTCGTCGCCGCCGAGCGCCAATGACACAACGCGCTGCAGCGCAGGCTACGAAGACACGCAGTGCTCGTATCTTCCAGTGCACCTTCTGTACAGACACCTTCCCTGCCAAGTATGATTGGCAAAGGCATGAGAAATCTCTCCATCTGGCACTAGAGCGCTGGACCTGCTGTCCGGGAGGTGGAACATACACCATCCCGTCAACTGGACTCGCTCATTGCGTATTTTGTAGCGGCCTCAATCCAAGTGCGGAGCATCTCGAATCAGACCACAACTTTTTGGTATGCCAGGAGCAGACAGTACAAGAGCGCACATTCTATCGCAAGGACCACCTTCGACAGCATCTTAAGCTCCGTCACAGCGCCAAATTTGAAAAGCACATGGAGTCCTGGAAGACTACCACGAATGAGATCAAGTCATGCTGCGGCTTCTGTCCAAGCAAGTTCACTACATGGTCTCAACGTGCTGATCATTTGGCTGCCCACTTCCGCAACGGCGCAGACATGTCAACGTGGACTGGAGGCTGGGGCTTTGAGCCGTCCGTCGAACGATGCGTAGAGAACGCCATACCGCCTTATCTGATCGGCCACGAACGCCAGACAATGGAGCCATATGTGGCCCGCATGACCAAGCGCGGATCACTTGCAAATACTCCAATGGGCAACGTCCGAGGACGCAACAGGAGCACGCCCGGCTCCTCCGGTAGTGGCTCAGGCGTCACGTACGGCACATCTGCGCCCACTAACACAGCAGCAACGCCCAGATCAGGCTCTATGCAGCCCGCTTCTGGCAACGTCACCGACTCAGATGCATTTGAAGAGCCAGACCAGTTGACTCGCGACTCGAACTGCTGGGGTCGTCTCGAGCAGGAACTCGCGAAATACGTGACTCAATTCCGCCTGCAGAATCAGCTGCCCACTGACAAAGATCTCCAAAGCCAGGCCCGAATGATTATCTACGAGGATGACGATCCGTGGAACTACACATGCGCCGACAATCAGACCTGGCTGGACACGTTCAAATGGCAGCACGGCATCGGTGGGGTGACGGATGTCATGCAGCAAGCTGGACTTGGCGATGTGGTTGACCAGGAAGGCAATCTTGCTAACACCTCTCTTGTGGCTGGTGGCGCCGGTGGCGGCCTTATGGGCTACGGACGAGACGGTGACAGACTTCTCGACCAGGTCGAAGTCATGGCACCGTATGTGATCAAGGGAGGCAACAAAGCGACAGGTGGGTCGCAGGCCAGCGCCACCGAAGGGAGAATAGCGAAAGGGCCAGTACGTCGACACAATGGCGGCAGGCGAACTCACAAAGCCGTGAGGACTGAGCGCGCAGCCAAGAGCAGTCGTGGCGGCAGCTCGGTCAGCAGTATGAGCTCTCGGGATAGCATGGACGTGCCACTAGGCTACGGCAGTGTGCCGAACGGTGGCATGAGCAATGAGATGGACCTCGACTTCGAGGGCGTTGACTTCCAAAACCTCAACTTGGATCTCGGCATGAATGGCGATGGGCTCGGCAACGACGGCATGATAGGCGATTTTGGTCCTGCGACTTCGATGGCCGCAGGCTACGCACCTGTCAACGCCCTCCAGCAGCAACCGTCCAACAACGATGACTTCTTCGGCGGACAAGGCTTCGAATTGCACGCCGACAACAAAATCCCTCCTAACGACCAGAGTATGGACTTCAACTTCAACATGGCCCATCTCCTCCAATCCACCCAGCCACCTCAGCCCCTGAACATGAACTTCAACCCGCAACAAATCCCCAACAACCTCTCCAACAACAATCTCGCATCCCTAGATGACGCTGCCGACGATGACGACTTCGGCGCCCCCCTCCAACGCTCAGACACCTGCATTTCCCACGGCAAAGATCACAGCGCCGGGCGCTGCCGCGTGCCCACTACCTCCAACCAGCAGCGATCGAGCTCCCTCTCCTCCGCCTACGACAGCAAGCGCAATGCTACAACTGTCGACGATTTCTACGGACGGCCTGGCGCGATCAATGTGAGTCCGGGGCGGCAGTGGAGCGTGCCTGTTGCGGTGCCGCAGGGGCAGGTGCATCCGCCGGATGGGAAGTGCTGTGCGAGTAGTGTGCCGGATTTGAGCTTCATGAGTGTTGAGGAGGTCAGAGCGTTGGAGGGGTGGACTGGGAATCTTGGTGGGGACTGAGCCATGGTCAAGGCATGAACGCTCACCGTAAAAGTAAGAGCCAGAAGACCTGTGAACTGGATAGGAAATTGGATGCAACTTGATAGCACAGTAATGAGATCTACGAGGATGGGACAATTCATGAACAATATAGTACAAACCCAAATAATCAAATCTTCTTTCGATCTACCGCAATCTGAGTGAGGACTTTTCTGTAGCACCGGGACCTTGTTGGTGTATGTGTCTATACTCTACTCTTGCTCTGTCAGTCCGAAACCACACCCAGCGGACCAAATATCGGCTGATGCACTGCTGTGCTCGGTCTGTGCGGGACCCTTCTCTGCCCTCCTCCTCCGGCAACACTAGAAGTACCGATCGATCTCGCATATATCTCGCCCGAGACCGCCGCAATCGGCTAGGGACATCCGAAATTGTGTCGGCAGCGTCTCGCCCGCGAGGACGGTCAGCGCGCCAAAAGCGATGATCGATCCTGTGTTGAACTGATTCCTTGCAGAAGTCGAATTACTGGTCAGTGCTAGACAAAACCAGCAGCCAGATCTCGTCGAGAAGCTCTGAGATGGCTGGTAGGATCTCCTGGACGTGCTGCTGCTGGGCTATCGCTCGTGTCAGCTATGAGGCGGTGGCCTCGACTAGGCTGTAACCTGCCGGACCGGTTTGCCATATGGTTGGCTGTACTTGTTCGCACTACTGGCTAGCCATGCTGGTGGCGCTGGGAGGAGGCAGGGGTCACCTCTATTGAAGTGCGAGCTGTTGTGATGTGCCTCGGAAGGTATGAGATCAAGTAATGCTGTAGCCCGGACCTTCGGCACCCTGTGGGGTTTGCCAATTAATGTCCTGCGTCGGGACCTTGATGTCGCAGGTCTTGCAGTGAATGCAGCTGTCGAAGTGTCAGTATTACTGACTCGTACACCGGCTCACGCCATGAAACCTCATGATAGGGAAGGGTGGACTCACTTCTGCGCATTGATCTGGAACCTCACGCCCAGATCCTTGGTATCGTCCTCGACATACTCATACACACCCGCTGGACAAAATCGATTCTCGATGCCCTTGTACACTGGCCATGCCTTTTGTGCATGCGCATCCCAGTCCTTGACCTGTAGGTGCACGGGCTGGTCTTCTTCATGGTTTGTTCCGGTCCGACTCACACTGGTGAGGATGTCGAAGGTGATTTCACCGTCTGGCTTCGGATACTCGATCTTTTGAAATTGGTCGGCAGGCTTTGTGGCCGCAGCGTCGGACTTCGGATGGGGCAAGGTCCACGGCACTTTGCCGCGGAAGATGTACGCCTCGAGGCCCGAATACATAATGCCTCCGTATATGCCGAGCGACGTGTGGAAGGACGGACGCATGTTCCGCACAGCTTTGAGCTCGGACCATATCCATGACTCCCGTAGAGACTTTTCGTAGTCGTACAGGAAGACGGAGCCAGAGTCGGTGCTGGTATTCTTGATTGCTGTGTATGCGGCCTCCGCGGCTAGCATGCCAGACTTCATGGAGGTGTGGGTGCCTTTGATCTTGGGGACGTTCAAGAAGCCAGCGGTGTCGCCGATGAGGCGCCGCCAGGGAAAGCGACCTTGGGGATGGACTGGAAGCCACCTTCATTGAGGCTCGTGCACCATAGGCGATGCACTTGCCGCCCTCCAGAACAGACTTGTAGAAGGGATGAAGCTTCATGCGCTGAAACTCGCCGTATGGAGCAATCCATGGGTTAGAGTAGTCAAGGCCCACGACCAGGCCGATAGAAACCAAATTATCGCCGAAGTGGTACATCCAGCCACCGCCATAAGTGTTCTTGGACAGCGGATAGCCCATGGAGTGGGAGATCTCGCCGCTTTTGAACTTCTCTGGTTGCACTTCCCATACCTCTTTTACGCCGAGACCGTAGGTCTGTGGGGATGATTCCCGACGCAGGTCGTATTTCTTCATGACTCTTTTGGTGAGAGACCCGTGGCAGCCCTCGGCCAGCAGGGTCACGCGTGCGTGAAATTCCATGCCACGCTCGAAGTTGGCCTTGGCTTTGCCATCGCGGCCAACGCCCTGGTCGTTGGTTGCGACACCTTTCACGGCTCCGTCATGGCCATACAGTACTTCGGCGCCAGCAAATCCGGCGTAAACCTCGACTCCAATTTCTTCGGCGCGCTCGCCTAGCCACTTTGAGAATTGCGAAAGTGATATGATGTAGTTACCATGGTTGTGCATTTGTGGAGGCGCAGGCAAAGGTATTGAGCCTGTCTTGGTGAGAAACCGCATCTTGTCCTTGCCTGCAGGTGTTACATGCTGGAAGCGGTTCTCGTTGTCCTCTGCTAGCCAGTCTGGTAGCAGCTCGTTTATAGCTCGAGGCTCTAGGACGTTGCCTGATAGTATGTGATTGCCCACTTCGGCGGCCTTCTCTAGTACGACCACCCGAAACTCTTCATTGCCCTCTTCGTTCGCGAGCTGCTTCAATCGTATGGCAGCACTGAGGCCGGCTGGCCCACCGCCGACTATGCATACGTCCACCTCATCAGCTTCTCGTTCGACCGAGGCTGGATCGAAGGCTTCTTCGACGTCAGCGTAACGGTGGCGTATCGCCGAGGAAAAGGCTCTCCGCTGGCCCGCGAGGAAGACCGGGCGAGGACCGCATCTTTGAGAGCGTTGTACAGCTCGAGCTGATGCTGCAAGAGGTCGGGAAGCTCTGCAGAGCCTGACTGATGCTGTCGCAGAGGCGCTAAGCCTTGCGAGAGGCTGCGATATCTGCTTGAGAGACATGGCTTCCGGGCGGATATATGAGACGCGACTGTCTTGGAGGTTGGCAGCGTGGTGCGGCACAATAAAGTACACGGACCAGAGTCGATCACCGGAGGCAACACGCGAAGACTTAACTCCTGAGAAGCTTCAAGAAGCATCAGAAGACACAGTACGTATACAATAGGAAAAATTGCCACCCGTACAACTGGACTCGAAGAGTCACGGTCCACTGGATGCTCGACGTCAGTAAATTTGAGCCTTCAACCCTCCAACATCCCCCATTGTTCCCCCAAATTTCAGTGCCTCGGCGACCTTCGTCTCTCCGATTCTAGCCGTTCGCCCTACAACAGCCAATGAGCATCGCGTCAATGGTCACTTCATGAGCGTGTTGTGGTCGGTGCGGCAGAGGCTCACTCATACCCAGTGATCGTGTAGTGCTCATTTTCTACGTATTGAAGTAGCCAATACCACGTTTTCGGCGCGTGCGGCAGCGACAGATGCACTTCAACCAGGCGGACTCGGCAGGGCCAACGAGGTCGGCCATGGCTCTGGACGATCCTGTTCAGGTGGCAGTCACTTAAGCCCCTTGCCGTTGGACAGACTGCCAGCTACACATAAATGCGACTTGTCCGAAGTCCGGACTACCACGAGGCAGGGACAGAGCTTGTATCGAAAGATGGACGGGGCAGACCTGATGAACGATGAATGTGACCGGACGCGCCAAGAGCGCTGATCCTCTCTCCGCGAGCGAAACTTTTTAGGTTGTCGTTCTACCAAGAAGCTGCTGCGAACATGATCGCGACCAGCGATCCGTTCCATGTCATCGAGACCACAAGTGTTTGCACTATCCGAACTCAGACTCCACGAAAACTGGAATAGGAAGGCTGCCTGCCGAACGCAGCGATTGATCACTCACGCGAGTCGTGCCACGAGATTGACGTCGGAACTTAACTGTCTGGTGGAGTAGACCCTCTGTCGCTCGTGCTTCAGCCTTGTCTGTCCGCTCAAGCATGGTTGAGCTAGTGAATGCAGATGTCATAAGTGGAAAAGCTTCGTGGGTTGCACTACGACACCCGTACCTTCCAAAGGAAACGCACCAGCATCTTCCAGAGAGGCAATACCCGGCCCCATCTCGAGCAGCAAGCAACTGGTCTGCCCACTGGCGCTCTAATCCTAATCGCCGCATATCCTGACCTCGAAACCTCACATGGCAAGTCTTTCTTTTGGCCGTCTGATGGAAGAGGGAAGCGCGCACGTGGTATAGGATGAGACCGCTGGAGATCCTCGAATTCCCTGGAGAACGACTTTCGTTCCATTCCTCGAACAGCGATTGGGCGAAGGTTATAGGGTGCACAAACGTGGCGTTGAAAGTGAGGCTGCTGTTCGAGGCCGTCAGAGATGAGGGGCTCACGCCGTTGATGGAAGCCACTACAAGGACGAGTGGATTTTCGACTTACTGCGGTAATGCTCTGAGATGGTTTCGAGCAGAATCGACCCTTTCTCCACGACAATGCTTTGGCATCTTCTGAGCCGGCGTACGCAAACAACATGAGACTTCAGCGACCATGAAGGCAACGGCGCTGACAGGCTCCCGTCTTCCTGCTGGGCTGAAATAATCTGATGACTGTGGCTTATGCTGCGCAATGGCCGTTCAGGAAGCGGTCCCTTGCCGCGCGACTTTGTACATTGCCTCAATGCCCATTGGACAGGATCTTTGTTCGCGCTGTTGGCCATCGCTGGGCTTGTGGTGTTATCGCCTTGACAAGACAGAACCAACGCAAAACCGACAGGATACAACATCGCATGCGCTCCTGACCTGTTTCAAGAGCACTGAAAGGCACCAGAATGCGTTATGAGATTACTACAAGTCGTCCTGACCTAATAAGCAGGCTCGTACATCAGACGCATATGTATGTCCGGATTGGGAAGATGCTTGCACGAAGATACGAACGAGAACCCGTACCAAAACGTCGTACGTTGGAGAAGTTCTGGAATTACCACTGTGCTCTGATTGGATTCGGATCCGGATTCAACATGATCACCAATGACTTCTCCTGCCTTCGAGGTATCTAATTCTACGGCCAGCAGAAGTAATTCGCCTTGCGAATGAAGGCTTACGGTGTGCAGCCCCATCTCAGTGCTGATCTAGATCCCCCGCGGACTCGCACACAAATTTTGGGAGCTGCTTTGCGTGTTGCGAGACACATTAGCGGCCCACTTCTGTCATAGCAGATTCCCGAATCCAGCAAAAGGGAAAGCTTGGCACATCCGAAGCATTCCTTCCCTGGCTTCCACCCAGGAGAGATACCTCAAAGGGCCGACAACAGCGCCCAGACATCATGGAAATAGCTTGCGAAAATGTGGTCCCACCAGAGATAGCCTTGCAAGAGGTCTAGAATCGGACCAACTTCGCTTGCACTGCACAGCAGTCTGACCCGTGGCTTTAGTCTGATGGTAAACCATTTCGTCACGATAGGGTCCTCCAGAGAACCGATGGCGCCCATCATCAGTATCCAGAGAGTGAGGCCTTGATGTTCGTCGAGCAGCGCACCCACTCTGTCGTAATCGTCACAGCACTCGTTGCCGCGCAGGAGTCCTTTCAACTGACAGGCGAGCATGGTGGGAACGCCAGACTGCAGACCTAACGGAAAGAGCGTGAGGTTCGAGTAGATGAGCGTTGCAAGGCGCAGGACTTCCAAGAGGTTTGTGGTCGATCTGGATTGTGTCAGGTCATGACAAGGCCTATGGTGCAGACTGAGGATCTGGTAATGGACTGCATTTGCGCTCTCTATCAGACGTCTCGCCATCCCACTGTCGAGAGGTCTTGCGTCGTTCTCTTGATGGCTAGCCAGTGCACATGTGACAGACCTGATCGTGGGCAGAAGATTCATGAAAGGCTGCAACTGTTGCAAATTAGAAGCTGGAAGCTTGCAGAAGTGGGTGCCGAAGCTCGGTAGAAGCGGCGCGTCGATGTCACGAACTGAGGCCTGATTATGCTTGGTGAAGAGCGCCAGTGCAAGGGAAATCTTGGAGCAGTGGCAGTGCTGTTTGCCGCGATGAGATCGTTCCTACACATTGTCAGCAAAAGCTCGTTCTTTCAACAGTCCGGAAGCATTACAGAGCCAACAGATGGGGCAGCCCGAAACTTTGGATCTGGTCGATGCCTCCTCTTTGTCCGACCATACTGTACAAGGCAACGACATGTGCCGTCAGGGGTCGCATGTGGCGGACCAGGTTCAATGCTTGATATCGTGCTAGAGGAGACTCGGTACGAGGGGTGTGCAGCCGCAAGGCCGAGTAGGCTTGAGGTTCTTGCGCAGCCAGAGCAGCAACGCAGGCCAGAATTGCATCGGGGACGGTAGCTCCTTGCACACTGTTGATCTCGAATTGCAGATGGCGGAGAGCCTGAGCCCTGAGCTTCAAGCATGTCCAGTCAAATTGTGCAGGGATCTGGATATTACGACGCCTGACACGGTACTGAATGCTGGACACGTAAAGCGAGCAGTAATAGAACGCGTCACTGTGCGACTCGAATTCGAACAAAGTGTCCTCTAGCCTTTGCCTATCTCTGGTTGGGTCTGGCGGCAGAAGGAATGGCCAGGTTTGTTGTATAGCTGAGCAATGTGTGTCAGCAAATCCGAGCTCACGACCAGGTAAACATGCGTTCTCCTACCTTCATGATGCATAGTCTGGACCACCGGGTTGAGACCTTCAGATCGTTTCCGGTCCGATCGTGCATAGCTGCTATGCAGCGGCATATGGAGGAATTCGAGAGATTCTGGCAGTTCGTCCGTTGTCGACGTCTTCCAAGTTGTATCTGTTGGTTGCGAAAGGTCTTTGCTCCAAACGTGACACGCAGATGGTCGATCAACCTTAGCAACATGATGCGTCTTTGTTTGCCGCAGAGCATTCGACTCGTTGCTGGAGTCTCGCTCGTCAAGAAGCTCGACAAGTTCTTCGAGAGGCGTGTATGGGTCTGAAGTCGTCGACTGTGTGCTATGGATGTCTTGCGTTTCCGACGCCCGCCTCGCAATGTGTCCAAATTCCCTTGTTCTGGAATGGGCCGTAAAGCTTTCAGCTCTTGCGCCACGACGAGGTCTCTGACTTGCTCTGGCTCGCTTGTTATGTGCAGCATATGCGACGTGTGTATTGACCTGGGACCAGATCTCCTCGCGTCGTGTTGTCCAGGTGCCTTTATCCTCTGAGTTCGTAACAACGAAGGTGAAGTTCTTGTTGGCGGGAGACATTCATGGAAAGGGATATGCCATAAGGCTGAGTCAAAAGACTAGCCCGTTGGCTGGAGGGCATCGAAGCCTCTTGAACTCGAGAAGTGTCCCGCCAGGGTCTCCTCGCGTGCAGAAGCCATGGGGGAAACATAGTTTCTGGAAAGAGGAAGTAAGCTGCGGACTTGAGTCAGGCACAGACAGCCACGCTCTTGCTATTTGCCGCTATCGATTTGCCTTTTGAATGAAGGTTCGCAACTGCAAAGTCGAAGCTCCATTGCGAGGTCCGCCAGAAGTGTGAGAGGTACTTGATCGAGGCGGCTGCACTTGCCGACAAGCTTCCTGGTGTTCGACAATCGCACCTGCACGGTGTCTGTTCCAGTTTCTTAACTGATGGCTCCAAGCTGAAGTCATGGGAAGGCCTCTCCGTCGCATCAGACCTCCGAAGGCCGGACAGGAACAATTTTCCGCTGGCATATCAGATACCGCTCCATCATGTCTAGAGGGTTCGAAGGTCTTAGCAAATACGGATCACTTTCAGGATGACTTCATGGCCCGTTGTGCCATAGCTCAGCGATCTGGCAACTTCAATCAACGGTACAGTCAGGAGCTTGAGCGTATGCATGCATCTCACTTTTGGGAATACCACTATCTGTATGACTCACCAGAGCTGTCTGTGAATGCCAAGTCAGCTTCAGGATACACAACACCAGTATCATGGCTGCAGGAGCGAGATCGACAAGAAGCAGATCCGTGGAATCGACTGCCACAGATGATCAACTGCTCCCTCGATCCTTTCATTGCTACGCCCGGGGTTACTACCCGTCAACGGTCCCTCGTACAGTTCTACATGAAGGACACCGCCACAATTCTGTTTGGGGTGTCAAACACACCATTGTACTCACCGTGTGCGGCAACAGGAATGGCCTTCGTAGGCGATTCCAAGGTCGCTATTGGCTGGATGTGTATACTCGCGGAGGAGATGATCAGCGCTCTTCGTGGTCAGAACAGCAGTCACTCCTTGGCACAGCAAAAAGCACGAGGCTACAGGAACCTCAAGCAAGCTATACTCAATCGTCGCGATAACTTCCAGGACGCTATAATGGGAGTCGCTATAGCGGGTCTGTTTCAATACGGCTTTGGTGATGCATACTCACAGTCCTTGCATACAACGATGGCAGATCGGCTCATCCGCGAAAGGGACAGTATTGCTGATGCTATTCAGTCTGCTCCCCATCTTGAGCCGTTCTACCTCGCTGCACAATTTGCGTTTGGACGCACTCGCATCGATTCGGCGCATAAGCTGGCATGGACCCGTCAGCAATGGATCTCAGACATCAAGGCCGTGTTCGCTGCTTCAATACTGGGCAACACTTTGGAGTCTCTCGAGGCCACCTGCTATGCTCACACGAAGCAACGCCTCATGGACACAGTGCGTCATGCTCTCGCCGGACACCACAAGCCTTCTTCGTTTGCAAAAGCAATGCAGCTGACCTTGCTAAATGAGATCTCGTGGACAGTCCTCCGCTTCAAGAACAATCTAGCGGTCATCACCAAATACTTCAGACGATTTCACTTCATCTGCCAGCACAGCATATTGGATGCTGATTCCAGTGGTGGACAGACTCATGAGTTGAAAGCGGCAGCAGTAGCAAGCATGGGCAGCAGAGCTCGTCGAGATGTTGTGGAGGAAGTCATGCCCGGCAAGCTACTCGAGTCTGACGCAGACGTTCTTGAGAAGCATATCGTCGCGCTGCAGATGTTCTATTACCTGGGAGAGGAGTCTCAAGACTGGCTTTTGTCCAGTCTCCTGCAATGGCTCGAGATGAACGACACCGCGTGTGTCAAGAAGATCAGTGACAAGGAGCTGGAACTGCTCGAGCAGACCGTAATGGATAATTGGTCTGTGTATGATCGAGCTCGAACGGACCAGACCAGCACGAAAGCTTGAGGCTTCAGAACCCTGGGGCCTTCTCATGACCACCGAGCACCAAGACAATCAATTCATTCGGCGCTGATCCGTGATGACAGCAAGTACAAAATGCCGTTCCGTGGTCGAGATTATGTGTATCATGTACTGTATCGGAGGAAATGCAGCGCCTACAGATCCTCACGTGTGGGACCTGGCTCTAGCGTATGTATCTCCGAGCTCCATGAGCGTTCCAGGCGAGTTCAGGCCTCCAGACCCTTGCCGTGTGTGTATTTCGCCCGCACGTGCTGTATAGTTGTAAGCTCTCGAGCTCCCCAAAGCAGAAGTCGTAGAAAACACGATCTTGAGGCTTGTGCAAAGCTTATCTGCAAAGCAACCAGATTCCTGGGTCTCGCTGGAGATCCAAAACTTTGCCATGACTCGTGCTCTTACGATAGGTCCTTTTGACAACGGATCCGAGATTTAGAACGGCCGTAGGTGGAACCCGTAGTGGCATGTCTATGAGTCGGCACAGTAGTGACGCCTGATGCGAATATCATTAAAAGGCGAACTGTGCGGTGGATGACGATGGGAAATTTCCGCCCTTGTTCCCGTTTCCCATCTTCAGTGCCGAAAAATTGGCATGCGATCACTGAACGATGACGATGACCGGACCTGGACTCGTCGATGCCTATGTTGCAATGCGTCTGGTCGAACGTAGTAACATGCCCGAAAGGACCAAAATCTGCTACAAGCACACGTGTGTCAAGTGACTGTCAACCGGTCTGCCAAGTGTCCGACAAATATAAGTCGTGGGCCAATTGCTCAGCTTATTAAAGGTTGGTGGGAAAGGCAAGCGCTAATACTCGGTTGAATGTAGAGGGTCGCGTGCGCACCTGTATTGTGAATAAAATTGGGCATAATCGTCCATGATATCGCTCTCATGTATAGCAACTTCGAGTGAGGTCAGCTCGATGGTCTACACAGTCTACATTTGGTCCTAGACTCTCAAGGTGCTACGCAGTCTGTCTGCGTGACTGAACTGCTGGGCATAAGGCTTGAGCTTGGAGCCGGACAAGACCATGCTACTGCCTCGGCCCAGCGCCGCACCAGCAGCTAGCCAACGTCGGGGTCTGCGTCCTCCACACAATGAGAGCTGCGATGATTTCTAAAGCCCACTTCTTCTGGTTGCTTGCGTATCTTCCACGAAGAGTTCGGTTTTCGTTTGGGATGCCTGGCTGCCTTGGATCACGGAATATACGCCACGACCGCTGCTTGAATTACCTTAGCGGTGCTTCTTCTCGACACCGCCGCAGAGTTACGAGTGCGAGAGTCCTAAACAACAAGTCTGCTGCGGAGCTTTCCCGATCGCCGAGGCTAATACGACGTAGTAGCCGAAGCTCTTAGTGACATCACAACCATGTTCGGCACGAACTTTGGATGCTTAAGCCGCATGTACAGCAAGGCTTAGTTGATTCAAGCATGGCAAGCTTCCAATCGATGCAAAGCGATAGCTGGAAGCGTGATATTTGCTGTCCATAATGGCGGTCCACAGGCCAATCACTCAGTCCAGAGGTCTCCATGCATTCGCTGCCGTCATGAGAGTCTCGTGTGGAGGCAAAGGTAACCTAGAGCTGGATGATCTTTGAAGGAGCACGAGCACGTCGATGTAGATAAGCACCTCAGGACACACCCGCCAGTCATCGGGTCTGTTCGGCAGCCTGTCACCTCAGCGAAAATGGTCAGTCAACATCTCAGCTGTCTTGCGACGGCCCTGCTTTGCGGTCTCGCTCTTTCCAGTCCAGTCTCTTCGACAGAGGGCCATGAATATGCCGTTAAAGATTGGCATCGAGCTCCACCTGGCTGGGAGAAAGGTGAACGAGCACCGATTGATCATCCGCTGGAGGTGAGCATCGGTCTCAGGCAAGACCGCTTCCAGGATCTTGAGAAGCTCCTCTATCAAGGTCAGTAAAGGTTAGCATTCAAAGCGAGCGGCGACTGAGGCTGACAGCACAGTGTCTGACCCGCGGCATCATACCTACGGCCAGTACCTTTCTGAAAGTCAAGTTCATGATCTCATTCGCCCGAGCGACGAGACTACTCGAACTGTTGAGCAGTGGCTCGAGGCGAGCGGCCTAGATGTCGGCGATTTTTACTACAGTCCCGCACGAGACTGGATCAAATTCACTTCGACTGTTGGCGATATGCAGGATCTGCTGAAGACAAGCTACTATGTCTACGAGCACAGAGATGGCTCGACACTTGTGCGCGCAGAGGAATGGTCGTTGCCAAGGAGCCTCTATGAGCACATCTCTACCATTCAGCCAACAAATTCTTTCGCCAGACTGCATGGCCGAGTTAAGAAGGTCAAAGAGATCACTCGCCGATCGACGAATAACATTCGAGTTGACGGATTTGACTTGGACGACAGCTATTCTCCTCAGCCAATATGGGGAGCAAACCCACCAGACGTCAACCCAGACCCAGCAGCAGTGGCTGCTGCTTGCAATTTCAGCTTGGTGACTCCACAGTGTCTCCGAACGCTGTACGGTACACTGTCATACGTGACCAAGTCCAATGGAACAAGCATGATGGCACACACTAATTATCTGGAAGAGTACTCGAACCGGTCCGACGCGTCTATTTTCCTTCGGAAGTATCGGCCAGAGGCAGCGGCAGCCGCGTACGAGTTTCCACAGATCTCAATCGACGGTGGTGACGTTGACAATGGTACAAATACTGCTGATCAAGCCCCGGACACGGGTTTTGAAGCCAATCTTGACACGCAGACCATGCTTGGAATCGGCTGGCCGCTGCCACTGACAGTATGGTCAACAGGCGGCCGAGATCCATCTTTTATGCCCGACCTATTCACAACGACTAACTCCGACGAATCGTTCCTGAGTTGGGCACAGTACATAACGGCACAGCCAGAAGGATCATTGCCACAGGTCATAAGCTCTTCCTATGGGGACGACGAGCAGACGGTCTCCCGATCGTACGCTCAGACTGTTTGCAATCAGTTCGCCCAGCTTGGTGCCCGAGGCGTGTCTTTGCTTTTCGCTTCCGGAGACAATGGTGTGGGACCTGATGGATTCTGCATTTCGAATGGCGACAACACAACCGAAATATTCTTGCCCTCTTTCCCAAACGATTGCCCCTATGTCACCAACGTTGGAGCTACGACAAGGTTTCCCGAAACGGCGGCGTATGACACGTTCAGCGACGGCAGCGTGTTCACATCTGGAGCAGGTTTCAGGTGAAGCTCTCTCCTAGACAAACAACGTGGTCCTGGTACTAATTACTTCAGCAACTACTTTTCGCAACCAGAATATCAGGTGAAAGCTGTGCAGAACTATCTCGCAGGCATAGGCGATGAGTATGCTGGTCTGTACAACCCTAATGGTCAGTTGTGTCATTCAAAAGAAGGTGATTGCTCTGCTGATTTGGCTTAGGTCGTGCATACCCAGATATCTCGTGCAATGGACAGAAATACGCCGTTGTATGGAACGGCACTGGTGTCCGATTAGACGGTACCTCGGCCTCAACTCCCGCCTGTTCCGCGATCTTGGCTCTGGTCAACGATGCTCTCATTTCAGCAGGACGGCCTGCACTCGGCTTCTTGAATCCCTGGCTGTATTCTGAGGGCTACAAGCTGTTTACAGACATTACCAACGGCTCTAGCGCGGGCTGCAACACCAGTGGCTTTCCTGCTACGGAGGGCTGGGATGCTGTGACTGGGTTCGGGACACCGGTAAGCTGTATCACGGCAAAAGATGATCCTCTGGCTGACTTCAGATAGTATTTCCCCAAAGTACTGCAAGGGCTAGGTCTCTAGTAAGATTGATCGAGAATGATTGTGCCCAGACCAGCTGCATTGATTGAAAAGGTCGGTTGGAAGTGAGACTTTTCAAGAAGGTACGGATGTGCGATGTCACTGCGCCGTGGCTTCACCTTGAAGTTGTTGGTCTGCCTAGACCAGCGCCATCCACCAAGAAGGAAAGCAGATGTGAAGGTTGAAGTGATCTATTGAAGAATGTGTGCCTGCAACCTGTGTCCGCGCCAAGGAGCGATAACTTGTCGCAGAGCGTTGGTGTGGCCCAAACTTGCGCAGCCAGCTCTGCGGCTACACCATGTGTATTAGAGATGTTTTTGAAGCCTCGGCCGTGGCACCGGACGCGCTGGAGACGTTGGATATTCCGCCGGATGAGATTCATTTCAGAGTCAACAACCAGAAGACCTGGCGCAAGCTCAACCACCTACCGAGGTTGGCGGCCCCGACTACTGTGGTACGGTAGTGCTGTGTGTTCTCAATGACGAATCTGAATGCTCGAATCGCATGCTCGGCTACCATTGGAACAGCGCCAGGCTCACCGAAGAGCCATGCATACATGTCGTCACCGTCGTCGCTGCCAGTGACGTTCACGGCGATCTTTCTTGCTATCGCTGACAAACACTCGCTGGCTGCTAGATCGCTGGCATCGAGCTCACCACTCCCAACTAGGCGCCCAACGTGGCGGCTTATATTTGAAATGGCAACAGACAAGCGAAACTCGTTGGCTTTGTCTCGTTGGAGATCGTCGGAGGTTATTTCTGCGGCATATGGCAGCACCCATTCAACTTCTTTCGCAGATCTTAGATCTAAGCGTGCAGCAGGCATCGTGTGACAAAGATACGATGGGCGTCGTGGTCGAAAATGAAGGATGGTGTTGCAGGTGCTTGTAGTTGGTGAGAGATGAGGCAGCTCTGCGGAGGCGGCAAATATCATGTGGTAAACGGCGTTGGTAGGTGCCAGTGAAGCTAAGTGATCGAGGTTTCCATATGCGCATTGCCTCAAGCGTGCTTGCCTCAACCCACAGTCTGGGATCCACCACCTCCTTCCTTCTCAGCACTACCTTCCTTCTCAGCACCACCTTCCTTCTTATCGCCGCCTTCATTCTCACTACTGCCTTCCTTCTTATCATCTCCCCCCTTCTTATGCCAGAGTGGATGTTGAGCTTTGACAACTCCTTGTGACCGCTGCCTTCTCTTATTCTTATCTCCGTTCCTTTGTGCAGGTCTATGATTGGGCTTCGAAACACAGTCACTACTTGACCAATCCATCCTTCGCTCTGGCACCCTTCGCTTTGGCGTCCATCACTGTGACATCCTCCACCCTGGTAGTCGCCGTGGCAGCCACTGTCTACCATCAAAATGGATGACGAGCTGTACGAGGAGGATGCTGACAATTTTTCATTCGAGCTCGATGACGAGTTGCTTCCAGAGGACCTTGACGACATAGACCTTGACACTGTCGCTTCGTTGGCCAAAATTCAACATGCTCGTGATGAGATACACGACGACGACGAAGGACTTGAACATTTTCTTGATGCTACCACGGCCGAAGGTGTTCCAGACGATCTCTGGGGGGATGCAGACGACAGTGATGATGATGCCAACTCAGACAGCGAAAACGACGATCACCTCGCCAACATCGACTTTCGTCCACCAGAACCTTTCAGCTAGAATCTAGAAGAACAGGAGGGAAGCTATTCGCGCCCCCTTCGCGTTAGCGCCTGCATTGGAGCGACCCAACAGAAAGGCAGTTTACATCATCGTCGGTCGCAAAGCATCTGGACATCGCCCGAAGCGACGCAAGACCGCCATTGGAGCCAAGGCAGCACGAGATGAATGGCTGCTGTACACAGGGTGCACAGTCTACATACCGATGCGAGTTAAAGACCACCGAGCCCAGGTCCGTGCGTCACGACGCCGGAAGCCTCGGAGGAAGAATCACCTACATTGCCATCGATACTTGGCAGGCGACAGCAACACTGATATTATCTTTCACCAGCTTGCATGCTTCAAGGACGACATTCATTACTGTTACATGTACCTTACTGAGACCATTCTTACGGCCTTGGTACACTCTGTGGACCGAGCCCGGGTGCTCGCCGAAGGGGCAATAATCATGGCAGAGCTTTCCGACAGGCTTGCTCCTCAGGCTGCAAGGCCCCGACTTACATCGCTGAACCGTCATCTGTCGATTATCCAGGCGTCTTACGGTACCGCTACAAGAGCAATCTGCTGCTGTACCGTGTACGGGATGATGGTCAAGCGGTCTGTCGAATGTCAGGGGAATATAGAATCTGGGACACCTTCTCAGCACCATTGAGAGGACGTGAACTCTTCTCCTGCGCAGATGCTACGTGATGACCGGTTCGAGAATAGAAGATCTTGCACACGTTGTGAAGCTTCCTAGTAGAAAGTATCCAGAAATGATGTTCGTCAACGACTTTCGCCCCATGCTTTCAGTGTGTACCTGGCCGAAACCGCTAAGGACGCCAGCCTGAACGCCCTGCTGTCGCATAACTTAGTATCGTTCGATCGTCAGCATGGTCATCACCAAACATGCGCCGCTATGCTCGTGGCGGGCTCTGACTCTTCCCATACACCCACTACTGAAACCATCACATAGACAGCCCCGCCGCAGCCCACGCAGCGCACCCAACAACAAACCACACAAGCGCTACCTCCTCCGCCTTCCTCCACTGGCCTCTCCCGACCTGATGTCAGAAGCACTGCCAGATCTGCTGTCCCATGCTCGCAACGCGATTGAACAGCTCTTCGCGCTCCTTGATCGCCGTCGCGCGCATTTTCTTCCCAGTCTTATCGGTGATCTCGATCCCGTCCTTCACTTCGCGGTCTGTAGCCCACCCGACGACGAGCTTGCCCTTCCAACCAAGTCCACCGATCTTCTTCACTTCCACGATATCGGCAATGGACACGGCCCAGACGATGCGGCTTGTCTTGCCTTCTTCGACCTCTTCGTGCTGAGGCGCTGACACGTCAGTGGAGAAGTAGATGCAAGGGCTTCGGGGGAGTTTGCCGTCAGTGCTGGGAGGCGAGATAGAGGAGTCGATGAAGACTGCGCCACGGCGTCCGTGACAGCGCGCTTTGAAGAATACTGGGCCTTCGGTATCGCTGCTTCGCATTTCTTGTTTGGAAGGAAGGATGCCGAGTTTGTCTTTGGCGTGACCAGAGCCAGCGATGGCACGGGCGCGGTCGGTAGTGAGCTTGGTTTCGACGGCGGTTGCAGTCGTGCCTTTAATGGCACCAACGATGCGAGCACCGAGACCTTTCTTCTTTGGCGTGGTCGGAGAGTCAGGTTGTGCGTTCTCATCAGCGGTCACAGCATCCTCGAGCTCAGAATGTGTCGCATCTAAATTGGAGTCTTCGAGGAGCTGCTGCTTGTCCAGCTCTACGGGGGAATCTGGTGGCGTGTCTCCTGACGAGGGCGGGGAGGAAGCGGAGCGCGGTTGGCCTCTCCTATTCGCAATAGTGTGATTGTGAGTTGGGCATTAGTTGGGACACCACGCATGAGTGTGTTGCGAAGTTCCAGATACTTTGGCCAGTCCGGGATCTTTTCGTTCAGAAGAGCAATTCCCCGTTGCTGTAGAGGGTCTGTAAAGAAGATGATACCGTTGATCAAGACCATAGAATGGTAGACCCATTTGGCGTGGACCAACAGGGAGATAAGGAAGAGTGGTGCAACGATACCCGCAAGCTGAAGGCGCTTAGTTTGAGAGAATGGCGGTGTTGGCGAAAGAGCGTTCGCAAATCGCTCCCATCCGTCCGCAAGATCGCCCAGGGCATGCATAGCCGGTCGCATCTTTGCCCACACGGCTTCTTCCATGGGCTGCTTTGTCTTGTCCTGGTGCGTAGGCGTTCCTCCAGTGGCCGAGGAAGTAGCCACAGCAGCAGCACTAGCAACATTCGTCGGATCGGGAACGTTGCCATCAAGCTGCTTGCTTCCACCGTTGTCATCTGGGCTGGATTGATCGTGCTTGCCAGCAGCTGAAGCGATAGCGACTGATGCAACACCAGAGATCAGATTACTGGCTTCTTGCTCGACGGCCATTCCTTTGTACTGCTCGGGCGCCCCAGTGTAGCTGTCGGTACTGCCGAGAACACCTGCCGGAGGAGACTGTACACCGCCTGTGTGACGATCGACCAAGGCCAAAGGAGCGTGTGGGAACATAATCTTTCGCGCTCGCGGCACAGTAATTAGCACGATCAGTGTGAGGAAGAAAGTCGCCATAACCATATTCAGCAGCCACGCCAGGACGTACACCGCCGCGAAGGCTGCGGTCCGTCGTGGCTCCCTCCAACTTCTCAGTCTTACGATGTGCTTGCCAAAGCCCATCATGCCAACGCCCACCGTGATGTAAAGTCTTTCGAGGTTGGCTCTTAGTTTGTCCGGACTAAAATCATCTTCGTCGGCGACGAAGCAGTCCAGGCCGCCGGGAGGAGCCTGGTCGATCGCTTTGATGTGGTACATTTGCTGCAGCCCAAAAGGGCGACTGTCAGTCCGATGGACTTCGCATCAAGATTGGACGAATACGTACCCGATTGAACCTTCTCACCAACGCCCACAAGTCCTCATTTTCAATGCCCCGGACCAGAGTATCTACACCGTCACCGTTTGCTCTCCAGCCCAGATCGGTTGTGAATGGTTCCTTACCAGCGTCGATGGCCTTGCCCTTGAGTTCGCCGTAGTCGTGATCGCCTGTTGCGAGCTGATGCGATGTGGTTGTCTGTTGAGCCAACGGCGCGTTGGGATCTTTGGCTGTCGGAGGCTTTCTCGCCTGCAAGATGCGCTGGCGGAATTCATTATTGGCTTGATTGGAAGGATCGAGTTCTTCAATAGGCGGCGTGGTCCCGCCATCTCGAAAGACGTAGCCTGGCGGCGGCATTGTGCAGGCCTATAGCGGAGAACGACGCGTTAAGTTATGGTTGAAGGCAGCACAACACAGTGGACGACACCAGCTGCGTTGCTTGGTAGAATGAATAGCCAATTCCTAGGGTACTCAGTCCCGTGTCCTGGGTTTTGTATCACGAGCCGACTCCAGCGATCATCCCTGGTAGTCCTGGAGCCAGACTCTCCCAGATCCAGCTCCAGATAACTGTTCCCCTGTGACTTGCAGTTAGTGTGCTGTCAGTGATTAAGCAAACCCAGATTTCTGCTTGTTTTCGCGGGACGCGTTAAGAGGGTGACGTTGTTGGTGGGACGGAAATGGGACGAATTGACGTCAGCGGACGGCCTACGGGCTCAACAGATGGTCACGGACTTGGTAGCCGACGGTGGCGCCCAGACCACCTGTTTCTTTCGCCTAAACATGCTCGCTTGGAAGGTGGTCTAGGCGATGTTGGAGCGATCGTGAATCTGGAAATGCTCGATGAATTCTCGTATCGAGAAGCCAAGATGTCGGTGGGAACTTCAAGCTGATTAACAGGTACTGGACAGATATATCGAGTTCGATCGTGGCACTTAGCTTGTTGTCGTACTTGCAGACCTCTGGCTCGCTCTGGCGGACAAAGAGAGCGAAGACGAGTTGCAGGCGATTATAAGATAAGACTACTGTCCGCCCATAAGGCCCTTGCCATTTAGCCAGCTGATGGTGCTGTCACTTGCGATGCATCCAATGTACCGCCAGCTACAACTCAACGAAAGATAAGGACGCCCAAACCCGCCATGCCCTCCCTTTGACACCACCGCTCGAAGACTGTACGCCCGACCTGCCGAGACCTTTCATCGCTCTTTTGACCCAGCCATGCCATGGCGAAGGGAAACCCCATCCTGAGCACTCCTGTTGCATTCGTGCGTTCATCTTGCTCCAAGAAGAGACCGACGTTGATAATGTGTACTGCGTTGTGGCCACAATTCACGTCTGCTCTCGGGAAACATACTTGATATAGTAGCGCCGCGGCGTGGAAATATGCGAAAGCCATGGACGTAAATTGCTTCCTCAGAGCCCGCGGTAAGGCAGGCAGCGAGGTCACTCCATGCTCTGCGGACTTCGACAGAACAGAGCCGTCAAATAGCGGTAGGTTCGTAGGGAATATGGGAGGCTCGAGGCTAAGCAGGAAGTCCGTATAATTCGTTTGGAGTTCTGCTTCAAAAGCTGCACGAGCTACGTCGCTGGAGACGTGCGTGCCGTCTCTATTCGAATTGTAGATGGCATTGCGGTAGCTTGAGATCCGTAGCAGCCACTCCAGTATCCAATCGTATGCTTCCCGAGCAATTGACTGCTCCTGCGACTTGGTCCACTCTCGTGAAGCTTCTAACCATGGTTCCGTGGCAAAGATCGTCTGCTGTTGGTATACAGTACTGCGGAGAACCGCATGCGATCGGACTGAGACTGCTATTTGCCGGACGAACAAGTCGTCCCAAATGAATTTCGTGCCCATGGTGCAGAGTAGTTGTTCAGCTGCTGCTGTATGATTGCTCCATGCGACAGGATTGACGGCAGCGATCAGTTCGTAGCTGTACTTTGATTAGAATAGTCAATGCAAACATCATGGGAGACATACTACGACAACAGGGTGCTGGTGAGCAGTGCCTGCTTGAGAACAGCTCTAGCATCCGGCGGTCTGGCCTGTGGAAGATTAACCAGTGCTTGTCGATGATAGCCAAGCGCCCGACCGTACTCTTTGGAGGCATGGACATCGAATACTTCATCACGAGACGTGTGCGCGAAGTGCGCAAGCGAGACAGCATTGAGAGCGGACCGAAAAGACAAGGTATCAACGCGTGTATCGGTCGCCAGGTCCAGTAACGAAAATGTCCAAGACGAACGACGAGCTGAGTGGGCTAGGTACTGTACGAATGTTGAGAGCAGGATGGAAGACGTGGCCTTCTTCTGCAAGACGACGGGCGTCAACGCAGATGCACCAGCAGCTCCTGCGAACATTGGGACACGGGACGCTTTGAGCGGTTTGTCTCCCTTCTCAGAGATCAAGATAATGGGCCCTTCCAGCGGTCCGGGACAGACTACGTTGGCGTCGATGCATCTCTTGCAGGCTGGTCTGCCCAGGTCACACTATTCCACGCCTATCAGCCTCATGAACGTCAAAACAACATCGTCTCCTACCTTGATTCGCTTCCTCCGACAAGTCGCGCACGCTCGAGATCGCCCAACAGCTGTGGGACGAACCATTCTAAAGAGCAAGGACTAAAATGCAGATCTGTCATCGCCTCAGCGTCCTGTCTGAACGGTCGTGAACCTAGTCATGACTCCTTGAAGGAACGATGGACTACAGCTCTTGGTAGTGTCGCAAGAGAACGATCAGTCCGTGCGCGAACCCGCTGAATCTCTTTCAATGAGCACTTAGCATTGCGTCCCAGAGCATGGCCACCATGGAAACGCGCCTCCGTTCATGCCTTACTACTGTCGACGTTTTGCAGAGAAGCCCTCCAGTAAAGCAGCGTACTCGGAAGGTTTCTGAAGGCTACAGGACGCCGCGCGCCGGTCTTGAATACGGTGGCTCGGGTGAGCCATAAACGTAGGTGTAGGTAGCTCCTTGGTTGCGTCGCGCTTTCACTGTGACCAACCTGCCACCTTATGCCGGGATACAGCTCGCTTCAGAACCTTTCACGATAACTTTGCTCTAGTGTCTCATGCTATGAGTGAGTATGCCAAGGCCCCGAACTTATCGATGCGGATGTGACGATGCCGCGCATAATATACCCGTTTGCAAAACAATTGCCCTGCCTGGTAGTTCACATCAATTACCTCCGAGATTGCCGTGCTCTTACACAGAGGAAGGGCGCAAGGGTCCCGTCATTATGGCCGTATCGACGTTCATGTTTGAGCACCCTTGTTGCCCAGCTGGAATCCTACGGCATGGCGCGGTCCATAGGGCCTTTTCCTCGTTCAGATGGACACGAATAGATCGTTACGGCGTCCAATCGGCACACCCGTGAGTGACAAACGGGCCCTCGCTTCACATGATTACGAGATGATCCAGGATACATGCGTCGTATGAACCGCCAACAGTGAAGCTGCTTCAGCTGTTCACGGTGTCGGCACCGGCGGGTTTGCTCATTGCTATAGGTAGCTAGCGTGCTCCGATGTTCAGGTAAGCCACCCGTCGAGAACAACAACAATTTCTCGAGGTCAGCCTGACGAAGCATCGTCGAGTATGCCATCGAGCATGAGCTTTGCTTTATTTAACGAGGGCGCGTCGCCGCAATAATCTCTACCGCACTCAATTCGAGCAGGTAAGATATCGGTTACTTTCGGGGCCAAAGTTCGGCGTCGTCTTGGACTGCCAAGTCTACGTTATCAGGCCTGTTGGGAGCAAAAAGATATTCAAGATGTTTCCCAATATTCGGAACCTGTTTGTCTACGCTCCTGCCATGGACGTCCTCGATAGTCCATCGCCGCTGCTCGCGCTGCCGACAGAGATACGCCTCCAAATCTTCGCGCACCTGTTCCAGAACACTACGATCCACACTTGTACGCCTCGCTATACGCTCACTTGGCGCGATTCCATCAAAGCTTCTCCTAACCTCAACGCGCTGAACAGTCAAAACATCGTTCTTCCAGCAATTCTGATCGCAAATAAGCAGATCCGGTCGGAGGCATTGCCCATATTTTCCGCCAATTTGACAGTGCATCTGTCACCGCTACTCGCGCACACGCAACTGCGAAATCATTGGGCAGCACCATTTCCTCGACTTGCTTCATCTGATCTGGCGCACTTCAGAACTTTGGTCCAACGAGTGGATATGGGTTTGCTGACGTGTTGCGGCACCAGTACGGGAGCTGGCGCGGAGGTCGAGGATATGGACCTTAGTGCACTGACCAACTTGAGCTCTTTGAAGTTCGAAGTGGTGATTGGAGAAGTAGCGCGATGCCAGTTTCGATGCGGCGAGGGGCACGAGGTCGAGGCTAGCGGCCACGCCGACAGCTTCGCTCGGTCACTGCAAGAACAGTGGTGCGACGACGAGAAGAGGTGCTTTGGGATGAGCGATCTGATTGAAGATGTAAGAGTGCGTCCATCTGCGTGTGATGATACATGGAAAGGACAACGGAATCGATTCGTAAGCACGTCCTCCGAGGCGCGCAGAGCACTACCACTGACTTTCATCCCAGTCATTTATCGTTCGCTTCCGCCCAAGTCAGCTTCAGCACTAGATTCGAAAGCCTGTGCACATTAAATCTTCCTTAAGGCAAGTACACGTCTCAATCTCCCGAAACGCAGCACATATCTCGTTCCCTTCCGGCACTCGGCTTTCGGTGCTCCAGAAAAAGCCTTGCTTCTTGGACTATACTGGCTCAAGGCGCATTGTTCCTCATCGTCCGCGGCGATCGCTTCAATGAATCTGGACTTGATGCCTGCTTTGCGTCGCGGTGGACTTGGCGTGAGTTCGAGCCACCTGGATAAAGGAATATGTGCTTCTGAAGCTCCCGACACGACTGTCCCACGCGGAATGCATCGCGGCCCTTCCTCCGGTGTGAGCTTGAGAAATGTCAGCATTGTGGAGATTATCCGTTGGAATGTCTTCCAAACTTGGCGACTGTTCTGTTGAGGTGATGCGGGAACGATGGTAGTGTCAGCTTGACACTGCCCGCTTCGGTCCATCACACTATATCGTACTCACGACGCACAGCACTATTGCTGGGCTTCCGAGTCCCAGAATAGATTCGGCACATTGTGTTCTTTGTTTCAGACGGCAAGCAACAACGGATGTTCACCATTGATGAGATTGCACGGTAGCTGTCTTTGTCTGAGAATAATTCAAGGACAGTCGACGTCATCTTTCGGCCAGACATCGAAAGCTCAGGATTGAGTACTGAATAATCGTCGGACTGGCAAGCAGTCGTGCGTATCAGCATCAGATTCCATCATTTAGAAGGACTTCGTAGACCGCAGCGAGAATAATGGCAACCGCAGCCCTTCTCCAAAACGCAAGCCACCAGCAAGCTCTACTTCGACGCTCCAACAAAACAAAATTGTCAATCGAAGAATGGTGGAGCGCTTAAGATGCGGTGTCAAACTCCTTGTCATAGCACCTAGCCTAGCAGCCTAGGGGTCCGTGCTTATAACTTGGAGTTTGCTGGCTTATTCTTCCCGTTCATGTTCTTGATCGCCGCCTCTGCCGCCCAGTCACTGACAAACAGCGGCTTCTCTGTCTCGAGCAGAAAGAGGGACATGCCGTCGTTCATCGCCTTGGATGGCGTCGACGGTGCATTGCTCGCCTTTTCGAGCTCGGCTTCGGTCGCACCTGGGTGAATGTTAGTGAGCTGGGCTTTCTCGATGATTAGGCTGCAGACTTACCATGAACGACCATTGTACCGTTCAGGCCTGCGCCAAATGGTCTGGAACCCTTTTCTTTACCCTGATTGAGCGGATGTGTTGGCTCCTGAGCATTCACAATCGGGCCGTAGAACTCATTCATCGTATTTCGATGGTAGTACGGCAGCCACAGCGTATTCTCACTGACCATCCATCGAGGCGGGATGATAAGGAACTCCACGATCGCGTTGCCAGGCTCACTATAAGCTGGCGCCGTGAGCACAACATACATCGAGGGATCATGCTCATCGAAGAGCATGTTGCCCATAACGCAAAACTTGGCGAGATCGAACTTATAAGGATAATTTGTTCCATGCCAGGCAGCAACGTCAAAAGGCGTGGAAGCTTGCGTGCAGGACCATAGACGCCCGGCTTGGCGTGTGATCAGTCGATATTCTGCATCGTTCGCGACAGCGACCTTGCCGTCATCGGACAGCTTCCCATCAAAGTAAGCCACAGGAATCTCAAATTCACGAGGATTCGCAAGCCCGGTTGACCCGATGACGCCCAGGTTGGGAAGCTGGAAGTGGCTCTGGAAAAGCTCGCAGATGAAGCCATGCGCTGGTCCATCAGGAAGGGTGACGCGATATCGCATGCCTCGAGGGATGACAGCAATCTCGTTCTGGCGAACCAGCAGCTTCCCGAGCTCGGTCTGAATGTCGAGCGTACCGATCTGTGGGATGATCAAACTGTCCCCATCCATGGAGGAGAAGGCAGTGTGTTCCGGCATTGACTCAGAGACCGAGTACAGATGTATCGCCAGGCCTTCCTTCGTGGCAGGATTCCCGTTCTGTGCTAGCAGACGTTGACTGATCCAGTCTGCTTTTGGTTCAGAAGGGAACTTGGGCCACATGTACGAATTCGGAGAGAGGTATGTTGGCGCTGCCGGTGTCTCCCCATTACCATAAGGCATGTACTCAGCATGAAACATCGATGGCGTGGCCCTGTACATCCATGTTTGCAAGTTCGACTCCCGCGGTGCAGTGAAGGACGTCCCACTCAGACGTTCCGTCTTCAATCCATACGGCGGCTTCTGCGGGCTGTTGTTGACTTTGGCATTTGCGCCGGGGAAGGCTTCGGATCTGTTCTGTCAGCACTGAGGCATACTACGCTACTTCAGAGCGTGGCGGCCTTCACGACGTACGAATGATAGTTTCCGAGGCCTTCCAGGTACTTATAGGTGTCCTTCACCGCGAATGCCGTGGCTGGGTAACTCATCGTCAAGATACAGTGGCTCCGCTGGTCGCTCTGAAGGAGGAGGCCGACTTGGGAGAGATTCTCAGCTCAGGTATATATACTGCTCGTTGCCGTATGTGCCACGACTGCGGGTTTGCTGGCCGTAGCGGCGACAAAGTGACCCACAGCTGACCCCGTCGGGGACTACGATGGCTTCACCGTAGGTTGAGGGATGCGAGAGGTCCGGCTTACGTCTACCGGCTCAAGCTGAGATTTTCCTTCGGCCAAGGACGTGAAGTCAATGGTGCCACTCGACTTCCACCATGTGTAAGGCGTGCGAGTCATCTTCGTCACACGGCATCTGCATGACCCCCGATGCCAACTCGCAAGCGGCCAAGCACTGGAAGGATACATCGGGGAGTGGCAGGAGTGGTGCACGGCGCCGAGGGGGGCCAAACCCCGCAAAATTACGAGCTTGCCTCGGTACGATGGTTCGTGGGGACTACCCTGGTGGACCGACAACTCTATCTTGTGTAGAAGTACCTACTCATGGGCGAATCCTGGCAGGACCACCTGATCTGTGGGGAGAACCCACGAATTTCTGAAGCCGGTACAAGATGGCGCCAACAAAGGAGACGCCATATACTCAGATTCTCTACCTCAACATCCCAGCTGAGAAGGACCTGAATGATCCAACGGTAGCCGCAGGACATTCCTGGTCGAGGGCATTGGATGTAATCGAGCAGCAACAGGGGTTCATACGTCTGTCATGGGGTCGCTCGCCGGAAGACCGTACAAATGTGCAACTCCAGACAGGTAGGTCTCCAGCCGTGCAATGGATCTCGTCTCCTACTCTTCGCCAGATGAACGACTCATGCTACTGTACGAGAATTGACAAGAAATTGAACACAGTACGAACCGAACTCGCACAACATAGGAACTTCTTGTACTCAGCAGCCTATGACCAGTTCCTCTCACTGGTCAAGCCTCTACTAAGACCCAATGCACCCGCACCTTTCGCTCGACACGTCCGTTTGACCCATTTCACACCTGATCGACCCAGTCCGGTCTCTCCGTCCAGCCCGGTCACCGGCTCTGCGATCTATGTCTCCACGGATGCAACCTGGCATGAAGGCGCGTGGCCGCTCTGGACTCATATCGTCAGGCACGTATCTGGCTGTGTTGGTATTGCGGGTGGTGAGCTCCTAGAGGAAGTCGATGGGCACATGCGGTGCTATCTGGTGTATGTTGGCTGGGAGAGTATTGAGAAGCACGAGGAGTATCATCACACGGAGCATTTTGCGAAGCGGAGGATTGTGTTGGGTCTGGGAAATAAAGGGTATAGGGAGTACGCGCATATGAAGTTTGAGGGGGAGAGAATTGGACCTATAGGCACAGCGGCGAAGCTATGAATCTCGAATTTGCATGTTATGTTCTCAAGTACATGCTTGAGCAGGACGACTTGCTTTAACATACTGACCCTACTACGATCGCGATCTCGAGGAGCTGCCCAAAATCGACTGCTCAAGGGGTCGACTACGACACAGCAGACTCTGAGCTCGAATCGAGAGCCTTCGAATGCTAAACCCAAGCGTAACTCTCTGAGCTTGGACTCATGCCAACTTCGTATGCCAGTGGGCTGTGCTGGGCCAGTGATTCACAGGTCTCGCACACGAGACGCAAATGCCCGTGATTGTTTGTTCACCTCGACTAGAGGCGCAGATGCGTACGCAATGGAATTCTATCCAAACTCCAAGAATGCGCTGTGATCCTAAATCTCCATCCATGAGCAGAGTCCTCCCTGTGATGGTACAATGCAATGTCTCACCCCGGTTTGCATTCGCTTTCTAGGCTTCGGTGGCGTTTGCGAAGCTGCTGCCTTCTTCGACCGTGCCGGTGACAGCAGCCTCCTCGTTCTTCGTAGCATTGGCCTTGACGGCGACGTTGCTGGAAGTGACGGCTTCCTTGCCATAAGGAATCGAAACGCTGTGCTGATTCTCGACAAGGGCTTGCATTCTGTCACGCTGAGAGCGCCGAGCAACGTAGACAGTGAGAACACCACGTGGGGTTTCCGGAGCGGTGGAACGACCGTTGTGATTGTCAGCCAGACTCTGCACCCAAGAACTCAAGTCACGTTGACCTTCGATGAGAATTGTTGCTCCGTCAGTGCCAGGGAGCTTGGCCACAAGATACCACACAGCGATAGACACCTTCTCCACTCCCTTGAACACGACAGGAAAGCGAGATGTAAGAGCTTCGATGGCCGTGCGCTTAACATCGGAGAACTTGGGGGGAACGGTAGACTCAGTCTCCAGATCCTGAACACATTTGTAGAGTGCAATAGGACTTCCCGCGGAGGAGTAATCGATCGCCAAACCAATCAGATTGACCAAGAAAGTGACCTTGGCACCTGTTGTGTCGTCCTTGGGCTGTAGCGCTGCGGTAAAGATCTTGTTTGGATCTGCTCCATCAGGGAAGCCTCCGTGGGGCGCAGGGCCAGTTGCATCGATGGAGACGATTGAGAGCGTATTGGAAGGTGGACTGGTCTTAGGAACACGCTTTCGTTCGCCTTGGGACTTCGACGGCGGATTTTGGGGAGCTGGCTCGTAATTGTAGTCTTTGGACCGGAGGATGGCGCGAAACTCCTTGTTCTGACGCTTCAGATCATCGTACTCTTTCTTCGCGACACGTGCTTCCTCACGATAATCCTCAATGTCGCTATTGAGTTTGTTGACCATGCGGACAACCGTGGCGGCAGCTGAGCTTTCATCGTATCGGCGCGGATCTGGAACACAGCCAGCAAGGACTGCTTCGCATACTTCCATGACATCTCGCTTTTCTCTGATGATAATTGCTTTCAGCGAATGAATGAACAGATCGTCGTCGCCAGGCTCGGAAGTGTGTGCGTCAACGCTGGCGCCTAGAAAGCGAGATAGAGCGCTGGGGGCAGCAAGCATAGCCTCTTCGTCAGAGCCAAGATCTGGAACGAAGCTGCTAGATGACAAGCGGTGTGAAGCACTACTGGCAGCGGATTGAAGGGTGCTCTTGTCTTGCAAGACGGTGGGAGCTGTTACATCTTGGCTATCGAGTCATTAACGACGCTGTATTTTATAGTCTCTCAGGAAACTTACGCGATGGTAATTGCCTGGCGCTTCATAGGACCTTCGGGTTGCAGTGGGGTGCCTGGACGCTTGAGCATATCTTCTGGTGCTAGTGCAAGATCGCCCTCCATGCTGAGGGTCACGCGTAGCGAGAAAGTGTTTCGTTCTGGGGACTTGTTAGACACAAACCCGCACATCAGCTCTGGTAGACTCACCGTATCCGACAGTTGTTCAAGTAGAGTAGTCCGAGTACACCTTCTGCGATGATTTGTCCCACGACCTTGTACGCATTCGTGGATGGAAATGGGTGGTGGTGCCAGACAAAATTGTGCGGATGAAGCTGCGAAGCCAAGAGGGTTTGAAGACGAAATTTCGAGGTTTCTAGGGAGTCATTTGGTCGAGCCACGCGCATGGATGCCCCTCGTTTCACCGGTTCACCATTTGTTGACATTTCCGACTCTGGGAGTTGCCTGATTGCAGTGTCAAGTGACGGGCAGATGCCGATCAATGCTGGGGGCACTTTGGGGCACTGGGTAGCCGATAGAATGCTTCTGCAAGACTGACTTACTTCTTCACCTCATTCTAGAGACAAGGAAGGCGACACACACCACGTCAATCGGCACAACAGCAGGAGCATTAGTTGACACATTATCGAAAGAAACATTACCGTCCGGCTACAAAATTGCATGGAGGATTCATCAGCGGAGAATGAACGCAGTCTTACTGCAAAATGTTGGCGGTGATGCCCCATTAGCAGGAAGTCTCAGGTGGGAGATGAACGAGCGAGATACTGTTTATATTGTTGGTACACCTGAAGTCGAAGTGAAGTGATGAAGCAGTTATGATAGAGTTGAATGAGGATATAGCGAGTCATTCAAGGCAACCGCGTGCCAAGATATGACTGGTTTTCGTGCTGTGCCTGATTTTGCTCCACTGTGTCAAACGCGGCGGCTTAAAGTTCTTCAAATGTCGCGACCACTCATCCGTCCCCATCTTCTTCTACATAATTCCTCCGCGCCTTCCTTCGCAACCCCATCCACGCTCGATCTTTTCAGGGAAGCAACTGCGCTCTATGGTGCTGCTGGTCTATTGTAAGTCGCATTCATTTACAGGAAGTCATCCCTTCCTTGTCCTTTGCGCAACGCTCATCACTAAGTACGAGCCAAATGTTCGCAGCCGCAATGCTAATTTGTTGGCACAGACATCATACTATGGCCCACACGACGCGAGCTTGGCCCGGCTCTCCTATCGTTGAGTACAATCTTTCCTTCATTTCGAGTGGCCCGCGAGAAACTCTCTGACCGGGAATGCCGAGTTCGTTTGAGATGGTTGAATACAGTGACTAAGCCACGCTGAGAAAGTGTATGAATGGTAATCGACTTCAATGTCTGACGTTCCAATTCAGCCGATCTTCGGATCGCGTAAGAGCACATCCTGCCCCGTACTGACAAACGTCGGTCAATGATTATGCCGACTTCCATGTCCATTCCTGGTCAGAAGAGACTCTCGGGCTGCCTTTCATTTCTATCCCAAGGACGCATCGCATCCAAGAGACACCGCGTGGTCTTCAAGAATGCCGAGTTCGTGCGAGTTGGTGGTATATCAGTGAATAAGCCACGCAAGCGTGCTTGCGTATGAATGGACTCGACTTTTATGTCTGAGGTTCCAGTCAGTCGATCTTTGTGTCGATAAGTGCACATCCTGTTCCACGCGTGCAGCTAAAACGTCGGTCAATGATAATGAGTACCCATGTCCATTCGCGGCCATGCGGCACTCTTGGATGCGCATCAGGAATCCCCTAAGTGGTGTCGACACGGGAAAGGACTCATTGGATTATGTTCAGCCATGTCTAAGCCATTTCTTTGGGTCGCGCAAACTCTCTGAGGTCCGCATGCGAGCATGAGCGGACTCATCCGTGTGGCCGCAAGGCGAGAAGTGGTTTGAGATACCAAAAATCAGTCTCTCACCAACCTCGACCAAGTACCTTGATTGGAGCATCGTCCAAGTTCCTGTTGGTCAGTCATCACGAAGGTTGAGAACCGTGATGTTTGTTCTCGGGATGTTTCATCGCGTGCTATATCTGGCGGTGGCAAGATGCCACCGCCTTTGCTGACTATATGTATAGGAGGACTAGCCACGGAAGCCTTTCGGCTGATCCTTTCTCTGCTCAGGGCTTTCAAATTCTTTTTCATCGCAGTTGACGATAGCTCGGGAGCTGTGGGGAAGAGGACTGGATCACACGTGTTCCGCCGATGCATAATCCGGCGCAACTGCGTCGCCTCCGCCTTCTGCGCGAAGCAACATATATGTGCTCGGCATGCACGGTCCGCCACCCTTTGCGGCCCCGTTGTCGATCATGGATCAGGCGTGCAGGCTTATGTCAGCCAGTTGAGAAGCTTCTCCACCGTTGCCCACATATCGATCTAGTCGCACTTTCCCTGCAATCACCACTCAATTGGGCAAGAGATTTGGCTTGGCTATGGAAACCCGAGATCGCGATAGGCTAGCCAGCGACTGCAAGACCGATGTGCTTAGCTCCTGGAGACCCGGTGTGCCCGTTTTCGCGGTGCCTCGTGTTCCGCACGCGAAAATCCGACTATACGACCAGACGCTGCGGCTCAGAATGATGCACTGACGCAGTCGAGATCTAAGGCCACTCCAGCATTCGTCGACTTCCACTCTCTTATAGAACTCCCTGGTCTATTCCGCTTCGCCTCAAGGGCGTCTCAAAAGGAATCTCAAGAGTACTCGAGGACGTCTCAAAAGGGATCTCAAGAGCACTCGAAGGGCGTCTGAAAAGGAATCTCAAGAGTACTCGAGGGGCGTCTCAAGAGCACACGAAGGGCATTCGAGCCTCACACCAGATTCTGGGAAGCACCTTCTGGTCTCTGTGTGTACATATGCGCGAGCATTGAGCTGTCGAGACCACCATGTCGGACCGACCAATAGTACGGGGCATGGTAACGGCAACGGTCAACTACGATGCATTCGGACCGGAGGAAGCCTACAAGATCGGTGAGTACAGATGCCCAAATAAGCATCTGCGTCTGTGGTATGGTGCAGCCAGAACTGAGGTTGCTGTACAGGCACTGCATCAATGTACCGCCGCAAGCATGATGCGAAGCAAGTACAGGTGACCGACATCCGTGGTCGAGAAGAAGAGTTCAGTCTGGACAAGCAAGGGTTTGAGCTGCACAAGCATGATCTCACATACGACGCCTTCGAAGACGACGAGAGAACAAAGGCAGAGTACTGGCCTGCTGTGGCAGAGCTGCTCAAACAGAAGTCAGGCTCACTACCAACCCAGCGAATTCGCTAGTCAAGATGCACTGACAGCATTCGCAGAGTCGGCGCGACGAAAGTCGTCCCCTTTTCGCATATCCATCGCAAGAAAACGTATGAAGCCGTAGCTGTGGAAGCCGAAGGCGATGCCGCGAACGACAAGACGATCAATGGCTGTCATCCGGTTCGCTACATCCACATTGACCAGTCGCCAAAGGGCGCCCAGACTCTAGGCGACGAGCTCTTCAAACAAGACTGGCCGACCATGTCTGAAGGTCGACGATGGGGCATAATCAACGTCTGGCAACCATTGTCTCTGGTTCGCAGAGATCCCCTTGCGCTCCTGTCTCGGACGACCGTCGACCACGCAGATCTTGTGAACAAAGACCTCATCTCGCCGAAGAGCAGAACAGGAGCTGCTGTTGCGGTATCGATGGAGAAGGTGTATCAGGCCTCCACCGTCAAGTACAATCCGGATCATCGTTGGCATTGGTGTAGCGGGATGAAGCGCGAGGAGGTTTTGTTCCTCCGGATCTTCGATAGTCGCGATGATGGAGGAATTCATGGGACGCCGCATACTGGAATAGTAGTACCCGGAACGGAGGACGAGGCGGCTAGGCAAAGTGTTGAGACCAGGTGTTTCGTTTTCTGGTAGAGGCCTCCCTGGCGTGTCAAATCTGATGGAATACAATTTGCAAAGAAGTCGTAAATTTCGGCCCAGAGTCCCCCCCTGGCGTGTATTCTCAGATGCTGAGCTCCAAACGCACTGCTCCCGTTCTTCGTTTCCGGTTCGCTTTCTGCTTCTCACTCACTTGCTCTTTCCTTTCCTACCACCTCTCTTCTGCTTCCGATTCTTCGCTACACCAGCTGGCTTCTTCCCCTTTCCCAACCCTGGCGTCTTCCCTTTGCGCTTCTTTCTCATCGCGTATCCACCACAATCGCAACAGAACCACTTCTCCACCTCGTCCTTCGGCCAATTCTTCTTCAACAGCTCGGTCTCAATGCATTTCTGGTGGAACCACACATCTTCAACTCATGAAGCTGTTTGTCCTCATCATATTCTCTACACAGATATTCTTCTCTTTTTCTCGGCACATTGTTATCCAGACATTCAACAGTAATCCTTAGACCATCCATCCCTACACGAGCAATGCTGCCTGCCTTCAGCATCAAAAAGACGCCGAAGGTCCGCGAACGCGAATATATAGAAGCGCGGCTGGGCCACTTTAAGAAGCGCTTCACAGTCATTGCGGTAGTCGTGGCGGCACTGCTGCAAACCCTTGGCCTCGTCTTCACGATTTTGATGTTCAATAGCAACTATAACGGCTAGTGGCTAAAGAACGCGAACACAACCGCCACCGTCGATCCTGTCTTGACGTCTGCCTTGGCGAACCTGACGGAAGCCCAGCAGAACCTGACGGTAGTCCAGCAGGACCTGACGGAAGCCCTCCGAAGGCTCGTGGAATCGCTTGACAAGACACCCCGCACCCAAATTCGAGCCCCAGAACCCTCCAGCTAGCGGTAGCCCTCGGACGCTTCAACGCTTTCCGTCAAAGGTCCAACGTCACTTGCAGTTCTCGCCATCGCAGCCAGTCATGGGGTCATCGGAGGCCCATTCGGGCTGTTCGCAGAAGCAGTAGAGCGTGTCATCGCCTCCAGCTCCCTCCACCACCTCAAAGCTCTCCCGATCCGGAATCGATGCATCGGCATTTGCATTTTTGTCCGACATCTCCCACAGACGTTCCGCTTCCGGAGCCATGAACTCCATGATTTCTGTTTTGGCTAACTCCTCCTCGGCTTTCACGATCTCGCGCAGGATATCAAGCACGCGTTTCTCGTCGATCTCGCCTTCTGAGGCCTCTGTCATGAAGCGTGCATCGAGGCGTTTGATGATGCTGGCTGAGAATTTGGCGAGGATGTCGAGGAGTGGTTTTGCTGTGAGTTCGACGGAGACGGTGTCGGGTTGGGCGGTGGTGTTGGAGGCCATTCTTGGTGTGATTGGGAGGACTCTGGTGCTGGATCTGGAAAGTTGTGGAAGTGGAAAGGAAGTTGGATAAACGGAAATCGAGAGGCCATCCAGCGGTCGAGAATCAGAACTGAAGATGGTCTTGGAAGATTGAAAGGTATGTGTGAGACTGAAGTGAGATTTAAGTCAAAGGACCAGCTTTGATCGAAGCGAAACGGTAGCAGTATGAGATTTGGGCAGATTAGAAAGGACAGAAGTATCCTCCCATGGGGAAGACTCTGGCAGAATATATGTCACCTTCTCACGATATGCTGAATGGTGCCATTGTACGGTAGCTGGGCCTATTTAGTAACAATGGAGCTGTAGCCATCAAACGCGCTGAATAGGGCGAGACATCTATTGTTAGCAATGGAGCAGACATCTCCAGGCAACTCTGGATGCGCTGGAAACCCACGACTCATCGCCCGCATGAGTCAATAACAGATGAACAATGACAGATGAACAATGGGCTGAATCTTGCCTTGCTTTTAGCTGTCGTCCTGCTTCGACAACAGTCTGTCCAGCTTCTTCCAGCCTCGTTGCCTTCTTGTTGCCTTGTTTTCGTGCCATGCCAAGACACGCTCGATGAGAATCACCCAGCCAGCACGCATGCTACAGGCGTCTGTTCGTGCTGCCCCTAGGTTTCAGGCTTATCCTCGCCACAAGTATCACATTCGCTCAGGTTTTGGATCCTCGTACCCCGAATTCGTAAACTCGAATTTTGTTCGCCCCGGGAACCGATTTCGCGATTCCCGGGATTTCGCCGGCACGCTGGCGGTGTGCGTGACACGGCAACGCCCTGCAGCAGACATGCTCACTGTCGCGGGCCCGTCCTTTCCCATGTAATTCAAGGCCGGGGCGGCCCATGTGCGGATTCGGGATTTTGGTGATCCATAAATGCCAAGACTTGCCTACTCGGTGGATGGCAACCTAGATCTCGTCAGTGGAGGCAGGTGCGATGATCGGCCATCCCATTGACGTCTCTGAGCATCTAACCGGCTGAACGGCGTGTTCCGTGGTGGTTCCTAGCCTTTGGCGTTGATCAGAGTGTGGGCAAGCATAGCCTGTCATGTATTTTGCCAGGACACCTAGGAACTGCCGTATACTTTATGTTGTACACAGGCGCGTGCGATACGACCTGCTACTCATCACACATGCATCGTGGTCATTCGTCAGCTCATGACTTTAGTGCTCCGTTACCTGCCAGTCCACCAAGCACCTCAACAGGCACTGTCGGTACATACTTTCGCGCTCGTTCACGATCCCTTCCGCCAATACCGGCGCCATAGCTGATCAGCATGTCGGTACTAGTGGGCAGACTGAATGGCAACATCATAGACTGATCTAGTGTCAGCTGACCTGGCTTTGCTGTTGGAGAGAGATCCGTTGGCTCCGACTCGGGCAATTGCGTTGTGACGATCGCTGGGTTTGATGTTGGCGTCTGTGCGGGCGCGCCAGCAGCTGTGGTGGCGGCGGGAAGTGTTGAGTTCGTGGGCGTCGTAGGATTCGCGCCTGCTGTCGCATTCGACGTCTTGCCTTTGACAGGACTCTCGCCGTTCTTCTGTTTTTCTTGCTGCACAACTGGATTTGGCGTAGCAGTTCCGCTATCGGGTATAGGTGTGACAGGCCGTCGTATAAGCGTCTCTTGACCCTTCTCGAGCTGCTTCAGAAACTTCACATGTGGTTTTGGTAGACTCTTCTCGCCGACTTCGGCACGGTAGTTCTTGACTGTGTGTAGCAGCTGATATGGTGTAAGTCGTTGCAGCTGGACCAATGTGCCGATCAGGCTTTCGTGGTCTTCGCCCAGACTTGTGAAACATTGTAGCCACTGCAGTAGCTGGATGATCGGACTCAAATGCCTGCGGGCAGCGGCAATTGTGTCCTCTCCAGTAGTTATGGTCGAGCCATTCTCGTAGTGCTCTGGCTGCCGATTATTCGACCGCGTCCAGTCCTCCAGCTGAGAGACGTTCATGCGTATCTGCATAGCTTTCGTACGGGACTGGTAGCGGCGCTGAGTAATGATGCGGTTGAATAGCTCTGCACCTAGCCAATACATTAGTTGGGAGAGAATCTGTGCTGTGATGACGGAGTGTACGTCGTAGAGGTCGAGTACGAACAATGTCGAAGAAAGCAGGGATGTTATGTTTCGTGGCGAGGGCTTTGCCCTTTGCTTAGGCGATGGCGGCCGGTACCTCTTTTCCGGTGGCTCTTCCACGGTCTTCGACTTCGACTTGAACACTTTCCACTCGCCCTGGAATTCTATGTCGTCGAGGCCGGGAATAGTTTCGTGATCGATCATGGCGTCATTAAGGACCTTGTTCATTCGTCTTTCGGCGTCGCGTATAATGAGGATGAAGGTTTCATTGACGAGGTCGGCAAGCTCTGCTTGGAACCGGGTCGTGGCCTGTAGGAGTCCATTGTCCTTCTTCAGGTAGTGCAAGAGCAAAGTCTCGTTCGATATCCAGAACGCGAGCATAGTCATGTCCCACTGATGTCGTTCTATGACATCGTTGATCCTGTCCATGGCTTTGGTAAGCACCTCCTGCAGCAGCGCAGGGGTCATGTGATAGTGTGCGTAGCGGCACATGAGGAAGATGAGGTTAGCCGGAACCGGCTTTTGTGATGGAGACCTTTGCGGTGTCATGTTGGTGATGATCAGATCAAAGATTTTGTCCAGCTGGTCGGTCTGGAAAACAAACATTTGGTCACCAACGCAGCGCTCCCAGATGAACTCTTCCTCGTCGTCTGACTCAACCGTCGGCGACTCCGGCTTCTCATTGAATCCCAATGTACTCAGATCGACCTCTAGATTCGCCGCACTTTCCTGCATCAATGCCCTCCTCTTCATCTCGGACTCTGCCATATACTCCTCATCCAGCCTTTCCTGATCCCATCCACCCTTGTAGAAATCGTCGCCTCCCTCTCCGCCACCTAGACTCCCAACACCACCAAAATGATAGCCGTTCTCCGCCAGGTACTGACTCAGATCACTCCCCGGCTGCACAAAGTCATACGCCGTCCCGCCACTACTGCTCCTGATATCCGCATTCGCGCCGTGGTCGAGCAGCATCTTCGCGATTGACTTATGCCGATTTGTCATCGCCCACATTAGAGCACTCCACTGATTGCGGTCCTGCTTGTCGACGTTTGCGCCGGCATCAAGCAGGGCTTTGACCACACCCTCGTGCCCGAAGCAGGAGGCGTAGATCAAGGGCACAGTGCCCTCCTCATCGGGAAGGTTCACATCGATATAGCTCTTCGCACGACCGTTGACGAGCTTGCCTACTCTCTGCACGTTCCCGTTGCTTGCGGCCATGTTCAGTGCTTTCTGCAATGTTTCCCGTTTCTCGTCGTCGCTCAGACTGTCGTCAACGGCGATAGCGTCCTCGTCGCCGCCATTGGGAGTCCCACCATCTTCACGCCGTTGTCTTTGTTGAGCGGCGACCATTTCCATGAGGCGAGAGTCGCTATCCTGGATGCGAGCGAAAGTCTCGGCCTCATCGTACGCGGGCGTATCGAGTTTGAGATCGAAGGTCAGGGCGCGGGCAGGAGTTGGAGCGGCGATGAATTGCGATGAGCCTTGCCAGCCATCATAGTACTCAGTCTCCCCAGCGAAGGGGTCCTGGTATCCGCGTCGGTCATCGAGGGACGTAGGTAGATCGGGCGGTAGTTCGCGTTTGGGTGAAGTAGGACTCGTGGGGTCATTGTCGGAGGGGCTGCCTCCATAAGGATCGCCGGGATCCATCATCGACGACCATCTGGGTCACACGAGCAGTCATGTCACGGCGGAGAGTCAGCAGCTACTTGTAGCCATGATGTAGTCATGTGTAGTGAAGAGAGCCAAGCATGTATTTATGGAGAGACACGTATAGGTGTTGTCTTCCCGCTTCTCCCAGGGCTGCGGGTTCCAACTCACACATCAACGCTGCCGAGCACTCAAGTCCCGCCCCGCCCAGCTTGGCAGACTCCCTTCCCTCCCAGCTTCAGGCTTGCGCATACTTTCGGAACACCATCAAGTGACTACAAAGAATTGCCAGTCACAACACGCAGGTGGCAGGGCACGATCGGCACATCTGTCCATGCAGACATTGTCCAGACAAGGGCCATATTGACCCGAATATGCATTATGCTCGATCATCTACAGATGAAGTACGTATACCTATTATGTGCAACGAAGAGACAAACGCCATCGCTCAAACGCTGAAACAATCGCTCCCAACACAGAGTGAGAATCCTGCCGCTGCATTTGTCCATGAGGCAGAGTAACAAAAGCACTCACCATGATTACCCACTTCATTCCTCCTCTTTACTACATCAGCTGCCCTCCAATGCTCGGCTCAAAGCGTATATCTGGTCGTCTGGCAGGCTGGCCATCCAGAGACATCTTTCCACGAGGCCTTTGATTGGTTCAAAGCTGTACCGTGAGCTGGCATCGATCAGCCGCAACAGGCCCTTGACGATCACCGCGGCCGTCCTATACCGTTCGAAATTGATTAATGCTCGCTGAACACTACCGCTCTGCCATCAGCTTTAGGCTTGCGGGGGATTGTCGCCGGCTTCTGAGCGTTGTACGTCAAGTCGTGGACGTACAGCCCGATGAACGGGATGCATCCGTCACTGAAGTCCGCAGACTCGATTTCCAGGCGCAGCTCGTGGAAGTTTCGCACAGGCTGCACCAGTCGCTCCATGTTCTTAAGTAGGCTTTTATCGGGGTCCGGAACTCGCTCCCATGTCTTGGTCAGACGCGTGGCATCAGTCGAGGTCAAACCAATAGTTATCTGCACCATAGTTGCATAGTTGTGCAGTCGACGTGCATGAGCGGCCACATGAATGTACTTTGTAATGACCTGTGCACGCTCCTCGATGTCGTGCGTCATGACAATCTCGGACCGTACCCAGCGCGAGACCAGGTTGAATCGCGTAATTACCAGATCCACACCGTTGATATCAGCTTTGGTCAGATACTCGGCCCAGTCAAGCACACGTGGCGATGTATTGTCCCATTTCATATTCACCAGGTCAGACCATTCGATCTCGGTCAAAGCAGACTTTTCGATCAGCGTCATTTGCTGCGCGATTGTTTGAGAATCAGCAGCAAGTATGAAAGGAATATGTGCTGGTCCGCCCGATACTCGATTACCATACTGATGGTTGTTGGCTGCCATTGTTTTCGGCAATGGCAGATGCACGTAGGGTTGAGCTGAGCCAGATGCCCGCGGAGCTGAAGAGTCCCGCGAGATCTCGGGTGGCGCAAGATTGACAACGGATGCATAGGTCAGTGGATGCGAAGGAATCTCCAATCCAGACACCGCAGTGCCTGGCGCAGCGAACATCGGAGAGTTGTCCCTCGCATTCGGCGCGTGGTTGATGACGTCCACAGATATCTCAGAGGACAGGTCAGACAGATTCTCGTCTTCATCAAGCAAGAACGATTGGGCACTTTCATCGGCCGTCATTGGTCGAGGGATTGGGTCCAGTGCGTTGTAGTTGTATGAACCCTCTTGAAACCCCTGCTGTAGGTGTAGAGGACTGGGCATCAGCTTCTTCCCGTCTCTGGTAGGAGCAGGCGGTAACACTGGCGTTGTTGCAGAATCAGTATCTCTATGAAGCATCGGTATTGAATTATCCCGCTCGACTGCGTCGGTGTCTGAACCCACCGGCATCCCAAAGATTGACGAATTGTCGGACACTCTGCCGCTTTGTGGAAGCGGGTCTCGAGTGTGCGAGAGGTCTCGCAGGTCAAAGGCCTCTAGACTTGACCGACGCTCACCGGTTCTTGTCGGAGGACGTTTTTGTGGCTCTTCAAGCCGTTCTAGAGAGTCGAAAGTGTTTCTGGTACTCATCTCCGGCATGGACCGGCGCCTTTCAAGCGCATCCAAAGGATGTTGCGGCAGTGGAGGGGACTCCTTCTCATACCGCCCTTCAAGCTTCAGTAACGTTGCCTCAAGTCCGCCGTCGTCATCGTCTGGTATATGTGAGAAGCCAGCAACGGCTTTCTCGAAGCTGGGACGTAGATGCTGCGAAGAGTGCGTATTGATCATCGACACTTGCTTCTTTACGGGCTGTTTTTCCACCTCGTCCAGATCCAGGAAGGAGTGGACCGGTGATCCAGAGGTGGTGGCTGTGTCTACAGACTCGTGGTGTTGATGCTGTGGCAGGTCTTGAACGTTCTCCACCTTGCGCAAATCACCTCCAGGTCGGCGGCGGAGGCCATTTGGCTGGCTTAGTGGAGGCGGGCTGCTGTTTTCTTGCGATTGCGGACTATGACTCCCAGGTGGCTCAGCGCGAGGTGTGTGCTGTGGCGATAAGACGCCAGGTCCTCGTGCAGGAGAGCTGCCTTGCGGACGAGGTGAAGAAGAGGGCAGTGCAGGCTCGTCCGCTTGGTGCTCACGCTCCTGTCGGTTGAAATGCAGCTTCTTCGATTGATTGCCTGGCCGAGCCTCAATCATCGACCGAGTGCGTCGGAGCTACGCTGGGGTGACACGTCCGCAAGACTTGGTCTCGACCGTTGATGCCCTATACCCAGCCCAACGTTCGGCTCTTGCAACCTTACCCTCTTGGGTGACGCTTGCGCTTCATAGGCCGCTCGAAGCTCGGCTTGGGAAGGGAGGCCACCAGGCATGGCCTGCGCACCCATTCCAGTATCGTTGACGATCAGTATCGAGCCGCTATGGGCAGTGGTGTGACTTGGAAGTCTGTCTTTCCTCAGGTCTGGTGTTAGAAGGGTAGGATCGCTGGCTGTTCGTGGACCATGATCCGTTGCAGGCCTCATGGCCTGTATAGGAAACGCAGAAGTATGCTTAGCAAACTTTGCGTGCGGGAAAAGTAGCTCATAGTTCTGCGCAACTTGAGCACAAAGTAGATCGATTCTGAGCTGACCCTTGTGCTGGAGAGCAGTTGCTCGTGACCGCAATTCGTCGTGTGATTTAGACATGTTCAGAGGAAGCTGTGCTCGTGGAGGAGCATTTTCTTCCGACATGGGCATTGGTGCAGAAACAGTCACCAGTGCCATATCACTCTGCCCATGTTTGCCAGCAAGCGCTTTGCGCAACGACCCAAAGATGTTCTTGACGCCTGGACTTTGGGCAGAATGGGGAGAGCCTCGACGTTGCTGCTTGACCAATTGCTCCTGCGGCGTGTCGAACTTGTACATTGAAATTGCTGTGGGTGAAGAAATTATCTGCACGAACGGGGCACTCGGTGCGTAAATGGATCCCCGGATAAGGCTGCCATCGAACAGAGGAAACTTCTGGCTCGGCTCGGCTCTAGGAGTAGGTTCTCTGTCACTGTCTATGGACGGCGCGCCTCTCCTGTGACCAAGGTGACCAACTTTGACTTCGAGGTTGCCGTTGGCATTTGGCCGTCTGAGCTGCACCGGCACAGGATGCGAGCCTCCTTGCGAAGATTGCACATCCCCTGGACGGAGAAGTTTTGTGGGTATGTTGCAAGACTTGGCCTGGAGACTTTGTTCACTAGCCAAAGATTCCTGCTTGCCTGAATCCTGCCGGTTGTGTTGTGGGACTTTGGTCGCTACCGTTGGCGGAATATTAAACCAGCTAGAATTTGACACAGTGCGTACGTTTCGTGGCATTGGTGGGGGAGCGTCTTCTGATGCGCTCGAAGCTTCTCCTTCGACGTCTTCAGCGAGCCCGGGCAGCAGATCCTCGTCTTGATCACCATCGACGTTGAAGTCGTCGGAGTTCCAAAACAAGGAACAGCGGCCATTCCAGCATCGTTTCAGGTCACGCAGCACCTTGAGATCACTAGTCCCGGTACTCCTTCTGCCAGCGACTTCACGATACAGACCATTGATCTCGTTACAGAAGCGAATTCTGAGTTTTTGGTGAGGTATGAAATCGTCTGCAAAGTAGTTGAGAATCCAATGTCGCAAAGCAGCAAACGTGCGGACTCTGATGATGCGTCCATCGTCTTCTTGTCGGTTAATGGCCCACCGCAAGCGAGCAAGCAACAAGTCCATGACCAGATAGATGGTCATATACGACCTGAAGGTCAGGAAGAAATCAGAAACCAGTTCATAGTCCATGAAGGATTCAGACGATATTTGCGCGATCAGTCTTGCCGGCGTAGCTGCAGTGATTTCGCGAACATTGTGGGAATACCGCACGATATCAGGATCGTCGTACACATCTGCCAGAGTATCGTATATGTCAGATCTAATGTGCTCGCGGATGGTCGAATCTGACCCCGACGATCCTATCTGACGTCCCGAGATGTGTCCTAAACCAATACGAGTCTCCTTCTGCGGTTTACCAGCTGACGTCTGTTGCGGCGTTACGGTCCCAGTCCCACTAAATTCCGAAGAATCACGAGTGAAAGTCGACGAACGTAGTGCCGGCGTTCCATTTGTGCTGAAGCGAGGCTGTCCGAGCCTGTAGTGAGGTATCGGAACCTCGAGAGTCGGCGAGAAAGGCTTTTCTGGAAGATGTGAATCCTCCGACACTTTCGTAGTCGCAGTGCCGGGCCGGTTGATCACAATCTTCAAGGCTCCGGATCTCCCAGCCATCACAGTATTATGCTCATCTATTGTAGAAAACGACTGTGATCTGCCATGCTTGGCTCGAATGGTCTGAATAGTAGGTCTGCGTGCTGGTAAAGGCGTGGTCACGTTCGCCGGAAGTGGGGGTCGTGTGGTTGGAGAGACAACGCCGTTTCGCGTCGCTGTCTTTGGCCGTGGAGTCGATGAAGTGTTATCCGGATATGACGAAAGATCTGCAGGCGCTGTCATGGGCATAAGCGGTGGTGGTGAAGCCGTCGGAGCGGGGACTTGGTGCGATGAAGGCTTGAGGTATAGCAAGCCGCCGGTACCAACATTGCCGACTGTGAAATTCCGACCTCCTCGAGAATCTGCGGGCGGCTCCGACTTCTGGTTCTTTCCAGACTTGGTGGACCTCTGGCGTAGCATCTCGGTGCTATTCTTCGCTCGCCGCAGGAGATGTTTGTCATTTTGGATTGGGGCCGACTTGTTTCTAGCATGGCCATGTCCATGATTGTGCTCTGAACCAGGTTTGTAGGGACTCGATCCCGTCCGCGAATGGCTTGTTGCGCCAGTGACGGTCGTACCGGTGATTTGGCTTGCAACGGCGGGATCGAGGGATATTATCGAGGCGCGACTGCTCGTCGCTGCATCTGAGATCATTTTTCACCACACATGGACGAGGTCTGAGCACTGCCGCAGCGTCTACGGGTCGGCGCGTCAAGTCGAGGCCGTGCGCAGTGGCATGCTCGATGCATATGCGGACAACGACAGCGCTTGAACAGAGAGATTGTTTGCGACGCGTGCCAGCTAGGAAGGTGGGACAGCACTGCAGGTCGTCGGAATCAAAATTGTGACAGGTAGTGACAGCGGTTTCGTGGCGTTTCTAATGAAGGTGTGGGCTGTTCGTGGGGAGATGCCAAAATGATCGTACGTGCTGCAGTCGAGCTGCTGTATCAGAAGCGCGGTACAGACTGCATTGCTCCTGTACACAGTAGTAAGTTCTGCAGCTGAGGAAGGTGTGGACGGCAGCAGCTGCGATTCGTTGCGCACAACTGCATCCCAAGAAGAAGAGAACCTAGCATTGACTCGTCGAGTAGTAAGCCACTGACTGATGGCCAAACCGGCTGGAACCCACGCAAGCCCAGTCCTCAGCGGAACCAGCCAGCCGTTGGAGGTTTAGGCTAATGAGAAGCCTGGAAGTTGTCGCAGAGTGTCCATCTTCCAGGCTACGGCTACGGCATCACGCATCCTAAGTTCCAATCGCCCAGAATGCCGGGTCTGCAACCTCTCATCTCGCTAATGTGGGTTATCTCAAATGCCAATGCTCCGACCTCTGGCAACCTGGCTTCGAGGCATCGGACTCAGAGGTCCTTTTTGCGGTTGTCTACTGTGAGTTGTAATTATTTCCGTATGATATCATCAGAAGCCGTGCGAATGCCATCTCTTACAACATGGCTGACAGCTCGTGACAGACGCCACCAGATGAGTGACCACCAGTGACTGGTTGAAGGCCGATAAAAGGTCTGAGCGCCGAAGTTCGAACCAACGAACCACGAAAATACCCCTAGGTACCGCGTAGGTATCCGAAATCGTGGAGTCCCAGCGTCCGTGGTTGATGAGGGACAGTGGTTTCTCTGTGGTGCAATCATCGTAATTCGAAAGATCAATCACTGTGCAAAGACATCAATTCTCGCTGCGGCTGAGTATTCATGTCTCAGATATGATAGCAAGGAAGACGTGTCGCTCGTCCACAACTCAACGGTGTAGACCAGGATACGTCTTCGTCATCCTGGGGCCGTTTCGGCACCTAAAATCCGAATCTGATCGAAGTCAGATCTATCCACTCCCACAAGCTAAATCCCTTGCAACAAGCGATATTGAATAGCAAGAGCAGCAGCAATGCTCGTACACGCAGCCCTACGGTCGTTTCTGATCTCGTCCGCACGAAGGCCGCATCAAGAGCATCAGCTCAGTCCAGGCCTGTAGGTATGGATGCTTTGCTAGGCGATGGAGCGGTCTCGAGAGCGAACCGAACTCCGGCCAAACCTCAATCGACAGGCCCATGTCCTCAGACTGTAAGGATCCAACGATGCGCAATTGTGAACTTGCAAAATCCTCGCTACTCGAACGCTTCTTGTATGTCTGTTGACGAAAGTGGCATCTTGCATGATCTCGAGCAAGAATGATGATATGGTGTGCGCCGTGTGGTTGACGCAGCAACCCTGCTCATCGCTACTGAGTTGATTGGATACGAGTGTTTGCTGTTAAGGATGCATTTCGGCATTTCCTATCTCAACTTCCTTCCTGACCCAGGGTTTCATCCTGGACCACACAAACAAACAACACACGCGTCAAGAAGATCTGTCTGCCGTCTTGAAAAACATGTCTCCAGACCCCAATGCGCCATGGACCGGGCCTGCAGCAAAGGATATGCTCGCAACACACACGCTTGCGCAGGAAATCATCAACAGGCACGAGGACCCCTGCCCAGTCCTAGGCGGATCCGAATTGGAGCTTCTTCGTGACTATGTTATGGATGCCTCTCTGGCTCATGCCCGGGAACTGTTGAAGGACCGTGGGATGATCGATGAGGATGGAGACGGACTCGGGTTAAGGGCACAGGGCAAGAATTCCTTGATCGGATACTGCATTGTTCGCAATCTGGACGTCGAAAGGCGCGGCGATGCAGCTAAAGGGCCAGGCTTCGGAACAGCGCTCACCAGCGAAGAGATAGACCTCCTGAAGGATTGGTTCCAGAAAGGTGCTGCTGAGGACAGGATTGAGGGCTGGAAGGCAGGTCGCAAGGAATGCGAATGAAAATCGAAGCGTCACTCATTTCGACGACACAAGATAGCCGTGGCCATCGCGATCGTTCTTTTGGCGCAGATATAAACATCCAGTCACGAGAGAGCCAGATAACTCATACGAATGACGGCCCTATAGGGTCTTTTCACGGCTACTGAGTCGCTTGAAGTTGATTTCATGATCACAACTCCGAGGATAGTGGAAGGCGGGCGTACCCGCAAGTTTTGGGATTGCGGACAGGCTACGATGCCCGTGTGTTGCTGACCAGCTGAGCTGCTGAAATTATACATCAGGACCGATCAACACAAGGCCTAGTTCCCGCCCGCGAATACTTTGCCCACTGCGGTGATCGCAAATTGGGACTTGTCATCCGGTCTTGCGAATATCTTTTGCCAATTTCTTCCCTTCACCTTTTACTTGCTACGCTGCTGCTTAGTTACGCTGGACGCATGGTGCTCAATGTAAACCCCGTAGAAGAGCTCCGAAGATTTCGATGAGGTTGCTTGATCGCTCGCTATCGACAACTATCATGTTTCACCTATGTCTGATCAATCGCGGCACTGATCAGGAGTCATCGACACCGCTGTCATGCCTCTCTACATCTGCCGATCCCTCAATTCCTCGCACTCTGCCAGAACGCAGCATGTCATGAGACCCGACATCAACCAGCCTCCTCACAGACTTCAGTCAAGTTGAAGCAAAGGTTGCAGGAGTCTCGGGTGACGCAAGCACGAATCATGCCAACGGCTTCAGTAAGCTCAATCCGAGAGATCTCTCAAAGTCGGATGACGCCAGCACGAGTTGTGTCGAAGACTCCAGCAAGGTCGACCCTCAGACTGAAGACAGCCAGGCCATCGATCCATTCAGCGACGATAACCAGCTTTCTCCCAATATCAGGAAAACCTATCGTAGAGTCTGCGCCGCAAACTGCTTTCTGCTAGAAGTCGGTCGAGGAAGTAGCGGCGCTAGCACCACAATCGTGCAGGTCAGCCGTGCGCAGCATTGACCACCATCCACGGCGCGGCGAGAAGACCTGAGGACGGTCCTCACGGCGTTGTAACGCTGCTTCGGGGAAAGCATTGAGGCAATCTAAGGCGGATGATGTTCCGATACTGACATCTCAAAGCCAGAAGCATATCCCTTTTCACGAAGAGTGGATTCGGACGAACTGAGAGAGATGTGGAGCGAAGTCTGGCGTAGTGATCTTACTCAAGAGCGAGCCTTTGGCCCATTGGAGCTGACACAAACCGAATGAAGCATATAGCTGCCGTTGGGCCTACCTGCTATGACAAGAGCTGTAGTTCATAGCATTACTTAGCGAACTTCTGGTCCACCAACGTTGTGAACTTGAGACTTGAGGAGGATGTGCTGTTTTCCATATCCATAATGTATGATCGAGAGAAATGCCAATGCTGGCTACTTCTGTCAGGTCCCTGCTCACCGTCAGAAGCGCTATAGCGGATATCTGCGGGTCCTGCACATGTCAAGACTCAGGGAGGGCATTCGGCATTTGCTGTCGCTTACGACCAAAGATCCAATACCTCGTGCTGGGGATGATCTGTAACGACTGCAGTCAGAACAATGTCTCAATTTGCATGCAAGGAGCCAGAAACTATGAGCTTAGGAACAATACTCTTTGTCGTAGGAAGGAAGGGATGAACTCTCAACCCACGAAGCAGACCTCGGGACCCTTGACCGTGATGTGCAGACTTGGCATCTCGTGCGCTGCAAGCAAGTCTACGCGAGATATTAGCGAGATCGAAGTCTAAATTTCATCCGACTTTCAGAGATCATGTCATATTCCGACGACAATAATCCCAGTCTTCTATTATCTCAAATACTACAACCCTGGCCCCCAGCATACCTGCAGGTACTGCACTTGACAGCTCGTGAAAGGTGCGATTGCATGAAGCCATATCGGACAAATTCGCCTGACTCGCTTCATATAGTCGACGCCATGCCCACTCTCTCCAGGTACTAGGCGTTTGCAGTAAACATCACATCCGAGAAAAATGCTTTTTCCTATCCGGCGGACCGCTCCTAAGGTAATACCCTTGCTCTCAACAAAGTAAACCATGTCATGCATGGCATACACTGGCGGCCCTTTCCTCGATCCATCGACGTTTCTCTGTGTTGCGGAGGGTAAGCGGAAGTCGGGGAATCAACTTACTCGCTTATCTTGCATTCGCTTTGGTGCCGCTACAGCACGACACTGCATCTGCTGCTTACCGAAAGACGAGTCCCAGTTTCGGAGCATCTCAGCCTGATACTGACGCCACCCTTCGTATGGGGACTTCGGATGTCTTGCGGTACTTGATCTTCCCCGCTCTCAACAAGCGAATCGAGTGTCAATCGCTGCCAATGGCGCAAGCAGTGGTCTGTGCAGTCTCCTCTCCACAGGCTATCAGCCCAACCCCATCATGTATACGGAAATGGAGCTAAGAAACGGTCAACGCTTGACCAGTAGACTTTCGGCACAGCCGTAGAGCCCCTCTGCGGTAACACTCGAGCTAATGCAATCCGATCCACAACTATTCGAGCTTCAAACGTCGACAGCAGGAGATCCACTCAGATCGCTCCAGGCAGTATCGATCTCGACTGTGCGGCTGTCGCCAGCCCACAATAAACCACCCAAAGCAGATGCTTCTCGACCGGCAAGGTTCCAATTGAGTGCAGGCTTGACCCGTTCCGTCGACCAGTTCGCACTAATGGAGGTCAGTGCGGCGATACTGCACACTGGCGGATCTGGCTACTGCTTGAGCGAGGTTGGCGGACTGCACGACGTCGTGCAGACAGACAGACAGGAGTCTCTAGGACTGGGTTGTTCCAGCTGAAATATCAATCATCCCTCCTTGATGGATCGTGTCTCTTGTTCGCCTTGCATCTTCCTTTGTCCTACCATCCCCATCAACTTTGGCGTGGTACAGCATTCTGTCAATTGTCAACAATGTGGTTCCCAAAACAAGCACTTCCTTCCTTTCAAGAATTCGTGGATAGTATCTCACATGACTCACATAGAAATCATCCTGAGTCCAGGCGACCCTCGCCACCGTTGTCTCCGTCGGATCACTCGCAAGGAGTAAAGGCTCCTCGGCCAGATGTTCCATCACCACCATACACTATAGGATGCTCGACGCCGACCAGGAGGTTATTCAGAGTTCTGCGGCAATCACTCGAGGCTTGACCAGAGATCAGATCTTCGACTTGGTCTTCGCAGTAGATGAGAGCCGACCTCGTTACGAGGTCGAAAACGTGGGAGAGATCCAAGAGATCTTGGAATCAGACTCCTCCAAAGCCAAGCACAAGAAGTGCGAGAAAAACCGGAGGATTCGACACAGAATTTGGCAGTGGCTAGCCCATGCCATGACACCGGAAGCGGCTCACCGAGCTGTCGAGTCTGACCCAGCATACTCCGACGGCAAGTCCGGTGGCGGCCGCAAGGCAAAGGACGGCAAGAAGCCGACTGGCCAAAAGCCCGGTAAAGATGAGCAGCTATGCTCTATCATCTATACCGTGTCGTTGCTGGGCATTGCCGTGCAATCAGAGCATGAAGGACGGAAAATAGCCGAGGAGCGAGCCTATCGCGCCGAAGCAAGGCTCGCAGAGCTGACAGGCGGCGCGCCTCCGAGTCCCCGCAAGAGGCGTCGAGGCGATGAGCAGTCGTCTGCCGAGTCACCAAAGCGCCGGGCCATCCAGCTACCACAGCGACTGCCACCTTCGCCATGCACTACGGCATGGCTTTCACCGTCACCGACGCCGACCATGTCATCGTCATCCAGCTTCAGCCACTAGATTGTGACTCCTGTACAATATACCCGACCTTCCGTCGCCAACGACACTGCTCCTCCGCGAGCGCCCTGTACCAACATGAACGAAGGCTGAGTGGGCGAGCCCCAAGATTAACGACAAGGAATCACATATTCATCCCATATGCCGCAACATTCCACGGCAAGCACAGCATGGTTGCAAATTTATGTCAATACATGCACCATTGGAGAGGTGTCGGTCACAGATAGACATCGACTTCATCATTTTCGGGCTTTTCGGTATCTCAAAAGTTTTTCGGTGGCTGTAATGATTGATTTAGCAGAAGGACATAGATGGCGTTTGCTGCGCGGCCTCTACGGCTGGACATGAGCGCGCACAGCTTGTAACACTATCACAAACCTCCATGGCATGCGGAGACGACGTTCGATGGGAAATGACTGGGAACGACTTGAAGGATAATGACATTGAACACAGCCACGACGATGATGGTCTCGAATAGGCGCGGTGATGAATGAGGGTTCAGGGATCACAGGTAGCAAAGTAGACGTAGCTGACAGCATGATTGGAGCTTGCTGTGTCGCCGGTGGACAAACAAAGATTTCGGGCTTTCATGTCAACTCCTCCAGACTCTCTAGTGATCATCAAAATGAAGGTGTCCTACGCAAGGAGACGTATGTAGAGAACTTTGTCGTTGCCCGTCGACCGTGACTTTCAACCTCCCGGACTCACGTTCAGCCGCTCCGGAAAGCTGGCGCTTCCCGAGATTGAGCTAAGGAGTTCCTCGGAAATTTGACCTCACCTCTTCGCCAATTTGTTTCAACATCCATACAAGCACGAAGGACAATCCGAAGCAAGGGTCCTATTTGGCTCCTTCTACATGGGCTCGCTGCAAGCGAGATGCATTTCACTTTCGTCTTCGCCAGCAATCCCATCTCGTCAGGTGTGCCTACGCAACTCACGCTGTCCCTTCCCATGTCTGCCAATTTGACGTTCCAAAAATCTGGCCTGATGCCACAGCGATGACTTGCAGCATTGAGCCACCGCTAGTCAGGCGCTATCACCCAACTGGACACGCATTTCATCTCCTGACGCCGCCACTATCGATGCCATTGCGGGCCGGAGCTTGAAGTCAGCTGCGAATAAGACTTTCAACGGCCAGTCAGCGTCGCCGAACATGGACAAGCTCACTGTCAAAAGGTAAAGATATCGTTTCCTGTCTTTCTTTGCTCTCCACTGCAGTATCGCCGTGCATAACCAACGACTCGAGCAGCCTCGAACTGTCTCGCTGCGCTGCCACCATATCTTTGAGTTTCGTATTCGTCCACACCAGAATCGAAGAAGGCAACTGCTTGACCATGCGTACCTCTCGCAACTAGTAGTGTGACCACACTATAGTGCTGTGAGACTTGCGCTCCGGGCAGGCCGAGTTCCACGTTCAACAATCATTCGTTTTGTTGCATTTTTTGCCCTTAGTCTCCAGCGCGAGAACATGCGCCCATTGGCCTTTTTTCTTCACAATCATGTCTTGCCGCTAGCACTCTACATGTCGAGGCCTCAGGGCAGCTATGGCCCGCCCACATTCGTTACTGGACGACCTCAGAATGGACGACCAACCGACATCGCAGTCGCAACCTCCCCTCCCTCGACAACCGATGCACAAGTCAGCGCAGCAACAACCGCCAGTGGTGGAATGTTGGTATCAGCAACGGAGGTGGCGAACGCAGCGGCGTTCCAGTATCCTCTTGGCCTGTTGACGATAAACAATATTGACAGCGTGGCCGTGGATTATCAATCACCATGGTCGAGCGCTACATTGAGTGTCTCGTGTTCGGGCGATGGCGTTGGTGGTTCTAAATCTTTCGACATCTCGTTACGTGAGTTATTGCACTTCTTCGTGCGGGACACGATGGACGGCTAACGATAGTTGATAGCATCAGCAAACGGTGAATATATCCTTAGTCCCATCGAAAAGGAGATCACCGTGGACGAGTATCCGATATCATGCTACCTGATTTTGCGAGACAATGAATCGATAGCAGGCTTCGTCGTTGGAGGCACAATAGACATTACAAGCACGGCAGGCGTGGCGTCAACATATGGCGTTGCGACAACCAGAGCAGCAGATCCCAGTCGCACATCAGCAGCGGCTGCAGGAGTAGCAACAGATACACAAGATGCAGAGCCTTCGGTATCGGCGACAACAACGGGGATGAGCGGCTCTGCGACAAATGATCCCAATCCTAGCGCGAGCGCAGCCACGACCGACGTGGCTAGCACTTCCACCTCATCTGATGAGCAGGGCTCGCGTGGCACGTCCGCTGGTGCGAAGGCCGGCATCGCCATTGGTGTCCTACTCGCCGTCGGTCTCATCCTCTTCGCGGTGTGGTTCTTCTACCGCCAGCGTCGGCGGATGCGCGGCATGGAAAGCGAACTCCAGGAAACAAAACGACAGCATGAAAATGACCGAGCCTATGTTGACGGTATCTTGAAAGTAGCCGGCAAGCCGGACACGAGAAATGGAGGGAGGGTGGTGATGGCGGAAACACCAAATCGCGGATCTGGCGAGTGGAAGGCGTTCTTCAAAGCGAAGGCAGCAGGCGGGACCCCATTGCCACCTAGCGGGTTGGCCACGGCAAATGCAGCGGACGGGAGGTCAACTCCAGGCGGAGATGCCACCAGTACGACAGGCCTAGTGAGGCATTGAAAAGAGACGTTTCAAGACACATTTTGAGTTTTCACTCAGCTTTGATTTGCGTTCAAGCGAGCATCGTGTTCTGCCAGGCCTAAGGCAGTGGGAACGTTTCTGTCGAGACGAGAACTCTTTAGTTATTATCAATGAATTGTTCTAACACCCAGGTAAACATCTTCGTCTTACGCGACAACAATCCAATAGCGGACTACCCCCGCCTGATCGTTCAGTGTGTGATCAACGTTCCCACTGCTTCCCCCATAGGCTAGAATAACGACTCCTTCCAAATTATTGTAACGGGCATGGGCGTCTAACTCCTAAAGACGCGTGCGGTGGCGAGCGCCGATCTGGGAGGTCCGCCTTCTGTTCTTAGGCCCCCTGCCCAGGAGGCATATTTGGAAGGTGCACATCTGAATTTCAGCCCCCAACATGGACGAAACGTGATCGTAGGTACATCATCTTGCCTCTACATTTGCGTTAGTCACGACAGGAAAAAGACATCGACGACCACCGCATGAGCTTTTGGTTTGGCCGCATTGACTTAGGGCACGGCATAATCAATATTGACGAAATCGCAACAGCGTGCAAAGTGATCCAATCTGGTGGCAACGCACATCCACGGTACTAGTGAGCCCGCTTACATCATTCTCGAATGTGCGTCGTCGGGAAAGTCTGAACACATTACCTCATATGCGGCGTCAATCCCATGAAAGCGAATTAAGAAGGCGCAACAACGGCCGGTATAACGGCACTGTCGGTACAAGTTGATCTGGGTCTCGCGCCAACCTGCCGCGGGTAGGGCTCGGTGGGTGTCGTTTGGGCACACAGGGGCGATGTCTGAGCCATGACACGACCAGGTGACAACCGCAAGAAGGCCTTTTCGCATAAAGTCCGATCGTAAGTTAACGACAAGCGTGAGTGCTACGATTGTCATCAGGAGCTAACACTTCCATCAGTGGCTGTGACTCTTGCAAACGAAGGTACTTATTCATATTCCGTGACACTGATATGGAAGACTAAGACGACAGCCAGGCACATCAAATGCCCTGAAGAAAAGCCAAGTACGTGACCCATAAGTTAGGGCAATAGGAGAATGAAAAGCTTAAACCTTCCAGTATGTTCGCGCTGCAAGAAAGCCGACTTTGAATGCGTATACAGCACACCGAAGGCCAGATTGTTCGAAATAGATCCAGAACACAGGGATGAAATTGTCGAGCTACCCCCGAGTCTCTACAACCGATCGGAGGGCGATGGCTTCTCGTTCCTACGGCCGGCCCCTGGCTCCTCATTTGGAACGGTGACAGAGAGAAATGCATTGGAATGGTGGCTGACCTCAGTAAGTCTCTGTGGGCTTCTTCCGTTCACGGTTGACACAGTTGACGCAGACGGGGCCCTGGCTTGCTCGATATGTCCCACGCACACATTCTGCCCTCTGGCTTACTGTGCTTCCACGATGTGCGCACCTTCTCCCAGCGTCTCGACACCTCCTCATCGCTGTCTCCATGCTTGATCAACGCTACCACGGCATCAATCCGCCTGAAATGATGGTTCGAGCCCGTAGGATTATGGACCATTATAATAGCGCTCTTGCTGTCCTGACCAGCAAGGATGTCGAGCCACTTGACCTCTACCTCTCACCTCTGCTTGCCTGGATCATTGAAATCATGGTCAATAATCCCCAAACTGCCATCATGCACATCAAGCACTCGCGAAAAATGCTTGAAGGTCTTGAGCCGAAACCTCACAACTCGAATGATACACAAGACATCGTTCAGGATTTTGTCAAGGACACACAGAGGTTCTGTTCGGGCTTCACCTCCACGTCCGCGGCGTGCGCCGGAATTCTCAGCAGCGATCCGTGCTCGATCTTCCAGACATTAAACGTGCGGCAGCAAATCAGTCCAGAGACCCCAACCGAGGAGGTTCGCCAAGCCATCTATAAGTATGCAACGAGTCTCGATAGCGATGGACAGACAAAGTTCCCCTTCAAAGAAGCACTCGAGTACCTCCGCCATTGGGAGTCCCATACTCTTGTGACCCGATACGTATACCGCGAGGCACGCGATACAATTGTTGCAACCCATTTTCTTATCGCAACGGCAACAACTCTCCTCACAGCCCCAACCGAGCGCAGTCAGGATACATTCAATCGCCAAAAAGAGGCATGGGAGTATCTGCTGGTGAAGCTAGAAGACTGTCTCGATGTGGAGGCTCTCGACGAGAAGAATCGCCAGGGCCTGGAAGACGCTGTGGCCTTTGCCCTCAGTCTAATCGCGAGGTTTGCAAAGTGCGAAAATTTTACGGCAAAGGCGATCGAGCTCATGGGCAGGACAAGTCCGAGCAAGCAGACAGGCCTGTATTGGATGAGCTGGATGAAGAGGAGTTCAAACGGCCGAAGTGGGAACGGCTTTGTTGAGGACAATAGTGCGAGTAGCAGTAGCGGTAGTGAAAGAGACACATACGGAACTAGGGAGACGAGCGTGATCAGCGAGGCACTGACGCCCGCCTGGGCAAGTCGCGATAGTGGTTCTCCAGCAGTGACGATCAGATGAAGACCTACGGCCTCGGCAGTACGATCATTCTGGATAAGAGTCGACACAGCACGAGTGTCATACTGCTGCGGCGACCTGACCGCCTTGAGCACGGCATACGACTCAGACGGTTCCGAGGACCTTCAAACGAAGTCAGTCATTGTGCCGAACAGAAATAATCTGCACGCGATGGGATGTTGGCGAGTGGTCTAAGGCACGTCGTTCTTCACTCCCGTACTAGCTACTCGGATGGCGCAGCCAATCATGACGAGATCGCAGTGCGAAGCTGCCACCGTGGCAAGCGGCCTGATATGGTCGGGCAGTGTTGTCCGTCGAACCTGGGATGACGATTTGGATGAGGCTTATATGCTGGATATGCAGAGATATGTGTGGCAATCCAAGGGAACTTCGAAGTGCAGGAGAGTTCTCCCGAAGTGCAGAACACTGGGCGCACACGGACTTGTTCGTCCGGTCACCTTCACCGCCTTCCCTTTTGGGAAGTGTAACCTGTCCAATGGCATCGATGCTGAACATGGTGTTTTGAGGAGTGCTTCGTGCGACTATGGACCAGTGGCGGTCGAACCTTGAAGATCAGGCAGTTCCGCGCGTCGGATGGTTTCAATCTCGCATAGAAGAGTTATTGCGTAATGCAAGCAGGGCAGCGTTTGGCAAAATATATATGCTGGGTCGCTGAGTGAGGTATCCAATATCGAAATCCTACACCCTAGGACCCGAAACAAGACACGACACCGGATCAGTGCGCAAACATGCTGCCCAACGATGCGGTCTGGCTCAGTAGGTTATCATTCCTCACTGCCTTTCTCCGTCCGATCCCGGGTGCCCTTCATGAGTACTACTGACGCCTTCACATCCGATCAGTAACCGGCTGCTCAACTGGTCTAGGAGCCGCTCTTGCGCACGCTTTAGTCGACTCTGACCTCTTCGCAAAATCTTCTCACCGTCTCGTGGCCACAGCACGCTCACTCTCCGGTCTTCAGCACCTGCCTCAAGACCACCCTAGAGTCCTCCTGGTATCGCTAGACGTTACATCCCCTCCCAGCATCACCACCGCCGTCGAGAACACAGTCCGCCATTTCGGTCATATCGACGTCCTGATCAACAATGCCGGCATCAATACCTTCGCTCCTGCAGAGACGATCCCACTAGCCCGGGCTGAGGAGATCATGGACACGAACTTCTGGGGCCCGGTGAAGCTGACGCGGCTCGTGCTGCCACTGATGAGGGCGTCCTCTTCGGCAACCACCAACGAGGGCTGTCGACCACTGATCGCGACAGTGAGCAGCATGGGCGGCAGGCTCGGCGCAGCAGCACATGCGACCTATTGTGCAAGCAAGTGGGCTATTGAGGGGTGGATGGAGAGCCTAAGAGCGGAACTGGAGGATGACTGGCGGATCAGACTGTGTTTGCTAGAGGTGGGTGGGGTGAGGACTGAGTATGCTGTGAAGTCGAACACTGGAGGATTCGATACTTTGGGAGGCGTATATGGGCCTGATAGTAAGGTGGCGAAAGTGGTCGAGTATGTGAATGACCCGCAGCATCAGCATGGCTGGTTGAGTGCGGAAGACGTAGCTGGCACGGCTGTGAAACTGTTCGGTGGGAAAGACGAATTGCCGTTTAGGATGGTACTGGGAAAGGACGCTTATGCTGCAATCGCGGCCGCAGATGAGGAGAAGAGGAAGGAGCTTCAGGACTGGATGGAGTAAGTGTCATGCTATCCATAGAGCTGAATTGGGATGCGAATGGTCATACAACTACCGACTAGACGACTAGTGCCACTTCATGAAGAAGATAATTGATGACGTTCGCGCGATGACGACTTTGAGATCACCCGTCAAAGCCACGGAGCGCCCATGACCCGCAGCTCTTGAACACGTTCTTCCTCTTCATCCTCACTGTCGTAGCCGAGTTTGCCATCCCAAATCTTTGCACGTTCCACTTCATCCTCAGTCATAGCGATCTGCACGACTCGCTCCTCGTGCAAAGTCGTACTTGCCGGCAACAGGCTATGCTTGAAGGCGACCTTGACCTTGACCTGAAGAGCCGCCTTCGAAGCTTGTGATTGCGCGGTGGTGTCTTTTTGGAGCACGTCGAGCCACCGGTTAATGACTTCGACGTTGCTGATTCTTCCGAGTCTGCCTCCGAGAGACCTGAAGGAGGTCGAAAGCCTGGATGCCAACGAAGTCTCCTGTATACCTATGTGTAGTACATAAGTCCATTTCTCTCCGGGTGTAAGCTCGGCATTCGTGCTGTTGCCGTAGCGCTTGATTAGGACTCCAGGACCAGCGAGAGTTGGCACTACTGCTAGGTCATGCAGCTGCCCCATAATCGGCCTTGTTGATGCAGACCGGGATCCTCTATCGGAGGACGCAGCTCCGGATTGACGACTGACACCACACGAAATCTCAATATTGACGTAGGCTGTGGCAGGAAACTTGGCATGCGTACCGAACACTGTCCATGTTGAGGTTTTGATGTGTAGGGAAGCAATCTGAACTTCATCCGCATTATCTGATGGTCCATCAAGCCCTGGAATCAACGTGCTGTCCGAGTTTTGCTGTGCACGTTTCGGAGCTCGAATGGTGTCATGAGTAGGACTTCGCTGTGGTACAGTACGATAGGCTCGTGGGTGTCGGCTCGGAGAAGCGATAGTCTGATGAGTTTGAGGTGGTGCGATTAGAGGATTCGGGCTTGCAGCGTCCGCTGGTGCTCCGAAGGAAGTGATTCGAGATCTGACTCTTGATAAAGTACGTCCAATCAATGTTCGCGATTTATGCTGCTTCGAGGCCATGATGCCTTGTGTGGAACATGTCGTTTAGGTGGGTTTCCAAAGGTTTGCTGAAGTTCGCAGCTGATTTCGTATGCGCTCTCGAGGAAGGAATAACTAAGGAGCATTGACCTCATCGATTGCTTGATGGGCGCCTTCCTGAGGCGACTTCCTCAAACTGTACGAGCATCATGATCCCGTGGTGCCCAGATATCTCATGTTCGCGCGATGCAGTGACCTGCTGTAGCACTCCCTGGTCAACACACTACGCCAGGTATGAGAGTCTACTTGCCCTTCCTCAGCAGCATTATTGGCTTGCCCGCTTCGACCGTCTCACCAGGTTTCGAGATCATTTTCTCGACGACCGCACCTTCCATGCTCTCCTCAGCCTTCACAGGGATTTCCAACTTCATCGCCTCCAGGATGGACACCACCTGCTCGAGCTTAATCTTGTCGCCCTCCTTGACTTCGATCTTCCACACCTGTGAATCTCGTCAGCAACGTCTCGGGAAAGGGCTGCAAGCTTGAAGACAGATTCGCAGGTCGAGTGAGAGCACTTCTTTGTTGCCTGAGACATATGCTCAAGGCAACGTTCAGAGTAGCGCTCATTTCAGGATACGGGTTCGGTCACGGGAGAGCAACTCACGTTGGCATTGAGAGGTGCTTCCACAGCGATGATCTCCGGATCATTCAGCAGCTCGTCAATGGTGTCCAGACTCACTTGGCCAGCTTCCTTTTCTTTATTCAGCTTTTCGAGCATCTCGTTTTCTTTCTTCACCATGGCGTCTTGAGCTTAGTCTGATCTTTTCGGATTCGCTCAACTTCATCCTTCGTTTCAGCCAGCAGATCGTTATGCTTTGCCAGATCGAACTCTGTGTCCTCGTATTCATACACATAACGACCACTGTGAAAGACTGCCAGCATCTTGTCGTATTCTTCTTCGGACACTTCATAGAATTGCACTTGGTCAAAGTCCTCCACAAGCCAGGGCCGCTCGGCTGCATAGCTCTTCTTGAAGCCAAGCACATCAGCGCAAGGGATTGAGAGGCCAATATTTTGGTAGCCACCCGGACTCTCAACATTGTACAGGGCCATGCAAGACCCGCCCCATCCGACCTGACCCTCGGGCGTGTGTACGCGAGATGGATTCATCTTGGGAGATTGCATCCGCTGTCGAGGATCAATGGGAAGCATCAGAGGCAAAGCCACGAAAAAGCCAACGGCAACGGTCATGAAGCTGGACTTTGTGAAGATGTCACGCAGCTGCAAATGTCAGTTAAAACATGGCTGATGTGGGTTCACTCACTTGTCTTTCCGAGAAAGCATTATTCTCTGCAACAAACTCTGCAGGATCAGGTAGATAGCTCGCATATGGCCTTTGTGTCTCCATATATCGCTTCAGGCTTTCCTTCTGTTTGGTGTGATTCCATGCAATTGGCAGCTTATACAAGCGACTAGGAAACTTGGATGAGCTGAGATCTCCCATTTCGTCCTCAAGCTTGAGCAGGAGCTTCATCATATTGTCTCGGCCAACAGTCAACGAATCGTAATAGATCATCAAAGAATTGCCACACGCCATGCCTGTGTAGATTGTGCCTGCACCGAAGGAAATATCGCCCTTTTGCTCTTTGAGCTTCCGGTAGAGTGCAACTGAACGGCAGCGGTAGTTGAGATCGAAAGCACCGTGACCATAATCAACCAGGATGAAGTCATCACCACCCTGCCGGTATGACACAAGTGGGTTGTTGCCTTTTTCTTCAATCTTGTGGATGATCGCCTTTTCTTTCTTCGTGGAGGCTTCACTGTCGTATAGCCAAGAGCCTGGATACCCTCAAAATCGCCGTTGCCGTTGCAGGCCGAATTCACGTCAGCGAGGAACTTCTCAACCTCCTTGCGCTTTGCTATGGCGTCTTCATAGGACACACGAACGAAGTGCAGCTTGTTGCCAGCCTTCATTTGCCCGAACCGCCAATAATCTGCTTTGACGATCGTTGTGCTGCAGACAAAGCCGCCAAGATCAGGCGCATCGACTGGGAACAGGACTGGATCATCACCGGTCCAGTTCAATCCGCCGACGGGATAGCCATACTCGATAACATTAGATGGGTGGGATCCACCCTCACCACCATCTGATCTTGCCCATTCTGCCTTGCCACCTAGCAAGCGGATACCACCGCGCGCAGCATTGTGCGAAATTTTGAATTCGGTAGTATACAAGTTTTCGATAGCTTGATCGGTGATGAAGCCCTCGTCATACGGACCCGGCATGGATAGAATGTTCCACTCCTCAGGATACTCCGGAATCAGATTTTCAGGGAGCTTCAGCTCACCTTTGACCTCAGGCACATTGCCACTGATGCCAAGCAGATCACCAGCAGCGAGAGCTCTGCCTTGATAGCCCCCAACGGCGGTCATGGGTGCGGTAGACTTTGATCCGAACCACTCTGCAATGGTGGGAAGGCCGCCCCAGATAGCAAGATATGATCTGCAGCCACCCCCGGTTGTCTTTCCAATCTTGAGCCGCTGGCCGGCCTCGATCTTCAGTCTCTGCCAGAACGGCACCGCTTTGCCATCGATCGAAGCCTCCATAGGTGCACCGGTCAAGGCTATGATTGCCGGGCCGAGAAAGCGCAGATCTGGCCCACTGAGCGTTATTTCCAGTCCAGCTATTCCCGCGTCATTGCCTACAAGGCTGTTGGCTATACGGAAAGCGAGCGGATCCATAGGACCCGAATGTGAGAAGCCTCTACCGATGGTCGGACGTCCAGGCCAGTCCTCGACCAGTGTGTACGCACCACCTTGCAGCACATCAATGGCAGCCGGAGAATAGTCGAATGTCGAAAGGAATTTGGTGAGTGTCTTGCCCGATCTGACAGTCTCATCCTCCAACACGCAGGCTAGAAAGTCAAGATTCGTGGGTGGACCAAGAATCTTCGAGCCGCGCAATAAGTCTATCATGCCCTTCACCGCAGCATCTCGGCTATCTGCGTAGACCATGGCCTTCGCAAGCAAAGGATCGTAGTTTGCAGTGACCTTGGTGCCACGATGTATCCAAGTGTCGATTCGAGAACCTGGCACTTCCTTCCACATTACTTCTTGTAGGGTGCCTGGCGACTGCATATTCAGTCAGCCTTGTCTCGGAACTGGGCGTATGCTCGAAGGCAGGGTTGTAAGGTCAACGAGAGCAACTTCTTTGTCATCCCGAAATATGTACTCGTGCAATTGAAGGACACAAGTCTCGCCATGGAGAAGGAACTTACCGGTGCATAATCCTTCGCTGGGTTCTCAGCATAAATTCGTGCTTCGACCGCGGCTCCCTTTGGTCCTTCTGGTTGCAAACTGGCGAGATAGTCTGCGCCTAGTCCACCCTTGCCCTGCAATTCGGCATCGGCTTGCTTGAGCATTAGCTCCACCAGATCCACATTGTAGCACAGCTCGGTAATTCCATGCTCGACCTGTAGACGCGTATTCATCTCAAGGAAGAAGAACTTGCCAGACTCGTCATCGACGAGATACTCAATAGTCCCAGCAGATCCATAGCTAATCGATTCTGCGAGCCTGACCGCGGCAGCACCAAGTTTCTCCCGTAGCTCCGGATGCGCCGTCACGAATGGACTGGGAGACTCCTCGATGACTTTCTGATGGCGCCGTTGGATTGAGCACTCCCGTTCACCGAAATGAATAGCTTTACCTTGACCGTTGCCAAATATCTGTACTTCGATATGATGCGAAGACGGGTAGTACTTCTCGATGAACAAGCCTGCGTTCTTGAACAGGGTCTCCCCGCGGGATTGGACTGTTTTGAAGGATTCTCTGACAGACTTCTCATCGTGACACGTCAGCAAGCCCATACCACCGCCTCCAGCCGTGGCCTTTAGCATGACAGGAAATCCAAGCTTGTTTGCCTCGTCCACAGCTTCTTGCTCGGACCCAACAAGACCTTTAGTACCAGGAACAATCGGCACGTCAGCCTTCTCTGCAAGCTCTCTGGCAGTATGCTTGATACCGAAAGCCTCGATCGCCTTTGGACTCGGGCCCGCAAACACCATGTCCGCTTCAGTGACTTGTCGAGCAAAGTCGGTGTTCTCAGATAGAAAGCCATAGCCCGGAATGATGACATCGACATTCTTCGACTTAGCGATCTCGACAATCTGGTCGCCATCCAGATATGCCTTGGAGTCTGGTCCAGTCAAGAGAATCGCCTCGTCCGCGTCCGAGACATGGGTCGAGCTAGCATCAGCGGCAGTGTAAATAGAGATAGTGCGGATTCCGAGCCTCTTTGATGTCCTGATGATGCGGGTGGCGATCTCGCCACGATTTGCAACGAGAAGTGTCTTCAATTTCTCCATAGCGACCACAGATGCTGAGGAACGACTACTGAGCTCTGGCCGAACAGCTTGTCGTGCATAGCGGGCACCTTATCTGCTTACTCGTGTACTCAGGGCTGCATAACCTGTGGCGTTTCGCAAGACTACCACTTCATTGGTCCCCCAGAGCCTGAGTTCCTGGAGAAAGAGGGGAAACTCCTACATCATGCCGGTATTTGATGGCTGAGCATACTCAATCGCGCTGATGTCCTCGCTGTGAATGACGTAAGCCATATCGAACCTCCGCATTGATGATATGAACTTGGAGAAAGAAGCGGAAGCCAGATACTGTCGCCGAGACGGTCGTGAGGGAATCATTCAGCGAGTGGTGGTCGCTGAAAGATAGAATAAAACGCGAAGGAAAGAGAAAGTTGCAACGAGCTCGTTGACAGCTAATGCCAAGCGTCGCCGCAGTGAGCCACAACAATGACGCCACCCCCTATCAAGCACAAAGCGTTGCTCAATGTCGACCTAGGAGAAGCTGTCAGTCTTGCCCCTTGGACTTCGTAGAGCATCTCCGCTGATCGAGAACAGTATGGCAACTTCAAGTGCGGACCTGACGATGAGATCATCCCGCTCATCGACCATGCGAATGTGGCGTGTGGCTTTCACGCTGGAGATCCTGTCATCTTAAGTGCCAGCATATTAGCGAAGTAAGAAAGGTATCCTAACTTGAGCAGATGATGGACACAGTGAAGAAATGCAAGGAGCACAACATCAAAGTCGGGGCACATCCAGGCCTCCCAGACATACTAGGCTTTGGCCGACGAGAGATGGTGCTCGAGCCTGAGGAGCACACTGCCAACATCATCTACCAAGTTGGCGCCCTCAAAGCATTCCTTGACGCAGAGGGCGTGCCTCTGCACCACGTCAAGCCCCACGGTAAGCTCTACGGCATGATGTGTCGAGACTATGACATCGCCGTGGCTGTTATGCGCGGCATCCCTAAGGGGTGGGTATTGCTGCAGCCCGCAAGACCACCTCCACTGACCGGAGCAGCATCCCCGTCTTTGGTCTGGCCGGAACGAACATGGAGAAGGCGGCGAACGATCTCGGCATACCATTTTGGGCAGAGTTCTATGGTGACGTGAAATATACGAAAGACGGCATGCTGGTGATCGACAAAAAGAAGAAGCCGTGGAAGCTGGAAGATGTGAAGCAGCATGTAAGTGATCAGCTCAACACACAGTCTGTGGTCGCAGTGGATGGCACCAGGGTGCAACTGCCTGTCAAGGACTATCCGATCTCGATCTGTTGCCATTCGGACTCGCCTGGTTGTATGGAGATCATACGGACAACTAAACAGATCATCGATGATTTCAACAAGGAGCACGGTAGATGACGCAAAAAAATTCGAGACTTGTCCAGCCTGGTGATTCCCATGCTACAGGTGATTGTCTTCAGCCAGGGTGACAATGCTGGCTCCAAGTTTGGTTCCATCAATGGATGCCACGGTCCCGCCGGCGTTGTTTTTCTTGATTTCAACCTTGCCCGCGAAGCTGCCGGGAGCATTGGCGTCCGGCACGTCAACCGCGAGATCTGTGTCGCTTGATGTAAGCTCACCAATTACAATCTTCTGAATGCAAGACCGCCAGTCGTAATCAGGGCGATCTGATAGACCCACAAGAATAGCTTTGTCCTGCCTGACCAACACTGGCAAGCTCAGAAAGTCATGTGTCTCGGTCATCCAGCCAGGACCTGTTCGCAACTTCCCATCGAGCAGCCCTCGCCATTTGCCGTGCGGGACGTAATAGTCCGCAACCCCTTCGTCGTTGAAGATAGGAGCAACCAACAAGCTGTCTCCAAGCATATACTGCAAGTCCAACGTCTGACACGTTCGATCATCCGGGAACTCCAAAACCATAGCTCGTAAGATTGGCACACCGGTCTTGTGTGACTCGATGGCTTGAGCATACAGATACGGCATGAGGCTGTTCTTCAGTCGCGAAAACTTGCCAAGGACTTCAGAAGCCTCATCGTCGACCAGCCACGGCACTCGATAAGTAGCGGAGCCGTGCAATCTTGAGTGGGAGGATAGCAGGCCAAATTGCACCCAGCGCTTGTAGATAGCAGCTTCTGGAACAGTCTTGGCTTGACCTTCGGACATGAAACCACCAATATCGTGTGACCAGAAGCCAAATCCGCTCATGCCGAATGAGAGCCCTCCACGAAGAGTTTGCGCCATCCCGTTCCACGTACACTCACAATCGCCACCCCAATGAACAGGGTACTGCTGTCCTCCAGCTGTTGCAGAGCGTGCGAACAGTGCTGCTTCACTGACACCTCGCTTACTAACGATTACATCGTATACAGCTTTGTTGTACAGGAGAGAGTAGTAGTTGTGCATTGCTCTAGCATCCTTCCCATCATGATACTCAACGTCCAGGAATGGAATGCGTTCGCCGAAGTCGGTCTTGAAAGTGTCGACTCCAATACCCAGCAGGCGACCTAACTGGTCCTGATACCACTTTTTAGCGTCCGGGTTGGTAAAATCGACAATGCCCATCCCAGCCTGCCAGTTGTCGGTCTGCCAGACGGACCCATCTTTGCGCCTCAAGAGGTAGCCGTTGCTAGCTGCCTCTTCGAATGCGACCGAGTCTTGCGCGATATAGCTGTTGATCCAGACGCAAACTTTCAAGTCTCTCTGATGGAGCTTCTCGAGGAAGCCTTTGGGATCCGGAAAGTAGACAGGATCGAACTCAAAATTCGTCCATGAATGTGCCTGCATCCAGAAGCAGTCAAAGTGAAAGACTGACATGGGAATGTTTCTGGTCTTCATTCCGTCCAGCTGTTCGGTGACAGTCTTCTCGTCGTAGTCGGTCAAGAAAGAGGACGACAAATACAGGCCAAATGTCCAGGCTGGTGGTAAGGCAAGATGGCCCGTAAGATTAGCGTAGCGAGCCAGGATCTCTTTCGGCGATGGACCGTGGATGACATGCCACCGAATTCTCTCGCCCTGGACTGATACTTGGACCTTGGCAAGCTTCTCGCTCTGTATCTCGAGAGACACAACGTCACTGTGGTCGAAGAAGACACCATAGCCCTTGTTGGTGAGATAGAATGGGATGTTCTTATACGCATACAGCGTACAAGTACCGGCATCTTCATTCCATAGATCTATTGCTTGCCCGTTGCGGATGAGTGGACCGAATCGCTCGCCCAGCCCGTACACGTACTCGCCAGGCTGGAGATCAAAGGACACTGCCATGAAGGGAAGCTTCGAGTTCGTTGCTGTGGGTCTGCGGTAGGCATCGCTGATCGACGTTGTCGCACCCAATGTGTCCAAAGCAGCAAGATTTGCAGGAGCTACCACATACTGTATGCCTTCAAATCCAAGTCGAGTCAGCGCTTTGCCGTTGCCATCCTGGTAGTCGATGGCAAACGACGCCGGGTCTTTGTTGATAGTAGCTGTCATGCCGCCACTTCGCATGACATTGCCATTGCATGTTGGTTGCCATGTCGGATCAGGGTCGCTGCCGGGAAAGAGATTGAACCTGGGATCATTGTTGGATCCCGCTCTGAAATGCCAGGCCTCGCCTTGTATGATGTCCGGAGCGTGGCTCGAAAGGTTCACAGTGACTGTCGGTTTGTTCAACGTGTCTCCACGACTTTTTACGGGTCTTGTGGTGCACAAGGCCTGAATTTCGTTGGTTTTCGGGTTTGATATCCTGTTGACCTCTGTGGCATTGTAGATCGCCACATCCTCCTTATTGAACCATATACCATGGGTGAACTTCATGTCGGCGGTCCTGGCTGCAAGGTGAACAGTCGTTTTGGCCCGTAGACGGGTATGTATCTCCTAGACAGGCATGAGTCGGACATTTGCTTCGTATACTCCATGTTTACTGTTGGAGGTGGAGATATGCTGACTATGCCTTCGGCTTTAGGAGGCGGAGGATGCCCACCGGAGATGGGGTGCTCCTCGCCAGGACCCGTACCTAGTATTTATCCACCTGCAATTATCCGTCGCCTTGTTGCTTTGGGTGGCCCGACGTCATCATCGAAATGGAAGTTCCAAACCACGATCGGGGATGTACTCAAGTTTGATAGACGACCCGAAAGACCGGAAAGCGAAGTCGTGAGCTCGAATTCCGGGGTATGGGGCGGACATTCAATAGAGTGATTTTGCCCTCAAATTCTAGTTGGAAAGCTGCCAATTCGAGCTTGAACTTTGGTTCTTAACCTCCACGAAAGTACTTCGCCACTCTCGCTGTCGCAAGTCGAGTTTGGTGATAGGCTGGCGGGCACGAGGACGTACGTCGTCTCCACGACTTACACCGTATGACAGGGGGTAAGTCGTGAAGAAGCTTCCAAGGCGCTCCAGACAGTAGCTATTGACTGCTATATGCCTCACACGGGCCATACAGAGAAGTGTAAGTATTTACCTCAGGCGATGGGTGAGCTGGATCCGTCGAACTCAATGCATGTCGGGAGAAGCTTCGTCGTCTGTACTGTCCGGTTTAAAGGCGGCCTGCCGCGAATCAGAGGTTATGCGATGAACCGAGATGGGTTGGTGACAACAGACATGCTTCTAATATAAGGAAAATTGACACCTTGGAAGCAAGGGCTGTCTACAACGCGCTGCTGTGTCCATCAGTACTGAACGGTATGCAGCAAAGGACAGAACTATGGCCCCAGGTCAGGCAATTGAATAACTCTGGACACCGCTCTAGCCTCCCCAAAATGCAGTACACGTCTCATTGTTCAGAGCGAAATCATGTCGCTTGTGGATTAGACTCTGGGGGCGAGGTCGACGAAACTTTTGCATGAACTGCATCTTGACGGGCACGACGTTGACCGTGGTGGCGCATGCGCTGTTTATTAGGACACTGCCAAATGATCTTTATCAAACATGCCGTCCTACGTGGCTCAGAGGCAGACGTACCAGGCACCTGGCGCAGGCATGAGCCTCGCGGCCGGCACCACACCTTTAGAAGTCACGATGCAGGTACTTTTCGCAATTTATGGAACGCGTCATCTGGTATATCAAGCGTGTATATTGCGAGCATCGAAAAGATACATAAGGAAGACGCCTGGCCGACCTAGGGAGCTGTTCGAAAAGCACATCACATAGCAAACAGAAAAGGTCGTCAGCCAACAGCACAACTCAAGGAAACCACTCTCGACTCCCATCAAAATGCGATTCTCAACTGCCACGACCCTAGCTGCGGCTCTCTTGATCGGCGCCGCATCGGCCAATGAGATCATTCTAGGTCACAACGGCGAGGACCACCGTAAGTCTCTCTGGCTCCTCTGTGTTCCTGCCCCTTTCATGTTGCCAGGACATTGGACTGCCCTCTGACCAAGCTCAAAACCATAGTCATGTGGATCAAGCCCGACGGTTCCTGCACCGGCAAGGTTATCGCCCCGCTGAAGTCCAGTCGCTGCGGTCCTGTGGTGTCCTTGAACGATGGAAAAGCCTGTACGTATCTTTGGTGGCTCACTTCTCAACGACCTTTGAGCCATTGTGCAGCCATGGCTGACTCGGTGGTGATCAGACGAGGTTCAAGGTTGCGGTACAGACCAACTCACCGTCGTGGGCGTCAACGGGAACGACTGGCAGGGCAAGTGTTACACGCTGAAGAAGCCAGATGACCAGAAGTGTGGTGTAAAGACGCACCACTGCGTGCAGGACAAGAAGTGAAGAGACGACCATCGGGTCTTTGATCAGGAGCTGGGTTCTATGCACGAAGAGGGAGGGTAGCAAAAACTTGACGTGAACAAAGTAGGTACTACAAATCCTCAATCTTTATTTCATTTTCATACCGGGCTCAAGCGCTCGCACCGCTCACCAGCTCAATCGTGCTAGTCGCCACCCCATCGAACACAGTGACTACATTTGTGACCGTTCCCGTTACCGTGGTCGTGCTCTCCGGCTGCTGTTCATCTGCCGCAGACTCACCCGGCGCCGCAGCCGCTGGCGGAACAGCGGTGGGGCCGTCGTCCGTATAGATCCGCTGCTTGATCACCGTTGGGGTACACGTTATTCTCGTAGTGGTTGTGAGTGTTGCTATGCTGATTGTTGTGGTGTACTGGTTTCGCCCAACGTCAGCTGACCTTTAAGTCTACGGCAGAGGAGCGGCAAAGGCAGATGGCTCTGTTAGACAGCCGAATGGAGATGCTTACAGTCAATGATCCGTCCGTGATCACAACGGGTCCCTGGTAGGTCACAGGTCGCACCTCCGTGACTGTCCTCAAGTAACTTGTCTGTGTCCACTTCTCCGAGTACGTCTCACATTCCACCTTATACCCGTTGTCGCTGTTCCCTGGCTCACAGTCGACGGCCTGAACGAGGGGAGGCACACCACCGCGCGCGACGTCGTACCATGCTGCGGCGTAATAGAGTCCGGGAGCGATGTAGTCTCCAGCGGGTGAGGGTGGTGACAACGGCAATGCTGCGGCTTCGGGGTCTGTCTGGCGCCGTTGAACTCCCGGTAAGCTTTCTGTTTCGTTTACGGGCACGGGAAGGCTCGACGGCGTCTCGACTGGGGAAGACGAGTCGGTGAAAACGGAAGACTCAAGAGTGGATGCTGGGACAGGGATGACTGAGATGGAGAGGATGGGAAGGTCGCTGCTGCTAGTAGCTTGTGCCCCGTCAGAGTTCGTAGATGGGACGCCAGCGATCGTCGGTGTCTCTTCCAATGACACATCTTCTGGAAGCGGGATCTGAGGCGTTGAACTGGGCTGGGTCGGCTGAGCCGAACCAACATCTGCTGCAGCGTCTGTGTTTGCTGGAGGTAGTATAGGAGCCTCTGCGTTACCAGCATTAACCTCGCCCGTAGGTTCGGCGACCGGCGCCGCCGAGACCGCGTCTCCAGTGTCGACTGGGGACGGCAGCGGAACAGGGGGCACCACAGTTGGCATACTGACTGTGTAGCTCGTTGGCGGTGGGTAGTACGTCGGGCAGATTTTCGTATCGCTACTGAACGTCACCCACTGTTCACAGTCCGTCACAGTCACCTCTGGGATTCCAACGGGAGAGATAGTCGTGCTACAAATGGCCGTAACGCGCGGTGCGAAGAGCGTCTGGCACCCGTTGTCACCGAGCGCGATTCTGGCCTCCCCTGTTGGTTGGGCTGATTTCTCCGCTTGGCGGTGTTTTAGCGGAGCTGCGGTGGAGGCAAAGGTGGTATGGGAGCCATCAGGTAGGACGGCTGTCGCGCTAACAATCTCTGTGGTGGCGGACAATGAATACGGCAGAACGGGGAAGCCTCCAGTCGGGTTTGATGATTGGCCTGGACAGAGAGTGAAGATGGCTTCTTGAATGGTAACCGTTGAGTTAGGTTGATAGGTAGGCAAAGTGTCGTTGCTGGGTAGCATGGATGCTACTATAGACGGCGTTGGTGGAATGTAGTCAGTGGCTGATGGTGCGGTGAGGATCTCGGACTGGCTCAGGGATGGGTCCTGCCGGCGCTGATGTTGGTGTTGGTGAACGTGAACATTCGGGCCGAGGTGATCATGGTCGCGTCTGAATGGAGAGCCAAAGGCGTCGATGGTCCCAGTCAGTGACAAGAAGGTCGTGATGCCGGTCAAAGTCCTGGATCGTTGGCGCGTCATGGCAAAGGTATTGTTCGTTTCCTGCGAGTTAGTGGAAGGAGCGGTGGGTGTAAAGCATGCATAAAAATGAGCGTGGTGAAATGATCGGACGGCATAGACTAGCTACACCTTGCGAAAAGGAAAGATGTCGACGAGTCTGGCGCCCAAAAGATGCAGTCGTCGCAAGGACTCGATGCCGTGGGTACAAATAAGAGGATCTGTCGTGTATTAAAGCTTCCTCAGCGCTTTCCGTGATCAAGAAGGTTTCTCCTGGCATTACCTACGTACATTAAATCCCGTAGCCATGCTTGAATTTCCCCAGATCAGAGGTCAGAGCTGTTCCCTGCGACGCGCTGGCATGTTTAAGGTTTGTGCTTTTTGGTGCGTTCAGAATGCCGACCCCCTTGACACTCGCTGACACGCGTGCAAGGGCGTGACGCGATCTGAGCTTCCAGCGGGCCTCTTCCATTATGGCCAAGATCTCCAGTTTCATTTACACGGCCGCATAACTTCGTTTCGCTACGTCGCCCAGCGCTGTGCTGTGAGTATTCCCTCAGCTCTTACAGAAGGTGCGAAGGTAAAGCACTTGTGCAGGACTCTCGAGGCTGCTTCATGGGCTCTTGACCAAGATGCAGAACCTGAAGCAGAGCATGACAGAGGAAAAGATCTAGCCCGCCCAGTCTTCTTCGCAGAGACCTCAGTTGGCGAAGTGGTCAATTCGCAATAATCCGTGGCTGGAAGTTCTGCGTTCAATTGATACCTACCGAATGAAATGTTCACACAGCTGCCCGGCCCAACTATACTCATGTCGCAGAGATCATGAATGGAGCTGGCGCGTCCCTCGCCGTTGACGCAGACTTTGGAATGTCGTGCGCGAATAATGGAGATCTCGGGCTTCGGCGGCGTCGATAGGGAGAAATTTGGAGCGTCGTAGAAACTACAACTCGTGTGCTTCCATGACTGCACAACGTTGCCTCAAAGACCGTTGGCCTGCAGGCATCCGTGGCGGACTGTGTACCTGCTGTATTCATTGAAAGCGGAGACATGTGCGGCGGGTCATGACGAGATAGCATTGAAAGGGAAGCCAGGCACTGACTTAATGCGGCTGGATCCTTAGTCATCGAAGAAGGCAATCACGCTAGAACGTGTCTGCGCTAGTGGGCGGCAATGATCGCTCGCTCTTGTCTTCGACTGCTCCTGCAGTCGGTGTTCTCCCACCTGCTTGTCCAGGCGCACTGTCAAACACTGTTATTCAAATGTCGAAAGGCTATCTGACGGTCTCTCAGCAAGGACGACATACTGCATGCCCATCAGTCGCCTCTATATGAAGACACCCGAAGCCAGGACTTCGAAAACATGGATGTCATTCACCACCCACTGGTGACTTGTGCCTTGAAACCTCTGGCACTCCACAGTCTTTATCACAAGCCCTCTAGCTGACCCACCGTGTCTTCTCTTCGTTGCCGAGCGTTTCGAAGACTGGCGACTCTTGCTTTGCTTCAGCGCTGCTTGAACTTCAACCGCCTCCAGGCCTCCGCGGCGACGGTCTGGCATGCGTTCAGCCGAAGGACTTAGATCGGCATTTCTTTGGGTGAACAATGCGGGTAATGAGGATGAATTTGCGTCTGGAACTGAAAAGGTGGTTTGTCTGAACACCATCAGAACTCATTCCAAGAGAGTTCAGCGGAAGAGGAGAGATGAGCGATTGACATCGAGCGCTTTGAAGATCGCTCAAGAAGGATTTCAGACCCCAAGACAACATACTGTGCCCAGCAGTGATATTGGGAACAACACTCTGCCCAGCACTCCAGGCTCTGAGCTGTCGTCTCAACAGCTGACACTGCGGCCCCGTCGAACGCCGAACAAGACATGTGGACAAGGCGCTCGCCTCCTCACCGATCCAGGAAGAAGCACTGATGCTTTCCGGACGTTGCCTATGCCACTGACCGAGGAGAGACATCAGATTGTAACGCACCTCATTGACTACGTGGGCGACATAGCGTCTGCGCAGCGGGCGCCGGGGTTCAGTGTGCTCACGGATAGATGGCGCAGGTCAATCTCAGCAACCCTTGATCTAGCATTCACAAGCCGAGTCAGATATGCCACCCTCATCAGCGGCTGGGCTCACGATCTCTCCATGAGATATGAGAAAATCACGCGGCAAACCGTTGTAAGTCTCATGCATCAGAGCTTAGCCATTACTCGGGAGTCTCTTCGAGACCGACAACATATATCGCCTGATCACTTCTTTGCAGCGATTATGCTCTTCAGAGCTTATCGTGTCCTTGGGGACACAGAAGCCGCAGTGTTACACCTGCGTGCAGCTCACCAATTCTGGAGGGTTCTTGGAGGACCAGGTCACGTTGACGATGGGACGGTAGGCTTGTTCTGTTCCAGCGTATTTGGTACCCTCGAGATCGATTATGCTGCACTCGAGCCGCCCATGCCACCTTTCTACCCTCAGGGCGCAGCACCCGAACCATGGCCACCGAACATCGTAGTCAACGCGAAATGCGCACAACCTTCTGTCTTGTACAGAGCCGACGTCGATAGGCTGGTGGACATGATCGTTGATTACGCTCAACGATGCTCTCACGCCTCGACTAACTGCTCAGAAGCCCGATACGACCCCGAAGCGGAGCTTCTCAACCTTTCGCTGCGCCAACATTTGCTGTGCCTTAGGACTAATGACCGAAGAGTGCGAGCGTTCACCATTGCTCTGCAACTTCTCGTGTTCTCGCTAGCAGGCTACTCTTTCTTTCGATTACACGCTCCATATGGTGCTCAATATATAAAGAAGGCGCTGGACATGTCAGCAGGCACATGGCATGACGATAATCTGTGTCACACAGTATGTTTGGTGATTGGCGCACAGTTCAGTTCGGATCGCTGGTTCATCCATCAACTCGCAATTCTGGCCGAAGAGATGGAGTTGCTGACTCGAGAAACAATACAGACGTTGCTGTTGAGAAGCTGTGGAGCATTGGTTGCAGACAACCTCATATCTCAGGAGACAATCAAGAGCTTGAGCGCGAACGTGGACACAATCATTGGCAAGCAGCACCAGCAACATTCCGGAGTCTGCGCCATTATTCCGCGAGGGTAGACGCTTGCAGTGATTGAATAGCGACGGTGGTCGGCTGGGGTGAGACACATGAGGATCAACATATACTTTGAACCGCGGGCCCCCTGCATTCAACCTGCAAGCGTGTCACAGGAGTTCCGAGGCTGCAATGAGTTGTATCGATGGAGGACTCTCCTTTCACAGTGCCGCCATGTGTAGCTGGCAGCGTCTTCCACGACTTCGATGCCGACACCGTTGACGACAGCGTGCACCCGGAGGTGCGCGCAGTACAACACATCGACCTCCTAGAACAATGCACAGAATATGCGAAATTCGAAAGGCTGGAGGTGGCTATGTTTACACCTTCTGGAAGTTAGAGAGCAAACCTCAGCCAATGCCTTCAATTGCAGGTGTGGTAATAATATTGAAGTTTGCTGCATACAGTAGCCATACGAGCTCTAGCTCCACGAGCGCTCTACATCCCCCTCCCAGACCTTTGGGATGGCGTCCGCGTGTGACGCACGTCTTTGACTCACAGCAACCGCCTAACCACGAGCTCAAGGTTGCTACGCACCAATGGCATACCCCAAAGGCTTAAATATCTGCTTGGAGATGCCCAAAGGAGCCTGGAGGTTGCAACCGCGAATAACGTTTCGCCCAAGCTTAAAGGAGGTCAGAGAACACTCAGCCTACTCTGCCAAAATTGGAAGTGTGGTATGGGAGAATTACCCTTTGCTGAGCACAGAGGTCCACTTCCGCGTTTCATTAGCTGGAATGCCATGCAGTTCCCCATGGCAGCGTGAGGCATATGTTCTTTTGGGCTTTGCTGAGCCTCAGATGGGCTTGCAGCCTTGCAAGGAGAGAATGTATAAAGCTTCGAGTGCTCGCCACTTGTCGAGGTGAAAGAAGAACATCAATCCATCTCATCTCAAGTCAAGAAGACATCCACACACAGCTCACCCAAAGTCATTCGCTTCACTGCTCATCAGCCATAAGCCACAATCGCAGCTTTTCGAGAAACATCAGCATCACCCACCCCAACATCAATATGAAGTTCACAATCGCTGCCGCGGCCTCATTCGTTGCCCTCGCCACCGCTCTCCCTCAAGTAGCTTCATTCGACTGCGCATCAGCCTCATATCCGGGCGAGTCTGGCTGTGGTGCCGCGCCAACCACCACCTTCGACTGTGCTTCAGCCTCCTACCCAGGAGAGTCAGGCTGTGGCGCCGCTCCCGTCACCACCACAACCTCCAGCAGCTTCGACTGCGCCAAGGCATCCTACCCGGGCGAGTCCGGCTGCGGTGCCGCTCCCACCACCACCACAACATTTGACTGCGCAAAGGCCAGCTACCCCGGCGAGTCAGGCTGCGGTGCCGCACCCGTCACCTCGACGACCACAGCCAAGACCTCGAGCACGACCTTTGACTGCGCCAAGGCATCCTACCCAGCGAGTCTGGCTGCGGTGCCGCGCCCGTGACTTCGACCACATCATCAAAGTCTATGTCAGGCTCCGTCACAAGCTCCAAGCCTATGCCACCCCCACCAACAGCCCCAGTTTCCCACACAACAGTGATCTCGGGCTCGACTACGGTGGTACCCGCTAGCACTACCCCATCGACATACACTGGTGCTGCTGCGCAGGCAACTGTTGCGGCACAGTTCCTTGGCGGTGTCCTGGCGGCTGGCGCTTTCTTCTTGTAAGGACGCAATACTTGTCCTGAAAGGTGATACTGAATAGCAATGGTGCTATTTTGACATGGCTTCTGAGATTAGCCTTTTGTACCGCATAGGGAGGAGATTAGATATCCCATAGCAGAGCAACAGACTCTTGTTTTGAAATCAAGCATTATTGAAACATAAAATCGGTCTTGTCCTTGGCTTTCGGTGACTGTTATATCGAGTCCGCTTCCATTTGAAGGTCGATCTTGTCGATAGTCGTCACTTCTTCGTTTAAAAATGCCAGGACTGCCACGCTTGAAACTGCAATGCGTGTCGACGGATGGGGAACAGACACGCTTCTCATCAACAGTATACTAGTCGAGGTTTCCTGTGCCGTTAGACAGGCGTCAGCTCGTGCATGCGCACGTTTGTCGTTCCTTTGCCGGCATCAGTGGCATTTATGACGCTGCGCATTGACCGAGCTGGCTTGATGCATTTCTGCGCGCAGTTGACACAGAGCGACGGCATTGGGTGCTTCTTGAGTCTTTGAGGTAGCCCACACAAATGCCAACAGATGGTCGAACCAGCTCGATTATCGAGGGGCATTAAACTCGGTCCGTGTGATGGACTCTCTCGCATCGTAAGCCAATGCGCATTGTGAGGCGTAATACCATGCCATGTCTCGTCTTCTGTGCGACCTTTGTCTGGTGTCGAGTGGTCTGACTCTGAGGGACTGGCGGCCTAGCAGAATGGCATCGCCATTGCATCCAGAAGACCATGCTGGAATCGCTTGCATCACCCACTCTTCAAGCCATGCTCACCCTTCAGACCACTACCTTCTCCCGTCGCATCCTCGACGGGCTTCTCGAACCCCAAGTTCGCCCACTCGTCCTTCGCCATCAACCCCTTCTCCATCCGACACCCCAAGTAGTCCTTCGCATGCATCCTACACTCTTCACTGTTCTTTCCTGGCGGGTTCTGCGCTCTTATGCACTTTAGATACGACGCCATGAAGTGCTTGCATTCGCCGTCGTGGTCGAGTGGGAAGGAGCCGCGCTCGGGTGGGGAGGGTTTGTAGCTGATTTGGCGACCGCCTGGGCCGCCGAAGCCTGACATTTCCGTTGCGAGTATTCCGAGTAGGTGAAGTCCTCCCGTGTAGTATTGAGGGAGCGAGATCTTGAATGAAGATGATGAAATTCGATGGACTCTGGAAGATCGTATCATGCAGTGGAGATCCTATTCTGGGGGCGGATCTTTCCGCCTCGATCTACATTTGCAGCACTCAAGCTTGTCTCCTAGTAGGTATTGCTCAGGGCCTAATCAGACACTGAAGCTGCACCAGATCGAGGCGATCTTAAGAATAGGGATGATAGATTGCATTTATGAGCGTATCCTAGATCTATGCGCATTCTCAAGCTCCGTCAGCGGGAGCTGGCATGACCACCGTTCCTCGCATTTCGGCATATCTCATTTCCTTTCCGCTGGAACGTCCTACAAACCTTTCCTCCCACGGTACGGTGCGACGACTGACAGTCATGTGGGAGATTGTCGTACAAGAGGGGGTCGGGAGCCATCCCAGCTAGTGACAGTTCGGTGAAGACGGACGCATCCAGGCGTATGCACTAGGATCATGTCAGGATCAAGTCGGAAGACGATCGCGAAGTATAAATGATTGGATTCCATCTCAGTTCTCCAAGGTGAATTTGTAGATTCTCCATTTATGTAGATTCCAGAAGCAAATAAGAAATTCATCACATGGGCAAGAGGACGGGTAGGACGTGCTTACCGATGTATTGATCACCTCTCCGCACTACAACGCAAAACAACCCTACCTAGATAGAGCAATCATTAGCAGATGTCAAGATCTATCGGTGTATCTCGACAGTGTGAAGTGGATAAATCTCAGGCTGTTGGGTGTCAGCATGTCTCGCAGCACATGAATGGCATTCGACTGACCTCATTAAATCAGAATTTTCAGTGTATGTACGTTCATTTCCAAGCACGAGGCTCGGTTCAAACAGTGTGAATAATGTTCATCATATGATGGGACAAGGGTCGACAAAAGACTGAGTGGAACAGTACCTAGTTTCCCAGTGTTAGCGCAGCTTCACTATGAGGGAGTATGCCATGAGTGGGCGAACATTGAGCGCTGATCAGCTGACGAAATCTCAACAAGCGTCGCAAGGGTAAGCATTGCCACAGGATTTGTACGTCCTGCTTTTTGAGGGCGCTGCCGTCTGGCGCGCACAGTCTGTCCGCCCGTTCGTTCAAAATTCTTCATATGAGGATCGCTGGGTCGCAGTTGGAGATGGGCAGTATGTACCTGTTGCAGAAGTCAGCATCTGTGTGGAAGATCGAGACAACGGATTTCGAAGGTGTAGGAAGGCTCAGACAAGGCTGAAACTTGTAGTCGACAGATTCAACATAGTAGATTATGTTCGAGGAATGCCTTTGCGTGTCGCGGTATCATCATCGAGGGAGTCGGGGGGTGCCACAGTGGATGGTGCGTACCTTTCGATATTTGATTATGTTTGAAATGGCCGTGCGAGCCAGCTTTGCATCAGAGCATTGGATCATGGGTTCTGAGATTCGAGTCAGCTGCCGGTCATGGACGCAGGATATCGAAGGGCTGTAGAGTGAAGTTGCGTAGTCAGAGTAATTCTAGAGATAAATGTTCTTCCGCAGAGAGAGATACTCTTGGAGTTGGATTGTTTTTGAAATTCATCCTGAGGGACATGTGCGGACTTTGCAGGCATCGAATGACTTACCATCATCACATCATTCAACGGGCAGCTACCAGCGAAGCGCGACTGCACTGGCGCAATACTGAATGCAAGAAGTTGGGTAAGTAGAGAGTACATCGCGGTGAGTGCACTTTTTCGAGGGCCAAATATTTCGATTTTGGATTCGGCCGACCTGCTCGAATCAGAAGCTTGCCGTTGTGGTACGGTGGCTTTGGCTGCCCCTGCACGCACAACCTGGAGTTCAGGTCCTCGTTTCACTGCCTGAGACGTTCTTTCGAGTACGTACATGTATCTCAACCCTCGTTTTCGCTCTCTATTCAAGCTGCCGGAGCATTCAATCGACCTGATACATTACAGACAGCTCAGGTCGCTCCATAGCCTAGGCAGTGCTGAATATGGCAGTTGTATGCAGAGGGGCACCGCCCTGTCGAGCCTGTGGACGGCTTCTTTCCATTGTTCCGCCATCGTAAGTGGCTGCGCCAGGGGCGCGGGGCACTGCAGGACTTGCGGCGTCGAAAGCGGGACCCGATTGCGATATCCGTTGTCCTCCCTGTCTGTCCTTCACGTCAACAGTCTGAGTCTTGTATTCTCACGTGTCCTACACGTCCTGCGCTACCAAACGCTAGACGCCAAAACCACTTCTATGGCCACCGATCCAGACAAACGACTGTCTCTACCATCTCATATGTTACACATTCACTTAGAACCACGTTGATGGATCGAACATGGCTCGGTTCGTCGATCTTGACGATTCGGACGAGGGTGCATCAGTCTGTGACAACTCGCAAGCATACCTGCAACGGGTTGTAGAAGCAGCCCGTCTACCTTCAGCGGTTCAGCAGCCCTCATCACTAGACAAGCATGCCGACCGTAGTGGCACCGACCACGCGAGCAGCGCCAGCTTCGCGGCTGTGCTTGCTTGCTTTCCGTATGCATACACATAAGCGGCTCGATATAGTCAAGAGCTTGCGGACCGTCTGAGATCGCTAACCAGAACTGTAGTGTTGCTCTATCCCTAGCCAAGCACCTCGACCTCAATGACCTCCATTCCCTCTCACTCACCTCCCGCAGCATACACCGAAACCTGACCCAATACTCGCGACATCTCAAAGCACAGTCCCTGCGCTGCACGTTCGATGACCAACCTCTTCTGTCAGATCTCCGCAAGTCAGACTCTCCCTCCTTGAACAACCATACAAGATCACCCGAATTCGGCATCCACTCCTCCAATACGGCCAATTCACCTCATCCTACAAGATCAGCAGCTGTGCACGAGACCACGTCGCTTCCTGCAGAAAATGCGGCATTGTAGTCTGCCGAAACTGCGTCGTCAAACCGCTGAGCAACAAATACCTTTCCGAACGCCACCGACGGCTCTGCCGAACGTGTCTCGACGCACCACTTTCTGCCCATCTCGAACCACTGACGACAGATGACCTGCCTCATCACGAAAACACGCCTCCAATCTCCGGCGCCAGTTCAGTCCGCTCCGCTCGCTCTGCCTCTTCCTCCTCCCGCCTCGACGATGAAGACGAGCCCTCCCAGCCCGTACCGCCAGCAGATAGTTCCAGTACCAGCTCCTTCACCCTCCCAGCCTTCCTCCGCCTCTCCTGCGCCTGCGCCACCCGCGGCGCCTACCTCTGCGCTGCCTGCGGTCACAATCTGCGCGCCAACGACACCACCTACCGACGCGTCTGGACCTGGCGCTCGCGCTACTCCACGCACATTGGCGGTGGGCTGGGTGTCGGCCTCGGCATGGGCGATCAAGGCCAGAAATGCGGGCGTGGAAGCCACTGCTTAGACTCCAGCACTAACAGTGTCAGCTGGGTTGAGATCGACTGCTCCGATGGCGACGGTGAAGCACTAACGGCTGGCAGTCGTGTCAGCACGCCGGTACCGCACTATCAGCATCGCGACACCGCAGGACAGGCCGCGCCAGCTAACAGCAGCAGCAACAAGCCAGGCTACCACCAGCAAGAGATTGAAGGTATCGGCGGCGTAGTGAAGAAAAAAGTGCGCAAGCGCGTGAAGACGGGCGCCACGGTGTGGGAGTACGACGACGAGCGCACGTCGGGACAGTATCTGGCAAGAGAGACGAGTGGGGCGGAGAGGAGTTGGTGTGGATGGTGTGATCGGGTCTGTTTAGGTGAGGGTGATGATCTGGCATCGGTTCTGGGACCGACTCTTTGACGAAAAACATTCACATTGTTCGAAAAGGTCCTGTATTCAGCGCCTCTTAGGTTTTGGCCGTAGGAAATGCACGCTGCCATTGTACTTGGCATACCGATCAAAGTGGTTTCATCGGGCCGTAGAAGCTACATGTGAGCTGTCTCGCATCATCACCGACCAAAGTCGTCCCACCTCAGACCACCACCTCTCCCACTGCCACCGCCCACATGACCAACCTCGTCTTGCACACTCCCACTTGCTCTCTCATCAGCGCCATTCGCCACGCTCCTTCCCATGGCAGTGGTTACCGTACTGGCGTGCCCGCCAACGACATGGTTGTTGATGTTTCTTCGCCTCTTTCCCTTTCCTTTCTTTCCTGCACCATTGGCTCTGTTCAAGGCACCCCTTTCATCCACTTCTCCATTCCCATTCCTTCCGCCGCCGCCCAGGCCCCTCTCCCTTTCTTTCTCCTTCTCCTCCGCCGCCACCTCATCTTCATCCTTGCCCTTTCGCAGCGCATACTCTCCCTCCTGAGGAAGTTCCCACTCTTCGGTATCGACCCAGTCCTCCCCATCGCTCCACTCATCAACGTGGCCTTCGGCTTTAGACCACCGCCACACGCTGTCTCGGCGGTGTTTTGCCAGATACAGCTTTTGGAGTAATGATTCGTAGCCTCGGAGGATTTCCTCTTGTTTCTGGATATATAGTCCCAGGAGGGAGCGGGTCTCGAGGAGCTCTTCAGGCGTGAGGGACAGGGAGGCGGCGGTCTGGAGGAGGCGGGTGTGTGGATCTGTAGGGTGGAGATGTGGTGGGATGAGGAAGAGGGGGTCGGGTTGGAGGAGAAGCGACGATGGTGCGGTTGAGGATGATTCGGAGTGGCTATCGTCATCGGAGTCGTTGTTTTCTTCGGCGGCGAGGGCGCGCGTTATGCGCCGGGTTGGTGGAGGGGGTGTCGAGGACGTCGAAGAGGCTGCGTCTTCGGCGGGGTCTTGACCATCTTCTGTGGTATGGTTGTCTTTCGTGGTCTCGTTTTGGGGTTCTGCTGTTTCTTCGGGTTGTGCAGTGACGCCGTTTGATTGCGTAGTATTTGTCTCCGGTGCTGGCTCGATTGCCGTGTCCGCTGATTCGCCGTGGTCGCCTTCTTGCATGACCACATCTTCGTTGGGCTGCTCATTGGACTCTACCTTGGTGACAGCATCATGAGCCTCCTCAACTACCGTGGCTGCGACGCTTCCGGACTCCTTCGAGGCAGCATTTGCGATCTCGTTATTTGTGTCCGTATGCTGCACCACTGCGCACTCGCCGATCGTCTCCTCGTCTTCATCCGCGTCTCTTTTCCGCTTCAGACTCGTTTCCGCAGCCTGCCTAGGCTTGGGCTCGAACAAATCCCAGTCATCTGGCGTCTCGACCTTTTCAAGTGGGATCCACGACTCGTCGCCGATTAGCTGCCTTTGCAGATTCTTTGCATTCCACAGATTTGCTCTTTCCTGTCGAAGCTTCTCTTCTGTAGTAGTGACCATGTCGGGCAGAGCGGGGTCGAGGTATGGTATTGAGAGCGAAGGATGGGTTGCGAGTTCGGAGGGATGTTTGAGTGGGCAGAGAAGTACTGTGTAAACGTGTTAATACTCGACTCTGGCATTGGAGGGGCGCGAGGTACCTTCAAGGTGGACGTCGCTATATGGGTTTGCTTCGCGCGCATCGGCGTCAGCCTCTGCGTCACTCTCGTTCTCGTCAACTTCGTCGCCGAACGCATCGAGCCGTGGTGGGTTTCGGTCAAGGATGTTTCTGGTATAGCCGGCATGCTCGACAGGCTAGTAGAAGCAGATCAGTAAGTCGGTGTGGGCTGACGTGAATTTGTACGTACATGCTTGTAGCCAGTAGGTCCGCGTGGATATGGTAGTGCACCGGCATGAACATGACCAGCGCCCTTCTTCAACTTATTATATCGGTTTGTGCTGCTCTGAATCGGTTCATCTGAGGCAGCTGGCGCGATCATTAGCATCAGGGTCTGCAGAAGCGACGGCAACGTTGAGAATATGCCAAACTCACCCCGCCTATCGCGCAATCGCTTGCGTCTGAGGGCTATGATGACTTGCGTGGTCTCAGCATGCTGAGAGGGTGCCATGTCGGTGGTCGTTTGTGCGGTGTCACCGCTAGACCCTTTCGAAAGCTTTTGACGGACAATCAGCGACTTGGGACGCAGCCTACAGGAGCACAGGAAGGCTCAGTTTCAGTACCGATATTTCTTGGTATCGTGCGCAGTCAGGACTGCATTTTCAAGGTATAACGATGACTGAAAAGGGCGTGAAAGGTGTCTGGAGTGCGAGGTAGAGACATGGTCGATCGCGCTGCGGAGAAGCCAGCGCGCTTCATTTCTTTGGGGCCGAGAATGACATCGTTGGAGGCCAGACTTACCCAGGAGTTAGAAAGCTATCTCCGAAATACAGGCAGTAAAATGCAAATCACGAGCATGTGAGGGAAGAAAATTAGAAAACCGTGTCTGAATCTGTGAATGATTCGTTCGAAGAACTTATGTCTAATTAATCTGGAATCGAAGACGCTCAACATCTTGCTGGCTACTTCGATCTCCGGGGAAGCCTGCCAATGCTTGTGCTGTACTGCCGTAATGCTGCCGTGATCGTGAGCCTAGTCGCAACGTGGAAACCTCTTTGGGCGGTGGCACGCTTCCAACCTGAGACATCTGAACATCTCAGTGTATTGCGCGCTCCACATGCTTGGCCTGATCGTGGGTCTCATGCATTCTTCCTCGTCGTCCTTGCGTTCGTGGTTGCCCAATGTGCTCCGGCTGACTGGTCAACCTCTGTGGGATCGTTGATGATCTCGCGATAAGGCATGTAAGCATGTCGCCTCGCGTGCCACTATCCTGATCAATCAAGACTCCTGATCCGATCGTGTTGATCATGTGTGACGCTCACGACTCGACTTCAAACCCGTGGCTGTCCGCCCTGTGTATGAGTCGCACTACTCTGCTGATGCTTGAGAATCGCAGCTTGTACAGCTCGAGCCCGGATCAGTCCCATGTTGACTCCTCCCTTAGTGACCATAGCCTGCGACTGCATCTGATTCTCCACCTGAGCCTGACCCTGCATCCTCGTCGCACTGCTTTCATCCGGGTCTTCATCAGCGTCAGGACCATCATCATGATCGTCGTCTAGCCTCGCATCGGCGCGTGCACTCATACCGTCATCGTCCTCGGCGTCTTCGACGAAAAGCAGCTGACGAGTCGGAGCTTGTTGTTGGGCTTGTGAAGAACTGTTGTCTGCGGAGAAAGGAAGTGGTGCGATACCGGCCTCGGCGAGGCGTTCGCGCATGTCGCGGCGTTCTTCGTCTTGCCAGCGGTGGAGTGCAGCAGCGTAGTGAACTTTGAAGCCGAAGATGGTCGGAGTGAAGCGCTTGAGGGATTTCTGAGGTATGAGAGCGGGGTAGACTTGGAAGAGTATGTTGTGGAAGGATGTACCGAAGTAGGCACCGTCGATAGTCGAGTGTCTGCTAGACTTTGGAGAGTAGGTGTCTTCACATCGGGCGCAGTACAGCTTCACGGGCTTCTTGCCGGCGTTGTTTTCGAGACCGCACGGGAGGAGAGGTTGGCCTTCGCAGTAGACACGTGGACATCGACCGAAGTCGGACTTCTTGTACTTGTCGACCATCTTGGCGAGACCGCGGGTAGTGACGATGTAGCGAGCGTGTACGAGGCCGTAAAGGTGGCGGGCAGACTTCTCGATGGCGTCGCGCATGTCATCCTCGCAGTCTAAGTCGAACACATCTGTGATGAGGTCCAGGGCATGTTGGTAGTAGTTGACTTCGATGTTAAGGCCAGTCAAGTTGAAGCGATCCGTCAGGTACTCTTCGTCGATCTCACAGAAGTACTCATTGCCGCGCGAGGATATGAACTAGTGAAAGAAACAGTTAGCAACGGGACGTAGAAGAAGCTGTGCGAAAAGAGGCGCGCGAACTTTCATGATCCACTCCGTGTACTCAGAGCTGTCGTCTGAGAGCGTGAGCTGGGAGAGGTTTTCCACGGCAGAGAAGAAGCGATCGTCGCTGATGCTGCTCGTGCTCGAGTCTTTGCTGGTACCACTCAGATCTTGACGAGGAAGCGGCTTCCTGAGTCTCTGCTTCTGCTTCTCCTTGCGCGTCTCCTTGTCCCCCTCCCTCGCCTTCTCCGCTTGTCGCTCCACCGCGCCCGGGATTGATATCGGCTTGGAAGGCATCGTGATGTTGGCTCACCGGAGGAGAAAGCAATTGCAGCAACAGATACGCGAAAGTTGTTGAAAACGAGGGGTAAGTTGTGGAAACCAAAATTGCTGACTAGGCGCATCGAAAACGCGACACTCTGAATACAGCACCTGGGGCAACTACCTGAAGGGCGCCACGGTGACCAGAACTCCACAGGAGCACACAACAGATGACAAGCAAAGGAACAAGAAAGAGAATTTGCTTACCCAGTCTCTCCAGTAGCTGGTGTAGTCACTGTCTGTTTCTGACTGAAAGTCATCCATCATTGTTGAATCTTCTGTGAAGTCCTCCAGTGGTGATTGGCAGCATGTGCAACAGCGCAGGCTGCGCGCACAGTCTCTAGAGACTCAGACAGCTGCTATGAGTCTCTGAGATACTGTGCTACACTTACGCGATCTATTAGTGGTTGTTCATATCAGTGAGTTGGTTGTTGGAAGTTGGTCGAAGCGAATGAGGCGTCAACAAGGCGGCGGAGTCTAAATGGGTTTGTCGGCACGGAATATTATTCCGCCGGCTGGACATCTTGGCCTTTGGCCACTTCTCACTTGAGCAGGCTCTAAGCACTTTTATCCTCATATTGGCAAGCAGTTTTTCGTTTGAAAGATTCCAGAAGCAGGATGCCCGGTCTTGTAAACACTACGAGATCACTGATCGAATTCGAAAGTCTCATGTTGCTGCCGGCGACAGGCACGCAGTCCTCGCTGCCAGAAAACCCCAGCGAATCAAACGATCGGCCAACACGATGATTTCTGCAATCCAAAGTACGTATTCTGATCTGGTACCTACAAGCGTATCAAGACGATCCCAACGATAACATCATCCGACAGCTCCCGCGCTGTTGTTTCGCGTGATTTGCGGTCGTTCTGCGCTAGGGTGCAAAAATGTGCAAACCAGGGGCTCCCTATCGGCGGCAGAACTCGTTACGCAGTTCGTACCGCTTTCCTGTACTTCAAGCTATATTCTCTGCGCATTTTCAGCTCTCTTGCCTGATTGATCATCTTGCGTTCTTGCTCGCTTAGCATCACCTTCTTCGAAGAATCTGCAGGCAACTCAAACTCCGAGTCTGAGAACCCAATTCCTGAAGTTGAAACCTGAAGTCGAGGTAGCGTTGGACCTGCTCGTGACACCGGAGTGCTAGGCACTTTACACGGCGACGTTGCGAGTTCGTGCGTAGTAAAGCTTCCGTTGTTCGACCTGACACCAACTTCTGAACGTGCTTGGTCTAGTGACCGTCGTCGGGGTGCATCAAAGGACTGTCCTGGACGATATGGCTGATATGGCTTTGACGGGAATGGCAGAGTTCTCTGTCGTTTAGCTTCGACCTTGGCTTCGATCGAGGCCGCGACTGAGGCGAGTTGATTTGGAGGAATGTCCAGAGAGTTGTATGGTATCAAGGTAATTGGTAGCTGCACAGAGCAGCTTTTGGACCAGCCCACTGGGACCACCACGTTGATGAAGTAATGGACTTCGAACCACCTACCTGTGTCCACAGAGACACTGTTGCGAGGTATCGCCAGAGGACAGGTTCTGACCTCAGAATGAAATGGGCGAATGCCGGCTCTCCCTTTGCTGGAGACCATAGACCATGTGCTGCAAATCTCGATATCTGTCTTCTTTGGTGTTCGGCTTCCAACGTACTTTTCGCTCTGCGGCCCATATGCCGGCGCTGCGTAGTTGTACCACATTGTGGTTCTCTGCAGCTGAACTTCGAACCTCTTGATTTCGCGGGCCGAGCGATTGGAGATTTGCACATCAATGAAAGCGTCAGAGCCGCTGACCCAGGTCTTACGGTGCAGCCCCGCTGAGACCGTCAGAGTTTGTACCTCCGGCGACTGTGTCACCGTCAAGGAATCGGTTGCGACCAGAGGCTGGGGCAATCCTGCCAGGGCTTTCAGCGGGTCGTAAACCTTGAGGACTGAGATATCCTGGCTCTTGCGGACGATGTGTCCCTTTTTCTGCTCACCGACCTTCACCTGGGCTGTCACTGAGAGCATGTACCGGATTACCCCTGATTTTGACTTGTATGGCGGTGGACCAGGATTCAGAGGGAGATTGACGCAGAACGGGATCTTAGCCGTGCCGGACGTGAGGAACCAGCCAAGCTCGGAGTTGTAGTGTGAGCTGCGGCCATTGACGATTGAGCTAGGAGGCGGGTGGTTGATGTCGAACAGCTCGTGGCCCAGTGTGAGGAAAGGCCAGAAGCGTCTAAGACTGACTTCCTCTGTGCCAATGACATCTACTGTCAACCGCGATATGGTAATAGGCTTGGTCTCTTTTCGTGAGTCCTGGGCACCAGCGTCGACCGTGAGAGTGACGTGGCCCTCAACAGTGCCACCACCGACGAAAAGTAGTGACGGGAGGCGTACATCCAGACCAATCCGAGAATGCTTGATGGTGCTCTCAGTCAGAGTATTGAAGTGAGGAGCGGCGCGAATCACTGTGTGATTTGGGGCTGGTCGCGCTTCGTCTGAGCTTTGGGCCGAAAGGTTCACAAAATGACGAACTGGTGAAATTGAACGTGAGCGGACTGGCACGCGGCGTATCTGAGGTTGTGATGGAGCCGGCGGCAGCTTCCACTTCGGTACATGGACCAAGCTAGGTTTGCTGGATGACACTTGTGACGGGAAAATACTCATGGAGGATCGTCGTTCAGGGACTTCTAGCGGCAAGCTCAAAGTACTTGCTGCTCTGCTTCCTATGCTATTTCCTGCTCTTGAATGTGATACTTCTCGAATATCGGATAGCTGTGGCCCGGGGGCTCTCTTGCTGCGGGAATTCGTTCTCATGGCGGCTGATCGAGTACTCAAAATTGCAGTCACAAGGTATCAATTCGAAAGGATGAGATGCTTGTTAAGCGCTGTGCTGTTTTGGACATGAGAATGTCGACACGGAAGTTGAGCAGTCTCGCCCCTTCCGCAGTCTCGCAACCTGTCGTACTTTCCCATACTGACCTTGATGCAACGAGCGGCAGTCACGACCCACCGTAAGCGACTTAGTCGCCATCAGCCCGTTGCACAGCTTCTTTTAGTGACGCACAACATTTTACCTCATCGGAATCTGATGAAAGCAGATGTCGATGTCAACCTACACAATCTTTCCGGGGCAAACGCTAATGCCAATTATCACAGCTGATGGCCCTTGCTCTCTCGGCTGTCTTACCTTTCCAAAGCGCACAGAGTCGCTGGGAAGCGACCGAGAGGATGGCTCGCCGTAAGTACACGACGAGTGGCCTTTTCAGAGACTGCGACCGTGTTATTCCTGAGCCGATCGATGGTCCTCCGGGGTGATAAACCTCACTTGATTTATCAACACTCGTCGCGAGCTTGGTGGAATCTCATTAATGTTGATCGCCACCAGGCTCCCCGATGCTCGCATTCGAGTCGGACATGTCGGAAGGCCTCGGCACAAGCCTGGTACGTTGTCTGCAAAGGGTTCCGAGGAGAAAGCTCGATGTCATCTGACCATAGGTGACCTCGATCAGGCTTGGTGCTGTACGGTGGATGTTGGATCAGCCTCTTCGAATTTGCTCCGCTAGGCCAACTCCGGAGGGTGCATCCCTAGTACGCGCCTGTCATTGGTCCCCGCATTCCTCAGTTCGCTTCCGCCTTGATGAAAATTCTGCAAAGCTTCCAAAATCCACCGGTTCTTCGGATTAGCAGAGCAGAAAGAAAAAGTGCATGGAAAATCTGAGAAGCAGCCGGCACCGGAGGGGAATCTTGGGCGTATGCCAACGCCCTCTGTCAGCTCCCAGTCTTCCCTCCAGATGATCATCGCGCATCACTTTCGCACTTTTCCGCGCTCTTGTTCAAGCTTGCAGACTCGGATACGTGAAACGGTCAGGGCTGAGGATCGTCCCCCTTCGCAGTGCACATCACTTTCGAGAGGGATAGTACGCGAAGAGACGATTGAACACCCATGGCGAGAGAGGGTGATTGCCTTTTCTAAATAATCCCGCCTTCGTTAGCCACCACGCACGCAATTTTTCTCTTAGCTTATACCATTACCTCACTCTATCTTTCTCCGCACTTTCCATTGCCTTTCAAACCCTTATCTCTGTTTTCCACTGTCACCATTATCAAACATTATCAAACGGTATAGACACTGCACGCTACGTTAGACGAAGCTATCGACAGTCCGGGGGATCTACGAGGCTGGCCGCCCTGCCATTGGAAAGGGGCTTATTGCCACGTGCTTATGCCAGGAACGCTGCATTAGGCTGGGAGCACGATTGTGCTGATGACAATCATGGGCTCCGTACGCGATCCAGACGTCATTGTCAAAGACGTCTCGGCAGTACCTTCGGGTGGCACGTCTAAATCAGACTCACTTGATTTGAAGACCGAACCCGGCCATGGCATGTACGACAGTCCTTCCGACTCTTCTCCAGAACCAGAGGCCAGTGCAGGCGTTGGACCACAGAACGACAAGACATCGCAGGATCCAGCGCCTCCGGTAAAGAGAAAGGGTGGACGAAAGCCGGTAAGTGATCGATGGTAGTAATGCACGCGCAAATTGCTGACAAATAGGGTAGATCTACGCAACATCAGAGGAACGCAAGCAAAGGAACCGGCAGGCCCAGGCAGCGTTCCGAGAACGACGTACAGAGTACATCAAGCAACTGGAGACTACGATCCAACACCATGAAGAGCAACTTCAGAGCCTACAACAGAGTCATCGTCAAGCCGCCGACGAATGCCTCATGCTTCGCTACAAGACTCGCTATTAGAAAGGATCCTGCTCGAGAAAGGTCTGGACATGCCTTCCCTTGTACGGCTCGATTCCACTGACAGTGAGGCAGGTATCGATGTTCAGTCCGAGCTTGCGCTCAAGGGTAGTCCTCATCTCCGACCAACGCGTCCGCCCATGGCTGCTCAAGCTTCGCCAATGCAGAAAGCCATGTTGAACCGTCAACAAAGTCGACAGCGGCCTATACTTGCACCGCCAATTCAGACTGTAAATCAACCTTCCCTTGCAGGTGGGCAGCGCAATTTTGGAAACTCACCTCACATACAGCCGACGCCTCCTTCACAACATTCCTCGCCGGCAACGGCAAAATCTCCTGCCTTCGCGATGCAAGGCGGGATGGCATCACCAACTTCTGACTTTCAGAGCCAAGGATCTGGTCATACACATCCGCAACGCAGCATGACTGGACCTCGGAATCCACAGCAATTTGCGCAGCAACAACGCCATATACGCAACATGTCTGGCGCAGTAGCCAACCAAGCTCCTGTACGGACGTTGTCGCAAACTTCTGCTGGGCCTTACTATCAACCACAATTCCAGAAGCATTATGATCAACTCGGCAAGTACACCCTCATGACCCCTTACCAAACATATCCGGGAGCTTTGTTCGTCCTAGGCTTATTTCGTGCGTACAGAACAGGAATACGATGCACAAGGTGGCATGTTAGACGAAGTCGATGGCGACGACATGGAGGCCGACAACTTTATTCCCAACTTCAGGCTACCAACGACTACCGCCGGTTCAAGTGGAATGCAAGTATCACCTCCAATGACGACTGTATCTGGCAGCGACCCGATTGGACCTGCTGGGGGCATTCATGGCATCGACCCATACGATCCGATGTTGGATGCCGATCCATTCGGTCTCACCGCAAGCATGCATTTTCCCAATCCGTTCAACTTTCAACCACAGCAGCAGAGGCGATGAGGCATAATTTGTACATAGCGATCGCATGTGGGCTGGAGAGCAAGATCTGTAGCGATGGCGTCGAGGGCGTCCTTTACATGGAGTACTGCAGCTTGAATGATACCCTGATTGATTCACTGTCAACCTGTAGTGTCACCCGTTTGACAAAGTTGACTTGCAGACCTTAAGCAATATTGCGTTGGATATTGCATTGCATACAAACAATGTGTTCGAGTGTCCAGCACTACTGGCGCCCAAGTGGTGGACACAAACGAAAGTCTTGGCACCAAGCACATCGCCGAATTCAAATGCGCTTCAGCTTGCACCTCCGAAATCGTTGTCAACAAGCACGCATAAGTTACGACACTCCCAGAAGCTCGGCAAGACCAGTCCTGATTTGAGGACTACGTCTTGATCGAGTTTGGTTGTCGATTGACCTCAAGTTGCGGTAGTCTTTGAGAACAGCCTTCGCGGAAGGCGCTCTAGAGGCCAACATGACGGACGTCAAGTCAAAGGTGCGAAAAATTACTCGAATGTTGTGCGTTGAATGTGCTGACCCATGCTTTGCGCAGAACCTCTACGAGCTACTCGGTAATCCTTCAGAGCCTCTCGATTCTCGATAGCAATCCTAACATGCCTCAGGCAACACCTCTGACCAGGATTCTGATCGCGAACCCGAGCCACCCACAAAGGCCATCGACAAGCCCACTGCTCGCTCTGGCAAGCGCGATGCACCTAAAGAGGCCCCGGCAGCACCAGCTGCTTCTGTAGGCGGCGCAAGAGGTGGTCGTGGTGGTCGTGGAGATCGCACTGGCGGATTCAATTCCAGCGAGACTGGTATGTAAAATGGTTTTACGTCATACCTGCCACAGCTGACAATTTCACGCAGCTTTCCGCGACCGAAACACTGGTCGTGATCGCAACCGAGCGCAAGACGTTGGAGAGGATGGCGGTGAGAAGCGTCGCGACCGTGGTCGTGGTCAACGCGGTGGCCCTCGTCGAGGCGGTGACCGTCACAGCCGAGCTGCCGTTGGGTAAGTGTTCAGTTTGAAACAGCACTACGTACAACTAATTCCATACAGCGATCATCAGAAGCAGGTCGGCCATGGTTGGGGCGAGCAAACTGGTGATGGCGAATGGGCCGACGAGCGAGCCGGCGAGAAGCTTGCTACCGAAGATCGCAAAGAGCTATTGCCGAGGGTGGTGACGAGAATGGTCAGCTCGCCGCCGCTACAGAGGCACTGCAGCTGCCGAGCCGGTCGAGCCGGAGCCAGAGGACAACTCCAAGTCTTATGCCGAATACCTTGCTGAGCAGGCTCAAAAGAAGCTTGAGGGTCTCGGCCTGAAGGAAGCCCGTGCTCCGAATGAGGGCGCCAAGGATACTAAGAAGTGGAAATCTGGAAAGGAGATCACCAAGGCAGAGGACGAAGACTACTTCAAGGGCGAGGAGAAGGCCGGCCGCCAACGTGATCGCAAGCACGGCAAGGAATTCTTGGACATCGACTACTCCTTCAAAGAAGCTTCGCGAGGCTCAGACCGTGGTGGTCGTGGCGACCGTGGTGGACGTGGCCGTGGCCGTGGCGATCGAGGAGACCGCAGCGAACGCGGCGACCGAGGTGGCTTCCGAGGCGATCGCGGAGGTGATCGTGGCGAGTTCCGCGGTCGTGGTCGTGGCGGACGTGGCGGCGAGTTCCGCGGTGAACGTCGTGGAGGCGATCGTGGCGGTCGCGGCGGTCCCATCGCAGTCAACGACCAGGACGCCTTCCCCAGCCTCGGTGGTAAATAGGCGCCTCGACCTCATCGAGAGAGCCGCATCCTTACCAGATGGTCCGGCCATCCCCAAAATCCCCTTCACAGCACGAGCACCCCAACCATCCCAGCACCTCCACGAAGTCCCCAAATCCGACCATGTTACCTCGTCACAAACAAAAGCACATATTCACCCATATTGGATCATGAAGAGGTCAGTTTGCAGTGGCACATCTGCACCATGACCGGCCATGAGCGTCGCAATGAATGTTACACAAGATCGCGAAGGAAGGATCTCAATCCACGGAAGATTCTCAGCGGGCAGTATCTCGGGACAGAAAGCGATTTCGTCGTCCCTGTGGTATTTGATTGAAGCGAGTTCGTTGGTATGTAGCACTACAGTCTGCTTGCTCGTTCTCGGCAGGCTTGCATCGCCGGACTGGGTGGATGCATTGTCGATGCAATCAAATTTCTTTTGACTTATTTCCTGTGTCCGTAAGCCTGAATCTGCTATGCTTCATTACACATGAACGCATGCACGCAAGTCCCAAGTGTCGTAGGAAATGGCAATATACGATCGAAAGATCTTGCAAGAACGCCGTAGCTGCAGCGCCCTCTTCGGCAGATGCGTCCTTGCAACTGCCGTCCGCCGCGTTGGCCTCGCTCCTTCTTCTCTCCATCCTCCACATATGCCCCCGTTCAACCCACCAACATCCCCAGCATTCCGGACTCATTGCTGCGGGATTGCTAGGCTTCCTCATAGCTGTGCCGTCTGCCGTTTGCCACGCGAATCGCACTTCGGATCAGCTCAACCCACCTGTGGCTTATCGGCTGCTTCACCTAGCCTTTCAGGCAATCCGATCTGGCAGTGCTGTAAGCTGATTGCTCCAAATCCTGGTAGGTCGTGCTCGATCGAGAACTGCCGAATCGCTGTGACCATATTGCCCATCATGACTACACGACTGACAGAGCCGAGTGCGACGCCTTCGCGATTATGATAGAAGCGAATGAGGCTCTTCCTGACGCGGCTGACTACTCATAACCACGACATTGATCTCATAACTGCTTGTGCATGACTGTCCTACTCTGAATAGTCTTACCTGGAATCCCGTCTCGGAGAGCCACAATGTTGGAAGAACTGCTCGCCGTACTGATTGCCCGGTGGCCGATTGTACTGTCTGTCGCTATTATAGCTTTCTGTCTCAAGAACTACTTTAACAACGGCCTGAACAAATATCCAGGTCCAGCATTGGCCCGAGTGACAGACTGGTGGAGGTTCTGGGACGTTTACAACCGCCGACCCGACATCACACAGCTCGCCCTGCACCGCAAGCATGGCGATGTCGTTCGACTCGGACCTAATTGCCTCTCCTTTTCAGACCCACAAGCCATCAAGCAGATCTACGGCCTCAACAAGGGCATGACTAAGGTAAGTCTCATCCCCAGCATCAATGATACCAATTGACCAACAATTCCAGTCCGGATTCTACCCTGTGCAACAAGCTGTCACGAACGGCAAGCGCCTCCCGTCCCTCTTCAGCACCACCGACGAGGCCTACCATGCACAGCTCCGACGCTCCGTCAACAACGCCTTCTCCATGTCCACCCTCGTCCAATACGAGCCACTGGTCAACGAGGTCGTCGACCTCTTCCTTACGCAAACTTCGCGCATCTACGCCCAGACCAGCCAGACCTGCAACTTCGCCAAATGGCTGCAATTCTTCGCTTTCGATGTCATCGGCCAAATCACCTACAGCAAACGCCACGGCTTCGTTGACCGCAATGAGGACGTCGACGGCATGATCGGCTACCTCGCAAAGCTATTCAGCTATGTTGCGCCCATCGGCCAGATCCCTTGGCTGGATCTCCTCTTCCTCAAGAACCCACTCATTCTCCTCCTGGATCGCTTCGGCGTCAAGATGACCGCTTTCCCAGTGACGACCTTTGCAAAATCTCGCATGACTGAGCGTCTAGACGAACTCAAGTCCGCCTCCGGAGAGAAATCCAAAGAAGAGGCAATGAACTCCCGCCAAGACCTGCTGTCCATGTTCCTGAAAGCGCAGAAGGACCGACCAGAATTCATGACCGACAACCGCGTCCTGACAATGGCAGTCTCTATGGCATTCGCTGGCTCAGAGACAACCGCCATCTCGCTCTCCGCCGTCTTCTACTACCTCCTACGCAACCCAGCCACCTACCACAAACTCCAACAGGAGCTCGCTGACGCCGTCGCCGAGGGGAAAGTAGAAGATCGACCCAATGGCGCCGTCTCGTGGGCCGAATCACAGACCTTGCCGTATCTCGACGCATGCATCAAGGAAGCGTTTCGCGTGCATCCTGCCGCGGGTCTGCCTCTTGAGCGAGTTGTGCCCGCGGAAGGGATGGAGATCTGTGGCGAGTTTGTGAAAGGGGGCACCGTGGTCGGCGTAAATGCTTGGGTTGTACACAAGCGGGAGGAAGTATTCAACCCGTTGAACAAATACCATATTGATGAGTATATGCCAGAACGGTGGCTTGATGATGCTCTCAGCAAAGGTACGCTTCTCGTCATTCTCATTAACGATCGTACCGCGATCCGTTTACCTTTCTTTCTTTCTCACCTTCCACTCCTCTGCCCCTGCCCAAATCGAGAAACCCGCTGACATCTCAACAAGACCAACTCAAGACAATGGAAGGAACCCTGTTCCAATTCGGCGCCGGCGCACGCACCTGCATCGGCAAGAACATCTCCCTCCTCGAGGTCTACAAGCTAGTCCCTTCCTTCTTACGACGATTCGACATCGAGTTCGCCAACCCCGACCGACCGGAGTGGACGCTGCATAATGCGTGGTTTGTCGCACAGAGGGGGTTTGAGGTGCGGTTTCGGGAACGGGGCCTCGTTGGGCACTGATTGGAAGCAGAGGGGATTGCTTGGTGTTGCGTATCGAAGAGAAGCAGTGGATAGTGGGAGTACTGGTTTACGGGCCTGGCGTCGCGCTCGTCAGGACTATGGGGATGGCTATTCCTTTGCAAGTTCTGTCGCTAGGATTCGAAGCCGGCGACTCAGATAGGAAATTTTGACCATGAATCTGTGAAGCATTCCACATCTGGACCTCTACTAGTATCGAATGTCTGAAGATTTCGCAGGTGGCATTGCTCTATCATGACCCGTTGCTGTTAGAGGTATAGTCTGTGATACCGAAGACGCTCACTGTTATTGATGAATATATCTGTGAGACCGGATGACACGCTCTTTGTTCATCAGTGATTGGACCTTCCAGCATCTAGCAGTGGAAAGCCACAGCACGAGCATGAAGACACCGCCCATTCTCATCAGCGCTATTTGACGGCTGCACGATCTATCACATGGGAAGACGTCTGTCCATATTCCCTCGAAGTCCCTGTCATCCGGTCGCGAGCCCAAGACCGGATGACACGACAACGACACCTGCTCCTTCCTGTTGCAGTCACCCGAGTGGGCAACAACGACACCAGCATACGCGAATCACTCCTTCCGAAAGGGCTGTGTAAAACGCCACTCCATAGGCGGCAGGCGCTTCCTACGCGTCCGTTTCCCGTCAATCGGACTAGACTGGCTCTACGTGAGACCGGCTGACCAAAATCACAACAAGTCAGGGCCATGTAAGCGGACGCCTGGACACTGCATCAATTTGGTCAACACTTAGATGCTGCTTATTCTGATGGCTGGATCAGGGAGGGCGCTGAAGGTCTGGCATTTCTGCACTGATGGATTCGGTAGGCCCGAGATGAGCCTCACTTAAGCATCATTTGGGAGGAAGGCTCATCGTAGTTCTCCCGACCAGGGAGGCCTCTGCAGGACTTTTGACAAAAAGCAGTCGCCTTTCCTAAGTCTCCCGCAAGCCCATAGCCTTCACCGCAGCCTTGAGGTCGTCCCATGAGCGGTTCTCGCTCTCAGCTACCACAGTTGTTGAGCTTGTATCGTCGCTCGAGCCCGTCTCCACTTCTTGCTCCGCTACTTCTTCCTCGTCACCACGAGCAAGGTCCTCTTCTTTGCTGCGCATGAGGAGATCTCTCTGCTTGAGTTTGTGAGCAAGTAAAGCCTGCGCCTTCGCAATGGCCTCAGCACGGAGCTCACTATCTAGCTTAGCACCAACCTGCTTCTCGGGCTCGGCATCCGTGTTGAAAGTCTTGTAGGCACCACGAGCTTCGAGAGTCTTCAGTAGATCGATGACGAATGGTAGACGCCCTTCGTGGCTGAAGTTTGCCTTCAGAATGTTGAGATTGCCAACAACAATCATCGCGTCTCGTGCTCTGGTGGCCGCCACGCAAGCTTTGCGTTCCTCCCCAGCATGACCAAGGCTGCCTTCGCCGAAGTAAGAGCAGACAGTGAGATCCAAGATGATGTACTTGGCCTCGCGACCTTGAAAGCTGTCCACGGTGTGTAGGCAGCCATCCAGGGAGCCCTCTCCTAAACCAAGCTCTTTTTCCAAGTCAAGGAGGGCGTTAAGGAGGCGACGACGTTGGGCATTGTAGAATGTCAGGATGACAACCTCGTTCGGTCGCTTTGCTAGGCCCTTTTTGTCTTTGTACATGAGGTCTCGGAAGATCTTGAGAATGACGTCCACATTGCCCATGTTTAGTCTTGACTGAGTGTGAGGCTCGACCTGGCACTGTCCGTTGGGCACATTCGCGAGCAGCAGTCGTAGATGATGACTTCCGCCGCCGCCCGATCCGCAGCATCCTTGACGACCTGAGGATACTCGATGTCAAAGAACTGTTGGAGGAGAACCTTGTCTTCAGTAGTCAATCTTGCCTTTTGTCGCTCTGCGCTGCATCTCAGCTTGCCGCCATACCAGCGTTGGTTGGGCATAGTCATGAGGGCTGGCACCATGCGGAACTGCTCTGTCATCTCTTGCACGAATGCCCCGCCGAGTACGAGACGTTCGTAGGGAGATCGCGCCAATTGTGATCCGAAGCAGTTGAAAGCCTCTGTCTCAGTCTTGACGAGTGGGTAGCCCTGAGCTTCATCACCGATCAAGATCAGGTTGACAACGGGTGATCTGCCTCCGAACTCATTTTGAATGCGGACTTCGGTGATGAGATTGACGACAGCATTCCACAGTGCTGGGTCGGTCATCAGAGAGGCTTCGTCGATCATGATGACAGCACTTTTGAAGTTGCGCAATGCTCGTGACATGAGACCACTGGTGATGTTTCCCACTGTGCAGCAGATGACGTGCTTCTGGCCGATGAAATGTTTGACAAGTGCTGACCATGCATCCTTGAACACAGTCTTCTCCTTGGCTTTCCACTTCTTGAAAGCCTTCTGCTCAAGCTTCCGAAGATGCTCCAGAAAGACAGGAACGACGTTACCTCTGTCATCGCCCATGTTGCCGACGACCCGCATGCCTGGATTGCGCATGACTGTTGAGATGACGTCCGCCGTGATCCCGATGCGCGGATCTTCCATCTCGCGTTTCTTGTCAGCATTGATCATGCGATCATACCACGCAGCATCAGAGTCGTTGTAATCACCAGCATTCAGAAAAGGAGCTGCCCATGCCTCATCGGTCTCGTCATCCTCTTTGATGCCATGAAGGTCATGAAAGCGGAGCAGCGTCTCCTCTTCCAGATGCTTGCGGTAGACGCGCTGTGGACGCTTCATCGGAAAGCCGTTGACGAGGGATGGGCTAGCATGAACATCGACGTCGTAGCATCATGGATGCGTTGTGTGTTACCGTTCGACGGGGCGCACAGAAAGATTCCGATGTCCTTGGAGCATCGGACCAGGAACTCTGCTGCAGCAGCAATCAAGGTCGTCTTGCCACAACCAGGTGGCCCTCGGACGATATTCAGGCGATGATGGGAGTACTGAACATTCCTCAAGATACTTTCCTGACCAGAGTTGAGTGGACGGCCCAGGCGTCGCGCTTTTTCTATGACATCTTTGAGTGCATTGTCGATGATGCTCTGGTCGCCGACAATTTTGAGAAGCCAGGATTGGGCAGCATCCGCGCTCAGATCCTCCCCCAGTAAGATGTCGTGGAAGGCGTAGTGTCGAGAGCCACGGGCGCAGAGCCGAGAAACTGCTTCGATTTGCTTTTTGACCTGACTCCGATTCTCAATGATGCTCACGGTCGATTCACGCCATATGAGCTTCGAAGGTCCAGTACTGTAGCTGCATTATACAGTTGGGCATTGCGCTTAGTCAACGTCAACTCGAAGTCCGCCTCGACTTCTGTGCGGTTGGCTGACAGCTTACCGTTCACCGAGAACGGTATCTCTATAGTCTCATACTGGCCAGTCGCTGCCTGCGACTTTGTGACGATGTTGCCGTCGGAGTCAACCGTCACGGTGATGAAGGATGCAATCTCGATGCTCATGCGGTCGTTGAGTGCAATGTTTGCGTTGAGCTCTTTCCGATCCTTGTAGCGTACGAAGGCAAGGACGACCTTTTTGCTGAGTACGGCAAAGGCGACCTCGGTACCACCAGACCTGCCGCGTCGCATGTTAGCATTCCTGCTCGGGCGGGCGCTGCACGGGGAAAGTTGTTTTGGCGAGGAGTGCGCGATATTGAGATGAGTCTCACTTCAACGTCAGACGGTAGGCTGTCGCTATCGCTGCATTCTGGATTGGGGCGGGCGCTGGGGGCTGAGGCAAAAATACTCACAACTTTTCGATAATTGTCTCTTCCCACAAATTCTCCAGGTAGTTCGCATTGTTCAAAATGACTTCCGCCGCTTCGAGGCTAGCAAAAGTGTTTGAAGTACGCATCTTTGACGGGCGGAGCATGTGCTGGTGAAGCTCGTTCATGCTCGCCCAGGAGGAAATTGGCCAAAGACCACGCTCTAGCAACTTGCTCGCCGCTTCAGGCGACTCCATCAGTGCATCGGTGACTTCTTGTTCGCTGGGGCTATAGAATGGTCGAAGGGTCGAGAAAGGCGCGTGATTCTTGTAATCAAGTAACTCGCGCTTGAGGGTCTTCAGGTACTTGTCCTGCTTGGAAGGCAGTGGGATGAAGACAATGCCGCTGCCTCGAAGCAGTGAAAGCTCGTCGACGTATTGTTTGAACTGCTCCGGCCACGTGTAGGCGGTGTTGTCGGCACCAGCCACTAGCGAGTTCTCGTAGTTGACCTTGAGGCATAGCATCTTGACGCCGCCGTTGTCACGCTCAACGATCTCGGCATCGATGACTTTGCGCTCCGCTCCAGAGGAGTTCTTGCCCTCAAACCAGAACTCAGCCTTTGCATCGCGGATTAGTTGACCAGAAGACTGCATGATGATCGTTCGGCTGAGCGAGATATGTGGAAGGTAGTCGCCTGAGAGGTACAGGTGCTCCGTCATAGCGAGAGCGACGCCGTCTTCGGTGACGCCATGGATTTCGCCATTGGGAATCGACGACAAAGTGATCGTATTTGCGGACAGGGAGGACTCTGTGCCCGTACTTGGGTGTACCGGGAACGCCGTCATCTTCCTACCAGATTTCAATCAGCGTCCACTACCAGGTGCTATTGGCAAGAGGCTACTTACAGAAAATCCTCGCCCAAAGCGAGCGTAGCTGCGCAGGGAGGCCTTCAGAGGGAAAATCTTGGAATTCAAAACATGGAAAAGATGCAAGAAATTTGAGGCAAGAACGAGTCGAAAAGGTCGACTGCCGAGCAACGCTGTTACTGCACCAAGGTAGCACTCAGGCGCAAGTCAGGGCTAGATGAGATGGCTACTATACGCCTCGCCCACAACAAACTAGCTGAATATCTTCAACTTCTCCTCGATAGGTTTGAAGGTCTTCTCGCCCGCAGGTGCAACAGGTGTGCCAAAGACGAGTTGTGATTTAGGCTTCCACGAAGCCGGCAGACCAAGCTCCTTCTCTATATCCATTTCAGTAAGCCATATCTGCATCGGGCCGGCATAAAATGTGCACTCACGAAAGTACTCGGTTACATCAGGTACCCAGTGAAAGTGCTGCAGAGTAGCGCCAAATCCCTCCGCCTCTAAAGCCATCCAAGCTGGTAGATAAATCAGCATTTACCCATGCGGTCGTCGTATGAGGTACTTACCATTAATCTGGTGCATTCCGCTGCTCTGATCACTCCAACTCTCGGCAAAGAATGAGGCCTCAGGCTTATCAGCTTGAACTTGTCGACCGTCTCCCCATCCTCGAACCACATCACGGTGCCCCACGTAGTGTCCCTGAACATCTTGCAGAAGTTTTGCAGATGACCCTCCCAAGCAGCGGCAGGGACAGCTTTCTCTACACCATCGTATACGACCGACCAGAACTTCTTGTGAGCTTCGCCAGACAAGATCACGGAACGGGCGAACTGGTAGTTGAAGGGCGAAGGCGAATGCTTGATGACGTGTGTGACAATCTCTTCCACACGAGCAATGGTTGTGGGTGGGTTCTCTGGTGAGGTTGCGTAGATGGACCGGCGATCCTTCATCGCGTCCAAGAGAGGCTTTGAGGCGGCCATTGTTGCTGTATCGATGGTCCAGAAAGATTGAGCGGTAGCCGTAGATATGTGGACCGCTTATATGGCTCAGATTGCAGGACTTAGAGTCTTCGAAATGCAGGAGTTAAGTGCTTCAGATCGTAGGAGATATGAGATGAATTGGAGGCTGACCGTCAGCGTCAAGTACATCACTCTCATTCTCTACTTATGTTATCCTGCTGGACTCCTCCGCGCACGTCAATTCCTGGAATCGCAAAAGCGGCCACGGAGTGCCCATGGTCCATGATTGGTAATATTGTAGCACTACCGTCGCAGCTATCACCCCAGCCAGACAAGTTAAATGACGATGCGGAGGCTGTCCATGGTAATGCAACACCTGCCCTCAATTGCCGACTAAACGAAGTGCGGATTGAATACCGTCAATGCTTATTAAGGACAGCTGAGGGCCGAAGCCTCCCAGGCTGGAGGCTTCCTAAGCTTCTTTGTTGAATAGTCGACATCGTCTCATGAACCAGTGAATATCGGAAGTTCGTTCTCGCGCGATAGGTCACGTGAGAGTCCTGTAGTGCTAGCTCGGGCCCGACATTCGCTTGGCCCGATGGGCCGTTCCAGCTGGAGTCCAGCTGTTCAGATTTGTCTCGAGGACGTACCAATGCAACAGCCTGGCCGCTTTTAAACGTTCAGACAGCGTGCTGTGGGCGAAATCCACCGTGATCCAATATGTTGCGCTCGGGAGAACACACTGTGCTCGCTCAGCCGTCACAATCCCGCGCTGAGGTCTCGGTTTAGGACTGCAGAGGTTCGGCACGTCGCCATATGTTCGACGATACACAAGTCGCTATGACCGGAACCTCATCCAGGCACCTGCTCTTTCGACAGCACCTTCGATAAGCGGCCGTCTTCGATGCTGTTTCGCCGACCCCAGTTCTTTGGCTGCCGCTTCAGAAAAGCACCAACAGCGCCGAGATAGCCCTCGTGACGTAGGAAGTATGCCTGCTTCTCGCCTTTGGACCAGAACCTGATGGCGTACGACAGGGTATTCATTGTTTGAGCGTGCCCTCTGATAAAGGAACCACCAAAGTAGATGTGTTTGAGGCCGTGCTTTTCCGACTGCAGGTATGCAATCTGGCCGATGTTGTTCGATATGGCATACAGCAAGCTCCGAGCCATATCCTGAATCCGGAATCCACCTTTGATGTTCTCGTCGTCTTCCAGAATGTCGGTCGATAATGGGTCTCCGTTATACAAACCCTCGCCGTCCTCCGCACTACGCTCCGCCAATCGCTTCATCCGGAATACCTTGCCGAATGTGCTGGCAATGGCTGTACTTTTGAGACCTATCTTGTTGTAGTCTGTGCCGTAAATATCGCCAACCATTAGATCAACACCACTGTTGTCGCCGGTTTGTGCCATCCGCAGCATATCGTCAAAAGTGCGAGCTCCCGTGAGCAACGACAGAATACCCCAGAAGGTGCCGCCTCCAAGATGCGTGCCGCCAACGCGCACAAAATCATCTGGTCCAGAGACCTTGACCATCGACACGCCGGAGCCGATGTTAACGAGTAGATATGGGTAGATATCGGGCCGCGCCTCGGCGAACGCCATAGGCTCTTCTTCGGAGTATGTGAAGACTTCTCGAGGGATCTCCGTGATGAAAAAGTCGAGACCAGTTATAAGCGATCCCATCTCATCTGCCTGCACGATATCTACTTGAAGAACGTTCTTCATCCGATCGTAGAACTTGTATGCGCCGCCTCCTGTAGCCATGACACACAGCTGGCCGGGCGTTGAGCCATTGAGCCGCGTCTGTCTCTGTTTGAGCTCTTGAATGAATTCGATGCACAGATCAATCCGGTCGGTCTCGAAGGTGAGGAAATTGAGGCGCCCGCCGCCATCTTTGGAGCCTGTCTCGCGTGAGAAGTAGACCAGCTTTGCCAACGAGCCTCCTATCTGAGCGTCTGTCAGTGCTTGGTCCGATGCTCACGGGGAGAATAGCTGACATCGACTGCAATATGGCTCACGACATCTGTGTGGTGAGGCAGTACGATGTCCTTCTCGTCCCAGTGAACGTGGTCACTCGTTCGATGACCGTTCGTAGTGTGACTGCCATTGCTCTTGCCTTCCTCGTCGACAATGAATGCGCCTTCAACGTTGATCTTAACAGACGTGGGCAGTGGGGGTACGCGAGAGGACGAGGGGCGCGGTTCATCCAGCACGACAGCACCATCAGTTTCCATAGATGTCATGCTGGCCGACAGATGTTCTGCCGCCGACGAGCTGTAATCGGAAACGCTGCTGTCATCGTCTGAATAACAAGCACATTCCTCAATTTCCTCGATAGCGTACGTGGTGGAGGCCGCGAGGTTGGTCATTACTTTTTTTTGTGGGCGTGGATGTGACTACAGCATGCTACGCTTCAGCTACCTCATGCATCCTCCGGTAGGCCGATAGCCCTGATATATGAACAATTTCTGCTTCCGCGGGCCTGATCAAGACGGCTGGCGATGTGTGTCATTGCCTCGGTCAAACGGACTAATGATCCTGTATGTATTATGGCTGGATGATACGTTGTGGATCGGTGTCCAGCGGTGCGGTGGGCGGGAGATCATGAATCGGAGGTGGAATTTCTATCGAACCTCGGCCAATTTCTGTGAGCCGGAAATTTTGAAGCGAGCCAAATCTAGGCGTGACTTCCGGACTGTCCTCAATCAGCATTCTCTATGTCCAGTGGATTCTGTACTTCACAGACGGCAATATCGATTTCGGCGAGGTCTGAGATTTTGAAGTGAACCTGTCACTTTGCATCGTTGCTGGGCTATCTCAGTACTGTACAGTGTCTGCTTGTTGCTCCGCGAGTATGAAGCTGACAGTGAGGTAAGTGCAAAGGCAGTCTTCGAGCAGGCACGCGACTGTAAGTCGTTCCTGGCCTCTGCTGCACAGTCAGCTGTGATTGCCTTTGATCACGCCGAGGAGGCAAGTGAGATGCAACGTGCTGCAATCACGACTATCAAGATGATGCGGTAGGTGCGATCCGGAAGGCACGCGGCGTTTCTGCTTTAGCGAGAATACTACCAGACATGACTCTCTCATCACTGCGTCAATATCTTGGATACCATGCAACTACTACACATCGTTCCCCTTCTACACTTAGCGACCGCTCTCAATGGCACGATCCGTATCGCCGGATCAAGTGGGGTGCCTGCGATGCACGCCGCGGCCTTCCATGATGGGCGTGTCGTGTTTCTAGACAAGATCGAGAACAGCACAATGAGTTACCTATTAGATGGCAGAAAAGCCTACTCGTCGGCATACGACCCTTCTACGGACTCCTACTACGGTCTGCCGATCCAGACAAATCCATTTTGCTCTAGCGGAGCTTTCCTTGCCGATGGACGGCTGATATCGGTGGGTGGCAATGGGCCATTGCTCCATGAGGATGCAACGGTTGGCGACGGGTTCGATGCGATACGCTACATCGGTCCTATCATCGGAACGACGTGGGTCGAGCCTGGCAACAAATTGGCTTCGAGGCGGTAGTACGCCACAGCACAAACAATGCCGGACGGTCGCGTCTTCGTGGCGGCTGGCAGCCTCAATGGTCTGGATCAGACCAATCTTGCCAACAATAATCCAACGTACGAGATTCTGAATGCCGAGGGAGTCAGCTCAGGAGTCAGTGTTCCGATGGACATTCTCGTGAAGAATCAGCCGTACTACATGTACCCATTCGTACACCTTCTCAAGAACGGCGCTCTCTTCGTCTTCGCAAGCAAGTCCTCGCAGATCTTCGATCTCAATTCTGGCAGAGTAGTCGCTGCTTTGCCCGACCTTCCAGGAATGTTCCGCACTTATCCGAACACAGGTGGCAGTGTCATGCTTCCATTGCGAGCCACGGACGACTAGGAGCCCGAGGTTATGATATGTGGTGGTGGAGAGTATGCTAACATCACTAGCCCGTGTGATGCTACATGTGGCAGGCTGAAGCCTTTGACTGGGGATAGATGGAATATGACCACAATGCCGGGAGGCCCGAGGGGCATGGTGGAAGGTGTCAACCTTCTGGACGGGAGCATCCTCTGGTTGAACGGCGCCAGAATTGGCAGCCAGGGCTTCGGCGTTGCAGATTTGCCGGCATATGATCTACTGTCTTATCATCCCGATAATGGGGTATGGGAGGTTGTTGCCAAGTCTAACATCGCTCGTCTCTATCATTCAGTTGCCCTACTCCTGAAGGACGGCCTTGTGCTCATCGCTAGCAGCAATCCCAACGAGATGCCGGTTTGGCCCAGCCAGACAATCCAAGGCAACCAGTGGTTCAAATACCCTACCGAGCTTCGTATCGAGATCTTCACGCCATGGTACTTGGAGGGCGAGAAAGCGACCCAGAGGCCGGAGATAATCAACATGTCCAAACGACGATTCAGTCCAGGTGATGACCTCGACATCGGCTTCAGAGCTTACAAACCTGACCAAGACACTCAGGTCGTGCTCTACATTGGCGGCTTCGTCACACACTCGCTTCACATGGGTCAGCAGATGTATTATCTTGAGGTTGAAAGAAGGACCAATGAGACTCTCAGCGTGCAAATACCGCCCATCAAGATGGCGCCTGGTCCTTACTTCATTTTCGTTCTTTGCGACGGGGTGCCTTCCATGGGCGAGCCGGTTATGATTGAAAAGAACTAGGGCTCAACTCCTTGTCAGGCGGGCTCCAATACTTTTTCGGCTACGCAGACAGACACATTGATAGTGCCTAGGTACATAGGTACAGTAGTTACAGTAGTAACGATTAGCTAATGTAGTCTGTTTGCTGTCCATGGTCCAACACTCTCCACCAGCCAGTGAACGTGACAGTCAAGCTAATCGTGCTTGTTCTGCGAATGCTCCTCTTGCTTTCATACCGCTCCTCTTGGTGCTAACCTCCGCATTTGTACAGACGATTCGATACTGTTCTGTAGGTCCTTGATCAAATCTTGTGTCATTGCTGCTCAAAGTACTCCAGAATCATCCTCACAGTAACATGCAACGGTGCCCGTATACCATAGCCGGATCTATCACTGGGGAAAGGCCAGCACATTCCCACAAGTGACATAGTTGTCGATTGTCGTCCGAACAACTGTACCCGACGTCAAAGTTCCGACCGTTCCGATCGCTAGCTTGGCCTTGTCGATCCTCGAATCTCCGCCAGAGCCTAGTGCCGCATACAAGGCCGTGTAGCATGCGTCCAAAGGAGTAGACAACTGACTAGGGCCCGTCAAACCATTCAATGCACATGTTCCAGCCGGCAGCGCCGCCAGACCGCCTGTCAGACAATTAGGCTTCCTAGGCGGGATGGTGCAGAGTGCACCGGTGATAGCGCACTGAACGAGACCTAAGGGCGTTGGGAATGGTACGGTGCTGGCAACGAGAGTGGTGAGGTCAAGGCATGACAGACGGTCTGCAGCGATTCCGGATCCAACTAACGCCTGTCTGCAGGCATAGGCACCCGACTTCAGAGTTGTGACAGCACTGGTACCACTTGCAAGGTCGAGCATTGTGACACAATCCGTGGGAAGATCGTTCAAGCAGAATGGTGCGGACGACGAGGTGCTTGCTGCAGCTGAAGAAGACGTGCTTGCCGCAATTGAGGAAGAGGCGCTTGCTGCGGCTGACGACGAGCTTTGTGCTGCAGATGAGGAAAACGTGCTTGTTGGAGCTGGAGAAGAGGTCGTTGGCGGTGACGCGCAAAGTACTACACTGCTAATACACGCCACCAAATCACTCCCCAGCGGATTCGGATTCGACACCGTAACAGCCGCATTCTGAAAACAAGTCGCCGCCTGCATAAGTCTAGCGTCTGACAAGTCACCTGAATTACGCAAGGCCACCAAGTTATTCGAGCAAGACATGGTGTTAGTGCCCAGGACCGCGCCAACGAAGTTGACAAGGATTGAGCATGTGGATGGGAGAACGGTGAGGCAGCCGAGACTTGCCACTGTCGTCGTCGTCACCGCTGCTGTCGTCGTGGTTGTTGTGGTTGTCGTGCTCGTAGTGGTCGTCATGGCAGAGCTCGAAACAGTGCTCGATGCCAACCCCGAGCAGAGCACGTTCACGTTCACGCATGAAACTAGCTCCGCCCCACCTCCACCAAGTAAAGCGTGTGTGACTGCATTCGTGCCAAGGCAGATTCCTGCATTCACCAAGCCTATGCCGCTGAGGACTGGAGTCAGGGCGTTGAGGAGGCAATCTTGAGCGCTGGACGCGAGCAAGGCTGCAGAGAGATAACTTGTGCTGCTAAGAGTCGCACAGACACCGCCCGCCGGAAAAGCGGCAAGACACGTTGGGTTTGCTGACGCCGCTGTAGAAGAGGTCGTGCTCGCAACGGGACCGCTGCTCATCGAGGTTGACGCCGTCGAACAGAGGACGTTGGCATTTAGGCATGCGACAAGCTCCACACCTCCTCCGCCAGCTAGAGCCTGTGCAATTGCGGTCGCGCCGAGGCAGACTCCCGCGTTCGCCAAGCCTGTGCCATTGAGGAATGCAGGCAGGACGTCGTTGAGACAAGATGTAGCCCTAGTACTGAGCGCGTTCAACGGCGAGGTGCTGATGCTCGTACAGACGCCTTGAGGAAGCTGGGCAAGGCACGTCGGGTTTGCCGATGCCGCTGCAGACGAGGATGTGCTCACGATGGGGGCACTTGTCGATGAGCTTGACGCAGTAGGGCAGAGTATGTTGGCATTCAAACACCCAAGAAGTGAAGTTCCCGTCGTGGATAGCAAAAAGGCATCGGCATTGAGACACGTTCGACTATCCAGGAGCCCGATACCGCCAAGCGGCGTCGTTAGAGCACCAAGACAAAGCGCCGAAGCAGCCGTGAGCGCTTGCAGGTCGCCGGTCATCGAGAGACAAAGGTTTGGGAGGGATGGCAAGCAAGTCGGCTTCGATACCACAGCCGTTGCGAGCGGAGAATTCGTTGGCCGGCTAGTGCTAGCAGAAAACGTCGGCCACGAGGACGCAACATTGAGATAGAGGCATTCTTGTATGTCTACACCGCCGACGGTCTGGGCGGCGATATCAACTTGATTGAGACAGATCCCTGCATACGACAGACCCAGCACAGAAAGCCGCGGTGTCAAGGCAGCGTAGCATGACAACGCTTTGCCAGAGAGGCTGGCCGGAGGACAAAAGTCGAAGCCAGAGCAATCATCTGGCAAGCTGGCGACGCGATCTGATGAGCTCGCAGAACTTCCTGTGGAAGACGCAGACTGCGTCGTGGTTGTTGCCGTCGTCGTAGGAGTTGCTGGTGTAGCAGATGTCGATCTCGAGTCACACAGCCGAACTCGAATGCATTCAAGGATTGTAGCGCCCACGGTGTTGCTGTCAACAGAGACGCCTAAGCATTGACTGAACACGTTTGGATAGGCAAATTGAACTGCCGGAGTGCAGAGGGCCAATTGTGCTGTGACATCGAGGCCGACAGCTGTACCAAGACCAAGGCATTCTTGAGGAATCGCAGGACAGTACAAAACGCCTGCTGTCGCTGAAGATGTTGGCACAGGCCCAGTTGCCGACTGAGTAGGGCTACTCGTTGATGACGCAGTCGTCGAACTTGACTCCAAGGAGGTAGATGTGGCCAAAGGCCCATTAAACAATGATGTGGACGATGACGAATCGGAGGGCTGGTCGTCAGTCGTGAAGGTAGTCCGGCTGCTAGTAAAGCTATTGGCCTGATCGACAAAAAATGATGAGGTGACCGTGTAGGAACTGGACTGGAAGGACGATGTCGCAACCCCGGCACTGCCAGTGTTTGTCGTAGAACCTGTCTCAGTGGTCGAATCTGGAGACGAGGCCGGGCTGAAAGCACTGCTTGATGAGCTGACAGGCGGGCCTTCAGAAGCTGAGCCGCTACCAGGAGGAAAGGCTTCACTCTGAGTGGTAGTCGCACCCTCGGAGGTCGCTGAGAGGTCAGCTGCGGAATTCTCTGGATATCCTGTGCTGAAAGCACTCGCCATTCCATTGCTTGTTGCTACACTAGCTGTATCGCTTGCCGTAGGGAAGCTCTCCGGAGGTGCAGAATTGCTCGGATCTGTCACCAGGTATGTTGAAGATGAGTCGCGACGATACCTGATGAGCTATCTGAGGAAATCTCCGATGTCTCAATACTGTCTGTGGCCGCTTGGGAGGGCGAGACCCCACGGGAAGCACTGCTCGTCAAGAGAATGCTGCTGCTAGTCGTGGTCAGAGTGCTCCTTGCAGATGAGGAGCCGGACCTCGACGTTGGAGGTGGCGGAGGGTTAGAGTTGGAGAGGCAATAGCAGGCGCTGGTCACTCGGTCAGGATTGCCATTACAGCCACCAAGGTATGTTGGAATTGCTATGCTGGTCGTTGTGTAGTCCCTGCACAGCGAGCTAGCAGACGAAGTCAGACGTGGATCCAACATATTGCGCAAGCAATTGTCTTCGTTGCAATTAGGTGGCAGGGTGAAGGCGGTTGTTCTAGTCGTCGAGCCAGAGGTGGAAACGGAGCTAAACGATGTGACGGAGATAGAGTTCTCGTGCGATGTGGTCGAAGAAGTCGGTGGGTTCGATGTGGCCGAGGAGGTTGATAGGACCGGTGTGTCCGCACTGCTCGTGGGCTCAGACGAAGTGGATGGATCTGATGTATCCGCACTGCTCGTGGGCTCAGGCGAAGTCGATGAATCTGATGTCTCCGCATCGTTCGTGGGCTCAGACGAGAATGTGGACGCAGTCGAGGTCTCATTGGACGAGGGTGCCGGAGCAGTGAAGTCTGCAGACACCGTGGACGTCTGTTCAATGAGAGAACTGCATTCTCGGCCTGCGATTGCTCCGACGACGACCTCGGCGCATGCAGGATCTGCTGGGTCTTCGAATGCCACCATCAGACCACCTCCGCAGTCGAAGAAACGTGCCAAACCTTGATCTGGAGTGGTCCATGAGAGGAAACCATTGTCTATGGCCAAAGTCTTGTTGACTTCATCTTCTAACGGATCGATCAACGGGCCTAGCAGGGCCCCGGAGACACCTGGAGACTTTGCCACAGTCCCGTTGCTCGTCTTCAGGGTGCCGTCCGATAGAATGATTGGGGTGGAACCGTCGCAGTTATCGGCTGGCAGAGCAGCGACAGCTGTTGGCGATAGATCGACCAGCTTGACCGCAGATGCGGTAGTTTCTGCCGAATTGACTTGACGTTGGAGAAGATTTCTTCTGCGTATCTGCTCAAGAGAAGGATCTTCGACTGATGTTGACGATGACGATGACACTCCTCCCGGAGCCGGAGAGATTGTGCTGTAGGCAAGAAAAATGAAGTCCTCTGTGACAGGGATATCAGTGACGGAACCTGTGGTCAAGCCCTGCCCAATCCTCAGAGTGGTAGTCACGTTGCCTGAAAACGAGCGTCGCGTGAAACTTCTGCGGGTAGTGCTTGAAGCGGTCGAATCATTGACGAACGTTGTCGTAGATGCTGCGCGCGAGGTAGCGGTTCCGGTTGCGGGCGCAGATGAGCGAAGGGTGGAAGTAGCCGTCACAAGAGACGAAGAACGCGGAGGACTTGCCTGCGCACTGGCGGCTGTGCCAATTTGACTCGATGTGGTCTGACCTGTCGCGAAGGGTGCTGATGTGGCCTGGAGAGATCCTGATGTCGGACGCAATGTCAGACTGGATCTCGAATTCGATGTCGAGCTTGATTGACTTGTTGTTCCGGAGGCCGAATTCAGTCCTGGAGCAACACCACCAACACCAGTCCTAGATGACGATACAGAGGTTTGACGACCAGACGTGGTCTCACTTGCACCACGTAGAGAAGTAGAGCTGCGCGCCTCCTCTGACTCAGCGCCCGGCGTACGTGTTGTTGATGTTTGCGTCCTCCCACTGACGATTGGTGGTCCAGTAGGGGCGTCACTACCCGTTCCAACCAACTCAGATTGACTCGACGCGCTGTCGATGAGTGTTAAGCTCGCCCCACCGGTATTCCCTGTAGCTCCTCGCCCGAGCTATCGGTTGCTGGAGTACCGTCCAGCGTGGTTGCGGATGACCCATCCAGGTCGGTTCCAGATGCCACGTTGCTGCTTTGTGGTCCAGTCTCGTCATCGGTCGGAGTCGCGCTAGAGAACGAGATCTCAATATCTGGTAGAGACCATATATAAGTTCCTTGCGATTGTGTCAATGTATATCCGACGAGAGAAGACGTCAGTTGACCGGCCGGCGAATCTGTGATGCCGCCAGCATTGTCACTTTGTGGAGAGTCTGTATTTCCATTGTTCGGTACTGGAGAAGCCGGAAGGAGCGTTCTTGTAATCGTGCCCTCTATTTCAACAACAGTGGGCGCGTTGGTGATGGTATAACTGGTGCCAGCGCCGAAGGGATCGACCTATTGAGCTGTCAGTATTGGGCCACGTAACTGATACAGCCAGCAGTCTGCAAGATCGCTCAGCGCGGGCGACGCAGATCACTCGGAGCCATGCAGGAACCCTTCATTCGAGACATGTTGGTGGATGCCGCAACACTCACAATTGTGTCGTAAGGAATGTACGAAGAGAAATAGACTGGTTGAAGTTCGACAGTAGTGACTGGACAGGTCCCATTCGGACCATTATTAACAAGATCTCTGAACGAAAGACGATGAGTTTGTCTCCGGTTGTGCCGCGCGGTGCAGTCAGTAACCAGCAAAAGGGTTAGTAAAACGAAGGACATGGTGGGCAGTAGCCCAACCTGGCTGACCAGTAACGGAAAGTAAGGAAAAGGGTGACTGAAGACATGAAGATACAGCAGCAAGCATGCAGCTCGACGCGTCCGTTATCAGGACATCGCGTCTTGAGCTGATGTGTTGCACACTCGTTCCGATCAACTTCGTATTCGACGCACAGAGACCATTCTTCTCGCTGGCCGTCATTGTGGAAATCTTTATACGAGTTTGCGCTTTAGCGTATCTCGCGTTTCCTGCCTCAACACGAGCCGCAGCTCCTCGCGCAGCAGAGTGCTGGCAATGGCCATTATCGTGACCCGTTTGGGCCTGGCAAAATGCTGCATGCGCATTTCTGTACCACTGATCTACACGCCTGGCATTTCATGACCCGGAAGTCTGGTGCTGTTGTCGTTCAGAACAGCCTTGTGGTTGTCGTGATGCAAGGAGAAAGGCTACAAGCCACGATCGGGGGCCAGTGCTTTGGAGATGCTGAAGAATCTGAATCGAGCGCACAGGCACTGATGGGGTTGTGAAAATAGTCTGAATTCTCGCTTGGAAAGAAGGGTTAGCTCCGATTGGCTACTACGTTCTCGTAAACGGGCTACAAGGCAAACAGGCGTCCGTAGAGTAACCATCAAGGGATGGAAGCTCAAATTGCTCGCCCATGTTTTGATTGCTGCAGAGCGTCACACAACTTTGCCTCGTATGTACGGCTGTAGGGCGTAGACTTGTTCGTAGGAGGAGCACCTGCGTCCCGAGCACGCACAAGTGCAACATGGTGAGCACATGAATAGTGAAGTATACTATGTGCAATTAAATCGTCCGCTCAGTTACGGCACGGCTTCCTCTCAGCTCTTCCAGGTAGATGGCCCGCCGTTGTTTGAAGCCCAATCAGACCAACCCTGCCAGCCAGACGACACAGTGCTAGTGTAAACCGATGGGGGGCTGCTCGACGCCGGCACCGGGGGAACCACCGTTGTGCTTGCAGTTGGTGGTGCAGGCGGCTGCGCCATGGTCATAGAGCTCATTGCAGAAGTCGCAGATTGTGTGGAAGGAGGTAAGGGTGGCATCACCATGGACGATGGCACCGAGGATGACATAGGCATCGCCGTCATGGTGGTGCCGCCTCCGCTCATACCGCCGGAGCCAAGCAGTCCAGAAGTGTCTAGGGCGCCTTGAGAGGCAGATTCCTTGAGGAGGACCCAACATAGACTGTCTTAGGATAGGAGGTGATGACCCTATGTTAGGAAACAGTGTCAGCTGCTTCGCCCGATTTCTGATCATAGCAAATGACAACGAATAAGAATGTGGCGACTTACCAGTTTTGGCTCACAGGATCCCAATTAGAGATGTCTCGTCTCGTCAGACCAACTGTGAATGTCGCGCTTGCGCCAGGTGCAATGGTGAGGCGCTCAAAACCTCGCAAGACCACGGCTGCGTCATTCGGTCCACCTAGGCTGACATACAGCTGTGGTACCTCGTCGCTTTCCACATTGCCAGAATTTACGATAGTTGCAGATACAGTATACAAGACATTGTAGAGAGCAGGATTGCCGCCGGGACCGCCACCAGCAGGCACACGGCTTGCGGACTGTCGTCGTAGGCGCCATTCGGATAGGTGACTGCACTGCCGTACTCGGGATCGTTGCCGGCTGTGCTCAAATCTGTGCTGTTAAGGCATGGGTAGATATACGCATTGATGAAGTGCATTCCGGATTCACAGAGATATTGGCTGGAATCATTGGCGATGGTACCATATGTTGGAGCTGCGGAAGTGCTTCCAGACGCTGGCGAGTAGCTGAAGTTTGATGGCTGAGGAGTGATCTGTAGATTGGAATACTCGAATGTCGTCCAGGATAGGCCATAGCCGAACTCATAAAGTGGCGTTTCACCTAGAGCATCGAAGCCTCTGTAGTCGATGAAGATGCCTTCTGCAAAGTCCAATTGAGGAGCATCGACTCCATTGTTTGGATGGTACAAAAGATCTGTACCCCATGATCCTCTCCAGGTGCCCCAGGTGAATGGTGTGCGCCCAGGTGATTCATGACCATAAAGGATATCCACGAGAGAATTGCCAGATTCTTGCCCTGGGATACCCGCCCAGACGATTGCAGTAACGTTCGGGTTGTCATAGAAAGTTTCAATGTTGACTGCACCAACGGAATGGATGACAACAACGGTGTTGCTACATTGTGATGTGACATTAGCAATCAAGGCATCACCGTCGTGCCAGAGAGTAAGGTTGTTTCTGTCGCCTTCGTTACCGTCAACCACAATGTAGCCTTCACCTGAGTCCGAATTGACAAATGCGATACAAACGCCATTGACGTCATCCGCACGCCGTGCGAGAGCCTGGATCTGAGGATATACGTAGTCGTCCAATATCGATTCGTAGAATCCCTTTCCGTTCTGCACGACTTGATTCTGAATGGCCGCATCGGGCGTGATGAGGTAGGGAAAGTTTGCAGTGCCGCTGCCCCAGCCCATGGCCAAGGTTCCATTGTCACAGCCGCGGTCGCTGCAGCCATTCGGTCCCCAGGTGTTCGGGCCAGCATCGCTCCCAAAGACTGTAGTCAGCTTCTCTTTGCCAGTGAGTGGCAGAGTCCCGTTGTTTTTGAGAATGACTGTGCCTTGGCGGCCTGGGTACGGATCTGTGCTCCGTGATCTTCAGTCACATCCACGTGGAAGTTCACTTGGGCATAGTCTTCCATGGCATAGTCGTGCTCATAGCCGTAGGTATCCAGTGTCCAGGCTGAGAAGTTAGGAGCGTCCTGGACTTGGTGGTTCTCGCGATCGACGTAGTACCATCCCGCGACTATCCGAGTGACCATGTCATCGAGGCGCCACTGAGGCACTGAGCCGTTGAGCACTGCCACGGTGAGGTTGGTTCCCCAGTATGAAGTTGCAGAGTCGAAGCCGATATCACCGGGCATGCTCATATCGAGGCCGGCGAGGGCGGAAGCGACTCCGGAGTGGTGTGCGCCCCAGTCGGTCATGACTGTGTCGGAAAGATCAGTATACTGCCGCAAACGGTCATAGCATAACGAAAAAGCTTACCAAACCCCTGAAAACCGAGCTCGTTCTTGAGCAGATAGTTCTGAGTATAGCTGTTCTGGCAAGCATAGCTATTGTTGATCTGGTTGTATGAGCACATAATCGAGGCAGTGCCAGCCCTCACGGCATCAGCAAATGGCCACAAATAGAGCTCGTGCATGGTGATGTCGTCTAGATTGGAGGAGTATGCTGCGGTCAAATTTGCAGGAGGTGGTCCTTGTCGCTATATCCATTAGCATTGTTCCCACCCCCCAATTGTCCAAGCCGGGATTGACACTCACATAATGTTCCTGCTCGTTGAGGATGTAATGCTTCGTGCACGCCATGACACCTGCATCCTGGATGCCTTTGACCGTCTCAGCAACAGCAATACCTGAAAGCACGGGGTCTGGTGCAAAGCCTTCCCAGTTCCGCCCTCCCTCAGGAGCACGCCCAAGAGGGCCCACGACGGGACCTAGCTGAACATCGACTCCCTTGTCACGATGTTCTGAGCCCATGCCATATCCACGCTGGTAGAACAGGCCACGGTCCCAGGTCGCTGCGATCGTTACTCCAGCACTTGAGACGTCAGCCAGCTCATGATGATGTTGCTTCAACACTTACGGAAATGCAGAATTAAAGTCAGTGTCTCGGACGCCAAGCGGCGAGTCCTGCATGCACAGCGCCTTGAAGCCAAGTCTTGGAACAGAACCGACGTTACCAACACATTTCTGAGACTCCCACCCAGTACCGGTCGTTATGTTGACCTTCTCGGTCAGCGTCAGACCCGACACGAATGCTTGAGCCTTTGCGTAAGCATCAGCCCAGTCGCCGAGGCCTTCTCCCCAGGGTGATGGGTACTCAGGCGGCGATGTTTGCTCCGATTCTGCACCACTTGTGACATGCGTAGCATTTGGATAGACGACGTCCGGATACGGCGCCGCACTTGACCCAATGCCACCGACTTGGGCACTAGCGAGCGGCAGTGCTGCGAGCAGCAGCGTTCTGAAGGCCATGATGAGTTATGTCTGACCTGATCGCTTGATCCGGAAGTCAACAACAATGCAAGGTCGGCAGCCGTTCTAGCTTTTGTAGCCGACGGATCGATGACGACCTCCTTCAGGATACCTACATGACAACGTTGGCTGCGACCTTCCTGGATAGGTCTGGTATACACAATCGAATTCCCCGCATTTTAGTTAGACTTTGGCGGTGCGGTTAGGCAGTCGATGATGCCTTGAAGGCAACCCATGCGAGAGAAAATAGAGAGGTCCTCACAGGGGTGCATGCAGCCCCCCGTTCGAGGCTATCACACTTTTTCGAGAGCCGAACCAATTGAGGAGCAGACAGCTTTTTCTCAAAGTTATTCAAGCTTCACAAGCTCTGGGTAGCTTTTTCCATAATTCAACGGCAGCACGCCGGCAAGTAGAATATAGCTGATGGTGTCGTTGTTGGGCTCCTACCACCGTTGGCCGCGTCACGAGGTTTCATTGCAGCGCTTCGCATGCATAGACCGCGCGATGTCTCGTGATGCATCAGTGACACGATGAGCTGGATCTGGGAAATCGTAGGCCACAGCTGCCAGACTCGAGGACGGAAGTCGGCATGAGCGTCATCGGAGGGGCAGCAGCCGCATGGCCACCGACTCGACAGTACCTACTAGAATAAGTATCTTGTGACAGCTCTCCGCAACTACGAGCAACTGCACGACTTCGCTCTCGCAGCGAATGGTTGCGTCGTCAGTCACGTAAGCTCTGTGGCTCTGTGGCTCTTTGACGAGTGTGTGCATTGAAGGCGAAGGAGGTGACAGGCGATGGTGAGATGCGGACGAAATTACGGCGGTCAAGTCGCGTCAACCCGCACTGCCATCGCCAAGCACTCCAAAGGCTCTATTAGCCTGATTGCACCTCACCACCGTTGAGCGAGACAACATACACAGTACATCGTACCGACACTGCATAGTGCACCTCATGGCTAGGTAGCTCCAACTCCAGCCCCACGAAGAACTTGTTGTCCGTGTCATGGCGACCTTGGCGCACATCCTGTCAGATACAGATAGATCTGCCCACCGGAAGTACCTAGGTATCGAATGCGTGAATGTACGAACGTCTGCAAATTTATCCGTCTTGGACAACGCACAGCAGTCATCTGACCTGAAACAGCGCCTTCTGCCAGCTTCCTGTTCTTGACTTGATGCACTTTCGTGACGCCCTTTGACCGTCTTCTTGACAATCCAGCAGGTCAGCGACCTTCAAATCCAACATAACGCCCTACAGCATGGCAGATCCCAGCTCAACAACAACCACTACCGCCTCCCTCCCAGTCAACAGCACCCTTAACCCCATAATCCCCGGCTTCGCCCCGGATCCATCCATAATCTACAACCCAACCACGTCCCTCTACTACCTCGTCAACAGCACCTTCCAATTCTTCCCCGCCCTCCCCATCTACACCTCCCCCGACCTCATCAACTGGACACTGCACTCCCACGCCATTTCCCGTCGCTCGCAACTCTCCCTGCTCCACTCCGGCGCCGATCTAATTGAGGCGCGCAATCCTGATGCGCCTGGAACAAAGCTGTGTTTCCAAGGTGGGCTGTTTGCGCCTACTCTGCGTTTCGAGGGGCGGAGTGGGACTTGGTATCTGCTGTGCACAAATATTGTGAGGCAGAAGAATGGTGGGGTGGAGCGGGCGGAGAACTTTTGGGTTACGACGGGGGATATTGATGGGGGAGAGTGGAGTGATCCGACTTACTTTGAGTTTAGTGGGATAGATCCGTCTATTCATTTCGAGTATGAGGGTGACAAGACCCGAGCATGGGTATGCGGCAGCCGAGGACCAGGGCCCAAGACGAAGATCAACTTGTTTGAGGTCGACTTGGGGACGGGAAACAAGTTGAGCGAGGAGAAGACGCTGTGGGAGGGGGAGCTGAAATTCTATCCCGAGGGACCGCATATTTATAAGAAGGGTGGGTGGTACTGGTTAGTGATTGCGGAAGGTGGCACGCATGAGGGGCACTGTGTGAACATTGCGCGGAGCAGGGCATTGGATGGACCGTACGAAGCGTGTCCTGACAATCCGGTGTTGAAGAAGTGTGAGTATGGCGATGGGGTGCAGTGTACAGGACATTTCGATCTGGTCGAGGGCAGGGGTGGGCAGTGGTATGGGACGTGTTTGGGAATCAGAAGGAGAGGGGACAAGGGTGTCAGGATGACGCATGGGAGGGAGACATTCATCACGAAGGTGTACTGGCCTGCGGAGGGTGATGATCAGGGATGGATGAAGATCGATAAAGTGGAGCTGGAGGTGGAGGGTTTGGAGAGAAAAGGCAGTCACAAGCCCGGTGTGCAGAAGGAAGGACTCGACTTTCTCTGGATCCGGGATCCAGTACTCGAAGACTATAAGATTGAGGGAGGTGGTAACACTGTCACGATCAAGAGTAGTAGAGGTGATTTGGATCAGTGGCAGTCGCCGGTCGGCTTTGTGGGGAAACGGCAGCGACTGATGGAAGCTCGCAGCGAGGTCGCCTTGACCTCCAAGAAGATCAAAAGCAAAGCGGGCCTAGTGGTGTACAAAGACGAGCATCGTTTCACGAGGATCTACTATGATGGCGAGACTGGTAAAGTGACTTGGCAGTTGCTGAACAAAGCGAAAGACCTTGCGAAGTCTGAGGTCGTTGACAAGGACATTCCAGGCGATGAGCTAGAATTGCAAATATCATACACGGAGGACAAGTATGCGTTCTCATACAGGTCAGGGAAGGGCCATTGGGTACAGATCGCAGACATTGACACGGCCGAGATGAGTGGTCCAGACTTTGTTGGACCGGTTGTTGGGCTCTTTGCCGTAGGGGTTGCGGAGGAAGAGGTCACTTTTGCCAGCTTTGAAGTGGACCTATAGTGACGTACACATAGTGACATACACATAGCGACATACACATAGTGACATATACCTAGGTACATGGTCACATACATGTAGCGACATACACATAGTGACGACTTTGGTACAGCCGTACATTTCAATCGAATGAGATCTTCTGGCCTTTACTTTCGACAATTCCTCCTGTGAGCTTCTGCACAGTGTCTGCACTGTATCTCGACAAATCAGGAGCACGAAGCTTTCTCGCCGGCCTGTCCGCCCGTCTGCTCTTTCTGGACTGATCCCGGGATCGTCTGTCCGAGGTTTTGACGTCCGTTGTCGTGCCGTCGACCTCCTCAATACCGTCACTCGTATGTCTATTCTCTTCTGCACCAGATTGTCTGCCATATCGTTTATTGTATCGTGTTGTAGCATCTTCCGCAAACTCCATCCTGAGCTTGTTTTCGCCCATCCTGGATAAGTAGATCGTTTTCTTCCCAGTTGGACTTTTGGGATGGTCAATCGTGACACGCCCCTTCATAGCGGTCTCGGCTGCTTCCAGCTCCTCGAACTCAACCCACGCATACCCTTTACACTTTCCTGAGTCCTCGAATGTGGCGACCTGAGTTTTTAGGATCTTCCCACATACTCGGAAGTGCTTCTCTAAAAACTCTTTGGTGGTATCGAAGGGTAGATTGCCAACAAAGATCTTCCGACTAGGCGCTTTGGCCTGGGATTCAACGAATGCTTGAGTCTTCGATGTCTCCGGGCGGCCTTCGAAGTTATGGGCGTCCTTGATCAGAAGCGGCCTGCCTGTGAGTAGTGTCTCGCTCAGACCGACTGCCACGTCGACCCACTCTTGAGTTGTGAAATCCACATATGCGAAGCCTTTGTTCTGCGACCGCATGTCGCGGCCTGGCGGTAGGTGCAGACGTGTGATCTGATTCGCAGGAATTGGTGATTTTTGATTGTCGGTCAAGAATTTGAGCACATCCTTCTTGCCGATGGTGAAAGCCAGGTTGCTATCCAGACTCCGAACTTGGAGCGCTCGCCCTCGAGACCATTGAGTCTTTTCAGGTCGATTTCTTCTGATGTCGGACCATGCTTGGCGGCGTTGTCCTCAGGCTTCACCTCGTCTGTTGTTTTCTGTTTCTTGGCTTTTCTCAGAGCCTTCTTTGATGGTGGTTCTGGAGCGTTGACGTCAATCTCGAGCTCTGCCTCATCTGTCGTCCGCTTCCTCCCCTTCGTCTCCTCCCCGACATCGACTGACATGTTGACCTGTGTGCTGCTCGCCTGACTGGTATAGACCCTCTGACCTGGTCGAAATTGAAGCAACAACGACGTCCCAAAAACTTTTCGCAGATCAACTCCACTAGAAAGTTGGAGGTGGATCGCACCGGAAAAGCTCTCCGGGCGGGCCTCGCGTTGAAATCGCGTGTCCTCTCCAACTCACCTTACAACCTTGGACTGTTCAGCCAAAGTCCTTCAATCCATTAAGTCTACATTTATTCTACATAACAATTGAACACTCGTTGGCATCGGTGAAGACCCCTTCATCTTCCAAGCTGGCCATACACTCCATCTCAGTCTTCTTCAATCAAGCTGGAACAGCTCCAGGCATGGATCTACCGGAGGAGACACCTACTACTGTCGCAATGACGGATGCGCCAGCAGATGCGGTGACAGACACTGCTGCATCGAAGAAATCCTACAGGTACGTGTCTGCTTACTACGTGATCCGCCCACTGACAACAGCAGACGCAAGTATCGGAAGATGATGGTCACCTTCGAGCAACGAATGCGAGAAAGCACGGCTTTGTATCGAGACGAACAAAAGATGCTGCAAATTTCACAGCGCCTTGCAGAACAGAATGATCAGATCATGCAGCTTCTCGTCGACATCAACAATATGCCGCAAGTGCCTCCAACTCTGCGGTATAATCTGGATGGCAAAGACGGTCCGATTGAGCCCCGAGAGGAGCCTTCGCAGACATACGACCAGCAGTCCGGGCATCGAGCACTCAGAAAAGCAAGATACGACCTCCAACTCGGTCATATTACCCAACACGACTACGAAGTGCTGAAGAGGGAAATTCTGCAGAGTCCAGATTTTGCACCAAAGAAGTCCTACATGTCCCTTCTGGAGGATTGTTCTGCGCATCTGACAGCGCCGCCAGACGGAGTCAGCGATTCACCCGAATTCAGGAGCGGCTACCTTACCGTCAGTCAGCAGGACAACATGGAGAGAGCCCTCGATGCTTTTGTCCGGGGAGAAGCTCCCACAACCCGAAGTCACGTCAACGGCATAGTCAAGGACGGCGAGCGCAATATCGACAAGGAGAAAGAAATGCAGTTCCGCAATCCAGTCTCAGCCTACAACTACCTCCGTAAACATGAACCCAAGGTGTTCCTGCAGGACGAGGAAACAAAGCCATCGCGAACTACGGGTGCCAGAGCGTCCAAGCGGTCGTCAACCCGAGATTCGATCATCAAGCAAGAACAGGACCTGTACGACGAGGATGGGATCGCTATCGATACCCCGAATTCGCGGCCAAAGAGAAAGCGAGATGAAGATGGTGGCTATCGTCCGAAGGGCGGCGCGGCAAGGAAACGGAAGAGGGATTCTGAAGCCAATGCTAGTCGAAGTAGGAAGAAACCCTCGATCGGATAGGATCTCGAGACTCCAGAAGCAGATGCTCAACGGGAGAAGCGACGAGCTGCCAACACCAGACAAAGGCGAAGAGCTCGCGCTAAGCTCCAGACAGATGTTGTATCAGTTAGGGCTGAGGTTGCACGCTATCGGGCAATGTATGGTTGGTTTTCTTCCGCACAGGACGACAACGGTGCCCTTGAAACCGCAAGGAAGGGCCTCGGAGGAAAGGGTAAAAAGGTGACGGACCAGAGGCAAAGGCGAAGGCTTCAGCGCGACAATCTCAGAAACGAGCTACAGCGCTATCAGTCGATGTATGGAGCACTTCCTGCAGAAGCCATTCATGGTACCTCGACTCGACCGATTTATCGACCAGTGCCAGCCGGGTGCTATCATGGTACCTCGACACAACAGATACATGGAGCGTTCCCTGCACAGGGCAGCGGTACCTCGACGACGGATGAACTCCAGCTATTGATACAGCGACTTTCTTGGAGCAAGAATGTGTGATCGCAACATGCAGCTTCCAAGGTTAGATAGATCTTATGCTTCAGAACATATGGTAGTTCGGCCACAGAATAGCCTGCTTAGAAGCAACTGGCATATTTATTATGCTAGGTACTGGTACGCAACATATCCCGGGCGCGGAGTCAAAATGATCCGCGCCAAAAAAGCATCTTCCACGCTCTCAGAAAGTCAGTTTGGCAGGTACACAAGTACGTACGTTACTATCGTAGCATGCAGCATTCCAGAGCGGGTGAGAACTTGTGAGTGACGGATTGCGTCTTTAATTACTTGGTATTATTGCCTTCGTAAGTTGGCTACCACAGCAGATCAGTTGGCTCGGCGCTGCTCGCAACTCCATCTGACGTACATGTGCCCTGTTTGTGCTGCTTCGTATCCAGTCGGCATATGCAATCAACAACTTTACCTCAGCCCGCGATTACGAGTGCTTCTAGACCTTCTCGCATTCAATAAGCGAGGCACTGCATACACTCTTCTGACAGGCAACGTGGGCGAACTTCATCCGTTCTGTTTGCCATCACGTTCACCATGGACACCTCGACCGGCGCACGGTGCTAGTTGTGCTGTTCCGACGGTCTTCAGGAGCATGAGTCGCGCTGCCCGGCCCTTCGTCACAGGTTTGACATTATGGCGCCCGGAATGGAAGACATAGAGATACACAGCAGAGTGAGTACCGACGGGAATCAACAGACCTGTATAGCCAGAGATGTGCTGACACGATCCTAGAGCTATTTAATCCGCTGGATCAACGCGAAGCCCGACCACACCATCTCCTACACTGTTCAACCGCACAAGAAGTCGATCAACTTTGGCATCTTCAAGCACCCTGGCCATGCGCCTTCCATAACTTCTCAGACGTCAAACTTCGCCGTTTTCCCACCTCCCTCCCCGAACTTGGCCATTGCAGAAGAGGATGTTGCATCTGACAACGCTCCGTCAGTGGTTATTGAGAAGTTGAAGAGCATTGGACTGAAACAGGTTGCGTGGGTCGGCAAATGCGAAGCAGACAGAGTCAGTCAAGGGAGATATGATGTTCCGCTCGGCGAAGCAGGCAACTATGCTCTGGTCTTCGACAACACCTTCTCGAAGAGCATCTCGAAGCAGGCGACCATCTTTCTGCTGACCTATCCGACCGCATGGGCTACTCAGATCCATTTCGGTGCTCAGGCGCATCATGGGCAGGCCATGGCTGGGGCGATGGCAATCGCCAACGGGACCAATCCCAACCGCAGCCCCAGGCTACGGCCATTTACCAAGAATTCTACCGATTCGCTCCGTCGCGCATCCCAACCGACCATCCGAACAGCACCGTCAGAGAGTGCATTGAGCATGGAAGAGCCTGCAACGATACACACCGGAGTCCTACAGAAACGTCGTCGGAAGAAACATCAGGGGTTTGCCAGGCGGTTCTTCTGTTTGGATTACACCTCCTCCACTCTGTCATACTACCACGATCGGAACTCATCTGCTCTACGTGGCGCCATTCCACTCTCGTTGGCTGCGATCGGCGCAAATCACAAGACTCGAGAGATCTCGATCGATTCTGGGGCCGAGATCTGGCATCTGAAGGCTACCAATGAGGCTGATTTCCAGGCCTGGAAGGCAGCATTGGAGAAAGCATCAAGAAATCTTCTAGAGGCGAGTACACCAGGCGAGGGCTTGAAGCTGCACATGGACTATGAAGGCCCGAATACCTCGGCTATGGAAGCACAGGAATGGGCTCGACTAGAGACTCTGTTGGGTAAAGTGTCTGGGACGCGAGATGCTGTGAGAAGACTGTGTCAGGAGGTTGCGACTCCGGCCACTGGCTCCGGACCATCATCGACGACGCCCACGGAGGTGCCAAATGCAGACTACTTCACGATTGGCGAGGACAAGCGACCATTCTGGAAGAGAAAAGCCTCTACCAATGAGCGTGCGAACATTTTTAAGAGAAGCGTATCTGCTCAGCTAGCCGTCCCATTGCCAGGAGCCGAGAATTTGTTGCGCGCACAGTCGCCTGGCGCATCATCACGGCATCGGCTGAACGACGATGGAATGTATGACCACTGCAAAGATCTGCTGCGCGACCTTGATTCGCTGGTCAGCGAATTCGCGGCAGTCATGAACGAGAGCAAAGTCAGGCGTTCGGGACCTCCCAAATCCGCGGTCTCGCGGCTCAGCATGCAATCAGTCGAGTCTCAGGAGTACTTTGATGCCGAAAGCGGCCCCTCGACACAGCTGCTAGAACTGGGAAGTGATTCGGAGCCCGAAGGAAGTACAAGCGTCTCAGGTGTCGACGAAGACTCTGCAACTAGTAGTGATATTGGCGATGATGCTTCGTTCTCACCAGCGAATCGCGCTGGGAGATCTGCCAGCCAGTCGACGTTCCTGCCGCCGAAAGCTAAGAGTCTGACACCACTGCCGCTCGAGCGCGTCAAACGACGGACGACTGTGCCTGCTCCGACTGTGCCGCCTCCTAGTCTCATTGGTCTACTACGCAAGAATGCTGGCAAAGACATGTCGACGATCGCCATGCCTGTCTCCACCAACGAGCCCCTCTCCTTGCTGCAAAAAGCTGCCGAACAGCTGGAGTACTCAGAACTGCTTGATGAGGCGGCAAAATGCACATCGCCAGTCGAGCAGATGCTTTGGGTCGCAGCATTTGCCATCTCACCGCTCTCCGGTACTCGGGTTAAAGACAGATCGATCCGCAAGCCCTTCAATCCGATGCTCGGGGAGACGTACGAGCTCGTCCGAGAAGACAAGGGCTTCCGCTTTGTGTCTGAAAAGGTCTCGCATCGACCAGTACAGCTCGCCTTTCATGCCGAAGCGGCTGAGTGGTCGTTCACCCAGTCGCCAAAGCCTCAGAATAAGTTCTGGGGGAAGTCGTCTGAGATCAGCCAGGAAGGCAAAGCACGCCTGCACTTCTACTCGACCGGCAACAGCTACGTCTGGACCGCAGCAACGTGTTTTCTCCGCAACATCATCGCCGGGGAGAAATACATCGAGCCGGTAGGCAGCATGACGGTGCTGAATGAGACGAAAGGCCAGAAAGCCGTCATCACGTTCAAATCGAAAGGCATGTTCTCCGGTCGCAGCGAAGACGTCGAAGTCGACATTGTCGACGAGCACGGTGCACGCACAGGTCTCGGTCTCGAAGGAACGTGGACGAGCCTGCTCAAGCGTAAGGACAACAAGCAAACCGTCTGGTCTGCTGGCCAGCTTGTCGACAACGCGCCCAAGCACTATGGCTGGACCTCCTTCGCGTCCACCCTCAACGAGATTACGAGTGTGGAGAAGGACAAGCTTCCTGCCACGGATACGCGCTTGCGGCCCGACCAGCAGGCGCTGGAGAAGGGGGACTATGATTCAGCGGAGCAGACAAAGAATGAGCTGGAGGAGGCGCAGCGGGCAAGGAGGAAGGAGATGGAGGAGGGTGGGCAGGAGTGGAAGCCTAGGTGGTTCGTCAAGGTGGACAATGGCGACGAGGTGGTATGGAAGTTGAGGGCTGGGAAAGAGGGGTACTGGGAGGAGAGGGCGAAGGGGTCGTGGACTGGGGTGGTTGATGTTTTGAGTGTGTAGGCAACCAGTAGGCCTTGATAGACATTGGATGTGGTCTGTGGCTCTTTCTGATTTCAGCCGCCTTGCTCGAGAACATGTCCGGCCCGTGGATTTGCTGTACATCTTCTGTGTCATTTCCTTTTTGCGTCATGGAGTCCATTTTATTCCATGATCTACACCAATCGAATCGAAGCCGTCTTCGACAGGCCATCCTTTTCCCCTACACAAGCCCGAGGGTATCCCTTCGTGCGCCTTGAACGCCTGATGCATGCCGTAAAGTACTAAAGACCGAGACCTTAGTATCCTCGTCCTCTACCTCTCGGAGCTCCACGACCGCCACCTCGTCCGCCAAATGATCCTCCTCGGCCTCCTCTTGGTGCGCCCCGTCCACCACCAAACGAGCCACCGCGACCGCCAAAAGAGCCGCCACGCCCACCTCGAGGAGCTCCACGGCCTCCTCTGGGTGCACCTCGTCCACCTCGTGAGTCGCCTCGGCCTTGTTGTCCTGTCTTTCTGACCTTGCCTGCTCCTGGAACTTTTGGTTTCGGTAGGAATCTGCTCCTTGTTAGCCTCACGCTCACATGTCGCACTCTACTGGCGCACCTCTCTAGCGGCAACAGCTTGTCACCTCCAATGAAGAACTTGTCCCCCGACTTGAACGATGTAGACTGTATGCCGTCTTGTGGTTTTATTGTGAAGTAGACCTGATTTATGGGACCTAGTATTTCGTCGATCTTGCCGATTTGTGTCTGCCGACCGTCAACAATCGTTCAACTTATTCTGTGCAACGACTGACCTTGTTCTCGAGGTAGATCGGAGCGTTGAAGAAGGGGATTTTGGCGTTGGTGGACTCGCAGACCATGTCACCTTCCGAAGGATGCATGAATGTGCCAATTTCTTGAGCGAGTCAGTACGTGGCAGGAGCACAGGAAGGATCGCACTTACCTAGAACCTGCGCTGGAGGACCATAGCTTGACTGGAAACCACCACCACGACCTTTTCATTTTATTAGCATCACAGCATACCAGCAGTATTTTAGCGGAGACGTCGATTTAATCTTACCTCCGCCTCTTGAGAATCCTCCTCCTCTTCCACCCCTATCACTACCTCGAAAGCCACCGCGAGAACCGCCGCGGAACGACATCGTGCTCGGCGCTGTTCAAGTGGTCGTCGGCTTGAATGCGCAGCTTGCGGAGACGGCGTGAGCGATAAGTTTCGTGTCCTTCAATAAATGTTCGAGTTCCGCGCTGCGGGCACACTTCAAAAATTCGGACGGCACGTGATTGGTTCACAGCAAGTTCAGAGAATCCACCGCTACCACCGCTGTCTCTCCACAACCACAACAGCGTCCGTGCCCAGAACTAGATCTAAATTCGGGAACACAATTATGAGCCACAAGAGGAATATCTCGTTGAAACCACACGATCTCTGGGGCACGTTGAAGGGAGACGAGGCGGGTGGAAATCACGCCGGCACTTCTGAGTCATCTAGCACCCCTTCCACCAACAACACAAAAAGACCTGTCAGTCCGAACCAGAGTAAGAAACTCCCGGACCGGCCTAAGCAAATGTCTACTCAACCAGCCGCTAAGGGCGGCCCGCCCGAAGGTCTGCCGGTTTTCATCACAGAGAGAAATCAATTCTTCGAACAGCTTTGGAAGGACAACGAAGAGCAACTCAAGTCACGGGACAAGCCTGACATCAAGATCGAAGTCACTGTTGAGGGTCAGTCCAAGGCCGAGTTCGACGGCAAAGCTTGGGAGACCACACCTGGCCATCTATTGAAGCACGTACCGAAGGACCGTGCTGGACAAGTCGTGGTAGCAAAAGTCGATGGCGAGCTCTGGGATCTCGATCGACCACTCACCAAAGACAGCAAAGTCTCGTACCTTCTCTTCTCGGATCCAGAAGGCCGCGATGTCTTCTGGCACTCGTCAGCTCACGTCCTTGGAGAATGTGCAGAGCACGAGTATGGCTGTCGACTGTCTCACGGTCCTCCCACCGCCATGGGTTTCTTCTACGACATGGCTCTGGAGCCTGGCGTCGCGGTGAAGGAGTCAGAATGGTCGTCGCTGGAGTCAAGAGCAAAGAAGTTTGTTAAGGACAAGCAACCTTTCCAGCGTCTCGAAGTCTCGAAAGAAAACCTGAAGAAGATGTTCGGCTATTCGAAATACAAGATGCATTACATCGAGAAGTTCATCGAAGACGGTGAGTCGTCCACTGTGTATCGGAACGGCGACCTTGTCGACCTGTGTCAAGGACCTCACATTCAGAACACTCGGAAGATCGAAGCATTCAAAATCATGAAGAATTCATCGGCGTACTTCCTCGGAGACCAGAATAACGACTCCCTACAACGTATTCACGGTGTGGCATTTCCCAACAAGAACCAGCTTAAGGACTGGGAAAACTTCCTCGAAGAAGCGAAGAAGCGGGATCATCAGCTCATCGGCAAACAACAGAAGCTCTTCATGTTCAGTCAGATGTCGCCAGGCTCACCGTTCCTCCTCCCTCACGGCACTCGTATCTTCAATGCCCTTCAACAGATGTTGCGCGATCAGTACTGGGAACGCAACTATACCGAAGTACAGTCTCCTAACATGTACGATGTCGAACTGTGGAAGATCTCCGGCCATTGGCAGCACTACCAAGATGACATGTTTCGTGTCATTGTCAAAGACGATACTGCCGAGCCTATGCCTCTCTCCGACCAGAAGCCTTCCGGTGCCCCGATCGCCAATCCCAAGAATGAGGACAAGGATAAGGGTGTCTTCGCTCTCAAACCCATGAACTGCCCAGGCCACTGCGTCATGTTCAAGAACGAAGAGCACTCATACCGAGACTTGCCGTGGCGTGTTGCTGACTTTGGTGTGCTTCATCGCAACGAAGCCTCCGGTGCTTTATCTGGCCTCACGCGTGTTCGCAAGTTCCAGCAAGATGACACACATATCTTCTGCACACCCGATCAAGTCGAGAACGAGATCAAAGAGCTCTTTGACTTCATGACCTACGTATACGGCCTATTTGGCTTTCCCTTCAAGTTCATGCTCTCCACTCGACCGGAGGGCTACATGGGCAAGCTAGAAGAGTGGGATGCGGCGGAAGCACAACTCAAGAAAGCTCTGCAGGACTTCCGAGGTGATGATTGGGAGCTGAACGAGGGTGACGGTGCGTTTTATGGTCCCAAGATTGACATCACCATCTCCGACGCGCTGCAGCGCGAGTTCCAGTGCGCCACCATCCAGCTGGACTTCCAAGGACCACAAAACTTCAAGCTCGAATACCGTACCTCTCAAGACACTGCTGCTGAAGGTGCCGAGGGCAAGGCCAGTGAAGACCCCAACGCTCCAGCTGTAGGCATGGCTCGACCGGTCATGATCCACCGTGCCATCGTTGGTTCATTCGAACGCTTCATTGCTGTGCTGTGCGAGCACTTCGCCGGCAAGTGGCCTTTCTGGCTGTCGCCTCGCCAGGTTCTGGTCATTCCGGTCATGAAGGGCGCCGAGGATTACGTGTTCGAGATTCAGAAGAGATTTAAGGACGCTCGGATGTACTGCGATGTCGATGTCAGTGGCAACACTCTGCAAAAGAAGATCCGCACTGGTCAGCTGGCACAGTACAATTTCATTTTCGGTACGTTACCTACACCAAGCCCTACCCTGGATAATTTCCTAGCCAGACTGACTAACCTTCAATGCAATAGTGGTCGGTGCCAAAGAGCAAGAAACCAAGACGGTGAACATCCGCAATCGAGACGACCCGGCGACACAGAAGCAGGGCGAGCTGATCCCCTTGGAGAAGGCGCTCGACCGTCTCCGTGACCTGCGCGACTCCCGACGACTCGAGAGCAAGATTGATATGTCTAACTAGCGGCTTGAACATGTCAGAAATGTCGGTCTCTGGGCAGGAGCGATGAGCATCGGGCGTGACGCTTTTGCTCGAGCTGCAGAATACTCGGAGAATCAGCGGTATCAGCGTTTGTGGGAGCAAGCGCATCGTGAGGGGGATTGGTACGCGATGCAGCTTGAGAACATGGCCTTCGAGGATGAGGTCAAGCGATTGGCGAAGGAGAAAGCCCTAGCTCATGAGGCAGAGATGAAGAAAGTCAGAAAAATTGAGTGGGCGGCTGAGGAAGAAATGCAGCGGAGGAAGGAGATTGTCGAGGGCAAGAAGGCGGTCAGATTTGCAGACGAAGTCGAGGCAGGCCCTTCATCGAACATTGAGATTACCAAGCCTCTGAAAGCAAAGGTTCGGGATCGAAGCACGGGAAGCATGGACTATGAAGACAACCTGCCAATACCGCCAGCGCCATTCGGGTGGTTGTGACGGCAGCGTGCGCCAATCCTTTGGCTTAGCGTGGCCGCGTGGGTATCTTTACAGCATCAAGACGACCACTACGAAAACCAAAAGCTCACCCGTGTGCAAGGAACATGGCGAATCCATAGATTCTCTGTATCGAAGATACTAATCAGGTAGTGATCACTCGTTAGAAGACCAAGCTGACTGTCATCAAATCAACGAGAAAGACAACGTTCAAATTCAATTATCCAAATCGTCCGTCCTCCCATCATTCGCTTGCAGCACGCTCTCCACGTCCCCCAGTACCAGAATGATCTTTCCGACTGCACACAGCCATCGTCCCTTGGCGACAGGCGCTTTCTAGGCAAGAGGCTGCTACCCTTGCGTGGCCTCACTCGAATGGACCGCTGTCCCCCAATGACGTGGGTCTGTCGACGGCGGGATTGACGGTGACGGTCCTGGGAACATCGACGCCGCTGGATGTTGTGAGGATGCAAGTGTTGCGTCCGGCGTGACCGCATAGGGCGTTCCCGGGACAGTACCAGGAACAGATCTGGGTGAAGTCAGAACAGATAGGAACGATTTGTAGAGACCGGGGAGGCTGGTGAGGATTGGTACAAAATGATATACTTACGAACAAGCCGGGGCAGAGAGTCTCGTTGCCCTGGCAGTCGAGCGTGTATGGTGAGAAGACTTGGCGTTTGGGGAGGTCGTTGAAGGGTGATGTGATTGCGAGAGCAGTGAGGATGGAAAGTGTGGTGATCAAGGGAAGGCGGACGTGCATGTTTGCTGGACGCTGGATGCTATGCAGTACTATTCGTGATGTTTATCGTATGTACGATAAGGGGGATGTCGATTGCGAGTCTACGGATGTATGTACTCTATATGGCTGGCGCATACTACCTCCTGTACATTGCTTCTTGCGGCGGAGTGGCGGCAAGTTCTTGTCTGGTAGACGCATACGGACCGGACGCCAGCTCCGAGAGGGCGACAGAGTCCCCGAGGGAAACAAATAAATGCGAGTGCGAACCAATGCTATGATCTTTTCGTTGCAAGACTTGTGATGATGCTACACTGTCTCCTACTAGGCCACGTTCGTTGACCCTCGTAGCGGCAAGTATCTCTCCAAATCCATCTCTGGCTCGACGTCCTCCAGCACCTCGTCCCACCTGATCATCGCCGAGCTGCTGTCCTCTGGCATCAATTCAAGAGAACGTGACGGTAGTGCTAGGCTGCCCAAGAGTGATGTCCGGAGGAGGAACAGACGTAGCTGTCGGCGGCTCTACAGGTGTTTCACCACATTCCCCGATAGAGGAACCGCAGGTAGCATCTTTGGGACAAAACCATATGCCGGTACACTGCCGTGAGGCAATCGTCAGCTCGCTGATGCTTGATGGTTTAAAACTTGATTCGACTTACAAAGGACCCAGGAGGTCCACAGCTGCCGGTGCACTGAATATACCCACCAGGAGGGCCGAGTCCGAACTGGCGGCGTTCGACCGGCGTAGCCGCTGTGAGGGCCAAGAGGGACAGGGAGGCGGAGAGGACAGCGTTGAAATGCATGGTTCTTGATGAGTCCGCGAGGGTAGGACGAGGCGACTGTTGGTGGGTGTGAAGTTTCTGTTTCTGCGGTCCGACGGTGGCGAGTCCGATGGGAGAAGCTCGATGTCTACGGAGAAGTCCCTCCATTGTCTTTATAGAAATTCAGATACAGTCTTAATGTCTCTTACTTTGCCGTTTTGAGGACACGCCGATGTTGCGGGAAAGGAACAACCCACCTACGAGGAGCGGACGTCGACATTGCGCTGCTCCGATGAACAGAAGCAGTGAGGACAGGCAGTCGGATCCGTCAGTGTAGACCGACTGCCGGTGGGTAAAAGTCGTATCGAAAGGATGAAACGCGACGCACCAAGTCCAAGGCAATAGAACTGCCAGATGCACTGGTCATGTGTCCTCCTTGTCGGTTGACTATCTCTCAATCTGGCGTGCCGTGTCCGCAGTCAGGTTGATGTGGAATAGTGATTAGTCTCGAAGGTGACGTTGATGTTGCCTCCGGTCCGGGGCATCATCGGTATACGAGACTCAGGCTGGCTCATCCCCAGATTCTTGCCCATGATGATCTGCAAAGGAGGCGGAGAGCATCGTATAGCCAGCATCTGTGGATTCGTGGTACGAGAAAGAGCGAGATGAGTGCCCCTTCCTCGCAAGGCTAGGACATTGGAAGGTGTTGAAGGCTTCTTTCCGCATCTGAATTGGTACGGAAGTCGTGACTGCCGCCAGGCATCAAGGGATAGATACTCGCGAGCTTCTTCATGTGCTCGCATGTACAGGTCGGCTCTTACTGTTGAAGTGTCCACCATTTCGAGCGTCAACGCCGAGAAGATTGAGCCTGTAGCAGGTGAAGTTCACTGGCGTCTCAGCACGGTAGTATGTCATGGTATCAGATCACATTCCCGAATGAGCGTCTACTTAGTACCATGGACCGGCGCTTCCCTTCTTTCGGACCTCCCTAAGAACGCAAAAGCTCGCCATGTCAGCTTACCATTTGCTGAAAGGACCATGTTCTTGTTGCGACAACCGTTGCAGGCTGCTTTGCGCCTGCTTTGCATCAAGCAGCGCAAGATGCAGGAGCACTCTGTCACTCTGGCAGGAGGCACATGTATTGATAGCAGTGTTGGGCAAAGGGTAAGCACAACCTGAAGAGTACTTGGCATGAGAAACACAATTGAAATGCAGTCGACGATTGTGCTCCTCAGTACAAGGACCCACCACGTTGCGCCCGCGACACGGTATGATACTGGGCACCGAGAGGTAAGGTTGAGGTCATATATGAGAGGATTTGTTCAAAGTCTGCTACGAAGACACCGCGATGATGGCAGCGTGCCCACGGCATGACCCGGCTAAGCTTTACGCCACGATAGGCGAGACCCTGTCAAATGCAACAGAAGCAAAAAATTCCCCTCCAAGACCCCACGCCAGCATCGACGACATGAAAAATGTGACAGCACCGACTGCTGGCTTCTCTTTCTTCTTCTACAGCATCGCCTCTCAGGCTCATAATCTTGTTCACAGCGAGCGACTTCAGGAGTTTTGCGCTCGCTAATCCCCATAAAGCTCCAAACCAGATCTATATTCGCTTCGAGACCAACATAAGATTCGTGGTAATATCGGATCAAGCCAAGCGACCATGAGCGGCATCAAAGACAGCGAAGGCACCGCTGTACGTGCGACGAGCCTGGATTATGGCAATTCTACTGGAGCCCGCCACCACTATGACAACCATGGTGAGCCTGAAGTCATCGACCAGCATGAACGGAGCACTGCTGCTCCAGCTAAGAAGTCATGGGCTTCTAAGCTTGCCTTCTTCCGCACCAGGGAGTTCTGGTTCATCCTGGTACTCGGACAGTTCCTGGCGGTATGCATCACGGGGACCAATACCATGTCCTCTCTGTTGGTCGAGCAGGGAACGAACATTCCGGCATTCCAGTCCCTGTTCAACTATATTTTGCTCAACATAGTGTACACCAGCTACACATTGTATGTGTATGGTCCCAAGAAGTGGGCGCGCATGGTCTTCAAGGACGGCTGGAAGTACATTATCCTGGCCTTCTTCGACGTTCAAGGCAACTACTTCACTGTGCTCGCCTACCGCTACACAACCATCATGTCTGCACAGCTTATCAACTTCTGGGCTATTGTCGTTGTCGTCGCCATCAGCTTCGTCTTCTTGAAGGTGCGCTACCACTGGGCGCAAGTCATCGGCATCCTCGTCTGCATTGGCGGTGTCGGCGTATTGATCGGCTCCGACCACCTCCAAGGCTCGACTATCGGCGGCATTAAAGTCGGCGACCAAGTCAAAGGCGACCTCTTCGCTCTGCTCGGCGCGTCATGCTATGGTCTGACGAATGTCTACGAGGAGTGGTTCGTCTCCGGCCGCCCACTTTACGAAGTCATTGGCCAGCTCGGCTTCTGGGCTATGATCATCTCCGGCGTGCAAGCCGCCATCTTCGATCGCGACAGCTTCACCAATGCCACTTGGAATGGTGACGTCGCGGGCTATCTTGTTGGCTATACCTTGATTCTCTTCATTTTCTACTCCTTGGTCCCCGTGTTGTACCGATTTGCGTCGGCCGCATTCATGAATATTTCCCTGCTGACGGGAAATTTCTGGGGCGCGATCATTGGGACAAAGGTGTTTGGACTGACGGTACACTGGATGTACCGATTGCGTTTGTGTTGATCATCTTGGGGCAATTTATTTACTATCTTGGGAAGGGGATCCTCGGAGAGGCGAAGAAGGCTTGGTTGGGTGAGGATCAGGCCAAGGGCATCGATGGGTTTGGCAGTGCGAGGAGAAAGATGAGAAAGATGCAGGGTGTGCAGAGAGGTGATGAGGGGGTCGTGGCGCCTGGTGTAGTCTGAGATGATGCAGGGTAGAACATGTGGAATGTCCAGAAATGGCATTTTGAGTGCGATCTCGCCTACGTCAAAGCTTCTTGGGGGCCGATGGTCATGAACAATGGACTTCTGGGCGAGCGGGGATGGCGAAGTTTTGGAGCTGTATCTCACAGCTACACTGGATGAAGAGAAGGAAGGAATCAGCAACGAGATCACGTTTCCCGTGACTGGAGAAACCCAGATCTCGGTACTTACACTCGCTATAGTAATGCTACTTCTAATTAAGTCACGCCTGCAGTCTGGCCGCACCTTCTACTGGCTTCCTCTCGTTCAAAGTCTCTGACTAGTATTCAGACAGTTGGACACTTTGACGATGGACATGGAAACGGACTTCGCCATGCTGGCAAGATTGTCTTCTTGTAGGTTAGAATATGTGTCCAAGACCGTATGACAAGAGCTCCGCCAGTCAGCGTCTGCACCTTCCACTCCTTCACGCAACAGCGACAGCAGGAGTACACAGCGATCGCTCCTTTTCATCAGCATTGACTGGCGACACCGTCCGTGGCAGGTGCCTCAGACAGCAGCCTTCCACGATTGTTTGCTTTGTCAACCGGCTTAGGCAAATGTCTACGTGAGACCGGTTGGCAAGACACCGCTGCCTTTCGCGACTTCCTGACCGACGGTCAACTGCAGCAGAAACACGCATGGATCGGTCCTTCCCAGACTTTTTCGACGACGCCATGAGCGGAAGGTGCACGCCGATAGCACTTTCCACGATTGCCATTCTTGTCAACCGGCTTGGGCAGAAATCTTCGTGACGCCGGATGACACGACACTTCCGAACAACGCGTATTCCTGCCTTATCTTATAGACGGGCAATGGCACCGCATAAAGGATGCTCTTTCCCACATACGTTGTTGACAACGCCGCAAGCGGCATGTACCTCACAGAACATCATCTGCCACGATGCGGTACCTGCTCACCAGGCTTCACCTTCACGACAACGGGTAGGAGCGACGTCAGTCATGGTCTAGCACAGAAGCATAGGCCAACAGAAAAACCAAAACAACAAAGGACTCGCAAACATGGGAAATGCAACGCATGGAATTCCGGCCTCTCTCGAGACACTGTTCGTGGACCTAATTTTCCATTCCCATATGCATAGGTAAGAATAGTATGCCCTTAATTCCGCTGACCGCCGGTGTGATTGCCAGCACTTGGCAGACACGCGCAGGCCTGCAGAACCAAAGGATGCTTGCTGCTCTCTGAAAATTATCCACACCCTCCTTCCTCGATGATTGTGGTATCGTTGGTATGTGATTTTCTGATTGTTTGACGGTGTGCTAATTTGGCGGGCGCTCAGTGATGAGGACGCATCGGGAGACTGCTTGCCGTCGCGATGCTGTCTTCGTAGGATTGTTGTGCACCGCCGCCCTCCTGCTACAGACCGTGGCTTGTACTGGCGAGGGCCTCATCGATCGATGCGATCAAGCCCGACGAGCCACTGCGGCCACGCAGCGTCACCAAACCCTTCCAGGCCCAGCCTCTCTACTGCTCGCTCTGGAAGTAGTTCAACAACACACTGCGCTCCTGGCTCTCCTCACCCCAATCCTTGACAACCACACAGCTGCAGTTGACGACCTTGCGCGCATTGCCCTCACGGTCCAAGACACACAGACCAGCCCACTCGCCCAGCTGCTTCCCGTCGGGCACCTTAATGAGGGGAATCTTGTGCTCGGAGCACAGCGCAATGACAAGCTTCTTGTACGCTTCTTCTTCGCAGGCCTCATTGAGGACGCACATGTGCGCTTGGCGGCGGTCGAGGGCCTTGGAGGCTTCGCGGAGGCCGCGGGCCAGGCCGTCGTGGATGAGGGCGATCTTGAGGACACCTGTGTGTTGTTGTTAGTCATTACGATGCTGGAGGATTTCGATCACCACCGAGTCAAGTTTCGCATCAGTGATCGCTGTGAGGAGCGAGGACATATTCGTACCTTTGAGGGCATCAAGCACGCTCATCGAGCCACCAGAGGCAGCAGCATCACCGGCGATCTCAACTTCATCGGCGGCGGGAACGGGGGATGTTGGCTCTTCTCCGTCCGACTGTAGAAATCTTGTCAGCACTCTTCTCGCTACAGTAGACTGCAGCGAGCTCCAAGCTATCACAACACAGCCCCACGGGTCTCGACGGGGTGTTGTTGTAGCAATAAAGCCCTCCCAAGCTTGCGCTCGTGACCTTTGTGTAGCCTCGAGAAGATTTGCAACTCACCATTTTGATTGATTTTCTTCTACTCAACGATCGAATGTATCTCGAATCTGCTTGAATAGAAAGGGCAGGTCAAATGTCGGATGATCCTCAAAGAGTCTTAAAGTGCTACGGTGTTGTGAGTGTGAGTTCCCATGGGTAACTTGCAGACATCAGAAATGATCGAATGTGTTAGAGCATCTTTTCTGCGGATGGGACCGCAGCTTGGCAGTGGGCGCTTGGCACTGGATTCGGCTGAGTTGCCCCATTTGGCTTTACTCGGCCGACGTACTGATGACCTCTTCACCGCCTACTGATCAGATGGCATGGAACAACAAAACAGACGCTTCGGCGGGAGCTCAGTCGACTGGAGACCTAAGGCACATAAGAGCAAATACGGCTCGGCACGATGCAGACATACGAAGCAGAAAAGGATGGATCGTCAATGGAAGGCATTTCTCTTCCTCTTAAGTTGTGCTTTATATACAGAGTGGTCATACTGCGTGATCATAATATTCCGCCAGACTCCTGTCGTCCGACTGCCCAAACGAATTGGACATATCACACATGCTCCTTGTCGTTCATCTTGCTTTGCGTACGCTACACCTTTGATTCCTCGAGCCTGCTAATGCGGGCCACCGTTTGTATAAGGCACTGGTGTCTGGCGCTGCTGGTTGAAGCCGCTTCCTTTGAACGGATAATTCTGTGTGTTGACACCATTGGCTTGTGTTGGTGCTGTTATCGGGGGCGACGAAACCACAGGTTTGCCGACTGCGCCTATATGAATGGCGATGCTTTGCTTCCTCAAGACCAATCCGTTGAGATGGTCTTGTCGGATCGCTTGGTCTTCGAAATCAGAGTACTAATACTGTCAGTACAACTCGAGCTTACTTTTGTGGGAACCGGTCTCACCTTCACCCAGAAAACCTCTGCCATATTCATGAATTTGGGACAATTGACTCGCTCGGCTTCGACGGCTACGTGTAGTGGAGGTGGCCAGTTGGGGTTGTATATCGTCGGCTGGAAATCAAAGGACAGGATATTCCTTCCAACCTTCCACATTCTGGTCCTTTCGTCCTCATTCGCTGGCCGCTTCTCAATGAGCGTGTAATTGCGAAGATTGAGGTCTTTTGTCGCAAGGAGAGGAGCTGCTTGCCAATTAGGAATCCATATGTCATCCGGAGCAGCATATGATGCAGACGGTCCAAGCTGGTCCGTACGAACGGTGAACAGCGGCAGAAAACGCGAGAGCACTCATGAGACTTGGCCTTCGGATCGCTATTGTCGATGAGCTGTGCAGCGGTACACAAAGCAATCGGCATCGCTTCCCGACGACGTCGCTCAATCTCGAGATGTTGTAGACGAATCTGTTCTTCTTGTTGTCGTTGCAATTCCCGCCGCTTCCTCTCCTCTCGCTCCTCTTGCTCCTTTTTACGGGCGGCTGCCTCCTCCTCAGCACGTCGCTTGGCATCGGCCTCGTCAAGCTTGCGTTGGACTTCCGCCTCTTCAGCAGCACGTCGTTCTGCCTCGGCTTTATCGGCGGCTTTCTTTTCGGCAGCTTGTCGTTCAGCTTCTGCCTTCTCTGCTGCGGCCTTCTCCGCAAGTTCGCGCTCGACGGCTGCCTTTTCTTCTACTTGACGCTTAGCTTCGGCTGCCTCAGCATCAGCTGCAATTTCCTGAGCGACTTCTTGGCGAGTGTCTTCCTGCGATGGAGCATCCGCCTGTGTCACAGTTCCGTTCGCGGGAGGATCCGTGAAGGAGGTCGCCTGTTCCGCGACAGGCACATCTGGTTCTCCGGGTGCGTCTTGCTCTTCCACGACATGCGGTAATGCGTGTGGTACATCTGCACCTGCGGAATTCTTCGGTGATGCTGATCTCTTGACCGCTCCTTGGCTGGACTCGTCTGCCATCTCAACATCCGGAAACGGAGATGTGGTCTCTGTCAGTGTCGTTGAAGGCGCAGGTCGACTTTCCTCCGGACTGCTCTCGAGCACCGTCCGTCTTTTCTTGATCACGACCCGTTCTGACTCAGCTCCTTGAGCTTCAGGTGAAGCACTGCTACGATTTCGCTTCAGCCTAGAAGCGTTCTTCCCCCGTTTCGTCTCGATATCGGAGTCACTGCCATCGGAATGTCCTGTGCCAGCACCACTTTGACTTCTCCGATGCTCCTTTCCAGAGATCAGGCGTCGCTTACGCTGCGTGGTCTCAGCTTCCAAGCTTGTTGGCACAGGCATGTCACTTTGGCTACGTCGATGTTTGTGCCCGCGTTTGTCATGGACCGTTTGCTCCTGATCCGATGCGACTGCGACATTCAAATCCTCCTTCGACATCTTCTCCAGTGACGGGCTACCCTGTTTGCCGTCTTTTCGTGGTTGGCGAAGATTCTTGTCGGGCAAGCTTTTATGCGTTTGTGTCGGACTAGCCGAAAGGCGGAGCTTAGTGGACGACGGCGATGCTGATCGGCGCAGTCGCTTTTCGCGTGTGCGATCTGAGTCGCGGGTTTTCCTTGGCGACTTTGTCTTCGACTTTCCGGAAGCATATTTATCAAAAGCATCCTTAAGAATATCGTGTTCTTTCTGCCAATTCTCGCCCTTCCTTTCTGCTGATATCTCGAAGTATGTGCGACCTCTGTGAATTTTGGTCGGGTCGAAAGACTGCTGAGCCACAAGCAATTTGACGACGTCGATGTGGTTTTGACCGATAGCTGCAAGCATGGGAGTATTGTAACCAGTCTTGAAGCCCAGCTGTGGGTCTGGATCAGGATCTGCATCTCCAAGTGCTAGCATCAGCTGCAGGACTTCCTCGTGGCCAGCTTTTGCAGCGGCAATAACTGCTGCAGGCTCGGCCTTCTGAAGGATCCCCAACGTGGTGACCACACCCTGGACATTACCCTTTTGTGCAAGTCGTTGCAGATTTTCTTGGTCATGTCTCTGCCATAACAAGTCAGGCCGAGTGGACTCGGTGCGCCCTGTACGAGGCTTGCGATTAGCGAGTCCGGAAGCGGGAGGACTTCGTGTGCCTGTCGCTGGGGGCGAGCCTCGTGGGCTCGCAGCAGAAGCAGCTCGCGATGAACCTCCATTGCCACCATGGTCGCTGGATTTCCTACGTTTTGTCCAATCTCGTTCCTTAGCGTCAGCAATCAGTTTCCTGATCTGTTTGTAATGCTCGTCATCGGCTTTGACAAGGTCATACGGCTCGTCGCCCTTCGCGTTGGCTAGTCGGGGATTGGCTCCGTGTTGTAACAGCAATTCGACAACTTCGAAATGCTGATTTTCGACAGCATCAATCAAAGGACTGTCCTTGTCGATATTTAGGGTATCGACTTCGGCCCCGCTCTCCAGCAGGAAGCGGACGATGTCAGTGAAGCCTTCGAGAGCAGCGATTTGCAGTGGTGTATTGCCAGCATTGTCGGGAACATTGAGGTCCTCAGGTCGCGTTTCCATGCAAACTCGGGCTCTCTCGAGGTCTTCGTTGTTGCATGCTCGAGCTAGCAAGGTGCGGCCGTTCTTATCGCGGTGTTTACGTGTACCAGAAGGCTTCGCTGGCGATATATGGTCGGTACGCGAATCAAATCTCTCAAGAGCAATCTTTTTCGGAGCAGGACTCGAATCCTCGCCATCGTCGGAAGAGTCTTCTCTTCCGACGGACTTGTTACGACGGGTATTGATGTTCGGCGGTCTCCCTCGCTTCTTCCGGTCCACATCACCAGACGTGATCTGAGTCGATGCACCACGTTTGTGGTCCCTCCTCGACGAGGACGGCCTTGGAGAAAGCGAGCGGTCTTCAGAGGACTGTCGCGGATATGTCGCAGACCTGGTTTCCCGGTGCTCAGACGACGGATCGCTTTGTCCTACGGAACCTCTGGTGCGGTGCTTGGTCGGACCTGGAGGGATGATGTCGCTTGGTCTTCTCTTTGCCGCCCTGGCTTGCGCACTGCCGTCAATAACTCCAGAATCAGCTCTCGATACTTGTCGTCTCATTCGTGCGATATGCGCTGACCGAGGAGTGTCTGAAGCGTCTGAGTCGTCCTCTTGAGACTGTGCTCGAGCGCTGGGAGACGACAGAGGAGAACTACTGGCACCGCTTGACTGCGGAGCATTTCGGTCGGTGCTTGCATCGCGTTTGCGTTTCTTGACACTTCTGCTGGACTCTGGACTTGTGTTGTCGTCCTCATTGTTCTTACGCGCTCGGCCAGACGAAGTTGGACGCAGATCTGGTGCACTATCAACAATGTTTCTCTTCTTCTCCGGCGATAGAATCTGAGTCTCGGCCTCGCTATCGCCGTCTTCGCCTTCAGGGTTCCCTGGAACATCATTCGCAGCGACGGCGGTCTCTTCCGAAGTATCTTCTGTCTTTACGGTGGCCATCTGGGGCTTGCCAGCGGTATCTGTGGTGACATCGAGCGAGTTTGCGACGGTGGTGACATCTTCAGCAGCACCGGATGCAGCCACTTCTGTCATGACATTGAGATTCTCATCATTGACGACTGAATTACGACTATTCTCGGCCGTGTTTGCTGGACCGAGGGTGATAAACACGTGGTTGGGGCCCGATTGAACAGTCGCGGTGAGTTGCGATAGGCAGCTAAGAGGACAATGGATAGCCTAGAAATTACAGAACAATGACCGAGACACGTTTTGAGACAACGGTATTGATTTCGAATGTATTCTGACACCTTTCGGATAACGCGCACGGACGATTGATGGTAATGAAATGTGGGAAATGCGTTGTATGAAGAGAAGAGCAGAGTCGCTCAGTTGGGCCTGCTCCACGCTACTGCTACTTCCTGCCAAGCCTGCCCGTCGATCATGGTAACCTGTGGGAGGAGCGGCCAATCGCATCTGGCTTGGACAAAATCTCCCACCAAAACGACAGGGGTTGAGGTCGAGCGCATGGAAAAACGCCTTGAGAGCGACTGACGCCGATATCTTCAGCTTCGACTTGGTACACCCGGGCAACCACGATGTTCCAGCTTGGAGACCATGCAGTGACGTTTGGCCATGCGGGATTGCTCAGCTGGTTCATCGCGGTATCTGCGCAGCCTGACATCATCATAACAGTCGTACGGTGTTTCTACCTCCTCTCTGCAGCTTGCATCCTGCTGGTGAGATGTGTTCCGCCGCTCCGAGATCGTTTCCTCGAATATGGAGCACGGCGCGTAGAGAGTGACAAGGGTCGACATAAGAGTGTCAGTGAGGCCTCGACCCTTTTCACACGGTCGCTGGACTATGTTGCGAGCTGGCGAGTTTCTCACTCTTATTTCCTACTGTTCTACTCACATCGACGTCGCTTTCGGCATACTGGATATACAACACCTACAGCAGCGAGCCCTTGCTCAAGCCGCGCTCGATTGCGCCAACATATGCACTCGTCTTATTCGCACTGCATTCTCTGCGTCGTCTGTATGAATGCATGTTCATAGTCGTCCCGAACCCGGGCTCAACTATGTGGGTTGGCCACTTCGCCATTGGATTGGCATTTTACTTGTTCATCCATGTCGCAACTATTGCGGAATACGCAAGCGATGAAGGAACGCCATCCACCAGACTGACACCCAAGTTTGTTGTCTCCACTCTGGTGTTCGCCATTGCATCAGTCTGGCAGCATAAGTATCACGAGTATCTCTCCAGCCTTGTCAAGTACACCCTTCCGAACCGTTTTGGCGCCACACACATCGTCGCGCCGCATTACACAGCAGAGTGTCTGCTCTATGCATCCCTCGCTGTCCTTACGGCGAAGGACGGCCAGCTGTTCAATCGGACGCTCCTATGTGTGCTTGCCTTCGTCGTTGTCAATCTCGGCGTTACAGCCGATGGTACCAAGAAGTGGCAGCTGAGCAAGTTCGCGGGAAGGAAGGCTGAAGTTCGAATGCGTTGGCGGATGCTTCCAGGGCTATTCTAGTTGGATCTCGTGGTCCTCACGGCGATCAATTGATCCGAAGAGTGAAGAAACGATACTCAACGGAAGATGTTCATTACATGCTTGCTTCTGTGCAATATTCAGAACCCAGGATGTCATTTTCTTACTGACCATCATCATTCAATGCGTTCATCACATTCATCACATTCAAGAGCAATCATGCGCCAAGTCCATGCAGATGTCGAAAATGCGCTCGTGGTGCGAATGCATCACTTTTCAGTGGTCTCCCCCTCCTGCTTAGTTGCTCTGGAGTCTTCTGGCGTCACAGCCTCTGCGTCGCTGTCATCACTTCCTTCTTCGGAGTCGACAGTCGAACCCTCCTCTGTCGCCGTCTGCTTCTTCTTATCCTTGCCTCTGGCTTTCGACGTTTTCTTCTCCGAATCATCATCCTTCAGCATTTCCTTCATGCTCTTTTTCCAATCCTCATCCGCAATGCGCTTCTTCTCTGCCCGCAGCAGCCGCTCGGCCTCGCGCTGCTCTTCTCTCTCCTTCTGCTGCTCACGGGTCTTTTCGATCCAGGCATCCAAGCCCTCCATCGCGGCATTGGGGTCTTTCTTGTGTATTAGGAGGTAGTCCTGCAAGTCGGCGGGGCTAAATTCAAGCTCGGGTAGATTGTCCGCGAAGGCGTCTGCGAGGGCCTCGACATCGGTCGGCGGCTTCTCTTCTTTCTTATCAGAACTTGCGTCGCCTGTGCTGGATGATGCCGAGTCTGCAGCGGCAGAGGCAGCCGACGTGGCAGCAGGTAGGTCGATGTACATTCGCCGGAAGATTTCCCTGGCTTGCGCGTGGCTAGCGTTGTTGAACTTGACTCTTACCGACACACGACCGGCGCGAATCAAGGCGTCATCCAGATCTTGGGGCTTGTTGGTAGTCATGACCAGAATATGGCCTTCTGGCGCAGCCACACCATCTATAGCATTGAGAAGACCACTGAGACTGACTTTGGAGGTCAAACCAGCGCCATCATCCTCGTCGTCATCGACGGCGGCCTCCTCTTTCTTAGCTGTGGCATCGCGCTTTGTCTGACTAGCGCTACGACGGCCACGTCTGCCTCCACGGGACGGTCCAGGTGCAGACGGCGCCGTCGTACCAACGGACTTGGTCTTCCGGGAAAAGGTCACGTCAATGTCCTCCAGTAAGAGCAGTGCACGACCTGGCAGCTGGTTCAGTAAACTGATCAGGTCGGAGTCGGTCAAGTTCTGGTCGAGAAGCGTGAGGACATAGACGTCGAGATTGAATTTGTTCGCAATGGCCAAGGCGAATGAAGTCTTTCCCACACCAGGTGGACCGAAGAAAAGATAACCCCGACGATATGGGATACCATGTTGCCCGTAGAACAGGCTTGTGGCATCGTCCATGTACTCCTCGATGTCATCAAGAACCATAGTCTTCTGCTCTTTCTGGAGGATGACGGTGTCCATCGCTCTTCTTGGCTTGGCAGTAATTCTTGACCATGCGAGTCTTCCTCCGTATCCACCGTTGAAGGGTCTGCGAATTATAGTAGACGCTCTCTCTTTGTCCTTGTTGGTCTCGAAGATGGACTGCAGCAAGCGCTTGATTGGCTCGGTTGAGCGACCCAGGCAAGAGATGCTGAGCACCTCCATGTTCTTGTACCCACGTCCGGTGAAAGTTGAGCCCTCGCCCTTCTTACGTACTGCCCAGAACAATCGTCGTCCATGGAAGAATAGCTGAGTGCCTTCAGTCTGCTCATACTTCAGCTTAGGTGGCTCATTGTGTGCGCTAGCACGTTTGTTAGATTCCTCCGGCGGATCTCGCATCATCATACGGACACGTTCTCGGGGCGCATTGGACATGGCATTGAGAGACTGATCAGCCGGAGAGTCCTCGTCTCGCCAAGATGTGTGATCAGGTAGTCGAAGAGATCCTCCTCGGAGCTGACGTTGATGGAGGAAACCAAGAACTTTTGCAGTTGAGTCCAGATTGTTTGCAGCTTTGTGAGTGGACCGAAGTACCACATGGCCAGAACGACGGAAAGGAGCCGGAAGGCGGCAGGGTTCTGACCGATCAGAGGAGATAGTGAGGGCATGAAGTTGGTGATGATATACTCGGGCAGATTGCCAACAGCGGCTATCTGGCCACTTGTCGTACGCCGGTTGTGCGACGCCATGGTTGCAGGAGACCTGTGGTCTGACTCGAGTGTGGCCTTAGAATATGTGAGAGACCTTGGCTATTGATCATGCAAATGCAGCGACCACCAGCTGATATGAAACGAGATGCAATATTGGAAAAGTTGTCCAGGTGCGGGGGATTCAAGGCAACGAGATATTGGGCAAAAACTCGATCGCTAAAGATGCGAGGCGGGCACTGAACCGCTTAGCTCGATATGCAATGAGAACCGTGAATGATAGAGTAGCTGAGGCCTGCTGAGTTGAAGTAAGAAGCAAATGAAGTCCAACCAAATAGCAAACAATTCTTAGGGTTGATATAGATATGAACTGGAAGCCAACATCTCGAGGCAATGCGAACCACCGCCACCTTGAGCAGGGATGCCTTCGCACTAAGAAGCTTATCGACGCCTCATGTGTTGCCTGCCTGGCGGTGTACTAACCTCTTTGGAAGACGCGCTGTATTCGCACCTCTGCTGATCTGAACGTGAGTCGAACCTAGCTGCGTGAAAGCAAGCAGGCAATGCTGCTCCGAGCCAATTGCTGAACGAATAACAGGAGCCTTGGCCACACGCTTATAATTCAATGCTTACAAGCGCCCCGGGGCCTTCTGAAAGCAAACCAGGGTGCGTGCATGCCTACCCTGGACCGACGCACGACAACAGCACCACCCGGTAGTGACTGTACTTTGTAGAGTTGTTGGGTCCCATCTGTAGTTGTAGGTACGGTAGTGTGGATTAGAGCATTGGTAAGGAGTGCCATAGTCTTTCAGTACCTAGATATGCAAGCTGGGCTGGTCTCGAATGGAAGGAGCAGCAAAGAAAGTTGAAGGCGACAGAAGGCCACTCGCCGGAAATTGAATGGAGCCATACTACAGCCCTAACCCTAAGTGCATCGTCGAAATGCGCTCGTTCAACTGCAGTGGACGATTAGTAGTGATTTCGTGTGCTGGCCTTTATATTTCTTTCCAGCACAATATCATCCAGCTGCCTGTCGCTAACGGTGCTCACGGTGCTGTTTGGACACGAGTCATGCGTCAATAAAAAGTCCCTTCATCTCCTACCTTGTTGTATCCTTTCCCCAGGACGTGTTGTCTCGGGGCCTTGAGAATGGTGTGCTGCATCTCCTACTAGCACGACAGACAACTGCCATTCCGGCAACCTGCTTGTCAAGGCGCGCCTCGAAGAATATCAACTAGTCATGCCTCAGGCTACCCGCCGCAGGCTCGCGCCACGCCGGCGCCGGACTGATGACGACTTCGAGGATGAAACTTCCACGGTCGGCGATATTGATGATGATTCTTCGACCGATGCGTCTGGCCTCAGCAACGATGTGGATGGCGATGGGAGCGACGAGGAAGAGAATAATGAAGGCGATGCGGTCCCACACACAGCAAATGCTGTCAAGCCAACCATTAATCCGTCAGCGACGAGCCCTATACCAGAAGGCACGCGATCTGCGCCTCTCTTTCCCACGTCGAACGACACCGCAGCTATGATGACGACTCTGACGATTTCCGAAGAGCAAAAGAATCAGCCAGAGCTTCAATACGAAGACTCGTCGACTGGCAATGGCCACGATCAAGTTGCGTCGTCTTCCCAGACAAGCGTGCCGCCATCTGGCCCGGCAAAGCAAAACCCTGCTCAGAGGGCCCGCATGGAACATCAAGAGTATCTGAAGCAGCGCGACTCCAATCCTGCCTTCGTCCCCAATCGTGGTGGCTTCTTTCTTCACGACGATCGGGCATCCGGCACCGCACCTTGGTCCCGACCATTTGGCAGAGGCCGGGGCAGAGGCAACCACGGACTTGCTAGCAACGGGTAAGATGGTCTGGTCGTAATCCCTGGCTGTTTGGCTGACACAATACAGACGAAATGGCCACTTTGCAGAAGCTTTAGATCAGCAGTGGGCGCATGATCTGCACGACCATCATGAGACGAAGCCCGTCGTACAAACCAGCGCTGATGGTCAGAATCTCCATCGAATCACCCAGGCAGGCGGAGTCTCACAATCTGCTGGGCCGAAGCGAGAGTTCTCCTTCACTGCCGTCCTCGGCGCCGTGAAAGTCAATATCGTTCTACCTGGCATCGAAGAGCAAAGGACGCCAACAGAGCTTACGAAGAAAAAGCATATTCTGCTGCCTACGCATCGTCCACCTTTGCGACGCGACAAGCCTGTACGCATCTCCATTCCTGACGTCGAGCCAAGCTATCGCTTTCCAAGCACGGATCGCTCGTTCATCTTCATTCCTCGAGCCATGCGCCCGAACCAGCAATTCTCTATGCGTGGCAGAGGAAGGGGAAGTTTCCATGGCAGTCGTCGCCCGAGCATTATGGGAGGCAGCGTATACACACCTAGTGTGGCCATGAGTCGCAAATCGTCGTTCGGTGGCGTTCGTGATGGTCGATCCCCTGCAGGGTCGGTGTACGGCAGACCAAATTTCCCTGCCATGGAGCCTCCCCGTCCTGTTGTCAGACTGCCTGGCGGCGGGTCTACTTTCACGCCTCAGCCACCGATGCCCTACGGCTACCCAAATGAGGGTCCTCTCCAACCAGCTTTCATGAATGGTTCTGTCTCGCATGGTGTCCGCTCGACTGCGATGCCAATGCATCAGCCAAGACCGCAGAAGACTCTTTCAATCAGCAACATCGAAACACCTGCGTCGGAAAGAGTCAAAGCGCCTCAGCAACAGAGTCAGCAGCCGTTTCATCAGCAGGTGCCAACATATGTGGGCCAACCTCCTTCCGAGGCGTCGGTGAGATCAGCGGCACTCCATTGTCTCATATACCTGAAGGCGCTGTATATGCGCAACCATTCCAACCATATCCTATAATGGCAGCTCCGGTGTACTATCCACCACAATACGGTAATGGTGCTATATACTACCCTTCCATGCCGGATCCAATGCAAAATTTTGGTCAGAATTGGACAGACCCGTCACAACAACGATTTCCTGCACCTCAATTCTCGGGTCCTTCCGCTGGTCCTCCAGGCAACGAGCAGAACGGCCCAGTCTTCTACGCAGACCCGTCTATGCCAGGTATGATGCCAATGCCAACGGGTGGCTACGGCTTCTACCCCATGGTCAACAATTTCTATCAGACTCAAGCCTAGTCAACCTTTGAAAATTACTGTATATTTTGCCTCAGCATCAGTGGCGTTTCTAAAAAGGACGGAGATCATGAGGACGCTTGTGTTGCATTCGAGCGATTGCCTTCGAGCGTGTCTACCTATTTCCGCCTAAGGTATACTACAATGGCGCAGGGCGTTTTCTGGGACAAGGAGTGGCCTTTAACGACCGCAGGAGGACGAGGGCCTACGAGGAGTGTGAGGGGTCAAGAGGAAGCAGCCTGAGCTGGACGGTTTTGTGGTACCGCGGTCAGCCGCTGCGCGCGATGGCCGAATACTCCAAATCGGGACATTGATAGCATCATTAATCAAATGCATATTCCTACACTTGCTGTCGAACGCTGCCTTTGTCGACGAGGCCTCCGAATGAACAGACATGCCTTCACAGGGTAAATGTGGCGCAGTGAATATTGGTGAAACCGGTGTGGAAGCATTCGTCAAGTAGACTAAATCAATTGAAGTGGCCTGGTCACGCGTGACGTTGGGCGGGGTTCTGCCTAGCCCTCCATCACTCTGACTACCTACGATGACCTGACCTGACTCTCCGACCACCTCTCATCAAGCATCTCACCTTTCCTCGTTACTTTCCTCATTGCAAGTCCTACCAATCTCTCGTTACTTCGTAGCGACTCTGGCAGTCACTGTGCTGTAGTCGACGAGCCCGGATCCTGGATCGCCGCCTGCGCTGACCGCCTGGCTACTATGGCTTCAGCAGCTCCTCCGTCTACGACTGTCCCGACTTCTGGCGTCAATGGCGACACTCTTGTCGTCGTCAAAGTCTTCTACGCCAACCAGAACCGCCGTTTCAAGCTCGCTCTGCGTGATCTTGGTGCTCAAGTTCTCCCTCAGAAGGTTTGTGCAACACGGAATGCGTCAGCCTGATGATAAGACCGTTCAGGCATATAGAACCACGTTCACTAATATTTCTCTCAGCTCCGACTTCTCCTCGCCGTACCTGAAGGCTCCGTCCTGATCCTGGAGCGATACAGCGACTCCGCCGGTACCTACGTCGTCCTCGATAGCAACAACCCTTCTATCTACAAGCAGCTCTACCGAGCCGCGAAGGCCAAGCTGAAGCTCCGACTCAAGGCTACTGTACTGCCCGCAAAGCCGCAACAATCGACAGTTGCTGACCTCTTGGACGACAAGGACGCTGAAGCCGAGAAGATGAAGCCCTCTGATATCAAGGCCGAGCCGAGATCGACCTACCTCGAGACCGTCCTGTCGCAGCCGGTCGCCACCAGCAAGCCCGCCCTCACATTCAAGAGCTTCCAAGATGCAGGTCGCCCACTTCAAGCCTCAGGCGCTGTTCGCATGCCAGGTGCATTCAACTCAGACTCCTATGTTGACCCGCCGCCCCGTCCATCTCCTCAATCAAAGAACCTGAGTCAGCCAACAATTCCCTGCTTCCGAGACTTTAGCGGCACCTTCAGTATCGACTGCAACCATTGTGGCAAGGCTGTTCCCAATGAGCATTATCACTGCAGCATTTGCGAGAACGGAGACTTCGATCTCTGCCAGGCTTGTGTCGATAAGGGAATCAACTGCGAAGGTGAAGATCACTGGCTTATCAAGCGCTTCATCCGCAATGGCATTATCATCCCAAGCGTCACCGAGACCTGCGCACCACGTCAGAACAAGGCTGATAAGAAGATCGAGATTCCCGCTGCGACTGATTTCGAAGAGCGCACCTGCAATAGCTGCATCGACCGTAAGTCCTTTCCCTCGTCCAGCGTCCTTTGACTGACTCTTCCTCAGAACTCCCAGCTTCGGCATTCGTGACATGCAAGGATTGCTCTGACTTCGACTTGTGCCAATCTTGCTTCATGAAGGATGAGCATGGGCATTCTCTGGTTCACAAGTTCGAGCCCGTCAGCCCAATTCTTCACCACAATGTCAGCTCTCAGATCAAATGGCTCTGCCAGCCGGCTCGAGGTCTCGTTCATCAGGCTACCTGTGATGCTTGCGAGAAGGTGAGTCTTCTACATCACGCAAGCTAGGCCCCATACTGACCGCACCTCAGCAAATCGTTGGTGTACGCCACAAGTGCCTTTCCTGCCCCGACTACGATCTGTGCAGCCGCTGCCACGAGAGTGCACCTGAGAAGCATGCCGGTCATCGCTTTGCCCCACTGTATGAAGCTCTCGAATATGTACCTCAGGTCAAGGAGCACCACCGTGGCATCTTCTGCGATGGACCACTTTGCACGAAGCAAAACAACCAGAGCTACATCCGGGGCGACCGCTACAAGTGCAGCATCTGCAAGGACACCGACTTCTGCGCAAATTGCGAGGCTCTCCCGAACAACCCCCACAACAAGACACATCCGCTGCTCAAGATCAAGTGCCCCCTGCGCAATGTCATTGTGCACACGATCGAAGAGAATAACAAGGGTCAAGAGATCAACCACCTAGGCGATCAGCGTCTTGCTAAGCATGCTTCCACTGAGACTGTTCGCTCCACATCCACAAATGCTGCAACCCAAGTCCAGACTGTTGCTGAGGTCCGTCCCGCCGACAGCACGGCTTCTTCCACGGATAACATGAATGCCTTGGAAGCCATGCTCAAGAAGTTGTCTGTGGGCAAAACAGCGGCCGATCTTCAAGCTTGGTACGAATCAGACTCCACGCCAGATGGTAGCAACTTCCTTCCCAACCGTCTCGTGTCTCAATCGTGGACGCTTCGCAACCCTGGTCCAGACACATGGCCTGCAGGATGTGCTGTCTACTTCATTGGTGGCGACGACATGCGCAATGTGGACAACAAGCGTCCTGCAAGCGTTGACGATTTGGTACTCGCGAGTTGCTCCAACGTCCTCGAGGAGGGACTGGAGCCTGGTAAGACTGCAGTCTTCACTGTCATGCTCAAATCTCCCAGTCGCGCAGGCCGCGCCATCTCCTACTTCCGTGTCAAGACTCCCGAAGGCCGACCATTCGGTCACAAGCTGTGGGTGGACATCAACGTCAAGGAGCCGTCCATCGACTCGCCCATCGCCACCCCAGTCATCGAGTCTAAGAAGGCCACAGTCGAGGAGGAGAATGAGACGGCTGGTGAGAAGTCCGAGGAGCAAGAGGGCTCGACCATGATCTTCCCCAAGCTCGACAAGGAGTCGCCTGTCTCCAGTGTACATGATGTGTCCGGAACGGTCGTGGAAGAGGCTGCACCGAGCCATGATGAGCACAGCATCCTTGACGATGTCGAGAGTCTCGAGCTCGAGTCTGAGAGCGACGATGGTTTCCTCACCGATGAAGAGTACGACGTGCTCGACGCAAGTGATGAGGACTTCCTGGATGCTCAGGCTGCCGTCCCCAAATAGACCAGCACAGGCTTACGAACTGAATTTTACGACCAGCCACGAAGGGCCATGATGCCTTACTTCGCCAGGGTAGTACTGAGTTGGGGGAAGGGGACTGGAGGAATTACGGGACGGTTCTATGGAGTTTTACGGATGGGAATGAGTTGTGTGATCTTTTGAAGCTGATGGGCTTCAACATCTCTCCTTTGACCTAGCACATCAAAATGACAGATCATTAAAGCCGATCGCCTCTCTCAAAGTATGGTGCCTTCCTGCGCATGATGTGCTAAAGTGCTCAGGAAGTCCTCCATGTAGTTGCATCGGGATCAGCACGAGGCAGGTACTATATACACTTCCGAACATTGAACGCCACAAGCATGGAGTCTCTCCATACTGACACGGGCAGGTGCGGGGATGTAGCGCACATGCATGGTGCAGATGATAGGCCTAGGCGTCAGGCAGGAACAACACTCTTCTCTACCGACTATAACCACGACTCACCGCTCTGCTCAAATATTTTTGCTGTCACATTCTCACTCGCATATTCATTATCTGCTTCCTCATTGCAGGCTGTACTCTTCCAAGGCTCTTCGACGACGAACGAACGACGTCCAGACCTGCCTTATGTCGCAGCCACCCAACTTGAATATCCATCCAACTGCACTTCCGAAAGGGTGACACTCTCTACAAGCCGAAGAAGGCACAGACAGCAAACGAAGGATCTGAAGATCTTCTAGGAGACGTTCCGGTTCAACAGCTACACCCACCCAGAGCACAAAGTCATATCGCACCGTTAGGATGCACGACAACCTACGTCGACGCGCTCTGGAGAGTGGCAAAACAACCTCAAACAAGGCCAAGTCCAAGCAGTCTTCCAGGACCAGCTCCCGCGCCGCCTCAGCCACCAACTCGCGCGCCAACTCGCGTCTCCAGAGTCGAGATGCTTCGGACGACGAGGATGCGGCGGGGAACCTAAGCGACGACACAAACATGAGCATTAACTCCATTGACGAGTTGCTCGAAAGCGACGATATTAATGAACAGACCACCGATGTCATGCGAGAGGAGCTCACCAACAGCATCGATGAGATACTGCTGACGAAGGGAACCAGCAAGAATAGCAGAGAAGAGTTTCTGACCGTCTACGTACGATGTCTGACGGCCCATCTCTTTGCTGACACGCTCTACAAACGTGTGGGCGACATCATCAAAGCGCTTTGCAGAAGCGTCAAGGCCGAGACAACCGAAAAGGAAACGACTCTGGCACTGCACGCCATTGCATTGACTGCCATCACAATTGAAGATGATCATCTCTACGACCAAGTAGCTTCCGTGCTGAAGCAATCGATCTCGGACGCTGAGCATGCCCATGTGAAGGCAGTCGCCATTGAAGCGCTAGCGGCCTGTCTCACATTTGGAGGTGTTGCCGAAGCCGAGATTGAGGAGAACATGACCTACCTTCTGGAAATTATTTCTTCCGACGGCGAGTTCGTCAATGCTGTAGACGAGGCAGACGTTGTGGCAGCAGCCATTCACGCGTACGCGTTTCTAGCCACGCAAGTAGAGGACCTGGAAGCCGAATCAGAAGACGCGGTGGCTGCCCTACTTGATCAACTGGATTCGGACTCGGTGAAGGTCCAGATCGCTGCTGGAGAGACCATTGCTCTCCTCTACGAGAAGAGCTACACTCCTCGCGAAGACGAAGAGTCCAGCGGAAGTGATGACGAAGAGGATGAAGTCGATGGGGGCGACAAATCACTGGTCAAACGGTACAATGCCTACCATAACACTCACCAAGTTCTGGAGAAGATCAATTCGCTGTCCTCGTTAAGCACAAAGTCGGTGGGCCGGAAGGATCGTCGGAATATCCACCAGTCATTTGCCTCAATCGGTCTCACAGTCGAAAAGCCCAGCATCGGCCTTCGAACGAACAAGTCCGAATTGAAAATTCGACTTCACAATTCTGGAGAAATGAAGGTCGACACGTGGTGGAAGATGGTCCGGCTCAACGCGATCCGTAGACTTCTTTCTGGAGGTCTGGTCAACCACTACTACGAAGGCAATCACCAACTCCTCAATGTGCTTCCAATGGTCATTAGGGATACGAGCATCGGCAGTCCGAGAAAGCACTTGGCAAAGGCGACGAAAGGCAGACACAGAGAACAGAGACGTTTTGTTAGTGTCAATGCGGATAACTTCGATTGATGATGTGTGGGAGTGAGGCATACTTAAGAGACGGGCTTCGCATCGGACTTCAGACTATACTTGCATTTCACGCACACGAAAGAGACGAACACCATAGCGTTGCACCTTCGTTCCAGTATAGCATGAGATACCATAATGACAATCAGCGACTACATTCGCCTAGACCACGGCACAAACAGATTACTTTCACAGAGTGCACCAGCCCTTGGTCCTAGTCTGGTCTCTTTGCTTCCAGAGTCCACTTCTCGTGACTCTAACCCAGCGAGGTACTCGGTACGCATCTGGTCTCCGGCACATTCCTTGGGGCCGAGGACGTCTTTCTGCTTTACACCATGCAGTCGCTTGCCCCGCATGCCGAGCATGTTCGCCTTGCGCTACTGCACCTCACCTCGCTCAATTGAGTCATACCTACCCACTCTGGCACTTCTGCCCACCCCCAGGCGCCCCATCTGCCCAGACTCGAACAATATATCGCGAGTACCTCTTACAACCAGATCCCTAGAGCAAAGATGCCGTGTCTTAAGTCCGGACCTGCATCTCTATCCTTCTTAATTTCATTGGATGCTGCTGGGTGCATAGTGTCACTTAGTGGCGTTGAGCGGGAGAGCTCTGCTGTGCGATTCGTTCCGTCGAATGTATCGAGCTAGAGAACCGGTGAGTTGAGAGAGGTACATGGTTGATTATCTCCTGAGCTGCTCGGGCCCGAACACATGTGATCAAGATGCTATATCAGATGAGGCAAGTCGCGCTCAACACTGACCAGCAGGCGTTGGGTGCATACTTACTGGTACGACAACACCGAGAGGAGCACGGCCACACAGACCCATGACGCTCTCAGCGCTTGCTGAGTGAGACGACTTCCAACCGCAGTATACATCGGCTTGACGGCCGTATAGGAAGGTACTTCAGCAAGGAGTGCTAAAGCATACTTCATCGCTTGAAGACTCAGGCTACCTTCACCCACGTTCGCGACGAATGCAAACATAGTACGGCACAGCACTACAAAGCTCATCAACGACACAATGCCTCCACCAACATCCAAGCCGGTTCCCGAAGACGAAACCCCGGAAGCCGCCATCCACCGCCACTGCCTCGCCGGCAACATCTGGCCCGGCACTCCCAAAGGCACCATCACCACGCTCGCCGGACTCGAAACGTATGTCGCCGGCAATCAGAAGTCTGAGCTGCAGATCTTATTGATTCATGATGCCGGAGGCTGGACGTGGAAGAATTTGAGGTTGCTGGCTGATGAGTACTCGGAACGTTTGGGTGGAGCAGGGGTTTGGATGCCCGACTTCTTCCACGGCGAAGTCCTCACCCTCCAGCACCTCCTCGACGGTCGCTTCGACAAAGTCGACATGCCCACCTTCACAACCAACAACAGCAAAGCCAACCGCCGGCACGAAATCTTCGCCTGCGCAGCCGCTCTCCGCACCCATCAGAACGCCACCAAAGTCGGCACCGTCGGCTTCTGCTTCGGCGGCTGGGCCGTCTTCCAACTCGGTGCGCAGAGCCTGCTCCCGGACGGTAGCGTCAAGGCCGCGCTCGACCTCTCAGAAGACGAGAAAGCAAGCGCTCGTCCACTAGTAGACGCAATCAGCACAGGCCACCCAACCTGGCTGACGAAGGAGGAGATCGATCAGACCCGCGTCCCGACGCAGATTATTGCGCCGGAGCATGATTCTGTTTTCACGCCCGAGCTGAAGAAGTATGCAAATGAGGTGATTCCGACGCTGGGAATTGAGTACCAGTACCGCTACTTTCCTGGGCAGGTGCACACGTTCTGTAGTCGGGGCAGTCTGGAGGTGGAGGGGGAGCGTCGGGCTTGTGAGCGGGCGAAGGGGGCTGTGGTTGAGTGGTTCAGGGAGATTCTGTTGGTTGAGTGATTGGTAGACGGCAAGGGCGCAGAACAGCAGCTTGCAAGGCAGCGACGCCAGGCAGCAACCTGAACTGGGCAAACCTCGTCTGGGCACTCGTGTTCGCATTCATTCAAACTGGCGATCGAATATCCGATTCGTGTCTTGGCGGTCCTCTCTTTGTTCTCTTCTGTTCTACGAGGGCATTGATTCTTACGAGACGCAATACTTAAATGCTGATCGAGTGTCCAAGACAGACAGACTCCCTCCACCTTTCTCACAGCAAGCGTCAGAAACCATAGCAAAGTCCTCCCCAACTCGACCATGTCCCAATCCACCTCCACCACCACCACCGGACCACCCTCAATCACACCAACCCTATACTTCACCGGCAACGCCTCGAAGCCGCGAAATACTGGACCTCGATCTTCCCTTCCTCCTACATCAACTCCACCACCAACTACCCGAACGACCCTTCCACGCCAATCATGCTCAGCTTGACGCTCATGTCCCACATTGAGCACCCGCTGAACCTACTCCTGCTCAACATTCCCGCCGACCAAGCGTCTCGCTTCCCTTGGAATTTCAACGAGTCGTTCTCCCTTACCGTCGCGGTCGATACGCAAGAGGAGATTGATGAGTATTGGGACAAATTGGTAGGCAATGGGGGCGAGGAGAGGGAGTGCTGCTGGTGCAAGGATAAGTTTGGGATGTTCTGGCAGATTGTGCCGAGGAGGCTTGCGGAGGCGATGGGCGGGGGCGGAGAAAAGGCGAGCAGGGCAATGGACGCGATGTTGAAGTGGAAGAAGGCGGATATTGGTGAGCTGGAAAGGGCTATCGAAGGGCTTTGAAGCACCTCGACCTCTTCACATATCACAGGTGGTCGTGTTGAGGTAGGTAAGGGTCAATTTTGGGGACTGCCAATGATTTGTGTTGGTCATCATCTGCTAGAGGACGCCCGAGTCAGATCGACCCGCGATCTTAACATTAATGATATGACAAATAGGTCGCTCCTTCCACTGCTCAAGGCGACTGAAACTCGCCCATAGGTCGAAGCTTGTTCACATCCGTCCCATACCGCCATGCCTCACGGAGTGTATGGATTTCGTCGTCGGACATCACCCTCACTTGGTGCGGAATGTGCCTAATTGGACCAAGTCGAGAATTGTCCAGACTAGATTGCGACTCCATGTTGATCGAGCCCTCGGCACATTCATGTCCTCCCCAGGTAACGTCCCAGACAGACTTCCAGAGCGTGCTGACATCAACGACGTGTTCCTTCTGGTAGTAGATGTGGCAATCAGCCTTCTGATAGCGGAACTGCAATGGAATCTGTTCGATGTCGCCGAGGCGAAGCCCATCGCGAGAATTGACTGAGCCGCCACTGCCTGCTGCCCTGGTCATGGGAATAGAGCTGTACCTTCCAAAGACTTCCTCGACAATGCTCTCGGCGGCCGTCCCTATCGCAAGCGTCATCGCGTCGCGTGCCCAAGACCAGATCAACTGGAAGGGGTACACATTTGCTCCTCTCACTCCACCAATGGCCTGCATAGGCAGGGCTTCTGACTCTTTCTGGCCACCTGCCGCAACAGTCTTGACTCCAGCCTGAATAGTCATCAATTCCACGAAGGAGGCGCACGTCGAAGCACAGTATCCATCTGTCAACATGATGATGTCCTCCACTGCAAACGGACGACCACTATCGGGGTCCAAGTTCGAATCGTCATATCCGCTCTTGGTCCAGAAAGGATCTGACAAGTTCCACTGGATTACGGAAGTGAATCGATCCCCATGGAAATCATGTGGACCGAATTTGTCCTCCCAGGACTTGAAGGCACCGCCGGTAGCGTTCATGTCTGCGAGAGCAACGAATGGCGAACCCATGAAGTCCTCCAGAAGCAGACCTGGTCCTGGTGGATGTAGTTCTGGCCAAGGGTAGTTCGTACCGACTTCATCGGAGACAAGAGCACCGATGAGATTGAAGTCTGGAGTTGCGCGAAATCTGGTCCCGACCCACGGATCGATGTCAGGAAACAAGGTCTGAAACAGTAGCTCCGCCAGCGGAGCGAATCCTCCCGCATTTGCGCTCAAGTCAATGATCAACTTCGACTTACCCGACGCACGGGCGCTTTGTAGGAACTGCTGAACTTCCCGGAGAAATGTCTCAGCATCCGCGAGGAAGCTAGCCACAGAGAGCACGGCAGTATTCTCATAGGTCCCGTCTAAGAAGTAGCCTCCCATTGCGCCGCCACTCACAGCTGCGACCGCTGGAGGGTAGCCTGCGGGGCTACTCAAAGACTGGCGAGGTGACAGGACTTCGTTGACCGTATCACGCGTATCTGAAGCAAAGTTGCCGAGTGTCTCCGCATCATTCAAGAATCTGTTTCGGACATCTTCTCCATCAGTGATGTTTGAGAAGGGACGTAACACCCTCGCGAAGTTCTCGACCTGTATAGTTGTCCCATTCCCAAAAGTCATGTTGACAGCAGGCCCTGGATAGCCTATGGTGCCCCGACCACCACCAGCCCATGTTCCAACAGTGGTGCCAAGCGGGCCGAGCGAGAGCTGCGCCAGGGACACGAAATTCATATTGTAAGCTGCATCCTGGTCTGTCATTGAGCTCCATAAGGCTGCCCGCCGAAGCTCATGTTCGGCATCATTGCCGTAAAGCTTGACTATCGGAGTAGGAGTGAACGATGTGTCGTTGAGCGACAGAAGAATATCGCTGTACACATATGGCTGTGGTGGACTCGCGCCATCATCCGATATTGAGACCAATGGTGTAGGGGTGCCCCAGGCGAATAGACCTTGGATCGCAGGGGTGTATCTCAAGTGTCCATCACGGGCACGAGCAAACATCTTGTACAGATGCGACTCGAAGGTATATTCCTCGAGATAGAAGCCGGGCGAGTTGACTTGCTCAATGAGGGTGTCCAGGTTACCAATCTGTATCATGGTCAGCCGTCCGCACCAAATCTTTGGGCTCGATCGACCTTACGAGATCATAGGGCTCTCGCCAGTACTCGGTGGAGGATCTTTCAGATACGCTGTTGTAGTTTGCCATTGGAGGTAAGGGCGAAAGGACTCGAGCCACTCTAAGGCGTAAGAAGCGTTGAATGGGATCGAATGCAGGCATTGCCAGGCAGTGTAAGCTGGGACCAGTGGGTATTCACCGTGAGGTAGACTCTCTACCTGCTGTTCGTACAGTTCGGACACATCGGCGCAAGGTTCCCATCCTTTTGGTTGTGGCTGCAGAGGCCTCCCTGAGGCGAGACCGAGGATGTTGAGGACGATGCACGTTATGAGCGATGTGGACGCCATGGTGTCGTGGAGAAGGAACGGGTAGTGAATGTCGAGGGCTCACTGCCGCAAGAAAGAATACGAAACGAACGAGTTGTTGTGCCAATGCTAGTTACTATGCAGACCTGCTGCAGTTTAGCAATGATTTCGGTGGAAGTGGTGCTGCATTGTTGTCAACAATGTGCATCGACAGGAAACACGAAATGCTGCCCACAGTTGTGGTTGCCCTGGACGCACCTTGCCAACGTGCCTTCCTATGCAAACAATAACCTACCGGGCTGTGACGTTAAAATTTGGGCGTTTCCCCCAGACCGCGACCTTTCATTCTCGAGCTACAAATGCTGCTCATCATGATTTCCCGGCCAGGGAGGGCGCTGAGGCCCTTGTACTGTTGCGCACATCGACGCGGCGGGCTTGAAATGAGTCTCACTCGAGATTTAGTCCGACAGATGGATTTCCTGTGGACTTTCTGGTCAGGGAGGACGCTGTAGGAAAAACGCCCAATAATTTTTGTCACAACCTGCCTACCTAGGCCCTCTTCTACACACACAGGCAAGCGCACCTGAACTGTGATGCCATATTTGTCGCCACTGCAGTTCACTTACCGTTCTATCAGCATGAGCAAAGCCAATGTCAAAGCTCCAGGGCGCCGTGCTGTGAGTGCAGTGTAAGACAGTGCAAAGGCTGCTCAACGCCTCCCTGCGCAGCATGTCGCCGTATGTGAAGTGCAAGTTGGATGGCATGGGTAAGCTGTAGATCCCTGCCAGTATACATCATGCAATGGACCTCGGGAGGTCTGCCGTTACACAAGATCCGATGCTGACAGGCGGTTTGTGGGTCAAGCAAACGGTACGCAGGTTGAGATCTAGATAGACAGATGATGCTTGGATAGGTAAGATGCGAAGGCAACCAGTCCTAATGTCAATCCTCACAAATTCTCGATTCAGCTTTCCTGTCGTCTTCCCGAGGCCCGGTTCCCGAGCTTTTCTTTGCTTTTTCTTGCCGACATGTGGACTATCGAAAAGCCTCATGAGGCTATTTGTTGCGCAATCAATGTCCAGCACGAACATACCGAACAAAGAGAGAGCCTTTTCAGCGCGGTCGCCAGCGTTAAGTCCAAACCCTACCTGTCAAAGATGGCACATCAGGGGATTGATTGGCCAACAAGAGAGATCAGGTCGCCTTGCCTGCCCCTGATTCCATGAAAACGTTCTTCGCTTTCCACCCCACTCACCGCCTATAGCCAAATACGACGTGCAATTCGCCCAACCTTGGTACCAGCAAGGATGAGACACGAATTCGCCTTCATCCGCGGCAGCGTCGGCAAGCCGCAAGCATCCACATTTTGAGGAAGCGAGAACGAAGGAAGACTTCCTGGTAATCATGGGACTCGTCGTGTTCCTCACACTACACGTGGCAGAGATACGGCACAATATCAGCCCCTGGCTTACCGTGTAGTGCCCAGGCCTATCTCACAACGGCTGGACTTGACAAATATACCCGCTTCCCTTCTGTCTACATATACCTTTTTCGAAATTCTCGCCATCAGTCGCGCACACACTCGCTGGGAAGGGACTTTGGACGTTCACTTGAATTTCTCGGTTTGGCAAGGAGGCACGGTTGATTGCGGCAGTCCAGTCGTTGCTTCCGTGGACTTCATCACACTCGTTTGCTACTTTCACCTTCCGTTCATCACTTGAGGCTATTTGGATATTGGGTCACGCCTGCCTTTTTATCTGGGCGCTTCTTCTCTGCAACAACAACTTTCGTGCACCATCGGAACATCTGCTACACGATCATTCCAAACCAGAACCAACAAAGAACGTCCAGAGCCACCATGCTTTCGGGAATCTTTACCATCATTATCGCGGCATGTGCATTGCTACCTTCAGCAATCGCCCGACCACAGTCACAACCATACGAAAGCGCTAGTGTCGTTGCCCCCGCTCCCGATGCCTCACACCTGTACAACCTCACTCGAGTGTTCTTCGAGTCGATGATTGTGCCCAACAATCTGGTCCAACTCAAAGGTCTCAACTCATCCATCTTCGCGGAGGACATCACTGGTCGAGTATCCGATTCACGCAAGTTCCTGGGCCGAGAGCTTAACACCGAGTACGTCTATGGCGCTTTCACTGGAGCCAGCGTCAATGAGTCACGAATCACTCTTATCGGCTTCCCACGGACGACAATGACCATGCGCTTCGCTGCGAATCCGGTCGACAAGACAGCCTTCATTACCGAGATCATGAGCTTCGACATCAAGTTGTTGGGCCAGACTATTCCGGTGCAGATGGACGTGTGGTTCAAATGGAACGACAACGACGAGGTTCAGGCCTACGACGCGCGTTTTGTCTACTTTGACTGGCTTATGTCTGACGGCATGAAGACGTTAAAGAATCGGTACAACCTGCCTGATGTTCTGCACGCTCAGGATTTGTCGAAGTCAATGCTCATTTCGCAGATCTGTGAGACGGCAGTAGCGAGTTGCCAGGGTGATCTGCTCCAGTACGACAGTGTTCCGCAATGTCAGGAGTATCTGATGAACAACAAGCGAATGGGCCAGCCATTTGAGTTTGGTGTGGACACCATTCTCTGCCGGAGTCTCCACGAGGGCATGTTGACGCTTAAGCCAGAAGCTCATTGCGCCCACGTCGGTCCTAGTGGTGGCGACATGTGCACCGACAACCTGGATTATGCGACATATGTCATGGACACAGATTTCTTCGACCCGAGCAATGCGGGGTGGTAATTGTACATTACGACTGACTTCGATCGATTCGCCCGAACACATGTATCAGACTACGAGCATCTTCTACTGCTACGAATGAGGTCCAACACTTTCCTTGAGACAACAGCGCCGGCGTTTCGAGAATACTGGGAGCACAGGCATGGTTCTACTGGGTACGAAATTCAGGGCGTTTGACGATCCAGGAGTTTTACTGCAGCAATGGTGGGCTCGCACCCTCTTCATGCGAGTCAGGGTCCCAACAGCATCTGGACAGAAGTCACAAGACCGTCCACAGCATATCAATATGAGCATTCAATACAAATGCTTGCCCTTGACCAAGTAGAGCTCCTTCCCCCACCCCTGCTCGTGACCTATCCCACTGCTTTATTCATGTCTGAGTCAATCCCAGACTGTTGGTGCTGTCTCATATGTTCTTTGTCTGTCAGCAACACAGAATACCTCAAACAAGTTTCCTATATCTGTTTGCTTGAAACCTCTTCCTTCGGTAGAGCCCTGCAGCTTGACCGGCCCGGCGGCGGAAAACATTGCCGGCCCTTCAAATTCCTCCATGAATTTCCTCTTCAGGACTCCACTTCCGCTATCCACCTTCTTTCTGACGTGCTTATGAGTACTGATCTTCGCTAAGAAAGTGTTCAAACGCTCGTGCAGGTCTCTGACTCCTCAGAAACTGATCCTCGCACCAAAGATACTACCAGAACCCATCCCGAATCCGACAGCGCGAAAGCCAGGCGAATAAGAGCACTCCCGCAGGGTTGCCCTCCACTCACGAGTAAGGTAGCTTGGCCGGGCCTTTCGAGCGAACGGACAACCACAAAGCCTCTCGAAGGCGTGATGGCCGACACGAGCATAGAAGCCGTGGAGGCCGAAGGCGGCGGTGGCTGGGTGAGGACGGTGAAGGATCTTTCTGCTGGTGCGGCCGGCGGTGTGGCACAGGTCTTGTTGGGTGAGTTTTAACTGCTTCTTGGCTTTCTTTGCTTGCTTCTGGGGGCCGGCGAGGATGGTCTGCGGGTAGTGAGTCTTGTGTGGTGATCGAAACTGTCGTCGAGGGGGGCACAGCGGCATGCATGCGGCAGGGAGTCTGGGACTTGGACGAACCACTCTTCGCAGCCTGGGGAAGAGCTCTTCAGTGTGCCGTGACCTGGTCGTAAATGGTCGATGACGATCTGGATCTATGTGGCGAGTTCGCAAGGAGTCAAAGGGTGATCAATCGCCCGTTTGGAGCGTGAGCTAATCATTCAACCTGTACAGGACAACCTTTCGACATAGTCAAAGTCCGCCTCCAAACAACAACAACCTACCCCTCCGCCCTCTCCTGCGCCCGCAGCATCCTCGCCAACGAAGGCCCCCTCGCCTTCTACAAAGGCACCCTGACTCCACTAATTGGCATCGGCGCCTGCGTCTCCGTCCAATTCGGCGCCTTCCACTACGCCCGTCGCGCCTTTGAGTCCTCCAACGCCTCCTCCAACCCTTTACTTCACGCTCAACATGCTGCTGGCAACTCGAGTCTAAGCTACACGCAGTATTACCTCTCCGGTGCATTCGCGGGGCTGACCAACTCTGTGCTGTCGGGCCCGATTGAGCATGTGAGGATTCGGCTGCAGACGCAACCACACGGTGCTGGGAGGCTGTACAGTGGTCCTCTGGACTGTATCCGCAAACTTGCTTCACCAGCCTCCGGCGGTGTGCTACGAGGTCTCTACCGCGGTCAAGCCGTTACGTATCTCCGCGAAGCACAAGCCTACGGCGTGTGGTTCCTGACCTTCGAGTACCTTATGGCGCAAGAAATGAAGCGCAACAGTGTCGCACGGAAAGACATCTCGAGTGCCAAGGTGGCATTCTATGGTGGACTGGCGGGCGAGGCCTTGTGGATCGCGAGCTATCCATTTGATGTGGTCAAGAGCAAGATGCAGAGCGACGGGTTTGGGGAGGGGCAGAAGTTTAGGAGTATGAGGGATTGTTTTGCAAAGGTCTGGGCAAGGGAGGGTATGGGCGGGTTCTGGAAGGGGATTGGGCCGACATTGTTGAGGCTATGCCTGTTAGTGCGGGGACTTTTGCTGTGTGAGTGCTTCTCTTCTTGCTCTTCTTCTTCCCGGACGAATTTTGCTGACAAAACGGATGCAGGGTTGAGCTGACGATGAGGCTCTTGGCTGAGTCGACAGTGTGAGTGATGAATGAGCTATAGAAGCTGCTTTGAATCTTGCCTTGAGAACAAGCCGAGGTCCAGACTTCAGCACACATAGAAGGTGCTTTTATAATGGCAAACAAACACCAAGTCTGGGCTCATCATGTCAGGCGCAGCTGTATGTAGGTTACCAGATCAAGCTGATGCTAGAACTGATTCTGAGAACCCAGCATCTCCGGAAGGGGGTGCGAGAGTGATAGATCAGATAGAGTAGGAGCAGTCCAAAAAAGCTGCTGCATCAACAAATCAACGCTTCATCATTCTGTTCAGTTCGCCCACGCCGGAAGCCTCAACGCTGGTAGGCAAAAATGTACAGCTGGTTCTCGCTTCACCTATAGCTTTCCTGTATCATCTATACGGAGCGTCCGCCCTGGCCACAGCCGCCAACTCAGGCTCCCACTTATCACCATTCGACAGCAGCTTCTCCTTGTTATACAACAACTCCTCCCTCGTCTCAGTCGCATACTCGGCATTGGGCGTCTCAACAATCGCATCTACCGGACACGACTCTTGGCACAGACCACAGTAGATGCACTTCGTCATGTCGATGTCGTATCGTGTCGTCCTCCTCGAACCGTCCTCTCGTTCTTCGGCCTCGATTGTGATCGCTGATGCAGGGCACACGGCTTCGCAGAGCTTGCAGGCAATGCAGCGTTCCTCGCCAGAGGGATACCGGCGGAGGGCGTGCTCGCCTCGAAAACGGGGGGAGATGGGACCTTTTTCGAATGGGTAGAAAATTGTGTAGCTGTAGTGCGCTTATTAGTGACCACTCTAGGGCGTGCATGGAGCTCGACAGGCGTAGACATACGGTGGTCTAAAGAACTGCTCCAGCACGACATACATGCCGCGGAACATCTCGGTCATGAGGAAGTAGTTGCTGGCTTTGTCGACTACGTGCTCGCCCTCGTCGAATCGCTTAGGCTTGGGCAGCCGGAAGCCTTTTGGTGGCGGGCCCATGGGTGTGGCATATTGTGTTCTTGAGGTATGGAACTGGGATGTAGTAGCGCGGACGAGGAACGGTGACGAGCTTTGAGCTTGTCGAAGAGCTACCAAGGAGGAGGACAGCGGTCTCGCGACCAGGCGAGATGCTGGACGAATAGAGGACGCCATTGTTGGCGCAGGCTAAGAGGGGAGAGTCAATCGAGAGCAAGTGGCGCAACGAAGTATGGAAATGTAGTCGTAGATGCAGTCGTGGTGTAATGAGTTCTCCGGACTCTCTCATTGGCTCCAGTCGAGTGTGGAGATCATTCGGGGTGGACTTCGATTCTGTTTCTGCGTCGTCCGGAGTACTATTGAAGCTGCGATCCGATTCATCTCATCCCTCGCGACTGCCTTTCGAAGCTCTGTATCTCGTTCGCGACTGCTCCATTCCTCGACCAGTGATCTAGTGATTCTCAACACATCGACCATGTACCGCACAGCAGCGGTGCGAGCGCTCCGCGCAGCGGCCACACGAGCTCCTCTACTCCGCCAGACACCCGTCATCAGATCAGCGCCAACCTTCCAGTCAAAAGTCACACCAGTATTCCCCGTTCCCAGCATAAGATGCTACTCGGCTCCGTCGGGTCTTTCGAGGGACGAGGTTCAGGGTCGCATTATGGACCTGTTGAAGAACTTCGATAAGGTCAGCTCTTGCCCATGCATACAGCTAGGATCCGCCCACTAACATGGCTACAGGTCACAGACGAGTCAAAGGTACGATGAGCGGAGGCCGACGGACTGCGCGAGCGAGGCTGACATTGAATAGATCACGGGCACATCACATTTCAGCAACGACCTTGGCCTTGACAGCTTAGACACCGTCGAAGTCGTGATGGCCATTGAGGAAGAGTTCAGCATTGAGATCCCCGACAAGGAGGCAGATGCCATCCATAGTGGTAGGATCAAGTATGCAGTCGCTGGAAAGAGTCGACACTAACCATAGACAGTGGACCAAGCCATCACCTATATCTGCGCCCAACCTGATGCTCACTAATTCCTGGCCTGGACGAACCGAAAAACAGCTGGAAAGAATCGCGAAATGTTCTGTACATTGCGTTGCCAGTGGAGGGCCATATCGGATGAATTGGGGCGCTTCACAGGCGGTGTGTACTATTAAGAGCGGCATCTAGACAACATTCGTCTCCCAATTCGTCCGCCATCTTTTGTCTATATGCACGTTATGTCAGGCCGCGTGCTGCCCAAAACCGATACTACCGAACAGCTTCTCCATATACGCCATGCCGCGTCATTCCATCATACGACCTTGTCCCGCCTCAACTGCTCAATAGCCGCCGAATCATACCCCAGGTCCGAAAGAACCTCATTCGTATGCTCACCCAAAGTCGGCGGCTTTCTCCTCAACCCCATCTTTGCACTATCGAACTTGACTGCTGGGCCAATCGTCCGCAGTACCCCATCCTTTGCCGATTCAAAGTCCTTGATCTCCATCACCATATCTCTCGCATGACTCTGTTCATCCTCTAGTGCCTCAACGACATTGTTTATCGCCCCATAGGGCAGCCCCGTCCCCTCAAACACCTCCAGCCACTCCTTCGAGGTCTTCTCTTTCAGCCTCCTCCCAACAAGCCCATCAACCTCCTCCCGATTCTCTACCCTCCCATCGTTACTCCCAAACCTCTCCACTCCTCCCACCTGTTCCCAGATCCCCAACACCTCACAAAGCTTCCTCCATTGCCGATTATTATTCGCCGCCACAAAGATCATCCGCCCATCTTTCGTCGTGAAACCGCCGTACGGCACCAACGCTGCATGCCCCAGCCCGAACCTCCCACCCTTCCTCCTCCCCTCTGGACCTTTGTCCAGATCTAGGTTCAAACTCGCGAGCCCGACATTGATGAGCAGGGTCAGCCCAGTCTCAAACAAGCTCCCATCAATCTTGCACCCCATTCCTTCCACATCCCGCTGCCGCAACCCAGCGAGTATAGCCCCGTGCACATACAACCCCGTGCACAAATCCCCAATCGCCACGCCTGGCTTCGTCGGCCCAGAGTCTTTATTTCCCGTAATATGCAACAGCCCAGCCTCCGCCAGCGCAATCGCATCATACCCCGCCCGACTTGCCTTCGGTCCTGTAGCGCCATACCCGCTGACACTCGCGTAGACCAGCTTGGGATTCAGAGCGTGCATCTCCTCCCACGTCAAGCCCAGCTTGGCCGTAGCTGAAGGGAGGAAGTTATGCACCAACACGTCCGCCTGCTTCGCCAAATCCTTCACTATAGCCAACGCAGTGGGATGCTTCAGATTCAGCGTCATTGACCTCTTATTCCGGTTGATAGAGGCGTAGTACAAACTCATCAAAGGTGCGCCAGCATCCGTGCTGTTGTCGTCGTTCCAGAACTGGCCCGTCTCGCCGTGCGTTCGCCATTGGCGGGTTTCGTCGCCCAGCCCGGGCTGCTCGATCTTGAGGACTGAGGCGCCATAGTCGGCGAGGATTTGTGTGCAAAAGGGGCCGGCGAGGACGCGGGAGAGGTCGAGAATGCGGATGCCGTGGAGTGGGAGGGGGTTTGTTGGGTCTTGGGCGTCTAGTGGCCAGTGGATTCGTGGAGATGATGAAGTGGTGGTGGTTGTGGTGCTGTTGTGGCGGCAGTGTGGTTGGGAGATGAGGTTGCACTGTGGCCATTGTATCGAGGCGTAGGGTCTGTGTTGTCGCCATGAAGTATGTGCCGTGTGCCTTGCGTGTGGGCCGCAGATCGACCTCACAGCATGCCTGCTCGCAAGGCGACGAGGCAACATGCTGGGTGGTATTCGAATGTAAATCATTTCACGGCGGGAGATCACATGCAGAGGGGTCGCCTATGTTTCTGGCTGGCAGGCTTACCTTGTACTTGTTGAGGATTTACTCAGACAGCTGCGTCTCTTCATCATGTGCATGCTACAGCTATAGACGCTATGAGGAGGTACCTAGGTTGGTGGATGCCTCGTGAGGGGAAACACCGAGGAGTCATGGAATATATTTGTGCTCTGGCTCGTGATCATACATACATCAATTCAATAGCTTGACAGAAATCAATGTTCGCTCTGGCGTTATGCATATGGTATGTAAACACGTGCTACATCATTATGTCATTAGTAGAGATTGTCACTTCCACAGCATGTTACGCTTGTCCTCGAAGCAGCATCTGCAGCTTCCGTCCACCTACAAACCCAGATCCTTTGCCTGTGCTAGCTACACTCCCATTCATCTCATCAGCGGGACTATCTGGACCAGTAGTCTTCATGTCAACCGGACTCGTCGTTAAATGTCCACCACTTTCCTTCATGAAGCCCTGAAGCGCATTACTCCCATTCCCGAGATAGTCGTCTTTGTCGTCCTCACCAATCTTGAGCACTGGTAGGGACATGCTCTGTGTCATTCCAGCCCCTTCGTTGACCTGCGCCGTTTGTCCCGGAGAAGCTTTGACTACGGTGTTGCCATTCAACTCGATCTTTGGCGACGTGGCCGCACTACCGTTCTCTGCGATCGTTGGTGGCAGGCCCTGCTGCAGACTACGCCTGCGCATTCCGAACAGCCTCTTCACCTCGGGAACTTCCTTCGCAGTGGCGTGGCTGGCGGGAAGTTGCTGTATGAACTTTGCGAAGCTCGGAGAGGGCCGTACTGTCTTCGGTCCGCCAGCACCCGAGCCATCTCCAGTCACACCATTAGTCGAGTTGCCGGTAGTATGTCCGTTGGGCAGCGCGCTCGAGTAGCCTGCGGCACTCGCATCTCCCGTTGCAACGCCACGGATCGTGTCATCTCCGCCGTTTGGCAAACTGACCATGCTGCTGCGATCTGCACTCGCACTTCGACTCCGTCGTCCACCAACAATGCGACTGAGAGGCGTCTCGCGACTCGAGCTCCGATTTCGTTTCTCGTCCTTACTTTGATCTTTGCTTCGCCCTCCACTTTGCTCTGATACAGTTGATGCGAAGGATGTCCTAGCGGTCGAAGATTGAGATGGCAAAGCTGGCTTGTGAGCAGGATCGGAGTCTGGTGCTTCACCGGGTTTCGAGGACGTATACGGAACGCCGATCGTGTCTTTTGCTGAAGTGGACGAACGCTTAGATCGGAAGGCTTGTGGAAGAGAGAATCGACGTGATGCTTTCTGGCCAGTGGGAAAGGAGGAAGGAGGATACTCCGTGGACTGCTGCTTCTGCAGCTTTCTTGGCGGTGATTTTGAGTTGGCAGGAGTAGGCACAGCAATCGATGTGGCATCCTTAGGAGCGCTATTCTGTGTCGTGCTTTCCGACGCGAGCGCGACTTCTGTCGCGCTTGCATCGACTGCTTTTGCTCCTTCCGGTGCCGTCTCGGTTGCTGGCGACGTTTCGATGGCTTGCGACTGACGCTTGATGGGTACAACGGTTATGATATCCTGCTTTGGCACACGCTTGAGTTCTTGCTCTTGAGCTTCTTGTACGCTCACACTCTGCTCGCTGTGGCTATCGTCCTCTGGCTGATCGAGCGCAGCGCTCTGCCTCAAAGGATGTGGCGCTCGTGGTACAGCGCCGCTCATGACCATAGCAGCCTTGTTGTGCAGAAGCCGTTGCCTTTGCAATTCTTGCTCAGAGGGCGCCAAGATGGGTCGTGGACCTTGCTTTAGTGGCTGTACAAATGGTACACTCTGAACAATCTCTTCTTCGGCGTCCTCCGCCGGAAGGTCAGTAGGAACATCTGATTCACTTCCCCGTCGTCCGTGCAAGCTCGCGAACCGCACAACCTTTGGCTCGTCCATGGTGTGGCGTTTTATTGGCCTTGTAACCATCTCCCTATGCACATCCTCTCCGTTAGATTGCGCAGTATCCACGCTCACCGAGCTGCGGTTCGAGTGTACGGTGTCCGGACCTGTGCGCGAAGCAGATGCGCTGGCTATGCTCGCTTCCGGGCTTTTGAGAGGCTCGATGGATGCCTGCACCGTTCGGATGCTACCGGCGTCGTCTTTGTCTGGCACAACCATCGGTATGATAGGAGTGTACTTCCGTTGTCCGTCTTGCGAAGTCCGTTGCGCCTCGAAGCTAAAGTTTGAGCGGATGTTCTCATTCTCCAGCACTGGCGACAGATCAGAGCTATAGCCTGGTTTCTTTATCTTTCCACAGCATGCACACCGTCCATATGTATGGCTAGATGGCAGGATCAGAGACGTCAGGCCGGGTACTGGGACATTGTCATTCGAAGACGTCGTTTCCGGCTCGGGACTGATGGGCCGCACAGCTGGATGGGCCGGGATCACGCTGTCGTCCGGTTCTGCTGTCTCGTCGTTGCGTTTTAGAGGCTCAGCATGTGGGACTGGAGAAGCGTCTGGGGTCTTCGTGAACGACAAGGTGCGTCTCCGTTGCTTCTGCGGCGAAGCGTCTCCCGCCAAAGTCGCTGTCTTCTCCTGTCCACGCCTGTCGAAGACGTGATGGAAGCTAAACCTTTTCCTCGATTCATTACTTTCGGGCTGCTTGTTCAGGTTGCGGCTCGCCGGAATCGCGGATGTGTCTGATGGAAGCGCTTTGAGGTCTTCTTCGATCTTTTCGCTCTCTCGTGCAGCCGATGCGCGAGCCTGAGTCACGTAGTTGGATGCACCAGCTGATCCCGCTGACGCTGCAGACTCAACTTTGGCCAGAGAGCCTGCATTTCTTTGCTCGACTTCCGCCGATTGGTCGCGCTCAGATTCGGCAGCTACTCCGCCAAGTCTGATCTTCTGAGCGACGGCCGGCCTGATGGTCAGCTCTGAGGACTCATTCCGCGGTAAGACAGGCCGGCCCAGCTGTTCGCTCGCGGCAGAGTCTTGTTGAGCATGTGGAGGATCCGAAGGACTCGCTGCTGGGGCCTTCTCGTCCTCCACAGATACTGGTGACTGCGAGTCTCGCGGACTGGCGTCCTTCTGATCTATCGCATCGTCATCATCCGACTCATCGTTCAACATTGCTTGAGCTTGATAGACATCCATCTCCAGGAAATCTCGCTTGAACTTATCGGGCGAGGTATTCGCATGCACTTGACTCTGACGTGGTCGCGAGAACATAGACAGCGGGTTCGTAACTATCTCCTGCTTGGGATGATGCAGCATTGAATGGCCGCCAGTCTGCGTTATCTCATGGCCTCGATACATCGACGGACTCTGGGCGCTCCGGTAAGACGAGACACTGGACGTCCGTGACGATGGCCTCTGAACATGCGACATGGACGTTGTCGCAGATCTGCCCGTACGACCGTGGTGTTGACTGTCACGACGGTCATGCCGATGGTCCCTGCTGTCCTTTTGCAAGGGACCACCATGCGGAGTTGGCAGAGGCACAGTCGAGGATCTTGGGAGAGGTCGGTGGTATTCTGGATAACTGGGCGCTTTTGGCGCGGTGACGTTTGCGCCGTTTGCGCCATGGCGAACTTTCTGCTTGCTCGAGTACGAAGAAGGTTGCTTGGCTACAGTAGCTTCATAGTTTAGAGAACGAATTTCGGCCGGTGTAAGTTTCTTAACTGAAGGCCGCGAATGACGTTGTTGTTGCTTGAGCGACTTCTGTAGTTTGGCCATATCGAGGACGTCCGCTGTCAAAGATGTTAGTAGTGCATCGATCGTCGAGCTGGGCGGTTGTGTTGGCAATGTCGATCACTCATACCCGCATTAGGCAGTGACGATATTGCAACGAATTACAAGGCAGGAACGAGGTCGAAAATAGAAGGAGATCGTGTTGTACAGATGGAAGTTATGAACTGACCTGTTTTGCGGCTGGGCTCGGTAGGCGACATAATGCCTGTCTGGCCCTGCCAGGTTACAAAGCAGCCAAGACCAGGTAAATGGTTGTACAGACACGGGGATTGTAGCGACCTGGTCGACAAGGATGGCTCTGTAGACGTAACATCGACAGCCCTTGATTGCGCTATCTCGAGCTGATCCGTAGTACTGTTTCGAGTCCTTTGATCACTGCATTGTGGACTTCCAGTGAATGCGTTTGTGAGGTTTCCTTGAACTGAGGAGGGGCGATCCCGACCGGGTCCAGCTCACCGGGGTCTGTTCCAGGCGGCTGATTGAAACTTCGATGCAGCCAAAGTGCGCGCACGCAATGCAGCTGAGAGCAGCCGCGTGGCAATTGCTGGTCCAGTCTGCTTGCTCAATGATCAATGAGTCGCCCTCGGGATCGTTGAGAAGAACAATGTCGTTATCATGAAGTTCAGAGTGGGACGATCAAGAAGATGTGCGACGAAGACTGATGGGTCTAAAATTGTATAGCCACACCTCCGCAGAGGCGCTACGGAAAACCGAGCCTCCCAGAAACTAGGGAGCCGAAATGTCGGCAGCGTTACAGGCTGGTTGGCGCCATATGGGAGGAGTCCACAGCCTAGGGATGGCTGATTTGGGGGTGCTAACCAGCAGTGTCTCAGTACTTTGACAGTCGACTGGACCAATTGAGCCAGCTGGAGAGTCTCCAACATACCAAGAGTGAACTCGCTTCAAAGCGCGGCTTGCATTGTGCAGGATGACTTGACGTCGCCTTGCATTGGAGACTTTCTTCTGGTTAATTCTTTGCATGACGCTCTTCAAGTTCAACTCGTCGTCACACGCGTGCAAACGCGTCCGAAGCACAAGGTAGCGATCTGCTGCACGAGCTATGCTAACCTTTTCGGCGGCATTCGTGAGTTGAGGGAACGGAAACAAGCTTGGCTCGACCCCCGTCAGGGCTTGGGAGATATCGCGAGCAATTGATTTCCGTGAAGCGAAGCATCCTCGTCCATGCAATCTGTTATCTGGCAGAAACCCTGTGTCTGGATCATGAATTCATTATTGCATCTCTCGTTGCCATTTTGTAGCATCCTCCACTTGAAAGCCTCAGCCTCAGGCAATCACGTCGGCCGCTACGATGTGTCACAATCGACTTCAGGGCAAGGGCGGTCCGAGCCCGAATTCACCTCAATTCAACCCCGCATCGATCAAACCCGAACCAGATTGAGCATGCGACTCGTGGACTCGTGGCAATAAGTTGAAGCCTACCGTTTAAAAGAGCCTCCATAGCTACTACGGCGGACAATATGTGATGGATTGCATCAATCTTCTGCAACTCGGTACAATTACAAAGCGTCGCTCTGCTTCTCCATTACTGTCGGGGTTTGCAGTCAGGGAGCACTCTGGATGGTATTGTTGTCACCTCAGCTCACCAAGATGAGGTTGCTCCTCCCGTCGCTGCTCGCCGCGTTGGCGTGCACAGTCAACGCCGCGCACACCTCAAACTGGGCGGTCCTGGTCTCGACATCGCGATTCTGGTTCAACTATCGACATCTGGCAAACACTCTCTCGTTATACCGAACAGTCAAACGCCTGGGAATCCCCGATTCACAGATCATTCTGATGCTGCCTGATGACATGGCATGCAACCCTCGCAACGCTTTTCCTGGCACAGTCTATTCGAACTCCGACCGCAGGATGGACCTCTATGGCGAGAACGTCGAAGTGGACTATCGAGGATACGAAGTGACCGTCGAGAACTTCCTCCGTCTTATGACCGATCGGTGGGAGGACGGTGTACCCGCCAGCAAAAGGCTACAAACCGACGAAGGCAGCAACATCCTCATATACATGACAGGCCATGGTGGCAGCGAGTTCCTCAAGTTTCAAGATGCCGAAGAGATCTCAAGCTGGGACCTCGCGGACGCATTCGCGCAGATGCAGCAAAAGAGGAGATACAACGAGATGCTCTTCATGATCGACACCTGTCAGGCCAACACAATGTTCCGTCACTTTTACGCGCCGGGCGTCATTGCTACAGGATCCTCCGAGGAAGACGAAAGCTCCTACTCTCACCACGCCGACAACGACGTGGGAGTAGCTGTTATCGATCGCTGGACTTATTACGTTCTGGACTTCCTCGAGACACAAGTCACAAGTCCAACTTCCGAGAAGACCCTGGGTGATTTGTTTGACAGTTATGATGTCAAGAAGATTCACTCCAATCCTGGCGTAAGATGGGACCTCTTCTCAGGTAACGAGCCAGTTGGCAGACAACGGAGGGTCGTCGATTTCTTCGGCAACGTGCAGAAGGTCGAAGTTCAAGGCAACAACAGTAATTCCCGATCTCTGCAGGCCGATCTGGACGGTCTGATGGCACTTGTGCAAGATTATCAGCAGCAAGCCGCTCTACAGGAACAGAACAGGACAGAAGCGCTGCTGAGTCGGCCACCACAGAAGGCCACAGTGAACCGCATGAGTCTTACAGACGAGAGCAAATGGCTCCGGCAGGCTGGTGGGGCGACAATTCTGTCTGGCCTTGCAGCTCTCTGGTATTTCACACCGAAGATAGTATCCGCAACAGCATAGCTCCCGACGCAGTCCTGCTGGAAGTGAATTCCGCCCACAATGACCCCGAAAGCGTCCTTCGAGATTGGACAGACCGGCAATTGGCCATATGCTCCGCCTACAGCTTCCACTGGAGAGCTCGGTCCTTCATGAACCATTCCTTCTCTGCCTCAGAATTCGCCGGCGGCGGTTCTAAGCCCTGTATACGCCAGAGAGGTCTTGGAGTCTCCGAGACGTGGATCTCCCAATCCAGATTCCCACGATCGGCAACGTACGGCTTCAATTTCTGGAAAGGAAGACGTGTCAGCAAAGCTAACTGTTTCCTAACGGATATGAGGCTCGCTCGAACGTTCGCGGATCATGTGCACAAGAAGGTCGTCGCACGGATTGAAACTCACAGCTTCGGCACGATCCATAAACCCTTTCATATGCTCGGTGCTTTGGAAGTTCCTGGCTATGTGCTCGACCACGAACCTGACGAAGTTCGTCCGAGGTTTGCCTCCGACGTAAACAGCAGTCTCTGGCACATCTATGAAGATGACATTGACGTAGAACGCAGGCAGGCCGCCTCGAGTATATATGCTGGTGATGTCGGTAGAGAGAGCCTCGCGCTGGGCAGGCGTGAAGGTTGATGGATGCGAGAAGACGCGCCAGAGCGGCATGATGAGTATGTCGCGGATGGTGACGTTGGCTTTGAGTTGGAAGTGCGCACGTTGTGTCAATGGCAGATATAAGAATAATGGTACACTTAGACTTAGACTACAGTTCGAAAAAATAGATATAGCTTCTATTGAGCACTACGCTCTTCGCGCTCACCTCAAATTACGGTCGTACGGGCATTCTTGCTGACTGCTTGCTTGTGGGACTCATGATCACTATACAGTTGACGCTTCGCTCTCATATACTTTGATGCTTACGTAGGTAGGTCTGAGGAGGCACTCGACTCGGCGAGACTCTTGCGGGGCGCAAACCGTGATTACTGATCGAGATGAGGATAAGGCAACCCATTGTTTGTTGCCCCTGAGCGATTGCGGTTATTGGCATAGGGTCTGCCTTACTCAGGTATTTAGTGGCCGCAGTTGTACGACAGGAAAGACTGCTTTTCAAACTCTTGCACGGCAGCTCGCGTTGGTCATCTAAGATGATCATTAAGTCCATTTTATCACAGTCTTGCTTGGGCGCGAAGTTGTCCGGCAGCCACAGTCACGCACAGGCTGATTGTGATTGCCTCCAGGAGCCATGCGGTTGACCAGCAGTGCGCATTCTGTCAAGCACCGAGACAGGATGGAATTGCCTGTGATCTGCCCCCTGTCACTACCGGATTCCTGCTTCCTCCTCGGAGGCAGGAGCTTTCGGTGGGTGCCTTCCCTCCCACGGCTCAAACAAATGGAAGTCTTTCGTCATGCCCCCTGCCGTTTCCCAGACCAGCATGAAGGCAAAGAGCGCGGCAAGCACTGCCATGAATTCCGCGGTGTCAAGGTGATCGTGCGTCTCAGGCAAAACGACTAGAACAACCGACACAACTAGGCGTACGCCAATCCTCAAAGATTTCGGCATGACCATGCATGCCTCATCTTTGCAATGATAAAGCATACCGTACAACCATAGGCAGAACGTACCTACACCCAGACCGCCTCCCAGTAGCCACCTTTGACCGTCTTCGAACTCGTCCGCGGCAACACTGACTGCGCAAAGGTGTCCTCCAATCAGAAAGCTCGCTGATAGTGGCAGATGCAACAGAAAGAACGCGAAAGCCGTCCAGGCTGACCGTCGGATAGGATGTACTGCTTCGAGCGAGCCATCTCCTGAGACGTACAGCCAATTCAAGCTGAAGGCAATCACGAGCGTGCAGACTGCTTTGCCATAGCCTTGTGTTAGGCCAATTCCCGCGGGATTCCCGACCACGACAGAGTACACGAACTCGCCTAGGATGATGATGAAAAAGGCGCCCATTCGATCAATCTCATGAGCAATATCAACCGCCGTGGAATATGTCAGTCTCAGCTTCCTCTTCAGCCAAGGCGACAGAGTGACGGCCCACGAGAACTCGTTCCAGAAGATGACAACAGCCACGTTTGCGGCCTTCGCGCGCAGCGATACGTCGTCTAGGTATAGCGGAATGCAGAGCAGCAGGCCAACCAGCATCGATCCACACATCAGCCTTGCCTGGGTCCGATGATGATAGCTCGCAAAGGACGTGATGAGAAAGACCATTGCCGTACTAAAGCGAGCGATCATGTACGCTGCGACTGTGGTCCGTAATGCCCCAATTTCTTCAACATGCGGCGCGTTGTTGGCGTAAAGGATGAGCAATGCCATGACCCACAAGATTACGAACCGCTGTACAAGGTCGTCAGTATAGTACGAGTTCATGATCTCTCGAAGATCGCTCCATATGTGATATGCAGGAGCGTAGATGAGGAAGTACACCGCCAACGCCTGGCCGTTGGCTGTCTCCGCGAGCTCATCTGCGAAGTTGGCGACGACTAGCATTCGTTTCAGTCGCGAAGACCTGTATAGGGCGGGCATCACTCACTGGCAACGTAGAGCAAGTCGAGGAAGAGCTCGAAGCGACCTGCTTGACGTTCTTCCTCGCTCTCCTTCTGCAACTCGCTGTGATGGAACCATTGTAGCGCTTTCGGCCTTCTGACAAGGTATTTGGGGGCGTGCTTTGCTTCTTGAAGCTCATTGCAATTCATGCTTGCGGTGGATCTGTTGCCTGTTGCTCAACATAGACTCTCATGCCTTTCCGTCTCATATGGCCGCCAACGAGACCAAGGCCACCAAGCGATGAGATGGCCACGGTAGGCATGAGGAGTTTTGCTGGTACTGGAGCTTGTCGTTGATCTTTGTCGCCTCCACCTCCGCCGAGGAACTCAAGCATTTGCCATGCCTATTCGGGGCAGCAGTCCCCTCTCCGCCAGTGGCTGGCCTCTCGTGGACGACGATGCTTTGCGGTTGCGCCAAGAGATGTTTCGCAAAGCACAGACCTCGACCTCGAATGTATCTTTGTGGTGATGGCTGTCGCACATCCTACACAGGAGGACTAAACATGACCATAAGAAGGTGAACCGGAGAGCCACTGCGTAGTTGTGTCAAAAATTCAGGGACACCCCGCGTGGGCGTCAGATCGGTAGCCCGGCGCCTAGATGCACAGTGGCTGCAAGCTAGTCGGCTTGGGGCCATCCGTTCGGTTCGGCTCAGGAGTCGAATACGAGAACGCGACGACGCGATGATACTCGTCAAGTTGAGCGATGAACGGCGCTCTCAGCATCATTAGTATGTGGCGCCTTCTCAGGCATGGGTGGCAGCAATGTTTGCCGTTGACCGTGAAAACAAACTAAACGAGGTGCACTGGCAGCCCGAAGATGGTGGCCTCTATTTCATCGAGACGGCAGATTCTGTTGCCAACCAGGGGACCCAGCAACTTCATCATGGAGCGATTAAGGAGGAGGAGCTAGATCAGTATCTGACCAAGAAGGTCGGTGTCTAGATATTCGGTCAACCATTTTTTACTGACATAATCTGCAGCCAGACTCGGTACAGCCATTGAAGCAACGTTTACGGATCTTATGTATCTCCAAGCCCAAGCGACACCAAAGCGCCCAGCTTGCCATCAGCAGAGATACGTATTGTAAGATCGAGAAGGGATTCCGACTCTCACACGCTACGATCGGATCACTGTTTAACTCGTCAGGGGTCTTTTCCCGCTTCACCGAATATGATCCAATTACGAAGAAGCCGAAGTGTATTCGCTTAGTCGTCAAGTCGAAACAGAAAGTCTCTGTCGGCAACTGGGAGGTCTCCCTGACTCACGATGTCGAGACCAGCTGCACGGATGCTCTCATCTGTGGTGAAGGCATCTTCATACCCGATCACGCAGATCAGCCACAGCAGACACAGGTCCAGAAGTTCATCGAGCATCTTACCGCTGTGCCAGAACTATGGCATCACCCGCTGACCATCCCGGTCCTCCTGATCCGCCTTTTCTGCGAGCGCATCTCGATTAATCGCATCAAGGTCGCCGACAAGCTCGTCGACCTGGAGAACGAGATAGGTGTGACGGCCGCCGGGCGGTCGAAAGCTAAACGTCCTCTCGATAACTGGCCACACGATCTCAACATCAAGCAGATCACCATCAATCTCAACTCGACTGGTGCCTCGATCCTCTACCTCAGCCAGACGTGCATCTGGACACAGGACTGCATCACTTTCCTGAGCAACCTCTGCACTGAGTTTGCAACCCAATCCGCTTCCAGCTTCACTTTCAACGACAGTGGCTTCCCCGTCCCTACGGAAAACAACGAATGGATCGCCTCAATGCACCTTCGTGATGTCCTCGCCTACGAAGCCAGCGCTCTCGACGGTGTCAGCCTTACCATGCGCACCAAGAAGGAACGCATCCAAGCACAACTCAATGTCCTATACTCAGCGGCCTCCCAGAAGGAGAACGCCATTGCTTTGCAATACAGCCGTATGGCACAAGAGCAGAACGAGATCGCACAGAAGGACGTGCAGTTGAATACAAGGATAGCGACCTCGACTAAGAGTGACAGTATAGCGATGACGACATTTACCTTCATCACGGCTGTCTTTCTTCCTCCAACGTATGTCGCGGGATTGTTTAGTATGAACATGTTCGACTGGATGACGAGCGGCCTTGATGACACAGGAAGACTGTCGAGGCTGTTTTGGGTATATTGGGTTGTGACGCTGCCGTTGACGGCGGTGGTGCTGGTAGGATGGTGGGCTTGGTATAAGAGGGTGAGTGCAACATTCCATGGCTTCCGTCACACGCGTGTGGCAACAGCTGTTGCTCGTGGAGCCTCACAATCACTGGCCGGCTTCACGACGCCTACATGCCTCTGAAACCGTCCTTGCTTCACGAGCCGAACTTGTCTGACGTGCTTCACAGGCGGACAAGCAGTGGCAAAAGGACACAGGCTATCGATTGAACGGTAGTGCCATGCTTGAAGCGTCACGCAGTAATAGCGACGAGACTACGCAGCACATAGTTGAGGTGAAGAACGTCTAGAACCGAACATGCTATGCCCAAGGCTGAGTCTAGCTACACCCACTGCTTCACCGGGATCCTGCCACGGAAAAATGCGACGCAGAACGAGTACGAGGCTACTCGAGCTCTTTGCGGTCTCGGGTGCCACAGCCACCTTTCCCCCGTTCATCGGGACGAAACCTCCTGACCCGGGTTCTTGGCGCTTGGTAAACAACCTGCATGCTTCGCTTCTGCTTCTGCTTCTCCTTCATTTGTCTGAATACAGGCAGAACGGATTCTGTATGCCTTCCTCGCCAGTCCCTGCAGCATAAGGAGCCATCAGGTCGTTCCTGCCTCAGGCTATCTGCCAGCCGATCACACGCTGCGCAGACATAAGAATTGTACCGTCAATTATCCTCGTGCGAGGCATCTTAAGTGGCCCAACGGTCCACTTACGATTACATGAATATGCGTTCATCCCCCAGATTGTCGTTGGGTCAAAGCTAAAAAAACCATTGGCTCTGGTAGCAGTTCTCAATGAAGCGAGACTTGGTCAGCAAGATGCATGCCTCCTTACTGGTTACCTAAGTACACACTACACACGAGGAAGCATTACGACGGAACTCGTGTGGTTAACGTTGCTTGCAGATTGCTTGGAGAGCTTAGCGTGAGCCATCTGCCACTAGAGGCATGATACGACAATGTCGTTGTCCAACTCCAGGGGCCTGCATGAGCCATGGAGGACGAATAACCAGAAACGCTACATTGTACACCCAGACATTGTAATCCTCGTATCTTACTCAGGTATTATCTAAGGCAGCTCGTATGCTGTCCCAGTGCATCGTGGTTGCTGTTTAACTGCCGACAGTTGGGTTCTGGGCCATCGAACCAACGACAGTGTAGCTGTGCAGTTCCTAGAGAGGATGTAAATAAGAGAAGTGTGCATTGCACCATTCATCCGTGCTCCTGCGCAATGACAGGAAGAGCCAGCCAGGTAGCGCACTTATAAAGGCGCGATGCCTCGATCAACGAACAGGCGAAACATCCCTTGGACCTCAAGCTCGCCCCTCATTCACGACTATAAACCTTTGTCCTATACTGCAACACACCTGCTGCACCACCATCACCAGCGCGTCGCCCAGCAAGAGCCATGCCCTTCTTCTCCGCCCGCGACGGGACCTCCCTCTTCTACAGGGATTGGGGCAACCGCAACGGCACTCCAATCGTCTTCTCACACGGCTGGCCGCTGAACGGAGACAATTGGGAAAAGCAACTCGTCTTCTTCGCCAACAACGGTTACCGTGCCATCGCCCACGATCGTCGTGGCCACGGTCGCTCAGACCAACCCTGGGAAGGCAACAACGTCGATACATGGGCCGACGACCTGCGGCAGCTGATTGAGCACCTCAACCTGAAGGACGTCCTCATTGTCGGGCACTCCACGGGCGGCGCGAGATCGCAAGATACCTCGGCAAGTTCGGCACTGATCGTGTGTCCAAGGCGGCCTTCATCAGCAGCTGCTATCCGTACATGGAGGCAAAGCACTTCACCGCCAATGGTCAAGACGGCAAGGGTGTGCCCTCAGAGGTGTTCGACCACTTCCGCGACACAATGTTGCAGGTTCGCGCGGACTTCTTCATTGAGGTTCCCAGCGCACCGTTCTTCGGCTTCAATCGCCCGCACGTGACGAAGAACCAGGGTCTGATTGATAATTGGTTCCAAGCGGGCATGCTGGCGAGTCTGAAGGCTGTGCATGATACCACTTACTCGTGGCAGTTGGACTACACGAAGGATGTGAGTGAGTTGGACATCCCGACGTTGGTGTTCCATGGCACGGATGATCAGGTCGTGCCGATTGACACTGGGTATGCTGCGGCGAAGCTGTTGAAGAACTGCACGGCGGTGTTTCTGGACGGGGCACCGCATGCTACGCCTGATCTGCGAGCGGATGAGTTGAATGCGGAGTTGTTGAAGTTTCTGGAGAAATGAGGACTGGTTTGACGGCTCGGCTGGCTTTGGACTGTGCGAATATTATCGCGTTTAGCTGTAGTCAAGGTTTAGCCCTGTGCGCGTACCGACTTAAGACAAGTAAACCCATGTGTACTTTCTCGTAGGACAATCGTTCTAAAGTCGCGCTCAGCTTACTTGCATCCTCAGTGCTAGCTTATTCGAGCCGAATCTCGAAAGTGTAATGCCAGCAGATATGGATGAGCGGGAAGTCGGTCCTTGCTGATTGATTTCACCCTCTATGGTCCATGACGCAGATGTCAGTCATTTCTAACACCCCTTTGCGTGCTCGTGAAGATTGGATCGTATGCAGCGCAAGCTTCGTCAAGCTTGCCAAATCTGTGACAACTTCAGTCCACATTCGTGGCAATGAAGTTAAATATCATCAGGCTTGGACAGCAACAGTGTCAGCCGCGACCACGTCTTGATTCACCGCCTGAGGTTGTACTGCCTCGCCCTCAACAGCAGCATCGTTCGCCGGAAGCCCAGGAGGTGGGTCGAAGACAGCCAGTCGATCGATGAGCGCTTGTCGAAAGTGGATATTGATGAGATCTTTCCGAAACTGTTCTTGTTGCAACAACTCTAGATTCCGCAAGGTGGTTCCCGGGTGAGTGAGGTACTGTGAGTACTCGGGTTTCCGCCAGTAGTCGTACAGGTATTCAAGATAACGGACGAACTTTGTAGCATCTGTCTCTGTCGACGCTGCCGTCCCCTCAGGCGAAACGAGGAGGTGTGGAAAGGCGTGTGCTAGGTGTCCGAGGTAGTCTGGATTTGCCAAGCACAAAACGAATTCGAGCTCCAGCGTGAAACGTGCTGAGATGGGTTTATTAGCCATGACTAGATCATACGTACTGTCGCTGGCTGTACAATAGGCACCATGAACTGCTCGAGAACGACAGGGGTAAATGAAGTTGCTTATCGATTGGCTTGGTGAATGGCTGGAGACTGGTTCCTGGAGAAATTTGACCCCTGCAAGCCACACTCTTCTTTCCGCGCGGAAAGTTCTTGCTATGAAACTGCCGAGCGGGCAGGAACGGGCCTGTGAATGCGGTGCCAGATCGAGAATGATTGGGCTGTCTTCGGGCAGTAAATGAGTGACGAGATCGCTTCAAGAGAATTCTGAAAGATGCTAGACAGTACGATGTTGGCGGTAGATGCGTGACGAGAGCCAAGACTGGATGGATCGATGCGGCAGATTGATGAAGAGAATCTGTAGCGAAGGCCGTCGATCACCAGAAGGCTGAGACTTGAAGTTGGCCTGTCGGTATGGATGACGTTGAGCGCGTCGGGTGTGTCTGTCCCCTACACAGGCGCTTGCCTCGAGTCTTACTCGATTTCTGTGCTGCAACAGTCCGAGCCAACGGTGACAACAAGACGATCTGCAAACAATTGTTGGAGTAGCTAGCTGGAGAAGGAAGAAGCCTTGAGATCAAAGTGAAAGCCGCAAAAGCCAAAGCTGTCGCGGTCTGGTCACGAGCGCGCTCCCGTCTCAAACAAGCAAAGCCAGAGCCCCAAAGAGGCGACCCCGAATTCTTTGTGAAGCCCTCCCGAGCAACTGCACTGCCCAGCTTCACTTCTTCTTCTCCTTCGTCCCCTTGATATTAGCATCCTGTAACCACAGACGCCATTGTACCACTCAACAAAATACCTCTTCGAGCAGTATCTTGTCTCGACTGTATTCCTTTCGACCTCTCGCCCCCACTAGATCTCCCAACTTAGCAAGGCTTGGATATTTAACCTCCGTGTCGCCCTCCCCACCACCCAAGTCTCGACCCCTGTCGCTCACTTCTCCTCGTCCAGAGATCGAGAGACCCTGAACGACAACTTGACAGGGGAGATTGCAGGATATCTGGACAGACGTGTCGCAGGCAACGGCAATATTCTTTTCTGCCATCGACAACCTCAGCCTAACTCACTACCTACCAGAGCGCCGCAATTAGAAAGCGCTCTGACCACACTCGGACCAAACTGCATCTCGAGTTGTACCGCGTAACTACATTACTACCAACATATCCAAAATGGCGGCTGCGCAACTTCAAGTCGCTCCTGGTGAGTGTCTCCTTGCTTGACAGTGGGCTCTATCTGTTACACGGCTCCATCTGCACATACCCGCGTTGCCTTCTCCTGCTAATTCCTGCCAGACCGGGTTGCCTCTCCCTTAGCATCAAACAACCCTTTTCGCAACCGGCTGGCCAGTCAAACGAGCCCACGGCCAACTTCTACAAATCCCTTCCTCGACGCCACAGAGACTGCGTCCTCACCAAATACAATGGCTACCAATGGGGCTTCCAAGAGTGGTGCAGTCGAAACCACAACAGACCTCCTGGTACGTATCCCTTTGTTTTGTCTGATTCGTCGCTGACGCAATGGCAGGGTGACATGAGTCTGAGTTCCAAACCTCTTCCAGGGAGACCCGCTCCCAACGGTGACACGAAGCGAGAGAACATGCCACCGCCTCACATGCGGCGCCCTCCTGGGCATAGACCTCAGATGTCTGACGAAGAGAGACGACGACGAGAAGCCAAGATGCGAGCTCAGAAGGCTGAACTGGACATCTTTGCTGACCCGTCCGACCCCAAGCGCCTGCTTGACAAACCTCACCGACGCAGAAACTCCGAAAGTTCTGTACGGGGCAAGCCACTTGATCCCGAAGAGGAGAAGAAACGCCGTGAGAGGAAGCACCGTGAAGCAAAAAGCCGAGGAAAGCCACAAAAACGCTTGGATGTGATTGACAAGCTCGATGTGACCAGTATCTACGGAACAGGATGTAGGTTGATGCCAGACCCGTCTATTGCTAGCACTAACAGTATCAGTGTTCCACCACGATGGACCTTTCGATGCTTGCAACCCACATCGCAACCGCAAGGGATCCCGTAAAGCCCCGATGCAAGCCTTTCCAGCAGACTCGCTCAACATGCGCCTAGGAGGCTCTGGTCCAGTGAACAAGAAGATTGATATCGATCAATTCCATGGCCGCACAACAGAAGGCTACAATGACTACAACGAAGCCGCAATTGTTGATGGAGACGCCGATTACGTCCGGAGACCGCTCCCAGAACGCACAGCCAGCTTCAATCCCACGTCCCGCGATATTGTCCACGGAAACGAAACTGCTGGCCTTGGCACTAGCACCTTCCTGGATGGTGCCCCTGCCAGCAAGAAAGCCATCGAAGAGGGCGCAAAGGAAGCGGCCGAACAGCAGCAACAGATGCAGCTGTCTCGCAAGAAAAGCTTGGCTCAACGCTTCACCCGCAGAGATCGTTCCAATACATTGGAGAACAGAATCAACGGCAAGAAAATCCAAGGACCAGATGGCTTGCTGACCCCGACCACGCCACTAGACACTGCAAAGAGTGAGAACGGAGCAAACCCGTTCTTCCAGAACTACGATCAAGAGTACGAGAAGAAGGGAGCGGCGATAGCATTCGCAGAGGAACAGAACAAAGGTAGAGCACGAGCGTCAAGTAGTCCACGGCGGGAGATGCCTGCACCGCTCGAGAGATCCAAGACTGCCGATAGCACTGGCTTGCCGGACGAGCCAAGGTCTGCGGGTGATACAAAGTCGGGCGGCGGTTTTCTGAGCAGGATGAAGTCACTGAAGACCGCGAGAAAGCCTCGACCAGAGCGCCGAGATACGAGTGGCTGAGGAGCACGGATTCATTTGGATAGATAAGGCTTTCAAAGAGAAATTCAATGGGCTTTCACGGACTGATCAGTGCCTTCGTCCTTTGACTGGAGCACTTGTTGTACGCAAGCAAGTCACTGACGAGCCTTACCAAATGCCCACGGCTCCCTTTCGGTTTCGTGAAGTACTTGCCTGTGGGTTAATGGCACTCGTTGTCTGACCTCTGCCTTGTGAGCTTTGTGACCCATCGAAATCTGTAGATTTTGTGTGATTGTACCTAGGCAGCTTCTGCATTGTAGGGCTGCCTGCAATGGGCCAGAAGGTGCGACCAAGTTGTGCCAAGACAGCACAGCTGAACCTTCTCTGAACCTCGAAGCCCTTTCCTTTCTTCTTGAATGCAGCTTGATGATCAATTTAGCCGTTCAACGTTCCTTCCCGCGCGTGCATCAGCGAAAATGCATTGGACGCCAAAAGTTACAACAGTCGTCTCACGCCTCTTGCTAGACGTCTTGTCACTGGATCGCAATTGAGAACATTGGATCCCCCGGATTCGACCAGAATCGACCGGACTTGAACTGACGGGACAGTGACACACATGATTCTGCCTTGCTAACGGTAGGCTCTATTGGCATGACATCGGCGAAACTGACCTGCCTGTGGCTTAGTGTGAGCGCTTCGAGGTGGCCGTGAACTGACCGCACCTAGTCCTGATTTAGAGAAGTGGTCCTAGCGACCACTCTGCCACCTCTATTCGACCCAAAGGTAGTATTTGCATAGCCCGGGACGTCAGAGACGAGGCGCAAGCATATCACTCCGCTTTCGCGAAATCCATATAGCCAGTGGACAGCACAATGTGCGAATTGATATGCCCATACGGTACAGGCCCAGATCCGAGACAAGTGACCCTTTAGTAAAGGACCTGGAACCAGTCCAGCCAGCGAAGCCATTGAGAGTGGAAGTCTGTGGGTGCCGATGCTGCGCTCGCTTCAGGATCCGATCGATCCCCACCCAGCCATTGCCAAAAGCTGCCACAGAGAGGCTTCGCAAGCAAGTCACCGGTCTCAAGTGCCTGGACTCTCTTCCGCCCGAACAACTCCAGGCGTCACGTTCCTACTGACTTCAAGTGCTCTAGCGAAGGAAGGACAGTCTCCGAAGGTTCTCACTCAAAGCTGACTTCAAGAATACATCACTTGAGCTCGCTGTCACTTTCCGCCTTCACTAAGTGAAGGCAATCCCGCCAGGCAGCGACTTTCTGCCTCGGCGGAACGATGATAGATAAGCTCCTCCCTTCACCACTTTCCCTTCTTCTTCTTTCATATCTTCTTCAACCTTCCACAGGTACCTCCGCCTCCCGTTGCTCAGTCTTTCCGATACTGTGGACTACCTACCATCCTTAGGGAACTCATCGACCGGCGCAGCCAACCATTATCATTTTTGATCTTGATCAGGCCGCAGTCTTCTCAACGATGCCTAGACCCGGAAAATCGCCCGTCAAGCAAAACCCGAACACCGCAGTCAAGCATCTGCCACGACACGAGCTGGAAGCTCTTCACTCCGCAGCCTGGTCGCATCTTTGTACGAAGGCCAAGAATGAGACTTCTCTAGAAGTAGTCGACCTGGACGAGAGGTTCTTGCAAGACTTTGCGGAAGACTTTGTGCTCGATGAGGCACTAACTCAGCAATACTGGCCACGTACAGAACATGGAATGTGGGCGTACAAATTCTCGCACAACCTTGCTGTGACCTATGTCCTCGAATACTTCCTTGGCAGGCAGATCGACACTGTTGGCAACACGGGCCAAGCACCGGCGCCCGAAACGCCGAAACGCACTCCGGCCAAACTCGCTGATTTTGGAAGTCAATCCTCACACACTGTTTTCGAAAGTCCGCCAGGAAGTGTTGCGTCTCGGCCATTGACGTCCGGTGAAGTCGATGTCAATTCGGATTCAGACAAACTGCCTCCAGGACCCCATGTTGCTCGGCCGTATACATCGAGACCGTTGCGTCAGGCCAGATTATCAGAAATTTTCTCACCCAGCGGGCCCAAGTCTGTGAAGCAACCGGACACACCAGTATCGATCGAAGATTCAGCAGACCCAGATGTGTCCGTTGAGAGACCCATGACTCGCAAAAGAGCCAGAGAAACCCAAGGCGAGACTCACCTACCTTACAAGCAAGCTCGAATGCCTGAGGATCAGTCCATAGATTCGGAATTCTACGTTTTCAACGGCACGACCTACCGGCGAAAGCAGAGGCCGATTGTCGGCAGAGTCCGCTCAAATCAGGTGCATGAACGTGATTCGGGCTTATCGAACTACACATCTGAGTCTCAGAAGGTCCAGACTATGAGTCCAGGGCGTCTGGGAAACCAACCTACACCATTCGATGATCAAGTGCCAGAGTTTGGGTCAGCCAGACACGGGAAGTCAGACTTCACCCAATGTGAGCGCCATAATGAACCGAGCTTCAACAGCAAAGGTCATGTGCAGGGGTCTGTGAATCCTTTCTGCGCAACCTTCAAGTTGAATGCGAATGCATATCCATTTCGGCGCTTTCAGAAGGACGTACAGCTCCGCATTGACGCTAAATTCGACGGGCATGACATCCTCCATCTGAAGCAAGTCGACCAGAAGCTCCATCTCAGTCTACTAAGCGACGAGCTATTCAACGCATACCCTCAGATTCTGGAATGTTCTCCTACTGCCTCCAGTGCACACCGAGAGAGCATGAGGCAGACTTTGCATAAGTTCTTACTGGAGGAGCTAGAGAAGAAGAAGAAAACTCTGCGACAGTCGGCTGTCGAGCAAATGGTCAAGCGCTCCTCAACCGACCCTCCTCCGAGTCCTCAAGTGGTCCAAGATGAGGTTGGGGACTGTGCGTCGGTACAGCCAACAACACCTGCACGTCAAGCAGTACAAGTTCCAGTCCCAGAGATTCACTCAGCACATCCTCTACAGCCGGAACACCAAGCCGAACAGCCCAGAGCACCCGCCGCAGCGGAGCATTCTGCCACTGAAACCCAGACCGTCTTACCACAGGCAAGCCACACCGAGCCCGCTTCTGCAGAGACCCTGCTCGACAAGGTGCGTGATGTCGTGTTCCAGTACACTCAGAAATGCTATGTCACACACTTACAACATGCCGAGGATGCGACACTGGAGACCGACAAGACGAGATACCGAGACAGGGCCAAATTCTCTTCTGATATGTACCTCGATCTCAAAAGCCGTATCGACAATCTGTGCTTGAGTGATCCGAAGGACCAGAAGCCAGTCTCGGAGTGGTCACTATTGCCTTGAACAGCTTTGGTTCCTAGACACAGGTCCGGTTGGACAGGCGGAAGGATCTGCTCATCACGGCTGGAAGGAGCGGATCGCGAGGGCGGCGTCCTACTGGTGGGAGTTCGAGTGGGCGGGCCAAAGATCAATTGCTGATAGGAGCAGCGGAGCTTCGCTGCCAGTGCAGGAGGACATTTGGAGACCATGGTACAGCAGTAGCTGACAGAGCGGCAAGGCGTCGAGATTGTAGCTCCGCAATGTTCGCTGGAATCCACAAGTTCCACTTGGATGCGACAATACATAGCACACAGGCTAGTTATTTATCCTGGAACATGAAGCAATCGATGTCCTATCCGTTGACTGTCAACAACTTTATCTGCTGCACTATCTTGTGCCTGCAAGCAATTGGCCATTCGCATACACAGCAAGAGTAGCAGCTGCCTGATTCTGGATGCCAAAGTCTCGCAGGTACAACACCCGAAGTGGCGAATGAGGGGAGCTGCATCTTCATCGCAGCTTCCTTGTGGTAACAAATCATTCCATTCAATGCCTCTCTTGACACGTTCGTGCTTATAGCACTACTCCCACGCACTCAATCTCGACACGTTTGCAACTCTACAGTCATGTCTTTGACGCCTTCATTGCCATGTTTGCGACCTCGAAAATGTCTCATGGAAACTTGATGCAGGTCGCCGGATGTCCTTTCTTGGACAAGTGGTTTGCTTGCTCCATTGTGCAGCTCCATTCCCCGGATGCATCAGTACGTTGTTTGCTATGGGCTAGCAGGTGTACAGATATGGTGCCTGTAAATTGTCCAAAGACGTGGTCTACATTGCTTCGTACACTACTTTCAGAGCACTTGGAGGAGTCTCCCTTGCGTGCTGCCATTCTTCTCATTCCTTGCTCTCTTCGTATTCCATTCAGCTTCAGATGGCCGCTAGACGGAGAGTGAAGACGTTCAAGGCGATGAATACTCTCGACGATGCTTTGGAAGGCCTCAAGCTCCGAGATCTCCATAGGGACGAGCAACGCGCTGCAAGAGCCCACCTCAATCAGTTCCTAGACCGCAAGTATGGCTTAGACGGTTCGATCAGCTCTGTCGACCCCAAAACCGCCGCGCGGGAATACGTCAGTTTCCTGGCGCCTTCACTCTACCGCAATGATCGACCTTTGCGGCCATGGGAGCAGCGAATCAAAGTCCTTCTCAACGAAGACTCAACATTGCTTCATCGTTGTTTGCGGAGAATCGTTTCTGCCGAGAAGGAGAGAGTGAAAGTCAGAGGGGGTCGATGTCGAGCAATTTCAGGCTCAGGTCCTGGTGAAGATACAGAGATGAAAGGATCAGTCATGGAAGTCCCGCACGCCATGGTGGCTCCTGCTTCAGACACCGACCGGATCGAAGGTATGTCCCAAGATCCGAGTACAAGGTACAGGCATTAACAAATGAAAGTGATACCAGCAACGCGGTTAGTCGGCTCCGAGCCTGCCATAAAGCGTCCGTTCATGTCTGGGAGTAGGCAAAGATCAAAGCGGCGATCGATCTACGACCCTCCGTCCGACAGCGACGCCGAGATTCCGGACAGTGAGGACGATGCGGTCGGGTCACCACCACAGCGGAAGCGCCGGAAGATCGTCCAGACCACAAAGCGACAGCGGCCTCGTGGGCCAAGCAGGGAACTCAAGAGACTCGCCGATCATAATGGTCGCGGCCTCCGTGAAGACAGTTCATTGAGTGATCAAATCAAGCAATACGATGAGGAGCTTGGGTATATTTTCCGTGCTTTGAGGAGGTCGCCATATGACCCCAGCGCTGGCATTACGCATCCTGCCACATCTCAATCGACGCAAGATCTGGGGGATCCTAGGAATTCTACGCGAGGGCGTGCGGAAGTCGAGAGGGAGAAAGGCCATGAATCGACCCAGCCAGACCGTCTGGGTCTTGCCGTGTACGCATCAGACGAGAGTGACGAGGAAGCCGCAGTCGAAGCTGGCGGCGAGACTGCACAGCTCATGAGGGAACTCAAGGTTCTGTTGCTGCGGCTTGAGGGAGCCAAGACGTCCTCAGAGTGGGCTGTAAGTCAAGCAAGAACGGCAGGAGCAGAGGTGGAGAAGGCAGTAAGAGCTCTGGTAGCAGCAGAAGACAAAGTCCGAAAAACGCTCGATGAGATCGAAGTGATCGAGACTAAGATGAACAAGTCAGCTTGAGCTGAGAGTAGGAAAGTGAGACAGAAAGAAGCCAACAGTAAGATCACAAATTTTCATTAACACAGCGAAGTCAACACCAAGTATTCACTATCTTGTCGTCAATAATCGTCATTAACTATTCGTACATCATCATCAACAAGTCACCGCTCGATCTTCACCATCGACTCCACACATCCACACTCCGCTTCCACCTCCTCTAACCCCCTCAAATCCACTCCGCACCCCCCGGTGCCCCTCTCACCGGCTTCCCCTCCTCATTCCGCGAATACACACTACTGGCGCGTATATCAACGCCACCAGCAGCACCACCAGAGTCCTCCTCGTGGATGGACGAAATCGGAGACATCGTGGTCTCAAAAGACGCGTCGCGAGCAGCAAGAATCGGCGAAATCGACGGCAGAACAGGCGACGAGGAGGCCTCTGCGGGAGCCGTGGTGGTGGCAGCGGTGCTACTGTTGTGGAGGGAGAGGTTGGAGAACAGCTTGTTGGGATGGAGGTGGCGGTGGGAGCTGGAGGACGTGGGGAGGGCTCTGGGGTAGTGCGACTCCATCGGGCGCATGAGGTCTGGTATGGGGAATTTGGCGAGTTGCGGGGCGAGAGAGGGAGCGCGGCCGGCAGATCTCGGCTCTGGTTGTGGGAGGATGTGTGCGCGAGGCGGGATCTGTGGGTGTGGGACTGAAGGCGCAGTGGTGGAGCGCGATGGTGTGCTGAAGGTGTTTGGAGAGCTGGACATGCGTGGCTGGCGCGTCGGGGTTGAGAAGTTTGGGTATGAGGCGGGCTCTGGAGCGATCGCGCGTGGATAGACAGTGGTAGTGTGAGGGCAGTCTTGGTGATAGTACTCGGAGCCGGCTGTAGTGGCAGTTCGGAAGCTTGCGACCGAGTGATTGTATGATGGAGGGTCTCGGAATGGATCTTGGTTCTGTGCTTCTAGATCCTCTCGTCGTCGCGCTGAGTGTGCTGAGCGTGGCGGGCCATCGAAGACTCGGACAGCTGGGTTTGGTGGGAAGGCTAGCGCGGTAGAGATGCGATTGATGTCTGCTGAGTTGGTTGCGATGTTGGCTAGTTCGGTGGAATCTTGGCTGCCGTAGGTGATGCAGTTCTGTCGTCGCTTCGGGAGGCGTGGCCAGACGCAGGCGATAATGACGCCGATGAAGAGCGTGCAGAAGATGGGGAGGAAGATCTCGCTGAATGCGTTGCCCATTGTGATTAGTCTGGTGGATGTCACCACAGCTATGCCCTCACTTGTTCACTAAACGCTAGACTGTGGTGTTGAGGTCAAAATCTTGACAGAGGGCGCCCTGGTGACCAGAATTCACTACCACAAGAGAATGCTTTCAGAAATGCCAGAGATGCAGATTTTGTGGTCAGAGGCAGCCCTGGAGGGGTTTTTGAGCTAGTGAATGTAGAATGTGTGAAGTTGCCAAAAAGTTGACGTGAGCAGTCCAGGGCGGGCTTCAGCAGATCATTCTCACAGTTGTCCTGACAAACGCGCTGACCTACCTGGATCATGATCTGGTGCTCTCCCTAATCACGTCGTGTAGGAGAATCAGCAAAACCAGAATGGTTGTCCCGGCAATGGCCAGTCCTGATCTCGTCGAAGGTGTTCATCAAGCATTTGTCTGATCGAAATTCAAGAACGTTGCTAAATGTTGAGTGATCTCCAGACGTGCTGTGATTAAGAACTGCAAGAAGGATATCTGTTATCATTACTCACTGCTGCTGCTGGCCTGGCCTGTCTGCAGGCTGAGCACCCAATACCCAACCCATACCACTGACAAGACCACTCGTTACCATATTCGAGACCATATCCCTTTTCCTGACTCTATCTCCATCTTGCGCCGATCCAGGCCGTTCGTCCGAGTCCTGCGATGGCATTGATCGATGTTTGCGATCTTCCAGTCCAGCACTCAGTGGAAATGCACTCTTACGCAGGGATCCAGCAGCACCTCTGGCCATTTCGAACAGACTGACCGGAGCCTCCTCCTCGTATGTAGCAGTTCCGGTCCTCCGTGACTGAGCCTGTTTTGTTTCAGCTGCATCCCACTCCCTATCATCAAAACCAAAACCTCCAGGTAGCTCTTCCGCGCGACCGGTCTCGAAAGCTCTTTCCTCCCGTAGTGCCGTGCTCTTCAGACCTTCCATCTCCTCTTCACATCGTCGCCATGTGCCCAGTATCTCGGCCAACGACTGAGCAGAAGGCGCCAGGGTCAATGCCAAGGAGAGCAGCTCCATTCGCTTAGAGAGACCAGATATCTGATCGTGTAGAGCAGAGGGCGATGACGGAGGGCGGTAGCGACCAGCAGCGTACGCAGCTCGCCAAGACACATCATCTTCTGCTGGCTGCTGTGTTGACTGTCTCGTGAGTAGGCGAGTAGTGATATAGGAGTACGCTGTATTGAAATCATGGTTCGCCAAAGCCGACGATATTGCCAAGAAAGTCACGCGCTGCTCCGCTTCCAAGAGTCTCGAATCCATGGACTTTCCGTAGACATCTCCAGCCTTCGGTGGCCTGGAGAGTACGAGCTCGCGGCCAACTTCAACCAGATCATCCAGTTTCGAATAAGCTACCGGGTCTTGTTCAAGCACTTTCTCTACCAGGCTCAGGGGGTCCTTCTGCGCTCTGAGGTTCACCGGTCGGAATGGAACGCCGTGCTGCAACACCAGCTGATAGAATGAAAGCCGATGGGTTGCTTTGAGGAGATGCTCGATTGCTTGTAGCTCCACAGAGTCCGGGTATGATGGCTTGAACACGGTCAAAGCGTCCGACGCCTTCTTGATGCCACCTCGGTTTCGATTGCCATTCGAAGCATTGTCGTAAGTGGTGTAGATCGACCGGATGATATGATCCTCGATGTCTGCACGTGAAAGGAACGTGTTCTGAGACTCGACGTAGAGGTGCTTTGCCGCCTGATACTGGCCGTTGGCTAAGATTGCGTCTAGGAGCTGGGCATCAATCTCCGAAGGATCAAGCTGTCCAAGATAGGCGATGGTTGCTGTCGGTTCGGTTCGAGCTCGCGTAAGTGGTTGCCATGAATGCAGCCAGAACAGGTGCCGCCGAAGAAGTTGCCAGTCCGGATCTGTCGTGGTAAGGCGAGGTATCTGCTGCAGGATCGTTCCGAGCTCATGCTGCTGTCGCTCTGCAGACTGACCCAAACAAAGTTTGGCCACACTTGGAATGCTGCGGCCAACTTTGTATAGCGACAATATCTCTTTCGTCCTCAGAAGTCCTGCAAGCAGCTGGGATGTCGCTTCCGACACCGTAGTCAGCTGATTGGATTTGGACAGCAGAGCAGTTTTCGCCAGGCTCATCTCTGTGCCACTGGCCAGGTCAGAAACATTATTGACACTGAGCTCGTCATTGCTCAAGTCAATCGGTGTGAAGCCAGCAAGCGAGGTTGATCGTGCCCAAATTTCGTGCAGAGTTTTGGACTGCTGCTGCTCGGCTGCGTCATCAGAATAAATGATGGCGAATCCTAGTTGCGCTAAGTCGCTCAGCCGTGAGTCATTCGGCGGCCCATTCCATGTGAGAAACGCATCGGCTGCCGCATCGAAGTCCTTCAGACTGGTCGAGAGGATCCAGGAGTACACATCAGACCATGAAGCAGCACTGTTCGCGTCTGTCCCTCCCAGCACCCAAGGCGTTATTACATGCTCGATGTCCCTGGCGATAGCTCCCTGGGATGGCCTTGTCAGAGCATTCTGAAGCAAGGCGCTCACACCTGCGAGTCCAGAAAGTGTCTCAAGGTCTCTTAATGTGATCGATTCGGGACCGTTGTGCTGATAGTCATGCTGCAGTCGTAAGAGAGGTAGTAGATATGTCTGAGCCAATGCGCAAGGTCTTCGTCTTCATAACTGAAGGCTTGTACCAGTTCTCCAACGACTTCGAGAGAACTACCAGCGGCCTCAAGCTGATGGGCCCAGGATACTAAGAATCTGGCAAAGAGGCTGGCTGATGGGTATGCGGGTAGTGCCTCGAGTGTATTGAGATGCAGATGCTGCGCTTCTGCCTCCGCGACTCCGCTGGACAGATCTGCTATAGCGGCCGCATCGATGGGTCCGTCCAGGCTACTAACATCCTCGAAGTTGAAACGAGTCGATCGCAGTAATGTCAGAAGTGCTGATCGAGCAGTCTCGTCGGTAGGATACAGTGTGAGCAACAGGCGATAGATGATGCGCTCTGAGAGGACATCCGCCCGTTCGGCGGCGAGAAGCCGTAGGCTGTCTACATTGACATCGCTGATGAATTGTGCAGCGAGCAGCAGCACCTGCACGTCTGACAATCTCTGAAGGTCTGTCATGGTCGCAATCGATCCATGCTGAATATATGGGCGACGTGACGAGGTCGGCGCGTTCTGTTGCAGATCCGTGCAAGTTGTCTTCTCCAAAGCCGGAGAGCCCCAGACTTGGCGCAACTGCTAACTTCAACCTGCTTCACGCCACGACCTGGCATCATACGCCCACCGCACACCTCCAAAGCCCCGGTTGACGCTCGTGAGCTTACAAGATGGCGTCCGGCTACGGCGCATATGGCGGTAAGTACCTTGGCTACGATAGAATAGCTTTTCGGAGCACCAGAATCGCGCCGACAGCTTGACTGACAACCACAGGTGTGAGCCGGTGCTTTCCCTTCTGGCAGGAATACATGGCTTGCTACGTTATCAACCAGAACGATCCCGAAGCGCGCAAGCAAGGCGTCTGTGTGCCCCGCCTTGAGGACTACTACGAATGCCTACACCACAAGAAAGAGGTGAGTTTGGGGGTAATGCACCCAAGGCAGAGGCATGGACTAAACATGCTCAGCACGCTCGTGCACTAGCGATCCAGAACGCGATGCGAAAAGCCCAAGCTGCACACCCTCGAGAAAATGCGCCGAAAGCTGGTCAGATACGAAGTTTGGGCTTGATTGGGAAGGATGAGGACACAAAACAGACGTTGGGCCAGTCATAGCGTCGGGCATAGAGGGCGATGTGTTGAGGTACAGGGCAGACATTATGGCTCGACAGCAGTCATTCTACTGGCGTTGTTGCAATTCAGGTTTGGGATGATGCGGCCATGAACTAGCGATCGAGACAGTCTACGTCGAAGTGGGCAGCAACCCCAAATATCAGTCGTCCCAGGCTACGCCGATGCGTCCAGGCACTTATCAAAAGACATTTCCGTCTATTTCGAACGCGAGTGAAGCATGCTCAAGCTGGGACAGCCATTCTTGTGCCTACTAAGAGGACTCTAATTGAAGCTGTGTATCGTGGCCAGCACGATCTTTGTCCCGACGTGTCAGCGCGAGCAGTAACCTAGACGGTACAGGGCTCAGCGGTATACCACGTTTCCCGCGAACTTCCTCAAGCGCTCAGGCACCAAAGATGACACGGTTTAGGTTGGTTTGCTGCGAGCATCTCATGTGACTCGGCCACCATATCGGGGTACGCATCGTGTAGTCATCAGAGAACAGCGACAACATGCACGAATCTCACTCCCGCAACGGACCTGCGATGCAGACACGCGACAAGTGCCCGTCTAATCCTGACGATCGCGTTGCAAATGAGAAGGAAGTGAGAGCTGATCTGACGACTTTCTGTCGCCAAGGCGCTAATAAAAGCTTGGTGGTATCATGAACGGGTGGCAAGGGCTCGCCAGGGGAAGGCGCGACGCATAAATAAGGGCTTCCACATTTGAATAACAGGCTTAAACCCGCCTGCCCAAAAAATTCCTCCTCTTCTCCAAGGCCGTCAAACAGCCTTGCCTGCAAAGGTTGCGGGTTGTCTCCTTTCTGTTGGCGGGACTCATGCGTTTGCAGGGGAAGGAGCGATTGTTCGACTTACTGTCTTTTCTGGTCTTGATGGGAGTCTACAGAACCGACACCTTACACTTTTGAATGCATGAATTGACCACACAGGCGTTATGGTCGCGTCAAGGTACTTTCAGATCTTTCCTCATTGGTCACGCTAACCCTGTTCCAGGCTCGATAGACTAGTCACGTGAGTTGTATGGTTGCCTTGTTGGCAGTGAAGCTAACCAGTCATTCAGCTTGCTCGACAAAGGAAGCACTCAACTCATCCGCAATACAGCGGCGACACAGCTTGCAGATATCCAGAAGCAAACGCCGGACAGTCTCTTTGCCCTTCTCTCTCGAATATTGCCATTCCTCCAGAGCAAGTCATGGGACACCCGTACTGCTGCTGCCAAAGCAATTGGTGGCATTGTTGCGAATGCTGAACCCTTCGACCCTAACGAGGATGACGACCATAATGTGAAGACCGACGACGTCAAATTTGAACCATCGGGTCCGGGAGCAACGTCAGATCAACTGCTCCGGCTTGTCGACCTCAATCTTGCGTTGATACTTGAGAATGGTAAACCCTTGCTCTCCAGCGCCTCGCGGGAGTACGAGCTATCTCAGGCCGACTTGAGCCCTTCAGAGCGTCTCGCCCGCCAGAAAAAGTCACTGTTCGCTCGACTCGGACTTACTGGCGAGCCATACGACGAGGAGCTCGATGTGGACACAGAACTTATTGCTAAAGCCGCGAAACCTGTTCACATCACGAAGAAGAATGGCGCTGTCACTGTCAAGAGACCATCTCGATCGACCTCGCCATCACCTGGCTCGCCTCAAGTCGAAGGGGAGTCGCTACTTAGCAAAAGACAGTTGAATCAACTCAAGCGCCAGCAGAAGATGTCAGCCAAGTCTGGTGCTAACAAGATGCGTGTGGTTGATCTGTCAGCACGACAGAAAACTAATTCCGCATCAACGCCGACGCCACATCCAGTCCGAGTCAACGGAAAAGAAGATGGGGATTCTGAGGAAGATGGCAGACCCGACTATTTCAACATCAAACGTGAGGGCTCGGACGACGACACACAGCTAATCAAGGAGTTCAAAGGCGAGAACGATGATGCCAAACCTGTCATCCAACCAGACGAGTCCGACGCCCCAGAGTGGCCTTACGAAGTGATGTGCGACTTTCTCGCATACGATCTGTTCTCTCCTTACTGGGACATCCGGCACGGAGCCGCGCTAGGTCTCAGGGAAGTCCTCCGCGTACATGCTAAGGGCGCTGGTCGTCAGTATGGCAGGTCCAGGTGCGACAATGATCTGGCTAATAAGCACTGGCTCGACGAGATGGCATGTCGCCTGCTCTGCGTTCTGATGCTTGATCGCTTCGGTGATTATGTTTCAGACACAGTTGTCGCGCCTATCCGAGAGTCAGTTGGCCAAACGCTGGGCGTCTTGCTCACACGGGTGTCGGACGACACAGCGGTCGAAATCTACGACATCTTACAGCAGATGATCAGCCAAACGAATACTGGCCTGAAACAGCCAATATGGCAAGTCTGTCACGGCGGCATGATTGGCCTCCGATATTTTGTGGCTGTCAAGAAGGATCTTCTGCTTGAGAGAGCCGATCTCATCGACGGTGTTCTTGCCGCAGTCACAAGAGGCCTTGCTCACTCGGACGATGATGTGAAGTCTGTAAGTGCAGCGACCCTGGTGCCTATGGTCGCAGAACTCACGACAGCGCGTCCCGATTCCATTGGCCCCTTGATGCTTGTTGTCTGGGACTGTCTACTTGACATGCAGGACGATCTTTCAGCCAGCACAGGTGCTGTCATGGACTTACTTGCCAACTTGTGTTCATACCCCACAGTGCTGCAAGCCATGGCTCAGAATGCAAGAGACGACCCAGAGCAATCCTTCAACTCGCTCATTCCGAGGTTGTATCCATTCTTCAGACATACGATCACTAGTGTTCGAATGTCTGTTGTCAAGGCACTCGCGACCTTTTTGAACACAACGAGCCTCAGTGGCACCGCATGGATTGACTGGCGATTGATACGTCTGCTGTTCCAGGATATGCTTCTCGAGCGCAATGAGGGTGTACTTCGAGCTGCATTCGAGCTATGGTCAAACATGATCGATGTCCTGAAAGAGATTACGCACAGCCCGGCACTGGAGCCTCACATCATGCCGATGGTCAGATGCGCAACTCAACCTATTGGTCAACCATTGACTCCGATCCCCTTGGACACGACTCTGCTCATCAAGTCATCAGGAGCCCCGATGGCAGCTGCGCTTCCACGTCATAACGGTCATGACGATCAACATAGCCGAAAGCGTCGGAAGGTGGAGGAAGAGCCTCAGAAAATTGACAGTCACAACGTGGACGGACACATCATCAACGGCGATGTTGAATTGGTCGGCATGGAAACGCTGCTGAGGACCAGAATCACTTGCGCTAGAGCGTTAGGTCTACTTCTCCCGTTGCAGAGCTCCGAGGCCATCGACAATGTCTGGTCTCATCTTACTGCCAACCTTCGATCTACGTTCTCGACTGACTGCATGTTCTCCTCGATGGTTATGGGAGAGCTAGCGAGCAGTCCGAGCGCGAGACCGAAGAATGCTCGTCTAGAGGCTGTCGGCGTTGCTGTGCAGCACATGCTTGACCATGTCGATGAAGGGTGGTACAGCGACCTCGTACATTCTCTGCGATTGGCGAGGGGTCAGTGCGACACGCTGCTCAACGCTTTCCATTCCATCGCAAACGTCCCTAGGCACAAATTGCCTACTGTTGCGGTCCTTTGTCAAGGCGAGCCCCACGCCGGCCCCAGTGCCTTCTCTTTGAAGAATGCAGAGACCATAGTCGGCGACGACTTTGACAGACTGTTGAAGGCCCTCAGTCCAGCACAACGAATTGCCGGAATTCAAGCATTGAGAGATGCCCGGGACAATGCGAAGGAAGTCGTCGAACAAGCGAAGCGCGTCAAGGAAAGTCGCGACATAGCTGTCCGCTCTGCTGGAGCGGCAGTTCTTATCGCACTGAGAGAAATTCCGAAGAAGCCAGGCCAGCTGATCAAGTGCATCATGGACAGCATCAAAGCCGAGGAATACGAAGAAGTCCAGCAACGATCAGCTACAGCCGTTGCCGCTCTGATCGACTTCTATACTCAAAGTCCAAAGAAAGGCCCCGTCGACAAGCTGGTGTCGAACCTCACCAAATTTTCATGCGTAGACACCTCAGAAACGCCCGAGTACGGACCGAATAGCGAGTCCAACGATATCATGCTATCGCTGCGCAAGGAAGAAGATCGAAAAGACCATCCCGATGCTGCTCGGTTTGAACGAGAGGCCAAGGAAGCTCGTATCATGCGGCGAGGATCAAAATTAGCGTTGGGTCAGCTTGCTAAGTTGTACGGAAAGGACCTCATGCACCGTCTGCCGGTTCTGCAGAGTTTGATCGAGCGCCCGTTGCAATCGTGGTCGAGCCAAGCGTCTGTCGAGAAGCTAGCTGATGCCGATGGCCAAGAAGTCGTCGACGCACTCTCCATTATGCGAACTCTGACGCCCATGGTTGACGAAGAACTGCACTCCTGGATCCTGTCCCAAGTGCCAGTGGTGACAACTGCTCTGAGGAGCAATCTCTCAGTCATTCGATACATGGCAGCTAAGTGCTTTGCAACTGTCTGCAGCACGTTGTCTGTTCAAGCAATGACCGTGTTGGTTCAAGAGGTCATGCCCAACATTGGCAACCCGCTCAGCCTCCACGACCGTCAAGGTATCACGGAGTGCGTGTATCACCTGATTCAAATTATGGGAGACCAGATATTGCCATATGTCATCTTCCTTATTGTACCTGTGTTGGGACGCATGAGCGATTCCAATGAAGATGTCCGGCTGCTGGCGACAACCTCATTTGCAACTTTGGTAAAGCTTGTGCCGCTCGAAGCGGGTATTCCAGACCCTCCTGGCATGCCTGAAGCACTACTTCGCGGTCGGGAGCGAGAGAGGCAGTTCATGGCGCAAATGCTGGATCCAAAGAAGGTCGAAGCTTTCCAAATTCCGGTTGCCATCAAGGCTGAGCTCAGACCTTACCAGCAAGACGGTGTGAACTGGTTGAACTTTCTCAACAAGTACAATCTGCATGGGGTACTTTGCGACGACATGGGTCTGGGCAAGACTCTGCAAACACTTTGTATGGTCGCCAGTGATCATCACATGAGGGCGGAAGAGTATGCACGTACGCAGGCACCCGACAAGCGTCGCTTGCCTTCACTCATCGTCTGTCCTCCCAGTCTTTCTGGTCACTGGCAGCAGGAGATCTCGCAATTTGCACCCTTTCTGACCTGTGTGGCGTACGTTGGTGGGCCAGGCGAGCGAAACAGTCGGAAACATCTTCTAGCAGATGCTGATATTGTGGTGACAACATACGACATCTGTCGCAACGAGAGCGATGTGCTTACTGCTCTCACATGGAACTATTGCGTTCTCGACGAAGGGCATCTGATCAAGAATCCGAAAGCAAAGATCACGCAGGCTGTCAAGAAGGTTAACAGCAATCATCGCCTCATCTTGTCCGGAACTCCGATTCAGAATAACGTCTTGGAGTTGTGGTCTTTATTCGACTTCCTGATGCCAGGCTTCCTCGGAACAGAGAGAGTCTTCCACGATCGGTTCGCCAAGCCTATCGCAGCCAGTCGCAATGCGAAGTCGTCTTCGCGAGAACAGGAAACAGGTGCCTTGGCAATCGAGGCTCTGCATAAGCAAGTTCTACCTTTTCTGTTGAGACGATTGAAAGAGGAAGTACTCAATGATCTACCGCCCAAGATACTCCAGAACTATTACTGCGACCTCAGTGATTTGCAGCGTCAACTGTTCGACGACTTCTTCAAGAAGGAGAAGAAGACTGTGGAAGCAAGCGTCGACTCCAACGACAAAGAGGCAAAACAGCACATTTTCCAGTCTCTGCAGTATATGCGGAAGTTGTGTAACTCACCCGCCCTCGTGGTCAAAGAAGGAAACGCACAATATGACAACGTCCAGAAACAGCTTGCGGCGTCGAAGTCGAATCTCCGAGACGTTGCACATGCTCCAAAGCTGAGGGCTTTACGAGACCTGCTGGTTGATTGTGGCATCGGCGTCGATGACAAGGCTGCCGACGCGTCAGCTTCAACCTTTGTCTCGCCACATCGTGCGTTGATCTTTTGCCAGATGAAAGAGATGCTTGACATGGTGGAGACGGAATCTTCGACAAGCTGCTGCCAGGCGTGCAACATCTGCGCCTCGATGGCAGTGTTGAAGCCACAAAACGACAAAGTATCGTCAACAAGTTTAATAACGATCCCAGTTACGACTGTCTATTACTCACGACTAGTGTGGGCGGCCTGGGTCTCAATCTGACTGGTGCCGACACTGTCATCTTTGTGGAGCACGACTGGAATCCCCAAAAGGATATACAGGCCATGGACCGAGCTCACCGGATTGGTCAGAAGAAGGTTGTTAATGTCTACCGACTGATCACTCGCGGCACGCTCGAAGAGAAGATTCTGAGCTTGCAGCGGTTCAAGATTGACGTGGCGTCGACTGTGGTGAATCAGCAGAATGCCGGACTGGGCACCATGGAGACCGATCAGATCTTGGATCTCTTCAATCTCGATACGCCTGACTTGGCCGCTACCGGAGAGACCGCTGCGAGTAAGGATGAGGATCTCGTGGATGTGGAGACAGGTGAGGTGAAGAAGAAGGGCGAGAAAGGGTGGCTTAACGATGTCGGAGATCTTTGGGACGACCGACAGTATCAGGAAGAATTCAACTTGGACTCGTTTGTGCAGAATTTGCAGAAATAGCTGCTGGAGCTACTTGCTGCCGTCTCGGGCATGTAGGCGTGGATGTCAATTTGGGGATGAACACGGACTGCACCGGCTATGCGTTGTCGGAGAATGGGACCTTCTGCCGTGAGCGCAGCCCGGCATAGAGTTCGATATTTTGGTGATACCCAGCAACGACTACATGCTTCCTGAGTGCTTTGTTCCTCCCACGAACTCTTACCACATGCAAAGGTCTAAGGTCACCAGCATGTACAGCAGTGGTTCCTGTTCATGACAAGGGAAAGTCCGCAGGACGACAGGCCTAGCTGAATGGGTGAGCAAGAACGCGATGAGCTATCAAGACTCGTGGTGTCAACAGGGACAGACCCTGGGCTATGTGCTATGTAAGAGGCTTATTCCCAATACGCGGTGAATACCGGCTGCTGCTAAAATGGTACCTAGACTTGGGGCCCGTTCGCGGGGTGGCTGACAAGTCGTTCCCCGTTGAGAAGGAACGAACACTCGTATTGCGATCTGGTCACGTGCTATTGCTATTGTCTTGCCTTTTGTGGCAGTCGACAGCGGCGGCAGCGGCGCCTGTGAGTGGGTGTGTAGCTGTGCACACCCAAATTGCCAAGTTGTGTATGCCTCTCCGGGCTCTGAGAGAGACTTGGCGGCTGCTCCAGAGCTCCTCAGAAGGTGAGCGTTGACGATTGGTTGCAGCAGCAGTATACTATCTGTCAGATCTCGTCGGTCTTGCTTGCCTGTCTCCCAAAGCAACGTGTCGGGACTGAGCTGACCGGCGATTCGTTCGCTCATGCTGAGCAAGATCCCCTCCTATGGGCCGACGGGTGCCAGATTACCTATGCCATGGACTTGGGGACGCGTGATCGTGCGGGGCCGTGCCCGACAGCCAATTCGGGTCGCTATACTGTGTCCTCTTCGGCGCGTTGGTGTCTATACTGAGGAAAATAAGCTGTACTAAACGATTCACAGCACGCCGCAAAAGGAATCAAGAGGCTGTGAGTGGCTCTGTCATGCCTGAATTGGAAAGGCGTGCCGTGCCCACTAGCGATGCTTAGCGATTCTAAAAATGCAGATGCTTATTTTGAAAGCCGGTGATTTGGGGCGCATGAACACAGGCTTGACCACATCGGTCCCGGTAAGCACACACGATGATACCCGAGTCCTCGCATCGTTCAGCGAGGCCCCGCCCGAACACAGGTCAGGCCGCTCACGGTGTACCTCATTTGGAAATACCATGGCCGGTGACAGAGATTCCCGATGGAAGCCGTACAGCCTCCCCGCCATGCCCCCATGCTCGAGTACAGCGTTAGGCGAGCATGGGAGTACCACGCCTCGATATTGCTGTATAAAGTGACCCGAGCATCTCACTCATGTCAGTCTTATTTTTCATACACATCAGGGAACCACAACAACACGAGTACTTTCCTTTCTGTTCAGTCTACGAATTTCCTTTGTCTCCTTCTGTTAAATACACATTCACTTTCCACAGTGCAGCATATAACTTGTCCGCTTCGCACATCTAATAAACCAATAAACTCAAGTACATACGCAGGACAGTAGCCATAATGCACGCATCAATTCTAATTGCCACTCTGGCCGCCTCTATGGTCTCGGCCACTCCTCTCATGGCCCGCCAACAGCAGCCATCTCAGCCTGCCTTCGCGCCAGCTCCCAGCGGTGCTCCTCCTGCCGGCCCGCGCCCAGCAGCTAGACAGCCAGACGCCAGCAGCTAGACGTCCGCACCAGCAGGATCCCCTCCCCCTCCTCCACCCACCACAACTTCCATCACCTCCCCTCCCGTCACGACTGGCCAGCTTGGCAAGCCCGGCACCCCCAACAAGGTCCCACCCAAAGGCCTCGTCGGCGAGCTTCTGACCGAAGACACCACGGTGACCCGCTTCAAGGACATCAAGGCTCAAATCGATGCCGGTGCCATCTCGCTCAAGTTCGACCACAACCCGGCCGCGAACCCGAACGTCACGGCCGGCATGGGCGGCCAAGTCGACCTCGCTAACCGCGCCAACTTCCCCGTCCTCACCGGCCTGGGTATCTCCTCTGCCACGATCTTCTTCCAGCCATGCGGCTTGAACACACCTCATGTTCATCCCAGAGCAACAGAATACTTCACCCTCGCCACCGACACCAAGATGTCCACCGGCTTCGTTCTCGAGAACGGCCTCACCGAAGAATTTAAGACCAACCTCACCATCTGGCAAGGCACCGTCTTCCCACAGGGCAGCATCCACTGGCAGCAGAATGACGACTGCAAGCCCGCGGTTGGCGTCGCTGGTCTGAACAGCGAGGATCCCGGTGCCAGCTCGATCGCGCAGAACTTCTTGCGGTTTACCAGTGCGGATGTGGTTGATGCGGCGTTGGGATTTCCGGCGGAGATCAATGGGGAGAACTTTGCGCAGTTTGCGGCTGCGTTGCCGGCGAGCTTGAGTAAGGGTGTTAAGGAGTGCTTGGTGCGGTGCAATATTCCTCACTGAGGTCGTGGTGAGGGATAAGGTGGTATGGGACGTGGGAGGAAGGCATTCATTGCGGCATTTCTGAGCGTGCATTAGCGAATTGACGATTTTTGGGGCATAAATCATACCCCTTTTCTATGAAGCGAGGCTCCGCGTTCAATGTAATCAGCACATATTACAGTCTCATTACTGGTCTCTCAATCCTCGTCTGTGACATAGAAGAAGCTGTGCCACCCGGTGAACACTTTACATTGACAGTAGGCTCCCTTGAGCAGTATTCGCAGATCGTTGCTTCTTCGCCGTCAAGGTTGAGTGTCTCCGTGGAATCGCCCAGAGCGAGCCCGCTCTGACGAATATTTTGGACGCTGAGGCCGACGGTACTCATCAAGCATGATATCTTCGGCCGGGCTGTAGACCACATGGCCTACCTCATCCTCAGATGGAGCATCCACGGCACTCTGTGGGAGATTGACAGGTCTGCCAGGCTCTCCGAATAACGCGGTGGGAACCGAGCCAGCTGGTCTTGGATGGTGCATATCCCGTCGCGGTAGCTGTACTATCCGGGGCACCACGACAGACATGTCAAGCGTTGGCGTGACCGGATCGTCCTCAGTTGACACTGACGAGCTAGCGAATGTGAGCTCGGTCGGCTGTGGGTTGGCCGCTTTTGCAGTAGAAGGACTGTTGCTGAGCACGCTTCGACGGCCTGTGTGGTCTTGTGGGTCATCTCTTTCGAGCCAGAGACGCCTCAGGCGAGTCTCTAGTGCACCGGAGTCGATGTCCTCGGTATGGACCTTCAGTGCCGTCTTCAGCATCGGGTTCAATTTCACGTGCTCATGCTGGGCTCTTTTCGTCAGTTCAAGGATCTGCATACTGCGATCACCCATCGCCACCGCCTCCGCTTTGTCCAGCCGCTCGAGAGCGCCCTTCATCTGCAGTTTCAGTGCTTCGATCTGCAGACTTTGGCTCTTTCTGGTGTTCGTTAGCGCCACATAACCACAGCTCCTTCCTAGGAACGACAAACAGTTTCTGAAGCATCTCCGCTGAGATCGGCTGACCCTCCGCGGCTTGCTTAGCACAGGTTCGAATAAGCTGCTCCAAGGTACACATAGTGACCAGTAGCGTCGCACTCGTTTTGGTTGAGTCCATAGATGCAATGATGTCCCGAAAATCATCGTTATGGAATTGCCATTTGACATGTGCCATCACGATCTGCAGACGAGAAGACTGTGTATTTGATTGCAGAGGTTCCAGTTTATTTAGTAGTTGATAAAGGAGTCCCAGCGCATATCTTCCTTGCCGCTTGATCTCGCGACGAATCTTCCTGTTGTGAGAAAGTCGAGTGGGTTGTTCAGCACTGTTGAACAACTCTTCCAGATCCGAGAGGCTATGGGCAAATGTCCTCGCTTCACTGGCGAGTCGCTCAATCTGTGGTCTAGCACGCTTTACAGCCTCTGCTACCCGATATAATGAGACTGCGGTCTTTGTAAAAGCCGCGGCGAGCGTAACGAAGCCCGATACAGCGGCAGCAGCTCCATACCCGTTGGTGAAGCGGGACTCCCAATGCGTGGATGGCGACAGAGCTAGGAGTGTCCGACAGTCGTCCAGGAAGACCGGAGGTTCGTTGACATATGATACTTCATTTCCTTCGAGATACGAGCGAGATGGAATGTTCTGGTCGACTGGAATGCCTGCAAGACAATGGCTTCTTGGCCGTCATGCGGCTGCGTCCAACCCCAGCCGTTCATGCGATATGACAGCCAATGACCTTACCACAGGAGGAGAGCAAAGTGCTGTCTTTCGATGCGCGGCGGACATGTCAGGTGAGCTAGATAGGCGAGACACTCCCATTGAGCACTGTCGACCGGTCTGCAAGACGACAGTCTGCCTCGAGAGAGTCGAGGCTGACTGGATGCAGCGAAGACCAGCGAGTGGCCAACGGCACGAAACGTCCCCACAGTAGCTCATCCACCCATGGCAACGACGCTCTGCTGCAGCACCCATGCAGGAGATTTTGCAGCCGCTGAATGTGTGCTCATCGCGACTGCTGAAATTGTTGATGTTGGCAGGTTGGTCTCCTGCAATCGAGATCGAGAAAATAGGAAAGGTCCATCAGAATGCAGTCAGGGCGCGATACCCACCATCTCCATCCACGTTCCAAGGTTGAGATTTCGATATTCCATGATTGAGGCAGATCCATGTGAGACAACGCTCGGACTCATCCGACTCCATGTAGGCCGCAAAGGCGCATCATCGCTGCACCCAGGCCATGCGTCTTCCAAATCTGCGTACAGCAATGATGTGGGAGAAGAAAGAAGATCATTCAGGGGCAATGCGTTCTTCCAGGGCACTTAGGGGCTTTGGTTGTCCAAGGGTCTCCTTCATGCAGGTGCCCGGGTGGCCGAGGCTCCCAGCTCGCAGGCGTCAAAACATCACCCCGTACTGCACCGGATAGCTTCCAGTCATCTGCTTCGAATCTGTATGTTTAGTAATTCATCACCCGTAAGCACAAAGTGAAGCCCCCAGACGTGATTTCTTGCGACAAGATGTCAGTTCCTGGTAAGCTGCGGGTGCAACCTCGCCTATCTGATCACGCAAGAACCCATGGACTGACGTTTGCCTTACATAGTCGGAATCACCGTTCCCAAACTCCTCCCGATCACAGGCACATTCGTTCCCTTCTTCGCTCTGTATCAATGCGTCCTCGCCGTCCGAGTGTCTCAACAGCGGATCGACTCGAAGACCTTCATCGGTGAGAAATCGACCGACGCATCATCAACCGAAGGAAAAGATGCGAGTCCGTTGCTCGTCGCGCTGAGGTCACATGGCAACTTCTGTGAGAATGTGCCTATGGCGATTCTTATGGGTGCTATTGTCGAGATGAATGGAGGCAACCGAAGAGCCCTCACAGCAGGCTTTGCGGCTTTGCTGTTGGCCCGGATCGCGCATGTTGAGCTGGGCCTGAAGGCAGAGAACAATATGGGTTTGGGCAGACTGACGGGACATGTGTTCAGTATGGGGTTTGTTGCTTCGATGGCTGGATATGCTGCTTGGCTGGTGCGAGGCTACTGGGGATTCTGAGGCGAGACTTGATCGTGGTGTAGACGGTGGGGAAGAAGTACCCGGGTTCGGGACATGGGACAACTTGATGCTACGAGATCCGCACGTCCGCAAATTTCCTGGGGAGCCGGAGCAGATTCACGATTTGAAGGCGGGAAGCAGCTACCTACCTAGGTATGTGACGGCCAGGTCTGCTCCTTCCTGACGAGCAATTTGATCTGCTTGAGATGCATCGCTCCTCAACCTAGCCATACAAATCCATGAATGGCATCATTGAGCTTCAGCACGTTCGTTCTTAAGCACACAGCCGATCATGGCAACTGACTTACCTCATTCTTACCTATGCACACTCTGCTGGCGAGAACGACGCCGTCCCTGGTGTACTCTAGGACCCGAGGCACGCATCGTCTGTCCCGAATGCTTCAGATGGACCTACGATGTCAGTATCTGCTGGAAGTGCGGCGAGATAGTGTTTCGAAAGACGAAGGCCGTCAGCTTTGGCTGGTGTTAGTGGCATTGCGGTTGCTTCAGCTGTTTGATATGTGCTGTGTGTGATACTGCTTCCTTACGGGCTCGGAACTAACCAACATATCAGTCTCCGATCAGGCCGCCACGGTATCTTGACGGGCATGGTCGACCTCACAAGCACGGTATCGCTGTCGTTGAAGCTCCTCTCTGCACGACCTGCGCCGCGAATCCGAAGTCACATGCTGTCATTGAGAGCAATGCCAGAGCGGCAGCCAGCCAACCATATTGCAATCGACGCAAGCTCGTTGTGCATGTATCTGTCACCCGCCCACTGGACCATAATCTCAAGCTCAAGCCGCAAAATAACAAGCCGCCATCGGATCAGGTGTCGCGAAACAACAAGCCAACACCAGTCAAGGTGGCGAGGAGACAGCCCAAATGGATGCAGCTTCTACCCTCCAACGTCAATTCTCACATTCATCCACCTCGTCACTCCGTGCTTCAGAGAAGGCTCTCATTTCCTTACATCGAGCACACACGTTACTCGACTCCGTTCACGACGCCTCCAGAGTACCCAGAAATGGCTCGAAAGCCAGAGTACGCTGTCGTGGATGAACTGTCGAAGTTCTTTGCTTCACGCAAGGGGAAGTACCTGCTCCCCAGCCGGATTCGTCGACTCACATAGGTCGCGATCCGGACGTAAAAGAGGCGCAGAAAGAAAAACGTTATCAGTAGTTTCATTGCACTATCTCCAACACGCAGTTCCCGATGTTCGTACTGCTCTTGCTGCCATCGATTTTCAGTCTGACTTTCCTTGATAGCATCCCGATACGCAATCCTCCCCGTGTCTGATGAGCGCAGCGACTGCCCATGAATCTATGAACCCACGCAGGGCGGACTCCAGCCACACTTTTCTCGTATCTCGTCTCGCGTTCCATACATCCCTCACAGCTTCATGAGTTGAAGATGCGGCTGTATAGTAGTTCGTGCCTTCCCAGCCACAGATCCAGAGCAGGCACGACCTGACCAGCGTCTTCGGGCTGCAGGAACCATACAGCCTCCAAGCTCTTTTTCACTAGAGTCTGAAGCTGCTCTGAGGCAAGAATGGAATGCGACATGTACGGTCCCATCACAGATGCTCTCACTGCAGCACTGAGCACGGCTTTGACATGATTCAGGAGGAATAGATAGCCAACTTCTTCCAAGTTCAATCCCAAAGCTAGACAGACTACTCCCCATATAGGTGCCATGTGGCCGTTAACCGTGACCACATCTTGGGAAAGCGCAGCGATCTTCATATCCTTAGCAAATGTTTCGATACAAGTGACTGCCTCAAGGCTATCGTCAGAGTACTGGCCGTGCCTTGAAATAGCAAATGCCTTTTCCCAGATACTCAGGAGTGCTCTGCCTTGCGCAACACTTGACCGCCGAGCAACCGTGCACGGTGTAGATGCGTCTAAGTCGTTGTCCAGATCCATGAGCGAGAGCGGATCACGGAAGGCAGCCAGAACATATGGTAGGTTCGTGTAGGCGACTGCCTGAATTGAGAGCTTCAGAAATTGGTGGAACAGGGTGAGCGTGGTAGCTCCTGCAGGTGGTGGCTTGTGATGAGCCAAGAACGATTCCAGACCGCTCGAGTAGGCGAAAGACCCAAGTGGGAGGCTGAGTCTGACAGAAGCATTAAGTTGTGAATCGATGGACCCAGTGGTAGAGTGGCTATGGTGGGCGCATAGCTAGCCCTGGCCACCATTGCAGGGCGTGTCTGGCCGTGGCTGACATCGCCGTTGAGTGAGGCATTGCGGGGAGCTGTTGCTCGGGCTTCCGCTTGTTGGAGGACCGCTTTGGCCGTAAGCAGTTCGAGCTCGAGCTGAGCTACATGCGCACGAAGGCGTTCGCTGTCGGAAGCATTCATCAAGCCATACTGCAGGCTCTGCGTGTGTAGTAGAAGAATTCTAGCTCAGAAGGGAGTCTGATATGTGAAGTCTAGCCCCTGGTGTGGAGAAGCATCCTCCGCACATCAGATCGACTGACGTCGATCTCTTGACAGCTTTATTCTAGACAGTCATATCTCACACGCATCTCGCTTTGTAGTCGACGCGTTTCGGTTCAAGCTCCGTACTAGCGACACTTTTCGAGCGACAGCAGCCATGCGCCGGTGACCACAATCCTGCAGCAGTTCCGATGTCAGGCAAGAGAGTGCTCGACGCCATCGCTCTCCTCAGTGCCTCCAAGAATGTCGTCGCCAAACACTTCGACATACGGCTCGCACAAGCGTCAGTATACACCCAGACATCTTCGATATTCAAGGCCGTGAGGACACAAGCTCCAGCGCCGTTCGCTGCCGCTGCTCAGAACTTCAGCAATGCTGTCTACAGAGGAGCCAAAAGTCGAGAGGGGATCGAGCAGGACCACTTCTACGAACGATCGCAAGAGCACGAGGCAGCGGACGCCCCGCCACGGCAAGATCTAGATGTCGACCAACGCGAGGCTGGACGGCGTCCATATCCTGATGGAACGATACCTCCCGAGAACAGTCCTGTGGGTGCAGAGAAAGGCGATCCAGAGTCCTTCAGTCGAAGACCTTTAGGAGAATTTGTCCAGCACCCTGTAAGAGCAGAAGATGGCATGACTGTCGACTCTTCCGGAGCCTCCACCATACCAGAACCGTCTGTGGCAAAGCCCATGTCTTCCTTGGAAGCTCGCGAAGCCCAGCGAATGGCTGAAGATCAGATACCGGCGACAAGCGCAGATCCGCCAACAGAAGAAATGATGAAGGACTTCACGATAGAGCAGGAGCAAGATGTATTCTACCAGCCACCAGGGACCGCCTCGCCCGTCCTCTCGGCACTACCACGCACCCGAGTACCAAAGATCGAGAACGACTTTCAAGGCGGCGACTCTCACATTCCGAAGGACATTAATGCCGACGTCTACTATCACGGAAGCAAAGAGGGAGAGGCTGGCCACGCTGAGGCTGAGCCGACGGACGAAGAGCTATCCCAGATATTTCACAACCCACGGGTCGCTAGTATGCTGGGCAGGGGCAAGGCAAAGTATGCTCCAGGAGGCATCGCTGGCAGGAAGTTCCATACAAGCGCTCGGATGTCACAGAAGAGCGCAGAGGCGGAGAAGAAAGACATTGAGAACCTTGCCGCGGAGATGGCCAAGGATGCTCAGCAAGCACCGGTAAGCTGTCCATGCCACATTTGTGGATGTCGCAACTGATCAATCAATAGCTGACTTGCAGCAGTCAGTGAAGCAAGCCAAACCGTACGAGATGCGAGAGTCGCGTGTCCCGTCGTCACGCTTCGGTCGCATAGTCGAGTACGGCGGCCTAGCTGCGTCCATGGCCTTTGGTGCAGTAAGCGAAAGCGTGAGCAGATCCGGCGGATCGAATGGGTCAATCTGGTTGAGCGCAGCAAACATGGAAAGACTTGTGGCGAAGCTCTCGAAGATGCGTGGAGCTGCTCTGAAATTGGGCCAGATGATGAGCTTTCAAGATTCCAAAATGTTACCGAAGCCGATACATGATGTGTTGCGACGGGTACAGGATCAAGCAGACTACATGCCTGCATCACAGCGGAATCAGGTCATAGAGGCAGATCTAGGAGCGAATTGGAGGAATCTTTTCATGCAATTCGATGAGAAGCCCATCGCTGCAGCTTCGATCGGTCAGGTGCACAGCGGGACGCTGAAAGATGGCAGGAGGGTAGCTGTCAAAGTGCAATATCCAGGTGTTGCAGACTCGATATCGTCCGACCTCAATAATCTGTCCTTGCTTCTGACCGCGTCACGACTGCTTCCGAAAGGTCTCTATCTAGACAAGACCATTGCCAATGCTCGAACAGAGCTCGGCTGGGAGTGCGACTATGTGCGGGAAGCAGATGGGGCGCGAAGATTCAAGAAGCTGCTGGCGGACGAGCCCGATGTCTTTGCTGTTCCAACTATCATCGATGAAGCATCAGGAAAGAGGGTGTTAACCATGGAGATGATGGAAGGCACAGCCATCACCAAAATCCCAGACTTTACGCAAGAGCAGAAGGACTGGATCGGCACTCAGATCCTCCGCCTCTGCTTGAGAGAAATCATCGAATTTCACTACATGCAATCAGATCCCAACTGGACCAACTTCCTGTACAATCGAGCATCGAACAAGCTTGAGCTCCTGGACTTTGGCGCCTGCAGAGACTACCCGGAGAAATTCATCAAGCTGTACACCCAGGTCTTGGATGCTGCTTCAAGAAGTGATCGAAAGGGCGTTGCAGACTTTTCGACCGAGCTGGGCTATCTCACAGGTTATGAATCGAAGACGATGCGCGAGGCTCACGTCGATTCCGTCATGACGTTGGCTGAGCCGTTTCTGGACGACGCACCAGACGTTTATGACTTCCGAGACCAGACGATCACTGACCGAGTCCGTGGTCTCATTCCCGTGATGGTCCGGGAGCGTCTTGCTCCGCCTCCTGAGGAGACATACAGCCTGCATCGGAAGCTGAGCGGGGCGTTTCTGCTGTGCGCGAAGCTCGAGAGCCGCGTTCCCTGTAAGAGCCTCTTCCAGGATGCAATGAAGAAAGCTGGCCTGCGGTGAGCGGCTAGAACGCCGAATCCTGGTCTTCTTCATCGGTGTGCTCCAAAATCGTCTCTCTGAGCAATGCTTGTCTCCGGGTTCCTGGACTCAGTGGACTACTAGCCGACGAAGCAGGTTGAGGCATCGTGATCCTGCCGCGAGGCTCCTGGACTAGCGGTGCTGCCGTTCTTCTTCGGGCATCTGTCGCGAGTCGTTGTTGCCTCTGAAGCTCTCTAAGCTTCTTCTCCTGCCGCGCTGCTCGATAAGATTGCGCGTCAAGACCTCGGGGGAGCTGCTCGTCTGTTGATTTCTCCGACGCCTCTGCTGGCTCATGCTTTGGCTCGGGTTTTCGGTCAAGCTTCAACACGACTGTGATCACGCGCATTGTGTAGTGGAGGCCCAGCCCGAAGATGACACCGATGACGACCGCTGCGCCAAGGAAGTACCATAATGCCTTTTGCTGACCTTAGTACTTGTATCAAGCCGGGAGGAGTCTTACTTACCTCGAAGTGAGCAAGTACTCTGACCGGTATCATCGTGGCTTCCTTGAAGACATAGCCCAAATAGATTACAGGTGATAAGAGAATGAGAATCAACCTCACGAGCAACAAAATGATGTAGTAAAATGGAAACAACGTGTAGTAGAGGATAGAGCCTGCCACAGCCAGACCTTCATGCAGATGCATAGCGAGCGCCAGACCGCCTTCTGGAGGCCGTTCACCTTCGAGGTTGTAGTAAATCTCACTGTGATATTCGATGGAGATGCAGATACCTCATATTGACCGAATGCTCAGTAAAGAATATGTGTGATGGAGGTCTTGGTGTAGTCACCTCTTCAGCTCCTGCAAGTGATTGACTCGTCGAAGTGCGCCTGCCAGATCGTTCGGAGTCAGCTCGGTCAGGCACACCCCGCACCCAAATTCAAGCCCCAGAACCCTCAGTCCAGCTAGCGGTAGCCCTCGGACGCTTCAACGTCTTCCGTCAAAAGTCCAACGTCACTCCCTCGAACCTTCACATCTCATATCCGTACTTGCAATTCCCAGCTCAGCGAGAGACGAAGTTCGCATCTTCGCGTTGTTATGCAATCGGATCCCCGTACAATTCCGTCTGATTTCCTGCCATCATAATCACACGAGAGTGCCCTCTACTCACCGCCGCCGCTCGATTCGTCGGCGTGCATGAGGTCGCGCGACACACAACTTGAACTCGAACCGAAATATTCTCGAGACCAGAAGTATCATCAAGATGGGCAATCAGGCTTCATCGGAGGAGAAGAAGAGCTCCCGCACCTCACACCATCCACCTCCGGTAGAGAAAGACCGCAGAGTCAACCGCAGACAATCAGTCCAAGCACTGCAGGTCAACAGCCGAGCTGCCAACCCAGATCCCGCCGCAACGACGGCCAGCGCAACGGCCACGACGAGCTCAAGACCTTTTGAGACGAGTGAACTCGCACAGTATGTTCAAGCCTCACCATCGCCCGACAGCAGTGCCAAACGAGTCAGTCGCATGCCATCACGGCGCAAGAGAGAAGAGGGAGAGCCAAGCCGATCGAAGGCCTCACCGGTGTCCGTGCCCAGTGTTGCCCAATCATCGGTCCCAATGAAAGTACCCGTCTCACGCAGCAAGCAAGAAGCCATGGAGAAGAAGGCCTTTGAGGAGACATGGGACAACCCACCTAAGCCGAGTCAATACGATGGCGCTGACGACCGTCGCTACTTACCTGCCTCAGAGATGCGTCCACAACGCATGCCATTGCCCATCGCGGGTGAAGTGCAGCCTATTCCAGAGTCACCCACACTCGAGCCCGCCGATGCCGGCATGCAAGATGTCCCCATCTTCGACGACGATGTCGGTGGCTTGGCGCCTGAGGCACAGCAGCTACGCCGCAAGTCATCTGTCATGAGTGCAGGCAGCACTGACGATGAGGAGATGGACGAAGAACTACCACCAGCTGATCCTGCCGCTGGTACTGTGCAAACGACCATCGAGTGGCTTCATGCAGGCAGTCGAGTCTTTATCACGGGCACGTTTGCCAATTGGGAGCGAAAGTTCAAGATGCATCATCTGTAAGTACAACGTTTTCTTTGTCTGCCGGGCCTCGGATCTGCATCCACCCGCAACCCCAACCCCGGCCCGCACCTATGACCGTCTTCCACCCGAAACTGGACAGAACGTGTCTGAGGTCCTCGATGCGGACTGTGCGGCATGACAGTAGTCACAAGTAGCCACGTTCATGTAGGCTGTAGCTGACACTTTGGTATAGGAAGGATGGCAGAAAAGGTCACTTCGTCAGCTTGGCCCTTCCTCCTGGCACTCACCACCTTATGTTTCTCGTCGACGAAGTCATGACGACCAACCCGGATCTTCCCACCGCTGTCGACTATAACAATGTCCTTGTTAACTACATCGAGATCGCCACGGAAGATGTCGCCAAGGCACGACGTGAGAGCACTCAGGCCCCTCCAGAGGAGCGTGATATTCCCCAGCCCACACAACAGCAGGCTATGGATGATGACGATGGCATCGAAGTGCCCATGGACGAGGAAGCTGACCTGCTTGCCGAGGAGATCCTGCCGGGGGACTTTCGTCAGATCATCCCACAGGCTCTGGACGACATTGATCTGGACGAGCGGGATCAGAAATATCAGGATGCTTTGCACGTCATCAGTACCACCACAGGCCCGCCAAGTCTGCCGCTGTTCCTGGGTAAGGCCATCCTCAACGGTGTGCTGCCGAACAAGGACGATAGCAGCGTGTTGGGGTTGCCGAATCATACTGTTCTCAATCACCTGATGACTAGCAGCGTCAGAAATGGGGTTCTGGCGACTAGTACCACCACGAGGTACAAGAAGAAGGTATGTCTCCCTCTAGCGAGTCGTCTTGTGACCTTGAAAGCTGACTTGTGGCGTTAGTATGTGACCACGATCAGCTTCAAGCCGGTGCCGGTACCGAGGACCGATAGAGCAGCACCTGGGCAGTGAGTGGCGTGAGAAATGTGATCATGTCTCAACACGCCCGCGACAGGTCAGATTGTCGACGACAGACTTGCTTTCTCGACATGCATAGCGTGGGTGGCCGATCGTGGCAGTCGTTGATGAGCGAGGAGGCCATGCCCGAGCCATGGTTGAACATCCAGGCTAATCGCATTCCCTTCTGCGAAGAAACGATGTAAGCTCTGCGTTAACAGTGCTCCCCGCCATCAAGAGCACCAGGTCTCAACATACACTGAGTTGTCCGTGCGGCCGATGGAAACCACTTCAGTCGTGTTGGAACGGATGAGCACTTTGATACCTTTTTATGCATCATATGGTCCTTGGAAGGACTTCCCGATCAAACCTGCACGACACAAAACTTCTCGGGCAGAAGAGCTCCATGATCTGCCAAATTACTGGCTTCCGTGGCTGACAGATGGCGGTGAGCGCCACAGGCTCGTTGATGATAGGCAGCTGAGATAGCAGTCCAGATGTGCCAGGGCGAGCACGATGGCGACTGTCATCGTAGACCATGGTCATGGTTAGAGCTCCAACAAAATTTAGACTCTTCGCTCGCACTTCTCGAATAGCCTGAGTTTGTTGTTGTGCGCCGTCCCCCTAAAAGTCTCTTGTAAACTTGTTGCTGGGAGCCGAGTCATTAGCTCAATCATCCCTCCAGCCCACCCAAACATCATCCGTCCTGAATCGTTGCGTGCAAGTACTGTCCTCGAGCTCAGTAGTCTGCCCAGTCTCATACGCCAACAACCCCGCATGTGCAATCATGATGCCGTTGTCGATGCAGAACCTCTCATCGGTAGCATAGACGCTCCCACCACGAGACTCGGCCATCATGCCCATCATCTCCTGTACGCGCAAGTTGCAGCCGACTCCACCGACCACCAAAACTTGACCACTCCCAACATGCGCCATCGCCCGCTCGGTGATCTCGACCAGCATCGCGAAGACGGTCTCCTGCAGCGTGAAACACAGGTCTTCTGGCGTTATGGCGTCTCCTTCGGGACTCTTCAGCGTGCCGGCGCGCATCTGCGCTGCCAACTCGTCCATTCGTGCAAGAATCCCAGAGAAGCTCACATCCATCCCCTTGACGGCATAGGGAATGTCGAGAATATGCCGCCCCTTCTTGGCAAGTTGCTCAATGTTATATCCAGGCGCGGGATCGTTGGGGATATTGAGCGTCCGCGCAAACCGATCGAGACAGTTTCCCACAGCGATATCCAGCGTCTCACCAAAGATTCGATATCGATTGCTAGCGTAGGCAATAACCTGCGTGTTCCCACCAGAGACATACAGCACGACGGGGTTCTGCGCGTGCGTGATCGTGCGGCCCATCTCGATATGCCCGACGCAATGGTTCACGCCCACGAGCGGCTTGTCCCATAGCAGAGCGAGGGTCCGAGCGGCGATAGCAACGGACTGCAAGGGGGCGCCCATACCTGGGCCTTTGGTGTAGCAGATGCATGAGATGGCGGAGAGGGGGATGTTGGCTTCCCGGAGGCAGTCGAGGGTGAGTTTGGCGACGTGTGAGCGGTGGTGGAGGGCGGTGTCTTTGGGCAGGAAGCCAGCGCCAGGTGGGGAGTGGTAGGTGTGGCGGAGGTTGGAGAGGATGAAGCTGGAGTTTTTGGTGGTTTTGGAGTTGAGGGGGGATGGGTGGTGGATGATGCCGACGCCGAGTTTGTTGGCGCTGCCTTCGAGGCCGACGGCGTACATGGTGGTGAGTAGTCAAGGCGAGTGATTGTGTGGTGTTTGGCGTGTGGTGGGAATGGGAGAGGAGTGGGTCGGAGACACTTCAGTCTGGGATCGATATCTGCCTGTGAGTGATTTCACCAACTGACGACTTCTCTGTCTATCTTACAACCTCAGTCTGCTTCCCATGCTAGCCTGGGAAGTTGCTCTGTTGTCTTGTCAAAAAGGCAGGAAGCAAACATGCCACACGGGGTTAAGAGTATCCAATTTGCTAGCGCCGGCAGAACTATGCTTCCGGCCCGCGAGTGGAGACGCACGCCACCTGTCTCATGCCACTGCAATGCACACCATTGCTTCTCACATCGTCCTACCTCGCAGAGAACTGCCAGGCAAACTGCTTAGCCACATCCTTCTACCAGTGCACTTGCCAACTGCGTCAACCTGCTCTCCGGGCCTCTCCTGGCAAAATGGCGGATCCAGCCGACGATTTCGCGGCTCGCAGCGGACGCTTCGTCGAGTGGTTTAAATCGATCGAAGGGACTTCGCTCTCAGACAAGATCTCTCTGGTGGACCTAAGATCAGAAGGTGCCGGACGTGGCGTTAGTAAGTGATTGGTGCCGAGGCTACAGATCACGATACCTCCCAGAAGAAAATACTGACCCAAGTCCGTATAGTCGCGCGTGAAGATATCCCAGTGAACGAGGTTCTATTTCGGGTTCCACGAAGTATGGTCCTTGAGGCCCCAGATATTGTGGTTCATCCGACCGGGGAAAAGCGCTGCCAGGTGCTCACCATCTCGGCCCATCGAAATCATGGGAACGACGCCGGGCTGACATCTGTCCTCATATGTTTGGAAGGGCAAGGTTCGTGGCTGCCTCTCATTGTCACAATCATCCACGAGTACCTGAAAGGCGAAGAGTCCTACTGGTACCCATATTTCCAGGTCCTGCCCACTACTTTCAACACCCTTATGTTCTGGAACGAGCATGAGGTGGCGGAGCTCCAGGCTTCTGCTGTCGTAAAGAAAATCGGAAAGTCGGAGGTGGAGAAGGAATGGAAACAAAAGATCATAATGCCAATGCTGGCCCAGCCTCTCGCCTTCCCATTGGAGGAGGTTGAGGAGGAGGCAAAGATCGCTAGACTGACTGAGCTGGCTCACATGGCAGCAAGCTTGATCTCAGCTTACTCGTTCGATCTCGACCGCGACGAAGACGACGGTAACAAGGACGACGGCGACGAAGACGACCTTCGCGAGGACGATGAAGTCGACCCGCTCAAGGGCATGGTAAGTTTCAGCATCCAAGCCGATAGCTACCAAAAGGCAGCCGGGTTGTGACCAAAAGTACTGGGCGCTTTTTCCAAAAGCACCCTCCCTGGCCAGAACACCCACGAGGCTTCTATCCTTCATACCGACGCTCGACTGAGGCTTGTCTCAAGCCCAACAACTCAGTCAGCGGAACGGTGCCAGGGCCTCAGTGCCCTCCACGAGGAATCCATGAAGCGCAGCATGTGTGGCTCGAGCATGGAAGGTGGTCGACTTGGAGAAAACGCCCAGTACTTAGAGCCACACCTGGGCAGCTGCATCAGTCTTTTGTCCACTCATACTCGTCGCCTTAGAATACATGCTGATCAAGCATTCCTTCAGGTACCATTTGCGGACATGCTCAATGCCGACGCCGACCTCAACAATGCTCGATTGTCGCAAGAAGATGATAACCTGGTCATGTACACGATCCGTCCAGTCAAAGCTGGAGAGCAACTATACAACGATTACGGCGAACTACCTCGCTCGGAACTGCTTCGCTGCTATGGCTACATCACTCCCAACTACGCACAGTATGACGTGGCCGAACTCGCCCATGATTTGCTTGTGGAGCTCGCCGGTCTTGAAGATCCTAAGAACAACGAGGCTTGGCGCCGTGCTGTGGCCAGGCTCGATGACAAGGAAGTTCTTGATGACGGCTATTCGATCTACTTGCGGAGCCCGGTCGGAGGGCCCGACGCGTACGTTCCGGAAGATCTTCGCACTGTACTACGTGCCCTGACGACCTTTACTGCGTCAGGATTCTCCAAGTTCAAGGTCGGTCAAGCGATGACTAAAGAGGAGGCAACATTACTCTCGGCAGCTGCATCCAGACGATTGTCTGAGTATGCGACTACTCTGGAGGAAGATCGCAGAATCTCTGCTCAATCACCCGTCGCCCTTCCCAACGAGCACGTCCAGGCATCGCGGTACACCGCCGCTGTCGTAGTACGTCAAAGTGAAAAGGAGATCCTCCAATTACTCATCGATCGTTGTGCCGCTCACCTTACGCAGCTGCAAGCTGAGTCACAAGCAACGGCACGGGAGAGCCAGAAGAAGCGAAAGCTGGGCGATGACCAGCACAGATCACGAAAGGCAGTCAAAGCTAACGGACATCGCTGAGCTGGAAAGGAGTTCATTCATTCGCCTATGGGCAGGATCTCTCGACGAATACCAAGTCAGAGAGCATGCTCGCTTAGCATTGCTCGTCTGGAATACCAGTCAAAAATGCTGGTGGAAGCTTCCAAGCGTGGATCGAGTCCGACGATGCGAAACCTTTCATCGCCTATCTACCTGGTCCTGCATGCCTGCAAAGCGACTTATGCCGATGCTGTCAATCGACACTGCATCGCAACTGCTGTGGTACATTGTTCAGCTCACAAAGAGCGGAGAGTGTTTGAAATTGTGCTCTCATCGATATTGCCTAAGGTGGGAAATTGTGCGCGCATGTCTCTACGATGCGGCAACAGCAGGCATTTCGGACTGCGGAATGGTGAGCCGGCGTCCAGGGACAGTCGTACTCTGGTCAATGGGTCGCTGTTGAGGTGCAGCCAGATGTGCGCGGAGTGCAATGTGGCTGGATTCTGGTATCTGGACCTGGTCTTCAACTTCACTGTCGGAGTGGTCGGTATCGAATTTCCATCTGTCATCGAGAACTGGATCATGGACCGGCTGTGCTTTGGTGCGGAGCGGGAAGCGTCTGTCAATCATCACCCGACCACCTCGACCAATTCGTCGCCGGAATGCGGGCATAGGATCTGGACCGTCGCTGTCGTCTACGGGACTAGCATAGCGGAACGGCGTCGACGACCTCGATCTCTCCTTCAATTCAATCTGACCTTCTCCATTCGGCTGTGTTTCCTCTTCCGAGTTACTAGCAGGCGGGGTTGGTAATTGTGCAGCCATGGCTTTTCTGAATTCTGGCTGTTGGACATCCGGTTCTGGCTCTGGTGTAAGTGGCGCTTTCGTTCTATCGACATATCCTTCGTTCCACCGCTTGTGCTTCTCGACATTCAGATGGATCTCTTGCTGGATTGTCCGCGTCTTCTCGCCCCAAACTTCTTCCAAGGTCCGCAGGTCGTGCGATGTACCGTGTGGCAGCCCCGGCATACGCATTTGCTGTGCAAACGCAGCTTGGTTTGGAGTCATGCCCGGCGTCACCTTCTGTTTCTTCTGATTGATCAGCAGTTCCTCATCGCCTTTGATGGCGAGTTTTCGCTTTGTCTCACGGAATGCTTGGCGCTGCTCGAATACTAGCCGATCGATCTCGAGACTTTCTTTTCGCATCTGCTCACGCCGCTTGACCATGAGCATGAGGTTACGGGCACTTTCGAGTTCCATACGAAGTTTTCGCAACTTGTCGGCACTTTGAAGATCGCGGTTTCTCGTCTTCCGAATCTGTCGCAATTCACGGCGGCGGAAACACACGTACGGATCCGAATCGTCAGACTCCTGTCCTGTTTCGAACTTGAGATGAGGCGACAAGTCCCGATTACTACTGGTGGTCCGCCGCAGCGCCCAGTGTTCGTATATGATTCTGGTGAGTGCTCGAACGTGGTCCGGATGACTTTCGTCAAATTGCTCCTGCAGCTCATCGAGTGAGAGCACAGGTGGACTATCGACGGCAGCATACGGTTGTTTGGTATGAGCGGATTGTTCGAAGAAGTTCATGACATCCTCAAACTGGTCCTCGCTGATTTGAGGTTGATTTGGCTGCAACTTGGCGTTGATGAGCTTCAATGCCAGCTCATCCTCCTCATCCATGCAATACGGCGTACCTGCACAGTCCTCGACTGTAGCTGACGACCGGATGTATGTTGCTGGCTGCTGCCATCCTTTGGTGTACAGGACGTCATACTGGATGTCACTAGCAATGGTAGGTGGAGTTGGGATGTATCCGTCTGGCACGGCACCATCCTTGGCGGCTTGTGATGCTTTGATTGCCTGCTGAAGATGGTATTCCTGTGTGCGACAGTCAGTATTGATGCAAATTGCGGCAACGATGATATCGTCGATGAAAATGATGTGGTTGTCGATGGAAGCGACGGCAAAGGTAAGTGCCAAGACCAGCGCAAAAATGGGGAGCGAGTGCAGTGCAAAGTGGAAGGAATAGGACAACTCACAGCTTCTTCAGCTTTCTCGACGCCAGTCTCAACAGGACCGCGACCAGAATCAACGTCAACAACATTTTCAATTTGGTCTTCGCGGACTATCTGAATATGCTGTCGAGATTGAAGCTTTTTAGGTCGAGTTGTCGTGCGACGTGCACTCGACATGCTGCAATGACAGCAGGCATGCCAGTGAACACCAAACTTGAGGTGTTGGAGTTTGGTAGGTAAGAGCCACTAGGGGCCGGTGTTTGGTAGAAACGCTTCAGCGCGACATCCAAAAACCGCGAAACAACGTGGCAGACTCAATTAAGGTTGATAATTCTTGTGTCTGGATGCAAAATGTAGCGTTTGACTCTGCGAATACAGTTTCGAAGAGAAATGGATAAAAAAGTCGCTAGGGAATCCGAATTGCGATGAAGAAGTTCGCGACTGCTTTTTTTCGAGGTCGCTTTAGGTGAGTGCTAGAGGGAGAGTGAGGATTTCTGCAGGCGATAACGAGGGGCAACGCTTGGGTGCTTGCGTCGTTAGCTTTCACAATCAGCCCTTTTTTGGGGCTTCACCCCTTCAAAATTGGGCACCTGCGACTCCAAGTGACCAGCCCCGAATCGACGGCAGCTTCGGCAGCAATTGCAATTTGCCAGGGTTCACTGGTGAATTGATCATGTGACTGACGACAAGACATTGGAATTTCAAGAGGCAGCGGAAAAGGCGATTATGCACCGCCACAGTGGTGTGTTTGCTTCCCCTGAATACTAAGATCAGCATGAGAGACAATAGTATCAATCAGCATTCAGCAATCATCCGTAGTCTGAAACGAATGCGCATTCAACACCGGCAGCTACGTCGATAGATTGCAGTTGCAAGTCCAGTCGTGCCATCTCGACTGTCCTTGCGCATCGAGTTCTGTGAATGAAGAATGGCACAGCCACATTTGTGTGGCTTGACCCCGCTGCTAGTATCGGTGTCCGCTTGGTGGTCTCGTAACCGCACTACTTGCACACCACCATCTGCGGTTCTCAAACTTCACTGCTTATGCTTGCCACTCCCACTGAACAATTCGTCGAAGCTGATCCGATCCTGCTCGCCTGACCACGCTCGATCGACACCACTCAGAGAGTCTGCGAATAGCCCGCCCCCGATTCACAACCCGCCTCACTCCATAGCGAACCCTACAAAGAAGTTCGCCGGCCATGTCGGCCTCGGACATGCCTGATGCGATAGGCAGTCCTTCAGAGCCTAATAATGCCGCGCTCTACGAGTCGAGACGGAGACAGACTGTGACTGGAACACAAATACTGGACAATATAGTCGCGGGATCCAATTGTGCGCAGTCTCACCGCAGCCTGAGAGGGCGTCGACTAATGCGTTGAGCAGTTGACAAAGATGAGGTCGACAGATTACGGAAACGCTTCATGAAATTGGACAAGGTACGGGAAAGCGCCTGATGGAGAGGGCGTACACTGATCAGGATGTGCAGGACAACAGCGGTACCATCGAGCGAGAAGAGTTCCTGTCCCTGCCACAGGTTTCCTCGAATCCACTGGCCACAAGGTGATGAGCGCATGGTTGCGTCTCCGAGCGCTGCTAACAGCTGCGCAGGATGATCGCCATCTTCGACGAGGACGGTGGGGGCGACGTCGACTTCCAGGAATTCGTGCTCGGCCTGTCAGCCTTCTCATCGAAGGGCAACAAGGAGGAAAAGTACAAGTTCGCGTTCAAGGTCTACGACATCGATCGGGACGGCTACATCTCAAATGGCGAGCTGTTCATCGTTCTCAAGATGATGGTTGGTTCGAACTTGAAGGACCAGCAGTTGCAGCAGATTGTGGACAAGACTATCATGGAGGCCGATAAGGACGGCGATGGCAAGATCAGCTTCGAAGAGTTCCAGGCTATGGTTGAGAATACAGATGTTAGCATGAGCATGACGTTGGGTGAGTATCGCATTTGAGTCCGAGGACAGCGCTAGTCGTGCTTACATCCAAGCAGATCAATTTTGAGAAGCTAAACCCATCGCAAGACATCAATCACTGCGATTATGCAACGGCGTTGTTGTGACATGGCCGGCTCTGTCAGCACTATACACATGCATCTCGCACGGTGTCCGGAACGAAGTCACGAGGTAGATCGACGACGAGGAATACATCCATGGAGCGCCCAGGCTGGTTCTGATCCTTTCAATTGCTGTCTAGTCGTGACCACACAGATTCTGTGTTCAAAAGCCTCTGCTGTCTATCTTGTTCCCACAAGGTAATACATTGACATTCTGCATTGCCGGCACTGCGTGCCAAGCATTGTGTCTGCAATTGCGCTTGAAGTCGCGAACTCGACAGGCGCGGCTGCCTGAATCTGAGCCAAGGTTCAGCAGAGATTATTGGAAGTGACATCGCGAATTGCGCTTCGATGTATATACAACAACACAGCCACAGCGTCCCCTAAAGCTTACCACAGTGTGGGGGATTTATAGGAAGGGTGCATGCGCCACAGATCATAAAAAGCCACACGATCTGGAGGTGTTCACCTGTCCCCACGAATCGAACATTACTACGAAAACCCAGAATCAGATATTCGAAACATCATACGCTGCCGCATATTACCCAGCCGCTTGCAGCTAGCACGGTGTAGAATCACTGCTTGTCGGGCTTCGCCAAACCCAGCCCAGCCGTCATTCCATTCCAGACGTCGTCAGAAATGACATCAGAGGGCACCCCATGCCAAGTTTCCTGGCCCTTGCACGCGACGCTATCACTGCATCATCGCTGTGCTCCTCCCGTGCAGGGAAACCTGGCCAGAGCATAAAAACTGGGAACAGGCCCTGTGTGCTCGCGTTCTTTTGATATCTATATCTTGATTCCTTCTTGACGCTCAACTCACGACCTCAGCTCATCCACATACAACAGCTAAGCCAACCGCCAAGCACAAGCACCATCACTCCAACCTCAACCCACCACATCAACAACAAGGAACCACAAACATGGGTCTCTTCAGCAAGAAGGATAATACTGTCCCGGCCACCCAGGCCCCACCCGCAACCTACAACAACGCGCCCCACGGCCACCACACCACGCGGCACTCCACCGACAGCCACCGCCGCAACAATGGAGGCGGCATGTTCTCGCGCCGCCGCTCCTCATCCCTGTCCTCTTCTGACTTCGAGGACAACCGCAAGAACAGCGGCGGCCTTCTGCACCGCGGCAACCGCAACAGTCAATCCATGAACCACGGCCACCCACCTGCTGCCCGCACTGGTGGCGGCATGTTCTCGCGCAACCGTGACATGGAAGATCCTAGCATTGCCGCTGCTCGTGAACGCGTGCAGATTGCGGAACAATCGGAGCGGGATGCGGAGAGGGCTCTGATGCATTCCAGGAATGCTGTGCAGGATGCTAAGGCTCATGTTAGGAATTTGGAGGTTGAGGCTGCCGAGGATGCCCGGAGGGCTAAGGCCAAGCAGAGTGCTGCGAAGGATATTGGGAAGCATAGCAGCAAGCTTGGACGGAAGTTCTAGATCATGGCTACCAGAGACTCTAGATGTCGGCAGGGATCAGTGAAGGAAGGTCAGGGTATTGTGTCGAGCTTCGTGTTTTCATAACGATGTGATGAGAATGTGTTGGCGTTCAGCATGGAATATCAGAGAGTGTACAATAATCATATTCAAATCAACAAATGTCCGTGTCCATAGGCGCAAGGTGCACAGTCTTTTTGGGTCGAGTTTTATGGATGAGTACCAGTTGCGAATTTCGCCGCGGCAGGAAGTTTGTATGCAGCGCCCGATTCGAGCTGTGCCTCACAATCTTCCTCGTCGTTTATCCTCTGCGATCTTCAAGATCGGCTTGAGGTTTTCTCTCTGCACCCTTTGCCAGAGGTCTCCCTTTCCTTGCTCCCGTCCCTTTGCATCTTCCCTCCGGAACCACTCCTCAGCAGTCTTGATCCGGCTGGGGAAGATCTCGTCCAGCAACTTGTAGTCTCGCTTGATGATTGCTTTCTCGTCGTTTCCGTGTGAGTACTTCCACATGTTGAGAAATCCTGTGAAGTTCAGCCTGTTCGTGAAGGTTGCTGGATCATTCTTGTCGTTGTTATATCCACACGGCTGATCGGCGATTGGAGCCATAGGACCAGTGGCCCAGAAGTCTTCCAAGGTCGTGTCGATATATTGAGCAGGGTGACCAGTGACTTTCGTGAAGGCCTTTGCTAGGTCATGGTAGCTGATGTGGTCGATGGCGACTTCCAGGTCTTGTCCCGCAATGCGATCTGGGTTGTCGAACATCCATCTGACGTAGTACTCGCAATCGTCGAGGGCGACGTGGACGACGCCTCCGCCGTGCTCGCCAAGTGGAACGCGCCATGTTGCGGTGCCATTCTCGATGCTGGGGGTGAACATTGTGTTGGAAGAGATGCTCATCTCGATATATGGGCCAGTGGTGAACGAAGCAGCTCCCATCCGATTGCCGTTCTGCTTGTTCTGCTCCAAGAGCCACTCAGACATACGGCCTTTGGCATCGTAGTGGCCTGTTCGGAATTTGGGGTCGAAGCCGCTTTTCTTGTAGACGTAATCGAGGTTGCCGTGGACGTAGAACTTGATGCCTTCCTCGATTGCGAGCTCGTATGCTCGGATAGTCCAGTAGATCTCGGTCTTTTCGCCGCAGTTGAAGCCGTCGATCTGATAATGTTAGCCAATTGTGGCAATCAGTCGGGCAAAATATCACATTGACAAAGGCCCCATCGCAGCCTCGGAAGCCATTTCTCAGATCTTGCTCTGAAGCGAAGGTGCCTTCAACGAGTTCGACGTTACCCAAGGCGAGCAGCTGCTGAGCTCGAGCAGACTTCCCATCTCTGGTGAGAATTCGACAGAAGTACTTTTTGTCTTTCACAAGGCCTCTCACCACTGGAATGCCTTGAGCACCCGTCCCGCCAACAACGAATATTCGTGATGTTTGGTAAGAAGACATGCTGCCTGATGGTGTTTCGACAGCTTCGGATCCTATCGACCAGCTATGGTGCTTTGCTTTTGTAGTCGGAAGAAGCCAAGGACGATTACTAGTATACCTCCTACCTGTTCTGGCGTGATATGCTCGACTCACGACCGTGGACTCACATATTTGTCAATTGGTCATGCCATTACTCCGTCGGTCTTAGAGATGCGCCGCTAACGCCACTCCTCGTGCGACTGTTACAACATGCACGAATCTGCATGCATTGGTGCATCTGAACTTTGATGATTAGTAGAGTTGAAGCATCAAGTTGACCTCGGCATTCTCTAGAAGCTTTGTCGTCGTTGAAGACGAACGCAAGCTGATCAGTCGATGACACGATTCCGAGGCTCTAGTGACAGGCTTGCTTGAGAACAGGCTGATCACCAGCGAGAATGGCAAGAATGCATGTTCATGTCACAGTGCCAGTGTCTACCGATTCGAAGGAGCCCAAAAGACCGAAGCTTGTTGAAGGTGTCACCAGCAAACGGGCGCTAGTACTGATCAGGGTTAGTTTGTTTACCTGACGTACCTGGAAAGTCGATTGGAGTCACGGTGTGGCCGCTCAACCCGAACCCTCTCCCAATTCCTTGCACACGAGCATATCCTTAGCGAGCACGAGATTTGCATTCCTTGCTCGCTCCACGGCGAATGAGCTTCTGTGGTAATAAGTGCAGCACTTCTCAACCTCTATAGCTGCCTCCGAGAAGGCCATCGTCATCATGGCTCGCCGGTCTGCACGATTGAGCAAGGCTCCTCAGGTTCGTTGTGCCTTCTCTTTGTTGACGTTTCTCCGAATTCGCTGACCACAATCATACAGGCCAATGTCAACAAACCTCTGCCAAAGGAGCCTCAGCTCGGCAGTGTGTTGGAACGAGAGGAGTCTGCGGAAGAGGAAGATCAACTGCAGTCCATTGGGAACGTACTTCACCGATCTACAGAATCGAAAGAAGATCAGCAACTCGAGGAGATGACCAAGATCGACACTCCAAAGACCGCCCCGCGACCGACCAAGTCAGACATGCATCCTAAGAGCGCATACGTCTCAACGGCGCCATCGCCCATGGGGTCTGGGAAGAGACTGGGCTTCAAGGATATCACACAGCCTCGTATATCTACAGCAAGCGCACAAAATACTCCCTCTCATTCGGCCAACAAGCAGTCTCCTGCGCCGGCCTTCACCTTCGGCTCCGAATCAATCCTCAGCCGCGAAGCACAGAAGATGATGGAGAACGTTCGAGAGGATGCTGCACGCATCAAAGCTGAGATGAAGGCGCAAAAAGACCTACAAGATGCAAGAGACGGTGAGGCCGAAGCAATGTACAATCCATATGGTCGGAAGCTTGCCCGACCCAAGGCCAAAGCTGGACGATTCAGTGATGTTCATATGGCTGAGTTCAAGAAGATGGACTCGATCGCCAATCACCCTTCCTCCTTCAGAGCTCGACCAGGCTATGCCCAGCCGACTACCACACAGTCACTCAAGCGCAGTCCATCCAAGGCTGGCCTCGACGAGCCAGAGCGACCTCAGACTGCCGGCAAGGGTACTCCAGGAAAGCAACTTGCCGGCTCGTTCGGTCGTCCGTTGTCCAGAGGTACATACCACTCTATACCTCAGTCCGCGGCTCAGCAGCAGAGCTCTAGTCCAGCCAAGCGCGCTCGACGCTCAGAACATGAGGACGTTTCGACAACTCGTACGGTAGAAGAGCCTACTTTGAAGCCCTCTGGCATTCCGAAATCCACAAGTAGTCTCTTCTCACCAACAAAAGCCTCGCTTGCCCGCGCCGCTCAGTCCTCGCCCGGAAAGCGATCCATGCTGCCCCGATCACAACCCGCGAAAGGCCTCAGAGAAAAAGCGCGACAGAGTATGGGCCGTACATCTGCTGCTATGTCCAAGTTTACCTCCAAGCTGCTGGAAGTTCAGAACGAAGTACGAAGGGAGCAGCCCTCCATCCGCAAGTCTGCAAGCGCTGCCAACCTCTTCAGCCCACAACCACAAGCAAAACTGCCACCAGTTGCTCCAATGACCGTCGGTCCGTCTTTCGCCTCACGACTGCCAACGTTCTCGGGCCTCAAGTCGATTCTGCGTTCTCCTCACAAGGCATCTGGCGATCGACAAGGAACTCCCAAGCGTCCCAACACCGCTGCGGGCATTCCCGAGACTACCAAGAAGGTCGACTTCACACCTAGCGTTAAGTCCCGCTACGCTGTGAAGCTCACAAACAGCAGTCCAAGTCCTGCCAAGCTCGTGCAGCCGGAAGAGTCTGGTCGACGCGCTTCACGAGGCTCGATGTTCAGTTCTGCTGCTTATACCCTGCCGGAAGACCACGATGAATCCTGGGAGGATGCGTCCAGCAGTCCTGTCGAGTACCCCGTCCTCCCGACTCTGTCTCACGGTTCTCGAGCCGGTCCAGTCGTGCATACAGTCGATCAGAGACTCAAAGACCTGCCGAGGCCTGGCTCCAAGGACTTTAAATCTATCTTCACTGATCTGCATCCCAAGCGTAGTGCAGATACACAACCGACCTCTACCACCGCGCCAAACACGATCACAAGATCACCGAAAGACACAAGTACTCGTCCGTCGCGTCCATCGACCATCAGACGTGTGCGAAGCTCCAACGCGCCTGAGCTTGTCGAACCCTTCGCCGACACTGAGGTCGCTACCATGGCCCATGGCCTGCCTGCGAAGAAGCGCCGTCGCGAATCTATGTACTTCGATACCCATGAAGATACTCATGAGGCTTCTAAGGAGAACCAGCCTGTGCCTGGAGCATGGGATGACGGCGAAGAATCAGAGGACGAAGGTGCAAAGCGATCGAAGAGGACCAAAACATTCGAGTTCAAGGATATCGACACCACGCAGAAGGTGCCCATGGTCAGTCCAAAGAAGAAGAGTGCCGCCCGCGAAGCTGCAGCTCGAAGTGCTCGTGACCGCAAGTCGATGGTTCCTGGTCAGCAGAAAGGCACTCCTGGCCGAGGCTTGAGCATGAGTCGTTTGAACATGCTGTCTCAGCCCAAGACTCGATAAGTGTCGATATCGATTCCTTGAGCAGCACTTTCGCTGCGTCTCTGGAGGGGTCGAGAAGCGCTTCGGCTCGACTTCGTGGGAGCTCGCGACTCCAGAGAAAGGGGACGACACTTCATGAATTCAACAATGTATTATTATCTTGGGAAACATACCCAAACGTGTTTCAGGTACCGGTCAAACAAAAGTTCTGGATTATCGGCAGCCTGGAAACTCGAATGCTTGGGACAGCATATGAATGAACACAGACATGGAAGCGCAAGCATACTCAACGCAGCGATCAGACGCGGATGAGATCCTCCAGAAGGTTTCAGCGCAACTAACGCATGTACATCACAATGATAAGTATGGTGTACTCTATTCTGTCTTTTGTGCAAGCTCTATAACTTTGCTTTCGCTGACAGAGCCTCATCAACAAGTTTCACGGCTGCTTGGGAACAACCATACGAGGATTGATATCCTGCACCTCCAGCGCCGTAGTTATGCACAACCCAAGTGCCGCCAATACGCTCCTTCTCGATCCTCGTGCCACCTTCGCGCACCGGTCGCAATCCGACACCATGACGAATGATGTCGAGGTGCTCAATACCCTTCCCTCCCGTCAAGCCCGGATGAATCTCGACCGCACGTTTCATTATCCTCATAGCGAGACTCGGATCGAATTGTGATTCCCAGTTGCCCTTCTGATAGCAACCGCCCAGGATTGTGCCTCCACCAGCCGCTCTCGTCATGATGTAGCACGCCTCATCCTCCCCGTCGTCTGTACCTGAGACGTCGAGCATCTTACCAGCGTCGTTTCTTACTACCACTATCTGTCCTCGGGCGGGGACCACTGTCTTGTCTTCAACGCCGCCCAGTTTCGATGCATTGAGACCCGTGCAATTCACGACGAGATCGACACTGCCAGCTGGATGGACAGATGGCGCTGCGGCATGAGTGACGTGCTTGAAGATCGCTCGCTTGAAGATGACTCCATTTGCCAGACATTGTGAGACGAGCCAGGGTAGGTAGATGGCGGTGTTGATGCAGACTGAGGTGAATGCAGTGGCTGAGTCGATGCCCGGAGGCAGCTCATTTTTCGACGTTATCCGGAACTGTCGACACCTTCAGCAAAAGCGTTCTGTCTGTGTCTGTCGGGAACTCACATTCGGAACAACATCCTTGAACCACGGCTCAGTTGACAACAACTCCGAGAACCATGTCGCCGTAGCAGAGCCCTTGTCCTTCGCACGCTGGTAGATCTCACATTCTTGGAAATGCACGCCTGCTTCTGGGTGGTTGCGTGCTAGGTCCTCGAAGGGTGGCCAGGTGTTCTTGTCCCATTCTGCTGCGGCAGTGCCACGAACGGAGACGCTTTGTGGCAGTCAGCGGTGGGCGTAAGTGTGGAAGGTTCCACTGGCACTTACGGCATGTAGTTCGCGCCTGCCCACGGACTTGCATATTCGATGTCATAGTCGCCGGGCATGTGCTTTGCTGCGACAACTATTCGGTAGTTGCGGTTCTTGGATAGGAGAAAGGCGGTCGTGAGACCTGCTACTCCTGCTCTGGGGAGTTGATTAGATCACTGCCATGCCCACATAAGTACCTGTTGCTGAAACGGACTCACCCAATGACTACGATGTTCTTTTGTGACATTTCCGCGGGCGTGACAGTGACAATTCTTCAGGTCAGCATGTCCCAAATGATCAGCTTTGTACACCGGTCCTCTATCGACCGTCGTCGTTGCCTTCTTCAATGTGCCAAAGAGATAGTGATCTACTCCATGCCTGCGGGAAGCTCAAGCGTTGATTGGCTCCAGCGTTACGGTCAACATCCGCTTAGCTGCCTCGCCGCCTTTTGACATCCTCATTATGCATTATGTGATACTGATCTCAGGCAACTGCTAGCAAAAGCTCTACTGGTCTGTTTGAAGAATGCTATCAGGCACGCAGAATGGGACAAACGTCGTAGCATCTTGAGAACAGCGCTTCATTTTCATTTCGTTCGAAGCAAAGCCTCCCTCACCACCCGAAAGTCGTCCTCCCCAATCTTCACCACTCCTCGCATCAAAGCACGTCCCCAGCCGACTGCTCCATTGTTCAGACATGCGAGTTTCGGCAATACACTCCTCACATCGACCTCCTTTGCCTCTTTCTTGAACTTTGCATGCCTCCGCCACGGCCGAAAGCTCTCGTTCGAGCTATCCTGGTACGCGTCACCATCCTGGATGGTCGCGATGCCGGTGAAGCGCTGGCAGAGGTCTTTGCCTCTAATCTGCTGTCGGGCTGAGTAGAAGACGATGCCGTCACCAGGCTTCATACGCTGGACGGGTCCTTGCTTGCCATGACAAGCTTGGACGATTCCTAATGAGCGTGCTGCGAGTACGTGGTCACGGGAGACGGAGAGAAGATAGTAGCTACGGCCGGCAGAGGCTACCATTGGTGGCTTCGTGAGCTTGTTGGATCGTGTTGGTGCAGGTGTGCTCGCTATAGTATCTCCCGCTCGTCTGGACCGAAGCGACATCACTAAATCAGGGAGCAAGTCCAGTTGCGATGGCTTTGATTACGTGCCGCGATGCTTGCAGACTGGATGGGTGAAGCATCTCGCGCCGCCCTCCATTTATGATTATACTTATAGGACATTGAGCGCATTGGAGCTCGGGCCCGTGTTCAGTACATTTCGACAAACTGCCAAGGCCCGACTCGGAGATCGGAAGTTCGTTCGCCGAATGCTTCAACAACCCTTTCTCTTCTCTCATCCCTATGAGCCTTCATCCCAAACCCTGAACAAATTGACCAGTTCATTGGCCGTATTAGATCTCGATGCTAGAGGTCGGACTCACAATCTCGTAATCGTAGACCATGTGAGGTCCGCGGCCCGCATTGGCGTGATATCCAATCTGGAAGAAACACCCAGTCAACCGGCTTTGTGAGTCAGAGAGCCAGACAATTATCAACTTATATATGACAGCGAAAGGCGGACATTCTGCGGCGAACACAGTTCAGAGCACTGTATAGTCGTCCAAAAACCCACGCGAAGCCCGCATAAAGCTCCGCCATGGCTTCGATAGCGCCGCAGCGCTCTCGCCCTTCGAGTAGTCCAGCGGCTCCAACCAACAACACAAGTAACATCCCAGCCACCTTCTCACCGCACATCGCCCATCTCCTCAACACCCTCCACGCCGAATCACTGGCCCAAGAGCACGCCATCGACAAGGCCCGTTGGTCATCCATTCGAGCCCAACTCAAGTCCGCCAATTCGTCCAAGGACCACGACAACGCGACCCAGCAAATGGACGAGCTCATGCTAGACAAGTTCATCGCGCTGGACCAGGACAAGTGTCTCTTCATCTACAACACGCTCCTCGCGATCGGAGCGGAGGTAGTGGTGGAGGCGGGCACGAGTTTCGGCGTGAGCACGATCTACTTGGCGCTGGCTGTGGCGAAGTGTGGTGGACGGGATTCGCGGCCGAGGGTCATTGCTACGGAGAAGGAGGAGCAGAAGGCTGAGAAGGCGAGGGGGATTTGGAAGCAGTGCGGGATGGAGGTGGAGGACGTGATTGACTTGAGGGTGGGAGATTTGCAGGAGACGCTGAAGGAGGACTTGGGTGGGGATGGGCAGTTTGTGGACGCATTGTTACTGGATAGTAGGTCTTTCTATTCTCCTTGCCGCTGTGCATTTATCTTCCAGGGGTGCTCCGCTAACATTGTCCTTCGACCAGTCTGGCCGTATGTCGCCGTCCCAGCACTCAAGCTAGTGCAGTCTAGGATGAGACGAAACTCTGTCGTCTTCGTCGACAACACCATATCGTCACGAGAGGGCTACCAGGAGCTTTTGTCAATACTGCGCAATCCCAGCGGACCATGGAGATCGGTCACACTGCCATTCAGTGGTGGGCTAGAGATGGCAGTATACCAGCCATAAGTGTCGGATCTCGCGACCCTGTCAGCACGGTCTTTGCCTGTGATGAGCTCTGCAGGAGCAGTCACAACATTGGTGATGAGTGTTCATATGATCTCCGCTCTTCTAGAAATGGGCAGCAACGAGGCGAGAGTCCCAAGGGGTAGGAGATGCAGTGACAGATGATTCCCCGTCTTCTCCCCACAAACCTAAGTGCTAGGTAAATTCACCTACCCCAGAGATGATTGGCACCACAGACGTGCAGTTCAAGCTAGTTGCGTAGTCAACGACGTCAAAGGGAGCAATCGAGCTCTTGCTAAAGCCCATCTGGGACAAGCTTGCTGCAAAGGTCAGGGCGGCTTCCGGCTTGATGTTGACATTGTCCAGTCGGATCGCTCAGATGATCTGGAAACGAGGCTACGAGACCGGCTACGAGGCTGCACGTATGCTTTGTACCTCTGCGCTCCGGACTTGATGCTGATCATGTGCGAATGCGAGAGGTAGACCCAAGGATGCTTCTGTTTTCTTTTCTGAACACGTGGTGAACACAAGGTCATCTCACCATCACCCTTCTGGCTTTCAGACAATGGTGAAGCCGGAGAAGACTCTGAAGCGAAAGCTGAGACAACCGCAATCCCTTCTGGCATGCGAAGGATGTCGCGTGAAGAAAATACGCTGCGATATGACAGAGAGGAGATCAAAATGCTCTCGCTGCGAGCGACAAAGCATTGCTTGCCAAATAAAGCCTGGCAGACGGCAACACCTGTTCGAGAGAATGCTTGGTACAGCAGCTGATGAAAGCATTTACTCCTCAGCAATCAGTCCACCATGCAGTAGGCCAGCAGGCCACGACCCTGTCGTGTCACCGTCGACTGTGTGCTCGTCTTCGACCTCATCGGCAAGCAGTCCATGGAGTACAGCGAGCAGCTACACGTCCTACTCAACAGCCCATTCGGCGACAGGGAGTGAGAAGTACAACGATACCGACCTTGAAGCCGACTCCGCGAGGTTCGCCTCGTCTGGGCGGTCTTCTTGTATCTCAACTCCGGACCCGGTCTTGGTAGAGAGAGCTCGACTTGCGACTGATCCAGCTTTGCGCAACCGGCTGCTGCTGGCGTACGAGCTATACGTTCATCCGCTGCTTCCGATGCTCAATCTTCACAAGCTGGCTTCTGAGATTCATGACAACAGCAGAGCAACCAGCTTGCTTCCAACAACCGTGATGGCTGCCGCGTCGGTCTTCATTGACGTTGGGAAGCAGCTTCGAGTATATTTGTGGGATCGTGCTCGAGCTTTGATGATTGCCGAATCGGAGCAGAGCGTGATTGTGCTGCTTCAGTGCATGATATTGATGACCTACGAGGAGTGTCCAGTGCGAGTCGAGCACCGGTGGCTGGCGATGGCAACGCAGCAGGCGCAGGTTCTGCTGTGTGACCAATGGACTGACGCGGGTGATGACGAGCTGCTGAAGAGAACGGTTCGATGTCTGCTGATCAGAGACACGGTTCTCTCGTTGACTAAGCGAAGTCGCTGCCAGGTTCAATTAGAGACCCCACAACAGCTCGTCCCATTGAGGTACACGACAGGTCGAGAGTCTGTCGTCCACGAAGACATACCAAGCGAGACTGAAGACGAGCCCTGTCTTGCTCTCGAGAAGCTATGCGCAATCGTCAGGCCAGTGCTAGACGCGGCTCCAGGACGTCCAATTACCGGTCAGAATGATGGTGAGCTCCGCTTGTTGCTGCAATACTGGGCTCAGAGATATGCCTTCGATACCAGAGATGCAGATGTTGCTGAAGTCGGTAATGTGAAGATTCACTGGACGGCTGTGATCGGTCTTTGGTCTTTGGCCGTGCTCACCTTCTTCTGCAATTCTGCCGATGCGAATTCCACATCTGGGGTGACCACATTCCGTACGCACGATACGCGACTGGTTGCAATGGCGATATCGATCTCGACAACTGTCCATCACAAGCTTTATGAGGAGGACCTTGTGCGGTTCCTTCCCTCTTCGTCAGTTTCTGCACTCATTCCAATCACAATAGCACATCTGGTCAATACGACTTCCGAGATTCAAGACATCTGCCAGCAGAGCACGCAGAAGTTCTACTGCTGCTGGCAGGTCCTGCACGACCTGCGAAAACGATACGGTCTGGCTGCCGCAGCGATGTCACGGATCGACTCGCTGGGCCAGCAGCTGCGACGGAAGATGGACACTGCGCAAGCCGAGCAGACGAAGCGTCTGCAAGAGCGTACCCGGTCCATCTGCACTTTCAACCCTGAAATGGAGCAGATTGAGGTCTCGACGACCTCAACCGATGATGAGCACTGGTTGGCACTTGTTTCGGAACCAGAGCAGATACTGAATAGTGAAATGGAGTGCTGAGCCGGTAGGGTGGCTTTCAGCCCGTTGTCTGATCAGCCTGTATCGAATTGATAGTCATCAGTCTGCCACATATCATCCCAAATCCATCCGGCGTCCATTCCGAATGGATTGCTCATCATGCCTGTCCAACCATCATTCAGAATTCCGCCTTGTCCTTGTGCGGATTGTGTGACGACGTCTGTGCCTCGAGGATCGCGGAACGCATCTTGAAGCGAGACTAAAGCGTCACTGAAATTTCCGTAGCTCAGATCATAGGTTCCCGATGGGTTTGGTGATGGCTGTACGGTATGATGAGGACTGACAAAGTTCGAGGCGTCCTGAGGAGCAGCAGAGGCCTCTATTACTGGTAGCTTGCTGCTTGCGACACCGGGCTCTCTCGACGACGCCTTGTTAGCCTTAGCGTTGTTTTTGGTTGAGCCGCCGAGAAGCGCCTTCATCTCCTCGCTCAGTATGAGTCGCAGCAGCTCCTCTAAGATAGCTTCTATTTGATCGAAGATGGCAGTGTGGTAGTCGAACAATCTGGGATAACCAACGATTCGGCCAATGCCTGCTTTCGCATCCTGGCTCTGATGGGACGTTGGATCGGACAGAGCGAATATGCCAAGAGCTACGGCTGCAGTCAATGCCTGTATCATGATGTAGCTTGCGCCAAGGCTGTATCTCATGCTGCGCATCGTCTCTGCGAAGCTACCGATCTGTGAAGTTCTCACAGCGGCCTTCCAACATGTGTATTTACTGCTCTCGATCGCGCTATCGATGGCGTCACTGGGTCCCTGTCCAGATATCGTAGAAAGATTCCGACTTCGAGAAAGCCTGTTCATGGTCAGAAGAGGCCGATGGAGCAGTAGTCGAAAGTTGTCGTATGAGATCTGAAGAACGAGCGCCTGTTGTTGAAACAAGCTAGTGGTAACGTCCGGCACACGCTGCGGTTTTCCTATGTTGCGCAGAAGTAGCTCAGGTGGAACTTGTGCTTCCCAAGACTTCAGGGCCTCGTCGATACTTCGGATGCGCTGTATTGTGTTTTCAAGGCTCGTCCTGCGATGAGTGTATACCGTGTTGATGATCGAAAAAGCGATCTTGTATAGAGCAAATTTGTAACGCTGGTATGAGAAGACGGTGACTTGACCGAAGTTCCGGCCGTCAATGATGTCGGTTGTCCCATAGCCCGGACACACTGCGGACGCGTCATCGATGTTCTCGGGCAAAGCAACATCCCAATCGTCGTCGTGTATGTTACAGGGCGTTCCATAGATGGTAGCAGCCCAGACTGCGAATATCATTAGCTTCGTCTCAGAAAATGGGTATATGGTTGGATATTGGATTGGGAGCTTGAGAAAAGCAGTTGGTCGTCCGCCCGAGACATGCTCTGGCGGCGTGCAATGTAAAGCTCATTTTCGTGCACCAATTGGGTTGTCCGAGAGTAACTTACTATCAGCCACGTACAGAGACCACCAGAGCCGTCTTCTCACATTGACCTCAACGGGGTCTTTCGTGCCCCAGGTGCTTTCCAGGTGCAATTTCATGGACAGGGCTATTTTGATCGCTCCGCCAACAATGGCAATGCTTCGTTTAGGCTTGTTCCCATACAACCAGTAGCTCTTCAGAATTATCGCAACCTGCACCGCTTCCAGTCCACCTTCTTCGAATACGTCCAGCAACCTATTCTCAACAGCTCTTATCCAGACAGGCTCGGATGCCGCTAAGTCATACTCCGGACACGCTCGCCGAGCTGCTTCGGGCGAGACATAACGCGCGCCCATGGAGAGGATGATCAATAGCAGAACCGGGAAGAGCTTGTGCTTCTCTTCGACCAGTCCAGTGGCAAGAACGGAGCTCGCATTGACACGAATAGTCGGTTCGTGAAAGACAGACATGAACCAATGGACAGATGTCATATATGCATCGAGAAGAACGCCAACGACGTGTGCTGGAGGTATATCGACATCTACAACATTATTCCAACTGATGTAGTTCTCTCGAGGTGTCGCTCCTTGTGTACCCCCTGGGATTGCATCGGCTGCATGATTGAGGTTTGACGTCTCTTGGCGTTGGCGGAAGACTTGGTCAACGGCTTCATAGGTGGACTGCCTTTGGGAATAGATAGCGGGCGACTCCGCTCGAGATCGATCCTTTGGAGCATCTGAAGCTGCTTGGCTTGCGTAATGCACCTGGTCCGACTGTCGAGGAGTCTGTGTCTCTGATGGAGTGTGAGCAGCGGATTGTGAAGCCGCGACCTGTGCAGCTGCTCTCGCGGAGGTCTCTTTGCAGTCGACCTTCAGGCGTGAGCAAGTGCTACATGGGCGAATATTGTCACATCTCAACTTCTGCGCTTTACAGCGTTTGCATGCATGACGAGCTCGAGAGACCAGTCTCCGCCTGGAAGGAGTTTCTGCCATTGCTTTGCAGGCTCATTCGGACAGCCAGCGACATGAAGCTTCAAGCTCGCATCGACCATTCGCGCAGCGCCTCGGACTAGCCGGACACATTGCAACTACCCCAATCGGTTCAAACCGAGAATTGGCTGAGGAAGCGCTGGTGATAAGTGAGCTGTGAATACGCACTGAGCACCAGTGAAAGTGAAAGCCGATGGGCTTGGCATTCGGCAATGCTGACTCCGAGCTTGCCTACCTTTTCCCGTATTAACCGTAACGGCCTTGAGAGATCACGGGAGCTAGGTAACAGCGGTTGAATTGTGAGTCGATATATTCAATTTCATGTATCTATCAATGTACCATCAAGCTGTTCTGCTAACGAGCTTCATCAGAAGACTGTCCGCTGCTTTCGGCAACTTCAGATTAAACATTCTGAACTCAAGTCCATTCGCAACGCCGCCAGCTTTGTCGAGCTGGAATACAAATTCCCCAGCGCCGGTACCGCCATAGACAATACGGTCTGCACTGAACCAGCTCGTGCAAGACGAGCCGAAGAGAGACGCGCTGACGGCTTGCGGAGTCTCGAAGATGCCGCGCCACGCACTCAATTTGCCATCTTGCGACTCGAGTCCTGTCGGGTACAAGTGAGCCACCATGGTGGGAGCCTTTTGTAGCTGCGCCAGCATGCTTAGCACTTTCAGTCCTCCCATGGACCATTCAGTGACGACAAGACCGGGCTCGTCCTCGAGCACAGCCAACTTGATGGTCGAGTTCGTCTTCTCGTCGCTGTATGTGCCGGCAAACGCGACTGCAGCATTCTCCTTAGCAGCAAGCTCCAGCGCTGGCACGAAAATCGCAGTTGCCATGTCTGCTAGGATTCGAGACGTCTTGCTGGCATTGAAGCCCGCTGCCATGATCGTCACGCCAACATCCCACTCTTTCAGCAAGATTATGTGACCGGAATATGTTCCGAGGTCTCCAGACTTGGTGTACATCCACGAGTGGCGGTTTAGAGGAGCTTTGTATATCTCCCATGGCGCTCCGACAGTCGAGTTGGGATTTGAGGTGAAAACCGAAGGCTTCATCCATTGACGAGTCCGGCTCGAAGGCATGAGGGTCGAGTTCAGGATGGAAGCTCCAATCTTCCGCAGGTCGTTGACGGTAGACCAGTAACCGCCTCCCGGAGTATAGGCTCTTAAGTCGGCGTCATACCAGCTGATGGAGGAGTTGACGGGAATGTATGAATTGACGTCAGACTCTGGAAGCTTCTCTGAAGTGCTGTTGAGGGCCAGATCTTCAACGGCGGCCTGGAAAAGATCCTCGAAGGACTGCCCAGTGATCTTCTCAAGGGCCATGGTGACCAGTCTCCAGGCTGCATTGGAGTAGATCGGGGAGTCCGCAAACGTCTGGAGGACTGGATGTCGGAAGTTGAGGTTCTTCAGGTACTCTACACGTTGTCAATAGAGGCCAGGCTGCTTATGGCAAGCTCACCTTCATCGTCACATGGGACTTCTTGAACTGCTGGATCACCACAGTACTGTCCTGGCACACCTGGCACCTCTGGTAGTCCAGCGGCTGCGAGCTTAGCATCTGCCGACGGTGGAGAAGCTCCAGCCGTGGTGATTCCCGCCAAATGGCTGACCAGACCACCAACAGTGACCTCGTCCCAATCGACCACATCCAGCGGATTTTCCTTGCTCTTCTCAGCGTAAGCTTTCAACTGCGGCACGTAGTCGGTAATTGGATCATTCCATCCTTTGAAGCCGGCATTGATGAGGTAGAGGTAGGTGGTGATCAGCTTCGAAATACTTCCAACGCGGAAGATCGAATTGCCGTCTATCGTCTTCTGCCCAGATGTAATCGGTACCTTCGGCGCGGTCCAGTGATGAGTGTGGAGAGCTTCAGACTCATGGATGGAATAGACCTCTACGGAAAAGGAATTTTGGTAGCCCAAGGAGCCGAATGTACTCTCTTCATCCGACTTGAATGCCTTCACGAGCTCGGCCTCGAGCGCTTCCTTTGCCTTGCTGATTGCTTCCGACTTGCTCAAAAGAGTCGGCGCTGGCAGCACTGCCCCCTCCAACGGGCAAGGCTTGCTCAAATCCTGACATACTGACTGGGACACAAAGATTAGAGACGTAGCGACCGTGAGGCTTCTCACTAGTCTGAAAGGCATGCTGAAAAGGAAGTGGAATTAATTACCGACGATATTTTCCAAGCTTCACCAGCCAGATGGTGGGTGCGCTTTCTTATACATCGACGCTCTCGATGGTAGCCCACAACACGATGCGTTGATCTTGTAGCGCCTTCCCACCATCGTTGAGGTATAGCTGGGAAATGAAGGGATGATCATGCAGGCTAAGTAACGAGAACAAACGAAAGAAGGTTACCTAACAGCAGAGCGAGAATAGATGCTGCGATTGAATGTACCCCACAACGCGAGATGGTACCTGTAGCCAAGACGATGTACGTAGATCTTCTCAGACCACCGCCGGTGCAGGTACGATGAAATGGTGGTCGTTGGGGGCGAAGCGGTCGAAAATGCAGGCTGAGCTGCCTCGGTTGTCACCGCGCTAGACGCGCCGCCTGGCCGTGGCCCCCAAACATGAATTCGATTCTCTTCAGCTTCTGCAACCGTATGTTGTTGCCTGTTGGCAATGATGATTCGTAAGAAGGCGTCAAGGATGGAAGAGCCGACAAGTGACGCATGTCTGTGTCTGTTACAAGATATATGAAGGATGGGAAGGGAAGACGAAGTTCGTCGAGGGCAGCAGCACAAACAAATAGGCTTGGAAAGCTTAGTCAACGATCAACCACAAGATGAGTCAATTGGGCAAGCCCAAAACCGTCACCGGCTGCCGAACATGCAAAGTCGCGTCCCCGCTACCCGAGATCACCTCTCCTTTGCTAATAATCTTGCAGGCACGTCGGGTGAAATGCGACGAGGCGCGTCCAGCATGCGGACGCTGCATCAAAGCAGGCCGGCAGTGTGCCGGCTACGAACCCTGGAGAGATCTGAGCCGCTCTTCACGTTCACCATCCCCTCGGGAGCTTCTGCAGCGGCGGGCCAGCAATGCGGAAGAAGACCATCTCTTTCAGATCTTTCTGGAAGATGGCGGCAGGCAAAGCGTGCTCGCGAGCGATGTGCGTTTCTGGACGATTTTGATTCCGCAGCTATGTGAAGCCGAGCCAGCCATTCGGTATGCGACTCTCGCGCTTGGGGCTCTTATGGCCCAGCAGCGGTCCATCAAGGCTTTCTCTGAAGCCGGCCTCGAATCTACATCCGCTCTGATATACTACAACAAGTCGATCAAGGCTTTGTTGTCGCCCGCTGTTCCTGTCAGCAGAAGCGTGGCTCTCGTGTCGAACGTCCTCTTCACTTGCATGGAGTGTATGCAATGCAGAGATTCCGAAGCCTCGGGCTTTTTCATCAAGGTCGACGGATGTTTGAAGAGCATTGGAGCCTGCAAGACCAGCCCTCGGAGATCTTGATCAGCCTGAGGTCATTCCTGTCGCGATTGCGACTTCTAGCCCTGTTCTCCGGACCGCCAATGGCAGATTACCAAAGCTCGATCACCGGCGATCACGACGAACCTCTGTCGAAGCCTTTCGCTTCTTACGATGAAGCTCGACTAAGCTTTTTCTATCTGTCTGGCTTGTGTCACGCGTGCATCGGCGAAGGATCACGCGCACGTCTAGCTCATACTCCACAGGAGGTCATTGAGTCCTCGCTCATGGCACACCGCGATGCCTTACTCGACAACCTCCGATCCTTCAAGGAACGCTTCATGCCGTTACTTGAGGCCGCATTGTGCGCCACGGGAGCTGTCAGTGACCAGATCGCAGTTCTGACGCTGCAATGTCAGATGATCATTATGTCAGTCTGGACTGCTTGCTCGCTGAGCAGTAATGAGATGATATGGGATCAGCATTTGAGTTCATTCACCAAAATCCTGGACATATGCTCCAGAGTGATTGGCCTGCTTGAGGGCCAGAACATCATTCAGCAGCCCTTTTCGATCGAATTCGGACTCATCGCCCCTTTGTACATGAGCGGCAGGCTCTGTCGCGACCCATCAGTGCGGCAAAGCATACTTGAGCTTTTGGGACGGGGTCGACAACAAGAAGGGCTTTGGCAAGCTAAGGTGTGCGCTGCGATTCTTCGGAGAATATACGCCATCGAGGATGTCGGCAAGCTGCCAGGTCAACATCTCCCATCGGACACTGCTCGACTACGGGCAACGTTGATACATCCACGCAAAACAGATTCATCGGGGATAAGAGGAAACGTTGTGCAATTCTTCCTTACATCGGAAGACGTAATGGAGGGTTGGAATGTGTGGGAAGAATGGATTGAAGCTCCTTGACTTCATGGCTCTGCCACTGCATCGGGTTCACTGAAGAACGGACCTTGCAAAACTCCGCTGGAAGAACTCCGATATCACGGCCAACGCCCCGGCCTACTTCCATCGCCGTCAGGCCGTTCACTTCATAACCTTGATTATGAGAGCACAAGGTACCGTCTGAGTCCATGGCACCCTCCGGATGAAGCATCTGACGATTCTCGGCATGGTGTGGATTCAGAGCTGCTCCGATGCAAGCATCCACAGATAAGACCGTGGTTGTGCGCAGCCGCCTGTCGGGAGGGAGCCTCAACAGTGCATAGCATGTCGATTTAGCGTCCGAATGTCCATAAGCAACGTTCTGGAAGTCACCAAGTGCTTTCCACTGTGGCAATGGCGTCTGAAGAGCCACAGGCTGGGCTGTGGAGAACGAGAAAGCGATGCAGGCACGCAAGCACCATCGCAATACCACGCATGCATTCGCAAGCTTCTCCCAATGACGCAGGAAGTTGCGGCGGCATGCGAAGCCAAGATTACCAAGCGACAAGTGTGCCTGCCCGCCGAGTAATTTGTACGCCAAGATGCTTGTCCTACCCCAAATTCAGTTGCTTGCCCCCAAAGCGGAACTGGGTGTATCTGGACCCCAAGTACAAAGAACTATCGATGACTACGCCTGACGGCAGTACGGGCAGTATCGTACAAAGCAAAAATGCACAGCTTGCTGTCCCATGGCGAGACAGATGCCTACCTCAGCTGCAATGATGTGAGCTCCGCGCCACAGTCCCGCCGCCTTCCCAGCCAAGGCGCCCCGCTGGCTCTTTACCAAGCCCGCTACCCTCTTGGGTATCATCGGCCAAGGCTTCATCCCGTTATCAAGTCTTAAGTCGCGGCGTGTCCTGTCCAATGGAATATGACGTACACGAATATCCGGTGCCATACTATCGCCATGTCGGGTATCCTGAATAGGAAGGAGAGTATATGCAGCTACTTAAAGCTCTGTATCGGCGGCTGAGATGCGTTCAGTTTTCCACACCCAGCAAATATGGTTCGAGTTACTATAATCGCGCTCGGCGCCTCTGCTCTAGCGGGTATGACCCACGCCGCTGTCTTCCCTGCTGAGGAGTACGAGTCTGGTGCCGTTCACTCGCGCATCATGGCTATGAAGATGGTGAGTGCGTGGGCGTCGATTGAGATATGATGCTGACTCGATAGGAACAATGGGAGGGAGAAGCGGCAGCTGGTCAGATGGACAGCGTTCAGTACCCTGAGCTGGGTTTTACGGAATGTATTAATGGCTTCGCTGCTGCCAGTAAGCTGCTCTCCGACAAAGCTTGTGTCCGGAAATGCGCATTACTTTGATGGCTGCCAGAGCAGATGTCTCTGGCCGGCAAAGAAGCTGCTCTCATTGAATTTACAGTCTTGCCTTCGAGCATAGGCTCTTTGCCCGAGACAACGCTGACCAGATTCACAGTTCCAGGTGACACGAACAACACCTTCCGATGCGGCAATGTGGACCTGTACCATTTCCTATCGCATGCCGATCTAGGGTCTTCGAGAGGACGTGGATCTTCCTCCTGGGGCTGGACATCTGAGGATGGCCGAGAATTCGTCGCACTGGGCCAATATGATGGCACCGCTTTCGCAGAGATCACCAGCGAGGGCAAATTGTCCTACCTCGGACGTCTTCCGCCTTACGACGGTGTTGGCTCAAATTGGCGCGAGATCCGCATCCTCCACGACTACGCTGTCATTGGCTCCGAGGCTGTAAAGCATGGTGTCGTTGTCTTTGACATGAAGAAGTTGCTCGATCTCGATCCTGCAAACCCGGTCAACTTCACCCAATCTGAGGTGACGGGACATTGGGACGAACTGCCTGTTGGACGTACTCACAACATTGTTGTCAACCAGGAGCTGAACTACGCCGTTGCCGTTGGTTCTGTCGCGGGTAACGACACCATTCGCGTCAGGGACCCTACCGCTATGCCTTGCAGGGGTGGGCTAATTTGGCTTGACATGTCTGACCCCACGAATCCGACGTCTCCAGGCTGTGCTGCTGGTGATGGCTACGTCCATGATGCTGAGTGCTTGGTCTACCGTGGTCCTGACACCAGGTATACGGGTCGCGACATCTGCTATGGATACAACGAAGACACCATAACAAGTAAGTTGCTCTCCCAAGGTCAAATTTGTATCCGGAAACGAGCGCTGCATTGAAGACCGCCCGAGCAGATGTCTCCGGTTGACCAAGAAGCTGCTCTAACTAGCCTCACAACCCTACCTTCCAGCCTACGCCCCTCTCCCGACACAAGGCTAATCAGTTTTGCAGTATATGATGCGACGGACAAAGAGGGCAACGTCACAAACATCATCTCCAGCATCACCTTCCCAGGCGCCGAGTACATTCACCAAGGTGTCGTCAACAACGCGAGCTGGCAGGAGTACATCTTCATGGACGACGAATTCGATGAGAGAGACGCCGACAACGGTCCGATGACCTTCGGTCTTCCCACTACTCACATCTTCGATATCCGTGATCTGGAGCATCCCTTCTACAGTGGTCATTATGCTGGCAAGACCCGGTCGATCGATCACAATCAGTACGTCTATGATGGATTCAGCTATCAGTCGAACTATGGAAATGGCCTCAATGTGTTGGACATCAGCTCCGTTACCGAAGATCCTTCCGGCGGCTCGATCTGCGAGGCCGGGTACTTCGATATTTATCCTGAAGACGACGAGAATGAAGGCGGTGGGACTGTCGCCTTTCTCGGCTCCTGGTCAAGCTACGCTGGCTTCAAGTCAGGCTTCATCATGGTCCACACTATCGAGCGCGGAACGTTCATTGTCAAGATGACCAGCAAGGAGTGCCCTAAGCCTAAGGTCTGCACTCCAGACAGCTGTCTGTCTTCGCTTCGTGGATATGCCAACCTGGAGGAGAGCACTGATTTCTGTCATGAGTTCTTGATCAGGCAGAATGACGACGAGAGCCTGGTGCCAGAGTACGCTGTAGAGGCTTGCAGTGAGGCAGAGGATGTGGTGGCGCAGGTCAGCAGTGCGTGCGCATGTGTCCGTACGTAAACCCTGAACCTGCACGGTGCGAGACAATAGTCTCGCGGCTCTGGTTCTTCCCGATACATGTTCATGCTAACAGCTGCAGCCACAAAATCGGTTCCACAATTACCGAGAACGACTTCGAGGCCTCCAGTGCCGACAGTCTTGCCGCCCAAGATGTGATGATGCGATGTGGACGTGGTCAACAGACCTTAAAAGCTGATCAAATTACACGTAATGAAAGCCGGTGGCATTCTAGCTTCAGCACTTTCTCACTAGTAGCTCCCTGACCTGCCGTCCATGCGTGAATATGTGAGGTACCGTCACCTAGATAACGTGACTTGATGGCCCCAGAGCGAAATTTTACTGAAGCAGAACATATATGTGTGTCGGTTTGAGGCTAGCAGAGGCCGGACGAGGTAGTCGAGATGGTAATCGCCAAGTGTATCATAATCAACGGCAGCAATCAAGCTTGGGCTGGGGCCGCCGGCGATGCTATTCCGGCCAAGATGGAGGCTCTTCGATCTAAGTGGCTACGACTGCACGGATAGAAAGCGGTTGCGACACAACAGCCGAGTCTACCTCAGGTAGAAGGGCGTTTACAGTCACCAAGGATAATATTATGCTTGCAAGCGTGCCAGGCTACGACTAAAAGTAATGGACGATTTTACCACGTAAAACTGCTTACCGTTTTCCGGGTCAGGGAGGGCACGGTAGGTCTGATATCGGTTCGCTGGTAGTACGTAGGTTCGAAGGAGCCTCACTTCGTGGCAAATTTGTTGCAGACTTTCTGTCCAGGGAGGCGCTATCAGTGGCGCCGCCCCTAAGGTAATAAGCTATGGAAATCGCCCACGACTTCTCGTCACAGCTTGCGTTCTCGAGCAAGCTTGCATGAGTCACTGGATGTCCTGGGCTTCGGCGGCGAGGTTTTTCTGGTAAAGGTTGGAGTGGGAGGTTGCATCTCTGTCCATTTCTCATCTCCTCGCTCTCGCTTGTCCTGCAGCAACAGTTACTCGGACAGACAGGAAGACTACTACTCACGGACATGATCGGAGATAAGCAGACATCCTGCAGGCTGGGCCACGACAATGACGTAGCATACCCAGCACCCGCCCCAAGCAACGCACCGACGACGTCGTTGATGTAAACTCCATCTGAGCTCCGATGTTCCGTCTCAGCAGTAGCCACAATCCAAACAGCGTTGTCTGTTTGCTGGGACGGAGGCCTTTGTTGCATTATTGCATGCGGTCATCGAACCCAGAGCGATGCGTCTTACTAATGAAGCGCCGTGAGCTTCCGTCTCCTCCTCAATCACTACCAGCCATCAGCACAGGCACATCATAGCCAGCTAGATCGCCGTCATGGTCTACAACGAATTCTTGGCCTGAACATTGCTTCCACTCGCATCTGCGTGCTTATCCTGCAACTCACAGCCCTTCCGTTCCGTGCCTGTAGCTTGTGTTTGTGCTCTGCTGATTTCCTCATACCAGATCGCAACCTATACTTGTCCTTGGGACGATCTCGCGGTGTTCCATTCAGGCTTGTCGAATCTAGCCTATTTCTACGATGCGGCAATACCTTTCTGAGTCAGTCCGCCCAATACCTTTGTCTCAAGCTAAGTTATGGCCTCAGACGATGCCTGATCTTGATACCATGCAACGATAGCTGCAGAGGATGAGGTTGCACGAGCAGTCATCGAGGACTACGTAGCAGACTGGAGAGGTAAAGTACTGCTTCTTGAGGCTTCTCTTCGCCCGACAACTCGCGAGAGGTACATTGAGCGGCTTGGGGAGTAGATTGCTGGCGGCCATGAACCGTTTCATCGTCAACCGGCGTCAGACGAGCTTGAGTCTGATCGGGAGGCGATATCTTTCGATTGGGTTTGGTCTAGGTGATTTTCTGAGCGGGACGAATGGCCCAGCACCGTCCCACGATGGACAACGACCATGCAAACTGCTGGTGGACTGAGCTTATATCTGCCAAAGCCTAGAGGAGCGCCCATGGGCCTGTCAAGTATCGGAGGTCATCTGGTAGACGGGGACGACTTTGCGGCATAACAAAGAGCTATCACGGCCGAGGCGCGTCGTCTGGCTCGAGGCGGTAGGCAAAAGCGGCCACCACTCACGCCGGTGAAGCTTTAGGTTCTGCTAGAATCGATCAAGCTACTGCTGAAGAGGACGGCATATAGTCGACAAATTACGATGGCTAAAACACCAACTTGTTCTATATCTCCAGATGCTGGAAATTCGTCACGAGGACCGGATCAGCGGGCACTCTGGTGGGCTACCATGAACACTAGATCAACGGGTGTTCTGGCGGGTTACGATCAATGGCAAGGCTGAAGTAGTAAGGCTCGCTACTCATTTGGTACCGACAGTGAAGTCATGAGGTATTCACTTGCCTGCGCCTATCTTCTGTTACAATCAATCTCAACTCTTCGTCACTGACGACCTCGATTCCATTGTTCTAGCCACCCTTTTCCATCAATTCTATCAGCCTCCCTATCGAGTTTGATCGCCAAAAGCCCCTCAAGGTCGGCAGGAGTGCCCAAACCCCTGTTGACCACAACCCTGGTGGCTTACGGCCCGGGAAATACAGACGGCGATTCGGTCGATGAGAAACAACGCCAGTCCGGCGATCTGGACCTAATCCAACAATCCCCCTACCCACAGATCGAAATCTATCAAGCAGGCAACCCTCACCGATATCCCCTCACACCCACCAACTCCGCCGAAACCCTCCAGGCCATAGCCGCTGCGGCCCTCAAAGCTGCCAAGATAGGTGCTGACGCCTTCAGAATGTCAGACGCAGAAGATTACCGCTCAGGCAGTGCAGAGCCACAGAATCCCCCACGCCAGACCGGTGGCGGCTCTGGTGGCGCTGTCAAAGAAGGCTCAGCCGTGGCGCAAGAACCTGACCAGCCGCCTACTGGAGATGACGACGACGCAGAGGAAGAGTATGGCCGCAGACCTTACGTTGAGGAGCTCGCAGGATTCGAAAAGAAGCATCTGGGTGCAAACCGCTGGACTATCTTCGATGAGCCTGAGTCCGGATGGGGCGTGAAGGCTGGCGAGGCTCTAGGACTGCAACAGCATCTTCCAAAACTTCACAACGGTTACGAGTGGTGGCAGCCTTCTGATGGCGCCTCTAAAGCAGACGATCAAACCTCACCGAAGAGCAAGATCGTCTATTCTATACTGCTGAATGCCACCAAGGAGAATCTGGAGGATCCAACCTGGCTGCCTCCGCCAGGCTGCTGCCTTGATTTGACCACAACTTGGTGGGTTTCAAATATGATTAAGACCCGACGGAACCGTGGTGCTGGCTGGCCGACCATGTTCAGTAAGGACGGTGACCTTCGAATCAATTTTCCTCGCATTGGGGATCCGCCGTTGGTCTATTTGGTGAAAAGAGACCCAAGCCGGCCAGACAGACTCCGCTGGAAGCCTTCCAAACCATACTTCCTCATTTACAACAATGTTCTGGTCCTGGGAGATAAGAACGCACAGAAGGAATATGAGAAGCTGAAGCCACAAATCGCAAAACAGCAAGGCAACATGATGAATCGCCACAAGGCGAGAGGTTACTCGGTGTTTACGTATGGCGAGCTCGTATGTGAAAGCCCGCCGAAGGATCTGATGGTCTCTGGGAAGAAACTTGATCCGTTCAAGAACCCTGGACGCCTTTACTTCCATTACACGCCCGCACACGACTATGATTTCGACGGCTTGCGCGCCCTGGAACGCGCCTACCCGTACACGAGCCGTGCGTGGGACATCTACGAGGGTACTCCTTGGAAGGACCATGACGGCATGATGGAGGTTTTGGCGCGTTGGCCAATGTACCGTTCTCCGCCAGGCACTTCGCTCGAGAGCACGTTCAAGTATCTGAGCCACTTCGCGCCGTCGTTGACAGCCCCATTGGCGGTTCGCGATTCCAAAGTCCATCCACTAGATCCGCCGGACACCACCCCCAAAACCACCAAGAAGACCTCCGAGACCCGTTTCAGTACTGGATCTCTGAGAGATAGATCTTCTGGCCAAATTCAACCTACCAATCAGCTGCAGAACCCCGCAACGCCCACTCCTCCAGACAAACAGCCTCTTATCAAATCTGAGAATACGAACCTTGGTGAGTGCGACCTGCAAAACCGAATCTTGCCTCCTCCGCCGCAGGGATCTGATCAGCTGCCTCCAGTGCAAGATTTCGATCTCTTCGGAGGGATTGCTGACGAAGAACTCCTCAACGAGATAAGTCGTCGGGAGGAAAAGCGAGCACAAGCTGAATCTATTACTGCCAGAGCAGGCACAACTGACCCAATAGAAGCCGCCAGGCTAAAGCGGAAGCTAGATCAGGCGCAATCGGGAACAGAATCGGAGCAACAAGCCCCCAAGAGACGTTCATCGGGAGCCTTCGGTGGCGTTGGATCTGCTTCCGAACCCGCCAGAGGTCGTCTGCTTGGCCAGGTGCCAGCTCAGTCACTCTATCAGTCTGGAAAGACATTCGAGCGCCCAGGCATGAGCGGAGAAACTCCCACAGCGATGGGCTTTGGTCTGCCGGCGTCGAAGCATTCGTCGGGAGAAGTGCCATCAGCGAAACCACCATTCTCACCCGGACCAAGTCCGCTTGGTCCCAATCGATCTCCTCTCTCAATGCCGCCGCCAAATGGCTTATCCAAAGCTGGAGGCACTACTCCACAGCAGAAATCCCCTGTACGAGCCCGAGCAGAAGCTACCACAGACCAACCGCGTGCCCTGAACAAGCCGCCCGCGCCCGCTCCGCAAAACAGTCAGCAACACTCCAGTACTGAATCGCGTTCAGCTACTGGTCAACCATCCGGGCCACAGCGCCGCAGCGGAACTTCAAGGCAAGCCTCTGACCCGTCGAGGCGTACGCGGAGCGGCCAGAACCACGTCATGGGCATGCACGGCGATTTCATCAAGCCTCCCTCGCCTGAGCAAGACGGCCATGTCAGCACCTCGTATGATGTCGAGTCTGGAGGGCATCTAGTCGTCCAGATCCATGCACATGATTTCACGCGGGGAGGGAAGACCACCAAGGATGTTCTAGGTCGGAATACGGTCAAAATAGTCCCTCGAGATAAGCAAGCTACCCAGCCAATCCAGTTTGGCGCTTTTACAGCGGTAGTTCCGGGGTCGGCGGTCTTTGCGAGTTGGCCGGAACACCTGCGCAGGATGTGGCGGAACGTGGTCCCCAAAGATGGAGTGCAGTTTGTGTACGGTAATGGTCGTCCTATGACAGCAGATTTCACGGATTTCTTCCTTGGCAACATGCCATCGCTGGAAGGCCTGCCAGCTGCACAGCCACCATCCATGGCCTCGGCGGGTGTTCTGGATGATACGTCCGCGAAGATACTTCGTGGTGTCATTCAGAGCTGCCTGACGGGTGTAACAGAGTCGCAGAGACAGGCTTCCATATCTATTGACACCCAGCTACTACAGCTGCACCAGAAACACAAAGAGATCGCTGTTCTGGAAGGCATGCCTCAGTCTATGGCGACCGACTACAACCAGATGCGGAATACACTAATTCACAGCCTTAACAACCAGCCAGTACGATTAGCAGCACACAGATTGGTCCTCACCGCTGCTGCTATGGCTCACTTGGACGACGGTAGGATTCGCGTGCAGGAAAGTTTCGAAGTGGCCATGAACACACTAGCCAATCAACACAGTCGAAACCTGGCGCGTCCAATCATTGATCCGCCAAAATTGCGTTGACAGGGCCGATTCAACGAAATCCCTCCGACAGAAGGGGTTGGATTGGAGGGCTCTCTGCAAGCAGCTCTGAGATGGTTGATGGTTTGGAAGATGGACTTCGTGGAGCAGACATTACGCCAAAGTGTCCTGTTTGGATCCGCCAATATTGCAGCGTTACCTTTTAGGCCATCGACCAACCATTGATGCGTTCTATGTTTACGATGATGAAGACTATGAAGGATTGGACGTGGCTACTCTGGAGACGAGGGCGAAGGCAATTGCTGCTTTATTGCACGCTTGACGCTGTCCGGTGGCCTTCATTTTTTGGCCCGTCTGCTTCACGGACGGGTTCTTTGGAATGTTGCACCTGTGCTGGACGTGCCATCAAGCGAGCGAGGCTGCGTACCAGTCCTGGCGGCCTGAATACTTACATACCAACGCAATTCATAGCCTCTACATACAAATCGTTTGTCAGCCCACCTGTCCGTTCGATCCTAGATTCCAGGTCAGGGCGGGCCCTGAGGCTTGCTGACGCTGTCTTGCATATCGAGCCAGGAAGTCTGTCGGTTCCGGGGGAGCCTCACTCGAGTATCAAGTCGCATAATCAATCCATTATGAATTTGCTTGTCAGCGAGGGCGCTGTACCTTCAGGTCCATCGAGCTGGCCCAATGCTGCTACCCCGTAGGTCGAAATCTCCCGTTTTCACACTACATGATTTCAGCAAACCACTCGATTTGGCCCAGAACATTGTCATGGACGTCCTTGTCTTGCTCCAGGAGGCTGGCCAGGAGCACATCCTTTTGATCGGGTTCTGGCCAGCAACGTTCGCTGTGTCGATCGATACATACCGTTGCCATTGATGACTATCTCTCCCAAGGCAAGGTTCCGACGTCTACCATACAGGTCGTGGATGAGAGGCAAGAGTCCTTATGGATCATGATCTAGTATTGCGTATCAGATGCCGCTTCGTGAGTAAGGGGGGAGACAACTCACGAGCCAGCCTCGCCACAAATCGCCCTATCACCACATCTGGATTCTGCGTAAACAACACCGTTGACCATTCTTGTAATGCTCTGGCCTCTAGGTGTGGAAGTTCTTCCATTCTGGCGGGCTTCTGAATCGAAAGTTGCTGGCAGGCGAAGGCATCAATGGAAGGGTGGCATGCGGGCTTACGCGCGCAGACGGCTGAGAATGTCACTGCCAGGCTTTGGAAGTGTAGAGTAACGGTATTACCACCCCTACTTGCAGGGAAAAGCTGAACTTGAGAGGCAATGCAGTGGGATGGGGTGATGATGGGTGTCATGATTTGTGGTTGGGCTTGGCATCCGGCATGCCCTGGCTGGGGGAAATTACCCGGACCTGGACGCCAAAAGGCGACATTGCCAACCTTAACATTAAATGTTGACAGGATTTGCAGCCTGCCATCAAACGTGGGTCAGTAGGCTCTCCCGCCATCACGCGTGAGACACACGTGCCATGCATCACGACGCAGGTTGAGCACTGTGAAAGCCATTGGTTGCCGTATCTCTTCGTGGGAGCTCAGTATCTGACTTCATGGCTGGCCATCATGCAGCGCCCAGCTCCCTTAAGCCCTCCACGTAATCCGCTTCGATCGCGGCTTCGTCCATAAGTGTCCGCTTACCAACCGAGCTGATGTACCTGTTGATTAACATGACTTCCATCTTCAAGGCCGCCTCGTACGTCTCTTCGGCTTCGGTTCCTGCTTCTTGCAACTTCTTCCCCAATACCCGCAATGCCAGGATGCCAGCTTTGATGCCAACCTTCTTCTTCAGCAGCTTCTCCTTACTTGCCTACGTCTTGATGTTCGCGTGCCAGACCTTCAGGATCTCTTGTCGTCTGAGATCTAGGTGTTTGAAGAGTGCCAGTTGATGGGTGAAGAAGGACGGCAACAGCATGGTGTTTAGAAGTGTCTGGCTCTCGGGAAGCTGCCATTGGAAGACACTGATGCCGTGGAACATGCTCAAGAGGTCGACCGGCTTGAGCTGTCGGGGATACTTGTTGTACTTGGCTCGGAACTCGTGGAGGACTTCCAAGCCTTGGTTTTGCTTCTTCTGCGGTGGCTGGTCACCCGTTCCGCTTTCGTCGGAGCCCCTCTTCCGAGCCATGGTAGATCACGCCAGGGAGGACTTTGATGGCTTGGTAGTCTCAAGTCACGTGGTAGGTGAAGGAGAGCGGATGGGCGATGGTGGAAGGTTGGGGGAGATAATCGTGGACTTACGCCCAGCGATCAGGAGGCGGAAGGTGTCAAATTGTGTCTTGGTGGACGGGAGGCTGGTTGACTGACTTGGATGATTCAGGAGGAAACACTCGATTTGAAGTGGCTCGGCAAAGTACCCATAATGGCAGAGGGAAGTTGATAGGTGAAGTCGTTGATCATGCTACGATTTTCCCACCGACTACATTTCTCATTTCATCAATACTTTCAACAATTCTTCATCAATGTCGACGGGAATTTCTTCTCGTGAAAGCCACTGGCTTTGAGATCATGACAAGAATGATCCACAGGCTCAGAGATGGTGGAGGCAGGGTCATTCGGATATCATGCATCCCTAGGTATTTTCTCTGGCCTTCCCCGTCCGCATCATGTTCCTAATTCCATCAGAAATTCATCAAAAGCTAGCCACATCGAGTCCTACTTGCTTCTTCCGAAGGCCAACAACATCGTAACACCGCCTAAGGTCGCATCCTTGCCCAGAAGCAGCTGTCGAGAAGCAAATCAATCGCAGAAAGATGATGCCAGCCTTGGCGTCTCGCACATTCGACGACCACTCATTTCCGTCGACGATTTCATCCTTTTCCACTCAATTTCATCAACAACTTCATCCTTCTTCGTCCAAATTACCACGGCTTCTTCATCCACGGCCTGCTGCTATTCATCTCGCTGCTCGACGGGTCCGAAGGCAATCACGCTCAGAGTAAGCCACAGCTGGTGACGGCAATCCCATCGAAATGAATTCGAGCATATCGCTGACCATCTCTCCAGAAGATCTTATCCATTGATCTCATCATTCTCCATCCCGAAAGCCTCTTATCGACGTCCGCCACATCTCGTCGTCGCCAAATGAGCCCTCGATGCTTCATCACTCCTCCGTCTGTCGCGGCCGTCGTCATATCGGAACATCGAAATGTCAGATTGAACTCGTAAGGGTGTCTCGACTCGTTAGTGACTAGTACACGGTATTTAAATCCATATTTGCTACGATCTATCCTGCGTGGTCAACTGAAGAGGCCCCACTGTTCGAAAGTGGCAGAGTTCATGAAGATACAAGATGCAACCCGGGATGACTTCGGTGGTGGACTCGGACGATGGACGTGTTTGTTGTTGATGTTTGGGTTCATGTCGCACCTCCTGCCCAGGTAAGTGCGACTGCTGCCAGCCCTGAAACCGCTGTCCTCGTCAGATGTCGGAAGTGCCTGCACCTCCGCCGGAGCTCTTCAGCTCTCGATATCCTTTACGCCTCCACAAAATGATCACCCGTCAGCATCCGCCCAACCTCTTCGTGCTCTACGATTTGTTCTCATATCATGCTCCATCGACCGACTTCGGATCGCTCGGCTCTTTCGCACGCGTCAGTCTCTAGAACACGGTGGCTATTGCCTCTAATGAGAATCCATATACTACGAGACGGTCTCCTCTGCAGAGCTCAGCCTTCCTGAAGTCACGATGGTTTCCGATATGGCGTTCGATTGTGGGCATACCGTTGTTGGTGTGAGAAGTCTGAGCCGGCAGAGACGCGGCAGCTGACGGACATCGTCGTCGACCGGTGAGTATTGCCGCCGTCGTAAGCCATCATTTCCTGACTGTCACTCTAGCATGCACAAAATTCAGTGCTTCACTCACGTATCGTCGTCGAAGGGGAGGGGTGGTGGAGGTGAGCGGAGAACAAGCCGGAGGTCGAGTGACCCAAGGTAAACATCGAGAAAAGGAGGGAGGAGGTAGTGGTGGTAGCGGAATGCGGCATCAGGGCAAAATTTTTCACACATAGAGAAGAGATGGCGTGGTGGAGGAAGAGCTCGTCATCGACAACGGGGCTGGCGTCGACGCTGGGAGTGGTGATAGGAGGGGAGGGGCCGTCGCTCGGATGTATGTGATCAACCTTCTGAGCTCCGTGAGTGCGAAGGACGGGAAGGCGGGCGGCCGAGGGGAGGTAGGCGGTTGTCTCTTCCCAGCCTCGTGCAATTTTGCAGGCAATGGTGGCGATGGTGGCGATGGTGTCGATGAAGTGAACATCACTGCTGGTGGACGAGAGCGTGTCGAACAGCGATGCTGTCCGGCGGAGGGGCTGAGGAGCTGGTGCATATCTTTGTAGCGGCGGCGCGGAAGGCGCAAATATATTCTTTTTATCCCCTCGTCGAGATACCTGACCTACATCCATCCATCTTTCATCTTCCATCCTCCAAAGCACTGCGTGCATCTCAAGCTCGCTACATTCAATATCGAATACGCTGTGCCAGACCAACTGACGCCTACTGCCGATCGCCGCACACCGTCTCATCACGAGGACCAGTCCTGGTCAAGCTATGGCCTGTCCTCGAGCATTTGACAGCGCTGAGGAGGACTTCCTCACGTACCGATCGTCAGCCGTACAGCTCCGCAGTCCATGTCCTCTATCCTGCGTCCCGAAGTACTCCTCCACGAAAGAAGCCACGCTGTTTCCAGTGATTAACGGTTCTACCTCCGCCTCTGCCTCATATTTACCAGCGGCCGCACCCTCGCCCGCGGCACCGACAGCATACCCTTCTGTAGTCCATATTCACCCTCGTGTCTCGGGGCAGCATACTTTCGACAGCAAAGCATACTCACGTAACTATTGGTGCCAACTCAGAGGGACTCGCGTTTCTCTCAGATCCTACTGTTTTATTAGTAGATTACACATAATTTATAAGGGTTAGTAAGAAATATCTATACCACTATATATCTTGATTCTACCAAGGCTACTAACTTTACCTACTACTTTTAGTATATTCAATTAAGAAATTAATAGATATAGTAAGTATATAGACTAATACTATAGGATCACCTTATTAGCACTAAGAAATAAAGCTAAGAAAATAGTCTTAGCATATATATTTATAGTGTTTTAAAAAACTATAGTATATTATAA